ATTTGTAGATGAAAATTATAATCTATTACTTTAAAAATTTCACTAAAAAAAAAGACTAAAATCGATCTTTCTTTGAGTATCGACGATTCAAATCTTTTCCAAAAAGATTTTTAGTGTTTTTCTCTTGAAATCTGTTCTTATTTGGTGTTTTTTTGGAAAAGGGGTGTCCTCTAGAATGTGATTGATATAGAGAGCAAAAAAAAAGTGAACAAAAAGGAAAAAAAGGGAAAAGAAAGGGGGGAAATCGAATCGATCTGAATGGCTGCTCAGCCTTTCTTTTGCGCTCATTTGACCCTTACAATTTGGTGCTAAATCTCTAAAATATTAACGAACTTTGTTTTGAACTTTGATTACTTTAATTGGCTTTAGTTTAATTGGCTTAGTTTGATTGGCTTACTTTAAATGGCTTACTTTAATTGGCTTACTTTGATTGGTTGATTTTTTTTGGCAATTTGTTTTCTTTGTTTATGCTTTTTGCTTAAAAACATACCCCTTTTCGTGCACTGAATTGGCCGATGAAATAAAAGGGCCGATAAAAAGCAACACGATATAATAGATGCAATATTTGGGCAGCACAGATAGTAGGGTCTACTACCCACTAGCCTAGTACCTAGTAGCCTAGTAGCCTTGCCTAATACCTGGTAGCCTAGCCTAGTAGCCTAGTACCTAGTAGCCTAGTACCTAGTAGCCTAGTAGCCTTGCCTAGTACCTAGTAGCCTAGCCTAGTAGCCTAGTATCTAGTAGCCTAGTAGCCTAGTAGCCTAGTAGTCTAGTAGTCTAGTAGCCTAGTACCTAGTAGCCTCGTAGCCTAGTATCTAGTAGCCTAGTAGCCTAGTAGCCTAGTAGCCCGGCCTAGTACCTAGTAGCCTAGCCTAGTACCTAGTAGCCTAGTAGCCTAGTAGCCTAGTAGCCTTGCCTAGTAGCCTAGTAGCCTAGTAGCCTTGCCTAGTGCCTAGTAGCCTAGCCTAGTACCTAGTAGCCTAGTAGCCTAGTAGCCTAGTAGCCTTGCCTAGTAGCCTAGTAGCCTAGTAGCCTTGCCTAGTAGCCTAGTAGCCTAGTAGCCTTGCCTAGTGCCTAGTAGCCTAGCCTAGTACCTAGTAGCCTTGCCTAGTAGCCTAGTAGCCTAGTAGCCTTGCCTAGTAGCCTAGTAGCCTAGTAGCCTTGCCTAGTGCCTAGTAGCCTTGCCTAGTACCTAGTAGCCTAGTAGCCTAATAGCCTAGTAGCCTAGTAGCCTAGTAGCCTAGTAGCCTAGCCTAGTACCTAGTCTACTACCTACTAGACTTTGTGTGTACCTTGTGGCTAGGATACGTCAACGATCCACTAGAGCTTCAAGATCTACATCATCTACAGATAGTTGAAAGGTTTCGAGACTATTGGACGCTCTCAAAACTCTGGAAAGTTAGAAATGTTCAAATGGAATTAAAAGCTGGATCTAGAGCTGGTTAAGGTTCACTCTTTCATCATCGAAAACATCGAAAACCTAACATTGTCACCACGCTTTCACAATTAGTCATCCCTGCCCGTTTTCTCTAAAAGAAAACAGCTACCAAATTCTTGAAAAAGAAAAATGAAGAAGGAAAAATGGTCCAAAGGATTGCTCATTTCTCCGCCCGATCACCTTTTTAAGAAAAATCCACATTCACTTTACTTTATTGTTCTTTTTAGCAACACTTTTCTTTGAGAATTGATTCATTATTTGTTTTTGAAATAAATCGCCATCATTCTAACAAGTTTCGTTAATTGCGGGACGTTAATTGAGTTCCCTTGTCAGTTAGATCCATTCCCTTGTCAGTTAGATGAGTAATTCTCCTGTTACAGCCTCCTGTTACAGCCTCTTGTTACAGCCTCTTGTTACAGCCTCCTGTTACAGTCTCCTGTTACAGCCTCCTGTTAAACTGTTAAACTTGTTAAGCTGTTAAACCTTGAACTCCTGTTACAGCTTTTCCGAGTGCTGGCTAACTTTTGAGTAAAAAAGAAATTGTGGCTAGCACTGTTGAAAACTAGATCGCTGAATTTGTCGTCGTTTTGTGTACACTTTTCCCGTAAATATATTGAAAAGACTAGTTCCCGCAAGCCAGAAATGGAAAATTTCTCTTTTGATTTCTCTTTTGATTTTCAAGACTTTAAATGGCTCAATCTTTTGAGCCTCTTCTCTTTTGAGCTCAATCTTTTGGCTTTTTCTAAGCCAAAAGCTTTTTCTTAGCCTTTCTTTGGCTTTCCTTAGCTTTCCTTAGCTTTCCTTAGCTTTTCTTAGCTTTCCTTAGCTTTCCTTAGCTTTCCTTAGCTTTCTTTAGCTTTCCTTAGCTTTCTTTGACTGTTCTTTAGCTTTTCCTTAGCTTTCCTTAGCTTTCTTTGACTGTTCTTTAGCTTTCCTTAGCTTTTCTTTAACTTTCCTTTAACGAATTGACTTTTTTTGACTTTTCTTTACTACTATCAGTTCTCAGTTGCAAAAGCTATAATAAGTCACTTATTATAGCTTTTATAGAATTAAAGGAAACTTTAAAGTAAAAATAGTAAGTTTTATATAGAGAATAGTCAGCCTTATTGCAATTAGAGAAAAAAAAAAGTAAAAAAAGGTTGATGGTTTCCATTGATCACCTTGTACCTTTAGGCATTCTTAATCAAATCACTAATTTCAAGTAAAATTTAGCACCTATTGTTGTCTTTTAGAAAACAAAACGATCAAAAACGATCTAAACGTTTCCAATTTTGCTTTGGGCTTGATTTTCCCATGTTGACACCGAGGTTCAAGGGGAAGAAAAGGTGTTAGAAATGAACGCAATAGAAAAGAGGGGAATGGAAAAGGAATAGAAAAGGAATAGAAGAGAAATAGAAGAGAAATCGAAAAGAAATAGCTCAAAAGGGGTAATGAGTCGTTATTGTTTTTGTGCATAGCCACACCTGCCTCTTTTAAAGCTTTTCAATGCCGATTTTTGAGGTTCTTTAGCTTTTTAGCTTTAATTCTTTAGTTCTTTAGCTCTTTAGCTTTAGCTCTAGCTCTCTAGCTTTAGCTCTAGCTCTTTAGCTTTAGCTCTAGCTCTCTAGCTTTAGCTCTAGCTCTCTAGCTTTAGCTCTAGCTCTTTAGCTCTTTAGTCTTAGTTCTTTAGCTCTTTAGCTTTTTTTCTTTAGCTCTTTAGCTTTAGTTCTTTAGCTTTAGTTCTCTAGCTCTTTAGCTTTAGTTCTCTAGCTCTTTAGCTTTAATTCTTTAGCTCTTTAGCTTTAGTCTTTAGCTCTTTAGCTTTCCATTCTACTATCCTCCCTAATAACTGAAAAAGTAACAACATTAAGTAACTTAAATAACTGAATAAACAAAGTTTGGTCAAATTTGGTCAAATTTGGATTGTCATATTGGATGTGTATATCTATAAAATGACTTAAATTATAGAGATTTATAAGAGGGGGAAAGAATGAGGCAACAATGAAGGGGGGCGGAGTCTCGGTGAAGAGAGGTCGAGCCTTTCTATGACCCAGAGTCACCACAATACTAAATTTCTTTACCATTTCTTTATCTTTTAAAGGAAATGAAAGAGTTTTCTTGGTTTTTATCAAGTTTTCTTGAATTTTTATTGAATTTTCATGATTTTCTATTGAATTTTCTTGTTTTTTCTCAAGTTTTCATCATTTTCTATTCAATTTTCTTGTTTTTTATCAAGTTTTCTTTTATCTTTCTTTTAATTCGTTTCTTTTTTCTTTATCTTCTTTTTCTTTTAGCTTTATTGTCCATTCACTGTCCAGCTTTATGTCCATTTCTTTATTGACATCTCATAGCATATCCAAAGCTTATTAACTATCCAGAAAAGCCCTAAATCTAGAGAAATATATTAAAGAAAGAATCAATAAGTCAGCTGATTGGGATTGAACCAACCCTTCCTTCTCCCGAGGAAAACTAACCGGCCAGCAAACTAACCGGCCAGCAAACTAGCCGGCCAGCAAACTAGCCGGCCAGCAAACTAGCCGGCCAGCAAACTAGCCGGCCAGCAAACTAGCCGGCCAGCAAACTAGCCGGCCAGCAAACTAGCCGGCCAGCAAACTAGCCGGCCAGCAAAGCGGCAAACAGCCGGCCAGCAACCAGCAACGGCCAGAACAGCCGGCCAGCAACAGCGGCCAGCAAAGCCGGCCAGCAACAGCGGCCAGCAAACAGCCGGCCAGAAACTAGCGGCCACAACACGGCCAGCAACAGGCCAGCCGGCCAGCAACCAGCCGGCCAGCAAACTAGCCGGCCAGCAAACTAGCCGGCCAGCAAACTAGCCGGCCAGCAAACTAACCGGCCAGCAAACTAACCGGCCAGCAAACTAACCGGCCAGCCATGGGAATGGTCTTAAACGAAAGTAAAAAAGAATTTAAAGGCTTCATCACTAACCTAAACATATCTAGCTTGAATTCAGAATGAAAGATTTTAGCCTAAATACCATTGACTCAACAAAGGCCTGCCGGTGTTAGGTAACTGATTGCCACCGCAGCCTACCACCACACCTTTTCCCCATTTGACCCCCTTTAAACAGTCCATTTTCGGCATTTCTTTCATTTCTCACTCAAGAATCAATCGGAATCAATCGAAAACCGAAAAAAGAACTATCCGATGGCCGTTCTTTTCTTTTCCCAGCTCAAGTACTCACCATTTTTCGAAGAGTACTTGAAAATTGACTGGTTCTGGTTTTGTTCTTTTTGTTTAACAATTGATCGATCTATTTCAATTGATCTCTTTCAATCGATCTCTTTCAATCGATCTCTTCCAATTGATCTATTCCAATCGATCTCTTCCAGTTGATCTCTTCCAATCGACCTCTTTCAATTGATCTCTTCCAATCGATCTCTTCCAATTGATCTCTTCCAATCGATCTCTTCCAATTGATTTCTTCCAATCAATTTCTTCCAATTGATCTATTCCAATCGATCTCTTTCACTCTCGATCAAAATCAATCTCTTTTCAGATGATCCAACTCTTCATTGCCCTAAATTCTACATTGTGATCGTTTTCCTGATCTCAACTCTTTCCAATGATGACTCTTTTATTCTCGGCTCTCATCCTCCTTTTGAGGATACCCTGGAGCGAAGGAACACAGGAGAATTGCCCAAATGGGTGAGTTCATAAATGACAGTACGATACATCTAACAGACAGTACAATACAGCTAACATACAGTACGATACATCTAACAGACAGTACGATACATCTAACATCAATCATTCTCAGCTGTGAATGCCTTCGTGACCCAGTGTTGCCGACGGCGTTCACCGTTTTCTGCAATTTCGCGCACGAGTTGCCGACATCGTTAAAACTCCCGGAAGCCACGCGAAGCCTTCAAATCACTTGCTCTCCATCAAGAATCCACACACCAAACGGGGAACTTTTTGCCGATGTTCCCGCGTTGCACTCGTTGAGCGTTCGGGTTCGTTTAGAGATTTTAGAAAAACTTGCTAGATAAGAATTTCAGAATAAGAAGACTTAGAAATAGAATTAATTTTGAGGCAAATATGAGCTCTTGACAGCTCTTGACTCCAGCTCTATCCAACTCTGTCCAGCTTTATCCAGCTTTATCCAACTCTATCCAGCTCTATCCAGCTCTATCCAACTCTATCCAGCTCTTGACTCCAGCTCTATCCAGCTTTATCCAGCTCTTCCCTTCCCCGATCCAATCAAGTTCTACTCTTACCAGACCTTGTCCAGGTCTTCACTAGACAGGAATCTAATCTAAACATCGATAAAAATTGCAAAATCTAAACATCGAATTCATTTTGAGCCAATTCTGTAATTCTGTAAAGGCCTATCCAGCTCTTGACTTTCCCAGACCTCTACTTATAGCCAGACATTGTCCAAGTCAATTCAACCTTTGTTTTCTTGAGCAATTGCTCTGAAAATAGAAAATGCTCTGTCTACGGTGTGAGAAAAATAGAATAGAAAGAAAATCTACAGATAGAAATCACTATTTTCAGCTTGTAGACAAAATTTTCAGAGCAATCAGCGAAAAAAAAAAACGGCCGAGAAAACGAAGATGGAATTTGAGTTGAAATTGGTTTGAGTTGGAATTTGAGTTGAAATTGGTTTAAGTTCGAATTTTCCTTTTTACTTGGCATCTCAGATTTCCTATGTCAGCTCTTCTCAGTTCCTATGCCTTTCCGCTATTTGCATTCATGTTTAGCGCGGGCAATACCCGGAACTGTTATGTGTGACCGTATGACCTCTTTTTTTTCCGTGAATCTTCTCATAGAAATGGCCATGTGGGCGATGCATAAGGATTACCATACATGCAATTGCGCAATTCAATCCTTTTTCCCCTTTCCAATCCATCTCCCATATTGATGTACGCATATTTATGAGGAGTGATATGAAAAGTTTGCGTTCAAGTGATCCTGGATAGTTCTGGTTCGGTTCAGACACAGTTAAATCTGGTTTAAAAGCTTGTTCAGCTCAAGTCCAGGCCCTTTCCAGGCTCAGGTCCAGATCTGGGCCAAGATCCACTTACAGATCTAGTAAAGCTCTGACCTTTTTCTTTCCAGAGCTTACCTAAGCCTTATCCATGTGTTCAGTTCTGATCCCAGATCTCTAGATCTTTTCAGCCATTTCCAAGAGCCCTATTTAGCTTCTTACAGTTTCTATACACTTTAAAATACCTAAAATTTGTCTAAAGTTTAAGAAAAAAAGATTTTAAATGAGGTTTTGACAGAGAGGGGATTTGAACCAGAGATGGATAGAGTGGAAGACCAGCGCACTAACCGATACACCATCCAGTCACTTGGCTGGCGGCCAAGTAACTCGGTGTCATACTACCGCGGCCTTTTTTTCGGCCTCAAAATTGTGAGCGAAGTCGGGCAGGGTTTGACCCATTGAAAAAGTGCTAATCTCTTGGCCGTCTTGTTGCCTTGATGGCCTAGTGGTTAGCGGGTCCGCCTCTCGTGCGGGCCCTCACGGGTTCGATTCCCCCCTCGGTCAATAATTACAATCTTCTCGCTGTTCTTTTTGCAAACTTGTGTTTTCCATTCTCGTGAGGATTGAATGCTGAATAGTGCTCAAACTCTCGAAAACTAGATGTTAAGGAGTAAAACTGAAACCTATATTCCTTTGAATATGAAGGTGATCTTTCTGCGCTAGGTGCGCCTTTCTGCGCCATATCCCAAATTGATAGAGTTGAAGCAGTTCAAAAAATCTCAGCTCTCGTAAGCTTATTTAGCTCCTTCTCTAATCCAAAACAGGATGTGATTTTACACTAATTTGGTGCAAAGTGTTGCGCAAGAATAGTCCGTATGAGAAAAGATCTTATCTAACAATCTTGTCAGCAAAATGGCAAATGGCAAAATGGCAAAATGGCAAAATGGCAAATAAATTCATTAAAGCCTTTTTTTCCCCTACACTTAAGTGAATATCATTGTAATATCCATTCTCAAGTGGCAGGAATTCATCTTATTGAGTCTCCTTAAGTCTGTCATAAGTGTTTTCTATCAAAAAAATAGGATATTGACCCCCAAAATTGGTTGGGATAATGCGAAAATTGCACCCCAAGGCAATTGAGAAGTGGAGAGAAAAGGAAATGGAAAAGTATAGGAAATGGAAGCAAAGGAAAGTTGAACAGCTGCTGTATATTACAATAAAAGCTTACAAACAGTTTACAAGTCAGTTTTGCAAACGTTTATGACTTTTAAAGTCGTATTTTATCGTCTTATACCCACGAACAAGTTGCCCTGACTCACCAAATAGTTCTCATCTCAGAAAATCGAAAGAAAAAGCTTTCTAGCTTTCTTAAAGCTCTCTAAACGCTTTCTTGAAGCTTTCTAGCTTTCTTAAAGCTTTCTAAAAGCTTTCTAACTTTCTTAAAGCTTTCTAAAAGCTTTCTAACTTTCTAAAATCTTTCTAAAATCTTTCTAAAAGCTTTCTAGCTTTCTTAAAGCTTTCTAACTTTCTTAAAGCTTTCTAAAATCTTTCTAAAAGCCTTCTAAAAGCTTTCTAGCTTTCTTAAAGCTTTCTAACTTTCTTAAAGCTTTCTAAAAGCTTTCTAACTTTCTAAAATCTTTCTAAAATCTTTCTAAAAGCTTTCTAGCTTTCTTAAAGCTTTCTAAAAGCTTTCTAACTTTCTAAAAGCTTCAAAAATCAATTCTAAACTGAGAAAATGTTTTCAAAAGTTTTCAAAAGCACAAGTTCATAGCTCAAATTACATTTGGATCGATCGTAAATCTTACAAAAACTTGGGTAAAAACCGGAAGCGATGCGGCAATCGCAAGCCTTTACAATCCGAGGTCACCAAGTAAAAAGGCCAGTGTAAAAGTTGAGAAATTGGATGAAATTGATATGTAAAAGAATGAAAATAACAAAGAATAGTTAACAAGTGCTAACAAAATTCTGAATTTTCATTCTTATTATCTGAATTTTCAGGGTTGTCACGTCGGTGCTTCGATTTTCTCTGCAGTATCGCGGCTCACCAATTTGCGGAGTCTCCAGCTGGAAGAGGTAGAGAATTGACTTTAGAAAAGATTATATAGATATAAATCTCAAAACAGAATATAAGATATTCGACTCTTGAAAGAAATACATGGCTTTTTCCGAGGATTTTAGGAAAAAGGTATTTTGAAGGTATTTTAAATTTCGTCATGCTTTGTAGGTCTATAACTTTGTCTAGAGACAATGTTTTCGCAAACTTTTTATATCATTGAATAGAGGAGATTTCAGGCTTTCAAATGATACCAAATAAAGGCTGATTGATTAATCGAGTCCAAGAAAATCAGTCTAAGAAAAAAAAACTCCGAGCAACAGAGGCCTATCCGACTCGGGTGTCTTGTCGCCTGGTTTTTATGGGAATGAAAAATCCAATTAAGCTTTATTTGGTATCATTTGAAAGCCTGAAATCTCCTCTATTCAATCATATAAAAAGTTAGCAAAAATATCTTCTCTAGACAAAGTTATAGGCTTTCAAAGCAACGTCAGCTTTGAAATCCGAATTTTTCCAAAATTTAGATAAAAAAGAGCAATTTTCAAGCTAAAATACTATGAAAAAGTTAGATTTTACAGATTTTGATGATAAACTTTAGATCGGAATTGGTGAAACACCGTTAGAGCTCAACGAGGCATACTTCGAGACGCTGGGAAAATTGGAGAAGTTGCAGCTCTCAGCTTCGTCGTTGGTCGCTCTCCCCGCTCGAATGTTTTGCCATTTACCGCATTTAATGGTTTGTTTTTGTGTAAAATTTGAAAAATCGAGTGCACCAGACGGGATTTGTTTACGGGATTTGTTTACGGGCTTTTTTGCGGGTAAAGTGAGCCATCTAATAAATGCAATGCCTCGAAATTCCATTGCCTTTCAAGTGCTCAATATTGAGCACCCCGCCAGCTGTTCGGCGATAGAAATTGCGATAAATGAGATGAGAATTTTGAAGAGTTTCTATTAGAGTTCGAAAATGAAGTCGTAAATGAAGTAAATATGAGTGAATAAGCGATTCTCGGGGTTTCCTGATTGTCAATTTTGCACCTGTTCCTTTTTATGGCCTTTTGATTCGTTGAGCTTATGCGAGAGTTGAAATCAATGGAAAATTGGATATAAAATGGATCTTTTTATTAGCTGAATATCTGAAACTCAAGTGTACTTTGTGCTTAATGTTGGCTTAATGTTGGCTTTCTGGCGCACTGAGTTCTTTTTTCCTGTTTGAATGAAGAAAAAGAATGAAGAATCGTGTGCACTAGAGATCTAGAGATGTAGAAATCTAGAGATCTAGAGATCTAGAAATCTAGTAACTTGCTAAAGCTAAAGCTAAGAGCTAAAGCTAAGAGCTAAGCCTAAGAGCTAAGCCTAAGAGCTAAGCCTAAGAGCTAAGCCTAAGAGCTAAGCCTAAGAGCTAAGCCTAAGAGCTAAGCCTAAGAGCTAAGCCTAAGAGCTAAGCCTAAGAGCTAAAGCCAAGAGCTAAGCCTAAGAGCTAAGCCTAAGAGCTAAGCCTAAGAGCTAAGCCTAAGAGCTAAAGCCAAGAGCTAAGCCTAAGAGCTAAGCCTAAGAGCTAAGCCTAAGAGCTAAGCCTAAGAGCTAAAGCTAAGAGCTAAAGCTAAGAGCTAAAGCTAAAGTCATCCCTTCTAGCGCATTGAGTTCTTTTTTCTTGTTGGCAAAAAATCAAAACCCTTGTGCGCTAGGGAGGATGCGTTTATGGACCTTTAAGAGGGCAAAAAGCAAGAGTTTAGTGCGCCAGAAAGTGTGCGTTTAGTCGACAAAGTACACCTCAATAGCTGAGCAATTTATATTAAGTAAAAGTTCTAGAAAGTTAACTGAATATTCTGAAGTTCTCTTTTCCAAAAACGAAAAGAAAACGTTAGCTTCAAATCAAAGCCATTTCCCGGCCACTTTTTTCACTAAGAACTCAAGTTTTACGACGTAAAAAGCCTCGAATTATCCCCAAAAAGATTTGGGTAATTGAACCGGGCAAAAGGAAATGGCGAATAAAGTGAAAAGAAAAGTGAATGACCATGTTTGAAGGCCAAAATGCAGACAGGCTATTTCACTTTCGATTATGGGATTTTTTTTTTTGAATAGCCGGAGATCCGGTTTACGAAATGAGCTAATGGCCTCTGCATCTACTAACCGTCTGTCCGCCTGTACAGCCTTTTTCCTCAGGATTTTGACCAATAAAGCTAAAACTTCTTTAGAAAACCTTTTAATATAATATAGTTAAATTATTTAAAAGAAAAAATTCAAAATTTGCGAGGTGAGGACTCGAACCCGAGCAAAAATTACATCATTGGCTTTGTATACAAGCATCTTACCCACTAGGCCACCCGTCCATATCGACTTCATGCGAGAAAAGCCTTTTAACCGAGATGTTCGCAAGCGAGGTCGAGATGGCAAAAGGTTCTCTCGCTCGGTTAAAAGGCTTTTCTCGATATGAGTCAATCGGGCTGGTGGCCTAGTGGATAAGGTGCTCGTATACAAATCGAACCACTCGTTTTTTGCTCGGGTTCGAGTCCTCACCTCGACTTTGATCGCATTTTGATCAACTTAGTCGGTTCTAGAATTTCTTGAGGGTTTAGGGACTTCTAAGAGGGCAAAGAACAAGAGTTCAGTGCGCCAGAAAGTGTGCGTTTAGTCGACAAAGTACACCTCAATAGCAATCGGCATATTTCCCAACAAGATTTTCGTCACTAGGTGGCAATAGGCTTTCATAGAATCTATAGAATCTATAGAAAATTGGAAATGACCAAACGGGTGTTCGGCTTTATGTGAAATCGGAGAACCTGTCGGGGATTAGCGGTGCAACACTTGGGTGTTCAAAAGGGGGTCAAAGGGTCCAATAATGACCCTTAGTACTTAGCTGAGTACTAAGGGGTGTTGCAAGGCACTAATTATCGCTAAGCTAGGCTCAGGGGTCTGGATAAATAACTTTTTGATCGGATTATTGAAGGATGAAGCCTAGGGCGAGTACAAGATGCTACTAATTACGACTTGTTACCGCTGAATAATCATGTTTTCTGTAAAAAGGGGAGATTTGAGAAAATTTGCAAGGCGAGGACTCGAACCTGAGCAAATCATGAATAGCTCGCTTTGTATACAAGCACTTTATCCACTAGAGCACCGGGCCAGTTTGGCTTGACGTGAGAGGCTGTAGGCTGTGCTCTGTAGAAATGTAGGCTGTGCTGAGCACAGTGTGCTCTGAGGGCTCAAACTCTGAGGCTGAAATTTGTAAACGCACGCTATCTGGCCTAGCTGATAAGAGGGCTTTTCTACATTCGATCTCAAGCAAAATGTGGCTTTTTCAGGTACTGAACGTGACGGGAAATCAGCTGAGTCGGCTCACTTTCACATCGGATTGCCCATCAAAGTTGATCATCGCCGATTTCTCGTCGAATCGATTTAAGAGACTTGGTGAGTTTGGAAATCAAAAAAAAAAACCACCAAATCAACATCAAATTCAATCTTTCCATTTTTCGAGATCAGTGCCTAATATTACGAGCCTAAAAAGTTCTTCTCTAGCTCGGCTTCTTCTCATAAAAATTTGAAAACAAACAACAACAAACAAACAACAAACAACAAACAACAAACAAACAACTTTGAAACAACCCAGACTCAGGTCCAGAACCTGTACCTACTATAGTTTTAACAAATCCAATCTCTAGACGCCGACTCGCTCTCGTTTCTCCCATCAATTCGTCAACTTTCCTTTGCCGCTTCTCGTTTATCAACGATCAGCGATGAAACTTTTACGCAATTATCTCTTCTTCAACAGTTGGATTTAGAGAAAAATCGTTTAGAAGAGCTTCCTGGATTGCCTGGTGAGTGAAAAGATTTTGAAAATTCATGAGAATAGACAATTGAAGTGTACAATTGAAGTGTACAATTGAAGTGTACTCAAGTGTACAATCCAAGTGTACAATTCATGTACAATTCAACTGTACAATTCAAGTGTACTCAAGTGTACAAGTACAATTCAAATCTAAACTTTAATTTGATTCTCTTCATTTCCAGAAACCCTGGTTCACATCTCATTGGCTGAAAACGAGTTTCGAAAGGTGCCAAATTCGCTGAAAGATCTGACAAAGCTTGTCAGTTTGAACATGTCACAGAACGCGATTGAAAGTGGTAATGTTTATAATCTGCATCCAATTTTATAATGATATTCAGTTGATTTGGCTCTCTCTTCAGCTGATCTCGAAACGGTGGATTTGGCTGGGAATAGGTGAGAGAAATTTGATTTCGAATAACTAGATGATGGAGATGGAGATGATGGAGATGTTGATGTTGATGATAATGATGATGTTGATGATGATAATAATAATAATATCTTTAGATTGTCCGTTTTCCCGTCTAAATTACTCGCCAAATCGTTTGGATCATTGGTGAACTTGGATTTAAGTCAAAATCGCCTTAAAAACCTCAACGCGAGCGATTTTGGGAATTTTGGGAAATTGCAAACGGTAGATTTAGAGAATTTTTAAATTAAAAGAGATTAAACATTCAATTTGTCAAGATCAAAAGGGATTAAATATTAAATAGATCAATAGATCAAGATCAAGATCAATAGATCAAGCTCAATAGATCAAGATCAATAGATCAAGCTCAATAGATCAAGATCAATAGCCTCTTCAATATCAAAAGAAAGTAAATATTGATTGAGTGAGTCGGAAAATGACAAAATAAACGTTTAAAGTAACTACTGTAGATGCTAGCCGGATTACGGTAACTGTCTACAGTAGCTCTACACGTTTAGCAGCTACTAGCTAGCCAGCTAATAGCTACTAGCTAGCTAACAGCTACTAGATAGCTATCAGCTACTAGATAGCTATCAGCTACTAGATTGCTAACAGCTACTAGATAGCTAACAGCTACTAGATAACTAACAGCTACTAGATAGCTAACAGCTACTAGATAACTAACAGCTACTAGATGCTACCCTAGGCTATCGCCGGCATCGCTCTCTATCAGCTACTAGATAGCTATCAGCTACTAGATTGCTAACAGCTACTAGATAGCTAACAGCTACTAGATAACTAACAGCTACTAGATAACTAACAGCTACTAGATAGCTAACAGCTACTAGCTAGCTAATAGCTACTAGCTAGCTAATAGCTACTAGCTAGCTAATAGCTAACAGCTAATAGCTACTAGCTAGCTAACAGCTACTAGCTAACAGCTAACAGCTAGCTAACAGCTTACCTGCATAGTTTAGTAATCCAACTAGTGACATTCGGTTTAATTAAAGATGAAATGTAAAGATCTAAAGCTCTAGGCTAGGGTAAAATCAAGATAATTACGGATCTAAAGCTCTGGATTACGGTAACATATTACGGTAATGTATTACGGTAACGTATTACGGTAACGTATTACGGTAACTAGCATCTACAGTAGTTGCTTTAAAAGGTTTATTTTGTATTACGGTATTACGTAGTAGCTAAGACAAAACTCAATTTCAATAAATCAAGATTCTGATTGTTGCAAGTTTTAGTGTGACTTCCAGATCAACTTAAAACACAAATCTCTTTCAAATCGGTTCATTCAAAAAGGAGCTAGACTCTTGACAAGGTTCTGCCTTTGTAAATCAACTTGCACAAGATCACAGTGAACGTATAGGACATTTGAGTCTAGATATTCAGTCATTTGAGTCTAGATAAGTCATTGTTGCCACCTGGTGATTATCTAGAGATGGAGATTGAGTCTCAACCATCAATTTGAATAAGAATATCTGGGACAATAGGTGAGAAAAGACAAATATCCTTCTCATTCACTTTTCGAGATGATCTTGACCTTCAGAGTTTACCCGAAGACAACACTTAAATGGGGAGGCGGTGACACGCGATCGGGATCTGTTTGGGGAAATATTGGAAAATAAAAGAATGCTGACATTGGTACTGCTTTACAGTAACTTTAGCTCGGATTACGGTAGCTTTGCATGGCTTAGACAGCAGAAGACAGCAGAAGTTACGGCAGTTTAAAGAATCGGTAGCTTTATCAAAAGGAGTACGGTATTTATAACTGAAAAAGGTTACTGCAGCTTATCAGAAGGATCTGTTTGGGACTATTTGGGGAAATAAAAGAATGCTGGCATTGGGGTTTACTTTTACAGTAACTTTAGCTGGGTTACTGTAGCTTTGCCATCGTTTGAATCCTAACAGAAGGCAGCAGGAGATACAGCAGAAGTACAGCAGAAGTACAGCAGAAGTTACGGTAGTTTAAAGGATTACGGTAGCTTTAATCAAGAAGGATTACGGTAGCTTTGTCAGAAGGATTACGGTAGCTTTGACAGAAGGATTACGGTAGCTTTAACAGAAGGATTACGGTAGCTTTGACAGAAGGGCTACGGTAGCTTTAACAAAGGATTACTGTAGCTTTACGAGAAGGATTACTGTAGCTTTCTCACAGTTTAGACCTTGACTATCGAACAATAGAGGGTGTCAAATAGCGGCCAACCTGCCAGGCCACAATCTTTACACATTCCACATTTACGCCAATTATGTGCACAGGGTCAAGGATTTTTTTTTTCTAAAAAGAACGTTTAGAAATACGTTGTGCTGAAAATTGTGGAAACACACGCTTTCTAGCGCACTGTACTCTCTTGTGTGACAGGAAAATGTAGAAAATCAAGAACCCGAGTGCACTAGAGGGAATGCGTTTGGAAATTGTTGCACAAAGCATTCGATAGGCCATTCGATAGGCCGATAGGCCATTCGATAGGACGATAGGCCATTCGATAGACCGATAGGCCATTCGATAGACCGATAGGCCATTCGATAGGCCGATAGGCCATTTGATAGACCGATAGGCCATTTGATAGACCGATAGGCTATTCGATAGACCGATAGGCCATTTGATAGACCGATAGGCTATTCGATAGACCGATAGGCCATTCGATAGGACGATAGGCCATTCGATGGGACGATAGGCCATTCGATAGACCGATAGGCCATTCGATAGACCAATAGGCCATCATTTCTGCATATTCTAATAGCCAATAGTTTTGTATATTATTTGTCCAATTGAAAGTACGAGTTTTCGATTGATTGACCTGATTTTGGTTGAGTGGATGAGTGGAGAGAAAATTTGAATGCAAATTGCACAACACTTGTGAATAGGGGAATAAAAGATTGAAAGAGGATTGAAAGAAGACGAAAGAAGACTGAAAGACTGAGAGAAGACTGAAACAAGACTCAGCTCTGTAAATTTGCATACATAGTGGGATTCGAGTGGTACAAAATGGTTGAAAGAGATCCGAAAGTGTGTAGAAACTAGATAATAATGGAAAAAAGAGGCATTCAAAGGGAAAATTCAGGAATTGGGGGAATTTTAGCTAAAATTTCCGAATTCAAACTGGGGAAATGGTTTTAAAACTGGTATAAGAGCCAAATTTTCAGTTGAATCTTGACGGGAACTTGATCGGCGAGTTAAAAGAAGGAATCTTTCATGGTCTTCATTCTCTGGCTGAGCTCTCCTTGAGTAACAATTCGATTTCAACCATTGAACACACCGTTTTCGCCGAGATGCATATTGGTGAGTCAGAAATGATAATATTTCGACTACGCATTTGACTAAAAAACGCGTAGAGAGTGTTGATAGGATTGATCGTTGGTGCTGGTGCTCACAGTACATGGTGCCAACAGTACAGCGTGCTCACAGTACAGGCCTAACAGTACTGGGTGCTAACAGTACATGGTGCTCTATAGAAAAGTGGAGAACGAGAATAAAGAATATCAACGGCTTGATTACGGTAGTTTTGAAAACTTTTTAGCAAACGATTTCTAGTAAGGATTACGGTAGCTGATCCGAAAAATCTCTTCTTTTCAGCCGATCTCGATTTATCCCACAATTCGCTCACCGAGGCTCCGCTTGCGATCGGCAATTTGCGACAGTTGGGAAAGCTGAGTCTCCGTGATAACAAGATCAGGTAAAGTGTCAAAAAACAGATTTAGATATTGAAAAGATATCCAGATCTTGATTCAGCTATTGAAAAAGAGATCTAGATGATGAAAAGATATAGAAAACATATGAAAACATATCTAGACCTTTAACTAGATCTAGAAAAGCATCTCTAGATCTTGAGAAGCATATCTGGATCTTGGAAAGCATATCTAGATCTTGAGAAGCATACCTAGATCTTAAAAAAACCTATCTAGATCTTAAAAAAACCTATCTAGATCTTGAAAAACATCTCTAAATCTTTAACTAAATCTAGAAAAGCATATCTAGATCTTAAAAAACATCTCTAGATCTTGAGAAGCATATCTAGACCTTTAACTAGATCTTGAAAAGCATATCTAAATCCTGAAAAGCATCTAGATCTTAAAAAACCTATCTAGATCTAGGAAAGCATATCTAAATCATTATCTAGATCTTAAAAAACATCTCTAAATCTTTATCTAGATAAGAAAATTTAAGAATTCAATCAAATTCTCTTTAGCCGGCTCTACATGACGGTTTTCAATCGCTCGCCGAGTCTTGCCGTGATTGATTTAAGCGGAAACGAATTGCACATGGTTTGTGCTTGAAAATTAGCATAGAACTATCAAATTTGCATAGATTTTGCATATAATTTACATAGAACTATCAAATTTGCATAGAATTTGCATTCAAGGATCTAGATTTATCTCAAATTTCAGATCTCCGGCTACGTTTTCTCGGATTGTCCGAGTTTACAGCGATTGGACTTATCGAGGAATAAAATCGCGCAAATCGAGACGGTTTGTGCCCGTAGAGCAATTGAAATTCAATTCTCATTTTACCAAATAATAGAAATTTGGCTTATAGACTCTTCTAGACTCTTCTAGACTCTTCTAGACTCTTCCAGACTCTTCTAGACTCTTCTAGACTCTTATAGACTCTTATAGACTCTTCTAGACTCTTATAGACTCTTATAGACTCTTATAGACTTTTATAGACTCTTCTAGACTCTTCTAGACTCTTCTAGACTCTTCTAGGCTCTTATAGACTCTTCTAGACTCTTCCAGACTCTTCTAGACTCTTCTAGACTCTTCTAGACTCTTCTAGACTCTTATAGACTCTTATAGACTTTTATAGACTCTTCTAGACTCTTCTAGACTCTTCTAGACTCTTATAGACTCTTATAGACTCTTATAGACTCTTCTAGACTCTTATAGACTCTTATAGACTCTTATAGACTCTTATAGACTCTTCTAGGCTCTTATAGACTCTTATAGACTCTTATATAAGACTATATTTCAGGATGCTCTTGGCAAAGTCCCTCAATTACATCGAATCGATCTCTCGCAAAATCGCCTGCATTCTCTTGACGGTTTAGAGGGAGCAAAAGCGCTGAAAACTCTCAACATTTCCCAGAATCATATTGAGGTGAAAAATTGAAAGAAGATCTAAAAGAAACGAAAGAAATTAATGAAGATCTGAATGAAATGAGTGAATCTGAAAGAAGAATGAAGTCCTCCAATCTCTAAGGGAATTTTGCCAAATCAAGGTCGAGCTTTCACATGAGCTCTAGCTCAGCTTATAGAGTTTCTTTCAAGGATTCTGAATCTATTTTTAGTTTTTCTAAAACACTTCTGTAACCCGAGATATTTTGCATCAAAATTTGACCATTTTTCTATTCCTCGGCTGCTCGGCCTCTCTTTAAAAGCTTTTCTCATCACCCTTCAAACAGGCTCTGATAGCCTAGTGGTTAGGGTCGCGGCCTTTAAAACTGATGGCGCCCTCTTGCCCCTGGGTTCGACTCCCTTCAGTGCCAAATTTTTTATTGTTTAATCACTAAAAACTATCTCTATAAGTTTATTACACTATTAAACTGCGAAATGCGAAACTAATTAACTAATTAACTAGAGGTTACGGGCTAAAGCAAAGCCGCTACCTGCGATTTCCGGTTAAACCAAGCTAATATCTGCGAAATTTCGCGATTTTCGGCATTCTTGGCTCGATAAAATAAAGAGATCGATAAAATCGTGAAATCGAATAGTTCAATAGAGTGGATCTCACCTGTGATATCCAGAACTAAAAATTCAATTCAAAAATTGGCAAGTTTAAAGGTTTAAAGGCAAAAAAAAAGTTAAATATAAGCTTGTCTTGAAAAAATTCTCTAGATTTGGCGATTTTGGCGAATTTTGAACTATTTTTGACTATTTTTGACTATTTTCGATAGAAATTTGATATAAAATTGATATAAAATTGATATAAGTCCAATTCTTCTTCAAATTTCAAAAGAAATTTCCAGATAATGCAATGGGAATCACTGCCGAATCGAGTCGAGCACCTTTATGCTGATGGGAACAGGATCACGCTTTTGGGAGCGGCGATTAAAAGCCGGTAAGAAACGATTATAATAAAAAAAGAGAAGACGAAAAAGATCGTTTCGTTTTACGAAAATTTCAGATTTCAGTTCAATTTTAGATCAAAAAATCTGAAAAAAACAAAAAATTTTGGATTTCGCAATGATTTAACTAGTTTTTCTCGGCCGTCTTCCCCATCTATTGTGGCGCAGTCGGTAGCGCGTTCGATTTCCAGGCGATCGGCTGGCCCGGTGCGGCGGGTTCGAATCCCGTTGGCCGGGAATATTTTCGAGGAATTTTTCGGATTTCTTTTCCAATTGTGAAAAGTGTTTTAGACTTTTAAAGCTAGTTCAAAGCATAGCTTTATAGGCCCATAGGGCCCCCTTAGGGCCCTTTATAGGCTTTTGAGGCTAGCTAGCTTCTGCTTCTTTCCAAAGCTTCCAGGCTAGCTTCTACTTCTTTCCAAAGCTTCCAGACTAGCTTCTGCTTCTTTCCAAAGCTTCCAGGCTAGCTTCCAAAGCTTCTGCTTCTTCTATCTTATGAAAGAATTAGCTAACTTGAAAAACTTGGCCTTGAAGACTTAAAAAGTTCCGATCAAGATCAAAAATCACGTTCCGATCTTTCAAAAGCACTTTTCTTTTCAGAGTTCGATCAGCATCATTCCGCGAGAATCACATCGAGCAAATTTCGGCTGATCAATTGCCGAATACAATAGAGAGAATCGATTTCACATCAAATCGGTGAGATCCTATTGGATTTTCTAATATTTAAAGTCTTCAGAATTCGCTCAATTGCCAACGAGACTTTTCGAGAGAAAAGCTCATTACGAGAGGTGAAAATAGGCAAGAATTCGCTGGAAACTTTGGACATTAGAGCGATGGAAAGGAGTGAATCGGTGCAACAAGCGATAGAGGTGAGAAAATGGGTTTAAGAGGATACAGTAACCTGTAGTAGGATACAGTAACCTGTAGTAGGATACAGTAACCTGTAGTAGGATACAGTATACCTGTAGTTGAAGAGCTTGCGATATATTACCATAACCCTATGTACCCTTGTAGAACTTCGCTATTGTCTTAGGGTAGCTTGAAGAGGCTATAGTCTATACTATAGTCTGAAAAAATACTATAGTCTGAAAGAGTTACTGTAGGATTACTGTAGGATTACTGTAGGATTACTGTAGTTTACTGTAGGATTACTTTACGGTAATTTTCTTTCACTTTTCAGATCACTTTAAGCGGGAATCCGTTGAGCTGCTCGTGCGAGTTGGACTGGATCGGGAATCAGGTTAATCATTACTCTAAATGGTTTCTGTAATCAATAATTCCAGGAAAAGAAGCGAGTATTGGTTGTCGATAAAATGGAGACATTTTGCCGTCATCCAGTCGACAATAGACGGATCTCTTTGGGTGAAGTGAGCACAAAAGAATTGCTCTGCTCATATCAACGGGTGAGTCCTGGGATTTGGCTTGGATTAGAGATTAGATAAGCTTTTAGCTGAGGAACGACCGAATTTTAGGTTTGCGAGCCGGGTTGTCTTTGCTGTGACTTCAGCTCTTGCGATTGCAAATCGGTTTGCCCGGCGGGCTGTCGGTGCTTCAGGGATTCGACTTTTTCGATGAATGTCGTTCGATGTGATGGAAGTGGGAACAGGAATAAGGTGCTTTCATTTACAGTAAGATGGCTAGCGTAACCCTATGGTGCAAGTACAGTAACCCTGAGGAACTCCGGTACTTACAGTACTCTCGGACTTACGGCACTTTGAAAACAATCATTTCCAGGAATTAGCCAGGTTCAGGGCCAGCCAGGTCCAGGGCCAAGCAAGCTTCAGGGTCTAGCCAGGTCCAGGGCCAGCCAGGTCCAAGGGCCAGCCAGGTCCAGGGCCAAGCAAGCTTCAGGGTCTAGCCAGGTTGAGGGCCAGCCAGGTCCAAGGTCTAGCCAGGTCCAGGGCCAGGCAAGCTTCAGGGATCTAGCCAGGTCCAGGGCTAGCCAGGTCCAAGGTCTGAGCCAGGTCCAAGCCCAGCCAGATTCAGGGCCAGAGTCTAGTCAGCCCCAGGGCCCAGGCTGTCTTCTCTTAGTCCAGAGCCTGATGGCTAGGATTGACTTGTACTTTCAAATGCTACAGTACCCCAAAACTACAGTACCCCAAAACTACAGTACTCTAGAAAGCCTGCAGACTCTAAACCAAGTCCGCTAACGCTTACAGTACTCTAAGCTAACCGTAATTTCGAACGCCGTACTCAGTACACCAGCTTCCCAGCCTCACGTTTACAGAATATTTTTGCAGACAGCGATCTCGCCTCGTGAAATCCCGATGACAGCCACTCATATCCATTTGTGGGCTCAATCGCTGCCGATCCTCCGCGCCCATTCGTTTCTCGGACGCAAAAAGTTGATCCATCTACAGCTGAACAACAGTCACATTCGACACATCGAACCTTCAGCTTTCAACACTTTACCCAATTTACAGGTATTTCTTTGCAAATTTTCTTTTAAAGGTTAAATTTCAAATGTTTTTGATTTTTCAAATGTTTTCAAATGATAAATAACTCTAAAAAAGATTGCTAGTTCGAACTAGGGAATGTTGCAAACTTATCGTGGCTTTTGACTCGGGAAATAGGCTATCTAATAGCCTATTTGATGCAGTTTTTCATGCTAATTCTGAATCTGCAATCAGTTTTTGCCAAACGCTTCTCTATTAGTATCGCTTCAAACGTTTTTCTTCTTTAAATTTTAAAGCTATTAGTATCCGGATAAAGTTTTAGACCAAAATTATTGATTTGAACTTAAAATTTCCCTCAAAAATGCCTTTCCAGGTGCTGGATTTGTCGGACAACGAGCTCGAACGAGTCACCGGCGACGAGATGCTCAAAACTTTTGGGGTAAACAGCAGAGTTTACTATATAAAAATGCATCTAAAGCTCTCTAAAGCTCTCTAAAGCTATCCAAAGCTGTCTAAAGCTCTCTAGAGCTCTCTAAAGCTATCTAAAGCTATCTAAATCTATCTAAATCTATCTAAAGCTATCTCAAGCTATCTCAAGCTATCTCAAGCTATCTTAAGCTCTCTAAATCTATCTAAAGCTCTCTAGAGCTCTCTAAAGCTATCTAGAGCTCTCTAGAGCTATCTAAAGCTCTCCAAAGCTATCTAGAGCTATCTAGAGCTATCCAAAGCTATCTAAAGCTCTCTAAATCTATCTAAATCTATCTAAAGCTCTCAAGAGCTATCTAAAGCTCTCTAGAGCTATCTAAAGCTCTCTAAATCTATCTAAAGCTCTCTAGAGCTATCTAAAGCTATCTAAAATTTCTTAAATCCCAAAAAATTTCAGATAAAAGAGCTCAATTTGCACGGAAATCGCTTGCGCACTGTGGAAAACGGGATTTTCCTGAAACTGCCGATATTGGAAAAGGTGGAGATTTTAAAAATGAAAATTATTATCTAAGAATTATTTAAAAAAGTAAAAAAAGTAGAGTTTAAGATTCCAATACAAAAAAAGCAAAAAAAAACAAAAATTTTCGGAGGTTTCCCAACGCTCTTTTCCCTACTTGAACCCTTTTCCCGCCTGTCCCTCGGCCTCTATTATGGCGCAGTCGGCAGCGCGTTCGCTTTCCAGGCGATCAGCGGCTTCGGGGCGGCGGGTTCGACTCCCGTCATGAGCGATCGAGGATGTTTTCCAGTTCTGCTTCTGCAATTGAAGTGAAGACAATCATTGATCCTACTGAGATCGCTCATTTTGGTTTTTGGGAAATGAAGCCAATCGGGTTGATCCAATTAGGCTGATTGAGCCAAACTAAACCAAAGCCAAGTTAGGACTTGAAAACTCGAGCTTTTACAAACAAGCTTGATCTGGGTGCACTGAAATCCACTTTTCATCCACTGAAATCCATTTCCAGATAACTCTGCACAACAATTTGATGGAAGAGATTGCCGATCCGCTCACGAAAACCAAACAATTGTCAACATTGACACTATCGGGGAACGCGTTTCGGTGCGATTGCGGTGATCGTTTTTTGGCTCCATACTGGATCTCCGACAATAAAAACAAGGTAAATGATAGGAAAATTTTCAGAAATTTAGCTAAAGCTAAGTAATCAGAGCTAAGTCAGCTAAGTCAGCTAAGTAGCTAAGCAGCTAAGTAGCTAAGCAGCTAAGCAGCTATGTAGCTATGTAGCTAACACTTCAAATTTAAACTGTATCTTTCGATTTATAAGTCGAGAAAGCTCCATCACTTCAATCTTAAACTGCAATGAGATAGACTTTAGCTGCAAAGACTGCAAAGACTTTAGCTTTAAAGGAAATTTTAAAGAGATTCAGTTTAGGCTGATTTACTTTAATGTTATAATAAAGAAGTGAAGAAATTGCAAGATAAAGTAGGCTGCCGGAGAGGGGATTCAACCTTTGCTGGAAAAGTAGATTTCTAGGCAATTGCTCTAACCACTATCCTTAACTTGTCAAGAGAAAAAAGGAAGACAAGGGGAAGAAAGGAAGGAAGGAAGGGAGAAAGAAAGAAAGGAAGAAAGAAAGACAGGAAGAAAGAAAGACAGGAAGAAAGATAGAAAGGAAGAGAGGAAGAAAGAAAGGAAGAGGGAAAGGCAAGGGGGAAGAGGCATAACTTAAATTCTTCTGATATCCTCTAACTTTGAAACCTGAGTGTCACCTAAATTCCTCGAAATCTCGAGAACCGCTTATCAGAACCTATCGATGTGGGGTCGGAAAATGTAGCTGACGATGAGATCTTGACGATGATTTGAGTGTTGAGCTTCTGGGAAAGCTTAGAAACTGTAAAATAGGCATCAACTCGACGGGGTGCATTTGGCAAAAGCCGGTACATGAAAAACACTTTTAAATGGCGCACCGAACCCTCCAGGCGCACCGAATCAATTCTAGAGTCATGCAGAAGGAGAAATCTTGGCCCAATTCTTTTCCTAAGCTTTTCTTTCTCATTTCCTACTGATAAAATACCGTATTCTCTCTAATAGTAGTGCACCCAGAGCGTCGCCTAAATTCCTCGAAATCTCGAGAACCGCTTATCAGAACCTATCGATGTGGGGTCGGAAAATGTAGCTGACGATGAGATCTTGACGATGATTTGAGTGTTGAGCTTCTGGGAAAGCTTAGAAACTGTAAAATAGTCATCAACTCGGCTCGGCTGCGTACTATTAGAGAAAATACGGTAATCGGATTTGAAAGGATTTAGCCAGATATCAGCAAGGTTTTAAATCAGATTTCAAAAAGGTACAAAAAAGCGTTCATTTTTAAGCCCTCATTAATTCAGATTGCTGACTATTCGCGAGTGTTATGCGTGGAGAATGTGACACGAGCTTTCCGCGAGAATGACACCACCGCTTTATCAACTCATCCACCAAATCTTGGCGATGATCTCTTCACAATGCCATTGGATGGTTTGTTTTAGAGAAAGAAGCTTTTGAAAAAGAGCTTTGAAGCTTTGAAAGCTTTGAAAGAGATTACAAAGAGATCTAGAGCTTTTGAAGAGATTTCAAAGCTTATAAAGCTCGATTACAAAGCTTACAAAGCTTACAAAGCTTGCAAAGCTCGTTTACAAAGCTTACAAAGCTTATAAAGCTCGATTACAAAGCTTTCAGCTAGTTCTACTTATATTAGGCTCTCCAGAAAGTGTGGCAGAGTTCTAATAGCTTCAAAAAAGTGCATCACTCCATACTGGCATTGATTCTGTGCTATCTATAGAAACATTCTCAATGAAAAGATAGTTGGGTACATTAAAAGGTCGATGAAAACTATTGGCAAACATTGAGCGCAAATTTCTTGGTGTTGAGCTGTTCAATTGAAATACTTTTTGTACCAATCGATAGAGAAAGACTTTGCGCATCGAATGATATCAATCATTTATGAATTGAACAATCCAACACCAAGAAATTTGAGAGCAAGTTTGGGCGCGGGTTTACAAAAACTATAAAAGGTCAGCCTGGCCCCTTTGTCTCCACTTAAAGTTAGATTGCCAATGATAATCAGCCAACATATCAGATGTTGGATAATCTAATAGTTTCCGAAAGCTAAAGTGAATTTATTGTTTTCTTTCAAAGAGACTGAGTTTAGTATTGATGCGGAAAAGTGTGAAAAAGCTACCGTAAACTGAATGAAGGTTGTAACTAAAACTTGGTAGTAATCTGGTGAAACTCTAGCTTTCCTAAAGCTACAGTAAGCTAAGAACTTGTCAAGCTTTTCACTCAAGCTGTCAAGCTTCACTTATAGTTTCCCAGAGCCATAGTAATTCCAATAGACTCCGAGCTACAGTAATCCCAGTAGACCCAGAGCTAGAGTAATCCCAATAGACCCAGAGCTACAGTAATCCCAGTAGAGCCAAAGCTACAGTAATCCCAGTAGACCCAGAGCTAGCTTTATCTCTCTAGATTATCTAAATCGATTTTCAGATTTCATGCGAGAAGCGAATCGAACGCTTTGCGTGCAATTCGAGGGTGGTTTCTTTGGCGCCGAACCGTCCTCATCACTTCTGATTGCTTTTTTGGTCCTACTCACACTGATCCTCGTTGCCGGCTTCATTGCATTAGGCATGGCGAGAAAAGCCCACAATTCGATGGCACAACGAAGGTACGGTACTTGAGGAAGATTTCGATTGTTGAATGTTCAATTTCCAGATACAAAGCCACCTCATCCCTCAATTGCTCATCAACAACCGGCTCCTCTCCTTTACCAATCCCATTGATCTCCTATGACGCATTTGTCTCATACGCCCGACAAGACGAGAAAATGGTTGAGGAGAGGATTTGCAGGTGTGGATTTTAGTCGGATTTCTAAAGAAAGACAGGGCATTTTATGAGTTGGAGGACCTAAAACATGATCGGCGCTGGGATTCGAACCCGCGACCGAGTAAACGTTTTACCAATGAGCTACAATGAGCTACAATGAGCTACAATGAGCTACAATGAACTACAATGGGCTACAATGAGCTACAATGAGCTACAATGAGCTACAATGAGCTACGTGTCGACGTATCCCATTGCCGTTAGGGCAAGGCCTTATGCCTTACTATAACGATTCCATTTCACTGTTCCGGCAGAATCGTTAGATCAAGAGTCGACTGTAAATCGAAAATTGTCACTCTTAATCACATCGATTTGCTAGCCTTGGCCTTTTATTTAACGATTTATCGTTATTCTATATTTTTCGATATATAAAATTGAACCAATCGGTTCTTTTTGATGCTAGAAATCGAAAAAAAAGATCCGGATTCGAACCAGTCGCCTTATCGAGCCAATCAGCCAGCCAACAAGCCAACCACCCAGCCAACGAGCCAACGAAAGCTCTACGAGCTACACCAACGTTTGCCTACACCAATGAGCTACACCAACGTTTGCCTACACCAATGAGCTACACCAACTTTTGCCACCGCCGTTAGAAAAGGGCTTAATGCTTAACGTTTCTATTTCGCAATTTCGCAACAGAATCATTAGATCGAGATACTGTATCTTAAAAATTGCTGCTCTTGATAAAACCCATCTATTTCCAGGCCACTAGAAGAGGAGGATTATCACTTGTGTCTTTTGCACCGCGATGGGCCCACGTACAACTCCAAGGTAAATCTAATGAATCTAATAAATCTAATCAATCTAATGAGTCTAATGGATCTAATGAGTCTAATGAATCTAATGAATCTAATAAATCTAATCAATCTATTGAACTAATGAACTAATCAATCTAATGGATCTAACGAATTCAAAAACAAACTTACTGTAACTATTTTCAGCTACACACAGTCCAGGACGAGCTACACGCACAAATGGAAAGCGCTCAGTGTTTGATCTTGGTGTTGACGAAGCATTTCCTGGAAAACGAGTGGACAACGGTGCAGGTTGGCTGCTTTGACTGCTTTGACTTACTTTGAGCTGCTTTGACTTACTGTACTACTTGGCTTTAGCTTACAGTATTACCTACTGTAAATACAGATCTTACTGATACTGTAGATATAGATCTTACTGTAGATACAGATCTTACTGTAGATCTTACTGTAGATACAGATCTTGCTGTAGATACAGATCTTACTGTAGGTATAGATCGTACTGTAGATACAGATCTTACTGTAGATGCAGATCTTACTGTAGATATAGATCTTACTGTAGATGCAGATCGTACTGTAGATCTTACTGTACAAATATCCAAACATTTTATACTCTAAACGATTCCAGATCCGTACAAGCCACCAGCTTTTCTCGAGGAATCGCTCGAAACGCGTGATCGCCATTTTGGACACTGGTGGGTTCAAAATTCAGTCATAATTCTATGCTGGGCCATTTACAGTACCCAGAGATTGTCCACTTTGGATTACTGTAGCTCTTGTGCTTTTTAGGACCCCAAGCAATTCTAGAAGCTGGACCATTCACAGCTACAGTATCCCAAAAGCTACAGTGCCCCAAAAGCTACAGTTCCCCGAAAGCTATAGTATCTACAGTATCCCTAAAAGCTACAGTATCCTTGGAAGGTGCAATGTTACGCTAGCACATCGCACCTTTTAGCACAAAACCCTTGACCAGAGCTCTGTAACTCTGGAGATACTGTAGATACTATAGCTTTTGGGGCACTGTAGCTTTTGGGAAACTGTAGCTGTCAATGGTCCTTTTGTGATTCAGGATTCAGGGTTACTGTAACCTTGCGTAACTTTAAACCGTTTTTCAGATGTAGACGCGAATAGCCTGGATGAGGTTTTGGGCGGAATGTTGCGGCAAAACGATTGGATCCGAATGAACGATCATCTCTTTTGGACACTCTTGAGATCAAAACTCCCGTTGAGGTCACCGGGCATGCACTCAGCTGGATCGAATACGGCGTCACAGGTTGGTTTTAGGGTATCAGAGTGTCTAGGGTCTGACCAGGTCCAAGCCTTCAGCTACAGTTTTACTCAAGAGGCGTCTCTGTCGTCCATCCTAGGCTGGATCTAGCATGGATCTAGAATAGTCTAGTTGCAAGCTCTAGAACCTGGCCTGACTTCTGAGCTTCTAGACTAAACTGGCTTCCAATCCCAGGCTCAAATTATTCTTGACCTAGCCTGGAGCTAGTCTAGTCTAGTCTAGTCTAGTCTAGTCTTAGCCTAGCCTAGCCTAGCCTAGTCTTAGCCTAGCCTAGCCTAACCTAGCCTTAGCTCTAGGGCCAGTTTAGGCTATTCTCTGCCCTGGCTTAGCTACAGTAAAGATCAAGTAGTCTATCCGCAAAGAATAAATTCCTTTCCAGGTCTACTCCGATCTCTACGGTCCAGTGCCATCGGAAATTCTCTGATCAAAAGCAAATCTCTCTACTTGGTGCTTCGCGTTCTTTTCCCTAAACACTTTTCTAGTCCTCATCGTTGAACAATCCGGTATTACTCTTAGCATTAAACTCAATTCTACAGCTTCCAGTAAAGCTTATAGCTTGCAATCTATAGCTTGCAATCTATAGCTTATAATCTATAGCTACAATCTATAGCTTGCAATCTATAGCTTGCAATCTATAGCTTACAATCTATAGCTTACAATCTATAGCTACAATTTATAGCTTACAATCTATAGCTACAATCTATAGCTTGCAATCTATAGCTACAATCGATAGCTTACAATCGATAGCTTACAATCATAGCTTACAATCTATAGCTTGCAATCTATAGCTTCCAGCTACAGTAAGTAAAGATTACAATAGTTTATCTTAAACTCTTCTCTATTTCCTATGCAAATGTTTCCTCTCATTGTTTCCTTTTTTCTTTTTTCTTTTTCAAAACGAAAACGGGTTCCCTCCTGTGTGATTCTAATGAAATTTCTTTTGAAATGAAAGTTTCTTTTTTCAATTTTGGACTTTCTTCTTTCAATTTTAGACTTTCTTGATCAATTTTGGACTTTCTTTTATCAATTTGGACTTTCTTTTTTCAATTTTTGTTTATTTTTCAAATTTTCACAATTTCTACATAATATTTCATTGGTTCTATTGGATTTTCTCAAAAATTTCAAAAATTTCGTTTATTTTTGCCTTTTCTCTTCAGCAATTGTGTAAATTTGTAAAAACTTTATGCAAATTTGAATAAAAATTCAATAAATAAACAAAACGGAGATCTTTTTTCAAGGAAAAAAAAACAAGGAAAAAACAAGGATAAAACGAGGTAAAGGATAAAGATTTTTGATTTAAATTGAAAGAAATAAGAGAAAATCGCAAAAAATCAAAGAAAACTGATCGTAAACAAAAGAAAATTGACCGAAATCAACGAAAATTGATAGAAATTGAAGAAGATTGACCGTAAACAAAAGAAAATTGGCAAAAATCAAAGGAAACTGATCGTAAACTAAAGAAAAGTGACAAAAATCAACGAAAATTGACAGAAATTGAAGAAAATTGATCGTAAAGAAAAGAAAATTGACCGAAATCAACGAAAATTGACAAAAATCAACGAAAATCGACAATAAATGAGTAAATTTTCGTAAAAACTACACGCTTTTGTTGGAGAGATTGAGATTTACGATTTCGAAACAGGGAAAGCTAGGGTTCTTCAGGTTTTTAGCTTATATTATTAGAATTTATTAGCCAAATGTGTTGCTAAAGTTTACGATAGCTTTTTCCCAATCTTTCGATTCCGATTAGCGACCGAATTGAGAGGAAAACACGTGGCCTTGCGCGAAAATGTTCAATGTTCGGGAGTGTGGATCGAATTGGGCGCTGCCAAGACCGGCTTTCGTTTCGTGATCGACTGAAAGTTTGAATTGGAATTTGAATTGGAATTGGAATTTGAATTTGAGTTTGAATTTGAGTTTGAAATAGAATTGGAATTTGAATTTGAATTTGAATTGGAATTTGAATTTGAATTTGAATTGGAATTTGAATTTGAATTGGAATTGGAATTGGAATTGGAATGTTGAATTGGAATTTGATTGAATTTGAATTTGAGTTTGATTGATTTGAATGAATTTGAATTTGAATTGGAATTTGAATTTGAATTGAATTGGAATTTGAATTTGAATTGGAATTGGAATTGGAATTTGAATTGGAATTGGAATTTGAATTGGAATTTGAATTGGAATTTGAATTGGAATTGGAATTTGAATTGGAATTTGAATTTGAATTTGAATTGGAATTGGAATTGGAATTGGAATTTGAGTTTGAATTTGAGTTTGAGTTTGAATTTGAGTTTAAATCAAGTTGAATTTGAATCAATTTGAAAAAGAGAAACATCATTAACAAATGAGAAACTATTGGGTTGATGGAAAAGTCCTTTCGGATTTTTTGGGAGAGTCCTTTAAATTTTGTCCAATTTAGACGTTTTTATCGCTCATCCTAAAGCTGAATTCAGGACGGATCGATTGGTAAAAACCGTTTTTTGAGATATCTCTTTTCTAAAAGTTTTTACAGCTATTTTAGTAAAGGGCGGCAGAGGCAAAACAGCCAAAAAATGGCTGTTTTCACGTTTCGTTAGTTTTCCGTGCAGAAACCTAGGCTAAAAACATGTGTTTCGTGATCAGCGTCAAAAATAATCCCTAGACACGAATTTTCAGAATCTTTCTGAAAATTTTCAGAATTCTGCAACGACAGGATTCGAACCCGCGACCTTTCGCTTACCGAGCAACTCTGCTAACCATTACACTAAGACTGACCTGATCTCCGTTATTCTAGAGGGAGTTAAGTGCTACAATACGCTCACCAGTCAACCGTAACTGGTGAACCATTTAGCACTTTTTTTTGAGGTTAATTGGGCTGAAAATTGGCACCAAAGGGTTTTCTGGGTCAAGGAATTCGAATCTTTACTTGGTTTTTAAGAAAAACTACTTAATTTTTAAATATTCAGATGCCAAAAAGTTGACGGTAATCTAGTTGTCAAAGGTCGAATTCAACTCAAAAGCAGCAAGTGTTATCTAGAGAATCGAAGCCCTGAATCTTGGCTGAATCTTGGCTGAGTCTTGGCTGAGTCTTGGCTGAGTCTTGGCTGAGTCTTGGCTGAATCTTGGCTGAGTCTTGGCTGAGTCTTGGCTGAGTCTTGGCTGAGTCTTGGCTGAGTCTTGGCTGAGTCTAGGATCAGATTGATCGTTAATATTGATCAGATTAACGATCAATATTAACGAATCCATTTTCAGGGCTAGTTGATTCGGCAGGTGGGTTGTTACACACTCCTTAGCGGGTACCGACTTCCATGGCCACCGTCCTGCTGTCTATATCAACTAACGCCTTTCATGGGGTCTCATGAGTGGACACTTAGGCACTTTAACCCGACGTTTGGTTCATCCCACAGCGCCAGTTCTGCTTACCAAAAATGGCCCACTAGGAGCTCTCATTCAGGGTCACAGTTCACTGAAGAAACTGCAACATCATACCCATTGAAAGTTTGAGAATAGGTTGAGGGCATTTCGCCCCCAATTCCTCTAATCATTCGCTTTACCGAATATAACTGATTAACGAATATAACTGTGATCATCTTGATCATCTTGATCAGCTGACGATCATCTTGTTATGAAAAGATTCAAAATTCGAACTTTAAACTAGAAAGTACTAGAAAGTACTTTGTACTAGTACAAGTTTACCAAGTACAAGAAAGAAAAACAATTAAGGTAACTGAATTGGCTTAGAAACAAGTCTAGAACAATCCAAACAAGTTTTTTAGTAACAATCTTACTGTAATAATCTTACCGTAGTAGTCTTAGTAATAATCTTACTGTAATAATCTTTTCACTAACCTTGCCATGTATATTTCCTTCCATCGCTCATTAGGCGATTCTTGTAAAAATCAAAGATCGGCTCGATTGAGATCGTCGAGTTTTCTATGCATTTCACTGAGAAAAGCGTACCGCAACGGACAAACGAATTGCACCAATCGCTTGCATCCATTTTGATCTAATATTTATCGATTTTGATCTGATTTTGATCTGATTTTGATCTGATTTACTTCAAAAATTATAGATCTAGATTATTGGGATGTTGATCTCTTTAAGCAAACCTTCCATCTTCCCAACTCGTGCAGATTTTTTAGATGCAATCGCAGGGCAGTCAACGAGCCATCACTTCTTTCTTTGTACACAAGATCTAAGGGAACTATAGTCCTTTAGAACTACAGTAATCCTTTAGAACTAGAGATCCTTTAGGACTACAGTAATCCTTTAGAACTACAGTAGTCTTCTAGAACTAGGGATCCTTTAGATCTACAGTAGTCCTTTAGAACTAGAGTAACCCTTTAGAACTAGGGATGCTTTAGATCTATAGTAATCCTTCGGATCTACAGTAGTCCTTTAGATCTACAAGTAATCCTTTAGGAACTACAGTAATCCTTAGAACTAGGGATCCTTTAGATCTACAGTAGTCCTTTAGAACTAGAGATCCTTTAGATCTACAGTAATCCTTTAGATCTACAAGTAATCCTTTAGAACTACAGTAATCCTTTAGAACTAGGGATCCTTTAGATCTACAGTAATCCTTTAGATCTACAGTAATCCTTTAGAACTACAGTAATCAGCTTTGAATCATCCTACTTCTTTTAGAGTTTAGAGTCGTTTTCTCTAGTTTAGTTTTCTCTTACAGTAGTGTAGTGTAGTCCAGCCGAGTTGATGCCCATTTTACGGTTTCTAAGTTTTCCCAGAAGCTCAACACTTAAATCATCGTCAAGATCTCATCGTCACCTACATTTTCCGACCCCACATCGATAGGTTCTGATAAGCGGTTCTCGAGATCTCGAGGAATTTAGGCAAAGCTTAGAGCGCACTACTATTAGAGAGAATACGGTAATCATTTTAGATTATTGTAAACTGGTATGATGGTAGCTAGCACATAAAATTGTTTTGCAATTCGCTCACCCAAAGCCCATGCTCATCGGCACCGGCATCGATCCTCGAAGTTGAGCCACCATAGAGTGGATCCTGGAAAAGACTTATGAAGTCTAAAATATGCCAGCTACCGTAGCCTTGACCTAGACAGCTAGTTTGATCTACATAGATATTTAAGTTTCATAAAATGGCTTTTATCGTAATCTTTGCGATTATAGCAAGGATTACTGTAATATGGTTGCCTAGCTACAATTTGGTTAACGATAGCCGCAATTGCGTTACCCGGGTTACCGTTCTCCGCCCCAGTTACCGTACCCCGCTTGAGTTACCGTACTCCGTGACAGTTACCGTGCCCCGGGACAGTTACCGTACCCCGCTGGAGTTACAGTACCCTGTGACAGCTATCGTAATCCTAAAGTGGCTACCGTAATCCGGATACCAGAATCCTAGTCCCAGATACCGTAATCCTAAGGTGGTTACCGTGATCCTCGTTCCAAATCCCGTAATCCTTAAGTGGTTACCGTAATCCCAGTTCCAGATACCGTAACCCGCTTGAGGTACCGTACTCCGGGACAGCTACGGTACGCCGGGACAGTTACAGTGGCCTGGGACAGTTACAGTGGCCTGTGACAGTTGCCGTACCGCATCGCTTGACAGTTACCGGACCCCGCTGGAGTTACAGTACCCTGTGACAGCTACCGTAATCCTAAAGTGGCTACCGTAATCCAGACACCGCGATCCAGACACCGTAATCCAGACACTGTAATCCAGACACCGCGATCCAGACGCCGTAATCTAGACACCGTAATCTAGACACTGTAATCCAGACACCGCGATCCAGACACCGTAATCCAGACACCGTAATCCAGACACCGCGAACCAGACACCGTAATCCAGACACCGTAATCCAGACACCGTAATCCAGACACCGCGAACCAGACACCGTAATCCAGACACCGTAATCCAGACACTGTAATCCAGACGCCGTAATCCAGACACTCTAATCCAGACACCGTAATCCAGACACCCTAATCCAGACACCGTAATCCAGACACTCTAATCCAGACACCGTAATCCAGACACTCTAATCCAGACACCGTAATCCAGACACTCTAATCCAGACACCGTAATCCAGACACTCTAATCCAGACACCGTAATCCAGACACTCTAATCCAGACACCGTAATCCAGACACTCTAATCCAGACACCGTAATCCAGACACTCTAATCCAGACACCGTAATCCAGACACCCTAATCCAGACACCGTAATCCAGACACTCTAATCCAGACACCGTAATCCAGACACTCTAATCCAGACACCGTAATCCAGACACTCTAATCCAGACGCCGTAATCCAGACAACGTAATCCTGGTTCCAGATACCGCAATGCTAGTTAACGTAGTCCTAAAGTGGCTACCGTAATCCAGTAATCCGTAATCCTAGTTCCAGATCCCGTAACCCTTTAGTGGTTACCGTAATCCCAGTTCCAGATACCGTAATCCTAAAGTGGTACACCTGTGTCCAAAAAGTCATAAACTAGTTCTGAACTTCCGAACTAGTTATCAACTCACATGCGATGCATTGATCGCGTGATGTCTAGTCGTTTTCGTCTCAAGATGATGAGCGATCAACGACTCGCCGAATAGGTAAACGACCGTTCGATTGTGCACGGTGGCATCAGTACCATGAAATGGATACGGTAAAGTGACTAGAAATCAGAGATTGAAGTTTGAAATCCTAATTCTCAAAGCCTCACAAATTTTCGATGGCATACTATCAACCAGAGCAGATTCGTTGTGATAAACGAGCAATGTGTAGCCCAAATGGTACTCGAAAACGAACCTAGAATTTGTCGGTTACTGTAGGTGTTGTAGCTTTAAAGATCTCTACAGTAGTTTCTAGTAATCTCTAGTATTCACTATATCAATCTATTATTAGATAGCTACCAATATTTCCCATCCCTTAGCGCGGCTCCAATCGAATGCGGTCGTTTTGTGACAAGTCGAGGTGCGGTCATTGACACGTCCACTTGACAATCTAAAACAGAAAAACTACTGTAATCTTATAGATTACTGTATTCTATGTCTATTCTATTCTACTGTAAACTGTCTACTGTAAACTACTGTAGTTTTCCATGAGGATTTCTGGAAGAAAGAAGAAGAGTCAAGCTAAAGGCTGAAGCCAAAGAAGAACAAGCTAGAGGCTGAAGCCTTGTTAAGATGCCTTGTTAAGCTCAGCCTTGTTAAGCTGCCTTGTTAAGCTACCTCGTTAAGTTTCCTTGTTAAGCTGCCTTGTTAAGCTAAGCCTTGTTAAGCTGCCTTGTTAAGCTAAGCCTTGTTAAGCTGCCTTGTTAAGATGCCTTGTTAAGCTGCCTTGTTAAGCTGCCTTGTTAAGCTGCCTTGTTAAGCTGCCTTGTTAAGCTACCTCGTTAAGTTGCCTTGTTAAGATGCCTTGTTAAGCTAAGCCTTGTTAAGCTCAGCCTTGTTAAGCTGCCTTGTTAAGCTGCCTTGTTAAGCTGCCTGTTAGCCACCTCGTTAAGTTGCCTTTTGATGCCTTGTTGCTAGCCCTTGTTAAGCCCAGCCCCTGTTAGCCGCCTGTTGCCGCCTTGTTAAGCCGCCCTGTTAGCACCCCGTTAAGCCTGTTAAGATGCCTTGTTAGCTAAGCCTTGTTAGCTCAGCCTTGTTAGCCGCCTTGTTGGCTGCCTTGTTGCGCCTTGTTGCACCCGTAAGCTCTTGTTAAGATGCCTTGTTAAGCTAAGCCTTGTTAAGCTCAGCCTTGTTAAGTTGCCTTGTTAAGCTGCCTTGTTAAGCTGCCTTGTTAAGCTACCTTGTTAAGCTCAGCCTTGTTAAGCTGCCTTGTTAAGCTAAGCCTCGTTAAGCTGCCTTGTTAAGCTCAGCCTTGTTAAGCTGCCTTGTTAAGCTCAGCCTTGTTAAGCTGCCTTGTTAAGCTGCCTTGTTAAGCTACCTCGTTAAGTTGCTTTGTTAAGCTGCCTTGTTAAGCCTAGCTAGATCAGAATCCGTTCAGATTGTCTGTGCTTGTCTTAGAGCTTGTCTGTGCCAAGCTTTTCAACCTTGGCATATGAAAATCTTAAAAAAAAACAGAATAGAACCTTTTTAAACATAAAAAAAAACTCACGTTTTCTATCCGAATGCGACTTTTTTCGGTGTTTCTTTGCCTCAAAACCGATCGTTATCGAATGCTTTTCGCATAAGTGTTTCAGTTGGGATTTCTAAACATAAATCGGTTTAAAATCTATATGTCGTATATATATGCCGTTCTAAAACCATTTTTCGTTGAAAGTAGGAGAAAGAGGGCGAGGAACAAATTCAGGGCAACTCTCAAATGTGAAAACAGCGACCGAGTTCAACTGAAGTCGTTCCTCGCCCTCTTTCTCCTAGCTTTAAAAAACAAATGTTTAATGTAGCTTTATTTTAAGAATCTACATCAAATTGGCTACAAAATGAGCTATTAGGCAAGTTTTTTGGCTGAGTAGAAAATTTTTTCTGAGCCCCCAAAGTTTCGGTTCAAAAATGGCTATAAAAAATTTTCTACTCAGCCAAAAAACTTGCCTAATAGCTCATTTTGTAGCCAAATTGATGTAGATTCTTAAAGTAAAGCCATCTAAAACCATTTTTTGTTGAAAGTAGGAGAAAGCGGGCGAGGAACGACTTCAGTTGAACTCGGTCGCTGTTTTCACATTTGAGAATTGCCCTGAACTTGTTCCTTGCCCTCTTTCTCCTACTTTTAACGAAAAATTGTTTTAGATGGCTTTACTTTAAGAATCTACATCAATTTGGCTACAAAATGAGCTATTAGGCAAGTTTTTTGGCTGAGTAGAAAATTTTTTCTGAGCCTCCAAAGTTTCGGTTCAAAAATGGCTATAAAAAATTTTCTACTGAACCAAATGAGCTAATTTCAAAAATTTATCATAAAATATATGTATTATGAACATTTTTATGTGGGTCACTTTTTGATTGGATGCCTGGAAATACCCTCATTCGTTAGCGGCTCAATTTCGTAAACGGTTACGACGGCTACGACGGCTACGATGGCTACGACATATATTTAAAGCAATCAAATTATCAAATTCTAAGCCTATACCTCAAATTTCTATCAAATTTCTCTAAATCTTACAGTCATTTCAGCATAAATTGGCAAATAATCATCTCTGATTTCATTCTCCGAACTGTACAACGAGCGACGGCCACGCGGCGTTTCGTCTAGAGATTTCTGAATGGAGAATTGAATTATCGAAGAAAAGAGAGTGATTTATGGATTGGAATTGATTCTAGATAGATTTTAGATAGATTTTAGAGATTCTAGACAGATTTTAGATAGATTTTATCAAATATTTATCTTTAAATCTTCACCTGTAAATTGACGATACTCATTCGTTGATAAACGATCATCATCAGCGCAAAAATAAGCGAAAATCCGAGGAAAAGTCTTGAGCTGATCATCTGAAAGACAAAAGAAGTTTGTGAATTCTCAAGTTTCATTATCTGAGGTACAAATTTACAGCTGAGTATCTTTTTATGCAATTAACAAAGCAGAGAAATCCCTAGAAGTGACTAGCAAGATGCTCTCTGTGCGGGCGCGTAATCGCTCGCTTTCTGGCAAATCGGTCTGGCTTAAGGGGCTTCCATTTTCCCCCGGTTAAACCGTCTGTCTCATCGTCCGAAGAAGCTTTTTCTCATGCTCTGCCATTCACCGACATATTGATATTGTTATTCCAATGTTATCGCAGATCCTGGGCCTTCACCTGCTGTCACTTCCCACATTTGTTCTGAGCTGGCTTTGCCGTTTTGCCGTCATTATTATTGCTCATTATTGCTTCGCAGATTCTGGGAGGCTTTGTCGTTTTGGCCGTCATTATGCCCGAATTTTGACGGATGAAGTCAAATGGAAGAAATGCTGCGGATGCGGAGAAAGAGAGGATGCTGCGACTCCATGATCAGAATAACCGCATGGAAATGAAGCTTGATCTTCTATTGTTTCACTGGGATTTTTCACCCGTCTGGCATTAGGGGCTTCCCTTTTCAAAGCTGCAAACTGTTTGTATCATCGTCCAAAGAAGCGTTTCCTCTGCGTTTTTCACTCGCCGACATTAAATATTGCTTCCCACATTTGTTCTGAGCCGTTTTGCCTTCGCCGTTTTTGGCCTTTTGCCGTTTTTATATAATTTTATATAGTTTTATGTCATTATTATAATCCATTTTGTAAACTAAACAATAACTAAAAGCCAAATCTAGATCACAATAGAGAAAGTCTTCAAAAGTTTTCTAGAGCTACTAGAGCTACTAGAGCTACTAGAGCTACTAGAGCTACTAGAGCTATTAGAGCTACTATAGCTACTAGAGCTACTAGAGCTACTAGAGCTATTAGAGCTACTAGAGCTACTAGAGCACTAGAGCTACAGAGCACAGAGCACTAGAGCATTAGAGCCAGCACTAGAGCTACTAGAGCTACTAGAGCTACTAGAGCTACGAGAGCTACTAGAGCTACTAGAGCTTAGAGCTACTAGAGCTACTAGAGCTACTAGAGCTATTAGAGCTACTAGAGCTACTAGAGCTACTAGAGCTAGAGCTACTAGAGCTATGAGAGCTACTAGAGCTACTAGAGCTACTAGAGCTACTAGAGCAAAAGTTTGCTGGGAAAACTTTGATGAAAAGAAAAACGGTTTCTCGAAAAGTGAGACTTTGATTGAATGAATGCTCCTTTCAATCTCTCACACAAAACCCTAATTTGTATGCAAAACGGGCGACGAGTTGACAAAAAGAAAAGAAAAAAGAAGAAAAGACGAGGGATTTATGACATTTCAAGCGGTCCAACAGATCAAGGAAAAGAAGAAAAGAAAACGATGAGATTTGGATGAATCGATGGGAATCTAGGTGGTGAACAAGTGGTAAACAATTCGAAATGGTAAAAGTGTACTTTAAAGGATCAAACCTGAGAAATCTATGCTTTTCCATATATCATTATCAATCTGTACGAGAATGTACGAGCTTTTTCTCAGCCTGGCCTAGATCTCTGACCTATATTGGCTTTGTTGCAGTCTCTAGACTCGCTAGGCTAGGCTAGACTCAAACTAGGGCTAAGTGGGCAGAGTGGGAGTAAGACAGCAGTAACCCAAGCCAGGATTAGACTTGAGTTAACCCAAAGTCAGACTACGCTTTGTTTCTCGCTTACAAGCTCTCCTTCAAGTCGCTTACAAGCTCTCCTTCAAGTCAAGTCAAGTCAAGTCAATTCCTAAGTCTAAAAAATACTTTAAGCATTATACTAACCAAAAACAAAACGATCTTGGGATGAGCAGGGAAATTTGATTAGACTCCGTTTCCTAATGAGGCTCAAAAATGAGGAAAAAGGCGGAAAAGAAAAACACTAATTATATGGGAAAATGAATGGGGTAAAAAGAAAAGAGAACGCTTTGGAGAGCCTATACATGGGTATGGTTACTGAAAGCATTTGTTCCAAGTGACTCAGTCACAACGGGGTTGGCCAAGGCTAGGCTAGACCAGGGCAAAGCTAGGCTAGGCTAGACCAGGGCAAGGCTAGGCTAGGCTAGGCTAGGCTAGACCAGGGCAAAGCTAGGCTAGGCTAGACCAGGGCAAAGCTAGACTAGGCTAGACCAGGGCAAGGCTAAGCTAGGCTAGGCTAGACCAGGTCAATGCTAGGCTAGGCTAGACCAGGTCAATGCTAGGCTAGACCAGGCCAAGGCTAGGCAGGCAGCAAGACCAGGGAAACTGCTAGGCGGACCAGGGCGTAGACTAGGCTAGACCAGGGCAAGGCTAAGCTAGGCTAGGCTAGACCAGGTCAATGCTAGGCTAGACCAGGCCAAGGCTAGGCTAGGCTAGGCTAGACCAGGTCAATGCTAGGCTAGGCTAGGCCAGACCAAAGCTAGGCTAGGCTAGACCTTATAAGCAGCTAGTTTTTACATTATTCGACTCGTCTTTTCAAGCTCTTAAAAGATGCACTATCCGCAAATCGAGATTCGACCACGAGTTCCAATCGGTTCCTTGTTAGAATCGAGAGCTTTAGATGATCAAGAGCTTGATGAGCTTTAGATCAAGAGCTAGATGTAACCAATTAAAACCCAACCACTTTCATCGATCGCCAAAGATGGATCTTGTGACGTCGGATCGCCGCCGGTCGACAATCGTCCAAGTCAAGCGTTTGGAAATCGGATGTACTAGTACTGCCATACATTTTTGAAATACTGTAGTTTGACAAGAGTACAGTAAGAGTACAAGTACGAGAAGTACAAGAAGCACTAGTACAAGTACAAGAAGTACTAGTACAAGTACAAGGAGTACTAGTACAAGTACGAGAAGTACTAGTCCAAGTACGAGAAGTACAAGTACAAGTACGAGAAGTACAAGAAGTACGAGTACGAGAGTACTAGCAGTCAAGAGTACTAGCTAAAGTACAGTAATCTTATAGTTAGCTTACAGTAAATCGTAGGCTAAAGTACAGTAATCTCTAGATTACAATAGGTAGCCTGAATTGAATGGGATACTGTAGCCGGATAGGAATACTGTAGCTGGATAGGAATACTGTAGCCGGGTAGAAATACTGTGGCCGGGTAGGAATCTGTAGCCGGATAGGAGTACTGTAGCCGGATAGGAGTACTGTAGCCGGATAGGAGTACTGTAGCCGGGTAGGAATCTGTAGCCGGATAGGAGTACTGTAGCCGGATAGGAGTACTGTAGCCGGATAGGAGTACTGTAGCCGGGTAGGAATCTGTAGCCGGATAGGAGTACTGTAGCCGGATAGGAGTACTGTAGCCGGATAGGAATACTGTAGCCGGATAGGAAAACTGTAGCCGGGTAGGAATACTGTGGCCGGGTAGGAATCTGTAGCCGGATAGGAGTACTGTAGCCGGATAGGAGTACTGTAGCCGGATAGGAATACTGTAGCCGGATAGGAAAACTGTAGCCGGGTAGGAATACTGTGGCCGGGTAGGAATCTGTAGCCGGATAGGAGTACTGTAGCCGGATAGGAGTACTGTAGCCGGATAGAATACTGTAGCCGGATAGGAAAACTGTAGCCGGGTAGGAAATACTGTGGCCGGGTAGGAATCTGTAGCCGGATAGGAGTACTGTAGCCGGATAGGAGTACTGTAGCCGGGTAGGAATCTGTAGCCGGATAGAGTACTGTAGCCGGATAGAGTACTGTAGCCGGATAGGAATACTGTAGCCGGATAGGAAAACTGTAGCCGGGTAGGAATACTGTGGCCGGGTAGGAATCTGTAGCCGGATAGGAGTACTGTAGCCGGATAGGAGTACTGTAGCCGGATAGGAATACTGTAGCCGGATAGGAAAACTGTAGCCGGGTAGGAATACTGTGGCCGGGTAGGAATCTGTAGCCGGATAGGAGTACTGTAGCCGGATAGGAGTACTGTAGCCGGGTAGGAATCTGTAGCCGGATAGGAGTACTGTAGCCGGATAGGAGTACTGTAGCCGGATAGGAGTACTGTAGCCGGATAGGAGTACTGTAGCCGGATAGGAGTACTGTAGCCGGATAGGAGTACTGTAGCCGGATAGGAGTACTGTAGCCGGGTAGGAATCTGTAGCCGGATAGGAGTACTGTAGCCGGATAGGAGTACTGTAGCCGGATAGGAGTACTGTAGCCGGATAGGAATACTGTAGCTGATCCCAGAATACAATACCTTTACCGGATTACGGTGGCTCGAATCGAATCACATTTTAAGAAGCAGAATCGTTTAAAGTTGATGTTATCAATGGAAATTTAGCCAAAAGAATTTCTACAGTAATCCAGTAGACGTCAGAATACAGTATTTAGACAATAGTAAACCGTGGAATGTTCTGCAAAAAGATCTTTCACTTAAACAAGTTGTAAATGGGGATTTCGAGGCAATTTGTGAAAATCTCAAGAGGAAATCTCCGTTTGTCGTCTATAAAGAAGAGATTGAGAGTCCCCTGGGATCCCAAAGGCTACCCTAAAGCCCCAAGCCAAGAGGACAATCGTTGGAAATCGTTGGAAAAGAAAAATGACAACAAAGTTCTTTCCGTTGACATGGAATAATGAAAAAAATGGCTTTCTGTGTGCTTTGTGCTCACAAAAACACCTTTCTGGTGCACTGATTTCTCTTGTACTTTGAGCTATGAGTGTACTTTGAGCGAAGAATTGTTAGCACTGAGCTTTGAGCTAGAAAGGGTGTGTTTGAGTTGAGCACAAAGTGCGTTTGGAGTCTGGAAGGCTTGTTCTTTGTGCTGGAAGCTGGAAACGCACACTTTCTGGCAGATTTTGGGGATTTTGGAGAAAAATGAATGAATGGAAAGCTTAAAGTCAAAAAGAATGGGATCTAAACTTTGTGAGAGGAAGTTTTGAACATAGGAAGTAACATAGGAAGTTTTGGATCTAATAAGTAGGATAGGAAGTGACATAGAAAGTATTAAACATAGTTTTGAATATAGGAAGTAACATAGGAAGTAGCATAGGAAGTTTTGAGCATAGTTTTAAACATAGGAAGTAACTTAGGAAGCTTTAAACATAGGAAGTAACCTAGGAAGTAACACAGGAAGTTTTAAACATAGTTCTGAACATAGGAAGTAGCATAGGAAGCTTTAAACATAGGAAGTAACATAGGAAGTAACACAGGAAGTTTTAAACATAGGAAGTAGCATAGGAAGTAACGTAGGAAGTGACATAGAAAGTATTAGACATAGTTCTGAACATAGGAAGTAGCATAGGAAGTAACATAGAAAGCTTTGAGCATAGGAAGTAACATAGGAAGTTTTAAACATAGGAAGTAGCATAGGAAGTAACATAGGAAGTAACGTAGAAAGTTTTAAACATAGTTCTGAACATAGGAAGTAACCAAGGAAGTAAAATAGGAAGTTTTAAAGTGCTGCTTCGTAGAAACTGGCTATAAAATGAGGCAAGATTGATGAAAGGATATAGATATGTTCAAGTGCGCTTCAAGGGGATTAGACCGACTGTTCCCCCCCCCCTTCAATTTCAAGGAATGATTGAAAGCAGAGGGAATATTTCAGGCAAAATATCACTTAATCAACTCAAGACTCGAGAGAACTAAGGAAAACTATTTAGAAAAATGAGTAAAAATCAGAACTATGGATCTTATTGGGTTTGTTAGTATGAAATATTGTTATGGTTCTGTTTAAAAGACTAATTCACTGATTGTACTTTGTACTGTACTTCTAACTGTACTTTGTGTTGTACTTTGTACTGTGCTTCTAACTGTACTTTGTGTTGTACTTTGTACTGTGCTTCTAACTGTACTTTGTGTTGTACTTTGTACTGTGCTTCTAACTGTACTTTGTATTGTACTTTGTACTATACTTCTAACTGTACTTTGTGTTGTACTTTGTACTGTGCTTCTAACTGTACTTTGTATTGTACTTCTAGCTGTACTTTGTACTTTACTTCTAACTGTACTTTGTATTGTACTATTGTACTTACGGTTTTTTTTTCTATCAGAAAGCTCTATTAATCCCTGAGAATTTTTTTTTGAAGTTTCTGTAAATCTTTGATTTTTGAGATTTGAGGCAAGAAGCAAAGTAGTCAAAAATAGAGTTTTGACCTTCATAAGGCGAAGTTTAATCCCTCACCAGAGTTCATCGATGGCCGACTGGTAAGTTGCTGGGTTACAGGACGGGGAAGGTCGGGTTCGGGCTCGATCCAGACCGGTGCAATTTTCTTTTACTTTTTTCAGTCTTCATTAGCTTTTTCTATCTTATCCCTTTTGTAAATTAAAAACAATAGTTAGCAACGAAAATTGGCAACAAAATAGTGAAAGGGGTGGAAATTTGAATGCAAATCCATCATAGCAAAGCCATTAGAGCAAAGCTATCAGAGCAAAGCCATTAGAGGAAAGTCATTAGAGCAAAGCTATCAGAGCAAAGCCATTAGAGGAAAGCCATCATAGCAAAGCCATTAGAGCAAAGTCATTAGAGCAAAGCTATCATAGCAAAGCCATTAGAGGAAAGCCATTAGAGCAAAGCTATCAGAGCAAAGCCATCACAGTAAATTCAATCAGTTTGGACCTAGTTTTGTGACAAAACAAAAACCAAAGAAGATGATGGAAAGCTAGAAGATGGAAAGCTAGAAAAGCAAAGCCATCAGAGCAAAAACTATCAAACAAAGTACAGAAAATAAAGAGAAATCTAACTAGTAGACAGATAGATTTGGATGTTTATTCAAGAAGTACCCAGTCACTCTTGTCGTTTTGTCGTTTTGTCGATTTCTCTATCCCTCTCAGCCTAGGTCAAGCACCCGTCTAATTAATGAGAAAAGAAGAAAGAAGAAAGAAGAAAGAAGAAGAAATAAGAAGAAAGAAGAAAAGCGAAAAGAGAAAAGAGAAAATAAGAGATAAGATCACGTTACCCAGTACTCTAAGATCCAAAATGCAAAACGCAAAATTCAAAATGCAAATTCCAAACGCAAAAGAAAACGTTATTCATTTTGTGTATTAGAAAATTTATTTATGACTTATGACTTAGAAAGAACGTAGACAAGATTGAGCGATTGATTGGTGACGCATTTTTAAGGTAGATTGTTTCCCGTAAAGAATCGAGTCGAATGCGGCTTTGCTGATCGCGTTGGACACTGAAAACAAATTGTATTTTCGTATTTTCTCTAATCGTATTTCTCTAATCTGAGCTTTCCCTAAATTTCTCGAAATCTCGAGAACCGATTATCAGAACCTATCGATGTGGGGTCGGAAAATGTAGCTGATGATGAGATCTTGACGATGATTAGAGTGTTGAGCTTCTGGGAAAATTTAGAAACTGTAAAATAGGCATCAACTCGGCTTGACTGGGTGCACTACTACATATTAGCGAGGATACAGTATTCAGCTTTGCGCGCGCTCCCAGGGGTTTTCGGCTATGGAGAATCTGACTTTCGGGTCTATTTTTAATTCTTTTGGGCTTAAGTAGCAAATTCTTAGCTCAGCTAACGTCAAGAAGTTGATCAATCAACAAAATTTGGGTTTTTTTTAGTCAAAACGCAACTTTCGGTTCATTGCTTTCCCTAATTCCCGCTTCGCCTAAATTCCTCGAAATCTCGAGATCCGCTTATCAGAACCTATCGATGTGGGGTCGGAAAATGTAGCTGACGATGAGATCTTGACAATGATTAGAGTGTTGAGCTTCTGGGAAAACTTAGACACTGTAAAATGGGCAACAACGCGGCTCGACTGGGTGCACTACTATTAGAGAGAATACGAAGCTATTTTTTTTATTTTGAAGCTATTTTTTTGATTTTCAAGCTATTTTTTTGATTTTCAAGCTATTTTTTTGAATTTAAAGCTATTTTTTTGATTTTAAAGCTATTTTTCTCAATAAATCGATAAATAAAGTCCTTTCTAGATAAATATTTAAACAAATATAACCTTTTGGATCTATTTCTTCATATTTTTATATCAACTAAAAGATTTTCTATTAAATTTTCTATTAAAATAGTCTATCTAACAGTTTAGTTTAAGTCTATCTAACAATCTATTAATAATCTAACAATCTATAGTTAATAGAGATTAACTATTAACAGTTAATTATCAACACTGTTCAGCTAATTTGTTTGTTCATTGTTTAGTTAACAAGTTATCCATTAACAGTTCAATCTATTATCAATCTATTAACCAGCTGAGCTAATCAGCTGAGCTAATCAGCTGAGCTAACCAGCTGAGCTAATCAGCTGAGCTAACCAGCTGAGCTAACCAGCTGAGCTAACCAGCTGAGCTAATCAGCTGAGCTAATCAGCTCAGTTAACCAGCTGAGCTAACCAGCTGAGCTAGCCAGCTGAGCTAACCAGTTCAGTTAACCATCTCAGTTAACCAGCTAAGCTAACCATCTCAGTTAACCAGCTCAGCTAATCAGCTCAGTTATCTGTTAATCCAATCTGTTCATTGTAAGTGAAACAAAAGATCTAGAATTAAGTCTGAAAAGTCTTTTAAATCCTATTTGACAATTACCGCTTAAAAAATGATACCATTTCAAAGCCATATCGACAAAATCGACTCCATATTGTTTGGTGATCGAGGGATCGATTTCACAGTCTGTTTGGAGAATTCTTTGCAATATTCCATGGATACCGGTGAGCGATTCCTGGAAAGATGCTCAACTTCAGTCTATTGACATTTACACACTAATTGATCATGAATAAATTGTCTATATATTACTATTATTGAATAAGTTATTGAATCTATTCAATAACGGACGAAATTCAGAGCCGAGTATCGAATAGATTCAATAAAATCCGTTCTTGAATCTATTCGATAACGGACGACATTCGTGGATAAATGAGTTTTCGCGTTATTATGGTAAAAAGTATATCCCGACGAATATTTGGGTTCAATTTTGATTAATTACAGAATTTTGAATTGCTTTTGCTGTTGTTGTTGTCTTAAAATTGTTAACATTGAGCTTATTGATAAGTTTTCTTTTCAGCATTGGATTGTACAAGATCTAAACCTAGTAATCTGCCAAATATTGAACTGATCTGAAAACTGTAGATGATAACATAACTGATAACTACAGATCTGAACGATCTGCAGTATCTGGCTGATCTACAGGATCTAGATGATCTACAGGATCTTGCTGATCTACAGGATATGGCTGATCTACAGGATCTGATTGATCTACAGGATCTAGATGATCTCCAGTATCTGGCTGATCTACAGGATCTGGCTGATCTATGGGATCTGACTGATCTACAGGATCTGGCTGATCTACAGGATCTAGATGATCTACAGGATCTAGATGATCTACAGGATCTAGCTGATCTACAGGATATGGCTGATCTACAGGATCTAGATGATCTCCAGTATCTGGCTGATCTACAGGATCTGGCTGATCTATGGGATCTGACTGATCTACAGGATCTGGCTGATCTACAGGATCTAGATGATCTACAGGATCTAGATGATCTCCAGTATCTGGCTGATCTACAGGATCTGGCTGATCTACAGGATCTAGCTGAACTACAGGATCTGAATTCTACCCACCTCTCCTGGTCGTAAAAACGGATGATATCCGGTGGCCATCTCGAGAAAAGTGATACCCATGCTCCAGATTTCAGATTCGATTCTGTAAACCTGCTTTGACCTTGCTCTTTGCTTGCTTGAACTTTGCTTTGAACACCAATATCAAATCCTAATCTGTCAGATAATTCAATATCAATTCTTAATCTAGTCAGATAATCTTCAGATCCATCTTATCTTTATGACTCACTTGTATTCTCCTCCATGTATCCTCTCTGGTGCCATGTAGGCTGAAGTACCAACAATACTGTTGGCTACAGAACCTTCCATTAGCTGAAAATGGTTATAAAATAGTTATCAGATAGTTATAAGATAGTTATAAACTAGTTATCAGATAGTTAGCTACGAGAATTCTAACATAAAATCGATTTTAGCTTTGTTGAACTTTTAAAATCAACCTTTGACACTCCGAAATCGGTCAATTTCACATGTCCACTCGAGTCAGCCACACAATTCTCGGGTTTTAGATCTATACTAGTAAATATTGTAAAAGATATACTGTTAAACAATCATCTATTAAACAATTATCTATTCAAATAAGTATAGTAATAGCTTTCGATCTTTCTTCATCACTTCAAATCACATTCGAATCTCTCAAGCCTCAAAAAAGTTGAGTCAATCTTCGATTTTTCTTCTATACCCATTTCAAAGTATTGTTTCATTTTAAGAATATAGACTAAATAAATATTAAAGCTTGATATTTAACTCTAGTCTCTTAATCTTATTTTAAGTTTAAAGCCTAATTTCATCAGTCCGAAGATGATCATTGGTGTAGCCCTAGATTGATTAGTTTGTTTAGATTGGTTAGATTGGTTAGATTGGTTAGATTGGTTAGATTGCTGAGATTGCTTAGATTTAGATACTTATTTTCATTTACAGTACCTCTATGCATGATGTTAACAGAAGCTAAGAAAGAGACTCCCTCAAGAATGCTCATACAAATCCCAGGAAGGACATTTGGAGGCAGAGGGATGTACGCTGAAATGGAAATGGCTGAAATGGATGGCTGAAATGGATGGCTGAAATGGAAATGGTCAAAATGGATGAATGAAATTGACGATTAGATATCTAGATCTTCTTAAATAGATCTATTTTAAATAGATCTTCTAGCTATTTAATATTTAGATATTCTAGCTAGCTAGCGATTAGATTCTAGATAGAAATTAGCATTTAAAACCAACCAGCTACCGCTCCACAATCCATATATTCAAGCACGATTGAAAGCGTGTTCCCATTGACCATCGCACCGATCAATTCGACAATGTACTCGGATCGGCAACACTGCATTTCAATATAGCTTTTCTTTGCTTTATCAAATGTACAAACTTTTCCCAAAACGTGCAACTCTTTGAGAAGATCTTCTCGATGATCGGCATCATCCCGAAAATGTACACATTTCACAGCAACAATGAGATCTCGACTGATTAAAAGGGATCTAAAATTTGATAGCTGAAAAATAGACGCTTTTAGATGGGTTTTAGTCATTCATTGGATCCAAAAAACCCCTTAAAACTCCATAAAACTCCAGAAAACAATTTAAGGTAGTCTACCGGGTTACTGTAGAGCTCTAGAGCTTTGTCTTAGGATTACGGTAGTCTACCGGATTACTGTAGACCTCCTAAAGCTTTGTCTTAGGATTACGGTAGGATATCCGGGCTTACTCTTTAACCTACAGTAACGGTAAACTATTTGGGGTAGTTGGAAATAGAATAGATCAAAACTTGAGCACCGACAGGACTCGAACCTGCGACTTTTCGCTTACCGGGCCTTGATCTCCTTTACTCCAGAGGAAGTTAACTGGGTTACTGTAGACTTGCCGGAGCTTTAGGCTTCGGGGTTACGGTAGCTTCGAGCATCTTTTTAGTGTGCTGTTTCTCAACACCAAATCAAAACGTTTCCCACTTGTAAACGGTTCCGAATTGCCCATTTGAGATCACTTGTAGATTTTCTAACTCGTGAGGCATGATCAGTGGAAGATCGGAAAGTGATCGCTCGTCTTTTACTGAAAATAGAGGTCAAAAAGGTCTTGACATAGATCAATCTATTAGCTAACACCCTAGTTTAGGCTTAGGCTCTGGCTCTGGCTCAGGCCCAGGCTTAGGCTTAGGCTTAGGCTCTGGCTTAGACTAAGGCTTAGACTCAGGCTCAGGCTCAGGCTCAGGCTTAAGCTCAGGCTTAGACTCAGGCTTAGACCAAGGCTTAGACTCAGGCTTTGACTCAGGCTTTGACTCAGGCTTAAGCTCAGGTTCAGGCTTAGACTTAGCCTCAGCTAAAAAACAAACTAAAACGATTCAAATCACCCACTCAACCAGATTCGAATCGGTTGCAATTCGTGGAGAAGAATTTTCAAGTGCTCATCGGATTTGACAACGATTCGGTCTCCATCCTCGTCCTCATCTAAAAATGATGCATCTGTTTGCTAAAAGGTGAACAATTTGAAAAGCTAGCGTAATCTTTCCATTATTCTTGACTGGGAGTTGATTGGGAAAAGAAAGTAGCTTTCCATAAGTTACAGTATTAATCGGTTGTTTTAAAAGGTTCATCTATGCGTTTCATAAAAAGTGAATGATTTGAACAAGCTATCGACAAGAACAAGAATTGCGGAAAGCAACTTTTCTATGGAAAGCTACCTATGGAAAGCTATTTTTCTTTTTGAAAAGCTACTTTCTTTTCCCTTTCTACAGATTTGATTTCATTCAAATTTGCTGAAATGATTACTTTTCAAACTTTCAAATGTTCATTTTTAAATGTTTTACTTTAGAAAGCACAGGGCAACACATAGGGCAACAAGTTTTTGCCTAGGCTTAGGCTCAGGCTCAGGCTTAGGCTTAGGCTTAGGCTTAGGCTTAGGGCAACAAGTTTCAAAACTTAAAACCCACATTCGACCCGATCGAATTCGTGAAAAAGACACAGAAGCTCGGATTGAAAGAAATCGAAGCTGAGAATAGAGACCGGGAGAAGTTCAATTGAATGAAAAGAGCCATCGGAGAGGCAAACATCGAAACGAACTGTGCCCACCATTAGCTAAAAGAGTGAGCTTTCGCCTTAAAAGACTTAAAAGATGCAAAATAAGCAAATAGGAACAAGATCGGCTCTTTTCTCTTACTAGATGCCTTTAAAAAAAGCCTTAACCGCAGCCGAAAAAAGCCGAAGAGGTATTTTATGAGATATAGGACAGATTTGACATGGCAATAAGATCTAATTCGTTTACAGATACTTTCAATTTTCCTACAGACGAGAAGATACCAGACGGGAGCTTATTCCAAGTCCAAGACGGGAGCTTATTCCAAGTCCAAGACGGGAGCTTATTCCAAGTCCAAGACGGGAGCTTATTCCAAGTCCAAGACGGGAGCTTATTCCAAGTCCAAGACGAGAGCTTATTCCAAACCCTACCAACACGGTTCGCAAAACAATGATAAAGGGAAAGATGATGGGGATGAGAACCGACCGAAATTTGATAAGGATCACTACGTGTACTTCTAGAAATTTCCACAATTTTCAAGAGGCTTTGAAATTCTGGATGCGGCTTAGGGTGGAAAAGAATTTTATAGCAAAAATAAGATCAAAGTAAATACGGCGATATAAAAGGGGTTTTAAATCAAAAACTATAAGTCTAGTCTCATAATTTGGAATAAGAGAAGAAGGGAATTTTAGCGCAAAAATGGTGGATTTGTCTGAACTTGTTGGCATTCAAAAGCTTAAAGTTTGCTCGATTTTTTTGGTAAAATAGGTTATTAAAGACAGGTTAAACTAGTCATTCTATACGACTAAATAGCTAAGCTCGACTCTTTGCTCAAGATCTAGTGATCTACTAGATTCCTAGTAGTTCTACCTAATCCAGCTTCTCACCACTATCAACATCAACATCAACATCGCTGTCTAAGGTGTTTGATGATTTGATGTTTTGCTTTAGCGTTGATGTTGATAGAGCTGTAGAAGCTGTAGAAGCTGTAAAAGCTGTAAAAGCTGTAGAAGCTGTAAAAGCTGTAGAAGCTGTAGAAGCTGTAGAAGCTGTAGAAGCTGTAGAAGGTATCCAATTTTCTTAAAACACCCATTAAAGTACCAAATTCTTTTCTTTTAAAGTATTTAGTGATAGAAAAGGGGCCCTAAGAAAAGCCAGGTGAAACCAAGAGAATTTATTTTGCCCAGCTGATAAGATTCACAAAAGAGCCAAAATTGGCGTTGAAAGGAGCGTCGCGTAGCCGCTAAAATCGAGAAATTTGCTCGAAAATCGTCAGAAATTGTTTTTTTTCTTGAAATCTCCTCAAAAATTGCCAAACAGTGCGCGTTTTTCTCAAAATCTCCTCAAAAACGGTGATATTTTCAATAGATTTTCTCAAAAACTTCAAAATTTCCTCTCTTTTCCTGTTTTTTTTTCATTAGAAACGTTTTCCTGAGTGTTCGTTTGAGAAAAATTTGTTCTTTGCATCATTTTTCTCTTTCTTTTTTCATTTTTGATGTTTTGATTTGCTTTCAATATTGGAATTGTTTATTTTTTTAGTGAAAAATGTTCAACTTACGGGATCGGATGAAAGGAGTCGATCCAGATCGAGAATACAAAAAAGTGCACACGGCTATCAGGGAAAAGCTTCTGGCACAAGGTGGATTTTTTGATTTAAGCGTCTTAGGCTTAGGCTTAGGCTATATTTAAAGCTATATCTTAGGCTTAGGCTATATTTAAAGCTATATCTTGGGCTTAGGCTATATTTAAAGCTAGATCTTAGGCTTAAGAAAATTCTAAATACATTTGTTTCTAAAGATTTTCTAAATGAGCCACTAATATTAGGTTGGAAAGAAAGTTCGTCGAAAAAAGTTTGCACAGTGATTTCTCAAAAACCAATTGATGATGGATATTAGATTAGATATATTACTCAAAAAGTGACCAAGTCACTTAAGCTGAAGAAATCTCATTTTTTTACCTGAAGCCCACTCTAATTTTTTGTCAAAAACTTTTTGAAATAAGTAAAGTTTATCAAAAAAAGTGGGAAGAATTCATGGCCTGGTTTTTAAGAAATCAATGGATGCAATTTGTTCTATTTTAGAAGTGAAAGATCTGGAGACGAATCTTCGCAATCAGAACATTTGTCGAATTCGCTTCCCTGAGTTGCCCGCACTGCACGAGATCGAGCTCACCATCACACCACAGGTCGATTTTAATGATTTTAAATTTGAGAATTAGCGTTATTTTAAGCTAGATTTAGCAAAATTCAGTTAAATTCAGTTAAATGTAATTAAATTCAGTCAAATGCAGTTAGATTCAGTTAAAAGCAGTTAAATTCAGTTAGATTCAATCAAAAGCAGTTAAATGTAATTAAATTCAGTCAAAAGCAGTTAAATTTAGCTAGATTCAGCCAAATGCAGCTAGATTTTGTTAAATTCAAACAGATTTTCCTAAACAACCAATCGGTTAGATTCAGTCAAAGGCAGTTAAATGTAAGAAGTTAAATGTAATGTACTTCTAATCAAAAGTTGCTAAATTTAGCAAATTTATTTTTTGTAGCTCTATATCTGCATATCTTTGTATTAAACCCTAAACATATTTAGATTTAAAATACTCAGAGAAACTTTCTAATAAAAGTAGCAAAATTATAAGTCGAGGAGCTAAAAATTGAGCTTTACTAAATGTGTTTGGTGTTTTTTTCGGTAAACCCGGCAGATATCGACCTACAAACAAAGAAATTTTGCTACTTTGATTAGAAGTAAAACAATTATCGTTATATCTTTAGGAAGGCCTCTATCGCGACGGGATTTTCCGATTTCATATCACCGTCCCGTTGGAGTATAACAATGTGGTAAGAAAAGAAGTGAAGAAATTAGCAAGAAAAAGATTTCCGCATAGGGGATTGAACCCTCGACCTTTTGCTTAACCACTTTTACTTGACAAGTGCTCTAACCACTGAGCTATCTGGTACCTAACTTCCCAGGAGAGAGAAAGACAAGGAAGAAGAAAGAAGGAAATCTTTATTAAAGCTTTGTTTTTTGCTTAGCTTTTATATCTTATTGAAACTTAGATACTATCAAACTTGGATTTGATACTATTGTTTTTTTCTTTCAGCCACCCCAAGTGAAGTGTCTGACACGAGTATGGCATCCAAATATCAATGAAGATGGGACAATTTGTTTGTCACTTCTGCGCGAGAATTCTGTCGATGATTTCGGGTGGAGACCGACGAGGAATTTGCTGGAGGTTTGTTTGGTAAAAGCTGGTTTTTTTTTTGTAAGACTGGAGGTGTGACCTTTAATCTTATCATCGGGAATGATTTTGTTTCAGAATAGCCGAATTGTACAGAAAGTTAGACGGGTTTCCCCAAAACGATTACAAAATAACAAGACGCAAAATTCAGGATAAGGTTAACGCTCATGATACGAGTAAAAAACGGATTGACGGGTTGATGGCAACATAAATATTAGCGATTTATAAATTTTCTGAAATAATGATCTTTTTATTGAATTGGAGCACTTTCTATTTTAAATATGATTTTTTTAGAGAAATAAGTGAACTTTTTAATGATAATACAGCGTGTCATTTGAAAAAATAGTAGTATTGTTATAGTAGTTTACGGTTTATTAGCGTAGAATGAAAAGCCCACGATTCCTGTTACAAAAATAGCGTGCGCATTACATTAAACATTAAATCTCGAAAGAAAGAAAACGAGAGCAAACTCCAAACCCAAAAGCCCGAGAAGCCATAAACATAAGTTCTGTCTAAAAGCTAAAAAAGAAATTTCGGATTAGAGAATGAGACGAAAAAGCGACACAAATTAAATGCAAATAGGAACGTAATTTTTGAAGGAAACGGACTAGCCCCTGGCCCTGTATGTGACCTGAACTGTTTTTTTGAGCAACTCTAGCAATTTTGTGTTCCAGGTGGTTCACGGTTTGCAATCACTCTTCGGCGATCTCATGGATTTCGACGATGCGCTGAATATGGAGGCTGCAAAGCAGTACAGGTTAGTAAAGACAAGAAGAACGACTCGAATAGCTTATCGATCACTAAATCCGATGCTTAACAGATTCACGACAAAGCCATTTTGTCTTGATTGCCGTTTCTACAGCTATCTATGCTTTGTAACTGGAGGCATTGTAGGATAGAGAGTCTGAATCCGTTATTAGTTTTTGAGCAACTTTAATTTCCGAGCCAATACGGTCATCAAAAAGCTCTCTAAAACTTGGGTAATTAAACAAAATGAAACCAAACTTGGGTAATTAAACGAAGTCCAAAAATAGAGTAGTTTTATTTTAAGAACTAATACGACTACGACTCAAACAAGATCCCAATGTTTGACTGCAGAAATCTGCCGTAAGATTCACTAATTTTTTTAGCTCAAATCGAGGTGAATTCTCGAATCGGGTCAAAGAGTACATCAATCGCTTTGCCAGGACTTGAAGGAATATCGAATGGTTGAATATTTTGAAAATTTGTAAATAAAGTTAAGATGAAGGCGAGAAATTGCAAAATGGCAAAGTTTTAAAACCGTAAATGCAGCAAAAAAAACACTGAAATAGCTACAGTGACCTTTGCACTAGGTACAGTACCTGCTGCAGTACAGTACAGTACCTGCTACAGTACAGTACTGTACCTGCTGCAGTACAGTACAGTACCTGCTACAATACTTACAGTACGATTTGTTACTCAGAAGAGGCGAACATTGAACAATTTTATATGAAATAGCTCTCTAATAGGGTCACTTTATGAGATTTATCTAATTTTTTGACTACAAAACTATCCATTACAAATCAAAGGGCGATGAATTAATGAAATGAATTACAGTAGTACTTTCTAAATTGCAACTGTCTGCAAAATGCGTCATTTGGCGAGAAAACTACAGTAACCCGAGTATAAACGAAAGCGCCAGCAAAAAAAATTCATTTCATTTTCATTTCAGGAATTTTAGCAGTTTTTTTGACGTTGTACACCGCTTCTTTTGCGCGGTTTTCTTTAGGTTTCTCGTCCATTTCAAACAAACAACGCCAAATTCAACTCAGCGATGTTTTCAAATGCTTAACTTGACTCGAAACAATGGGATTGTGCACGAATTCTCAACCCGAACACTTCAAATCAACGTAATCTTCTAGTTGCAGGCTATTGTAGTTGTTGTAGTTATTGTAGTTATTCTAGTTATTCTAGTTATTCTAGCTATTCTAGTTATTCTAGTTGTTCTAGTTGTTCTAGTTATTCTAGTTATTCTAGTTATTCTAGTTATTCTAGTTATTCTAGTTATTCTAGTTATTCCAGCTATTCAGCTATTCCAGCTATTGTAGTTATTTTAGCTATTGTAGTAACTCGTGCTACCATTAATGCTAAAACTGATTTTCTAGATTTCTTAAGTCGTCTTTTAATCATTTAGAGAAATTAATGTTTGGGTAGGATTGAGACTTTGTCTTTGAGGCTTAGGACAAATCTTTGAGACGTTGAAGATGAAGCAAATCATTGAGACGTTGAAGGTGAAGCATTGAGACGTTGAAGATGAAGCATTGAGACGTTGAAGGTGAAGCATTGAGCCGTTGAAGATGAAGCATTGAGCCGTTGAAGGTGAAGCATTGAGCCGTTGAAGATGAAGCATTGAGACGTTGAAGATGAAGCATTGAGACGTTGAAGCAAAAGAAAAGCAAAGTTGCGATAGTTTAGTGCTTACAGAAAGTGCAAATTTTAGGAAATGGATTAAGTTTTTCTCTCTTTTTCCATTTTCTTTCCCCCCAGCTGAACTCTTGCTCCACTTTTTCCTTTCCCCTTTCTCTCAAAACAAATCTCTTTCCACACTTCAAACGCAAAACTGAGCTGAAAAGGAGAGACCCAGCCGTGTATCGATTCTCCTTATGCCCACCATTTCTTAGGCTTCTCTTTGAGCTTTAAAGTTTGATAAAACCGCTGAATACTCATAGTTTTATCGCATAATTTTATCTCGTAGCTTTAGAAAGTTGATTTGCGCAAATTTTTTTGTTTGTTTTTTTTTTGTTAAATTCTTTTTGTCAAATTCTTTTTAGATGCCGACAAATACGGATATTTGCTTAATATTTGCAATATTTCTTTCAATTTTCTGTTCTTGTCAAGGAAATGAGGATGCAAAACGGCTATATGATGATTTAATGGTTCATTATAATAGGTAATGCTTATTATAATGCTTAATGCTTGATGCTTGCCTGCTTAATGCTTAATGCTTAATGCTTAATGCTTGATGCTTAATGCTTAATGCTTATTATAATGCTTGCAAAAGGTACAAACTTTAATAAATGATTACAGTTCGACAAGTCCCATTTTTAGCCCCAGTGACCCAACAAAATGCTCTTTCATTCACTTAGCTTTCCCATTGTTGTCGGGTAATTAAACCGATGCTAAAAATGGGATCTGCGTTCTTTTTGCGTGCTTTCTTTTTGTACATAGCTTCTCCGAAAAAGCGCAATCTGGGGCTGAGGTTTTTTAGGCTTTTTTTAGGCTTAGGCAATCGGGCTAATGAGCTAATGAGCTTCAAATAAGCGAATGAGAGCGGTACAATTACCCAAGTGCTCCAGATTGAGATTTTCTAAATGAGACATCAAAAAGAAGCCTTTAAGCTTTAAGCCTAGCCAAACAGATTACACCAAATGACGTTCTTAATGCAAATTTTGAAATGTCTGAGATCTTTCAATTAGTTGATTGATTATTCATTAGCATCCTTTTTGCACTAGTACTAGTTTTCAATTTTAGGGTATTGTAGGCCTGCAGTAAGCTTACAGTAAACCTACAGATCCAGTAAGCTTACAGTAAGCCTACAGATCCAGTACACTTACAGTAAGCCTACAGACCCAGTAAGCCTACAGATGCAGTACGCTTACAGCAAGCCTACAGATGTAGCAAGCTTGCAGATACAGTAGGATTACAGTTACAGTACGCTTACAGTAAGCCTACAGATCCAGTAGGCTTACAGTAAGCTTACAGATACAGTAGGCCTACAATAAGCCTATAGATAGCCAAAAGGACTTTGTCTTTACAGTATCTTTAAGCTAGGTTTTTAGAAAATAAGCTAAATAACATCTTTAGACATCGCCGACCAGCCGTCAACCCAAAAGAGGCGACGACGATCAAATTGAAGTTACGACTATCGCAAATCATCGATGTGGTGCGTGCTTAGCTTAAACTTAAATAGAATAAAAGATACTTCTAGCCGAGGTCATAGAATTTGTGCTTTTTGGCAGGTTCGAAGCCCACTGTGCCCGGTTTAATTACCCAATTTAAAGCCCGGTTTAATTACCCAATCGAAGCCCGGTTTAATTACCCAATTTAAATTTAAACGGGAAAAGGTTTCCATAATAGAATCGTCCAAATCGAGCAAATTTACTGTAAATTTGGGAACCTCGGCTTTTCGATATGGAGAATTCGATGGAATGGCAATTATAAAGGATTGGCTTTGAAAAATGATCTCCAATCAAATTCTGCTACGAGGCAGTTGCTTAATAAGAGGCAGTTGCCTTGGGAGGGATCCCAGGCTTAGGCTTAGGCTTAGGCTTCGGCCAATTGGCCATTTTACGAGTTCTGTTCCTCATTTTCCCCATGTTTTGGTTACAAATTACTCTAAGGCCTACTGTAGCTAAAATAAAGTACTCTAAGGCCTACTGTAGCTACTGCCTACTGTAGCAGTAAGCCTTAGAGTTACCGCGCGGGTTTAAACCATAGGAATCGGAGATTTTCAATTCAAAATCATTCACAGGGAGAAAGAAGTCGATCGCTTTTCGTCCGCTCAATTGTATCAAAAATTAGATTTTACTTTTTGAGCTTTTGAGCTTTTTAAGCTTTTTGAGCTTTTGAGCTTTTTAGCTTTTTAAACTTCTTTTTAAAAAATCCTTATACTACTAACAGTTTCTAGAATTCTTTAGCTTTCAAAAGAAACAAATTAACATTAAAAGATTTTAGGCTGAGCTCGCGCAAGTGATGACGTGCAGTGTCTGGTTGAGACAGGTGAGTACTCATTTTTGGATACGGAAAACTAATTTCCATTGTACTAATTTCTATTTTTTCTCGAAATTTTCATTTTTTTTATCGCCAATTTTCGCCTCTAGTCGCAAATTTCGTTTTGCGAAGGCGGCGCAAATTTCGTTTTGCGAAGGCGGCGCAAATTTCGTTTTGCGAAGGCGGCGCAAATTTCGTTTTGCGAAGGCGGCGCAAATTTCGTTTTGCGAAGGCGGCGCAAATTTCGTTTTGCGAAGGCGGCGCAAATTTCGCAGGGCAAAATTCAGCGGCGCAAAAAAACTTTCGACAAATTCGTGAGTGCCATTTTCGCTTCTGGTCTTTTGACGCAAAATTCGTCGGCGCAAATTTCGTTTTTGGCTTACCGCGCAAATTTCGCGGCGCCAGCGTGATTACCCGGCACTTTAGCACAAATTAAGGGGGTGGGACAAATGCGACCTTTTTTTTGCTGGAAAAGGCCTTAGGAAAGGTCGTAGAGCTTCAAAAATGTTTTCATGGAAGGGAATCGTATGCGTAGATTCAGAATTTTGACAAATCAGACCTCGTTGACACGTCAAATTTGGGCTAAAAGGCAAAAACTACGCAACTTAAGGCTTTTCCGCAGTTTTTGGCCTTTTAGCCCAAATTTGACGTGTCAGCGAGGTCTGATTTGTCGAAATTCGGAATCTACGCATACGATTCCCTTATATGAAGTATTTTCGAAGCTCTACGGCCTTGCCTAAGGTCTTTTCCAGCAAAATAAAGGTGCGCAAAAAAAGGTCGCATTTGTCCCACCCGCAAATTAAAGCAAATTCTAATCAAAATATTTTCTTTTTGGCTTACCGCGCAAATTTCGCGGCGCAAGCATGATGACCCGGCACTTTAGCACAAATTAAAGCAAATTCTATTCAAAACGTTCAAAATATTCTCTTTTTGTCTTTGTTAAAGTCTTTTTTGTCTTTATGAAACTCTTTTTTGTTTTTCAGGTTTGGATCGACAAGAAACTCTCGTGGGATCCGCGGAATTATGGAGGTGTTTCGGTGCTTTACGTTCCCTATGAGATGATCTGGGTGCCCGATATTGTGCTTTACAATAAGTGAGTTATTATCGTTTTTCTTTTGGAATTTTTTATTGTATGAAGATTGAGTTCAACTAAGCGATAATAGCATTTTAAAATTTCATTTATTTAGTGCCGAGAGCTACTACAACATCACCATTTCCACCAAAGCGACATTGCACTATTCGGGAGAGGTTAGTGAAGTTTCTTGGTGGAAATTCGAGCATTTTCTTGTTTTTTCTATTTTCTATATTTTCTATATTAGTTTTCATAACAGTTTATTAATAGATTAAACAAAAAATGATCTTTAAAAGCTAAAAACCAAAACAAACAAGAATTTCGGCTCTATTTTGTTTTATTTAGGTCTAAAAGTATCAAAATAAAGTATTAGGAAACTTTTCTTGTGTAAATTTGTTCAAATAATTGTAGAAACAAGGCTTATTTGATTCAAAAAGCTTTAAAAAAGATAATTAGATCAAAAGAAAAGTTTTCTAATACTTTATTACCCTTTTAGATCTAAATAACACAAAATAGAGCCGAAATTCTTGTTTGTTTTGGTTATTTTGGTTATTTTCGTTTTTTTAAGATCATCTTTCCAAAAAAGAATAATTTTTGTTTAATTTATTGATAAACTGTTATTAAAACTATCAAACTATCAAACTATCATACAATTACTATCAAGAAAATAAAAAGAAACAAGAAAATGTTTAGATTTCAGGCAAGTTAGTGGTTAGTGAAGTTTCTTGGTTGAAATTCGAGCATTTTCTTGTTTTTTCTATTTTCTATATTAGCTTTCATAACAGTTTATCAATAGATTAAACAAAAAATGATCTTTAAAAGCTAAAAACCAAAACAAACAAGAATTTCGGCTCTATTTTGTTTTATTTAGGTCGAAAAGTGTCAAAATAAAGTATTAGGAAACTTTTCTTTTGTAAATTTGTTTAAATAATTGTAGAAACAAGGCTTATTTGATTCAAAAAGCTTTAAAGAAGGTAATTAGATCAAAAGAAAGGCTTTCTAATACTTTATCACCCTTTTAGACCTAAATATAGACCTAAATAACACAAAATAGAGCCGAAATTCTTGTTTGTCTTGGTTATTTTCGTTTTTTTAAGATCATCTTTCCAAAAAAGAATCATTTTTGTTTAATTTATTGATAAACTGTTATTAAAACTATGAAACTATCAAACAATTACTATCAAGAAAATAAAAAGAAACAAGAAAATGTTTAGATTTCAGGCAAGTGGCAAGAAAATAAGGTTGTTCCCCTCTTTGCTTTGATTTACTCGCACTACGAGATTCTAACTTGATTCTCGTTACGTATCTAGATCTAAAATCTAAATTTCTATCTGAAAATTGTAACATTTTACTTAATAATATAGCAAATATAGCAAATTTGGTCAGTATTAGCAAATATAGAGGGGCTAATAAGTATTGTCGCGTGATTAAATGCGTGTTACTCCTCGAGTTTAATTCCAAATCTCATAAATAACATATCAAAATGTTGCTAAGAGTCTAGGGAATCTAAATATGTACATATGTTACGTCCGAATCCGACCAGGCGTCCGATCCATCTGATCGTGCGATCCGGACGTCCGAATCCGATCACAACCTTTGTGAGTTTTTACTAAAAAAAATTTTCTCAAAAAATTCTTGTACTAATTCTTTTTGCATTAGATAGAACACCTTATCGGCTACATTTTAACATATAATACATAGCAAAATCTCATAAGGAAGATGAGAAAAATACGTTTGACCCGTCGCCCCGATCCGAAGGGGCTTTCAAACAGGTTTTCTTGCTAATTTAAAAAGATGTTGGCATGTATTATATGTCAAAATGTAGCCTATAAAATGCTCTATCCAATGCAAAAAGAATTAAAACAATAACTTTTTCAGAAAGAATTTTTCAGTAAAAAGAATGTGATCGGATTTAACATATACATGGATTTTTTTAAGTAGAAGATTTAGTTCTTTTCCGTTATACATCTACAAAAATAAACCCCCGATCATTTACGTTATACATCCGCCACATCTTGCCGCAAGTGTGGATATTTGAAGGAGTTTTGCCGAGAAACCATGGAATGTTTTCTGGTCGAGGTGGCCGACCGCTCGGTCAAGACTCTATTGAAAGCGATTATTGAACACATCGGGCCGAGAACCCAAATTTACTCCGATTGTTGGCGAGAATATGACACTCAATAGATGAAGGAAGCCGGCTTTACCCACGCTCAACTCAACCACAAATACAAATTCCTGAATCCTGCCATCTGCCATCTGCCTGGATCTGCCTGAATCCTGCCATCTGCCTGGATCTGCCAAATGGAGAAACAAGAAGCATCGCGGCACGCCAGGCCCATTTTCTATCGAGCTACCTCGCTGAATTCATGGTCCGACAAGAAGTGGGAAAGGACGATTTCTATGAATGGATGTTGCAACAAATTGCAACAACAAATGCAACTACAGCATGGATTCCTCATTGATCTTATTTTGATGTTTATTTTTTTGATTATTTACTTTTGATTTTAATTAAATTGATCGATTTTTGTTTATTAGATGAACAGGGGTTTATTTTTGCGGATGTATAACGAAAAAGTACTAAATAGAAAATTTGATACCAACCGAAGCTTCTTTTCCATTAACCTAGTAGATTTTTAGTTAATTTGCAAAATAGAATGGGTTTTAGAATGGGAAAAGTACCGAAGACTTTATTGCAATTCTTGTGCTTTTCAAAAAAGGCACTTTCCCACTTTTCCAGGTCAATTCTAAGGTTCTTATCAAGGAAAATTTTTATTTATTCAGCTAACTTTTCAAATTTTTCTCTAAAATGTTTCCCTAAATATTTCTTTATTGGGGAGTGGGACAAATGCGATCTTTTTGTTGTTGTTGTTGTTTTTCTAGGTAATTTGAGGGTGTCGAATTCAAATTTTGACATAACAGAGCGTGTGGAACCAATTTGAAAGGCAAAACGGCTAGATCAAATTACAGAAAAGTGTCGATTTTTCTCTTTGTATAACTCCGTCCGTTTGTTTCCACAAGCTCTGATATGCCAAAATTTCGATTCTACGCCCTAAAATTACCTAGAAAAACAACTTTTGGAATAGAAATTGGTTAATATTAGCTTTTTAGAGCCTTTTTAAAACGCGAAAAAAGGTGCGCTAATGGGCAAGGTGCGCAAATGTCCGGTTGGCAAAAAAAAAAGGTCGCATTTGTCCCACTCCCCACTTTTCCACTTTTCCAGGTCAATTCTAAGGTTCTTATCAAGGAAAATTTTTATTTATTCAGCTAACTTTTCAAATTTTTCTCTAAAATGTTTCCCTAAATATTTCCTTATTGAAATAATTTGTAATTTAGCTCAAAGGAACGATTTTAAAAAAAATTGTAATATTCTTTATGGCTCTCATTTTTTCTTTTTTAAAAAGAAAAGTAAAAAAATTGGTGTCTAAAAGCCAAATCTCATCTATAGCACGTGTGGCTGACTGGTTAAGTGTCTTTTATCTTAATCGGAAGGTCGAGGGTTCGAACCCCACATGCGACATGGTCCCCCCCCGACCCCCCCTCCCTTCGGGTTGAGGGGGGGGGCAGTCGGGGGTGTGGCCCCACTAAAGTGACAAGCCACTCCTTCATCGTCATCTCCCTTCACCACCAAAAAAGCTATTTAGTTCCCCATTGAGCTTAGGGTTAGGGAGCCGTCTGTCACGCGGGGGTTAAGTTAAGATATAGCCTAGTATTGTGTGTGTCGTTGTATTGTGATTGATATATTTCGTGTATGCGATAAATTCACCACTGGTAGCCCCAGTCGGTATTTTTTTATCCACTCGATTTTTCACTTAAAAAAGTGCTAAAATGAAGCATTTAAGCCAAATTTTACTTTGCTTTTTGATTTGGATCTTCTGAGCATCCTTCACAAAAATATTTTGCATTAAACTTTTAGAAAAAAACGAGCAAAGTACTTTTTTTGAAAAGCAATCGCAATAAAATAGCAACAAAATAGCAATAAAATCTTTCACAGTCATTCACATCTCAAAAATTTACACTTATATTTAGATTCCCTAGACTCTTAGCAACATTTTGGTATATTATTTATGAGATTTGGAATTAAACTCGAGGAGTAACACGCATTCAAGCACGCGGCAATGCTTGTCAACACTTAGTCACCTTTTAGATGTACGATAAAATAACAAAACTGAGCACGTGACAGAAATATGGACAATTTTTCGGATAAACTTATCATTTAAGCATCAAAAATCTCGAAAAGGCCGTTTTTCCCTGGAAAATCACCGATCAGACAGCTTCCAGCCAAATCTCGAAAATGTGCTTCAATGTACTTTCCGATCTAGCAAAATCTGACCTAGTCTGGCCTAGTCTGGCCTTGCTTTAATATTTTCTTGGAATCTGTCCTAACCAGAAATTTTGATTGAAATTCCAGGTGACTTGGGAGCCGCCAGCGATTCTCAAATCCCTTTGCCAGATCGACGTCGAGTGGTTCCCGTTCGATGAGCAAAAGTGCAATCTCAAATTCGGCTCGTGGACCTACGACGACAATTTGCTGCAATTGGATTTGCTGGGTGGGTGAAAAGAAAATTTTACCCGTTCTATATAAGATTCTAGAAAACAACGTTCACCACGAGCTGGAGAAAAACGAGTTGGGCGAGATGGACAATGTGACAATCGCCAATGATGGCATTGGTGAGGGGGAATCTCTTTTGGTTTTAGCTTTATTTATCATTTATCTCATTACCGGTTTGTTTTTCTTTGATAGAAACCAAATTGGTTCTGTTTAAATACAAGATGACTAAAAGTTTTGATCGAAAAGCAATCAAAAACAAAGAGAAACTGAAAAATGGTTATAAAAAAACATCAGCTGATAATTTTTCTTTTCTTTTAAGTAATCCGAGAATTTGTAAAGTGATCTTGTAATTAAACAGAGCCAACAAATCTTCTAGATCTTTCCGATTACTATCCATCCGTTGAATGGGACATTATGTCGAGAGTGGCAAAGAGGAGGAGCAAGAATTATCCGAGTTGCTGTCCCGGATCGGCTTACATGGATATCATTGTAAGTGGATTGTGTAGCTTTATGTATCATTGTAACTAGTACTGTGGGGTTACTGTATGATCTGTATCAGTAAATTCTAGTACTATCTGGTGCTTCGCCGTAAGCCACTCTTCTACACCGTTAACTTGGTCTTTCCATGTGTTGGGATCTCTTTCTTGACCATTCTCGTCTTCTATCTTCCGTCGGATTCAGGAGAAAAGGTCAGATCATATAGCTTTGCTCTGGGGCATAGACATAAAGTTCAGGTAACGCTATGCATTTCGATTCTCGTCGCACTGACTATCTTCTTCTTGCTACTGGTGGGTTTAATGCTAAAGCTGAGCTTCAGACTTCAGGGCAAACGCTTTGTCAGATTGTCAGACAGAGCAGTTGTTCAAATTGTAAGGGCAGAACAGAATCCAGCTCCTTTAAGGCCAGAACAGAATCCAGCTCTTGTCGGACCTGTGAGAAGCCAGATTTAACTTTTCGCCTGATCTAGCTTTACAGATCTGCTAAATATGAACCATTTTCAGACGGAGATCATCCCAGCCACCTCGACCACCCTTCCCCTCATCGGCAAATATCTTCTTTTCACGATGGTGATGGTCACTCTATCCGTTGTTGTCACCGTCATTTGTGAGTTCTCGCTCAGTTCTTGTGCATGAGCACAAAATACCGTAAGGGTCTGGGCAAAGGATGTTCCAACCTTGGCCTGTAAGTCAGGCCAAGACTGTTTCTGGACCGAAAATTTCAGGTCAGGCCATAAATCAATATGACCTGGCTAGCCATGGACCTTTCGATCTACAGTAATCTGTTCAAGGGTTACCGTACCCTGGGTACCGTTAAGCTTATGTTAATTCATGATTTTGCAGCGTTAAACCTCCACTTTCGCACCCCAACCACGCACATCATGCCGAATTGGGTGAAAACCGTGTTCCTCAACTGGTTACCGAAGGTTTGGATAACTGTATCTAAATATATCTAAAGTTATATATATCTAGATCTAAATATTAGGTTGGAAAGAAAGTTTTCGGAAAAAGACTAGAATTTGACTAGAATTTCTTAAAAACTTATTTTAGGGTTTAAATGGGACTCATTACCTATTCATTAACGCATTAAAACTTGTCTAAAGGCTGGTCACTCAAAAAGTGACCAAGTCACTTAAGCTGAAGAAATCTTATTTTTTACCTGAAGCCCACTCTAATTTTTTTTGTCAAAAAACTTTTTGAAATATAGTAAAGTTTATCAAAAAAAAACTGGGAAGAATTCATGGCTTGGTTTTTAAGAAATCAACATGCAAACTTTTTCTACGAACTTTCTTACCAACCTATATATCGAATCTAATATCCCACCTCTAATATCATCTAATATCACTTTCCAGATGCTTTTCATGAGGCGTCCATTGACCGAAGCCGAGGAGGGCTTCAAGAAAGTGAACCCAAGAATGTTATCAGTTGGTGAGAGAGCTTGAAATGTGACTTAACCTTAATTACAATCAAAATAAAACTGTAGTATACTGATATGTAAATCTTACCTAAAAAATCTTTAGGTCCCACAACACTGGACGGAAAAATCCCGCTCAACTTCCACGAGCATCGAGTGAAAGAGAATGCGGTAAGGGTTTTTATCCATTTTTAGCTTCTCAGTATCAAATTATCTAGTCTTACGGTAAATTTGAGCACCCTTTGGCGCCGATTTTGGTAATCTGAGCATAGCATGTTACGGTAGATATTGTCTTTTTTAAGTCTTAAGGCACTGGCTTAATCTTACTGCGGATTGGTCGAATAAAAGTATCACTTTTAAAACAGATTTAGTTGGGTTTGCTTTAAAATTTTAGGTAAAATATTGATTTACAGCTGAATATCTTTGTGGATTACGTAAATATAATTTTCTTTTTCCAGGGTGGTTTCGGACGAGCGCTGGCAAATGCGGCGATTGATGAAAGGATTCAGAAGTTGTACTTCTCGCCACAGGTTTGTGTTCTAGAGTTAGCCATGAGTACTGTAGCCATCTAAAGACGGGTTACTGTAGCTCGAAGTACTTTAGTTGAGGGTTCATGTAGCCCGATTGATGAAACTATCATTTAAGCTCTAAAATGTTACCGTAGCCCGCTAAAGAGCAGTATTGTAGAAAAGCTGCAAAAAGACTTACTGTAGCCTCTAAAGAGGCCATGATTATTAAAGACCGTTGAGTACTGTAGCCTAAAGAGAGTACTGTAGGCCCAAAGGGGATTACTCTAGCTAGTGGTTACAGTAGCCCTGACTATCTTATATACAGAAAAACGTTACAGTCCAGGTCAAGGTTAGAGCTAAGCTTGAGCCAAGCACAAACCAGGCTTCACAAATATTGATCTCTTTGAATTCAGGTGGTGAAATCCTTTGAGAACATTTGCTTCATCGCAGAGTTGTTGAAGAAAAAGGATCGCGACGATAAAGTAAGCGAAAAGCATTTCCTATTCCTTTCGACGGAAATTACCGTAATCATTGAAACATAAAGATTACGGTAGTTTAACAAAAAGGGACACGTTTTAGGAACAGATTCGACGAGAGAATCCATTCATTTTCATTTTCAGATCGACGAGGACTGGAAATACGTGGCAATGGTGTTGGATCGGTTATTTTTGTTGATATTCGCGACGGCGTGCTTCGTCGGGACGTTGTATATTTTGTTACAGGTTCACTTTGAATCCCACCCCCATATAATTACATAAAAACCCAATTGTTCTTCAAAAGCCTACAGTAACCCTTTCATGAAAAGAATCCAACTCGATCTTTTCCCAGGCCCCGACGCTTTTCGATGACGCGAAAGGCATCCCGCTACACAATGATCCGCAAATGGGCCGAACAAACATCAATCATTGACCAAAAGATGAGAGAACAACCATTGTTGTTTTGTAAAAAGCACTCAGCCTTGTAATAATTTATTGCCTTTGATAAATGGTGGAAATCATAGCATTCTACGGTAGTTCACTTTCAGCTACAATACTTTTTATTTCAACTACAGTCCAATCCTAATCCATAATATTCATGGTCACAACAATTTAAACAACACTTCCTTTTTCAACTCACTCTATTGCCTTTATTACTTACACAGGTAAAATGTATAATTTAGAAACATAAATACTACACCAAGATCGACCTCAAAAAGATACTTATTGCACTAAATTTAATAGAATTCTTATTATGATAGTGGTACAAGATAAAAAGTAGATTAAATTGGAGAAGAAAAGCTCAAACAAAATTATCATGAATTTTCGCTGACTAATAATCTAAAAACTCGCCTGGAATGTGTAGAAAAATGCACAAAAAAAGCCGGTACACAGTTGGCACTAAAGGAATTTCAAAAGCAAGACACCCATTCGCAAATGGGCAATGAACCTAAGTTGGAGAGTAAGGGTATTCGTGAACTTTCTCCCGAATACTCCAACTCGACTCCAACTCCGAGATCAACAACGCCGCCCGGTCGCCCTCGGATCGCCGCACGAAATCGATCAACGCCAGCATCCGCTTCACCCCGACCGCGATCACGATCTCGCGGCTAAACAAGAAAAGTTACAGTAAAATTTTGAAAATTTTGCCGCCCGAATAGCGCTTGAAAAGCTACCGTCACCCATATAACCCAGGTGGTACATGTCACAGTACCCCGAGTGTTTTTACTGCAGTTGTAAAGATTACATCCTAACATCAAATAACTTAGAGAAAGGAAATGAAAATATCTATGGCCAAACCCTGTAGATCTAAGCCGGGTTACGGTAGCCGGAGAGCACGTTTTAAGTGGTTACGGTATACGGGACACTTCACTTCAATAGTCCCTCAATTTCCGAACAAGCACCACACAAACCCGTTCTTGATTTTCTCTAAACGTTGCACGGCCGACTGCATCTCCTCGGCTTTGAACGCCTGCGACGTGTGCATCACTCGAAGCAGATGTTGCGGCTCGGTCAACATCGGCACGTCAATTTGATGGTCTGTAATGGAAGGAAATCAAAGGTCTGCAATGGAAAATCAACAAAGCTAGTTCGTAAAAACGTACCAAAGAATTTTAGCAGTCCAACTTGTTCGAGGAATTCCCGCTCAGACGATGTGGCCAACACGAGCAAACGATGACCCTAAATTCGAGAATTTCATTGATTTCACAAAGTGCACAAAATGCACATAATTTAATCTTTACCTCAGGCACAGGATCTCGTAGTAACACTCGAAACGCTTGTAGGACCAAATTCGAGAAACGTGGACCAATTGGAGAATAATCTGAGAAAATATTCGTAGCAATAAAAACCAACTCAAGCACCGCAACTCTCGGTTTAATTACCCACCCAAGATCGACTCAATATCATCCAAGAAGAGAATCGACAGCGGTGACTTGATAGCATCGGAGAAAGCCCGCTGAAGGGCTTGGCATTTCGCCATTTCCGAGAAGCCAATCATGTCGGCCGGAGAGAACACCTAAATATGGAATAAAAATTAGATATAAACTTGATAATAGCGCTTGTACTAATGTAAATCACTAAAACCTTTCATAAACCTACCCGAATGAACGGGAATTCGGATTCTTTCGCAATCTTCGCCGCTATACACGATTTTCCCGATCCAGAGGCACCTAGATTAAAAATTTAGCTGGAAAACCTATAAACTTATTACCTGACAATATGCACGTCACAAAACCAATGCTTTCCGGTTCACGAGTTGCCTAAAAAGGGGAATATTTATTTTATTTTGGAAAATGCCAAGCTCACCTCAACCAAGAGTCTTCCTTTCTTGAGAATATCGTTCACTTCATCGCACCATCCAATGTAGCCACGGCGCAAGAATTTCTGCACACTCTCCTCGGAACGACCGAAAGCCTAAAAAGAAATTTTAATTAAGCTTTGAAAAATTCTGAAAAAAAAGCAACGCCTTATTTTTTTATCAAATCGCGTAACTGATCCAGAAACACTCACTGGTTTAATATCGTTCTCCAGGGCCAACTCGAAATCGTTCATACAAACTTTCAGCTTTTCCACCGCTTCCTCATCAAGCGCTACCTGAAAAGCACAAAAATAGAGGTTTAGGATTGGATTTGAAATGATTTGGGAGCAAATAGCAGAACTAGCTACAAGTTTTTCCACAAAACCCAACCTTGTCACTCGTTTTCACGTGTCGATTCATGGCGATACTCTGCGCGGCGCGAACGAGACCCTCGATTTCGGCTCCCGAGAAGTTTTTCGTCTTCTTTGCCAACTCTTCCAAATTCACGTCGTTGTCGATTTTGTCGTACTCCCTGAAGATAGAATTGCATAATTATTATATATGTAAGATAACTTCAAAAAAATACCTCATTCTAGACGTGTGAATCCGGAGAATTTGCACTCGTCCATGCTCATCGGGCAGTCCGATCTCGATTCCGACCTCCAAACGACCAGGTCTAAGCAAGGCCTCGTCGATCATATCCTTCCTATTGGTCATGCCTAAAGCAAATGTTGAATTAGATAAGAAACAGGGTCATATCGCTGTTAGAATAGCCATATCTCCTCGCAAACCCACCAATCACAAGGATATTGTTCAACTGATCGACACCGTCCATCTTCGAGAGCAATTGATTCACCACCGTGTCGTGCACCGACGAGGATCCAGCCTAAAATTTTGGATTTATAACATCTACTCATCAATGGGATTTGCATTTATTCTGCATTTAAAACCGACCATAGAACCACGTTGCTTGCAAATTGCGTCGATTTCATCAAAAATGATGATGTGAAGTCCTGAATTGGCACCGGCTCGTTTCGCCTCCTCTTCGGCGTCGGCAAAGAGCTTACGGATGTTGGCTTCGGATTCACCGACGTACTAAAATAATATTATGAGAACCGGATACAAAATAAGTCATCAGTTGAATAGTAGAAAGTTTAACTTTTACTTTTGACTAAGCCAAAACAACTAAAATTATAGTTTGCATAAATTTTGAGTTTCTCAAAAGCAATTCAGTGGTTTACGGCTACCAAAATACAAGCCTACTTGACTAATTCAATAAAACTGTCATAGTCGTTAAAATTTCACAAACCTTGTCCAAAATTTGTGGCCCATTCACAATTTTCGGCTCTCTTGCGTTCAACATTTTTCCAATTTGACGAGCAATCAGGGTTTTTCCCGTTCCCGGCGGACCATAGAGCAGGATTCCTCGCACGTGTTTAAGTCCTAAAAATAAGATTAGGTTTTAAAAAATAATGGCCATTACTAGTCTGCTTTTGGCCATTACTAGGCCATTATTATACAGGGTAACCCACAATTAAAGCGCCACACTTCAGAGGGCCTAACATGAGCCAAAATTGGGTCAATTGTTCTGATTTTTCTGGAGGTAAATCTGGAGGAAGTATGTCTCCTGGACACAGTGCCCATTATCTAATCGATTCAAGCTTTCAACTTTTTTATATGGGCTTCCAAAGTCGAGAGACGAGTGTCATTCGGCACACTACTCATGGGATTTTGAAAGTTTCATTTTTTTTGATGAAAAGTCTTTAAGATTTTAATGATTTTCAATTAATCATATTTACTTATGAAATTTAAAAGCTCGGATTGACCTTGAAAAAATAAGATTTTCTTGTTCTTAAGTGGCTTCGCTGAAAGCCCTATAAATTGTTCAAGTGAAAACAGATCATATTAAGTGAGTTTTGATGACATTTCTCAAGAATTTTTGCACTTAAACTGCGTAGAGCATGTGAAATTTCGTTCATTAACATAATAAATTCAATCTCAACGAGATTTTGACAAGATCGCCCTCAAAAATCCCATAAATGAGTCACATGCCGAGCGACACTCGGCTCTTAACTTTGGAAGGCTATATAAAAAGGTTGAAAGGTTGAATTGATTAGATAATGGGCACCGTTTTAGGAAATATACTTAAGATTTACCTGCAGAAAAATCAGAAAAATTGGCCCAATTTTGGCCAATCTAGACCCTCTGAAGTGCGGTGCTATAATTGTGGGCCAACCAGTAGTGAAAGCTATACACTAACAAGTTTACAAGAATTAAATCAAAGTTCACTAACGATATTTTATCGATATGCCATTGCACTCTTTCACTTTCTATCGCCTAACTTATTAGTTTCCTTATCAAAAAACTTTACCAAGTTGTTCCGTGAATTCCGGTGGATAGAGTCGACTGGTGAAGGCACGTCGGAAAATCGCCGAAAATTGCTTATCCACACCACCAACGCCCAACTTTTGGAAGTCCCAATCTGGCGAGATGATTGATCGATACGATGATTTTCTGAAACCAAAAAATATAAAATGTTTCGATTATTTTACGCGCTTTAACTTCATTATGTCATTTCGTCATGTCTCAACTCACCCCTTGCTTTTTCCAATCAAATTGATCATACTGCCCTCTTCTTTGTCAAAAATGATGATGCTATTCGAGAAGAGTTGCCCGATTTGAACCTAAAAATAAAAAATGTCTTGAATTTTAAATTCCCACCAACTTTATACGGTTCAGCGTCTTGTTTCGCGTTCATGTCACCCAAACCTTCCATTGATTTCACCGTCAAATCCAAGAGATATTCTTTCTCGGTCTTTTTATCGAAGTATCTAAATAAAAGACAGGCTAGATATTGGAAAATGAGGTTAAGCTCAAAACTTTAAAAAAAAAAGCCCACTTGAAGATGAGAATCATTCCCTGTGTGAAAACTTGACCGCCGAACAAAATCGACAGTTCTTGGGCCATGTGATCCGAGTCGAGCGGCTCTTGAACAGTCCTAAAATTGGATATTCGTGGAATTCGAGATTTTGCATGGCTCTGGCTGGCTCTATAACTTGAAAATCTACAAAGCTTTATATCTACCAAAGTTACAAGTGCCAAACAAAATGATTTTCGGGTTTTACACATGCTACTGGTCCACGAGAATACCAAAAGTTTCCCTTTTATCTTGGCTAAAGCAAAATGCTTAGTTGAATATAAGTATTTCCTTACTTTGGAGCATTGACGTTTTTGCGAAAATCCACCGAGAAAGTGATCGTGCCGATGTAATTCTTCTGCGCGACTGTGTATGAGCGGAGAAAAACTTGCTCGTCAATCGAAACCATCGCCCATTTGCGTTGATACACTCTAAATATGAAAGATGATGTAAGAAATGGGTTAAGTAGTACTAAGAGTAGAATTTTAAAGCAATTTTACTAGATTTTATACTAGATTTTAAACCTTACCCAACACCACATTCTCCCGACTTGAGACCGGCGTCGAATTTGACGGAAAAGGCGAATTCTTGGTTGTTGCTTTTCCTCAGAGTGACATGTCTAAACGATTTTATGCTTATATTTTAATGCTTAAATTTTAATTTTTAAACTATTTCATATAAAAGCCCTACTTTGTTTTCCCTTTGTCAAAATCCTGCTCGGAGACGACGACGCAATTCGTGTAGGTCAACGCATCGGTCGGGATTTTCTTCACGAGCACTGGTTTCTAAAAAAGAAAACTTTTCAAATTGTTAACTTCAACAAATTTCAATAAATGTCTAACAATTCCAATAAATGATATCAACATATTCAGGTGCCGAATAAGCCTATATTCAGGTACCGAATAAGCAGAAGAAGTACTGATTCAACAAATTTAAAACAAGTTTAAAACCCCTGGGTGCACAAAATCAGCTCATTTGGCGATAAAATGTCGATTTTCGTAATCTACACTTAAAATTACTTCAGAAAAACATGTTTTGGAGACCCATAGCTGGGGGGAGGGCGAACTATACTCTTACCAAACCACTCACTTCTGTCATTGTTGCCGCTTCTCTCTATCCAACGATGATCGATTAATGTTGGCGTTAAATACCCAATCTGGAATTGATAAAACTTGAATAAAATATCAACATGAACAAGGTAACAACAAGAAAATGCTAAAAACTTTAAAAAATGAGCACAGAGAGTTTTCTAAACCAGTAGAATGAAATGGAAACTTTAGAAAATGAGCACAGAGTTTTCTAATGAAATGAAAGCCAGTAGAATGAAATGAAAATGAAAAAAATGGGTAAAGAGTTTTCTAAACCAGAAGAATGAAATGAAAACTTTAAAAAATGGGTAAAGAGGGTTTTCTAAACCAGTAGAATTAAATGAAAACATTGAAAAATGAGCACAGAGAGTTTTTAAACCAGATGAAATGAAAATGAAAAAATGTGTAAAGATAGCTTTCTAAACCAGTAGAATTAAATGAAAACTTAAAAAATGGGTAAAGATAGTTTTCTAAATCAGTAGAATTAAACGAAAACATTAAAAAATGAGCACAGAGAGTTTTGAAACCAATAGAATGAAATGGAAATGAAAAAAATGGATAAAGAGAGTTTTCTAAACCAGTAGAATTAAATGAAAACATTAAAAATGAGCACAGAGCGTTTTCTAAACCAGTAGAATGAAATGAAAACTTAAAAAATGTGCAAAGATAGCTTTCTAAACCAGTAGAATTAAACGAAAATGAATAAAAATTAAATTTTTCTTGTCCCTTATTTCTTGTACCTTAACTGAATATCTTTTTGCAAAGGTTTTAAATGAAAGTGCATTACAGAAATCATAATTTTCGTTAATTAGTTGATTTTTAAACATAGATTGAATACTTTTTATGATTTTTGATTTCAATTTGGTGTCCTAATGCAAAATTAAGTAAATTTCTTAACTGAAAACATTTACAGATAAGAAAAAAAATGGTGTTATAGAGAGCAAAAAGATTTCGGCATTAGAATAGAAAATTTTCGATGTCTGACGTGTTTTCTTGCACAGCTGATTCAGCACTGTGGGGGATGGTAAATCATTGTGCATAAGATATCCCCGTGCATAGGATCATTGTGGTGTTTGTGGACGAGAAGACAGTACGTCTACGTCTAAACACATTCTTTCTGGTGCACTCAATCAAATGATTTCTTCTTGCTTTCCCGAAAGACGAAAGACGAAAGACAGACGAAAGACAGACGAAAGACAGACGAAAGACAGACAAAAGACAGACAAAAGACAGACGAAAGACAGACAAAAGACAGACAAAAGACAGACGAAAGACAGACGAAAGACAGAAAGGATGTGACTTAACTCCTTCTGAAGTAAGGGCAGATTTTTGATCTTCCAACTTCCATCTTTCAGCACAAAGTTCAGGCACTAGAGAGGGTGTGTGTTGAGTAAAAGCAAAGCCCACAAAGGCAAAGGCATCAAAGCTTGTAAACGAAAAGATAGAAAGATGAATTCACAGAGAAAAGCGCAAATTTTACCCAAAGATGGATGACTCGTCGAAAAAGTGAAAAGGAGGAGAAAGCTCGCAAGAATTTCTCGTTTGTGCATTTTTTCGGGATGGAATTGAGGAAAAGATGTGTGGGTGAAGGAAGTATTGGAAAATCAATACACAACAACGGAGAGGGGCTTTCATGAATGGCCCCCATTGGGCCCATTGGACCATGAAATAGAAAAAAAAGCTGACTGGATAAGGGAAGAAGGCTTAAGAGATAGGATTTGAGCCAGAAATCAGAGGATTTGACTTACTTATTATTTCAATATTAGAATTAGAAAAAGGATGACTCGTCGAAAAAGTGAAAAGGAGGGGAAAGCTCGCAGAAATTTCTATAGAAGCTGTTTAGCACGCAAGCTGTTTAGCTCTTGTTGTAGAAGATCTAGAATGATTTTGAGTACTTTAACGTACACTAGACATAAAGTAAAACCAAAGGAAGATAAGAAGACAAGGATTTAAGCCTACTACAATAATAATGCTACTGGTTTTGCCAAACGAGAACGAGAAATCTGACTTCTGGCTTTGCAAAAACAAAAGAAATGAGTCAAAAGAAAGGAGGAAAAGGCAAAAGAGCTTTACAGAGACTCTACAGAGAGCTTAGCTACAGAGAGCTTAGCTACAGAGAGCTTAGCTACAGAGAGCTTAGCTTCTTTCCATTCCAGCCTTTAAAAATTAGTAGAAGTAGAAGTGAGTACCTTGAATACGTACTTTAATACGTACTTTAATACATACTTTAATATTGGGTTGGGGAGAATGAGTCGGCGCCAAACTTTAAAGGGACTTTTTGCACACATAAAGCCTTCTTTAAATATACCTTTGGTTTCATCAAAAGGATCCACTATTTCTCTACAAAATGACTTTTGAGAGATTCCACAAAGCTTTTCTTTCGTGGAGTTTATGAACTTCCAAACGCAGCTGGTTAAAATGGCAAAGAGTCCGACTCATCATTTGAACAGTTTCTTTCACATAAACCTTCTTTGGTGTTTATATAAAAAAGATAGAGCACATTCAATTACTTAAGTTGCCAAATTTGCAGGAAGATCCCACCAATGGTTTTTTCTAGATGACAGTTTGTAGTTTTTGTGAAAAAATGGCTTTTTCTTGAGCGGAGGCGCTGTTTGAATTTTCTTTTAAATGTGATTTTGTAGAGAATTAGTTAACCATTCTACTGATATCAAACGCATATTATTTGACGAAGTCGAATTGAAGTTTTAGACATTTTTTTCATTTTCGGCGCCGACTCATTCTCCCCAACCCAATACATACTTTAATACAGTACTTTGCAGTACTTTTGGTTAAGTTGTAAAAGTCATTAAAACAAAGCGAGACACTGAGACAGAGAGATCGACGAACAAAAATGTCACAAAACAGAAAAGAATATTTAAAATTGTTAACTATTTATCAACCTTTCAACCGGGACTTTATTGTTGTTTCTGTTGTTGTTTCTGTGGTTGTTTCTGTTGTTGTTTTGTTAAAAGTTTTGGCAATTTGACATCTGTAAAAGTCATTAAAACAAAGCCGTTCCAGAAACTGGTCCAGAAACTGGTCCAGAAACCGTTCCAGAAAACAAAAAGAATCAAAAACACTTAACTTCTTAAATTCTAGCAGTTGATCTTGATGAATTTGCGATGAAATGGCAAAGAAAAACGGTGAAAAATGAATAAAAATAATGGAAAATGGCTTTAAGCAGCTTTAAGCACTTTAAGCTTTACCGTAGCTAGTGCATTTTAGAATGCGTCACCAAAATATTTCTCTGTAAACGCTCTTGCGTGCTTGTAACTGCTATGGGTGCTATAACTTAACCAAAAGTACTGCAAAGTGCTGTATTAAAGTACGTATTAAAGTACTGCAAAGTACGTATTAAAGTACGTATTAAAGTACGTATTAAAGTACGTATGAAAGTACGTATTAAAGTACGTATTAAAGTACGTATTAAAGTACGTATTAAAGTACGTATTAAAGTACGTATTAAAGTACGTATTAAAGTACGTATTAAAGTACGTATTAAAGTACGTATGAAAGTACGTATTAAAGTACGTATTAAAGGTACTCACTTCTACTTCTACTACTTTTTAAAGTCTGGAATGGAAAGAAGCTAAGCTTTACCCTGAAAAGAGACAAGAGATGTGCGAGTCCATTTTCCGATATTTTCCGTTTCTTTCTTCTATTCCGATGTGGGGTAACCAGGAAAAAAAGCGAAAAAAGCAAAAAAAGAAAAAACGAATTTCAAATAAACGCCAAAATTTGTTCCAGAGAGGATGGGTTTTTTTGGGGGGAAAAGGGAAAAGAAACTCGGTTTGAATTGACTAATTTTAGTTCCAGGAAGATTTTCAAGAGTTTTAGAGATACTTTAGAAGTTGGAAAAGAAGGATTGACGAGAATTACTGGATTTTAAAATACCATTTCGATGGTTTCAATGAGTGAATGATGTTTAAAAGCTTTGCTTTGGCTTCTGCTTTTGCTTAGGCTCTTGCTTTTGCTTTTGCTTTGCTTTTGCTTTTGCTTTGCTTTTGCTTTTTCGAGTTAGAATTTTCCCAAATCTAATCTACAGTACTTTACTTAGAATAGAATATTTATTGCATTTACAATTTGTTTTTATTGTAGGTTACCTATTGTAGGTTATTGTAGGTCTAACCTGTTTGATGTCAGCTATTGGAGAAGGATCAAAGGGTGACGATGAAGAGACGACTTTCTTCTTCAAGCAACCCGGTTGCAATTTCATCTTATCTCTTGGCTATTGTTGTCGGTATGGAGGAAAACTCTAACATTCATATAAATTGATATAGGTGTACTTGAGAAGAGAGACATTTACCATGCAATTTTATGTTGAAACTTTAAGAAAAAATGGCGCAGACTAGGGAAAAAAGCTCGCTTGCATTGATTGATTCATGTCATCAGTCAATGCATTCCGCAAGTGAGTTAAGAAACTAAACTATGCTTTATTGCAGCTTTACTTTTATAAGATAAACCTGACTGTTAGTGAGCTTGAGCTGGGCAGCTCTAGCCGCTCTAGCCGCTGCTTTCTTAGCTTAGGCGAAGGAAAGGATTGTAAGGCTGACTGTTAGTAAGCTTGAGCTCGGTTCAGCAAAGGGATCCGAGATTTGAAAGAAAAATGGAGAAAGACTATTGCCAACAACAGAGAATATCTGGCTCTAGCCGCTCTAGCCGCTGCTTTCTTAGCTTAGGCTAAGGAAAGGATTGTAAGGCTAGGATTCGTAAGAATCGAGCCAGATTATCATTATGCGAACTTCTTGTGAGCTTTTCTGTTTCTAGATTATACAAATCTTACTAAATCGAGTATGGAGATTCAGAATCTGAAATCAAAATCCGCCAAATAAGCTTGCAAATAAAAATAAAAATAAAAAAGCAATAAAAAAATGCTTTAAAGCTTTAAAGACCTTGGATTGCAAAAAAAATTGAATCAAAGCTTTAAAGACCGCTTTTCAATCGCTGGCAGATGGGCATCGATGGTCTAGTGGATAGTAGGACGGCCTCTCGGTCGTAGGGTCGGGGTTCGGCTCCGTCCTTGGTTTTTAGTTTTTTTCTTTAGATGTTCTGCTTCATAAAATTATGCTAGTGATTTTCAGCCTCTAGTGATTAGATCACCATTGGCTAGCCGTGTCGTAGGCGGCCGCTCATGATTTTCAGCCATTGGTGATTTTCAGTGATTGAACCACCATCGTCTAGCCGCTTTGTTTTTATTTGATGCTAAATATTAAAATTTAAGTTTTTTAAGATCTCAAAAATATCTGATTTCATTATTATATTAACTGCAAGAAGCCGGCTTATTTACTCGTCTTTTCCCTTTTTCTGTTATTGTTTTTAATTGTTTATTTGAAGGTCAACTCAAAAAGGAACCAATTCACAAAATACTAAAAAAAAATGGCGATTTGATGGAAAGGAAAATGGAGAGCTTTGAAAAGGAGAGCTTTGTAAAGGAGAGCTTTGAATAAAGAAATGTGGAGTTCGATTTATTAACTGAATATTTCTTTACATATTGAATCTCTACTGCCAAATGTTAAATCTAAATATTCCTAACATCTCTAAGTTAAGCCAGAGCCTAGCCAGAGTCTAGTCAGAAGACCAGACTCTAGCCAGAAGGCCAGAATTCTGAGTTAAGCCAGAGCCTAGACAGAGTCTAGTCAAAAGACCAAAATTTAGCCAGAGCCAGAGCTATTAGCCAGAGCCATTAGCCGGAGCTAGAGCCATTAACCAGAGCTAGAGCCATTAACCAGAGCCAGAGCCATTAGCCAGAGCCAGAGCTATTAGCCAGAGCCATTAGTCAGAGCCAGAGTCATTAACCAGAGCCATTAGCCAGAGCTAGAGCCATTAACCAGAGCCATTAACCAGAGCCATTAACCAGAGCCATTAGCCAGAGCTAGAGCCATTAACCAGAGCCAGAGCTATTAACCAGAGCCATTAGCCGGAGCTAGAGCCATTAGCCATTAACCAAGCCTAGATACTCGTTGTAGAGTTTAAGACTATCTTCTGGCTTGGAATTACTGTAGGGATTGTAGCGATAAATGGACTACTGTAGAATCATTGGGTACTGCGTAAACTTTTTTTTGATTTGTCTCGTTAAGAAAGTCTAGGCACTGGTCTAGTTACTAGTCTAGTTACTAGTCTAGTTACTAGTCTAGTTACTACTCTAGGCACTGGTCTAGCTGGTCTATTGGTAAACCATTGGACTTTCAATCAAATCTCCTTGTTTCAATTCCTTATCCGGGCCTATCAGTCGACATTTTTCTTCCAAAACATTGAGAACAATTTCTCCAAAAAACTTTGCAGGCAATTGAGAACATTGAGAACATTTAGATTGGGCGGAAGGAGGAGAGGGGAAGAGGGGTAGATGAAGGCATTCATTTACATTTGACAATAGAAATTAGAAAGAAAAAGAAACAAGAAAAGAATAAAAGAATCAAATAATCAAATAATCAAATAATCAAAAGAAAATACATAAAGACCGGGGTGTCTGAAGAGATAGAAAACATAATTAAACAGCAAAAAAATCGAAAAAAATCGAAAAAACTCTTTTAAAATCAAATTTTGACTTTTTTTTGAGGTGTGGCCTTAAAAAAATGTTATAGAAAATCAAAAAAAAACATGAATTTCTGAAAATAAATGATTTAAAAATGGAGTGATTTGCTAAAAAGTGAAATCAAAGAGATTGGGAAGGATTGTGGATTCAAAAATCGTACAAATTACATCTAATAACGGCAATGGTAGGCAAAGAAAAAAAAAAGGATCTAGATCTAGAAAAAAAAGGAATTCAATTTAATCACTAAAAAAACCCAAAATTTGGCAATATAGGGAATATGGTAGGCTAGGGCACAAAAGAGAAGGAGAAGAAGAAGAAGGAGAAAGGGAAGAAGGAAGAGAAGAAGAAAGAGAAGGGGAAGAAGAAAGAGAAGAAGAAGAAATCAAAGAGAATATCAAATTTTCATATGAATTTGAAATACCGTATTTTCTCTAATAGTAGTGCACCCCGTCGAGCCGAGTTGTTGCCCATTTTACAGTTTCTAAGTTTTCCCAGAAGCTCAACACTCAAATCATCGTCAAGATCTCATCGTCAGCTACATTTTCCGTCCCCACATCGATAGATTCTGATAATCGGTTCTCGAGATTTCAAGGAATTTAGGTGAAGCTTAGAGTGTACTATTAGAGGAAGTCATCGGTAAATACGGTAGTCATCATAAAACTCTAAGATTTGGGTAATTGAATCAAATTGTAGAAAAAAAGATTCTCCAACTCTAGGATAGTTCAATTTACCGTATTCTCGGTAAATTGAAGATCTTGGTCTGATTAGTAGTTTCGAGCCTAAGCCTAAGCCTAAGCCTAAGCCTAAGCCTGAGCCAGAGCCTAAGCCTAAGCCTGAACCAGAGCCTAAGCCTAAGCCAGAGCCTAAGCCTTAGCCTAAGCCTTAACCTAAGCCTTAACCTAAGCCTAAGCCCAAGCCTAAGCCTTAGCCTAAGCCTTAACCTAAGCCTTAACCTAAGCCTTAACCTAAGCCTTAACCTAAGCCTAAGCCTAAGCCTAAGCCTAAGCCTGCCAGAGCCTAAGCCTAAGCCTGAACCAGAGCCTAAGCCTAAGCCAGAGCCTAAGCCTTAGCCTAAGCCTTAACCTAAGCCTTAACCTAAGCCTTAACCTAAGCCTTAACCTAAGCCTAAGCCTAAGCCTAAGCCTAAGCCTAAGCCTGAGCCAGAGCCTAAGCCTAAGCCTGAACCAGAGCCTAAGCCTAAGCCAGAGCCTAAGCCTTAGCCTAAGCCTTAACCTAAGCCTTAACCTAAGCCTAAGCCCAAGCCTAAGCCTAAGACGGGGACTTTAGGCGACGCTTAGAGTGCACTGCTATTAGAAATTAGAAAATACGGTATAGGATTGCCTCAATAGTTTTTTTTTGCTTAGCTTTTTGCGTATCTAGCTTCACGAAAAGTTTGCAAAAAAATTTTCTACAAAAAAAAGACACTTTATACAAATTCTAAAATGCTTTCGAGATTCTTATTAAAGACTTTTCTTTTATTTATTTCTTTATAAAAGCTTTTATTAAAGGCTTAGCCAATCTGTGGACAATCGTTGACATTTTAAAACAAACCAAAACCATTATTCAACCTTTTTTTCTAAGTTCATTTTCAAAGTGAAATCGATTTTCAACAGCTTTTCCTAGGTTTTTAAAAGAGCTCTCATATCGTTTATGAGTCTTTGACTCTTTTCTATCTAAAAACGCTTAAAACAAATCTTTTTCAAGCAAAAAAAACTCTTCAACTATCTGATCTTGAACGATATGAGCTCAATCTTTCGTCCACAGCTCATAAGCTGTGGACGAAAGATTGAGCTTCTTGAAGCTCATCTCGTTGAGCTGATTGAGCTTGTTGAAGAATTTTTCTTAAAACTGACAAATTTCATTGGTTAATTTCAAAGTTAACTTTAAAAAAACCTATCCAAATATTCTCTTCAAGCTTAAATTTATCAAAAAAAAAGCGAGAAAACCGATTTGATTTTGAAAATGAAATAGAAATAGATTAAATAATGGATTATTTTAGACTAATGATTGTTTTAAGCGCATCTTCGCATCTTCTTTTTATAAAAATCTCCGAAGGAATTCTAGAATTTGTATAAAGAAATTCTTGGTAGAAAATTATCACAATTTTCATGAAAAATCAATTAAATCAATTCGTGAAGCTACAACGAAAATCTAGGCGAAAAACTGCGAGTCGATAATTATAAATAAAATTTGCATATTAGAGAGCGCTTGTTGATGTGTAGCCGACCTCGTAAACGGTGGCTTTTTTCTCGCCGGAACCGGTGACAAGAAGCTGCTCGTCAAGGGAAATATCACACGAGAGAACGGATGACGTTTCCTAAAACTTGAATAGTTTGGGGGTACGGTAGCAAGTACTGTAGCTTAGTTTAGAGCTAATTCGATCGGTTAAACATCAAAATAAAATGAAAACAAAAGGAAGGAATCGAACCCGAGCAAAAACTTGATAGCTTGCTTCGGAAACAAGACTCTTATCCATTACAGTACAAGCTCACATTTCGAGACGGTGAAAGAAGGTTGATCTTTGATATAGGGACTGACTTTGACCTCTAATTTGCCCCCAAACTTCTTTGCCAGATTCCTCACTTTTCCGAATCATTTTGCAAAAACTGATAGCAGAATCGGAATCAGCATAAAATTCTGCGTCGTTTGCTATATGGCTCATGTCATTTAGCCACCTCAGCCTTGCAACGTTCCCTTGTGAATACCATATATATCATAAAGTACTGGATACTGTAACTGGATCAAACGGCTATGGATACTGTAACTTAATTGGGCTAGCACAGTAAGCAACTCTTAGTGTGCTGCATGGTACTGGATACTGCAAATGGGTATTGCAGCTGTCGTAAACATTGGGGGTATTGTTGGAGGCTGTATGCAACTTTTCACCTCACCTTGTAGTTAACCAAATTCGCTCCATACGGTGATCGCCAACAGTTGACCGCGTTATCTTTGCCTGAGATTTTGAATATGGACGAATTATGCAAGATTTCAAGAAAATTATCCAAGGAATTGATTTCCAAATCTACCAACCTGTACTCACAAACCAGTTCCCAGAGTGCGCGTATTTCAGCGACAAGACGCAACTCTCGTGCATATGTAGTTGATATTTCTCAGGTTGTGTAGGAGAAACAACCTAGATATTGAAATTAGATAAGATAATAGATCCTTTTCCAAAAAGACATTTAAAACTACCGTATTCTCACCGGCAGTTTTCAGATCAGCTCAATTTTGGTCACATTCAACTCACATTCCTCTGAATCACAAGACTAGACAATGTGACCATGGCTGATCTGAATGAAAACTGGCGATATGATTACGGTATTTTTTGGAAATAGATATCTTTTAGAATTCTAGACTAGCTGTACTACTTGGATATGTTATTCTTTAAAAAGCCACCTCAACAATTGTACTTTCCATTCCCACAGCCACCCAGTCATCCCTTGGCGAGCAACCAAGCGAGAAAATTTGTGCGGCGAACTCGATTTTCGAAGACTCTTTGAGTTCCCTGGAATTTGGTTTCTAGATATAAAGCTAAATATGTGTTAATACCGTTTGATAGTATTGGAGTATTATTAGCTATTGGCTAAGAATAGAACTAGGAATAGAAGAAAAGAACCCAAATGTAGTAAAGATCTTATCCAGCAGTATCGTAAACAAATTCAAAATTGGCCGTAAACGTAAACAGTTAGCCCAAATTTATGCAAAATACAAGTTGTAACTAGCATAGCACGATGTTAGGGGCCTTAAAGTACCGTACTCGTTAAACTAGAGGACTTAGAGTACCGTACTAATTAGCCTTAAGCCTAGGAATAAGAATCAATCAATCAATCAAAGCTCATCCTTTACTCTGTATTATTCTTAATCAAAGTTCAAGTATTCTTTACTCACCTGATATCCCAGGCTCTCAACGAATTGTCCAATCCACCGGTCCACAAAGTGAGCCCGTCAAACGAGAGATCGACACAAGATGCCCCATCACTGTGCCCATTCAGAGTGGCGATCTAAGAGGTGGTTTAAAAGGTGATCTAAGTAAAACCACAAACCTTTTGATGATTATGTGTATCCCAAACGAAAACCTTTCCATCAGAACCACACGCGAACAGCCGTTTCTCATCACTTGATAGGCATAAAGCGTACACGGCTTGCACTTCACTGTCCAACTCGCACAAGAGCTTTTGTTCCTAGAAATGAGAAGATATTCACTTAAGCATGTTATTTTCTTACCTGTACATCCCAAACAGCAATCGATGAGGCTTCTCCACCGACAAAAAGTCTCGACGAGTCGCCGAGTAGACGAACTGATCGAATGTAGTTATCACGAAGGCAATCTAAGGAATGGAGGGGTGTTCGAGTGGTGGATGATGATGGAGTTGATGAAGAGGAAGAGGGAAGGGACCACACCTGAAAATGGAAATTGTCTTTGGCTTGGACGATGGTATGCTATAGTTTACAAAAGAACATATCCCTAGGATATTTGTTCTAAACTCAAGGCTCAAGTTGAGACCTGGACTGGTTTGGTTTGGTCTGGCTTTACCGCTGAGCTGCCCAAAAGTCTAGCCTACCAGAAGCCAGGCCCAGGTTGGTTTCATCTGGACTGAAGCCCTGACTTAGTTGATCCCGAGTTTAGTCTGATACAGCCTAGCTACAAGAATGTTATCGATAAATAAATACAACTCAGCCTCTGATTGTCAGCTTTCTTTCATCCACTCACCTTCACACACCCCTTTCCACCGGTGAACACCCGTTCTCGATCTCTGGCCACCGTCACCGCACAAACGACGTCACCGTGCGGGAGTTCGTCGATCTAGAAATGATTTTGGATATGAAATGTTAGGCATCTAACAAATTCTGCTTTAAAAACCCACCTTTTTCAACGTATTCGGTGTTCCGGGTGCCGTCAACGCATCAGCCGGGAAATTGGTGACTCTTGGTCCTGATGTGCCCTCAACGCTGTACGAGTACGGGGGTTTCCCATTCGTGGGCACCATTCCGGCGGCGGCTAGCTGAAAATGAAGCAATCAAGGATGAAGAACGAAATGAAGCTAATGAGCTAATCAAGAAGATTATTGGCTACGGTATCTACCCAGCTTTGCCGTTCTTGAAAACAACTATCGGCAATTGTCTGTAATCGATAGTGATTTGATCTGGCGTTTGACTTTTGTTTTTGCTTCTTTCAGCTTTGAATGATTTGAGAGTTCTCTATGTTCGCACAATCGTACAGCATCTGGCAAACCGTTGATCTGGATATACCAACGATGACCATCCAACATCGCCAAAAAACTCAAAGCTGAAAGAGGCAAAAACAGAAGTCAAACGCCGGACTCAACCCTCGAACCTCAAACTCGTATTCTAGCTCACTGCCACTTGGCCCACACGACATTTTTCTCCCTCTGGTAAGTCAACTTATAAGCTTTGTTTTCTGCAATTCCATACAAAGTTTCGAGCGCTTATAACTTTTGACAGAACGTTGCGTTTCAAAAACTGAAAGCAGATTCAGAATCAGCGCCAAATTCTAGGTCGATTAGTATATAGCACATGCCATTTGTTCACGACACTCTTTTATCATTCCTTTTTAAATTTTAGATTACTGCAGCCTAGTTACAGGAACCCTGAATAAGTTGTAAACGTCTAGCAACTCCTTCTAGTAGCCCCAACTATAACAACCCTGGGTGTCCTCTTTTACCCAACTACAATAACCCTGAGTCTTTTATCTATCTCATAGACAACAAACCAATCTCGCTTGTGCATGTGGATCAAAAGATGTCAAGAGGGCTGGATTCGCTGCGAGATTCGGCGGAATTCTTCCACCAGCTCCACCCGTCGGCACACCGAGCATAGCTTCGAAAGGATTTCGCGGAGCTTTCGGGATTCCTGGGGTCGAAGCTCCCGATGAGGCCACAGAATGAGCGGACTCCCTGTAACATTTCCTTTAAAACTTTGCGAATTATGTTTTGATTTTAATGGTGTAATAATTGGTGCCTGGCCAGCGTACTTACAGTAACCTTGCCCTACTTTAGGACTTACTTTAGGGAAGAGATTACAGTCTGGTGCTAGGCTCTGGCTACGAGCCATGGCTTACTAATCCAGGCCAGCATCAGGATTTCTGGATCAAGGCCAGGACTAGTTTCCCGGAGCTTTTAAGCATAAAGCTGCACGAGAAGCTCCAAACTCACCGTCCACTATCCGCCCTCGCTGGTTTCTTCTCGTGTCCATTCGTCTGCCCACTGCCGCTTGGCTCATCTACCTGAAATCGATTTTTTTATCTCAAAGCTCAGCCTCATCCACCTCAACATCAATATTCCCTCCCTCATCCTCATCGGGATCGATTTTTGTCCTTTTCGCTTCTCTTTCTTCGGGTTTTCCGGAAGCCGAACGTGGTCGTGCACTATTCGCCCGTTCGCTGTTTGCCTGAATATTGAAATTTTATACCTGCAATTAGATCTATGTCTATAATATGTATGTAGACCAGGTCAGTTGATCAAACTAAACCTCTAAACTAGGCAGGGCTTTACCATTAGCCTGAACCCAGGATTCAAGCTAATGGCAAAGCCGGATCCTTCTGTCCATCTAGGATTTAATACTTATCAGAGATAAGATAAATATCTAACTTAGATCTAATTTCTCACTTGTAGCTAAGTTTAAACAAATCCCCCTACCTGAGCGAGTGCAGCAAAAGCAGCCGGATTTGCGAACGCCGGATTCATTAGGGGATTGCCGGGGAGCTGAAAGTATTTTTAAAACATAATAAGAAGAATATAGTTTCACCTGCATTCCCAGTTGTCCTTGCAATAAAGCCATCGCTTGTGCCTGTGAGTTTCCCATCATCGCCTGATTCAAATCAGCTTGGGTGACGTGTTTTGCCCGCTCAAAAGCCGCGCTCGCCGTGGTCGCTTGATCCGGTGGAAGCAAGGTGATCACCTGAAGAATGGATAATTATAGAAACCATCTATATATAAAAGGGAAGTGTTGGTCCATCCGTCTGTCTATCTGTAGTTCTCGGCTTTTATGAACAGCCTATCTAGATACGGCAATACTTAGGGTAATAGACCAGAGCTTAACGGGATTCTAAGCCAAGCCAGGCCAGGCCAGATCAAGCTAATCTTGATCCAAGAAGTGTACTAGTTGATCTCTAACTATAGCTAGTTATTTAAATAATTCTATCGAAAAGAACCTGTTGCAACACTGTTGAAAGCTTCTTGTTCACTTCGTTTTGTTTCATAAACTCGGCATTCATTGAGAGTGACATCTCGTAATACATCATGAATTGGCGTTGCATTTGTTCTCGTTCTAAAAAATGAAAATTGATTTAGGTATAGAGTTTGATGGATTTTCTATATCAATTTTTCAAAAAGGGGAAAAAATCGGAATTTTTCTAGGACCAGGGTAATAGTAAGACTAAATTCCAAGCAAGATCAGGGTCATTACTAAACAGTTAGAAATCCAAAGTGGGGATCAAAATTGCCAGGCCTCGCTTTGGAAACAAACGCTGTACCACTCGGCCACAGTTGCACAGAGTTTGGTCTGTAAGGAAGCCGCTAAGAAACGCGAATGACCACAAAGTCCTAACAAAACTTTAGACGCTTATAACTCCTGACAGATTGTCATTTAGCAAAAACGGAATATATATTCGGAATCAGCGTGAAATTCTGCGTCGAATGGTATAGGTCACATAGCATTTGGCTCAGCCAGCTCACCTTCCCTTGTGTTATTTAAATTCCTTAAGCTTACGATAATTTATGTCATAAAATTCTCACGACTTTAAACATTTTGTTCTTTATATTTTAGTATCCAATCCTTTAGCAAAGAATTATAATCATATTTGCACATATAAAAATGATTTTGACTGAATAATAGATCTAGAAAAGCTGGATAGTAGGTCTTTAATGTTTAGGATTATTTTTTTGATCTGTCATAAAGTCAAAATCATTTTTCTATGTATAGAATTGAATCTAGTTTCTAAAAAAACAAAAAGCTAGCCGGAATTTTAAATTTGAAAGAAGTTATTCGCTTCGACTGCAAATTTTTGAGTCAAACTTGTTGATCTAGCTTTTCTGCTAAACATCAACCATTTTCTAAGCTAATTTCTAACATTTCTAAACTAACTAAGCTAACTAAACTAGCTAAGCCAACTAAACTAACTAAACTAAGCCAACTAAACTAACTAAACTAAGCCATAAAACAAATTCAAACTAACACAAAGCTAGACCAGATCCAGGATTTCATTTCCCAAGACTCACCGATACTCAGCTTCTCTAATTCTTGTCGCTGCTGGCCGAGCTGTGTGTTCACCGAATTGTATTCTTCACTAAAAAAGAAAGAATACTTAGAATACAATAATCTCTAAGGGTAATCGCTGAATATGCTCACCGTATCCTATCCAAATGTTCCATGATTCCCATTCCGTGTCCTTTCCCGTGTCCACCGCCCGAGCCACCGCCGCCAGTCTAAAAAAAATGAATCAAAAGTCTGAAAAAAGCCAAAATTAGATTAAAATCTCTATTCTTAAGATAAAACTATAGATAAATATCTGTCTAAATCTTGAAAATCTAGGTTTTAAATAGATCTGGATGTGGATCTGGACTTAAATAAATAAAATTTTGCTGAAAATCGGGAAATAGAGGAGTTTTTACTGGAAAATGGTAAAGAAACGGTTTGAAAGGGGTTTAAAGCAAGAAAAATTAGCTAAAAACATATCTAAATACTAAAAAGCCTATCTAAACGCTAAAAAGCCTATCTAAACACTAAAAAATACATCTTTAGCTACTAAAAAAACATATCTAGATCTAAAAAACGTCTTTAGATATTAAAAAAACAGATCTAAATACTAAAAAACAGGCCTAAACACTAAAAAAAACATATCTAAATACTAAAAAAACATATCTAAATACTAAAAAAAACATCTTTAGCTACTAAAAAACATAGCTAAACACTAAAGAAACAGATCTAGATACTAAAAAACATGTTTAGATATTAAAAAAACAGATCTAAACACTAAACAGCCTATCTAAACACTAAAGAAACATATCTAGATACTAAAAAAAATGTTTAGATATTAAAAAACAGATCTAAATACTAAAAAAAACAGATCTAAACACTAAAAAACATCTTTAGCTACTAAAAACCATATCTAAATACCAAAAAACAGCTCTAAACCCTAAAAAACATCTTTAGATATTAAAAAAACAGATCTAAACACTAAACAGCCTATCTAAACACTAAAGAAACATATCTAAATACTAAAAAATAGCTCTAAACACTAAAAAAACATATCTAAATATACAAATTTGATTGAATTTTTGAAATTCTGGCTCAAAAAATGAGTACAATCAAATTTTCGATGCTAAAACTTTGAGATAACTAAAATTTGTATATAAAAATAAGAAAATTATCGAAAAATCATATGGAATGGAGAAATTAGATCAAATTTATTCGAAATAATAATTTCCCTGAAGTTATTTGAGGAGAAAGAAAGAGAAATGACGCGAAAATTTCCCTGAACAGACGTCCGTTAATTGGAGGGAAAAGGGGAAAAGGGGAAAAGGGAATGAAGGGAAAGATCTGCAAAAAGGATTAGCTGACAAGAGATCAACGCACACAACAATATTGGATAGTGGCCGAAAAGCCTGCGGGTTTTTGTCGAGTTTTATGGTCCCGAGAGAGCTAGCGTCTTGGTTCCAATATGGTTTCAATATGGTTCCAATATGGTTCGGATACAGTTCCAATATGGTTCCAGTGGGGATCGCGCTTGTCTACAACTCCATACGAGCCGGGTTCGAACCCACGTAGTGACAGTCGAGTTTTTTTTGATTTTAAATGAATCAACTATGAAATGTGGATCAATCAAATCAATCAAATCAATCAATTAACTGGATCAATTAATCAATTCAATTAATCTAATTGAATTAGATTGAATTGAACGCTAAGCTTTGAACGCTAAGCTTTGAACGCTAAGCTTTGAACGCTAAGCTTTGAACGCTAAGCTTTGAACGCTAAGCTTTGAACGCTAAGCTTTGAACGCTAAGCTTTGAACGCTAAGCTTTGAACGCTAAGCTTTGAACGCTAAGCTTTGAACGCTAAGCTTTGAACGCTAAGCTTTGAACGCTCAGGCTAAGGCTCAGGCTAAGGCTAAGGCTCAGGCTAAGGCTCAGGCTAAGGCTCAGGCTAAGGCTCAAGGCTCAGGCTCAAGGCTCAGGCTCAAGGCTCAGGCTCAAGGCTCAGGCTCAAGGCTCAGGCTCAAGGCTCAGGCTCAAGGCTCAGGCTCAAGGCTCAGGCTCAAGGCCAGGCTCAGGCTCAAGGCTCAGGCTCAAGGCTCAGGCTCAAGGCTCAGGCTCAAGGCTCAGGCTCAGGCTCAAGGCTCAGGCTCAAGGCTCAGGCTCAAGGCTCAGGCTCAAGGCTAAGCTTTTCAAAATCGCAACCTATTCTCAATTCAGAAGAAAAAAGAAAACAAACAGGTGCTTTTTTTCTTTTTTCATTCTTCAGAATCATATTTTAAGTAAAGAAATGTAAATTTTTTCAAATTATATTAAAAAAATGAATGAACAATTGATAAACAGTGATAAACAAAGGGAAAATTTCGGTTTGTAGCCTAAAAGCACTCTTCTAACGCATTGGATTCTTTATTTTTTATGAAATTTATTAAAAAATGCGCGTTTAAAGCTAAACAATCGAACATCAAGAGATTTGGGCTTAAAAGTTAGATTGTCAATGGCAAAAGACGTATCAAATATTCCAAAATCTAAAATATTTCAAATAAGAGGACTGGTGAGATTAGCTGAAATACATTTAGAGATAAAAAGAAGGAAGGGAAGGGGAGAGGATTTATAAAGAGTTCGAAAAAGGGGAGGAAAGGGAAAAGAAAGAAAGAAAGGAAGGAAGAAAGGAAGGAAGGGAGAAAGAAAGGAAGAAAGAAAGAAAGAGAGGAAGGAAGGAAGGAAGGAAGAAAGGAAGAAAGAAAGAAAGAACTGCTTTAGGGAGACATTTTGATGGAAAGAGATGGGATAGAAAAAAGAAAAAAACGGAAAAACCGGGATCGCATTAGGAAATGGAGAAAGCCTCAGCCCCTTTTTCTATTAGAAAATCATTTTACAACTAAATAAGTAAGATTTGATTGAAATGATCAAATGAATATTCTTTAAGAATTAGGAATTCAATTCACAAAACTATCGACAGACAGGGAAATGAATAAAATGGTTTATCAATAGTTTCTCCTCTCCTCCTTCTCCTCTCCTCTTCTCCGTCTCCTCCACTCCTCCTCCTCCTTTCCTCCTTCTCATCTTCTTCTCCTTCTCCTCTTCTCCTTCTCCTCTCTTCTCCTCCTTCTCTTCTAATGTTTTCGAGTTTCTCTAAAAGTTTAGACCAATTAAACCAGAGTTCTTGATAGAATTGGGAGAAAGATTCTTCTTCTTCATCTTCTCTTCTTCTTCTTCCTCTTCTTCCCCTTCTTCTTCTTCATCATCTTCTTCATCTTCTTCTTCATCTTCTTCTTCCTTTCCTTCTTCATCTTCTTCTTCTTCAATCTTCTCATCTTCTCATCTTTTCCCAATTCTCATTTACACCATAGAATTGGGGTCATCCTTTCCCCGGGTTTATTACCGTTTTTCCGGATCCAGAGCGAGATTGGATGATCATAAATGGCTGTTAAAAGAGCCTTCCCTTGATCTTGTATTGAGTAACTTTAACTTTAACCCTTCGGAAAATTTTGACCTTTCATTAACTATAAACTAATGAATTACGACAACCCCATCCCCAAATCTACTCAATGAGAAGTGATTATTGTCACGAGTGACATGAATCTTGAAAGAGAGAGAGATCGATCTAAGAATTAGAGTAAGGAATAGGTTTATGGAAACAAAGAGATTATTTGGTGGGTGAGACAGATGGCGTATTGGATATGGGAAGAGGCAAAGAAGAGGGACAAAGAGACGAAAGGATGGGCAAGGCAGTAAGAAAGCCTTTCTAAGATCGCCTCATTGTGTATATTGCTTTTACTGGTCAATGGAAGCATTGGGAAACAAGCTAGCTAGAATTGGGAATTGAGTGACACCACACTGACTCTGACTCTGACTCTGACTATGACTCTGACTATGACAAATGGCTATGACTATGACAAATGGCTATGACTTTGGACACCTTGAATCATATCCATTCTCAGCTCTGGGCATTCAATCATAAGGCATAGACTAGGCAAAACTTAGAGCCCGAAGACCTATAAGACTATAAGATACTATAAGGCCGTAACCGTAACTATAAAGGCCTTACTATTAGACCCTGTCTGTGTCCGCCGTAGAACTCTGGTAATGTTAGTTCAAGATCCTAGATCCTCGGTATGTCTAGGAACCGTAGGAACCCTAGGAACCTACGCAGGCATATCCATCCTGGAATCCTGGACCCTGAACTCTAGACCCTGGACCCTGGACCCTAGACCTTGGACCCTAGACCCTAAACCCTGGACCCTAGACCCTAAATCCTGAACCTTGGACCCTAGACCCTAGACCCTGGACCTTAGATCCCGAGCATGTTCACCCTAGAACCATAGCCTAGACAGGTATATCCACCCTAGAACCCTAGACATTAGACCCTGGACCCTGGATCCTAGATCCTAGACTCTGGACCCTGGACCCTGAAACCTAGACCCTGGACCCTAAACCCTGGACCCTGGATCCTAGACCATGGACCTTGGATCCCGAGCATGTTCACTCTTGAACCCTAGACCCTAAACACTGGACCCTCGATCCTAGTTCCTAGACCCTGGACCTTGGATCCCAAGCATGTTTACCCTAGAACCCTAGCCTAGACAGGCATATTCACCCTAGAACCCTATCCACTGCATTCTAGCCTCAAAACCCTGGACTTGAATATATCCTCTCCTTGATCCTGCCTATATCCACCAATCCACCAATCTAATTGAGACGTCGGCTGGGAAAAGGGGAAAGCTATGAAACGAAAGGCACAAAAAGGATACGAAAAGGAGAAAAGAAAGAGCGAATTCGAAAATTGGGTCTTCTTATTTGTTGGAAGGGTAAAGATGGGAATAAAGATGAGATGAGAGGATGAAAAGAGGGGTGACGGGTGGCTTTTCTTCCATCCTCTTTCAATTCTCAATATCCACCAGTGCCTCTCAATTAGCATTTGACAAAAGGCTAATGAGGTAGGCTTCAATTTTCTAAAGTTCTCTGTTCAAGAATCTGATAAGATCGAAAGATATCTTATCATATCTTAAGATATCTAAAGATCTCAAAGCCTATCACAACTTTCAGCCTTTCTAGCTGTACTGTACCGGTTTATTTCTAGCTGTACTGTATCGTACTGTACATTTGAAAGGGTTTAAAAGTGTTCAAGTTTCGTTTTAGTTCATTTTCCTTCATTTTCCTTCATTTTTGAGATAATATATTGAGTTTAACAAAGTTTTAACGAAGCTAAGCACTGTAATTGAATAGTTTTTTATCGTCTATTCTTTTCTTTGCGCTTTTCTTTGCAAGTTATTCTTTGCAAATCGAATTTCACTAAATGACCTCATGAAATCCTTTGAGATTTCTCATAATTTCATTGTCTAGCTAACCATTTAGCTTTTCGAATTTGCACATACAGTCGAACCTCTCTATAACGTAACTCACGGGACGGCTATAGCTTACGTTATATAGAGGTTTACGTTATATAGAGTGCCGTTTTATATAGCTTAACGTCGGCCGGGACCGGTCACGCCTTACGTTATAGAGAGGTTTACGTTATATCGAGGTTCGTTATAGAGAGGTTCGACTGTAATTCAGTAATCTTTAGGGATTTGAAACGCTTCACTAAAACTATTGATTCTGAAGATGGAATTGATTCAGAAGTGACAATAAAACATTGTGCAACACTAGTTGATCCTTTAAAAAGAGATCAGCTTAAAGCAGACAAAGATTAGCTAAAGATTAGCTAAATATTAGCTAGATTAGCTAGATTAGCTCAAGATTAACGATTTTTCATTCCTTTTTCTTATAAAAATCTTTCAACAACTGAATTTCTGTAGGTAAAAAGCCTATTGATCATTCTAAACTGAATTAAACTACTGAAACTACTGAATTGAACTACTGAATTAAACTACTGAATCGAACTACTGAAACGACTGAATTAAACTACTGAAACTACTGAATTGAATTCACTTTGTGCTCCCTAATAAACACCATCCTCTAAGATCGAGTTGAGATTGATTACTCGCTTACTTACTCACGAAGGACACATTCTAGGTAAGGTAAGCTTGGGAAGCTTGGGAAGCTTGGCAAACTTGGTAAGCTTGGTGAAGCTTGGCAAGCATGTCAAGCCTGACAAACTTGGCAAACTTGGCTTCAGATCTACCCAACCTGACCTCAAAAAAAAATCACCTTCCAAATCCTGTAATCCAAATCCAAATCCTAGAAATCTAAATTGCTTCCAACTTCTCAGTAAACTCAAGATTGACCCCTTTTCATCCTTTCCATATCAAAAAGCGCCACATTTTCTCGAGCAATTGCTTTCCTCGAGAGTGGAAAGGAAAAAGAAATCCCAGAAAACGATTTGACACAGATGTGTGTCTTGCCTGAGGGGATCGGATGAATGGGGTGAAAGGGAAAGGACAGAAGATGAGATGGGATCATTTATTTGAAGAGAGGGACATGTGGGTGTCATTGGATTGAGGTGAATGATCAGGACAATGGATAAAGAGATTTCTGCATGATTAGAGTAGCCTGGTCAACAGGTTTACTACTTATTAGGCTAGGTTAGGTCAAGTTCAAAGCTGTGTTATCATGAGCGTAGCTGTTCGGCCCGTTCGGTCCTGTGCTGGTCCTAGTTCTATTCCTGCTCTTGATCCTGGTCCCAGTTCTAGTTCTGATCTTGGTCCTGATCCTGATCCTAGTACTGGTTCTAGTTCTAGTTCTCATTCTGATCCTGATCCTGGTCCTGATCCTGATCCTGATCCTGGTCCTGTCCTAGTTCTAGTTCTAGTTCTAGTTCTGATCCTGGTCCTGATCCTGTTCCTAGTACTGGTCCTAGTTCTAGTTCTGATTCTGATCCTGATCCTAGTACTGGTCCTAGTTCTGATCCTGGTCCTGGTCCTGGTCCTGTTCCTAATACTGGTCCTAGTCCTAGTCCTGATCCTGGTCCTGGTCCTGTCCTAGTTCTAGTTCTAGTTCTGATCCTGATCCTCTTCCTAGTACTGGTCCTGTGCTAGTTCTAGTTCTAGTTCTAGTTCTGATCCTGATCCTGATCCGCTTCCTAGTACTGGTCCTGTCCTAGTTCTAGTTCTAGTTCTGATCCTGATCCTGGTACTATTCCTAGTCTTGGTCTGATTCTAATTTGAAGGCTACCCCAACTACGCCTGCTGAATATCTTGACCATACACCCTAGCTTCACCATATTTTAATCTCAATTCCTCTATCTAGCCATTTCAGCAAGCATTTCCCTATCAACTCTCTCGCAGCGTTACTTACACGGCTTTATAACACTGAAAAAAGCCGCTTAAACATTCGCCTTATCGTTTTAACACTTCTTCATCGATTCTTGAGTGATTTCGTTTTCAAATTCAACCTCATAATTCTTAGTTATAGTTCATAAAAAGTTTATAATTCTTTTTATTTATAGTTAGAGTTCATAGAAAGCTTGTAACAATCTGAATCTATAAATTTGGATAAGATTATCTGCAAATTTAAGCTAAATCTGTATCTAAGTCAGTAAGTAAGTCAGTAAATGAGTCAGTAAGTAAATCAGTAAGTAAATCAGTAAGTAAGTCAGTAAGTAAGTCAGTAAGTAAGTCGGTAAGTAAGTCAGTATCTAAGTCAGTAAGTAAGTCAGTAAGCCTTTAGGCTTGATGTTGAATGTAAAGACGGTTTAGGCTTAAGTCTCGAGTCAAGTGCTATCTCTAGTCAAGTGCTAGCTTTATCTCTAGTTTATCTAGTCTAGCCAATCCAGATCTTCAGCTGGATTAGGAAGTTGTAATGTTTTTATTACTCTTCACATTGTTTCTAAGGTCCAAGTCCAGGATCAGCATTAGCCTAGTCACTCCCATGGTAAATGGATCCAGAGCCGAGTGGCCAGAAAGGAGAAGGGATTCTTTCGAAACTAAGAACGAAGAGCTAAGAGCTAGGAGCTAGGAGCTAGGAGCTAAGAACTACGAACTAAGAAACTAAGAAACCCAAAACTAACTCAAAAGGCCTAAGGGAAGTGATGATGGAGTAAGAAAAAGCACGAAAGAGCAACCCTCAAATAAAAGCATCTCAAATATTTGTGCACAGCCACCAACACGAGCAAAGGAAGGTACATCAATAGAATCGAGAATGGGTTTGATGAAAGAGAGAGAAAGGAAGAGAAAGAGAAAGAAAGGCAACTCAAGTATCTAGCGGGAGAAGCGAGAAATGCCGAGGATTAGGTAAGAGGCTAAATGTCAGTCTTAGATCAGTCTCAAATCAGTTTAAATGCCTAATATGGTAACTGTCTTAGTGCTAGACTTGTTCTATTCGTTGCTCTTTCGATTTTGATTTTTGGCTTTGGCTGGAATTCAAGATCTGGTCAAAATCGAGATCTTGGTTTATGGCTTTGAGGCTGGATAGAGGTTGGATAGAGGTTGGATAGAGGCCTTGATAGAGGCCTTGATAGAGGCTGGATAGAGGCTGGATTGAAGCTGGATAGAGGCTGGATTGAAGCTGGATAGAGGCTGGATAGAGGCTAGATTGAGGCCTTGATAGAAGCCTTGATAGAGGCTGGATAGAGGCTGGATTGAGGCTGGATTGAGGCTAGATTGAGGCCTTGATTGAGGCTGGATTGAGGCTAGATTGAGGCCTTGATAGAAGCCTTGATAGAGGCTTTGATAAAGGGCTTGATAGAGGCTGGATTGAGGCCTTGATAGAGGTTGGATAGAGGCTGGATTGAGGCCTTGATAGAGGCTGGATAGAGGCTGGATTGAGGCCTTGATAGAGGTTGGATTGAGGCTGGATTGAGGGCTTGACTGAGGCCTTGGTTCCATTCAATCTAGCTGCTGGATCATTCAATGATGATGATCATTCAATCCAAAACGATTAAATGATTCTTCCAGCAGCTAGATAATTCATATTTCTTTAAAAATCTCAACAATATCAACAAGAGAACAAGTTCAAATTGGCAACAAGATTTTAGAGAAAATCGATGATCAAGAAAGTACTCAAAAAAGGATTAAGTAGATCAAGTTTCGTAAATCATTACTCTAAAAAATCTAGCTCTAGCTAGATCGAAAAGCTAATCTAGTTAGCTTAAAACCTTCGTTTAGATAAGTACTATCAAATGTCCTAACATCTTTATCTAACAAAATGATAGCACAGAATCAGAATCGAATCGAATTTTATCGAAAAAAACTCACCGCATGTCGATTGGAGAACATGGTGCTGGTGGGCGGAATTTTTGTAGCCTTGTAAGCAGGTGTTTGATTCTAGAATTGACGAATATATAAGAATATAAGAATATAAGTTTTCTGTGATCAATATAGCTATAAAGAGCTCGTTAACGGAAATCGAATCGAGAAGTAGCAATGATCGTGCGAAAGGAAGAGAGAGAGAGAGAGGGGAAGGGGGGAATGACCTAAGAAGATAGGCACAGATGCTTAGATTGGTGGTGGGGGGAAGAAGGGTCAAACACACATGCAAATCACTCTTTTTGAGCGAAGATTGGACTGGGGGTACACAATTGGCACAACAGCGATGAAGAGAGTCAGAGAGAGAGGCAGAAATGCAGAAATTTGCGGGTGTTCGTTTAGAGAGTTAAAGATGGGGAAAGATGGGGAAAGAGGAAAGATTGGGAAAGAAAGAAGAGAAGGGAGAGAAAGAAGAGAAAGATGGGAAGAAGGGAAGAAGAGAGGGAAGAGAAAGAAGAGAAAGAATAGAAAGAAAGAAGAGAAAGATGAGCAAACATTAGAGAAAGCTTGGGGAATGAGAGAGATGGAAGAGATGGGGAGATGAGGAGAGAGTTGGTAAGTGAACCGGGTAAGATGGAGAGAAGATGGAGAGAAGATGGAGTAGAATGGGAAGAGGATCGAATAGAATGGAATAGAATGAGTAACTAAAGTGATGGAAATGAGAAAAAGCTAGAGATAAGGGTTGAAAGTGTTGGAGAAATAGTTGGTGAGGCTATAGAAAGAGTAATTGAGCCAGGCAAGTGCTCTAGAGAAAGAGCTAGATAGAAGATGAGAGAAGAGAGAAGAGAAGAGAGAAGAGAGAAGAGAGAAGAGAGAAGAGAGAAGAGAGAAGAGAGAAGAGAGAAGAGAGAAGTTGAAGCGATCTGCTGTATTCTAGAGAAGTTGAAGAGAGTCTACTGAAGTCTAGAAATGAGCAAAAGCTTTATAGAGTAGAGAAGTTAGATTAGAAAATGCACAGGCTATTGACAAGAGTTTCAGAAGAGCTAGAGTTGAGATAGAGTTATAGATTCATTGGAGTCATAGTCATAGAGAGACATAGTCATAGAGAAAGAGCTATAGAGCTGTAGAGCTATAGAAAATAGAGAAATAGCTTAGAAATAGCTTAGAAATAGACTTTCTAGCAGAGAAAAGGAAAACCCACAGCATTGGTTGGCTATCTAGAGATCTGGTTGCCTAATAGAGAACTAAAGAGCTAAAGAACAGTAGAGAGATGAGAAATATTGAGAGTAGTAGGGGAAATGAACAGAAAAGCGAAAAGAACTCAAAAGAAGAGATCAAGATTGGCGGCGGGATAGCATTTCGTCGGAGAAAGGAGCGTCATTCGAAAAAGGAGATGATCGCGGGACACACCGCTTTTCTTTTCCCCGCCCTACCCCAGTCTTGTTCTCTGTTCATTCTCCAGCCATTCTCAACCCTACACACCCTGCCCTCTACCCCAGCCTCTACCCCTACTCAACCCTGTACACACCCAGCCATTCTCCATCCCTCTCTTCCCCAACCATTCTCTATCTCTCTCTTCTCCAACCATTCTCCATCTCTCTCTTCCCCAAACATTCTCTATTTCTTCACCCATCCCTCCCACCCTCTCCAGCCATTTTTTACCTACTCTCTCTCTCTCTCCATATTCTGCTGTCTCTCTGAACACCTGCCCCAGTCATTCCCTGTTCATTCTCCCACTACTCCCATCCCCCCCTGCTAACAATAACACTTCCCCCCTTTCCGCACTCATTCAAAGAGAAAGCGCAACGCAAGCGACACAACGCTTTTTGAATTGAAATTGGGAAAGATTGAGAGAAATAGAGAAATAGAGAAATAGAGAAATAGAGAAATAGAGACAATCAGAGAGCGCAAAAACATTATTGACTACAGAGAGGTGTTTTTGTCGAATTTCGTCACAATCATCGAAATCATCGATTCTAATCTCTTTAAACTTTTCAATTTTAACGGTTAGCGACGATTTTTAGTGAACTAGCCTGAGCAAGAATAGAGCTAGAAGCCTAGCACTGTCCTTCATCGTTATCCCTGACTTAGGCAAGTCTGACTCACTGTAATAGGCTAGTACTGGGGCTACTGTAGTCTGCACAACACTGGATCACCGTAGTCCTATAGTAAACTGAACTACCGTAATCCTATAGTAATCGACTACCGTAGTCCTATCATAGTGAACTGAGGTTAGGGCATCGACATCCACCCAATCCTGCCCATTCAACCACAACTCATCTCTCTCAAAAGAGCTGTTTTGTGTGCAGAGACGGGCATAAATCGCATCCGAATGGAGTCGGAACAGATTGTGTTTGTGGGGAGTGAAGAGAGGAGTGGAAAGACAAGTAGAAAAGAGGGGGGAGCCCCTTGGGGTGTCCTTAGCCGTTACCCCAGCGCAAAGAGGCAAAGAGACTCCTTGTGAAGGCCGAATTTGTAATGTGAGTGCCCGTTGCTGCCCCTTCATCCCCTCAGTACCTCAGTCTCTTCCCCCATCTACTAAGCCGCGACGACGAGCGCCCAATGGGATTTCGCGCGCTCCCCGCCTTCTTCCCCCCATCCATCCTCCCTCCACTTCATTGACTTTCGTCTTTTAAGGGGTCTCCTCTTTCTGGACCCCTTCGGCAATAGTCGAGGGTAAGTCCTGGAGTGTGAAGAACACTTGATGATCGGGGAGAACGGGGACTTGAAATCTTGAGCAAGTCATAACTGATAGGGTTCGAGATTTGGGCTAATTGATGGGAAATTCGGAATTAGGTATTAATCCAGTTCAGTTTAAATGACTTCGGCAATTTGCCTTGTCGGCTAATTGCCGTTCGTGTAGAATGGAAAGTGGATTATAGTAGAAAATATTATTGCAGGATACTCCGCTTATCTGTGATTTCTAGTTGACACCGCTTTCTAGGCTACAGTGGCCCTGGATTATTATACTTATTGCTAGGAATTGTCGCTTGATCCTTACGAGCTAATGCTGAAAATGGACTTGTATGTCAATTTGGAAATTTGCATGTAAATACCCGTTCGATTTATGTAAATTTTTCAGGATAACAAAAGAAATAACAAAAAAACAATTTCCTAAGCGGATCGCCACGAGAGTTCTTTGATCCATCGTTCCCTGAACGAGTCGATCTCCCGAATTGAGTACGTGTGCGAAGCGCGACGTTTCGACGGGTTGATTTCTGGAATTTGAAAATTTTGATAACGATTGTTAGATCGAAATTTTGACTCTAATAGCTTCACCAGTAAGGTTTTACACACAAAAAAAACTCCAAACTTGATAAACCAATTGCTAGATCTTTTAAATGTGTTAGTCGAATTTGGCATTTGACCAATCTTAAGCTTTTCCGATTTGATCAGGTTTTTATTTGTCAAATAAGATAAAAGAAACTCACCAATTCCATCGTAGTCCTCGGGGGACGTTGTGAGAACGGTGGCGAGACACGACTTTTCCTTGTACGACTCGGGGATCAGTGACTAAAAGAGAAAATGGAATAGCTAATGTAGATTTTTAATCCATTGCATCGTTAGATCATTTAATCAAAACACACAAAACTAACCAACGCCGTTTCGAGGGTCGATTTTCGGTAAAATGCCTCATCCAATACGTCTTCTCTCCTCGCTTGTGTTCCTTCGAGTCGCAAAGAACCGCCGCGTTGACCGGTTCGAATTAGTCTAAAAGCGATAGTTTAACGAATGCTTTATCAAATTGCTATTTTGTACTCAATATAAAAACCTTAAAGCGTTTCTCCAGCAAAAATTCTTTGATTTGTGATCATCGATGTATGAGAGAACAGTCGTCGGCACAATAATCGTCAACTTTTCACCGCGTAGAAAAGAGCGTAATGCCTGAAATAATGAATATAAGAGCGTACTGCCTGAATAAGAGCGTAATGCCTGAAATAATGAATGACACTTGAAAAACTGATGCTTTACCTCTAGTTTCTTCTCAAAAACACTCAAATCGGGAACAATGTAGATCGGAATCCATAGAACATCCTGCAAAATTAAGTGACTCTAGGAAATTTTGACAAACAAACTTCCGAAGTGCCAACTTGAGCTCTCAAATTGCCCATCCTCCGGCCAAGCTCGTCGATTGATATTTGAACGGATCCATCGCGATAAACTCTAAAACCGTTTATTTACAAACCAGTTTGTAACCCAAAACTTACTTGAACTTTGAAGACTGCAAAACAAGAGGAATCGTCACCGAACTGACACATTTGAAGAGGAAAAACGCGGCCGCCGAAATCGCCATTTCAGAGCCCCTGATAAGAATTGTATCAAATATCAAATTCGAATTCAATCTCAAATACAAAGAAGCCTTGTAATACTAAATTTGCCTTACCCACTCTTTCTAAGTAACACCAAGAATCCCTCACCCAAGTGGTCCATCGAGTTTCCATCGTATTTCCGCGGTGTTCCCCTCGTCAGTCTCATCACACGCGTTCTCCAACTCTTCCACCATCAAATTCGCTCGATCGCAGAGTTGAGAGCAAAGTTTTTCGAGATTCTAAACAAAAGTCAAAAGTTTAGCTTAAAAAGGATCCACCTCCGTTAAAGCTCTTCCGGTCACTTTTTGTTTCTCTTTTAGACAAGCGATCGTTTCGTAGGCGGTAATCGCGAACTCTGTGGCCCCGGCCAAGATCTAGATTTGAATCGTTTAGCATGGTCTTTCAATAGTTAAAACTACTCACCAAAGTCGAAAGCGAATCATCAATTAACTCTTTCTTGTCATCCATCTTTTCCTCGCCAGGTTGTCCATCTTTTTCTACGTCTTCCTCCTTTTCTTCTTCGTCTTCATCACTTTCTTCTGCTCGTCGTCGTCGTTTCGTTAGATTTAGCATCAAAGTGTCCTCTTGCGTCACTTCGTGACCTTTTGGGCGTACCTAGAAATGTAATTAAGCACAAAATCTAGCACATAACATCAATCCTATTGTATCCTAAAGTTAAACACTTGCCTTATTCAAAGCCAACGACCACGAGTCCGACAAACAGCTCATCAAGTATCGAAGACTTTCATCTACGAAAACACTTCACTAGACAATCTTGGTATCCTCACCAATAAAGTTATGACTCGTGTGTTGAAGGGTGAGCGTCAAAATGTGCAACAAAACGATCAGATTGACATCAAAAGTCGACTCTCGCAACTCGGCAAAGAAATCCGTGCATTTGGCGGAGAGATCAAGAAGACTGAAATAGAAAAAACCTCTATAAATCAAAATGTGCAAAACTTACTTGTTATTGATTGCCGTGATTTTGACCAATTCTACGGTGTGCTCGATGAGGCCCTCCTGTATGGTTTTCTCGATTGCTCGCCCAAGATTCTCCATTGTTCCGGAAAACGTTCTCTCGGCAAGAAGCGCTTGTAGAAATAAACTAAAAACTAATTATCAACACTCTATAAAACAAAGATTACCGTATATCGTGTGGTTGCTCAGCGATGAGCCCGAGTTGATTTAATCTAAAATTTGCATTAGTTATGTATAATTCAAGTTCACTCAACGGTTGTCCCCAATCAGGCGCTTCCGAAACGGCGCGCCTGTAATGAAGAGAAATTGTGGCTTTCGAGGAGGCGGAATATCTGAAGATACAAAATCAAGCCTTATTTCTATGAATAAGATTTTTCTAGACTGATTGCGAGCTATACACAAATTTTATAACTGATACCTATGCAAATCTCCAGCATAAAGCGAGCAATGGGCACTCAATGAAGGCACCTCGCTCATGATCGCAAAAAGCTCACCGCAAAACATTGGACAGACCCTAAAAACTGTATATTGTCAATCAAAGGCTCGACTTGTTGATCAAAATAATGCCTTTCGATTTTTCAAAAATCGTAAAACCTATAATACTCACAATTTTGCGGTTTCTTTCGATGTTCTTGCTTGCGCATAATAGAGTGATCTCCATATCATTTCAATCGCGTTGATCCTTTTGGCCTCATCTTCGATCTTGGCCAACTCTTGAGGTAGTCTAAGTTATGCTCTACATAGTACTTTAGTTTAGAGGTCAAAAGTCTACTGCAAAATATCAATAAAAATAACTTGCAATTTAAAATTTACTTCGCTCGTGCTCTGACAGCTTTTGCAGAAGTGGTGCCCTCTTTTTTCGTGGCGCTCACCGCTTCTTTACACAACCGACCTACGCCTTCCATGTATCTATTGAAAGATTATAAATTCGGTGTCAGGTTTGTTTTAAGAGATGCAAGCAATTCGAATGCATTTTTCCCATTATCCCATCAAAGCAATATTTTATTTCAAATCCTAAAATTTGGGCAAAAGCAAGAAGACCAAAAAGCTAAAATCATTCACTAGGCAAAAATCACAACATCTAAAACCCGATTAAATTAAGATTTCACAAGAGGTGGAAGAAAATTTGAGATTCACATTGACTTCACGAGAATGCACGCACGGCGCTTTTGTAGAGAGCATAAACGAGGAAACCGACGAAAGTTGGAATCAAAAAATTCGTCCATGTGGGTGATAGGAGCACATCCTAAAGTTAAATGGATTAACTAAATAAAAAGTTACAATAATTAGATCATAACATGCTTTTGCCTAGTTTCGATCATCTGGATATCAAATCTCACTTTCAGTCTAAGCAAACAACTCAAATCCCACCTTCAATGAAGAGTCTTTTTCGGACTTTTGTGATGGCTTTGCGGGAACGGATGGATTGACCTTTGATCCACCCTGTAGCTCACCAATCTAAAATAAATAATAAAAATATACTGCTATACAATCAATAGACAAACCAAGTAATCGTTTAACATTTGTTGAGCATCAGAGGAGTGACCCACGTCGAGAAAAGGAACAGTGGCATCCTAAAGTCAAAAATTTTTTAAAACATGCTGAAAAATTTAAATCACGTCACGAACCTTTCCAGCTTGTTCCAAAAGAACTTCAGGGCCGCCAGGATGTTCGTCAAGGAACTTCGAAACATCGTAGACTTTTCCCTGAAAGAAAAAACATTTATATTTGCTACACAGTTATTTTACACACCTTCTAACAAAAACAGAACAGAACAAAGAGCATTTAAATAATTTACCTTGATGATAACCCAAGCCGAGGATTTCGAGTTGTGTTGGGAGACCTCTTCGGAAGTGATGATCCTCGTCATTTCTAGAAAATTAATAAGTGCAAGGAAAGAGTGAATAATCTTTCAAAAAAGAAAAAACATTCCTTTAACAATTTTGAAATCACTGATTTCCAAACAAGATAACGCTTGTAGTCAAAGCATTTGCAATCTGATTGCTCAAAGACATCACAGTTTATTAAAGCTTCCCGAATTTCAAGTACATAAATAACAGTCAAATAACAATATAGATATACATAGAAAATAATTGCACGTCATCCCGAGAATTAGAGGCAGTAAAAGAGAATAGAAAGAAGGCTTAACAAAAAAAGACTAAAGTACATACACAAACTAGTAACCCGGCATTTTAACCTGAAAAAAAGATCGAATGGCGAAGACAGAAATACCAACACAACCAAAAGCAGTGCCAACCAGCGCCAATCGTGTTTTTCTCTGTAGTTGAGGTTCATTGACCTTGTCGAGCAAAATGAAGCCGACTCCTTAAAGAAATATAAAATAAATTGCAGATTTTAGAAGCTAATCCTTTTACAAAGTGATACCTCCAAGCGTAAACATGAATGCCGCAGCAAGTCCTTCCATAATGTATTGTCCATTGATTCGGCCCGGGAGAATGGCTTGCGGACGTTGAAATCCTCGTTCATCCGTTGTAGAACCGACGCTTGGGGGCTAAATTTATCCATTAGAACAGTACGAGCTAGGGTTAGTATTTAAAAGCTATAATTTTCGTTTACCTCGTTAATCACATCGTAGATGACACCGCCAGTGACGAGGAAGTATGTCCCGAGTACAAAGATAAAGACTGTCATCGGTGAAGGGAGCTAATAAAAAAAGTGAACTACCGTATTCTCTCTAATAGTGCGCACTATTATTTTTTTCAACCCCCTCCCGGACCGCAACACTATTAGAGTTTTGGTACTTTTTGACTGGCGAGTCACCTTTACTTTCTGGTTCGAGATGAGCAAAGCTTTTACTAACTTTAAGATAACTTTTGCAATATTTCTGATTTCAACTAATATTAAATCTTTTGTAAACTAGAGTATACTGATTGGTTAGAACACTTTCGAGAAGTTTAGAATTTCTTTTGAAACTTTACTTTGCCAGCTTTAGCCTTTTTCCTCACTCACAAGTTGTACAATAGATTCCTGATGATCTAAGTCTAAGCTAAAACTTTTATGATTTTTTGAAGTGTTTCTAATTGGCTCAGTGGGCTCGATTATGTCAGCGAAAAGTGAAGAGGAAAAGGTCAAAACAATAAACTGTCAACCAAAACTTAGTAATACGAAAGTAGGCATTGACTTCAACTGCTAGAAGATGTCTTATCATTTTTGGTAACTAAAAAGGAGGGATTCCTTTTGACACTAAAACTTATACCCAGTTTAGCTGACGAGATTTAAAGAGTTTTAATGAATTCATATTTCTTTCGAAAACTTCGTCTAGTCCCTTTCCTACAAACATCCCTTGTGATGTCTCGAAAAAGTAGCACAACAAATGCATCATTTTGGAACTTATTTTGCCATAACTGTTCGAATTTCATATAAATTGAATTTATACTACCGTATTTTCTCTTAGTAGTGCACCCTGAGCGTCGCCTAAATTGCTCGAAATCTCGAGAACCGCTCATCAGAACCTATTGATGTGGGATCGGAAAATGTAGTTGACGATGAGATCTAGTGGGGAATTTGAGTGTTGAGCTTTTGCAAAAGCTTGGAAACCGTAAAATAGTCATCAACTCGGCTCGCCGGGGTGCACTACTATTAGAGAAAATACGGTAAATATTATTGGATTTGTCTGAAACTCAACAATATTCAATTATAAAATGCCCCAGATGCACTAAAAATGCCACATGTGCCCTATAAATGCAAAATCTCGAGGGTGCAATACTATTTTTTCAACCTCCTCCCGGACCGCAACACTATTAGCGAGTGCAATTCTAATAGAGGGAATACGGTAAATACTTGTGAGCAGCTTTTTACTGATTGTTTTTGCTATTTTAAAGCTTTAAAATGACTCTCCGGATCTTCCGTCGTATTAAAGCTTTAAAATAATTTAAATCAGTAAAAATGGCCCTCTAATCCTTTCTCTAGTTCTGATAAAAGCAAAAGTTACCTCCATCCATTTTGGTCGCTGAATTCGAACATTTGGTGGATCGACGGCGGCGAACAGGATTCCATTGATAACCGCGTCCATTCTAAAGGAGAAATTGTACTTTTTTTGAAAAAACAAAGATAAAGTCCCAAAAAGCGAGTTCAATGATTCTAATTTTGCGCCTTAATGCACAAGAAAGCTTTCAAAAGCAAGCTCTCAACAAGAAACACCCTATACAAGACAATTTCATCAAAAATGCCGCAAGTTTGCCAGAAGCACGCCGATTATCACCGGCTAATCGTTATGCCACATTGCCGTATGAATAATTTCAAAGATAGATCAGGCTAAAACGTGGATATTGCATTGCCTGGCATTCAGGGTGATTTCAAATTGGCGCCGGAGTATTGAATACGGTGGGGCGTCAGGGGCGGAGACACAGCCGCCCGTCTCTCTTTCGTCCATTCTCTTTTCACCGAAACTTATCGAGCGTCTGGGGATTCGCCCATCTATCGATCACCCCGCCGCCCACAACCGACGAAATTTAGGCTACCGCGATTTTTCTAATGAATTTTGTCATTTTCTCCTTTTCAAAAAGCTTGCGTTTGGTTGGGGTTTTGCAATTGTGGCGAAAATTTGCGCTAAGTTATAGAGGTGAACAATTTTGACGGAAAGTTCAACAAGACCAATCGATTTTTACAAAGAATGATTGTCGTATTTGATTTCGTTTCTTAAATAATTTTAAAAGACTCAAAAACATTTAGTTAACCATTGTTTTACTGAATAGCTTTAAACCTTTAGATTTAAAATTTATGGCCAAAGCGCAAAAATTTTCATTTTCTTTTCATTTCCTCTATCATGACCGTGAAACTTGATTCTGTTTCAAGGTTTTTTATTTTTATGCTGCATTTTCGAATTTCCCTTTTTCAGAACTCAAACAATGGCTTGCGGTTTGGCATTGAAGCGCCCTCATGAGTACGACAACTATCTGCAATTGGGCGGTGATGCGACGGTAAGTATACTTTAGTTTTTTGTTTGTAGTGGACCAAGAAAAGTTTAAAACGCACGTGGACAACTATTAATTGTCTGTTATTTCTTGCTGTCTGTCCGTTGAGTATCCTTCTATGTGCCAATAAATGCATTCTGATTGGCTCTTATTACGTTGCCATTGCATCGTTTTGATAACTGATTCTAGGAATGGTCTAAGAATAGGTGTCGCTTGTTATGCTTGTTTATCTTTGTGTCATTTGTGTGTGTGTGAAAGGACCCCCAGGTGCCGTGTGAGAACAGAGAGGGGGAGGGGCGGAACCGGTACATTTTGTGTTATTGTTCTTTTAATTAATCAATAAACTTTAGGCGACTCCCGAGGTGAAGCGCTCGAGGACATCGCCTCTCTCGTGTTCTCCGTTTCGGGCTCAAATGGGCACCATGGCCGCCTCGCTACCATCATCCAGTAGCAGCGTCCCACTCTCACTTGTAAGTTTGTTGATTTTTTCGAAAGGGTTAGTCAGTTAGTCTATGACGGTGTACTAACTCTGGATGTTACTAGCTATGCCATTTTGTCACAGTTAACCATAAAACCATGAGTCAATGGGTCGTTGATCTCTCGAGTCTCTATAATCGTTGGTGATATGCTCTCTTGAATTTAGCCTACTTACTCTAATAAATAGACAGTGATAGACAACAGTATGTCATAAATCATAAAACTTTCTTCAAGTTACTTTAACTCATGATCATAATAGAACCAAATTTTAATATTTGATGAATTAGGAGGAGAATGGAAGTGTATTCACGTCTGCAACATCAGTGATGAGCCGCGAAGGTGTCGATGCTTTCTTGAAGGCCGAGATGCGCTCACTTCGCAGGTGTGTTAACTGTTTCAAGACTAGCAATTTTTTTGTTTTTAGACGCAAGCTCATTCCAAAGCGCTGTCTCATTGACAACAATTCTGAGTTTGGCACAAAGGGTGATGTCCTCGAGTCGGATGCCAAGCCCACGACTCATCCTACAAGCAACTATCGTGTTCCTGGATCGCCTCAGGTGAATCATTTTGAAGTTTGGTGATTGGCGACAATGAATGTTAGCTGCAAGAGTGCTGAATATTGTCTTTTTGGTATCAATCATGATTAGTAAAGTCATCGTACTAATCTAAAAAAACCCAGATTGCTGATTGAACGATATCTTCTTATAAAAATATCAATAAGACACTTATAGTTAATAATCCCAAGTGTTTTACTAAAAAAAAATTTTTAGTCTTCATCCGATTCTGAGGGTGAACTCTCTGGTTCTACTCCTGCTCGGCGTCGTGTTTTGGCCACTCTTCCTTCCGAAGTTGCCACTCCAGTCACCGATTTGTACAAAAAGCCAATGTATTCGCTTAATCAGGTATGCCATTTGACGAAGTTTCTTTGCTAACTTTGAAGTTAAGGTGGTGATGATGTGCGAGCGTCTTTTGAAGGAACAGGAAATGCGAATTCGCTTTGAATATCAACAAGTGCTCGAGAAGAAGCTTACAGGTGCGTTTGGAAAAATTTTTGAGGTCTTACTCAGGTGTCGCTGTTAACATTTATAAGCGCTAACTCTTTTCTAAGTAAAGTTGGTGATTAATTTAAACATTCTTTTTAGAGCAACAAGATCAACTCTCGCAACTCGCTGCCGAGGCTGGGAAACCCACTGAGGACTACTCGTGCTCTTACCTTTCCTAAGTCGTTGCTCATTGCCGCCACTTTTCTTGGTGCTTCCTCATTTTCTTATCATTACAAGTTCTGGTATTCATTTTCTCTTATCCATTTCTCTTTTTCTGTAAATTTTTTATTTAGTGCTCGTCTTCCCTCATTCATTTACAGTTTTCTTGCTGTGATTTTGTGACTTTCATCATCGAGTTCCATGAAGTTGTGTGCTTGTCGTACACCACCGGCTTTGTGGTACTTGTGTACGTGTCGGTCAACCTGCCGCATCGGGTCACACGTTGAGACAATTCATTCTTGGATTTCGTTCATGGTTTGGTCTTGTCGCTTTCAAATTTCCTCTACATGTTTACTCTAGACCTGCTGTTTTCTGAAATCTGAATTGAAACCAACCAGTTTAGTGCCTGATTTTGATATTTTTTTATTCGTTTGTATTTGAATTCGCGTGGAAGCACCTGTTTTAAATTGCCACTTGGTACCGTTTTTGTTCTAGATCAGTAAATTCGACGCTTGTGATCTTTTTCGTGCTAGTTGTCAGCTTTTCGAAATTATTGACTCTTCGGAAATTCAAAAATTGCTTTTTGGTCGAATAAATAGTTCTTTTGCAAGGAGAGGAGAGAAAATGCGCAGTCATTGGCTAGTTGAAATATTTGTACTTGTAAAACAAGTGCAATTTTAAGTCGATTATCGTTCTTCTCGATAAAGATTCAAGAAATCCCTATTTTTAACATATTTCAAACATTACTAGACAACTTTAAAGGCCGGATGCTATCTCTAGAAAATTTGAAAATGAGAATAAAGCGGCAGAATGACTACTACAAAGGATTTGTTGGTGTAAAAATCGTTAAAGTTCGAACTTATTTGATTTGCTGACTTTTAATTTTTTTTCAGATGGATGTTGTTGGCCTTGTTTCTGGGGGAAAGGACTCGTGCTACAATTTAATGTGCGCCGTCCAGCAAGGACATCGGGTAAATATTAAAATTTAATCCTAGTTTTTTAAAAAAGCTTTTTAGATTGTGGCGTTAGCGAACCTGCATCCGCCCGAAGCTGTAGATGAGCTAGATTCGTGGATGTATCAAAGTGTGGCCACATCAGCCGTAAAAGTAAGAATGCGGGGGTTTTAAAATGAATTGAGTGTTTATTTAGTTGTACAGTGAGGCAATGGGAATACCGCTCTACACTCATGAGATTGTAAATTTATGCAAATTAGATAAATATTGTGCTTTTAGACTGGTCGACCGCTGAACACCGAGTTTAGTTACGTGGAAACAAGTGGAGATGAGGTGTGTAGGCGAATTTCACTCGGGTTAGAAGTTTATGACAAAGATGGAAAAGATCAGTCATTAACTTAAAAATCTGTTGCTCAAGATGCATTAAAAACGTGAAATTTCGGTCGAAGATCTCTACCAACTTTTGAAACGAGTCACCTCCGCTCATCCGACAATTAAAGGGGTTTGTGCGGGAGCGATTCTCTCCGAATATCAAAAAGGACGCGTGGAAAATGTAGCCGCACGACTTGCACTGACACCGTTGGCATTTTTGTGGAAAAGAGATCAGGTTTGTGAATTGGTTATAGGTTTACTTGCTTTGTTTTTAGCATGAGCTTTTGTCGGAGATGATAACGAATGCAGTTGAAGCGATTTTGGTAAAAGTGGCGGCTGCCGGGTTAAAACCGAAACATCTGGGATTGACGATAAAAGAGGTGGGCAAAGTTTTTATGCTTAACGTTTAGTAATTTAGCTGCTTAGATAATTTAAACACAAGTATTTTAGATGTACGATGAATTGGAGAGACTAAACAAGGAATTTGGGGTTCACATGTGCGGCGAAGGAGGTTTTGTTTTCTATTGTTTAATAAACGAAATTCGGAATTTCAGGTGAATATGAAACATTTGTGCTTGATTGTCCACTATTTCGCAAAAGAATCGTCATTGATGAACGAGAAGTAAGCGAAGGATTTAATATGGTTTTTTTAAGTTTAAAAATATATACCATTTTTCTACCATGCACTAAAATACTCACAAAGTAATAATTTAAAGTAATTCTAACAATACAATAAGTAATAATTTACTAGGTTTTCCAGGCTTTTCACCATTTCTTTAGGTTATCGTTTCCCAAGAAGATCGACTAGCCCCGGTAGCGTATCTTCGGCTGAAAAGGTTACATTTGGAAGAAAAATAATTCATTCGTTTTGTTTGTTATATTTTTGTTGAGTTTTATATTTTGAAAGGCTTAATAAAAATTTGGCAAAAAGGATATTGGAAATTGCAGTGCATTCGTACTTTTGTTTACTGCTGTTGTTGTGGGTGGGGCAAAAAGATGGCTCTTTTAGAGACTCCTTTTGCGCGTTTGGAAACAAACATTGATTCCTAAGGTTTCGTGAAAACCATGGCATTTTAGTTTTTAACAAGTAGTTGCAGGCTGTTCCGGTAAGCATTTTTATCTTTGTAGGAAAATAACTTTTGGCTTTTTCCCCAATTCGATCCAAAGTTAGTTCTTTGGTTTGTGTATCCTGAGCGAAAGCGTTCTTTTCGCCTCTATGTGACTCTTTTCAAGAGTTGTTTGTGAGTATATCCCCTTTCTTTTGTTTCTGGGGGTCTTTTGCAGGGTCCCCCAGGGCGCTTTACACCCAGAAATATCCATCAGTTGGCACACACGACCTGCCGGTCATACTCGCTCAATCAATCCAGTGCCTATTGCCTCGCTTTGCTTCTTCAAGTGTGCATGAGGAGCTTTTTGTTTGTTAAAAATCTTTGAAGAATTTTTATGGCGTTGAGTCACTTTCTTATGTTTCTGATTGAGTCTCGGTTTTTATGGGCAAGGGAAGTAAAACGAAAACTTTGCATTCAAAAATTTCCCTATGAATTCAAATTTGCATTGACGAGGAAATTTTTGACCGCGAACTTTTTTCTTCACAATTCATTTTGGGCACTTTTGATGCTTCTAAACTTTTTATAACTTAAAATCTAATATTTTTGCTTCCAGATGGATTCCACTCCTTCATACGATTTTCCGCGAGTCGTCGGCTCGGCTCGAATTGTGCAAATCGCTGCGTTGATCATTCAGGTGGGACTTTTGTGGTAGATGATTGCAATTTTGCAAATGAACTTAATGCAAGCTATTGAAATTGCGGTACTAATAAAGTTGGGCGGGGGCCACTTTTTTTCTTCAGAATGACTTTCTCTAAGGAAATTTTATGCAAAGATTCCGAAAAACACAACCAGAACTTAGGGAAATCGTTTTAAGCCAACTTTCAGGCTTCAAAGTGCGCGCTTCTATAGTGTACTTGACTATATGGAGCCCAAGCTATCGACTATTGGGGCACTTTTCAAGGTCAAAACTAGAGCCAAAACCATTTTTGATCACTAAATATTCATTTTCTAACTTAAATTGGCTGGTAGAGGCAAAACAAATTGGAAAATTTTTTTGAGATTTTGACCGGTTTTGATTCATGTGGGAACCTCATGGTCGAAATTTAGAAAATTTTTTTTTTTATTTTGCTTCAATTTGATCAATGCCAGAAGTGTTTTGTTTTTTTGTTTTTGTGTTTTTGGCTTCAAAAAATATTTTGAGAGACCATTTTTTAGACCTCTTCCCCATGTGTATCCCTCTCATCACACTTTGGAGCCCCGAAACTCGGCTTAAAGCACCTTTTCCCAACCTCTCATTGTGTTTTTCGGAATCTACGCATAAAATTACCCCAGCAAAGTGGTTTTGAAGAAAAAAAAGTGCCCTCCCTCCCTCAACTAGGATAGTACCTCTTCACCTTCTCAAGACGTCCCATTTGACGCTTGAGTGATGGCGGATCACTTCTATTGCCGGTCTTCTTCACCAATGATTAAGTACTGAAATGTAAAATATAAAAACATAAGTTTTTTGCGCTTGCGTGAAGTTAAGCTAAAAAACCAAATGTGCTTAAAGTGGTGTGTGCAATTTTGAAACCGACTTCGTTTACCAATTTCAATTTCATCACTTTCTCTTTAGATCCTTTGCCTCTACGCGTCGGCGAGCGACATCGGCGGCGGAACGATCATCCACATTGCGCTCATCGGTTTCAATCTGGCACATGTGGCGAGGCGATGGTGAGCTAGTTTTTAACAAAAATCTTTAGAAATGTGATAAACACTAATTTTTTAAAAATTTTTCATTCAGGTACAACAACATTGACGGTCGCTACGACTTGCGGCAACTCATCTCGTCGAATCTCAACAACACCCTTCGCACGCAGTACGCCATTGGTAAGGTGTTTTTAATTTGGCACTAAAATCATAGTAAGGCAGCTTTAGGATTAGATGTCCTTTAGCTACTGATTACGAACTGAGATTAGCCCTAAACAAATTCATTGATTTCTTTAATTGACATAGTTACTTTATTTTAGCTCTCTTGACGGGTGTTTTGCTGGGGCTCATCGAGTATTTCATCGCTCCAAGCATCCCCTCATCATTGTTCCGACTCTTTTTCTGGTGAGCAAACTTTGGAGCTTTGGAAGTTTTATCTGTTCAAGCGTACAGTTGTGTTATTTTAAAAGAAATATGTCAAAAATGCACTTTATCAATGGTTGGATAGATGTCTAATGGTTAGGTAGATGGGTATAGAAAAAAAATCGAATCTAGGTTTAAAAAATTGCACTTTTCAATCTAAACGGTTAAAACAAAATTTAAATTTGCTAGATTTATTCTTTTCCAGGCTCTCCCTCTACGTGCAACTCCTCGGCGCCATCGGTGTGCTCGGATTTGAGGCTTTTGAGGTAAAGGATTTTATATAACTTTAGTGAATGACGATTTTTACAAAGAGTAAAGCTAAAGTTGGCTTTTTTTGCTTATTTTAAAGATAATAGTTACACGTTGTAGCATTTTGTATCCTCATTATACTTTTTAACTTTAGGTCTTCCGTGCCAAGGTGGCACAACAATGATCATCATCGTAAATGTATTCGACGAATCGTTTCAACCAATCGAGATCATCTTCACCAATTTTTTTCGAAATCTCGAGGTAAAGCGAAAAAACGATTCATTTTCTATTTTTCTTCCCCTTTTTTTGCTTCCATATGCATGCGCAAATTCATTGACAAAATAAAATTTTTAAAGAAATTTTTATTACTTTGCGGTTAGAAATCTATAACTTTTCGATATTTTGTTTTGAGAAGCACCGAGAGAAATGAGGATCGGATTTGAAAAAAATTCAAAAAATTATTGATTAAATGAACGCATCAGTTCTTTAGAAGCAAAACTACTGTACCTCAAAACAAAACGAATTAAATTATTCAGTTGAATGACTATTCTGCTGGGCCAATTTTTTATCTTGATCCTTTTTTCGTTGCTCATCGGCTAGCTCTTCCCATTTCATCGCGTTATATCTGGAATTGAGTAATTGAGCAGTTTTCTAAAAGGTTTCCTTTCAAACCACCGCAATCTTTCCTTGTTCAGTGTTTATCGAATCTATCGACTTTAGTTTATGGGTTCAGAAAGGATATCAAAAGTTATAAAAGGTAGACAGATTGGATAAAAACTCAAAAGGAAAGCTTACGGAGTTTGAGGAAAGGGGATAAGTTTTAAGAAACAGATTACTGTAGAGAATTTAAAAAGGCCTCACTCGCATCGTTGCTTCAATGTGCCGGTTTCGGGGAAAACTTTCGCGATCAAGTCATAGCACGGCATGCAGATTCCACGCATGAAGCCAACCTGGGAATTTCGGGCATTTTTTGCAATTGTTTTTTAAACGTTGCAGGTAATTCCGAGTTTCATCGGTAACTGTACCTGCATTTGTGGCAACTCGTGAGCTTTTGTCCGGTCCATCATCGGGATCGGCTCTTTGCCGTTGATGCGCTCGGCGTCACCCTAGAAATTTGAATCAATCTTGCTTCTAGCGACAGCAGGAACTCGCCATGAACCTGATGAACTTGATGAACTTGATCACTCATGCCTTTTAAATTCTCTACAGTAATCTGTTTCTTAAAACATCCTCTTTCCCTCAACCTATCCTAGTGTTATTCACCTGCTCATAGAACTCCTCGAAGATTACTTTAACCGTTTCGGTCTGGATTTGCCAGGGTTTTGCCGAGGCGATTAAATCACAACCGGTCATCAAAATCGCTTGCGTGAGTTGGCTGAATGGAGTTTTTTTTTGTTTTGGGTAATCCTTTGCTTGTTAGTCATTTGAAATACTCACCGATGTTCGACATTTTGAATGTCAAATTGACCGTTCTCGATGAGACCGTTGAGCTTGGCTCTGAAACTTTTAAATAATCAGAAAATTTTAAATCCTCAACTTATTCGGGAAGAATAACGCCAAATCGGTGGCCAAAATGCAGTGTTTGATCAACCCGAGCACCGTTTTGTACTCGGCTGAGCTCAGCGAGCGGAGAATGTTGTGACCTTCCTGGAAATAGACTCACTACAGTAATCCAGGGTACCTAGCCGATAGAAATTTAGAAAATGACCTTCGATATCAAACCTGTTGCAGAATGGTGACCGTTTGATTGAAATGGTGATGTTCCATGACAGATGTTGAATAGATTGACGCCAATGGAGTGGCCATGTCTTTCATGTAGGCGTTGTTCTTGCCGCGATGATCCAAATCGTGGCAAAGACACGAGACGAATAAAGCCAAGGCCTAAAGGATGGCTGTAATTGCCATGTGGGGTTTAGTTGATGAATACGGTGGCCTTAATTCCGATCAAGTTTTAGCACCTGACCTGACCCTTAAGCCAGCCTAGCCAGCCTAGCCAGCCAGCCTAGCCAGCCTAGCCAGCCAGCCTAGCCAGCCAGCCTAGCCAGCCTAGCCAGCCAGCCTAGCCAGCCTAGCCAGCCAGCCTAGCCAGCCTAGCCAGCCAGCCTAGCCAGCCAGCCTAGCCAGCCTAGCCAGCCTAGCCAGCCAGCCTAGCCAGCCAGCCTAGCCAGCCTAGCCAGCCTAGCCAGCCAGCCTAGCCAGCCAGCCTAGCCAGCCTAGCTTTATAACTCTGATTTTATTTCTAAAATCACGAACCTCATGCGGGGTGAAAATCTCCTTTTTCGAGTGCAATAGGACGTACATCGCGTGCGCCACTGACCACCTAGAAAAATTGGTAGCGGATTATGGTAGCTGCACGGGTTACGGTACTTCTAATGCACTATCTAAGCTATCTAGAGCTATCTAAAGCTCACCCATGCGCCCAATTGTGATAAGCGACTCGACGATAGTTTTTCCGCACGGTCAACACGAAACGGACCACATCGTCGTAGTCGAAGGATCTAAATTTTATTGTAGATTAATATTGTAGCTTTTTTAGACCCACATTGAATCCTGGAAAAGACTCTTGAACATGTAGACTGCGTAGAGTGGCTTTTCTAACTCCGATAAGCGCATTCCGTTGAAATCGTAGCTGAAAGTGGATAGATTTGATAGCTTGGGGTACGGTAGTTTGAGAAAGATACGCTACAGTAACCCACAAGAGTATCAAAGCTTGGTTACAATAACCATAACCCGCTATGGTACTCAGCTACCGTAGCCCACTTAGGCTTTTGCTACAGTAATCTGTAACAGCTAGAGTAGTCTGCAACCGCTACAGTAATCTGTAACAGCTACAGGCCTAGCTACAGTAGTCTGTAACAGCTACAGGCCTAGCTACAGTAGACCAACAGTGTTACAGTACCCTTTGCATCTCTCTCAGGCTTAGCTATAGTACCCGTTTAAAGACTGTAACCAGGCTAGCCCCATTGACTTCCTGGATCAGAACCCAGGCTTACAACTAGCTACAGTAACCTTTTGAAGACCCTAGCCTGATCTGACGTTTAGATATAGCAAAAATAAAGGCTCTCCTCACGTTTCCAACTCGTCAATCCTTTCTTTGAGATGAATTTTCTTCAACTTTGCCACCTCATCCCGATTGCAGACTGAATGATAGGCGAGCACCTCGAGTGCCACACGGTGTTTCTGCAAGTGAAACTGTACGTACTGAGTTATGTCTAACATTTAAGAAGACAATTGTAGCTAAGTGCTTCTCTAGATTGTTTTGCTGTAGTAAGTAAGGAATCTAAAGCTAAAGCTAGAGCCTAGCTAGAGCCTAGCTAGAGCCTAGCTAGAGCCTAGCTAGAGCCTAGCTAGAGCCTAGCTAGAGCCTAGCTAGAGCCTAGCTAGAGCCTAGCTAGAGCCTAGCTAGAGCCTAGCTAGAGCCTAGCTAGAGCCTAGCTAGAGCCTAGCTAGAGCCTAGCTAGAGCCTAGCTAGAGCCTAGCTAGAGCCTAGCTAGAGCCTAGCTAGAGCCTAGCTAGAGCCTAGCTAGAGCCTAGCTAGAGCCTAGCTAGAGCCTAGCTAGAGCCTAGCTAGAGCCTAGCTAGAGCCTAGCTAGAGCATTTCTTTAGTAAAATCAGAATTTCGTCTTCCCAACTTGTTCACTCCTTCTGATCTTGTCGTAGAGTTTCGCGTGGTGCAGCGCTAAGCCACAGTAGACGGCGAACATCTGTAAATGGATGCTGGAAAGCTACCGTAACCCTGTACAATGCCTAGGCTTGGTTTTTACCTCAAACGAATCCTCATCATTCTTATTGAAAACGCCTTCCGTTTTATTGACCATTTGAACGACACCGATTACGCTAAAGAGAAATTTGCATAAAAGACATTAATGCTTTTATGTAGTATGCTCTATAGTATGCTAATTATGTCTATAGTATGCTATAGTATGCTAATGTCTATAGTATGCTATAGTATGCTTAATATGCTAATTTTTCCTTACTGTTGTCGGATGAAAATCGGCATACAGAGGATGGTTTTCGTTCGGTAACCTGTGCGCTCGTCGATATCCTAAATAGCTTATAAAAAGCTGTACAAGCTAGATCTACAGCTAGAGCTACAGCTAGAGCTACAGCTAGAGCTACAGCTAGATCTACAGCTAGAGCTACAGCTAGATCTACAGCTAGAGCTACAGCTAGAGCTACAGCTAGAGCTACAGCTAGAGCTACAGCTAGAGCTACAGCTGTACAACCTTTGATAAAAGTGACCGTAATCCGGCTGCCTTTACCTATGATGCTACGGTAACCCTTGACCCACCTGATTAAAGCGTGGATCCGTGTACGCGTCCTCGATGTTCAGCCCCTTTCCCGCCGAGGCAACCACACCGGCAATGCCACGAGTCATCGGGAATCTCAAAAGATCTAGCTGATCAAAGGACGGTAGAGTACCCTGCTATAGCATAGAAGGCTATAGCATCTGGCTACAGTACCCTGGCTAGCTACAGTACCCTGGCTAGCTACAGTACCCTCAGCTCATCCCCATACGGTTCTTAGGCCCTCTACAGTACCCCGGCTAGCTACTGTACCCCGACTAGCTACAGTACCCTCAGCCCATCCCCAGTACTGTTCTTAGACCCTCTACAGTACCCCGACTAGCTACAGTACCCTCAGCTCATCCCCAGTACTGTGTTAGCCCCTCTACAGTACCCCGACTAGCTACAGTACCCAAACTTGGCTACAGTATCCGCTTTACTTACCGTATCTCTTTCTGACCATCTTTGTTGATTTTCACGTGCTCAGCCTCACCCTGTCCGACGTCGAAAATGCGGGCATAGAGCTCCTGAGAATTGAGACAAATTAAGCGCTAGAAGGTGCAGATTACGATATTTTTCTAGTTTCAAGAATACCCAATATGGGTACGGTAGGATCTTTTCGAAAAGCGGCTTAGTCTTTACGGTAATTTTGATGATTTTGATTAAACGAGCTGTATAAAAAACTGCGAACCTTTGTTTTTGAGTCGACCAAGAACAGCGAGGCTCTTTCGGCAGAAACGAGTTTCTGCGCGTAGTTCATCACCTAAAGAATCGACGCATTTAACTTTAAAATAGGTTTTTTTACTTTTAAAATCACAGCATCCATGCTGACAATATCCTGGAAAATCGATCTGAAATTCGAGTTTTCTTTTTGGAAATCTATTTCTATTGGATTTCTATTAAACGAACTTCGCCACATCGAGAAGAAACGACGAAAGTTTTCGTTGACGAGCGAAATTGTCGAAGAGGGTTCCCTCGGAAGCGAAATGTTTCGCCATCTGTGAGTTTTTGATTCTTTCAATCAGATAAACTCAGCTATTCGCGTAAAGCTACCGTAAAGCTACAGTATACCGAAAAAGGAAAGAAAAAGGAAAGAAGATGGAATAATTTTAAAGTTTCCGAACTGTAGAGCGGATTAGAAGGCTACAGTAATCCGGAATACAGTAAATCAGAACTACAGTACTCTCAGAAGCTACAGTAGTCTAGAAATTAGAGTATATGAGAGCTACAGTACTCTAAAAAGCTACAGTACTCTCAAAAGCTACAGTAGTCTAGAAATTACAGTATATGAGAGCTACAGTACTCTCAGAAGCTACAGTAATCTAGAAATTACAGTATATGAGAGCTACAGTACTACAGAACTTACAGTACCTTAGATTACACTAGCTACAGCTCAGTCACAGCTTTCAACACGTGAACTATGATTCAAAGAAAGGAAAGAAAAGCATACAGTATCCGTCTATCTACAGTATTCCTAACACTTCTGTATACTTAGAGTTACCGTACTCCTGGTACCTTCTAAAAGCTTCTACTTCTCTACAGTAACCCTTAGTCTACAATACTTCTCTACATTATCCAGACTACAGTCTACACCACTTCCATCTACTTCTCTACAGTATCCCTAGTCATAAAGTCAGTCATAAAGCTAGGCTAGTGCAGTCAACATACAGTAACCCCATCTAGACATCAAATAGTACAATACTGTTATACACAGTACAATTGCTTACAGTACACAGTACAATTACTTACAGTTCATAGTACAATCATGTGACAAAAACAAATCCACAATTGCCCTAAGCCTAAGCCTAAAGATGTTGCAGAGAAAATCACATGAAAAAAAGTCCAATTTCCTAGCCGGGATCGAACCCGTGACCCCTCGACTAGGATACAAGACTGCTAACCACTCAGCCATGACGCCGGTAACCGGTCTAGAGACATAAAATGGTATACCTGTGCATGGTGTAAAGCGGCGGTGCCCCAGCAACAAACCACGTTGATCATTTGCCGATCTTTTAATGGTAAAGAGGCGTAGAAATGGATTTCACCTAGAATTTGATAGTACAGGGTGCGGCAGAATTATAGGTGCAGAGAAGTTCCATTGGAATATGACCAAAAAACGAAAAATTTGCCACAAAAACAGTTTTAACATATTTATTGAACTTAAATTAACAACTTTTATTGATCATATTCGAATCTTCCTCCTTTGGCGTCGATGCAAGACTTGAGTCGCTTGGGAAAGGCGTCGACCGTGGCGACCAAGTAGGCGGCGTCCAGACCCTCCCAGGCTTTCAAGAGAGATTTCTTCAAACTTTCGAGGTTTTTGTGAGGTTTCTGACAGGCCTCGGCTTCAAGAACAGACCAGACCGAGAAATCCAATGGATTGAGGTCTGGGGAGCTTGGGGGCCACTCGTTGAATGCAATGAAGTCGGGAAAAGCCGCTTTGCAGAAATCCTGAACAATCTTGGCTTTGTGAGCGGGAGCACCATCTTGCTGGAAGGTCCAGATACGATTTTGGAAGTGATTTTGAGCCCAGGGAACAAGTTCTTTCTTTAGCATATCCAAGTACGTGTTCGCATTAACTTTGACTCCTTGTGGCACAAAAATCAGTGGTGTCTTGCCGGAAGCCGTCACACCGCCAAAAACCATGACTGAAGCTGGGTGGCCGCTGCGGCCGACGGTAACATTTGGTTGAGTTTTCGACCAAACTCGATCGTTCTGCTTGTTCAGAATTCCTTCAATCGTAAAAATTTTCTCATCGGTGAACAAAATGTTCCTGTGGTCGATTCCGTTGAAACGAAGACGAAGGCTTTCACATCGATCTCTTCTCTTCAATTTGGCGTCTGCCGAAAGCAGAGCGGATTTGTTCTTCTTGTAGGGCTTGAACTTGAGCTTGTCCTTGATAATTCGACGGAATGATCGATCGGATACACCCATATGTTTGGCAATTCTTCGAGCGGACTGATTGGGCTTCTTTCGCAGGCGATCCCTGACCTTCTTGATGTTGCCTTTCGTCACCACAGATGGACGAACACCTCCTCGCGGCCGATCAGACATTGATCCCAACTCGTTGTAGCGTTGAATGGCTCGGTTAACAACGTTTCGATGCACTCCCAACTTTCTTCCGATCACGGTCGCCGATTCGCCCTTCCGATGAAGTTCCACGATCAATTGTCGATGCGGGGAAGCGCGAACCATAGCCTGAAACTCAAAGTTATAAAAAATTATAATTTACAAATACAAATTCAATCATAAAATAACAACAAAAACATAAATTCGAGTGCAAAATCAAGAGCGAAGGCTCGTTTTCCGTCTTTATGTCATGCACCTATAATTCTGCTGCACCCTGTATTACTTTTACAATAGTTTCAAAATACTTTCAAATAATTTTCAAAATCATTAAGGGCTATGATTAAGGGCTACCATTAAGGGCTATCATTAAGGGCTACCATTAAGGGCTACCATTAAGGGCTATCATTAAAGGCTATCATTAAGGGCTACCATTAAGGACTATCATTAAGGGCTATCATTAAGGGCTATCCAAAGCGCAGCACTCTAGCATAAAACAAGCACAACAAGGCAGCAACAAAGCAAAGAGCAAAAAGCGCTCAAAGTTAGCCTACACAACTGTACGCTTGTCATTACGGTGATGGGCCGTTTGGGTAGGTTTTATCGTGGCTGTAGACAATCTTCTCCTTTTGCTTACCCAAAAAATTGCCAGCACAATCGTTTAGTTGCTGGCTGTATGTGGGCGTCTTGATCGGGCTTTTCCGTGCCTAAATAAAACGAAAGAAAATCTGATAATCTTTTGGAGAAATCTTGAAGATGTTCAGCTCTTAATTTTGTCTGATTAGATGATTTTTCTAATCCAAATTCATCAAAATCCAACAAAATCTATCAAAATCCATCAAAATCCATCAAAATCCATCAAAATCCATCATCCTAACCTATCAAATCCTTTTCTGGTTACTGTAACTTGTAGAAAACAAAAGAATTTACATCGGAATTGAATACCGGGGTACTGTAGAGGGCCTAAGCACAGTAATGGGGATGAGCTGAGGGTACTGTAGCTATTTTAAAATCATCAAACCTTTTTCAATTTCAACTGTTGATCGGCTCGACTTTTGTAGACAAAAAAAATCCCCTCTTCGTTGTGAATGAGTAGCTCGAGTTGATCACCAATACCCGTCAATTGGCCACAACATGTGGCTAGCTCGTACATTAAACGCACCTAAAAGCTGGTGGCTAGCTCGTACAATAAATGCACGTATGAAATCGAGCTGTGACTAGCTCGTACAATAAATGCACGTATGAAATCGAGCCCACATCTTGCTCTATTAGCCACTTTCACTTATTTAGTCTACCGTCTGATCACCGTGATCCAACAAGATTCGTCGCCGGGTCGAGAGATCGTTGCTCTAAAAGTTAAGCAATTGAATCGACCTTTCTCTCAACAAAACCATCCACGGAGTCGCTTGCTGGTCTCCACTTTTCCCGAGCGAGTCTCCTCTTTGTGTTCCTCCTCTTCTCCTCACTTGTGTCCATTTTTGGAAAGTCTCTCGACTGACAGAAGATGAAGTCACATATTCATCCAGAAACTGAAAACCATTGCCTTTCTTGTCATGGAGTTAGTTAGGAGTCATCTTAGAGAAGACAGCTTAGATCCAGCCTAGAGAAGACAGCTTAGATCCAGCCTAGAGAAGACAGCTTGGATCCAGCTTAGATCTAGCTTAGAGAAGACAGCTTAGATTAGATCCAGACTGCTCAGTTAGAGGCTAGGCTAGGCCCAGACCAATCTGAATAACTGGACAAAAGTGGATAAGAAAATTCACCTGCGGATTTGCTTCAATGAAAGCGATCACCTCGTTTTGCTCCAAAGCAACCATTTCTTTCGAAATCTTCAAAATTGCAGCAAATTCTAGAATAAAATCTACAAGAAATAAAGAAAGTACAAAATTTGGAGATCAAAATACGAATCTTTAATGATTTCTTCAGAAATCTTTGGGGATTACTCTAAGAGAACTCTATTTTTCTCTCGCGAGGAGAGAAAAATAACCTAAAACGTGCCAAAATTGAGTTTTAATTGAGAAACTTAAGCGGTAGCCCGGTCTATAACTCTAGTCTACAATAACCCAGCTTTAAAAGCTAGCTAATCTTGAAAGCAAAAGCTTGAAGCAGCTTGAAGCAGCTTGAAGCTAATAATTGAAAATTCTGTATAGGTATCGTCCAAATGAGGATAAACAAGGTAAAGTTGAGCAAAGTGAACAGCAAAGTGAATTTCTGGACGATTGTCGATTGTGGTGGACGATTTTCTAGGTCTACAGAAGTTAAAAGTTGATATTGTGAATTTAGAAGTCAATTAAACTATCAATGCTATCAGACTATCAATGCAAAAATGAAATCGAGAAGGCCCGAGAAGGCCAGGTTCGCTAGAGTCAATTTCCCGGACTAAGCCAAAGTCAAGACTTGGCTTTAGTCCTTCAAGAGTCAAGTCTTGACCAAGCCAAAGTCAAGCCAAGACCAAGAAGGAGACAAGAAGGACACAAGAAAGACACAATGAAAATCATCGAAAGCTCAGAAAGCTCAGAAATATGTCAAGAATTGATAAAAAAGAGAATTCCTAGTGTTCAGTTCTAAACTATCTCAACAAGCCACTATCTGACAAGCCACTATCTCAACAGACAAGCTGACTCTATAAGATGACTATAAGATGAACTTGGTCTCTTATGAACTCTCTTATGAACTTGGTCTAAAAGTTGATCTTGACTCGGTGCTCTTGTGAGAATCATGAGTACCTCAATGATGCTAAAATGACAGCTAGTCAAGGGATGAGCCAATCCGAGGCCAGTCGAGGGGGCTGATTCTCCGCGGTTTTGTCTCCACGGCAACCCCCATCCCATTTCATCCCAGAGATATCTAAAAACTCTCAAAATAGCCCCCAAACAGCTTTAATAATCTCCGTATTTCTCATTTCCGCAAAATTTTCATAAAGTTTCACAAAACAACAATACATGGTGAAGCCATTTTTGGTCAAAGCAAAAAAATTGGAGTCACGATTTGCACGTGTTAAGCGGAAAATGTAGGAAATTGAAAAGTTTCACGCTTTTCTCTTCTAAAACTACTGTAACTACCATACTTTAACGACGTTAATCACTGACGTAATCCCTGGCAATCGTAGCTATCGTAATCCCTGGCGCGCTGTAACTATCGTCTTTCGTGTCACTCTGTAACTACGATAATCGAACTTCGGCAAACGTTTAAAAAACATAAAATGCCCGCAATCTATCCACGGTTAACTTTAAAAGCTTTACTCAAACAATTCATTTATTACCCGAGGAAATGTACAATTAATGACAGACACAAAAAGACAAAAAAACACCGATTTCTCGTTTCCTTGCTTTGTCATTATCCCCATTTTTCTAATCCTAAAAAAAAAGAAATATAATAATGATAAAGCTATAAGCTTTTAGCTTTTTATAGCACTTTAAGTTGACATAGACAGTTGTGAAAGTACAGAGTACGGTAGCGGTGGATTTAGAGCCGATCCTGGAAGCCGGGACCAGGCTCTAGGGCTCTTAAGGGTCCTCGAGCCTGACTCGTGGATCTAGCACGATCATAAGAATGGTGTTCTTTTGCTTTTTGTTCTTTTGCTCTAAGAATGGTGTTCTTTTGTTTATACTAGAAAAATTCTAAAAAACACGTCACGCACAGGCGGGGTGGTGGAGGTGACAGTATTGCTCTTCTCGTTTTTCTCCTGCTTCTCCGGTTTCTCCTTGACACCATCGTTTGTTCGATCCGAGTCCACCGTCGACTCCTTGTGCTCTTTGTCCTTGTTGTGCAGCTGAAAGAAAAGATTCAATAAGTAAGAAAACTTCTTTAAGAGATAGATAAGAGAACTATAACCTATAAGCGTTTTACTTCACTCGAAAACCCCTCACTTGACAATATTGAGATGTTGGTAGAGTTGCATGACTCGTGCCTCTTCCATCATATCGGCGAGCGCTCACTCGTCGTTTCTCTCCGGATCGATCCTTTTCACAGTGACCGTCGTTCGTTTGCTTTCCTATTTGCACAAATGAACCATTTAAAATAAAACTCACCTTGTCAGCTTCATCCTTCAACAAAACTCCTTCGTGAACTGTTCCGTAGGCGTCGGAGCTGAAAACTTTTGCTAGTTTTTAATTTTAATAACTTTTAAAGCTACAGATACTTGCTGAACACACTTTTAAAGTCTTTCTAAAAGTCTTAAAGTCGTTTTAAAAGTCTTAAAGTCGTTCTACTTTCTAAATTTAGTATATAATGCAAAATCTTAGCCAGATAACCCAGTAAAGCCATAGGATCAACAAGTTCTTGTTTGCTTGACTTCGGTGCTTGCTTGCTTGCAAAACTTGCTAAAAAAAAACCAGCTCACCTTCTTGTTAATATCCTTGTGCATGAGTTGAAATTCTATCCACCGCCGTCTTCAATTTTCGATCCTCGATACCATTCTGGAAAAAGAAAAAATAAACAACCATCCTAAATACTCGAATCTAGATTTAATTTAACTCAAAAGAGCAAAATATAAACCTATAACATTAGCCAAAACAACCAAAAACCTTCACAAGGTGTTCCCATCAGAGTCTGGATACTCGAAAACTCGCCAAATTCTTCGTCTTCGCCAAATTCTTCGTCTTCGCCAAATTCGCCATTCGCAAGCCTTTCTCTTTTCGACGAATCTTGTAGCTAAAGTAGAGACAATGAAACTTTGGCAATCTGATGCATGTCTTTGCATCATAGAATAGCTAAAATCTAAAAACACTCACCATTTAATTTCCGTAGCCTTTCGAATCGTGAAGCAGAGACAATGAAACTTTAGGCATACTTTCGCAAATTTTACCGGACCAATAGAGGCTATTGGTCCGGTAAAATTTGCGAAGTGCTTCGGAGTACAATGAAGCCCAAGCGCTCTTCTGTTTGACTTCGTACCCTTCATTACCGACGCCTTCATTACTTCCACTCTTTGCAGGTAATTTGAGGGTGTCGAATTCAAATTTTGACATAACAGAGCGTGTGGAACCAATTTGAAAGACAAAAGGGTCAAATTTGAAAGACTAGGTCAAATTACATAAAATTGTTGATTTTTCTTTGTATAACTCCGTCCGTTCGCTTCCACAAGCTCTGATATGCCAAAATTTCGATTCTACGCCCTAAAATTACCTAGAAAAACAACTTTTGGAATAGAAATTGGTTAATATTAGCTTTTAGAGCTTTTTTAAAACGCGAAAAATGGTGCGCTAATGGGCTAAGTGCGGGAAAAAAAGGTGCGCAAATGTCCGAGTGCGCAAAAAAAAAGGTAGCATTTGTCCCACTCCCGAGAAAAATGATTTTCCTGCCGGCATTATCACTTTATATCTGAAAATGTTAAATGTAACTTAGTAGCGAAAATTTTTTTTTCTTAAATGCTGTTGTTTGTCTGAGAAAAGATTGAAAAATTTGAATTTTCGTAAATTTTCGTAAATCTTTTCCCCAAATCTTTGCTTTAACAAAAAAAAAAAAGTCTTTCATTTGGCAAAAGTGACACCAATTGTGAACTAGAAATTTGACGAAAGAAAGGAGAAAAACTCAATTGAATCGAACAATCGAACACCAAAGTGATTTGAAACAAAGTGAAAGTGGCAATGGTTTAGAAGTGACACTTTTGGGAGGGGGGAATCATAAAAAGCTCTTGAAAGCTCTTGAAAAAAAGATCTCTTCAAAAATTTATTGTCATGAAAATTTTAGCGTCATTTCCATGTGTTTTTGATCTGGAAAGTGGCTTTTCTGTGTTCGGCGGGTACAGTATTTCGAGTACAGTAAAGTAAAAGTACAGAAAGATCGATTTGTACAGCTCTTTTGGTGTACTTTTCTGCTCATCTTCGAAAAGGTAACCCTTCTGGTTCTTCAGCTTCTCCAGCTTCTCCAGCTTCTCCAGCTTCTTCAGCTTCTCCAGCTTCTACAGCTTCTCCAGCTTCTCCAGCTTCTCCAGCTTCTTCAGCTTCTTCAGCTTCTCCAGCTTCTTCAGCTTCTTCAGCTTCTTCAGCTGGTGTCTCAGTCTGTTCACTGTTCACTGTACTGTGTAAACGTTACGGATCTAGCACACTGAAGGCTTGTAATGCTCGATTCAATTACCCAACTTGATCAAAATCAAGATCAAGATCAAGCTTAAGATCAAGCTTAAGCTCAAGATCAAGCTTAAGAAAAGATTCCAAGTTTTGGGAAAAGAATAAAGAGTTAGCATATTTCCAAGCTTTTCTACAAGTTTCCCTTTCTCTATTCCACTCGTTCATTTCGCTTTCTTCTAAACACAAAGAGTTGATTAGGTTAAGCATTAGGCTTTGACATTGAATGAGAGAAAAGACTGAAAGTTCATGATCATTTTGTTAGAGCTTGTTGCAAGAAAGGTTTTTAGATGAGCAAAAAGCAATACGTTATCTATTGCGACGAGAAAATAGACTGTCAGATAGACATAGAACCAAAAATTATAGACACATCTTGTTTTTTTTGCTAGTTTTAAGTGCGCTATAAGTGCTAGCCCAATTAAAAGTATTTTTCTTTTCTTTAACTCGAGAAAGGCATTTAAAAAGCCATTCAAAAAGCCTAGAATCGACTTAGGCCGACAGTGCTTTAAAACCTTGTCTCTTCGATGTCAAAACGTCTTTTTAAAGTTAGACTAAAGAAAAGAAGGCTCACAAATTATTCATTTATTTCATTTTTCTTTTTATTTTTATTTGTTAACTTTTTCTTGATAAAATAATAAATAAATAAAAGAATAAATAAAAAAATTTTGATCTTTAAAGCTTTTTCAGAGAAAAATTTTTGCACACCATACTAAAATGCACTAAACTACCGTAACCCTTCAATTTGTCTTTTTTTTGGCAAAGCCGACTTCTTTTTGATTTTTCGCCATTATTTTTATTTTTTTATCAACTCTGGAACTTTTATCGACTCTGGAACTAAAGTTAAGTTTATTTTAGACATTTTTTTGAACAGATCGCTTTGTTAGAAGGATTTTTACAGGGTGATGGAGGACTTGCCAATGTCAACGAATTGAAACAACAACAATGAAACTACTTGCCACGTGGAGGACTTGCCAATGTCAACGAATTCAACAACAACAATGAAATCACTTGCCACGTGGAGAACTTGCCAATGCAAACGAATTGAAACAACAACAATGAAATCAACGGGCATCAACATTAAGAGGTTGTTTCACTTTTTTAGTTTCACTTATTGGGCATAAATTTGCATGGGGATGCGATAGTTTAGTTCATTTTAATGTGGTGCGCAAAAATTTATCAATAATTATCCATATTTTTCAATAACTATCAATCTTTATCAATAATTATCAATCTTCATCAGCATTTATCAATAATCTATCAATATTTATCAATTTTGTTTTCCGGTTTACGCCGCTGCGTTTATAACTGAATGACTTTTGCTTACTAAAATGTTTGTCTACGGTAGTTTGAGCTTTGTTTAGGATTGAGGCTATTCATTTGCATTGATTTGCTGACAGTTGTCTTATTATAAGTGCTGTATTAGTATCCGACCAGCTGAAAAGCAGGGTTTTTTGTGCCTTGTTGGTTTGTCGTCATGGCGCAATCGGGAGTGCACTTGTCTACCGCCAACACGAGCCGGGTTCGACTCTCCCGGCTGTGTCCTGTCTTTTGCTTTTTTTAAAAAACAAATTATAGATGCTTTTTAAAAACATTAGATGCATAATTACATAGAATTCTAAGCTTAATAAACTAAAAATCATGTAAATCGGACACTTTCCTTTATATAGTATTGAGTGACTGTTTTCGCCGATTCCCAAAATCCATTTATCTGTTTTCATAGCTTGTTAACTGATCAATCAGAGAGGAGGGCAGGGGTGAGGCTGGGGTTGGCTGGGTTGTTCAAGGGAAAGTCAAAGCTGAAAGAAAGCGGGGTGGAGTCTCTGCCAGGCTCACCCCTGCGTAACTCTAGCCTTCAGCCTTCAGCCTTCACTGATAGTCCAGCCCCCTATTTATTCGTTCTTTGCCATTCATTCCTTCATTTCCCATCGTTAAATGAAACTCCTTGTGCTCGTTTCGCTTCTCGGTTCCTCGTGGGCCTGTCTCGGCGGTGGTGGTGGTGGCTGTTGTCCACCGTCGCAAGCCATCGGAGGTGGATGCGGTGGTGCCCCGCCATGCTCGGCATCAAGGTTTGTTTATTGGCAAAGGCGCAGGCTTAGGCTTAGGCTTAGGCTCAGGCTCAGTTAGATTCTTAACCGAATATCCATCCTTACATCGAGTTCTTAAACTTTGGCCAGTCTTGCTATTCTCCTTCAAGCTCATCTGCTTTTCAGCTAATTTCTACTTTAACTCTTACTTGAATATCTATCCCTAAATATCAAAAGTGACACTTTTTAAGACTTATTTCAAGATTACTGTAGCTGAAAAGTACTATATCATTTACAGTAGTAACCCGAGCTAGTTCAATCGTAGACACTATTTCAAGATTACTGTAGCGCTTACAGTACAGTAACCGGAGATAGTTCATCAGGTGCACTTTGTCGTTTCTCTAAACGCATCCCACCTAGTGCACTGAATTCTCTAGTTTTCTACGATCTTCACCACAAGAAAACTGCTGAATTCCGTGCACCAGAAGTGGTATTTTCAGGCTTTTATTGAGCACAAAGTGCACGCTAGAAAGGGTTAGACAAAAATCCTCCATCTCCAATTTTATCGTTATTTTTCTCGTTTTGGCGAGGATCGTTTCCAAATCCAAATCTCCTTCCGGATTTCTTTAATCTGAATCAAATCATTCGGTTTTTAGCGCTGAGAAAAGGGAAACTTTCTCCCTTTTGGCAGCTTTTTGCGCTTTTTTTGAGCCTCGTGTCTGCATTTGGAAACAGTTTTTGCTTGGGTTTTATTTTAAAAACTATATACAACAATAGAATAACCCAGTTATCGTAATCCTAGATCTTTAGGCCATAACTAGCACTCGAATTTTCCCACTTTTCCCTCAAAAACATTTCCTTTCAATTTCCCTATCTTTTTCATCACTTTCCCCTCATCCAAATCTTGTCAGAAATCCTTTCATATCTTCAAATCTCAAAAGGGAAATCACTCTTCTCAAATGGGAAATGCCAAAATCAGCATAAGCAATCTAAATGACCATGAAGAAAAGGGGGAAATTGAAAGCCTTTTTGAGATCGAATGGCAGATTCAAAAAAAAAAGTGATCAGCTTGAGAAAAGAAAAGAAAAAGAACCGGTTTGAGGGGGAAAGACTGACACAATCAGCGCACAAATAAGTGCTTTAGGGGAATGGGGGGAATTGCACCCGTTAGGTGAAGGGAAAGGGAAAGGGGCTGAGGGTGAATGCCTTGTCTGTGCCACTAGCTCACCCTCACCATAACCCTTCGATAGTGAAAAGGAAAACGGGATGATCTAGGGATAAACTGCTTTATATCAAAGTCAAAGCAATGCCTTGTTGACTTTGAATTACAGCAATTCTACAGTACTGAGGAGGACACTCAACGATGTATGTGCAGAACGTAGATAATGAAAAGAGACGGTCTAGGAAGATATAGGAATTGGATTGTATCAAAGCGTTAGGGTTGCGGTAATGGGATTCTTTAGGGATACAGTATTCCTTTTCGTTAGGAATACGGTAGTCGTTAGGGATACAGTATTTCTACAAACTGCTGATCTCTAGAGTAAACCAGAGCTCTAAAATGCCTCTCCAAAACAAATCTAACCATTTTATGCCAATGAATCATCAATTCTAAAGTGATAAGTCATGTCCTTAGTAAACCTGTTATCGAATGTCTCATTGAATGACGATAAGTGCTTTTCTAAACACGATGGTTGTCAAAAGGACAGTCTAGGCAAGAAACAGAAAAGGGAAATGAAGGGAAAAGGTGAAAGTTTCTTTTAAGAATTGGCTTGATTAGAAAGAAAGCTTAGATTTCGATAATATAGATAATTAGAAAGCTTTTCTAATGCTTAATCTAGATGAGAATCTAGATAAGAATTAGAAAGCCATGAAAATTGTTAGATATCATTTGTGAAAGTGTTAAAACACTAAGAGTACTTTCTAGGTTCTAGGACTGCTTCTTAGTCCAAATTAGATCTATATCTACAGTAATCTATCTTATCTACAACTCTTTTAGCTACGGCGGTCCACCCCCACTTCCCCCACCACCATCTGGAGGATATGCGACAGCTCCTGGAGGAGGAGGTCGGTTTAAATACTAGATTTAAATTAAACTCGTTAATATCTACTACTTAATATCGATTTTATCGATATCTAGCCAAACAAATCTGTCTTTTTAGGAGGTTATGCTGGTCCAGGCTCATTCGCCGCCGCTGGTGGCCCGATTGTTGGTGGTTCTTATGGAGGAGGTGAGGAGCAAATACCATAATCCTAATAAGGGAAAAGCACTGAGTCAAGCTGACTTTTTGACTTGAGATCAAATTCATCTTATAGAGTCAGTCATGGGGATCAAGAATTCGTTTTTAGTTTTTGCTGAACGCTTCTCAAACGTGGATAAAAAATCATTTGGAATTAGACTTTGACACTTGAATTACACGCGAGTATAGCTCCTTAAGAAGCCGTCATACGATCCTTCAATAACTGCTTCTAGTGGTCTAGTGGATAGTCTGCTAGACTAACAAACTATTACACCCTTTACCCTCAAGTTCAAGTCCCACTCTCGTCAAACTTTGTCGAGAGTGGGACTGGAACTTGGGGATAAGAAATGTAATAAGTTCAGTAGTCTAACAGACTATCCACTAGACCACTGAAGCAGCTGTTGCGGGAACGTGTGATAGCTTCTTAAGGAAGCGCGATAGCTTCTTAAGGAAGCGCAGTGCCTTCCCTTGTAAACTTGGCCTGGGGCTCATGCGGTATCAAATGTCCCAGCGTATAGGTCAACTCTTTCAATGCAAATTGGTATCAATTTCAGCCCCAGTGTCAGCTGGTGGTTCGTACGGTGGTCCACCGCCAATCGCCGCTCCTCCACCACCACCTCCAATCGCTTCTCCAGTCTACGCTTCACAAGGAGCCGGCGGAGCATTCGCCTCACCGCAAGCCCCAACTTCTGGAGGTGAAACCTAATTACTACTAATTACCGTAAGCTACCCTGTAATCTAGTTTTCAAGCTAAAGCAACCCTTTCTACAATCCAAAAGGAATGCATGGAAACCCTGTAGTCGAAATAGATAGCACCTAGATTCAACTAGAGTAGTAGATGTAGATGTACTCCCAGATACATCTACTACTGTAGATTCAACTCTTGTAGATTCAACTACAGTAGATTCAACTCCTGTAGATTCAACCACAGTAGATTCAGCTATCCAACTACATTAGTTCAACTATAGTAGATTTATCTAGGATAATAGTACTATAATAGTAGTATAATATCTAGTATATAGCTTTCTTATCGCTAACTTTTCAGTTGATGCCTCAGCTGGAGCTTTTGGAGCCGCCCCGGCACCCGTTCAGGTAAAGCCGATACAACAAGACCCAACTCTTCTAGGTATTGCACTGCTTTAGAGTTTAGGCTACGGTAGCTTTACTGTAGCCTACTGTAGCCTACTGTAGCTGGCTTATCTTCGAGAGTTTTCTGCACTTTGTGCTCTCCGTGCGCGAGCGACGAGCGAGGTTCTACAGTAGAGACAAAGTCCAGCGCACATTTGTAACTACACCACCAAACTAAAGCCACAAGCACCCCGGTTCTAGAAGCCTTAGCTATTGAAATGTTCACTCAGATCTCGGCACCAGCTCAACCACAGGCTCCAATCGGCTCTCCGATTGAAACAGCACCACAAGTGATCTCACAAACTGGTCAACAAGAACTCCCACAACCACTTCCACAAGTGCAACCACAAGAGATTCAACAGGTTACTAACAACACTGAATCTTTCCAATGTTCAATGTTCCGTTTAGCCAGCTGCTCCCGCTCAAGCTGAAAACTATGGAGAAGAAGCCCCAGCTCAGGTACGCTTTTTACTATCTACAACTACCGTACGTAGTTTTTAGCAGTTATTAATAAGATAGCAGTTATAAATCGAAATTTCAGCCAGCTCCTGAGGCACCAGCTCCACAAAGTAAGTGCTGCTTTTTGTTTCTAGAATCAAAGTAGCTTCTTTAGTAATAAATAGCTAGTATTAAGCTTTTTTTTCGCAAAATAAGACAATACTTGGTACTAGGCTTATGTAGTATTATTGTAAATACTGTAATAGAAACGTACAATAGCGTAGTCGCAAAAAAATTATCTTCTTACTTTTCTTTCTCGTTTTTCTAAGCCTTCATAAGTTCTAAAGATATGGGCTTAGTATCAAAAAATAGCCCTGAATCTCAGCTTTCATTTGATATATAAGCGGGCTTTGTAGCTTAAATGGGTGACGAGAAAAATGCGTTTAAAGTTAGACTACGCGACGCTCCGATAGAGGACGGGTCACTTATTGACGTTTTTTCGGGATTTTGAGACAAAACAAAGGTTAGGGTTTTCAAAGAGAACCATTTACAGCTGAATCTTCATACGATGACATTGAAGAAGAGCAAGCGCCAGCCCCCGAAGCTCCCGCTCCAGCGCAGCCAAGTTACGAGGAGACCAAAGCCGCCCCCGAGCCTGCCGTGAGTTTTATAGCCAGCTTAAGTGCGGGTTTTTCTCGCTCGGCCTCCTTTCGTCGTGGTGCAGTCGGGAGTGCGCTTGGTCGACAGCCCGGCCCCCCGCGTATCCCTCTGGGTTCGACTCCCCGTCGTAACTCTAAGTTTTAAACTTGTAATTTTAAACAGCAGAAAAGATTTTATTTAGTTGTTATATTCATTATATATTTAAAGAATTTGATATATTCATTGTTATATCTGTTTTTTTAACTCAGAGACAGCTGAGAAAGACAGCTGAGCAAGACAGCTGAGCCCATACAAACGCACGGACAGACGCTCTTTTATCTATAATAGATTTAGGATTTATAGATTGATCTATATATAAAGGAGAAGAGACGTTTGTCTGTCTGTCTGTCTGTTCGTCTGTCTGTCTATCCGTCTGTCTATCTGTCTGTCTGTCTGTCTGTTCGTCTGTCTGTCTATCCGTCTGTCTATCTGTCTGTCTGTCTGTCTGTTCGTCTGTCTGTCTATCTGTCTGTCTATCTGTCTGTCTCTCTATCTGTCTGTCTATCTGTCTGTCAGCCATTGGCAAAAAGGGGCGGGGCTTAGGCTTGGAAAACATGGAGCTGGTTTTTCGCAGGTTTTATATAATAGATAATAGATAATAGATAATATATAATAGATAATATATAATAGATAATATATAATAGATAATATATAATAGATAATAATCGTAGATATTATAAAAGTGTCTTGAAAACGATCCTTTGAAAACTCTTCTCTGAAAACTACATTGTTTTTACTCATTTCAGCCAGAAGCCGCCTATTCAGAGGATAACGCGGTAAAGAGAAAGCTTCAAATGTAGATGCTGCATTTTTTTTTTCGCTAATTCTTGTTAATTCCGAAAAGCTTAGCTAAATTTCTGAAATTTTCTTATAGATTCCTCCTCTTTTAGCTTATATTCTTTCAATTTCAATGAAACTTTCATTTTTTTTCCCAGGCTTTTTTCTAATCACAATTAAACTTTGAGCTTTCAGCTTTCCTATAACTTGTCCTTTCTGTTAGCTTTAAAGGCAAATTATCCAAATTACCCAAATTATCCAAAAAAAAATCAAATCCTTTTCAGGTTCCCGAACCTGAGGCCCCAGCGCCGGCTGGTGGAGATGATTACGGAGATGCCGAGGGAGCAGACGATGGGAATTGCGATGATGCTGAGTTGAAGGTGAGTTCGGGATTACAGATTCCTATGTCTATGGTAATCAGACAGGGGATTACTGTAGGTATATTTAATCCCAGACTGCTCCTACAGTAGCCAGGCAATTGGAGGTAACATCCTGTACAAAAGCAGACGTGTACTGTACAACAGACTGTACACAATGTAACGTAAACAGTAAACATCAGTAGTGCATCCTTTTCAGCAAATCGTTGAGTCCGCCTTGGGCAATCAGAAAGACAACTTGGAAGCAGCGCGAGAAATCGAGGGACAAGCTTCGGCCAAGTTTGGAGGTAACGAAAATAAGCTTTCACTAGGTCAATCAAAAGCTTCCGTTTTTAGTAAAGAGAGTTTTTCTAAACAGCTACTAATCCTACCCAGTAATCGGTATGTAAAATAAAGTCCCTTATCAAGAAACAACAAAAACAAGAAGCTCAAAAGAAGAAGCTCAAAAGAAGAAGCTCAACAAGAAGCTCAAAAGAAGAAGCTCAAAAGAAGAAGCTCAACAAGAAGCTCAAAAGAAGAAGCTCAACAAGAAGCTCAAAAGAAGAAGCTCAACAAGAAGCTCAAAAGAAGAAGCTCAACAAGAAGCTATTGTAGCTCAAACAAACTTTAACTTCAATCCTAAGCTTATTCTAAACTAAACAAACTAAACAAAACGTATCTCAAAATCTAAAGAGCTCATTTGTAGAAGATTACTGTAGCTTAGACGCTTTTCAATAAAACCACATTCAATCCCATTCAATCCCATCTACAGGTCGCTTCAACTCGATCGTTTCTGACGCAGAATTCGCCTACGTGAACTGGTACGGTAAACGAAATTGTCAACTTCGCATCAACAACCGTCACTCGCTCACCTGGGAAGACTAAAATCGATGATTTCCAAGCTATTTCCAACCTATTTCCAAACCATTTCCAAACCGAATTCCACTATTGCTCAATTATTTATTTAATTTATAGGGTTGATTTTTGATTCGAGATCGTACTTCGACTAGCATTCCACGTGAATTCTCATTTCTTTTCCCCCCAAAAAAGCGCCCGTTTCTTTTTTTGATCTCCCCGGTGCGAAATTTGATTTGAAAAACAAAGGCCCACACTTTGTGTTGAAATAAATTTTAAAACAGTTTTATCCTCTATACAGTTATTGGTTAGTGTTTGTGCTTAAAGCTTGCAAACGAACTCCTCCTGGAGCCCCGAATTCTTTATTTTTCTCTGAGCAACGATTCTCGATTTTTGTGAATAGAAAAATGAGGACTCCAATGCGCTAAAAGGGGTGCGTTTAGCCGTCAAAAAAGTAACTCGCAAAAAAGATGTCAGCGAAATTTCACTGTCAGAACGTAAATTTCCCCCACAAACCCCATTCTTAGTTCAGTTTTCGCCGGCTGGCAGAAATGAATGTCACTAATAGATCTTTTCTGTCTCAAAAAAGTCAAAAAAAGCTATTCACATTTCAGTTTTGTCTCAGAAATGCGAGAAAATTGGGGGAGAAAATCAAGCGAAAACTTGAACTGGAAAAGAAAATGGCAATGGTGATGATGGGGAGGGAAAGGAGAATGGCAGGGAAAGTGCGGTTCATCGATGACAGGGCTGTGAGTGATGACTCTATGACAGATCTGGGGAAAATCTCAAAATAACTAGGAGCGCAACTCTTAGAATTCACGCTTAATGCCGAGAAAATGCATCCGCGCACGCCGCACACTTTAGAAAACTCAGCAAAATATGCGGCATCAAATGCTTATGCTTAATATGCTCAAAATATGCTTAATGGCGCATCAAAATACGTAAGAAATTGCTGTGTGCTCGCCTAATACACTTTAGTGAGTTTCTTAATATAGCAAATAACCATTAATAGAAAATAAAAGAAAGAAAATAAAAATATATAGCAAAGTAAGCAAAAAAAAATTAATTTCAAATAAGCTTCCAAAACGTTTTCTCACCATCGAGTAAATTGAATATCTTTTTATTTGAAGGGAATTTCCCACCAAATCATTTAAACGACTGAATATCTTTAAAAGAAGCCTTATATAAGCGAACGCTCGTGATTTTTCGCCTCAATTTTTTTGCAATAATTTTCGCTTAAAAGTACGGTAATTTTTCGCAAGTGTGCATTTTAAAAAACACATTACTCGCGAGGAAAACACTCTAGTCACGATTGTCACCTGGCGGCCCCCGTCGTGTTCATCCTAGATTCTCTAGAATTCGAATTCTTTGATTTGCGAGCTTTTTCTCGACTACTGTAGCCGCACTACCAGTTAGATCCTCAAATCTTTGCGACAGATCTGTTACGGTGGGATTTAACTGTCCGATATCGGTTAGGTAGCTGATAGATGGGTCATGGTTTCGAAACAAAAAATTAAATTCGGCTTCATCAGAAAAGGAGCACAGATAACGGTAATTTTTTAACCAAAATGGCACTCTCCAGAAAATGCCAGATCTATCATAGAAAAATTGAAATACAGCCTGTATGCATTACTTTTTGCATTACATTACTACAAAACTTGGCTTGATATGACAATTCTAAAAATCTGCTACGACCTAACGCTGCACACCTCAACATTTAGCAAAACCATGTAAAAGACTTTTATTTTAAAACAATTTAAAACATCAATGCATATAAAACATGACTTATCTCTCAATACCCATAACCACGACAAACAAAAACATAAAGTACAAGCCCAGATAAGTTACACGAAATTTTGAAGAGCAGAAATGCAAAAAGCACTTAAAAACGAGCTCAATAATGGGAAAAAATATCAAAGCACAATTTTCACAAAAAAAAACAATTCGACAGTGTAATACTTTTAGGCGATCTTTGTGGTGGCGAATTCCCGGGCAAGCGTCACGGCGTCGTCAATCTTCTCAGCTGAATCGCATGTGGCCTAAAGTTGAGAAATTGCATTAAGGAGTGGGCAATTAACCAAAGTAAAACTTTTCGAATCCGTTACCTGAGCATTTGCATCTTTTCCGCCGCCTTTTCCACCAAGTAGTTGACTCACGGCGCCCACCCAATCCGAGGCTTTCAATCCCTTGTCAACGAGGCTCTGAAGAAAGATTTAAATGTTAGACTTAAATCAAACATACCTTATCAACTTTGGCAAGCACGGTGACTTTGTCGTTATCATCGCTGACTGAGAAGGCCATCACTGCTTTGGTTTCCTTCAACAATTTGATCGCCCCGTCGAGTGCTTTTGAGTTGGCTCCTTGTGGGAAGATGTGCACGAGGACATCCGAGGAGTTTGTTGTCGACAGTTCTTTTGCCTCGGTGAGCACCTAAACTTGTGGAATTAGAAGACTTTCTGGTACAAAATTCACCTTCTCTTCGACCGCTTTTTGCACATCCTTCTGATATTTGTCCAAAGTCTTTTGTACATTCTTGATTTGCTCACGGATGAGATCCTTGCGCCAATAGGGTAGTTGCATTGCGTTCATTTCCTAAACACTTTTATATAAAGATCCAGTACAATGACTTACGTCGATCAGCCCATTCGTTTGTTTTCCAGCATCGCGATAATCCTTTCGGTTCAAGTAGAGTTGTGGTCCCACCGAATCGACGTGTTTCCCAAGCGCTTCCACTCGCGATTCCAAGCGTTCTGCGCGATGAATGGCTCGCTCAGCTTCGGGGCCCGTCAAGGCAACAACTCTAAAGTAAAACATTAGCAATAGCAAAAGCAAATGTACCAACCTGCGAACTCCCTTCGAAATAGCTTCCTCCGATGAGATGACAATGCGTCCAATGTGACCAACGTTATGAAGATGTCTAAATGGAAACACCATTGAAAAAAAACTCTTAGGACTTACGTTCCACCGCAGAATTCGACGGGTGTGCTTGTTCCCTTGTCGCCGGTTGGATCATTGAGAAGCTCGTCGACTGAAACCGCCACAGCAACCACTCGAACCGGATCAGGGTAAGCCTGAAGGATACAATAAATCTTGAAGTTTAATAATCAAATTAAACATTACCTCTCCAAAAACGGCTCTCAACCCGTTGACTTGTTGAGCCTGGGCAAGCGAGGCATTTTGAGCGTAGACCGGCGAGCGTTTGTCGATCACTGATTGAGCGAGCTCTTCAGCAGCACGAACCTAAATATCAGTTTTACCTTTAACTAGACGTGGTACTTGTAGTACATACAGTTCCAAAACTTTACCTGTTTTGTCGTCATCGCTTGTTTGGCCGTAAAATCGAATCGCATCCTGTCTGGCGCGACGAGTGATCCCTTTTGATCGACATCGTTGAGTGTTTTCTGCAGGGCAAAGTTGAGGACATGAGTTCCAGTGTGATTCTTCATGATCAAGTCGCGACGTTCCTGTAAGACAAGTGAAAATCTTCTAGATAAGCAAATCTAAACGAACTTCATCAATTTGTTGCAGGAGCTCGTCTCCAATCGTGATATCTCCCTCGACATTGCCGACGAGGACCACGTATCCGCCTCGAACTTGGCAATTTGTCACCGAGAATTCCGAGCCCTAAAGAAACAATGATTAGTAGAAAAGTTTTGGGCTTTTGCACTCACATCACTCTTTGTCAGTACTCCAGTGTCGTAGATTTGGCCGCCTTGCTCAGCGTAGAAGCAAGTTCTAAAATATGGGCATTATTTCAATCAATCCCAAGTAGAAACTTGTCCAAAATGATTGCTCCTTCATCTCCTGACGTCAATCGATCCACGAACCCGCCGTCTTTTCGAATAGCCAACACTTTGCCAGTACACTTATCGAACGCTAAATTAAAAATACCAAAATTTAATTTTACTTGAAACTAACTATATTTCACCGTCAAATCAGTCTTTTCATCGTCTCGGTAGGCATACTTTGGTGTATCGTCAGTTTTTGGGACTCCCTAAACACAAACATTTGATTCAAGATAAAAATTGGAACCTTTGAGTTGAGTTCGGCAATGGCGTGCACATCGAGATCAAGCGTGTCCCGGAATTTCCCAACACCTCCAGCGGAAATCTCCTAAAAGACATTTAGTTCATTAAAAGCAATTGTTTTAATGAAAAATTTTAAAAAGAATCAACGAACAATTGCTTTCTTTCGATGCTCCTCGAATGCTTCTTGATCGACTTTCAGCCCTTTCTCTTCAGCCATCAATTGCGTGAGATCAACAGGGAAGCCATACGTGTCGTAAAGTCTCCAGGCAACGTCACCTAAAGCAATCATATTAGACAAGTTCAACAAATCACAAGCTTATAATCTTCATAAAAGCCAACCAGGGAAAGTTTTCTGTTCAGTCGGAAGTGCAGTGACGGCTTTCTGGAAGAGAACACGGCCCCTCGAAAGAGTCTTCAAGAATTGAGTTTCCTCGTCGTTGATGATATCCTTGACGGCGTCAGGATCTCGCGTCAATTCAGGGAAAGTTTCGCCCTAAAGATTTATGTACACTAGCTATGCTTAACAATTAGGTACCAAGAGCTCCACAACGACTGGTACCAACGATGCGAAGAATCCGGGGGCGGCTTTGAGCTTCTCGTTTGCGTAGCGAACACCACGGCGAAGAATTCGACGCAGAACATATCTAAATGTTGAGTTATAAATTGTAAAACAAAGACAAGTAAAATGTACCCTCGTCCCGTGTTATCCGGTCGTCCACCATCCGATAAAGCTATTGTCAGCGTTCTGATGTGGTCAGCAATAACTCGGTAGGCCATGTCGACTCCATCTTTGTCCTCTTCGCCCAAAAGACCGGAGTATGGACGAGCACCAGTTCCCTAAAGCAATATTCATGACTTGTAAACCTCTAAAACTAACAAACCTTTTGAATTGCGTCAAAGATCGGCGTGAAAACATCCGTGTCATAGTTGCTGGTCTTTTGCTGCATGACGGCAATCAACCGCTCTAATCCCAATCCACAATCGATGTGTTTTGATGGCAATTGTCGCAAGGAGCCACCTTCTTCTCTAAAATATCAATAGATCTTGATTGGGTTATGAAATCACCTGTTGTATTGGATAAAGACAAGATTCCAGATCTCGACAACCATCGGATCGTCGGCGTTCACCAAATGCGATGCATCACGGCCACCAACTCTAAAGAGTAAGGTAAAGTTTGTACCAAATCGAAGTCAAACCTGTCAAAATGAATCTCCGAACATGGCCCACATGGTCCCACATCGCCCATTTCCCAGAAGTTATCTTTCATGCCGAATGGCAAGATGCGTTCCTCCGGTACACTAAATCAAAAAAGTTGATTTTTGCACCGATTTGAGTCAAAGTTTTAGTAGGAGTACTTTTCTAAACTTACCCAAGGCTCATCCAAATTGATTTTGCTTCTTCATCAGCAGCAATGCCAGCATCTTTATTCCCACCGAAGTACGACACGTAGAGGCGTTCGCCCGGGATCCCGTACACGCCCGTCAACAATTCCCAAGCCCACGTGATGACTTCCTTCTAAAATTAAAGATGAATCCACATTTTAAATAGAGTAAACCTTAAAGTAGTCGCCGAAGGACCAATTGCCGAGCATTTCGAAGAAAGTGTGATGGTAGACATCTTTTCCCACGTCGTCCAAATCGTTGTGCTTTCCTAGAAACAAACATAGTATAAGTACAAGGATTAGTAGCTTTACCTCCTGCACGAATGCACTTCTGTGTGTTCACGGCTCTCTTCAGTTTGCCAAGTTCGGATGCTGGATCGGCGACGCCCAGGAAGAGTGGCTTGAACTAAAAGAAAAACAATTAAGGGGAATAACAAGGCGAACGAAAATGGGTACTTTAGTATCTGAGAGGGTGTAACGATTTCAACAACCTTGTGTCACTGATTTAGCTATCTTAAACTTGTCCAATTTTGACTCTAAAGCATTATTAGATAGCTTAGATTTTGTAGATTTTAATAGTCTTTGAGTTTTTCAAAATCTATCCCAAAAGTGTTTAGATTATGGGTTGTAGTTCGACAAAATTGTTACCCTCCCCCCTCGATACTAAAGAAGTACCAGAAAATGTTTTATCAACCAAACCGATTAAACATACCTGATTCATTCCAGCATTTGCGAAGAGAAGGGTCGGATCGTCGTGCGGGATGACGGAGGACGAGTGCACGTAAACGTGCTCCTTCTTTTCGCGGAAGAAGTCGATGAACGTCGAGCGAACCTAAAGTTGAAAATGGAATGAATGAAGTGATGCTGCGACGATTTTTATCTAATCTTTCTAAAGCCTGTCAACTTAAACCTCTCACTTGTAAAACAAAGGATCAAACCGTTTTTATCAACACGTATAACGGTTAAATTTTGTCAGTAAAGGTTTAGGAAGAAAATTTGCCCAAATTCAAATGACTCCTGTGTAAAAACTTTCAAAATTTAGCAATTTTCGTCAAAAATTTCCAATGAAAACTTCAAAAAACAAGTTTGGCCTAAATTTGACATATTTCCTTAAAGTTTTGGGTTAAATTTAGCAACTTTTCAAGAAAAACTTCAATAAAACGTCTCCAAAACTTTGCTAGATCCATTACGATTCAAAATTGCAAAGATTTTTAGTAGAAACTCGAAAAAGTTACCTCATTTGCCGTCATAAACTTCATCGTAGCGATCGGTGTTGTCGATTTTGCCCAACAGCTGAGTGATCGTCTAAAAAATAGAAACTATTATTACGAAAGTAAAAAAAAACGAAAACAAGTTAATATTTAAGATAAGGAAAGAGAAAAAGGAGAGAAAACAGAACTTGAGTCAGAATGATGCAAAGTTTACGCTAAAGGGTCTGAAATTCTTGAAGGAAAGGAGGGGAAAACTGGCAGCTCGTTTGGCGTAAATTGGTGTGCGGTGTAGTTGAAAGAGAAACGGGAATTTCAGTGTTTTCACACCAAATTTTGATACAATTAGTATCGGTTTTATAGTGAGTGAGTTCAGGATAAAAACATATTACAAGCAGAAAATAAAAATGTGCCTCAGAATTTCTAGTGGCTCCTGGTTATTGTGGTCCAAAGAGAATATTTTGGGCGGGTAAATTTTGATATTTTGTCACTTTTTCTCGATTTCATGACTTATGCATGAAATTTCTGAGCCACCATGGCTTTCTGAGCCACCATGGCTTTCTGAGCCACCATGGCTTTCTGAGCCACCATGGCTTTCTGAGCCACCATGGCTTTCTGAGCCACCATGGCTTTCTGAGCCACCATGGCTTTCTGAGCCACCATGGCTTTCTGAGCCACCATGGCTTTCTGAGCCACCATGGCTTTCTGAGCCACCATGGCTTTCTGAGCCACCATGGCTTTCTGAGCCACCATTTTGACACAATTAGTATCGGTTTTATAGTGAGTGAGTGCAGGATAAAAACATATTACAAGCAGAAAATAAAAAATGTGCCTCAGAATTTCTAGAAAACAGAACTTGAGTCAGAATGATGCAAAGTTTACGCTAAAGGGTCTGAAATTCTTGAAGGAAAGGCTTAGTGGCTATTAGTGGCACTCCTAATCTTATAGTTATGGCCTATATGGCTACCACCATATAGGCCATAACTATAAGATTTTTACCATAAAATTAAATCTTTGTACTGGCATCGTGGTGTATAATAAAGAATATTAGGATAACTACAAATTTTAGGTTATTAACTAGCGTTTCCTTGGAAAAATGGGACACTTCTTTAAAAAAGCTAATTGAAAATCTCTTATTTGCGACAGATTATCATATAATGTAGATGGATAAAGTATTTGACTAAAAATCTTAGCTTTTAAATTAACTATGACACTACGATGCCAGTACAAAGTTTTAATTTTATGGTAAAAATCTCATGGTGGTGAAAAATTTTTGTGTATAGAGAGGACCAAGAAAACAAAAAAATTCAAAAAAAAGTGAAAAAATTGCCTTAAAGAAAAAAACAGTTTTGTCACCAGGAGTGCCACTAATAGCCAATGTTTCTAAAATTCGGCTCGAAAAGGGCCTTTTTTTGAGACACCCTCTAAATATGAGTTTCAATAGCTAAACTGAGTTTGGGTGTCCAAAAAAAATTCATTCGGGTTTTCAAAAATTCATTTCAAAAAATTCATTCCAAAAAATTCATTCCAAAAAATTCATTCCAAAAAATTCATTCCAAAAGTTGTTTTTCTAGGTAATTTTAGGGCGTAGAATCGAAATTTTGACATATTAGAGCTTGTGGAAACAAACGGACGAAGTTATACAAAGAGAAAAATCGACAATTTTCTGTAATTTGACCTAGTCTTTCAAATTTGACCCTTTTGTCTTTCAAATTGGTTCCACACGCTCTGTTATGTCAAAATTTGAATTCGACACCCTCAAATTACCTAGAAAAACAACTTTTGGAATAGAAATTGGTTAATATTAGCTTTTAGAGCTTTTTAAAACGCGAAAAAAGGTGCGCTAATGGGCTAAGTGCGAAAAAAGGTGCGCAAATGTCCGGGTGCGCAAAAAAAAGGTCGCATTTGTCCCACTCCCAAATTTGGGCTCTTTTTTTATTGTTTACATAATTTTATTTCCAACTAATGATTTGTATTTTACGGAGAAATGCCTCAAATCATTCTTTAATTTGATAATCCCTCCAGTGAACACATATTCAACGTTAGATCAAAACCTCTTCTTTAACTCTTGTAGACCCTATAATACTACAGGGTTGAGCAAAGTTACCCGGACAAGAGGGGACTGAAAAGGGGGAAAATGAAGCTCCGCTCCAGGATCAATTTTATAGAGCTATGTGGTTCAAAAGAAAAGCCGGCCAACGGATTTTTCTTTTCAGTAATGTCCCAATAGGTTAAGGAATGAATAAATTTATACTATGGAGAAAATTATACAGTTAAATTGGCTAGCTGCAAAGTTACAACGAAGAACTCTTGTCTTTTTGGAAAATCTTGTCCGGTTAATTTTGCTTAACCCTGTAGAAAGGGTATTTTTTTGCGTTTTAAAAAACTCTAAAAGCTAATATTAACCAATTTCTATTCCAAAAGTTGTTTTTCTAGGTAATTTTAGGGCGTAGAATCGAAATTTTGACATACAGTGGTCCACAAATGTATTGTCCCATTGCCATCCAAAAGTTTCTTTCGTACGAAAATCTTGCAAAATAACGATATTCCCAAAAAGTGTAGGGTATTTTGCTTACCCATAATACTCTACTTTTCAGGATTATAAGATTTATCCGTATACATTGCAGAAAAATTAAAGTATAAAACAAAAACAATAAGTTACTTAACAAATAGCTCCACAAAAGTAATGTCCCATTGATGTTTTCCTTGATTATTCTTTTTATTTTCGAGTTCTATGAACATTAAATGTATTTTATTTTATTATTTAGATGGCAAGAAAAACCTTGACACTCCGAATCGCCAAGGCCCGGGAAAATGGGATGCGGGAAAAGGATGTGGCCAACCTCTTCAATTGCTCGAAAAGGACGGTGCGCCGCATTCTTTCTCAATCAAAAGTCGACCGAAACCTTCACCGAGGCCTCAAGAGTGGCCGACGACCAATCACAACCACAAAAGAAGATCGAGCCGTGATCCAAATGGTGAAAAACGATCCTAACAAAACACCAACCGATGGAAGCCAAATGATGAGGGATCAATTTAGCAGGGTTGTATCACCAGAAACGATCAGATGACGATTAAACCAAGCTGGATGATATGCAAGAAGGGCTGCCCGTAAATCTCTGATAAAATCTAAGCACCGGAAGCAGCGCCTTGACTTTGCACGGACCTACCGAAGTTGGACGACACGTGATTGGGCGAAAGTGTTATTTACCGATGAGACAAAAATCAATTTATTTCCCGCGGATGGAAACCATCTTATTCGGCGACCGACTGGAAAGCGATACGCACTCAAGTACATTCGGCCTACCGTGAAATTCAACGGCGGAAACATGTGTTGGGGTAAGAACGTTTTTAGTATTTTGTTACCTAAATTTTTTTCTTTAGGAGCGATGTCTCGAACTTCAGTAGGTCCGTTAGTCTACGTGAACTCGACGATGGATGCTGTGGCTTACAAGAATATTATGGAGACCCAAATGCTTCCCTTTGTCAATCAAACGATGCCTCCCGGATGGATGCTTCACCAGGACAATGATCCGAAACACAAGTCGAGACTGATGATGGGACGGTTGGTGACACTTCAAAATGGTACCAGAGCTCGTCTGCCCGGATGGTTTGCGGAAAATCGTGTTAAATTGATCAATCCACCTCCCTACTCACCGGATCTCGATCCAATTGAATATTTGTGGTCATTTGTGAAGTCGCGCCTCAAGGGAAATAAATTCGATTCGAAGGCCGCCTTATGGGTTCACATTCAACGTCTTTGGGCCACCATCCGCCCAGGTCTTTTGAAAAATCTCGTGGATTTCATGCCGGATCGACTCAATGAAGCGATAAAAGCAAAAGGAGGACCAGGCAAATATTAATTTTTTGAAAAAATTGTTAATTCTTTGCAAATAGGACATTACTTTTGTGGAGCTATTTCTTAAGTAACTTATTGTTTTTGTTTTATACTTTAATTTTTCTGCAATGTATACAAATAAATCTTATAATCCTGAAAAGTAGAGTATTATGGGTAAGCAAAATACCCTACACTTTTTGGGAATATCGTTATTTTGCAAGATTTTCGTACGAAAGAAACTTTTGGATGGCAATGGGACAATACATTTGTGGACCACTGTATAACACAGATTTTTAGCATTAACCAGTGCTTAGAAAAAATGATTGAAAAATGATGAAAAATCGGCTCTTTTTTGCCACTTTTCAATCATTTTTTTCTAAGCACTAGTTAATGCTAAAAATCTGTGTTATATCTAAAAAAATCACCCATCATCTCTACTTTAATTTGATATCTAAGCGCGCAGAAACAAACGTACTGGTGTCAAGTTATGAGCATTTGTTTGAGTGTAAACTTTGAGTGTTTGAGCCTTAGACTACGCGACGCTCCTATATGGGGGTCTTCTATGAGAGCTTTTACGGGGTAAGCTAATTGCCGCAATTTTTTTTGCGCAACTCGCCATAACTTTCTTCTAAGTGGATCAATCTTTATGATTTTTGTGTCATTTTGTAGATCTCAATAAGTGCAACAAGATGAAACCAAAATCATAAAGATTTGCTCACTTAGAAGAAAGTTATGGCGAGTTGCGCAAACGACCCAGTTGCGGAAATTAGCCTACCCCGCTTTTACGGTAATTAGAGAAGAAAATTTGCATTTCTTTGCCGAATTCACGCTTTAGAAATGCATAATTCACGATCAACACACTCTATTTATAGTAGGCCTTGCTTCTTTTATCCCCTTTTCATAAATTGTGCAGTCCTATTCGCAAAATGTTGCAAATCTCTCGCAAAACGTTTTTCCTCTTCACAAAACCCTAATGGTTTGGCTTGGCTATTTGCCGGTTTGTTTACCCGATTCGGTTGAGAGAAAAGAATGGGTTAAAGTGTTGTCTCAGTGATGCTAACAATCGTCTCACCCAAAAGCTCTTCTCAAGCTCTTCTCAATGGGGTCAAAGTCATGTCAAAGAATAGCTTTGGTCATTAGCTTTGGTCATTAGCTTTAGTCATTAGCTTTAGCTATTAGCTTTGACCATTAGCTTTAGCCATTAGCTGAATAGTTTTACATTTCATATTCAGTTAAGAAGTTAACTTTAATTTACCGTAATTCAGCTGTTTAGCTGATCAATCAAGAACATAGACCTACTGTAAAAAACTCGACATACGGTAGCCATAAGTAGGCTTGCTAGATACCGTAATCCAGGCACATAGTTCGCCAAAAAGCCCAGGATCAGCCCAGGCTTCTGGTTTCATTATCATATTAAAGAGTATATTAAAGAAAAACCTTATCTTTGCTCTGGAGACAAGAACGACAATCCAAATAGGGGCCAGGGTCGCAAAAAGAAATGACAAAGCAAGGAGAAGAAAGAGGTAAACCCTTAGAAAGAGTGGGGAGTGTTTGCTCGGGAGTTCAGCCTGTTCAGCTCTCCACCCATTCCCCCAGGTCACCAATTAAGGCACTCATTTCTCATCCAAGCCATCGATTATCCCCTGCAATGATATTTTTGCTGCTATTCTCGGTGTTACCCACCTCTATAAGACCCATCCCATTCCTGCACGCGGATCCAGTGTTTTTCGGGTTAAAAGGTGAGCTAGTTTAGTCCGTTTGCTAAATCATGTTCTAGATTTGGATCAAATCTGGAGCTAAGCTAGATCTAAGCTGAATCTGGGCTGGAGCTAAGCTGGACCTAATCTAGATCTAATCTAGATCTAATCTAGATCTAAGCTGGATCTAAGTCTAGATCAAAAACCACCAATTGTGCAAAAAACTAGGGCTTACGGTAGTCTAGCTTGGTCCCTGGCTCAATTAGAAAGCCTTGTTTTACCTGACTGAATCTAAATCCTTTTGCTCTCTGAATCTGCTACAAAAACTAAACAGTTTTTGGGCAAAGACTCTTGACTTTTTTGAAACAGCTTATGACTACCGTAATCTCGCGCTTTAGTTCAGGATTACGGTAACGAGAAGAACTATCTTCTGGCTACCGTAATCCTGATTGAATCTGAACCTTTCTGGCTATCCTTTTGGCTAGCGAGAGCCTAGCCGAGCCTTAGCCGAGCCTTAGCCAAGCCCTAGTCAAGCCTTAGCCAAGCCTTAGCCAAGCCCTAGCCAGAACCTAGCCGAGCCTTAGCCAAAAGGATAGCCAGAAAGGTTCAGATTCAATCAGGATTACAGTAGCCAGAAGATAGTTCTTCTCGTTACCGTAATCCTGAACTAAAGCGCGAGATTACGGTAGTCATAAGCTGTTTCAAAAGAGTCTTTGCCCAAAAACTGTTTAGTTTTTGTAGCTTTTCGAGTTCAATCCAAGATTCTAGACTGACCGGCATGTCTACAGACCTTCAATATTTATGGGAACTAGTAGATTAGAGCAGTAGATTAGATTTAGAGCTTATTTTTCTACAAATTTAATGCTAAAAAGGAGACAAAAAGGAAACTTATCAATAGCGACAACTTTAAGTCACTTTTTTCAAAATTATTCCCTTTACTTTGCTTGTCTAGGCTTATGAAATTATGAAAATTATAGCAAATTGAGTTTGTCAAATGTAAATATTGAACACTTTTTATTATCTACAGATAATAATTTGAACAATTTCAGATCCCGTTCATCCACCTCTTACATCTCCTCCCCGTTGTGGGGTCTTTGACGAGGCTCTTTCCCTTTACTGTGTCACTCCACTTGTCCGTTTCGCTATTCCTGGATCGAATGCTCTTTTACCGCCACTTTCCCGGTAACTATTGATTAGATTTCATAATTGGATCACAAAAATTCTTTAAGGGCTTAGGCTTAGGCTGGACTAGGCTGGACTAGGCTAGGCTCAGGCTAAGGCTTAGGCTAGGGCTTAGGCTAGGGCTTAGGCTAAGGCTTAGGCTTAGGACCTTAGACCAGGCTAGGACCTCCAAAGCTAAGTCCTAGCCTGGTCCCTAGAACTCGCTGGAAGCTAGGTGAGTTCAAGGTCCGGCCAAAACAAAGCCAGACAAGACTAATCCAGCTTGCCAACAGAATTCTGTATAGGATTACTGTATTCTAGTGTACTGTAGCTATTATATAAAAACCTCTTTACAGATCCGCTGAGCTGTGCACTGAGTACGCGCGCTTTAACGAGTGCACAAATGGAGTCGACGAGGGGTGCAGGTACGTGACTTGTGTACTTTCACAGCTTACTGTAGCTTACTACAGCAACAGCCTACTGTAGCTTACTGTAGCTTACTACAGCTACAGCTTACTGTAGGTTACTATAGCTACAGTTTACTGTAGGTTACTACAGCTTAGCTTACTACAGCTACAGCTTACTTTAGCTTAATATAGCTCAGCTTACTGTAGCTTACTACAGCTACAGCTTACTGTAGCAACAGCCTACTGTAGCTTACTACAGCTTAGCTTACTATAGCTACAGCTATCAATTCTTTTCAAATACAAATTATCTTCAGAAAGCTCGTCGCTCCAAACGTTCAGCAAATGTATGCAACAATTTGCGAGGAGAAATACGCGACACTGTTGAAAGAGGAGAAGTTTGTACTGGGAAAATTCCAACCCGAACCTAATTCCACCTTCGTTTTATCAGCCATTTCTTAGCCGATTTTTCTGAAATTTTTTCTACAAATAGAAAATAGTATTCTCTGCTTGTAGACAAAATTTCAGAGCAATCGACCAAGAGACGATTGAGAAAACGCAGGTGGAATTAGGTTTGGGTTGGAATTTTTTTCCTGGCTAGGCCAGGCAAAGCTGGGTTAGGCTAAAAGCTGGCTTTTGTCCTGACCTTGATAACCAAGTCAGGCTGGGTTGTTTAATCCCTTGACTGCTTGACCAGGTTAAGGTCTTGTAAACCTAGTGAATCGCTTACGTAGACTTGTGTATCTAAGCTACAGCACTACAGGGACTGTATATTCTTTTGAAATACATTTCTTTTGGCTGGCTCTAGCTTGGCTGACTTGGCTTGGCTTGATCCAGGCTGGCTTGATCTAGCTTGGCTTGATCGAGGCTTAGCTTGATCTAGCTTGGCTTGACCTAGGCTTGGCTTGACCTAGCTTGGCTTGATCGAGGCTAGGCTTGTCCCAGGCTTGGCTTGTCCCAGGCTTGGCTTGATCCAGACTTGGCTCTGACTGTTTCTAGCTTGGTTTCCTCTGTCCTGAACCTGAGCCTTAAACCGATCATGCCAGAAATTCTTTTCTAGAGACTGCCTCCAAGAGCTTGAAGAGGACAAAGCGCTTGTCGAGTGTTTTGCCGAGAAAAATGGGAATGACAAGGAGAAGGAAACAGCAGAAAGTAAGGAGTACAGCTAGCTAAAGGCCTTGCGCTCACAGGCCCATAGACTTTAAACTTTTAGAATATTCGCTTTTCTCTTCAAATTCTCCTACCGAGTGTTCTCTTTTTCAATCATTCGCTGAATGTCTTATGGAAAGACCCGGGAATACATGCAGAGAGGCGGTCAAGGTGAGAACTCGAGTGTCTACTGTAACAGTACTGTAACAGTACTTTAGTTGGTCAGGTGCTAGAGATCCTAGAGTCTGTAAAGCTGCCGTAAAGCCTGTAAAGCCTGTAAAGCTACCGTACTCTTGTTCCCCTTCGTTTCCTAAAGATTTGCTGATGACATCTGTAATCTTTTCCTTTTAGTTATCCCTCTCATTAGTCTCCTCATTGGGTACTCGTGATTCCTCCTCTCCTTGTCAATTCGTTCTCCCATCAGCAAAGCCAGAGCCCTCAACTCCAGCACGTATGTAAATAACTAGATATTTCTCTAACTTTATCCTACCGTAATCTCAAATTTAGCAATGGAAGTATGCGACGAAAAAAATATGAATTGTTCATGTCGCGAGAGTGGTTGGGTTTACGATAAGAATGAGAAGCGTTGTAAAGGTGGGACATTTAAAATACTGTAGCCGGCGGGGGGCTACGGTAAATTTGTTTTGCATTAAGATCTTCTATTTCCAGACGTGGACGAGTGTGTCGACGATTCGGCTGGGTGTTCACAGGTTTGTGAAGTCGATTTTAAAAGCTTGAGTATACTTGCTTTCCTGGCTAGGGAAAAGCATGAATCTTTGCGTAAATTTACAAGGAATATTTGCAAATTGTGTAAACAATCTACGAAGAAATTCAAGGAAGAAATATTATGAAATTAGCTGTAAAATGAATGCTAAGTGCTAAAATGAATTTGCTGAAAAAAAGAGCGTTACAAAGTTGCATCAGGGGTCGAACCCGGATCCTGCGGGCGGCAGTCTAATACGTTATCCAATAGACCACCGAGAAACTCTCGCCAAGCCAAGCCAATCCTAGCCAATCCTAGCCAAGCCAATCCTAGCCAATCCTAGCCAATCCTAGCCAATCCTAGCCAATCCTAGCCAATCCTAGCCAATCCTAGCCAATCCTAGCCAATCTTAGCCAAGCCAATCCTAGCTAAGCCAAGCCAAGCCAAGCCAATCCTAGCCAAGCCAAGCCAAGCCAATCCTAGCCAAGCCAATCCTAGCCAAGCCAATCCTAGTCAAGCCAATCCTAGCCTGCACTTTCCCCTATAAACTGAATTCTTTCAGTTTTGCACGAATATCCCCGGCTCATTTCTCTGTTCGTGCAACTCTCCATGGTACTCACTTGGAGCCGACAATCGAACATGTTTGAGGGATGATACTGGTAAGAAAATTGGAAGCTAATCGAGCTAGTCTAATCCATTTCCAGACCCACTTTGGCTCTTTTTCGCGCATGGGCAATCGATTTGGAATATTTCGGCAGACGGGCGATCATTTCAACTCCAACGCGCCGCTCTTCACAAAACGGCGATGATCGATGTTGATGTTAAGGTTGAGAAAGAAAAAGAAATAAGACTTAAGTCTATCAACAACACCATCGAATACGGTAGCAATGTTTAGGAACGTCGAATCTATTATGCGGACATTGGAGCGAATTCTGTCGAACGAATGAACATTGACGGCACTTTTTCGCAATCCGTTCAAAAATATGAGGTATCAGAGCTTTTAAGCTACTATTGTCGATTACAGTACTCTAGTCCTATAATTGACAGTAGCGTACTCTACAGTACAGTACAGTACAGCAGTACAGTACAGTACAACAGTACAGTACAGTACAGCAGTACAGTACAGTACAGCAGTACAGTACAGTAGTACAGCAGTACAGTACTCAACTACATTACCCTTATCCAGGTCGAAGGAATGGAGGGAATCGCCGTCGATTGGGTTGGGCGAAATTTGTATTCAGTGCGGAGAAAGGATATCCTCGTGCAAGCATTGGATGGCCGATTTCGACGAAAGTTATACCAGGGTGTTCTGCAACAACCAAGAGCCATTGCACTGCATCCGGCTAGGGGGTAAGCTGTAGGGAAACAGTTGAAAAGAAGCAAAAAGTTCGACCCCAAGTTCGAGATGGACTCGAACTTGGGATTCGAGAGCTGAAATAGGTTCGGTAGCCTAGCTTACTACCCACTAGACCACGAAAGCAGTCGTCGAAGGAGCGTGTAACAGCTTCTTAACGACTTCTGAACGAGTTCGAGTCTAATTCTTAAGGAGTAACTGGGGCTAAGGGGATTCTTCTGGAGCCTCTAATCAAGTTCATTGTGGTGTAATGGTTAGCACAATTGTCCAGTAAACGAAAGATCGCGGGGTTCGAGTCCCTCGCACGTTTTTGATCTACCTAGTTTGAAATAAGGAGGCAATCGAATTCGACTCGTTTCCTTTTAAGCCATGATTCTTTTAGCCTCCTTTTCGTCAGCGATTGGTCCTCATCAGCTTTCATCGCCGCTGCCACAATGGACGGTTGGTAGAATTATATTAGCAATAGAAGCCCTAGAGTCAATTAAGATCAATCCAAGCAAGGTTTAGGCCTGGGTTTCACTAGCTTAGCTAGCTTTGGATCTAGTTTAGCTAGCTTTTGATGAGTTTAGGCACTTTCTTCAAAAAGATCATCACCGAGCGGATCACTTGGCCGAACGCTTTAGTCATCGACATTCACGCGGATCGAATCTATTGGGCTGATGCTTTTCTGGATACGATTGAGTGAGTGTTGTAGAATTTTCTAAAACGAATAAAAGCCTCCAGAGTGGCGAATCTCGATGGATCGGGTCGTCGAACGGTTGTCTCCGATTCGGGCTCAGTTCCGCATGTCTTCGGGATGGCGTTAGCTGATGATTATCTTTATTGGACTGATTGGACATATCGGTAATTTCACAGTAGACAGCTGCTTTCTACAAATGCACGGAGTGGTGTACTTTATCGTTACCTTGCTCCTTTCAGGGGTCTTCTCCGGGCGCACAAGTTGAGCGGCGAGAACATGACAGTCTTGGCACAAACAGCTTTATTGCCGTATTCGATCAAGGTCTTCCATCCTGTGCTTCAACCAAACGGTCAGTCTGTTTCTCTTTAACTAGTCTACAGTGCCCAAAAGTGATTGGGTATCCCAGTTACAGTATCTCAAGCACTAGTTACAGTACCCAGTTTATCGTGTCCAGTTACAGTACCCAGTTTACAGTATCCCAGTTACAGTACCCTGTTACCGTAAGCCAAGGTCCAGTCCAGTCCAGTCCAGATCAGTTCAATCCAGATCTAGTCCAGTTCAGTCCAGATCCAGCTCCAGTCCAGTCCAGTTCAGTTCAGTTCAGTCCAGTCCAGATCCAATCCGGTTCAGTCCAGATCCAGTCCAGTCTAGTCCAGTCTAGTCCAGTCCAGATCCAGTCCAGTCTAGTCCAGTCTAGTCCAGTCTAGTCCAGTCCAGATCCAGTCCAGTCTAGTCCAGTCTAGTCCAGTCTAGTCCAGTCTAGTCCAGTTCAGTCCAGATCTAGTCCAGTTCAGTCCAGTTCAGTCCAGTCCAGTCCAGATCCAGTCCAGTATCCCTTTAACGGCTCTGAACTTTGTATTCTCAAAATTCTCAAGTTTCAGTGCCAAACGAGTGCCCATCAAAAACGTGCTCTCAGCTCTGTTTAATCAGCCCTCCACTAAACCACACATCGACGGGAACTCTTCTAGACCGTGTACTGCCACCATTTGCTGCAGGTAACTAAAAGTCTGTTTATCCGATCGGATCATCGGATAAAATCCGTTTTAACTCGATCGAGCCAACCTCGATCCGATACAGTATTGGATAACTTCTCAATCATTACAGTAAGCTCACAGTGTGCTTGTGGAGATGGTTTCCGTTTGCATGCTGACGGGAAAACGTGTGAGTCCGAATGCCCGGATGGGCATTTCGTTTGTGGAGGCGTTGATGCAAAGTGGGTTATTGTATTCAAAAATTTTCTACATAGGAAACAGTTTTTTAAAGCAGTAATCGTAAATTTGCAATTGCAGTATTGCGCTGTAGATGACATACCGTACCTGGGACTGGGATTGGGACTGGGATTGTAATCATTTGGGTATCTAGGTTTAAGTGTACGGTACCAGAGAATACTTTGGTACTATAGAATCAGGGTACAATAACGGGGAGCTGTAACTGAAGGATTGTAGCTGAAGTGCTGTAGCTAGAGTGCTGTAGCTAGTGCTGTAGCTAGAGTGCTGTAGTTAGAGTGCTTTAAACTCGAATCTTTGCAGATGTATCACTCGACTTTACGTTTGCGATGGAGTGAATCACTGTTCAAATGGAGCTGATGAAGCAAATTGTCGTGAGTTCTTAAAAAGCATCTTTCTCTCTACTGTAAGCCGGCTTACTGCAAGCAGGCTTACTGTGATGAGACAATAGAATTACCGTATCTAAAGACGACGAGCATTTTCAGCTCCCCGAATTTGTCTGCCCGGTCAATTCCAATGTCATGACAATAAGCGCTGCGTTGGCGCCCATGCACTATGCGATGGAAGAGCCGATTGTGAAGATGATTCGGATGAGACTTTTTGTCCATCATATCAGGTAAAAAATAGTAAAGTGTAGCATTTAAAAATATAAAGAATAGCAAATTTCTTTTCTGATGTAATAACCAAGCGACATTTTTGCAGGACAAGAAACCCGGTCGACAACGGGATCACGAGCCGGCAACGACGACGAAAAGCTCGACCACAAAACTCCCAACAATCCCGAGTCTTTTGCCTCTAAAATTTTTGCGTTATTGAAGCGATAAGCTTAAAAGAAACATAAGTTATCGTAGTCCAAAAGCCAAAAATTAGGAAAAATGGCTTTTTTTTCATTCCAAAACGCAGCCTACTTATCAAAAATCTCTCAAAATCTCATACAGGGTTTAAAAATTTCAAATTTCTTGCTCAATTTACATTCATTTTCTCTATGAATCGTTCTAAAAAAAACTATTTTGGATTCTCACTCCAAAAATTTCAATTTCATTCAACTTTTCTCCATTCGAATCCATAAAATCTCATTTTGTGCACTTTTCAGAAAAGGAATGGCTTTATTGGTAGCATTTTACAGTTTAAATCAGTTTACTAAAACTGCTAACAGCTAACAATAATGAGCAAAATGAATTTTTTTTATCTAAACATTCTACAGGGTGGCCACAAATTATCACTTCGTAGTTTTTCGGCTGTTTTTTGATTGCCCAAAATCTTTTTTTGTAGCCAAGAGCCAAGCCTAAAAACTACAAGGCGATAACTTGCGGCCACCCTGTACTTTTATATCCACAGAATACAGTAACTCGAAATACGACATGGCCAAGCTATTCAGTTTAGCTAGGTCACAAAATAGAAAACACAAAGTCTACAAAATCTTAACAAAATTTCTAAGCCTAACGAAAAATAACACAAAACGGACCCGAATCAAAATGAAGAAAGATGCAAGATAATATCAAAAAAGATTAGAATCATATCTACCGTAATCTTATTAGCCGGATTATTCCGCGAAATTGATTTGTACAGTGAGCGCCCGGTTGAGGGATGGGTCGGTGAGGAGAAGCTCGACTCCACCATCGATCAGCTCTTAAATGAAAAGAATGGGTACTTGCAAATAGATTCGTTTCAAAGCCATTACAACGGACTGGTTTTATTTTACTCAAGCAGGGGCTTAAACCCAAATCATAGACTCAGTCTTGATTCTAAGTTAGTCCGTCCAAGACTGAGTCCACGCCTGGATTAACTGGATCAGGCGGCCAAACAACATGTCTGTACTATTCGACACAGAATTTCTAATCTCGTTTATATTAGATAAGATCCACTTTTGCCAAGGATACAGCTCAAGCCTTTGTTTAAAGGTTCTCTACAAGTACTTCTCAAAACCTTACCAGAAACTGGTCGAATCAAGTTCCCCTCACTAGTTTCTTTCAATTCTGGCATCAAGTCCGAGATCACGTAAAGCGGACGCGTGCCAACACGGATATCCGGCGAGGTAAGATGGCTGAAATGAAACAAAAGTTTATAAACACCTTTAAAACCCTCACAATTTCTCCTTCAATCGTTCCATTAACGTTTCAAATGTGGCCGTCGGCTCGATGTGCATCACCGCCTTGTTCTCACCGCACGCAAGGCATTTATGCTAAACAGGAGAATGTTTAGAGTATCAAGGGTGCTGATTACTGTACTTACAATACTTAAGTTATAGAGATGATGCTAGTTATCCATCGGCTTAGGTGGATATTAGAAAATATAGCTTTAGCATCGAAAAACCCTACATTTCTATCCAATTGCACCACCGCACAGTGGACCCCATCGGTTTGTGAAAAGTTCAGGTAGTTATCGAGTGGCATCGCCATGCTAAAAATGCAAGTTTTATCATAAAATTGAGTGTTTTAGAATTTTCTTTGATAGTAAGCCTTCAAAAACTTACTTTGACACCAATTTCAGCACTTCGAGCGCACACGAGGCTGAAAAATACTCATTTATTGTGCATGAATGAGCTTGTTTAAAGTCTTTAAGGGATAAAAATTGTTAGTTAGCTGTACTATAGTATCAAAGCATTTTTTATCTAAAACCCAACCAGCAACAACAGCATTCGTCGAGGCGACCGCCGGGATGATCCTTTTCAGCACACCCAAACACAAACGATGATCGACACCTAAAATACAAGGTTTTAAAAATCATGGAATTGCCTCCTGCTTGAAAATCAACAACTCACCTTTGATTCCAAAAATTTCAGCTCTTGATTTTGCTCTCTCTAGTACCCAGTCAACGTGTTCGGCGCGATCCGCGTCCAAAGATTCACCTAAAAGCGTTGAAATTACGAATTTTTATTCCTTTTCCTAATCAGGATTATAAGCACTGAACTTTAAGTTTTTTTTTCATCCAAAATACTCCTGAATTAGGTAGTACAGCGCCCTGTTGCTGTTTATTCATATGTTGTATCCGATTTGGATTGAAAGATCATTTTACACTATGGTATCATGTTTTTAAAATGTTTTTAATCATTTTCCATAATTTCATGGCAGTTTAACTCCGGCAACCTAGAACAGCTCGTTAGCACCATATTTTGCCGAAAAAAGGCTTTCCTAGATTTTACTGTGAATTCAAAGCAAAACATAAAAATCCGTCAATAAATTATTTTTTCTGATAAAAAATACTTTTCCAACTAAAAATAAAGACATTATAGGTTTTCAAAATATTTCGGCTAACTTCCATTCCGATTTTGCTTACTTTCTAGGCAAAAAAGGTACTTAGTTTCTACATTTAAACCAGCTAAACTTTATGAAATTTCTAGAAAATTATTAAAAACATTTCAAAAACATGATACCCTACTGTGCAATAATGTTTCAATCCAACGCAGATACAACAAATACAAAACGTACCATCAAACGGTTTCTCCTTTGGCCACTCGATCGCTTTCACGTACTCGACACAGTGCTCAGGAAGACGTGGTGTGTGTGCAATCGTGCACATCGGGTAATTCACCTAAAAGCGAAACTATCAATCAAACGGTAACAAAATAAACCTATAAATACTTATTTAGACCCAGCTAGCCTTTCTTATCCAGATCTTGAGAACTCTACAAAAAAAACGGACCTGCGGTGGGTAAAGATCGAGCAAACATTCGACACAAGCCGTCATTTTTGGGTAGATCACACGAACGTTTCCCTGAAAAGTAAAAACAATCATAGATATCCAAAAACTATCAGATACAAGATAATATTGATATCTAAATATATCTAAATATATCCAAAACATCCAACGTTTCACCTTAAATCCTTCAGTTCCCCCATCGACAAACGGGATGATTGTGCTACTGTCGATTTCTCCATCTTCGCTCATTTCTACGAGGTCACACTAAAATTTTAGATATATTTTGGATATGAAATGGTACTGTATTGGTCAGAGATGGAATAGCACCGTTTTAAAATGATATACAAATAAAAAGTTACACTAAAGTTAGGCTTAAAATCAAGACAAAAGTTTAAAACCTAGCAAAAAACGTTTGCAAGTTTTGGAACAAAACCTATATGATATTCAGCACATAAAACACCGTACACTGAGCAAAATATTACACTTTCTAGTATGCCAGTCAAACTTTCGCACTTACAAGCATCGAATTAATCCACCGTCTCGCTTTGATTGAGTCCAAACCGCAAACGATCACGTGGAATTGCTTGTAGAAAGCCGGGGATTTCTCCTCAATCGCGCAGTGATGGCTAAAGAAAACAATAAGCTCGAAATCTTAATAAACTTTTGTAAAATTATAAGTCAATAAACTTACGCCATAACTTTACACGTAGAAACGCGACGAGAGACGAACGCGGCGGCTACTTCGGCTTTTGAGTGTCCAATGTCGGATTCTCTGAAGCAGAAAAATAGTTTAACAGCTGGTAAAAAGATTAATTGGGATCCCTAAATAAGATATCATCGTATTAAATTTCAAAAAAAGCAGCTATTAGGCTATCCAGAAAGTCTTTTCATTCCTTTTCGTATTTCCGTTTAAAACCAACAAATGCCCTAATTGAACTACGGTTTGTTTCATTAGAAAAGCCAATTATTTTTCTGCAAAATAACATTAAAACGGGTTTAAAATGTCTTATTTTTGAATTTTTTCGGGAGCGTAAAGTCGGGTAGGCAAAAAGGGCGACGGCTCGATGAGACGGTTTAGACACTTTAGCTAAGGAAACCTATCCTCGTGTCAATAGATAAAAAATAGAACACGAAAACTTTGGTATATAGCCAAATTTTGAGAGAAATTCATTCAGCCAATTTCTTTGTTAAGGTTTTTATATATTTTTACAAAAAACACGTGTTTTCACTCTCGAATTTGCTTGAAAGTCAACCAAAATTGCCTTCAAAAGATGGAAAATTGAACAATAAACACTTTTCATTTAGAGCAAACTACAGGTTAATTGGTGAATTTTTTAATTTTCAACGGAAGTACGAAATGGAACGAAAAGACTTCCTTGATAGCCTAATACCTGAATAGAAATTGTCGATTGAGATTCGATAGATCGATGGTGTCCATATCGATAACGTCCAACTGTCCAAAGCCGGAGAGGGCCTAGAAAGTGCAAAATTGAGTACATAACAAACATGCAAAAATTTACACGGTTTTGAGCTTTTAAAAGTCTAAGATAATATAAATTTCGCACGAAAAAACCTTACCAAATCCTTGAGCAGCTCACAGCCAAGTCCGCCAGCGCCGATGACCAAAATGCGCGCCTCGCGAATGAATTGGAGATTCTATAACGGAAATATTTGAAATTGATCCAATTCTAACAGTTCTTGTAAATTTTCCTGAAATGGGCCTAGCTTTAGCTTTCTTTTATACTAAAAAACATTTCAAATCCAAGTCTTTATCAAAAAATTTGTAAAAATTGTCTTATCTATCTAATTATTTAATCATTTTGTACAATATTTCTACAAAAATCCAAGATTTGGACTTGAGCACTTAATTTTAGGATTCGGCGGCATCATCAAGGCCTTGATTTGACAAAATTGATATTGATGATTTGATAAAATTTAACAGGCCAGCCCCAGGACTGTTTCAAAAAGCTAAAAGCCTATTTCGAACACCGATAACTCGTTTTCACCGCTTTTTGCTTCAATTAATCAAAATCCACGGTGCTTTGGTGGTTGGGAGGGCCCACTTTTAGCTTAATTTCGTCGAATCTAGTGTTTTGAGCGGTTTGTGTCGATACTTTTCTTCTATTCCGAGGTAATTATATATACTGAAGCGATTGGTGCTAATCTTAGAGTATTTTCAACATGTTTCAAGTTAGTATTGCAGCTTCCAAAGTGTAATCACCTTTGAGATAACGTTCGGTGGTTAAAGTACAGCAGCTAGGACACTGGGGAAATTAGCAAATAGGATTATCAAAAACGTGCTTAAATTCGCACCAATCGCTTCAGCATTAGCCCGGAATAGAAGAAAAGTATCGACACAAACCGCTCAAAACACTAGGTTCGACTAAGTAAGTCAAAAGTGGCCCCTCCCAAGTACCAAATCCTCAAACCTCGGGTCCGGGCGAGAAATATTGCGTCGCAAACTCAGAGGCGTTCTCGCAGAGGCGTCGAATCGCGTGAAAACGTTCTCGTTTTGACTTATTCTCGACACTCGTCGACATTTGCTCGTTTTCTAAAAGAAAAATAACTTTAAAATACTATCAAAAGTTTAAAAACAAAGCTGTAACTTAAATTCACAAAAAAAACAAGATTTCCAAAGTTTAAGTAAGAAAAAACTTGATTTCGATTCGAATTTCGGGGGTGGGACAAATTCGACCTTTTTTTGCGCACCTGGACATTTGCGCACCTTTTTTCACTGGAAAAGGCCTTACTACGGAAAAAACTGCGGAAAAGCGTTAATTTGCGTTTTTGTTTTTTTTTGCCTTTTAGCTCAAATTTGACGTGTCAGTCAGGTCTGATTTGTCGAAATTCTAAATCTACGCATACGATTCCCTTGTATAAAAGCATTTTTGAATCTTTACGGCCTTTCCTAAGGCGTTTTCCAGCAAAAAAAGGTCGCATTTGTCCGACCGCGCGAGTGTTTAACTTTACTTGCAAAAAGCATCTTTTAGAAAACAGCTTTAGCAAGGTACGGTAATTCGGTCAGATTTCTATGCATTTTAGCAGAAAATAAAAAAAAATTGCACAAAACTTTATTTTTCACATGAAAATCGTGCCGGAAAGTGAATTCGCCTTGGAAATTGAGTGAGAAATAGCCCGAATTTGTGAAAAACTTTAAAAATGAAGAGATTTCGCCAAGAAAAACACCGTAAATTTGTTGAGAGTTGAGAGAATTTGAACAAAATTGAGAAAAATGGCAAGTTAGGTAAATGAACCGAGTGAGAAAACACAACCAAAATTGGATTTTTAAAGAAAAATTGAAGATTTTTTGATGAAGAAAGTAGAGTATCTGAGGTTTAGAATTAAATTTTAAAAAAGACAAAAAAGTAAACAGTAAGGAGAGAAAAGAAATTTGCAATTAAGACCATGTCCTACTGTATCTTCTTTTGTTTAGACTGGATTACCGTAGACGATCAGGGTTTACTGTTCAATAATTACTGTATCCTTTTCATGTCTAGGCTGGATTACTGAATCCAGTCAGGGAAATCACTCTCGACTCTGGGCCAAATACAGTAACCCAACGTGGACCTTGAAAAGATGTAGTAAATCTTGCCCGGCTACAGTAATCCCTATATTATCTACCTTTCCTCTCCCAACAGCACAAAATGTAAAGCTGATCATAATGAGATGCACATATAAATAGGGAATGCTGTGATTGAGATACTGACTGAGTGGATAACAATGGAAGTAACAAGATAAGTGGATACAGTATGCCTATTACAGTACAATATACTGTTTGAGCATACTGTAGCCTTTTCAAGTGGCTGTGGAGAATTGCGCGCCCTTCAACGCCTCTCGCAGAGCCATCGCCAACGCGTCTGAAGCCGGGCTTGCAGCTGCCTGAATATTTGAAAGTTTAAACTGTAGCTAGTACTACAGCGTACTATAGCTAGTACTGCAGCTAATCTACAGTAGAGTGTGTTCCTCTGAGTTTTCTAAATGCACCTATTCCTATTCCTACCGTAGTCAAACCCTTAGTTTTCATCCGATCAGCCCCGATTTTGATATCATTGATTGAGCTTTGTCGAATGAGACCAAAATTGGGTTAACTGAATGTAAACTAATTGTTTGACTATGCTTGTTTACTCAAATAGGTGCATTTTAGAAAAGACATTACTCGAGAGGCACAGTCTACAGTATCCAAGCGTACAAACTAAACAACTTGTAACGAAAATAGCTGTCGGTCCTTTTGGTCGTTGGCAATTGAAGTTTTTTTGTGTTTTTCTCAGCACCAACCCTTCGCTTTTGACTATCTTGACTATCATTCGATGCAGAATAAAATTGCGCGTCGAATGATACCAAAATTAACCCAAAATATGATATCCATGCAAAGTTATGAGACAAAAGGTTAAGTCTAGGGTTAAGGTTAAGGTTTTTAGCCAGCAACTTTGCATGAATATTACATTTTGAGTTAACTTTGGTATCATTCGACGCGTAATTTTATTCTGCATCGAATGATAGTAAAGATAGTCAAAATCAAAGGGTTGGTGCTGAGAAAAACACAAAAAAACTTCAATTGCCAACGACCAAAAGGACCGACAGCTATTTTCGTTACAAATCTAGTACAAAAAAAACCTGTGTGATCGTTTCGAAGACATTTTGCTGAGTGGAATTTCGCGGGAGATCGGTCGCTTGTGGAAGTGCAGCCAGTGAGAGAGCCGTTGCCGCAACACTCAGCCACGCTTGTAGCTGATTCTCGACGATTGTGTTTTGCTCTAAACATACAGATATCATATTGTGCATATCTTAAAATAAGTTTTTGTACTTCGTAAAAAATGAATGTAAAAGCTGTTGATGATAAAAAAGATAAAAATTAGCTTGAAATTCGTAGAGAATGGTGTACCAGCGTTGTTGTTGAAAATCGAAAAAAACAAGTGTTGAAAAGGCAAAAATTCTCAGAGGAAAAGACATTTCCCCTAAAAGGAGACTGAGTCTAATGCTTACATTAGATAATAGATTAAAGAACAATAGATTAAAGAACAATAGATTAAAGACCAATAGATTAAATATTAATAGATTAAAGATTAATAGGTTAAAGACTAATAGATTAACGATTAATAGGTTAAAGACTAATAGATTAAAGATTAATAGATTAAAGATTAATAGATTAAAGAACAATAGATTAAAGACCAATAGATTAAAGATTAATAGATTAATAAATTAAAGTTTAATATTTTAAGTTAATATATTAAATATTAAATTATTTAAATAAATTTTTTTATTAATTTTTTTTTTTTTGTTTTTTTTTGGGTGGTTAAATTTTTTTTTTTGTTTTTTTTTTAATTAAATAGGTTTTCTAGCACCCTTTGACAAAAAATATTCTATTTAACCTCGATAGTAAATAGGTTTTTCGATCTCCCTTGAGTTATTTACTAACGAGGTTTGACTGTACATGTAAAAAGAATAAAAACACAATAATTTTAATCTTGATACTTATTTTGAAGCATTTTTCATTAGAAGTTGCTCATCTGCTCACCTATGCGTACCTTTTATATCACTTATAGGAAAAAGCGACTCACTGCTCTTGGGTAATTAAACCGGTTTGAAAATATCGATTTTTACAAAGCAAACCTCTAGTTTTTTGATTGAAAAACAATTATAGAGCCTAAATGATCCCTAGAAATACTAACACTTAGTTAAGAAAGAGAATTTGGATTAAAAAAAAAGTATTCTTATTTTGACACTGATTCTTATTACTTTAGTAAGTACATTTAATTAAATTTAGAAATAAAGATCTAATTTAATCAATCAAATCCTCCCAGCCGGTCTTTTTTCTTTTTACATGGTCTTTTTTTACTCTTTTTACATGTATTTTGAATAGTTAAGAACATCAGAACCGGGCGTTGCTAAAAAAACGCTATACAAGCCGTAAACGACACTCCTTTAAGGATACTATAGGGCTGAATCTATCTATATACTTAACCATAAATATCTTTTTAATCATTTAAAACCCTTTCCCAAGGAACTAACCGGCAACTTCGGAATGATTTGAAGTCAGTCTCGTGATTGCTCCCATCAATCCCTGCCTTTCATCTTCAGCGATCCCAATTGCACGACGGACAGCTCGGAGATCCGCTTCACGACCTGAAAAAATATATACATTATTCAGCAAATGAATCAGTGGACTAGCAAATGAATAAGTGGACTAGAAAAATTTAAACAATAGAAAAGAGGGAAAATTGTACTGAAAATATAACGAAATTTAGCGACAATAGCGAAAACTCAAAGTGAGTAGAATGAAAAACTAGCTTCACGATAGGAATTTAAATACGAAACATTGCGCCTCCTTTTTTGCTCCTCCTCCTTTCGAGAAATTTTCAAAATTTCAAATGTCTAGTCATTTCTTGTCTTTCTTGCCTCCACCTTTCGCGCCTCCCTTTTTTTGACATCGTTATGGCTTATCTATGACTGGTCGCAACAATGGACTTCCGTCGATTTTTGCAAAAAGGAATTGGAGATGAGCATCACCATTGAATATTGGAGATGAGCATCACCATTGAATATTGGAGATGAGCATCACCATTGAATATTGGAGATGAGCATCACCATTGAATATTGGAGATGAGCATCACCATTGAATACAAAATTATCTTCACCAGATTTGTGTCGACTTTTTGGTGTTTGCAATGCAAATTGGGGATGCTTAACCGAGTTGTGTCTGTGTGGTTGTATAACCGACAAGTACCATTAAAAGATATTCTATTTTCCGTTTTTTCCGCTACTCACTTTTGTTATAGTTGAGAAAAGCATCCGAGAAAATGGCCACATCGCCCACTTTTGGCACCATTGATGAAAGATCGAAGACCGGCGTCTGAAAGCGGAACTAAGCTTAGAAGTTTTTAAAAGTAGATACGATGGCTAGATTTGGACCTAAGTCTGGTCCAGTTCTAGCCTGAACCTTGGCCTAGACCTGAGCCTAGGCCTAATTATGAAGCTAGACCTAAACCTAGGCCTAGTTATAAAGCTAGACCTGAACCTAGGCCTAGTTATGAAGCTAGACCTGAACCTAGGCCTAGTTATAAAGCTAGACCTGAACCTAGGCCTAGTTATGAAGCTAGTCATGAACCTAGGCCTAGTTATGAAGCTGGATCTAGTACCTGACCTGGCCTGGACCAAGTCTGGCCTGGACTTTGGTTAGATCTAATCCTAGACTTTTTCTGGTCCTTGTATCCTCGTGATTAATGCGTTTTCTAAAGCGTGCACTACAAAAAGGCTACCATGGTTATATAAATTTGTTTATGTGGCAGTTTAAACTTTTCCATCATTTGCAGGTTCTCAGTAGTGCAAAGTTTAGCCCATTTAAGCCCATTTAGCCCATAATTTGCATCTTCACGTTACATCTTTAGTTGACGCATTAATTGAGACAAATCTTGCTTAATTGACCTTTAATCGAGTTAAAAATAATTTGTTTATGCAAATTTATTCAATTATTTAATCATGAGGAACTCGAGGAACTTGTCCTGGCTAGCCAGACCTTAGTAGGCTTTTAGTTAGGTCTGAATTTAGACTTTGAGCTAAATCTGGGCATATCCAGCTAGTCGGTTTGAACCTGGGTCTAGTCTGCTTGAACCTGGGTCTAGTCTGCTTGAACTTTAGCTAGACCCAAGCTAGCCTGTTCTGGCATGTGCCTTGGTTTTGGTGATGATCTGGCTTGAACCTAGGCCTAGTGCTAGTCCATTCCTGTACGCCTATCGGGTACTGGATCGAGTTTATCCTAGACCTGAGCCAAAATTTAGTAACTATTAAACATAGAAAATTGACTTCTTTTTCACTCACTTGTTGATTTTTCGCATTCTTGCTAACTGAACCGCCTTTCAGCGCCGATTGCAATCGTTCCAACTCAACTTTGTCCATTTTCAGAATCGCTTCCTCGCTTGTTTGAAGCTAAAGTTGTTCTTTAGATAAGTAGATAGATAATAGATTTAAATTTATTTCTACAGTACCCACCTGTTCAGTCGGAATGCCGGCTTGTCGGTACATCTTGCGCTGTTTCATAATCACCGACTTTTTCACTAAAATAGGAAATAGGAAATAGGAATTTTGAGATTTATAGAGTCAGGAACTTGTTATCTGTTCTGTACCTGGATCTAGACCTAAAAGAAGCCTAGTTCTGAACCTGGACATTGCTTGGGTACTGTAGCCTAGGCTAGCTTTGTTACAGTACACCTAGGCTAGCTTTGTTACAAAGCTAGCCTAGATCCGTACTGATCTGGGAAGTACAATCTCCAACTTCAAGCCTAGTCATTCTGATCTAATCGGATCCAGCTACAAGTCTAAGCTAGCTAGTTCCAAGATCATCTGAACCTGGCTCTAACTTGAGTGTACTGTAGTCTAGGCTGGGTTACAGTATACCCAAACTGGCTGGGCTTCCTACAGCAGTCCAATCCTGCCAATCCTTCCAATCCAAGAGTCCAATCCTTCCAATCCTTCCAATCTTTCCAATCCAAGAGTTCAATCCTTCAACTCACACGCAAATTCGTAGTATTCCGGGGTATCTTTATACGTGGACATCTCTCGCTCGTACTGTGCCCGTTCCTCGTTAGCGCGATCGATATAAACCTAGAGTTACGGTAACCGTAGCCTATTAATTCCCCTCCACTCACTTGTCTCTCATTCTCATTCAACTTTTGCCATTCACTCGCCAGCGCCACATTGATCCCCGACTGATTGTGGACTCCCTCTTTCGCCGATCCGTACTTGCTGCGATTTGTGCTAAAGATATTAAATTCAAATATACTGTATATTCAAATATACAATGCAAAGATTAGATTTCGATAAAATTCATTTCTCCAAGTACCTCAAAAACAGAACATAAGCGGATCGGGGTCGTCTCGGCGCGTGCGGATCCTCGAGCTTCACCCAAGTCCGCCCAGCGATCACTGTTTTCTAGAAATGGATAGTATTTATGAATCGTAACACTTATGAATGGTATAACACCCGCGCGGTGAATCAATATGGCTTTTATTCCCTGTAATGACTATTTGTAGCCAAAATCTAGGAAAATAGCTCAAGATCTGCACAAATTAGAGATTTTGCTTGGCGATACAACAAAACAAACCCCACCAATCGATTCCTCGTCCCAGAAAGCCCTTGGGTATAAACTTTTGGCTTTATATCTCATTTAAGCAATGTTTACAGAACAAAAGGAAGAGACGGCGAGGTGTTCTTTGTGCGGTCTTTGTGCGATCGCGTAATCGCCCGCTTTCTGGCGCAGGGCTTTTACCTAAGAGGGGTCTTCTCGCCGCCAATTTCCTCGTCCCGGTTTAACTGCCCATAACCGACATTAAATAAGATTAATGCAGCATTACGATAAAATCTGATTTGAGCTAAAATCATATTGTTTATTGGCATATTGATTCGCCGCGACAACTACAAATTGCACTTATTTTAGATAATATAGTGATTTTATATAATTGCTTGCTCTACATATTGTTATGCTAATAATTCCATCTTTTTTGCACTTCACCCACCTTTTTCCCCTTGTATCTCCTTCGGGACTTTGCCTTAGCCAAACCGTTCGCTTTCTCACCGTCACTGCCAGCTAAAAATCTTGTTGTCTTGAAAAAAAAATGAATTCTTTTGAAAATTAACGTCTAAAAAGTGTTACTAGAACTGAATATCTTATTTTTTTTTATATTATCCCCTTAATAACCGGTGATTTCGATATTATCTGATATTGCCTCTATAGCTTTGTGACAAGTATGGTTTAAAAGTTTGAAAGTCAGTCAGTCAGCTCTGGCAGCCTCTGATTCGGGTATTATAATAGTAGGCCAGTTTAGACTCACAACTTGCCAGGTTTTGGATTGTTTAAAAGACTAGACCGGGACAGGCAAGGCAAGGGGCAAGATTATGTAACATTTCCCACCCATTTTTGCTATATTTTTTGTAAGATAATTTTTTAGTTTTTGCTTTCTTTTTCCATTTTGCAGTCTTCTTAATGTTCATCACAGTAAAACTATGTTTTAGATGATTGGTCGAGTATCAAAGGTATCAAATGCTGTGGATGGATCAAATGCTGTGAAAGTATCAAATGCTGTGGATGGATCAAATGATGTTGAAGTATCAAATGCTGTGGATGGATCAAATGCTGTGGATGAATCAAATACTGTTGAAGCATCAAATGCTGTTGAAGTATCAAATGCTGTGGATGGCATCAAATGCTGTGGAACTATCAAATACTGGGGATGGATCAAATACTTTTTGAAGCATCAAATGCTGTTGAAGTATCAAATGCTGTGGATGGATCAAATGCTGTGGATGAATCAAATACTGTTGAAGCATCAAATGCTGTTGAAGTATCAAATGCTGTGGATGGATCAAATGCTGTGGATGGATCAAATGCTGGGGATGGATCAAATACTTTTTGAAGCATCAAATGCTGTGGATGAATCAAATACTGTTGAAGCATCAAATGCTGTGAAAGTATCAAATGCTGTGGATGGATCAAATGCTGTGGATGGATCAAATGATGTTGAAGCATCAAATACTGTTGAAGCATCAAATGATGTTGAAGCATCAAATGCTGTGGAAGTATCAAATGCTGTGGATGGATCAAATGCTGTGGATGGATCAAATGCTGTGGATGGATCAAATGCTGTGGATGGATCAAATGCTGTGGATGGATCAAATGCTGTTGAAGCATCAAATGCTGTGAAAGTATCAAATGCTATTGAAGTATCAAATGCTGTTGAAGCATCAAATACTGTGGAACTATGAAAAAATAGCCTTGAAACATGTTCCCCCTAATAATTTTTTTTAAGTAGGCAGATTTCCATGAAAATTTGGCATTTTCTTAGTTGGGTAGCATATTAAAATTGGTATTGCTCAGATTTTAGAAAATCGATTTTAACATTACTCTTGGATTGTTGTGCAAGGGGTAAAGCCTGGTCCCGTTAAAGCTAAATCTAGACAGCTTGAATGTTCGACTTGTTTTTTCTCACTCACCATTTCCATTTCCATTCGTGTCAGCGATATGTGATGAAGTGTCCGATCCATTCTCCTCCATTTCCTGAAAGTTTTCTAGTAAAAATATGATCTTACTCATTTTTAGATATTTTTGATGCTATCCAAGGAAGAAAATTTGGCTTATCTTGTCCAGGGTTAGACTTAGAGGATGAATGGTTTTAAGTTCAAAGCCAGACTTGTTTAAATATCTACCTCATCATCGAGCGGTTCCCCTTTCACATCTCCGTTCTCGATTTTCTGCGTCGCGTTTGCCAAGCGCTTTAGTATTTCATTCAGTGTGACGGTCATCTGAGCAATTAGCATATAGCTATAGGAATTAGGATATAGTTATAGGAATTAGGATATAGTTATAGAAATTAGGATGTAGATATAGAAATTAGGATATAGCTATACTCAATTAGCATATAGCTATACTCAAGTAGCATATAGTTATACTCGAGTAGCATATAGTTATACTCGAGTAGCATATAGCTATACTCAAGTAGCATATAGTTATACTCAATTTCCTACGAAATAAGCTACGTACGAAACTACGAAATGAGCTAAGTAGCCACAGTACTGTAGTGCCTTATATGTTGAAAAAAAATGCATTTAAATCAAAAATATCTAAAGATAAGTAAGATTTTGTAAGAAAAGTGCTCACAAAGGGTGAGAAAATTGAAAACGAGGCAACTGAATGGATGTACAAAGGAGTGCAATGGAAAGAAGAGCAAAAAAACATCTGGAAACTTCTTTCGTATGAGTATTAGATATATGCAAATTTTGGGTCAATTATCGAAGACAATTAGAATGAAATTCTGAAGGGAAATTGGAGAGACAGAAATTAAGCTATCCTCTACAAACTCGTTTTCTAGAAAGTGAGCTCTTTCTAGAATTGTTTCTAGAATTGTTTATAGAATTGTTCTGTTCTGTTCCTGGGTTTGCCTGGCATAGTCGCAAGATTTAAGCCTAGGTGAACCTAGCCATGATCCTGAATCTAAGCCTGAGCCTAAGCCTGAGCCTAAGCCTGAGCCTGAATCTAAGCCTGAGCCTAAGCCTGAGCCTGAATCTAAGCCTGAGCCTAAGCCTGAGCCTGAATCTAAGCCTGAGCCTAAGCCTGAGCCTGAATCTAAGCCTGAGCCTAAGCCTAAGCCTGAGCCTGAGCCTAAGCCTGAATGAGAATCACCGACAAAATCCCAAACCCAAATAGACTCAGTCTTAGCCGAGACTGAGTCCATGCCTGAATCTTAAGGCTTAAGCCTGAGCTTTAAAACCAGTTGGATAGTCGATCCTTTTATGGGTTGGGGCTGGGTCGGCGGTAGGGAGTCGAGCCCGCGACCTCTAGCTTAGAACACTATCAATGCGAACGTATCCCATTGCCGCCAGGATAGGCCTTATTCTAGCTATTAGCTTACTCTAGCTATTACCTTACTCTAGCTATCTATTAAGAAGATTCAGTCTATTCTAAAGAACAAGGATTAAAACCGGTGTACAAAGGACAAAAAGTGAGCAACGGTTGTTATGGTCAAGAAAATGGATTCAGTATGAAAGATGTTCAAATGAAGAATGAGAAAAGAGAGAGAGAAGAGAGGAATCGATGAGCATGATGGGGTGGAAAGGATGGAAAGGATGGAATGGTTGGGGTGGAAAGGAGAAGGGTGCTTTGAAAAGGACACAAGGATCGGATGGAAGGGTCCATGGGGGGATGGGTAGGGTGGATCTGTCTGCTGAGAGCACAACGGAAAAGAAGAACGAGATGGATTCACGAGAAAGGAGCGGGAAAGGGGGAAATGATGGGCAATGGGGTGGGCAGATCGGTGGGAACGGGAGGAGAGGCATTGGTGGGTGGCAAGAGGTTAGGATCTAACAAGTATGGCTGGGGTACCCGGTAGAGCTCTGTACTTGATACCAAACTAGAAGAGAGCTCTGTACTTGGTACCAGACTAGAAGAGAGTTCTGTACTTGATACCAGACTAGAAGAGAGCTCTGTACTTGGTACCAGACTAGAAGAGAGCTCTGTACTTGGTACCAGACTAGAAGAGAGCTCTGTACTTGGTACCAGACTAGAAGAGAGCTCTGTACTTGGTACCAGACTAGAAGAGAGCTCTGTACTTGATACCAGAGCCAGTTCTTTAACAAAAACCTAGTGCTTAAAGTAAGTAAGTAAGTTCTCGGAGTTCTCTTTATAAACCAGCTGTGATCTTACTTACAGAACTTACAGAATCAGAATTTCTTAGCATATTCATTTATATTCACTTACATAATCTATTTTCTATCTCTTTTTGACTACCCAACAAGTATGGCTGGGGTATAGAAGAGATCTCTGTACAGCAAATTCCAGAAACAGCAAACTCCCGAAAAAAAATCCAATCTTAAGACATTTTAAAGCCGTTTTAATTGACATTTGCAGAAATTTGCATAAAAATAATTGATCTTTTTAATGAATTGATCTTTCTTAACGTTTCTCAATAAATCTAACCATAGTTCAATTAGGGCATTTGTTGGCTTTAAACGGAAGTACGAAAAGGAATGAAAAGACTTCCCGAACAGCCTAATACCTACTTTTCTTTTGATACAATTTGATACTAAATTTAATACAATTATATCTTATTTATCTTATTTATCTTATTTATCTATTTACTAGCTATTACCGTATTTTCTCTAATAGTAGTGTACTCTAAGCTTTGCCTAAATTCCTCGAAATCTCGAGAACCGCTTATCAGAACCTATCGATGTGGGGTCGGAAAATATAGCTGACGATGAGATCTTGACGATGATTTGAGTGTTGAGCTTCTGTGAAAGCTTGGAAACCGTAAAATAGTCATCAACTCGGCTACAGTTGATGCACTACTATTAGAGAATACGGTAAACTATTTCTCTGTTTTAGAGAATCCGATATTAAGCTGAAGCTGACGCTCTAAAAGCTGAAGTAGCCTCTCGTCGTGTTTCCACGTGAACTTGACTTAGAACTTGGCTTAGAACTTGACTTAGAACTATAATTATTGACATAACCTATAACTAATCTAAATATCTATTAATATAAGAAGAGCTAGGGAACTATGAGAGAGATGAGACAGAGGAGTAGCGCGCGCAGAGGCTCTTCTCCCACACAGACCCTTCAATCTGCACCCTTCCCCACTCCATTCATGAATCGTCTTTTAGAGATCGAACAGAGCAGCGCTGAAAAGGAGAAAGGGGCACAGGGCACACCAAATGTCCACTCTTTCTCCTCCTTTCTTTCTCCTCCTTTCTTTGTCCATCTCTGCTTCGTTCGCAAATGGAAATGGCACTGACAGCCACTCTTTTCTTTCCAGCACATGAATCGACCGCCTCTTTTGGTCTCCTCAACCCATTCAGCGATTCAAATGTCTGGGAAAGAGCCAAGACTTTAGAAATTGGGAAATCTAGGGGTTAGAGCAGGCTAAGTTCATTAGAATTACTAGATCGTTAGAGCTTGGCTAGTGAGCTGGCTAGTGAGCTTGGCTAGTGAGCTGGCTAGTGAGCTGGCTAGTGAGCTATTTGTCCCAAGCTAAGGCTAAAGCTTTCAGATCTTTTCGAAAAGCTATAAGCTATAATTCAAAAAGCTATAAGCTATAGCAATAAGTCAAAAAAAAAAAGCTATCGTATTCCCAGTTACGGTGTTAAAAAGTGTTACCGTATTCCCAATATACGCATTACCGTCACTTGACTTACTAGAAAGCAAGACTTGCTTAACAAAGCAACTTTCTAAAGCTTAACAAATAGAAACTATAGATCACATGCGACTGTCAGAACGGTAAAATAGAAACTGAAATCGAGTAAAGATTCGAATTTAAAATATCAATTGAGCGGGAGGGAGTTTTCCTAGACATTCTCTATTACAATAGATTGTTGAATCCGTATGAATCATCATTATTTTCCCCATCGAATCTCTCCATTCATTGTATCATTTTCTCCAGAAAGTGTGAAAATTTAAATCTGAAAGGGAGGCTCCGTTACAGTGTTCAGTATACTGTAATCGCAGACGACAGCAACAATTTAGCTACAGTACCTTACAGTACCCTCTACATCTACTGACTTACGGTAGCCTTTTCCTCAGGGCATCTTTTAGAAAACGGTTTGTTTACGCGTTTACTTGATACAGTATCCATCACGATGCTTCATTTCCTCAGATTTTAAGGCTAAAGACAAAAAGGGGTTTCTGTTTTATTTGCTCGTCTTTCTCAATATTTCCCGCCATTTTCGTCTCTCTCGTTTGCTATTTTTCCCACCTGCATTGCCCAGTGTGTGAACTGAAAACAAAGCCGAGATCGGGTGCGGAAATGCTTTAAATAATGCATTTTTGTCTGATGAACTTATATTTCTGCTTTTCTGATAATTTTACAAGTAATAAATAGTTTACTAGCATGATAACAAAAAATGATTTAGCAAAGACACCCGAAACATTTCTGAGATACCAACGAATGAAAAAGAAGCAACTTGAAAACAATTTAAAACATGAAAGTCAACTCAAAAAATAAGAAAATCACTCATTTGCCATTGCTGCCATCATTTGTGCCACATACGCTTTTCCCCACTCGACACGTTTCATTTCGAGATTCGTTTTGTGGAGATCGGATCGCTCGACGTGTTTATCCAAGACGTCCAATGAGGCGAAAGCGCGACGACACAGGAGACATGTCTGGAATGAGAGAAAAGATTAATACGCAACAACTTTATTATTTGCTAGTTGTATTTAGAAGTTAAATCGTTAAACTTGACTTAAACTAAAGAATAAGTCTACTTAAGCATATCCAAATCCTTACCTTGTTTGGTCGATCAATCAGATTCCTTTCCATTTCTTCTCGTTGTTGTTGAGCGGTGGGACCGTCTCGATTCAGCTCAGGTTCGGTAATGTTTGCTGGAGGTGGCGTGGAGCGAGAGGTCGATGTTTTAGCTCCGGAACCCTGAATTTGAAATGATCGTAAAGCAAAGTTTCACCAGGTCCAATAATACCCCAAACAAAACCCACCCATCTACTCCGTCTCTTCTTTTGTTCCATCATCGCCGACTCTTCATCTTCACTGCTTTCCCTGTCCAGGTGTCGTAGTGGATTCTGAAAGGAGCAGGTTAAATTGAAGGCAAACTAGGTAGTACTAGTTCAAGAAATTTAAAAACTTCTCTCACCTGCATTTTCTCGAGAACACGAAGTCCTAAATCTTGTGTCGGATTTGCAACACGATTCGGCGCTGTTTCGTCCTTCTTCAACGTCAAACTGATCTAAAGTTTCACATTAAACTAGAAATTCCTCCAAGAACCCTACCTTTGTTTTCTCTTTTTCCCTTTTCAGTGCCCATTTCATCATCTCGCGAGCGATATCTTGACCAGATTTCTAAAAGAAAATCAAAATTTGTTTAAATTGTAAAAAAACTAAAAACCTTTGGCTCTTCACTCGTCGTAGAATCGGCCTTTTCCTTGTTTTCCGCCATTTCTTTCTAAAGATTAAAAAGTTAAACTTTCATACAATTTTTCACTTAAAATCCTTTCAAAGCTCACCTTTTTATCAACTGGGATATACGTGGCGTACATTGGTTCCCAAATACACCATTGCTTCAACGTGTTCGAGTAGTGATAATTCGTCTTCGGATCAAAGTAGAACATTGTCACCATATCCACCTTGTAGCCGGACGTGGGATCGTCGGCAAAACTCGGGATATTTGGGGCAACTAAAAGAAAAATGAATAAATTCTTGGGTTGGTAATTTTGCTATTATGTTAGCTATCAAGGAAAAAATAACAAACGCTTGGATCAACCAAGACCACATAAACAGCGTACGAAGAACTTACTATATTGAGGAAACGTTCCGAACGGCGTATCGATTTCCCCAATCACTCCACCAGGTGGGCCCAACGGTTGAGCAGCCGCCATTGTTGTTGCTGGTTGAACGATTGTCGCCAAGGAAGACGTCTGCAATGGGACCCCCGTCAATAATGGCTGTGATGTGGTGGGCAATGCGACCGTGATTGTTTGTGGAAGTTGGCCTGGTTGTTGGATGATGAGTGGGAGGCCTGGTTGCGGGAAGGTGCCTAAAATATGCAGAAAAGATGATGCCAGATAAGTTTTAGGCCTAGATGACTAGATGACTAGATCTTACGGTTATCAGGTATTGCATGCCAGAAGAGAACCCAGCTTAGTGTTTAAAAGTCAAAAATTCTCACCTGGAGCCAAGATGATCGGCGTTCCAAAGGACAAATTCCCAGCTCCCTGAAAGCAAAGATATAGAGTTAACGAATAGATAAAGAAACTTACGCTATAATCTAAGTTTTATGAGCTAAATATCGTACCTGGATGATCATCGGCGGCGGTCTGGAGGCGTCAAAACCAGTGGGAGCGGCAAACGTTTGCATGGCTTGCGGCAAGAGCATTGGCGGTGGTCTGGAGAGGTCCTGGACAACTAAATCAGAAATATGGATTGTAAAGCTAACAATCTAGACTTTAAAAAGTTTCTCCCGGTGTTGTTGGAGCTAAAGTTAAATGAATTTATTTTGGATAATGTACTATTGCAATTATTGTTAGGTATAACTTTTTAATATTTTAATCAAGTTCTTACTTTGTGTACTTGCTAGCAAGTTGTTCGCCACACCCTCTTGCACATTCACAATGTTTGTCGGCTTCGATTGTGGCTAAAATTTTGAGACTAGATAACATTGATACATACAATTCTTAGTTCTTTAAAAGTTAAAATATTGTTAAACTATCGTTTAGAAACTCAAAATCACAATAGACATTAAAATATTTCCCGCTTACCGATTTCACTGAAGCCGTTTGCCGATTCTGCTGGGCTTTCCATTCGGGAAATGAGAGGCGCGAGTAGGAGACCAATACTAAAAATAGAAATTAGCTTCACACAGTCACAATAAAACTTGCATTTAGAGTTATTTTAACCCAAAAATACAAAATCTCACCTCGTTGTCCATCCAAAATGAGTGGCGCTTGTTGAAACGAAACCATCAGCAACTCGGCGTGATCAAGAGCACTAAAAGAGAAAGTTACGGTAACATAGCCCATAACAATTTTATACATCATACGTTCAAAATCCCTACCTCATTTGCACAAAAGCGAAGCGTCGACTCTTCCCAAGGTGAATATGAACGATCGGCACAAGTTGAGACACGCGGGATAGACCCTGAAAATGAAATTTGGAGAACAAGGTACGAATAAGTTTGTTTGATTAAAGCTTAAAGCATAAGGTTTTACCTCAGCAATCCTTGGTCCAGTGACTCCTTTTGGTAGACATCGAAGCAGAAGAGCTAAAAGATTATTGGGATTAGGATTCAATTGTTATAAATGGATTCAGTTCAAGTTTCTGGTCTGGAAGTCTGGAAACTTTGCCTTCGACATCCCTCTAAACATCAATCATAAAACGTACTATCAGTTGGAGTCGATCCAATCAACGTTGCTCCCCTTGCAATCATATCCTCGCTTTCCTCTCGAATCACCGAACACCGCTCGCAGAAAGCATTCGACATTGACTGCGTCGTGGAGCACTAAATTTAAACATCAACAACAATATTTTTCATTTGTTAATTTGTGGATAATTCAAGTGGTCTAGATAAATCTGGATAATTCAGTGAACTTTACCGCAGCACAAGTCCATGTCAACGTATCAGGCACCGCACGGGCAGCTTCCACAGCAATGACGACTTTGTTAGGCAAAACGAGATGACCCTGGAAAAGAAAACATTAAAGGAGATTACCTAATTCTTAAGCTTTCTTAAGTTAGTTTATTAAGTTCTGCAGCTAAGAATTTAACAGAACCAATTGAATTGGATTATAATCCAATTTGTAAAGACTTTGCAAATTTATGAAGCTTTTCACATCGGCTTTGCGACTACAGTGCATTTTTTTGCTTCAAATGCGCGAAACTCCAAAGAAAACACGCAAAACACGAAACTAATAAAGAAATGTTACATTGAAAACAAAAAGTGAAAAATTTTGTAAGATCCATTGCTGAGATTTCCAGGGAAACCTCAAAAGTCTCCATCCATCGTCGAACCAAAGCCGGTGAGCCCAAATCGACGTAGGCGAAACTGCATTTGTCACCTGAAAAATGGGAATTGTTATTGAAAACATGAAAAACAAACGAATTGACAAAAGAGAAAAACGTGAAAATAATGTGGAACTGACGCAAATTGTCGCAAAAAGCCTCGAGAAAGTCAAAAAGTTTACGTTAAAAGGTAGCTAATCTGCTTTTAAAACAGGTTGATTTTTAAGTTTAGGAAGAGTTTAGCTTACCCATATCTTCTCGTGTCACGACGAAGACCTTGGGATTGCTGACGAAATCGGCGAAGGCCGTCTCAATCTAAAAGATCGTTTAAACAAACTCCAACTTTAAATCAAAGCTCACCTTTTGCCTGTCCAAATAATCAGGTATATTCAGCAGTATAAGTTTGCTCGATGGTCGTTCGATTCGATCACGCTAAAAATTTTCGCCTTAAAAAGATTATGAAAATTTCGAAACTTTGACAGTCGATGGATTCTCGGGTTGGCTGGGTGGTGGTCGTTTGCGTGGATCTGATCTAAAAAGCTTGTTCTAAAAGTTTAAAAGTTTCTAAAAAATCTCAAAAAGCTTAGAAAAAATTTCTTAACGAAATCAAATCAAGAATACTTATATGTTCACAACTTCAAACTTTAGATTTCCAAAAACTCACTGCATATCAAATGGTCCATTTTGTTGATAGAATAGATTAGTTGGTGTTGATGAAGTGGGTTGATTTTGTTGATTCGCCCAGGTGCTCACATTTTGCGGCTTTTGCTGTGGGGTCGCGGGCTGATTGGATGGTTGATGGCGGTAAGGATCGGTTCTAAAATTCACTATTTCTTCATGAATGTAAAGCTTTAACAGGCTTGCAAACCCCTCTTTTAGTCATAATTTAGTGTCTCAAATTTAAAAAAGTCTAGAGGGCCTCGAGCTTTAAAACTTGAAAGGCCAAAAATTAAATCGTGCCCATGGCTCTCAAATTTTGCCTATTAAACTCCTTTCCTTTTTAGAAGTTATCAATAAACTACCTATCTGAATAAATGTAGATAAGCTTAAAAAAACTCACGACATCTCACGCAAAGCATTGACAACATTTGGATGGACCCACTGAGTTACACGCGACGGACTTTCTTCCTGATTCGGGTTCAAACGGAGACGCGGATCGATTCTAAAGAAGGTGGATATTAGATAAAATAGACATTTATGTATGTAAGTACTTAAAATAGATAATTGAGCCCATTAGTACGTAGAGCTTAAAGCAAAAGCACGAAAAACTTACGGGATCTCCTGTTGTAGAGCTTCTCTGGGTGGGTTTTGTAGGTTCGCCCACGAATTCATCAGCCTAGATTGACACACTAATCGTATCTAAACCGAAATTTTTAGCAAAAAGCACACTTTTCTCGAGAAAACAGATTTTTAACGGTGAAAAATATGGAAACGCACAAGAAATCAAGAAAATTTCACGGTAAAATCGAAAACATACGCCTCAACGGGTTTTAAAAAACGAAAAAAACAGCCGAAAACAACGCCATACGGGTTTTAAACATGTGCCTTACTTGCTTCATGCGATAAGATGAAAAAATTTACGCCCGCTGCACATCACCGCACATTTTCAACTTCGACTGGTGGTTGATACTTTTGCGCAAAAAACCCTGGACCCGCTTTATAAAGTGCAAAAACTTTACCGTAACTGGCAATCAATTCTTTCAAACAATTAATTGGCCGAATATTTTCGCTTTTGTGGAGAAACGACGTAAATCTGTCGCAAAATTGTTTTGCGCCCATCCGATAAAGATATTCAGCTAAATCGTCCTTTAAAAGGTGAAACGCAGGCGAAGATTTCATTATTTTCTTCTCGACATTAAAACTTCTTTTCAATTGGTTGCACGCGGAATTCTTGTAGTGCGTAGTCAGTTTTTGCCTCTAAGAAACCCATTCATTGCCAAATTGCATCTCGGTTGTGTGCGAACGCATTTTGAGTCCCAACGCGCTCAGGTACTGTACAGTCGAACATTGATTTGAGCCATTCTGCTTCCTTACTTTTCATTTTACTTTTCTTTTCGCAAAAACTAATTTTTCTATTTTCAGCTCTTGCTCTCAACCAAAACCTACTTGGGAAGTCTTCAATCAAAATGCGTGCTAAGGTATGGTCTTTTATTTTATTTATAGTTATTTAGAGTATTAGTAGCAGTACTACCTAACGTAAGAGTTGTAAAGTTATGTTCTAGTCACCTAGAGGTTATACTGCAATTCTTTAGATTAGGAGCCATTTAGTAGATCTAGTTTTAATGAAATTAAACCGGTGAAAACTATTTAGTGAACGAGATAGCAACGCTGTTGTTCTAGGCTTATTTTAAAGATTTAAACTCCTAAAGTACACCTAGGCAAGGATACTGGGGGGTATTTATGACAGAAGATTCCATAGTGAAATAAGTATCTATGATGCAATTCTAATTTTTCTTTTAGTGGGCCAAGAAGAGGATGAGGAGGCTGAAGCGCAAGAGAAGAGCCCAGAAGAAATAAACTCTTCTTCATCAACGTCTCGTTTGTTGTGTGCCACGTGTCATCTTACCATCTTCTCTTCAGTCGCACCATCAACACAGCCACACCAAGCGTTTCGATCCAATTGTTGCCGTTTTCTTTTTTGTAAATATAAATTTTTCGTATCCAGAAGTTTTTATTGAAAACCGCACCATGAAACGTTTGTAAATTGCAATCGACTATTTAAAGCGGTGATGGGACTCATGTAGCCATGTCGTTCAAGGAAATCATTGATCTCTTTTTGTCGAGTCTCGAGAATTTCGGATCTTCGTGCCCAAACCTGAAAGATTGTTGGTCATGTAGAGACGGTCAAAGTCTTGCCATTGTTGGATGTTTAAGCGGCTGTGATAAAACGATGTATTCGTAAGGGGCGCCAGGGGACGAAGCAAAGACTTTGACGGGTAGATCTGGAAAGGGATTCAAGAGTTAGTCTTTCGGTGCTCACATGGACATCGTTCTCTCGGGTGCCCAGTTGCTATCAGAAGCTCGCCCGGATCTGGGCCAGTTTGGGTTCCAAAGCCAGTATAGACTTTGCTCTCACTACCTAAAAAGGTTTTTGAAGAACTGGCGATAATTTTCTGATACCCGTGTAAGTTGTAGTTTTCACAGCAAATGTGCCGGTGAATGGCGCTCGAGAAATGATTTGAACTGTAAAAGCGTTTTTATACCGTTTATGAATGCTTACTCTCGGTTTTTATGCATGGCTCAGGGTGTACATCGCTTGAATCAACAATCTAAACAACTTTAGTTGGGCATTTTTCGGAAAACCAACTGTATACCAGTTTCCCTCGAGCTTTTCCAGATCAACATCTCCAATCGATGAGAAAAGAGAATCGTAAATCTTTTTGACTACGTCTTCCGCATTGAAACTTTTCATTATCTTAAGAGTTGACTGATTAAAATGTTCCTTTTAGTTTACCCCGGCGAGCTGATCGATTGCAAGTCCATTTTTATCTTTAGTACATGAAGCGGCAAAATTGTCGAGTAGTCGAATGAGGGAGACATGAGTTCCTGGGACCGCAATGGCGCCGGCAAATGACTTTGGGATTTGAGCAGCTAAAATAGTGTAAGTTGATATTGGTATCGATCCAATTATATCAACGAGTGGCACTCGTTTTGTTGACTTTATTGAACAGACCTGGGTCTAACTTCGCTTTGTGAAAATTATATCAAAGAACAAGATTTTCAACTTCCTACCTGCTGTCTGAATCAATAAAAAGACTAAAATGAAATTTCTGGATGTCATTTCGATTCAAACCCAGTCGATATTTCGTGCTTTCAATTCTCTCATGTATTCCCCTATTGTCCCTGACCTAAATTCCGTTGCAGTTGACTCTTTCTTCAAATGTCCCCATTTTCGTGGATCGTTTACCGTATTCAGGCAATTTTCATCACCGCGAGATAAAATTTTTCACAGATTTCAAAGTCTTCTTACTTGTTTCCTTGGATTTTATTAGCAAATTGGTTATTTTTGAAATTCAGAATGGAATTTGGGAATGTGAAGCGCCGCGTGGTACGGAAAAAGGACGTCATCGGGGAACAACCGACGGTTAAGGTGGGGATTTGAGGTTTTCAGCTGTATTTACCAATTCACTTTTTAGTGTACATTCATCTCTATTGAGTCAGAGCGCACTAGTTTTTGCTTCTAGGGTTTTTAATGGCATAGATTCTTAATTTGGGATTTATTTAAGCTTTAGTAACTGTTTTCTAGCTATTTCAAGCAGTTACCTGAGGTTTTAAGCCTCTTAATTCGGTACCGAACCTCTAAACCCAGTAGAAATAGAGCCACTCTTGAAGGCTCGGAATTATTGCTCAAACTGGCATAAAAGTTGTTCAGGATGGTTTATAAATCCTTCCAATGGATTCAGTGCAATTAATTACCCCAGAAAAAGTTTTTAAAACTAGTGGCAAGTTCGAAAAAACCGATGTTTACAAACTACTTCCCCCAACTACTATAGCACCAAGTTACCTACTTAGCTTTAAAGATGTAAAATTCAACTTTGTTTTATTTAGTATGAGATCATCGAGTCGCCACATCCGTACAACCTGGAACTCTACAAGAAACACCCGAATGATGTGATCAATTTGGAGGATTTCGAGAAGATTGCTTGGCATCGTTTCAATGTGTTGAAGGTGAGTGGGGGAGGGGTGTGATTGTTGTTTTGAAGGGTTATAGTAATTTGAAGCAAGTTGCAGTGAAACTTTCTTGAAACTGGGAAGTTTTGTAGTATAAAGTTTTACTGTAAATTGTTTCAAATCCTAAATATTTGAGACAGAAAAGCCATTGATTCATTTGCTTTTTTAGGCTGTCGAGGATATGAAGGAGCGTCATGGAGCTGATCCAAAGGAATACATGAATCAGGTACAAGGTTTTTGATAACTTAACAATATAGCCGTTTTCTAGATGAACACAACACTGTCGTCAACGAGCAAGGGCGCGTATTTCCCGGTGGCTTTTCCCGTTGAATCAAATCAATGGAAAATTTTGGTACGTTAGCGATCAAAGCAATATCCAACTGTTTCAATTTCCAAATGTTTTCAATTTAGAGCTCTGAAGAGAAACGCAAATGGAAAAGAGATGATCTCGTTGGGAATTACATACTGAGGTTGGGGAAGTTTTTTGATTTATTAAAAATCTGGTTAGCTCGGCTTCTAAAGTGCTTGATCCTTATGGCAAAAATTATTGAGGCACTTATCCACAGTACAATATCATTTTTCAGATTGGCCTTTTGCAGGACGCCCGAAGATCAAAAGTGGCTGATCACCAATGAAGTCGACTTGTTTCGCTTCAGATTTCAAGTAAGATTGTGTCATTTTTGCAAAAAATGCTGCTTTTAGCACAACATGACATTATCCGACAACTCGAAACGAGACGATTTGACGCAATTTCTAAGGGACAATTCGATAGACGTGGAACAGGTGTTGGATTGTTTGGCTTTGAAATAATTTTTGGATTTTTAGCTTTCCGAAGACGAGAAATTGAGGCTGGGTGAGGAAATGATGGCGGGTTGCGCCTATGCGAATGGCATTAAAACGACAAGCGATTTTTGGAAAGTAGGTGGCACTCGAGGTCACGGTAGAAGTCGAGCTTCGAGCTAGAAATTTTTGACTAGACTAGGTCAGGGCCAAGATAAAGTTACATCATACGCCAGATAATTCACAGTACACCAAATCCCGGGCTTTGGTCGCGTCGTGGGAAATTTCCCTCTAGTTCTTCCCACGGGAAATAGTTCCCCTTCCTGTCCCTTTATCACGCTATCATCTCGCGAGAAAGTTTCCCGAAGTATTTGCGCGGGAAAGTCCGCGGGAAATTTGGATTTGCCCCGACATTATGACCCGGGCTCAGGATTATACTATGCTACTGATGTATTACGGGTTATTAGATATGTGACGTGCTTAGCTTGTATGACCAAAGTTGGCTTTACATTTAAAAAATAAAGTTGAAAGCTGCTACGCTACGTTGAAAGCTGCAACCAATTTCAGGAGTTTTGATGTGTTCATTTAGCAGACTTCTATTATAACAAGTTAGGGTGGGACTAAAGCCAAAATAAGATCATCTTATCAGAAATCCGTCTCCACAAAAAAACACACAATATTCAGAGTTCCCTTTTATGTTTCTCTTTGCTGTGTAACTTTGGTCGAAACTTCATTGTCCATATTCTCTCTTTATGTTCCCCCAATTGAAATCACACACTAAACTCTATATTTCTCTAATGCAGACACTTCCCCAATATTTCGACCTGAGACTAGCGGAGGCGGTCCTTCGGACTGCCCGATCTCTCAACTTGAAGCTCCATTCATTCGGAGTCGTATCCCTTCCCCTAGCATGTTTCCCCCCGCCCCTTTCTATCGACGTATTTCTTCATTCGATTTGACTCCCTAAAGATTGTCATTACTCATGTAGATAAACCAGTAGCATAATCTTCCGGAATGCAAGACAGATCGGTCGTTTATTCCAGGGGACTCCCCTCCTACTATGGAGGAGTTAAGGCCGGTTGTCGGTTGTGTTGAGAGTGGCAGGAAAAGGTCCTCTCAATCTTTCATTCTTACAGAGTAAACAACACACATTCTCGCTCATTCATCCAAATTATCTACAGCTACACCATAACCAAAAGTATAATAACCTGTTTAATAGGAAGCTTTAAAAAAAATGTTATCAAATCATTTGACTATTAAATATCTGAATTTTTCTATATTTTAGATCAATTTCACGGCCGCTTCCGACTTGGTCCGTCGACGGAAATGCTTTTTGAAGGGCGGCATGGCCTATTTGCCGACCGAGGATTTACAGGTGAGATGATTTTTGAGATCTTTCCACAATCCAACTTTAGTATATCTTGTCCACTCACTATCGGGTGCAATTGGCGATGACGTTGAATGTAAAGAATTTGTGATATTAAACATTTATTTAATCTTGTTTAGCGAGCCTACAAATACTTGCCAAATATCCAAAATGAATCAAACCGATTGAAGCCGTTTTTGGAGAAACTCGCAAACAGGGTGAGTTATTTGAAATTGCGATTTGAAACAAAAATGCATCCTAGGCCTACATTGGAAAAGAGTTCTTGGGTGGTGACAGCACGCAGATCACACGGCACATGATAGAACCGGTGAGCTTTTGTGGGCTTTATCGAATAACCAGTATTCTTTTCAGTTATCGAAAGATTTCCCGTTGTGTATGCGAAATATTCATCAAAGTCTACGCGCCGAGCATCACTTGAAACATGGAGCTAGACAGGTGGAGAAATTTGGGTTAAAATATAGTTCAAGCATGAACATTAGGTTTTTACGTAAGAGCAACCGTCAAGTTGTGCCTTTTTATGTGCAAATGTATATTTTTAGCAATACGGTCTCTTCCTGAAGGCGATCGGTCTCCCACTTGAGGAAGCGTTGGCGTTTATGCGAGAGGAATTCACGAAAAAGATCGACTCGGATAAGGTAAGCTAAAAAATGGTACATTTTTAAAATATTCAAAGTTTAGTTCGAGAAGCAATACGCCTACAATGTGCGTCACATGTACGGAAAAGAGGGACGGAGAAAAGATTACGCGGCAATGCCATGCCAGTTGATCATTTTGGGAGCACCGCCAACAGCCGGCGATTGTCATGGTTGGGTATAAAAATTTCTTAACAAGGAATGAGCTAGGCTAAATTGTAAAATGCACAAAAAACTAAATGAGTATATCGATAGCTTTTAAACTTATCAATGTCTATACAGGTTGTCCATACAAGCACCAAGACACAAAAGTTCTTGAAAGGAGTCTTCTCAAAGATGGCCTCAACAAAGTACAAGTGGAAAAGGTTCGTTAAATCTTGGCTTTTAGCTCATGACGCCTTCCTCCTTCAGATTCTCAATTTCACGAAAGTCTCCCGTTTCGACAAGGCGTGCACCCGGCAATTCGAGTTTGCTCGTGGCATGATGGAAGGCGGTTTGGGCCAACTCGTCACCCATCCCAATCAATACTACGAATTCGCAATTCAGGTAGGAATTAGAGGGTTTCACTTTAAACTCAAAAAACATTTCTAACTAAAATCGCCTATTTTTGGTTTGACCTTGATTTTGTGAAATTTCACGTAGTTCCCAGCCAGAAGGCCCAATCGTGGTTCGGCTTTTTTAGCTTAAAGCCCATTAACTATCTAGATATTTTTACCCCTAAATTGATCAGGGTCAGGATTTTTTAGGTGAGAGACGGTAAACGCCACGAGGAGCATATTGAGGTGTTGAAGAGTCAGACGCCGGCCAGCCATTGGAACTCTCAAGTAACCACAAATGACATCCCACCAGCGACAAATCATATCCAGTCATCGGCGCAATCAATGGATATGTAAATTTTGAAAGTCTTTCATTTTGGAGCTTGTACTATACCGATGATAAAATTTATTCTTTCTGTTAAGTACAAATTTCTGGGGAATTTGGGTAAAAAAAACAATGGTTAGGTATGGCCAAAAACCCGCACGATTAAGAATGGCATTGAAGAGAGGTTGTCCAATTGAATATTTTAAGTAAATGGGGTAACTTTGTAAAGATATTCAATTCACTGGACAGGTAACTAAATGAAGCTGTCAAAAATTGGATGTCCTCTTTAAGTACATAATAAAAATAATAACAGGTAATCAGATATTAACACGAGAACATAAAAATGGGTAAATAAGCACTCAGAAATCGCAGAAAAGTAGACATTTAAGGCCTAGCAAGAAATTACAAATTCTGTCCATCGTTTAACAGCGGCACTTGATCGGTGTTGACCGAAATGGAAACTTCTTTGGGGGTTGGGGCGACTTTTGATGATGGTGCTTGAAATGGCCCCTCCGCACGTCAATCTTTCCGATTTTTCTTTTCCAAATACGTCACGTCCAACGCGTGAATCCCGAAATGGGCACAGAGTTGACGGACCTGGGAAAGAAAAATTTTCCTTTTTACTTATTGAATAAACTCACCACACAAACACCGTAATGCACATGCGCGACGACGATGATCAAGCAGGAGACTCGGAGAATCTGGAAAAGTGAGCGATGACAGCAAAACAATGATTGTTTACCGTTAATTCAAAGTCCGGTAGTTGAAAAGCGGCAAAAGTCGCGAGCATATAGAGTGCAAGAAGGGAATTGTAGATCTGGCAATGAGTGTTCGCCATTTGGGAGATGATGAGACGACACTAGAAACGGGGAATTGTTGATTAGCTTATAAAATCTAATATCTAGCAGTAAGTTTTCAGAGCTCATGCCAATGCGCAAAACCCACGGCAATATTGCTGAAGACGGTGCCCATGGCGAAGAAGAACATTCGGGGATCCTTTTGAATGACTTGAGTCGGTGAATAGGCGGCCCAGTAGATCGAGCCGAGGAAGAGAACCACACAGGGAACCATCGGACGAACCGCTTCCCAGAGGTTCGCCTGAAAAAAGAAGTTACTTTCTGAGGAAAAAGTCTGGGAACTTTTTCAGGTGAATTCCGGAACCTTAAGCGAAGTTTCATCCAAAAGCTTATCAAATTTTGACAGATATTTGGCTACTTTCAAAGTCGATCAAACACTGACCTGTTTCGCCGTTTTGTCAACCGCGTAGCTGTGCCACATGTTGTAGCCGGACATCGCCAGCGAGAGACCACAAGAAACTAAAAATGTTGATAAGCGAATGCTAGTTACAAAAAAACAAAAAAACCAAAAAACTTACAAAAAACAAAAACAAAAAAAACAACGATAGAAAAAAAACTTACGATAGAATCCAATCTCGAAGACCTCGGCGAAAGTCCAGGTGCCGATCACGTAGAATTTGTACCACTCAAAGCCGACATACCATGTCCACAAATAGATCAAGGCCAAGCCCTAAATAGATTTTGACATTGATATAACATGTAGCTCAAAATTTGCAGCACCTAAGCCTAAGCCTAAGCCTTAATGAAGTAAACACCCACATATTGACTTGCATCGTAGCCCCATGACAAGAAAAGCACTCCGGTGTTGTATTTCTCCCAATGGGTGACGATGAAAACGAGTTGAACGCTGATCAAAGAGAGAAGCAATCGAACGTTGGCAATGCTGAAAAGGGAAAATCAGTTATTGACTAAAGAATTGAACCACATTGAATGTAAAAAGTTGTAGCCAACCGTTGGGTTGGCTAAAAGCTCACCTGAACTCGCCTTGACCAAAAACGGAGAAAATGGTGATCGTGAAGGGCACCGTTGACCAAGAATCGAGACCATGATCGACTAAAGAAAGGTGATATGATGTCCATAAATTGGAATTAGAACAGTTTAGTTGTTAGAACCTTCAACTTTACAACTTTAGCTTCAAGAAATTTGCAATCTACTCACACAATTCTCCAGTTGGTCCAGATGCGCCGATTCGTCTCGCTTGTTTCCCGTCGGTTCCATCCAGGGTGTGTGCCGAGAAAGTGCAGATCGCGCAGAGAAGCCAAAACCTGAAAAGAAAAAGGTAAATTATTGAAGGTAAACCCTTTTACTTGAAATTTACCAAATTGTGAATGATTAAATGCAAAAAGATTAATAAGATTAACTTTGTTAGTGAGCTAATCTTCATAGTAAACCATTTTCAGGATCTCACCTGTTGTTTACTATTTTGTTCACTCACCAAGCCGGTAATGGATTCGTCGAGCCAAGACTTCCTCTCGTCAAATCGTAGTCCAAAACGGTTTCAAGGAGAAAACATCCCATCACGAGCGCCCAGCCGGACAATGTTAACACGTTTGGAGCGATCCATCGGGGGTAAAACTAAAGAAAAAATACTCGAGATTCTAAAAAAGATAAAATGAAATCAGAATCTCGCTGATTTTAACATAAAGTCCATATAAAAAGCTTAAAAGATTTGCGCTTTTTTGGTGCTATAGTAGTTGGGGGGAAGTAGTTTGTAAACATCGGTTTTTTCAAACTTGCCACTCGTTTTAAAAACTTTTTCTGGGGTAATTAATTGCACTGAATCCATTGGAAGCATTTATAAACCATCCTGAACAACTTTTATGCCAGTTTGAGCAATAATTCCGAGCCTTCAAGAGTTGCTCTATTTCTACTGGGTTTAGAGGTTCGGTACCGAATTAAGAGGTTTAAAACCTAGGTAACTGCTTAAAATAGCTAGAAAACAGTTATTAAAGCTTAAATAAATACCAAATTAAGAATCTACGCCATTAAAAACCCTAGAAGCAAAAATTAGTGCGCTTTGACTCAATAGAGATGAATGTACCCCCAACTATAGCACCTTTTTTCAGTGCTCTTTGTGATAAAAGCAACTATTTATAGTCACAAAAACTTACATTAACAAACCAATTCCAGAACGGATGCGAAATATAGACGGCGAGTGGACTGTTGTCGATACAACTGTACTAAAAATGTAAATAAATAACCGGGTACGTCATAAATTTAACGCTTTAACGTAAATCTACGTGTTTTTAAAAGAAAATATAGCTTAAACCTTTAAAAAATATAAATTTAAAACGACCTTGTACGTGTCGAAGCCTTTGATCTCGCTTTTCGTCAAGTAATCGTAGTGTAAACCCATCTAAAAGCGAACTTTAAAATAAAGTTTCAAAAAATAAATAGACAGCACGAATCGGAATTGCTAAAAAAGAAGATTTAAAACATTGAAACAGTGCGGCAAAAAAGAAAAATGATCTCACACGCTAATAGGCTTGTCTGATAAGCGGACAAAAATTGGTGGGAATTTTGACATGGGTTCGGGAAAAGAAATGACAATCAAAATGGGGTCAAAGTAGGAAAGAACAGAAAAGCAAAGACAAATAGTAAGTCGGGGAATTGAACTGGGGTCGGGAAGTCTTGAGCGGGAAGTCTTGAGCGGGAAGTCTTGAGCGGCAAGCCGACTCGCTAATTTCTAAGCCACAAAACTCGAAAAGCTTCTGGGAAAAAAAGTGACTCAGATATTGTAGAGTATAGGTTAAAATGAGCTCACAAACAATAAGCTTCCCCTCAAAATTTTGATCTTATAATCAAAATTTCCAGAAATCTACTTTTTTTTCGCTAAACTATTAGGTTGTTCGGATATAAACGAGCGTTTGCACTGCTTAACGTGTGAGGAAGCCATTTTCCCTATCTGATCGTTTTTCCAATGGCGTGTAGATGCTCATCAATGGTAGAATTTGAACATAGAAACTGTTGAGCAAGTTGCATGACCTTTTTCCCCATGAATGTCCGGTTTCACGGTCGGATTTGGCCGTTCTCCTGGTCCTAGCCATTGCCGTTTTCGAATAGTATTATCGAAATAGATCCACTTCTCATCTCCAGTAAAAAAGAGAATCAAAAAAACTATGATCTTTAGCGTGGCGGATGAGGATTCCGGCAATAGCGACCCGTGAAGCCTTTTTTGCACTGCTTAACTCGTGAGGAAGCCATTTTCCGCATCTGAACGTCTTTCCAATGGCGTGTAGATGCTCATCAATGGTAGAATTTGAACATAGAAACTGTTGAACATAGAAACTGCAAGTTCACGCGTCGTTTGACATGGACCCGATTCGATTGCAGCCCTCAAAATATCGTTGTCTACCGCTTGAGGTCGACGAGAGTGTTCATCATCCTCGAGACTTCACCGTTCCGAAAGCGTTGAAACCAGGCTCGGCATCGGCTTTCGAACAATACATCATTCCCAAATGCTTAGACCAAATCTCGATGGGATTCCGCGACTTTTTTTTGCCCAGTTTGAAGTAGTAGGCAGGCGTAAAGTAGGCAGACTTGATATATTTGAAGACGGTCATCTTTGAACGATATTTGAAGGCAGACGATAACTTGATATTTGAAGTCGGTCATCTAAAGCAAGGAAGTCAGTCATCTAAAGCAAGAAAAATAGATCTTAAAAAATAAGAAATTATCCGTTTAAAAAGATTCCAAAGATTATACACAAGATAACGTACTTTTAAATACAAAAAGACATGTTTTAAAAGCTTCCGTCACAACAATAAGTTTAGTAACGCTTTTTTATATCCGAAAAACCTAATAATTAGTCTAGATCGATCAAAGATAGAAATTGAGAAAATCAATGAGAATTCCTGAGCGAATCGCGTGCAAAATTTTGTTGTTTGTTTTTCGAACTCGCGAGAGAGATAGGGGAAAAAGAAAAGGGCATTTGGGAAAAAGTGAATCGTCTCGCCAAAACGTTTCAAAATGTTACAACTTTTTTTTTCGCGGTGTTTAGAGGATTTTTGCGTATCGTAGCTGCTCTTTTCGGCGGACACACAAAAATCCACACATGCGGTGAAGAGAAAGAGAAGGGGAAGGTGGGTTTCGTGTGCTTGTTCCATAGGCAACGATGCTTATTTGAGTGTTCCACCTTTAATGCTTAATGTTGCTTTCCTAAAACATGTCCCCTTTCCTCATTACCGTAGTCTTCCCAACCCAAATTTAAATCCTCTATATCCACTTTTTTTATCTTTCGATATCCTTTGTGAACCCTCATAGAATAGACAAAAAATAGATACCGTAAATACTTTAATAGTACCCCATCCCCATAATGACGGTGTGGAGTGTTGCGTAGTCTAACTTTGAACAAGTTTTTCTCGACACTGTTTTATGCTACAATGCACGCTTAGGTATCAAAAAATAGCTCTGAATTTCAGCTATTTTTTGATACCAAAGACGCATTTTTTGAAAGTACGGGCGCTTTGAAAAAATGAAATACTAAAAAACTTTTGCGACTACGCGACTGTACGAGGGGATGGAGTACTATTACAGTATTTACGGTAGATTAGATAAAAACTGAAAGGAAAGATTATGATAGTTTGAAAAAAGGGAACATTATTGAATCTTTTTGTTCTGATTTCTAAAAGATGCATTCAGGAAAAAGCTATCGTAGAAATGAAGTTAAAATTACCATTTATCAGTTTCCAAATTTACTTTCAAAATTTTTCGCTTCTGCAATTTAAAAAATCGAATGCTTTTATCGCTATCGACGGGAGTGGGACAAATGCGACCTTTTTTTGCGCACCCGGACATTTGCGCACCTTGCCCATTAGCGCACCTTTTTTCGCGTTTTAAAAAAGCTCTAAAAGCTAATATTAACCAATTTCTATTCCAAAAGTTGTTTTTCTAGGTAATTTTAGGGCGTAGAATCGAAATTTTGACATATCAGAGCTTGTGGAAACAAACGGACGGAGTTATACAAAGAGAAAAATCAACAATTTTCTGTAATTTGATCTAGCCGTTTTGTCTTTCAAATTGGTTCCACACGCTCTGTTATGTCAAAATTTCGATTCTACGCCCTAAAATTACCTAGAAAAACAACATTTGGAATAGAAATTGGTTAATATTAGCTTTTTAGAGCTTTTTTAAAACGCGAAAAAAGGTGCGCAAATGTCCGGGTGCGCAAAAAAAGGTCTCATTTGTCCCACTCCCCTATCGACACATTTATTTTTAACTTTCTTTTCTTGTCGTAGATTGTGTTGTTTTTATTCTAGTATTATTGTTTTTGTCAATAAAAAATTATAAAGTTTGGTACAATGATTTTTTTAAGTTCAGAGATCCTAATATACTTATCACTGTTGTCAGTCTTGGTTCAAGTCGTTGAAATTTTAAAATTGGGCCCCCGAAAGATGGTAGGAAAATAGATTTAAAACTAAAATCTATTATTTGTTTTTAAAACGGTTGCTTTCTCTTTCGTGATCAAATTTCCCATCATCAAGCCAATCTGGATTATTTCAGAAAAATGGACAATAACACGAATTTTGGACAAAACAAGAAGATGGGCGCTGAGGGTATCAGTCCCGAGCAGATGCAGGTGTGGTTTTTGATGGGAAATATGGTTTTTTTTAAATTAAAATATACTGTAAAGAGCGCTTTAACGTTGCGTAAACGTGTCAGTTAGTCTTGTTGAAGTAGTTAGTCACGAAAACTTTGTTCAGAATGCCTTAAGTTTGCGATGTTTGACTGTACTTTGTTTCACAAATTATTTTTAGAACCTCTTCAAGAAGCTTTCTTCCGACGAGCTAAAAGATGTCCAGGAAACGTTTCAAAAGTGCTCAACTGAGGTGTGCTCAACTGCAAAAGAAGTCTTTGGCCATTTTAGCAAGCCTTTTAAAAATTTGCTTGGGTTTTTGATGATAAACTTTAAAATTAGTGCCTAAAAATCTAGCTTATTTAGATGTAAAAAATAAATGGTTTCTTATTTTTGATGTTTAGATACTCTTGACGAGGGGACTCCCGGTGACGTCGGTGATTCTCGGCTCGCTTTATTTGGCTCGAACAAGACTCCCACCGCAATACCATTTTGGACCAAAGGTAGATTATGAATTTTAAATGTGAAAAAGTAAGCTTTAAATAACTATCTAACTGACAAACCTAAGAAAGTGGGTAATAAAGCGGTACGATGATTAAAGTTTTTATTCATGATTTGTCATACCTTTTGTAAACTGGTTAGGCTGGGATGTGTTTAAAATTCTACCCGATTAATCTTTTAAAATCTTTCATCTACTTGTTTAGGGCTGGCCATTTTACGCGCTCCTCGGTGTCGGTTGTATGACGGCGACGAGCGTTCTTTCGATGGGATCGTGCAAAGATCGGATAATGCCCAAGATTGAGGCACTTTGGAAAAAGGTGAGTAGCGATTAATATTGTAATTTAACGTCGATAGAATAATTACTTCTTACAAGTATTCGTGTTTTATTTAGTACGAGCTCGACGCTCAACCGCGTAACACTTACGAGCAGCTGAGAATGCGCAATCGACAGGGCGCCAGTTATCCTCAACAACATTTGGTTTGTGGTTGCTGTTGTTGACTTTCAAACGTTTTGATTCAGCCTCAAGAGCAACAACAGCATTCGTATGATTATGGACATGCATCAACGGCAAAGTCAGTTTTTTATAATTGTTTACGGATAGATCTACCTTATAACTACTTTACTTTTAGACCCTTTTCGGAGCCTTCACCAATCACATCGGGCGCTGGAATGGCCGCGCTGGCGACTCAACCACAAATGCCCGTCGATAAATTGCGCCATGGGTGAGTTTTCTTGAAAATTAACTAGCAAAGGGTTGTCCGTTGACTGATGATACAAGTATCAGGCCTAAAATGTAGTTAAACATTAGGCCAGCTGCATGTGTAAGAGCTGTTAGAAACAGTCACTATCAGTAATAGTACCTTTTGTACGAACAATTATGGCAAATAAGCGTCTTTTAGTTCACTAACTGATGAGACGAAATAAAGATTCGTAAAAATATTCTGGTTTATCAGCATTAGTACCTCTTATACGAAAAAATATGGCAAATACCTACATATTATAATATTTACTTTTAGTCCATTGACTGATGAAGTGTCGTACATGTCGGGTACACCGATGGCCGGCGCTCGTGGCGCTTCATCAAATCCATCTCCAGCCGCCCATCGACCCACGAAAACGAATCAATATGGAGATGAAGGATTCTCGTGAAAATGTTTAAGCATGTGTACAGTTTGTGTTTCATTTCTACTAGGGTTAGTGTTTAGATTGTGTCTATTCTTTTGACTGCTTTTTTTTCTCTACAGTACGTGTGTTCATCTATTCGAGTCATTTGATATCTATTGGTCGCTCAATAAAACGTTTTTACTTGTTGTAGTTGAAATTTTTGTGGTGCATTGACCAATTTTACCAGAAATTAGCAACGTCAAGTTTTTATGAGTCAGACTTTGATGACCAAAATTTCTCATAAAAACCAAAATTTGATCTATCGATTACCAAAAATTTAGTTGTCTTACGGATTAACTCGTTTATGGAGATGACTTCGGCTAAAGTTCACATGTTCATCTATGGTCTTTTTAGAAACGACTCCACAAAGCACAATGTCGAGCCTCGATATTGAAAAGATCGATAGAAAAACGTGCGAAGACGCGATGCAGCTCATCAGACTTTATTATGAGGTATGTTGTTGGTTTTGGTGTTAAAGGGGCGGGGGTTAGTTCTTAAACTTATAAAGTTTGCAAGAATATTGAAAATGATGCTGACAAAGAAGCATATTAACAATCCATCAATCTTTAGGTAATCGATCGACGCCGTGAGCGATTGGGATTCATGTATGCGGAAGGAGCGAGTCTTGTTTGGAATGGAAATTCCGTCAATGGATCACAAGCTATTGGAAAGTTGGTTTTTCGAGTCACTCTTTAAGAAAACTTGAGTCAACTGTTTGACACTTTCAAACTTTAGATTTCTCACAGAGATTCCCGACACGCAACACGAGGTGATATCAGTGGATGTGCAGCGATTCTCACCGTTGGCTGCAGCGCCGTTTGGTGGAGATGCGATGGTAAGGAAATTGGAATTAGAATTTTACACTTTTACAAATCTAGTTATTTTAAGCTTGGAAAGGGAGAATATAAATGAGTTCCGGCTTTAAAGACTTCATATCCAACTTTAAATTTATTATTACAATGATATTTAGACAGCACTCATTGCTGGAGGTGTGATAATCGATGGAATCTATCACAGTTTTACCCAGTCGATGTTGTTGATGAGGGATCCGTTGAGCGAGAAATCGATGGTTGGTTTTTTAGCTTTCTCGCGTTAATACAGGTTATGCCTCGGTTGGTATATCAAATCTGTTTTAGATCATCCATAGCCTAGAGTATCCATTGAATTTTAGATTCTCTCCGATCGCTTTCGTTACGTCGATTGAATCGATTTTCCCTTTCAAAAATTATATGTGCAAAGTGTTATTTCTTGTGATATTTGCTAAGGTTTTGTTATGACCTTTTGTTGTTATTTTGTGAAACTTCTAAAGTTGATCTCAACTTGTTATCTCATTATTTTTGTGTAGGCTAGATAAATGTTATTTAATTAATGTCAGTATAGATTTGTTACAGGGTGAAGACCCAAAAAATTATATTTTTAATTTGGCACGAGAAAGTTAATATCGAACGAATGCATCAAATATTTAAGTCCTGTAATCTATTGTCACTGATTATCAAAACGCTTTAGTGCAATGGAGTCCGAACAGTTGAGGATTCGGACAACCGAACTTCTCACGGCCGCATGTGCAAATTGGGGATTGCCAAAGGAAAGCTCAGGCGATGAGGAGATAGGTTGGAATTTCTACCAATTTGATCAATTACTTTGGAAGCTATGAGTTACCGTATTTTCTATACGGTAAATTTAAAATATACATAAAGCGAAAGCTTATACATAATGCAACTTGGAATAAAAACAGACCCCAAGAAGAAAAATTCAACAGTAGATTGTTCTTTTAGACATCTCGACACCCGGCAAACAGGACGCGCTAGAGATGCTACAAAACGCGTTGCGATTCGCTCACACCAATGAGGAGATCTTTTTGGAGAAAGGACAACCCGCACAGGTGAGCTAAAATTATCTCTAAAACTTAAACTTTAAGTCTTAGGTGACAGCGATGCGATCAAATTTACAACGTATCAATGAGTTGGGTGATCGAATTGATGAGTGTCGAAAGGTAAAAAGCAATTGATAAAAGCTTTTCAATGTCCAAATTTTAGAACCTAGCCGAATTGCAAAGCTCCTATTTGGCGGTTACATCACGAACCAGTGCTCTTCACGATGCTTGTGATCGATCAATGGCACATCAGGTTCGAATTTTTTTGTTTTTACTTGAAGCCAGTGTACAATACGATGACTATGGCGCGATTTACTTACTGAACGAGTTATTTAACAATTTTTAAATGAAAAATCTAAAACTTTCAAGATTTTGTTTTTAGACAGCACTCGCCTCCGGTTCCGAGCAAATTCGCGCCAACTTGCACTACTTTAAACAAGCGGATCTCATCATGAAGGTAAAATAATATTAGAATAACGAGTACAATTTGCAATACTATTGGTCAACAAAAACAATTTTACTTTCATTCTTTTCAGAAGCTCTCGGATCGTGGCCGAATCAATGTGACCGCGCCCGCATTCTCTTCACTTCTTTCTCTTCTTGACGAAGGACTTCAGTTTTTGAAAGCACATCCCGAGTACAGGGAGAGCGCCTTGTACATTCAAAAATACGAGCAGTGCTTGAGCAAGTAAGGAGTTTTCATTCGAGCTAAATGACTGATCGATTTAGAGCGATGACCTGGATTCGAGTGAAAGTGCTAACCGATCTCGAGGCATGCGTGAATTCGGTTAGAAAGAAGTAAGCTGATAAAGAAGTAGTTCAGAATTGTAATGAAATTTTTCTTCTAGGCAAGCCGAGCTCTCTGTCGACTGGTCTCGAACCGATCATGCAGGTGAATTCGATAATTGATTGCATTTCATAAATTTCTTCTCTAGATGAGGACACTCGGGCGCTTCTCTATGGAATTTTTGCTTCAAATGCGGCTTCAGTGAGGTAAATATCATGTTTGGTTATAATCAACTATAAATTTTAGATGTGCTCTTGGGGTAGCCGAACAACGTTTCTCACAAGTGCCTGAATTTGAAGCGATGCTTGCTGAGTGTCACACTGCTTACTTTCAAGTGAAATTTGATTGCTAAACGACTAATTGCTGTTTATTTTAGCTACGTGAACAGCTATTGGTGCCAATCATTGAGAGTACGCTGCAAAAACTTGTTCTGTAAGTTTTCTGAAAGTACCACAGCACAACTAATTCTTTTAGATCCCACAGTGATTCGTGCTGTTCGCTGACTCGATCCGGATGTTTATTTTTGTTGGGTGTATGCGGGGACGAGTTTCGGCTCTTCCGGCAATTTTTCGCCACCGAGTTGAACGATAATAGCGGCAGTAAAGGAAGGTTGGGTGAAAAGTTTAAGAAAAAGCAAAGATTTGTTAAAGAAGTGCTGATAAAGTTTGCCACATTTCAGACAAATTATGTAGTTAAATGAGAACTTTTTAGAGCCTCTCCAGCTCCATCAGTGATTTCAATGAGAAGCACAGCTGCCACGCACAACTATACCCTGGCTTTTGAGGCGTTCTCGGAGGGATTGTCAAGGATTCTCTACGATGTACTTCGGCCACTCGTGGTGCACAGTCCACATTTGGAGACCCTGGCTGAATTGTGCACAATTCTGAAGGTTAGTTTCACTTGACTTATATTGTAACGGATTGAATGTCGACAAAATTTTCAGCCCGTCTTTTTAATTTAAAAATTTTAGGTTGAAATGGTCGAAGAGCGATGTCTGTCAGCTTCCGCCGATTTCCAAGCGAGTGATCCATTTTCGGGTTTTGTCGTCGTTGCCAATGAACTAGTCGGTGATGTACAAGAGAGAATCGTCTATCGGTTAGCCTTTCAGTGAGAATTGAAAGCTCTCTTCTTTTAGAGCTTCACAATACTCTCAAAGCGAGATTCTTGGGTACAAGCCGGCACCGGGCGATTTGGCGTATCCAGAGAAGTTGGTGATGATGAGACAAATCGAGGAAGAGCAAAGATTGAAGTGGGTTTAGCGGAGAAATTTTGGGATATTTTGCCTTTCCTAGGATGAAAGAGAGCGAGGAACAAAACGATGAACAGTCGACGAGTTCGGCGGTGGATTTACATTGTTTGTGGTATCCAACGGTGCGACGAACGGTGATGTGTCTCGCGAAACTCTTCAAGTGCCTTGATGTAAGAAGTTTTTCTGGTAATAGATCTATAATTCTTGTTTCCAGTTTGCTGTCTTCGAATCACTTGCCAGAGATCTCCTTGCCGCGTGCTGTGTTTCGCTTGACTCGGCCGCGTTGAGTATCGCTCAAATGGTAGTTCGAGTCGGAAAAACGTTTCAGACTTCTTCATTTCAGACTGGAACCGAGTCTCGTCGCTCGCGTACCCTCGATTCTCATCTCTTCGTCGTCAAACACTTGTTGATTTTGCGTGAACAAACGGCTGTAGGTCTTACAATTAGTGTTACAGGGTCATAGGTTATTATTCACTGTTCTTTTTACTAAGCGATAAATTTCAGCCGTATCGCTCGGCGGCGGCTCGATCAACCGATTCGGCTTTTTCACCCAAAGATTACTCGCTTTCATTGTCAAGGGTTCGCAACTCGGCCACTCAATTTGTCGCCAATATGACCACCGATGCTTTTCTCGAGTTTTTGCTCAGCGTTTCGGTGGGTTCGAGATTTTAAATTAGCAGGGTAATTAATTGTCATTTTAGGCTCCAATTCAAGTGTCCGAGGTCTCCGGAGATAGTCGCAGAGTTGTGGACAGCTCGCTTCGAACAAGGTAAGTACTAATTGGACATATTGTAAAGCTTAATCTAAGTTCAGATGCAATCAGTTGATTGATTGTTGTGCCGAGTCGCTCGTCGGACAATTTCACGCTTTTCTTGAATTGGCTGATAACGAGGTTGTCTTTAATGGATATTTTTTAAAAGCCTTTTTTAGTCAAAGAAAGAGAACTTTGACGTTAAAAAGCATCCGGAGTTGGCCGCGCAAAAATTCCACGACATGGCGGCCGAGGTGCAACGGAATTTGGCCAAAGAGTGGCAATCGGTGAGGGTTTTTTTTGGGTAAAATCAAGATTAAATTGTATTAGAAGTGTTTAAAAAGATTGACTAGCCCACGAATTTAAAAAACAAAGCTAAAGATATTTGGTCTTAAGAGCTGAATACTTAATGAATTGGATTTTAAAACTTTTTATTTAGATACGTTCCTCATTTTCCCTCTACATTGGTGTCAACGATACGGAGGCTATCTTGTTACAGCCGATTAAGGTGAGGTTTATGAAAGCTACAATAAATTAGGAAATGTGAAAATGTATTGTGCTCAAGTACAGTATTACCGTAATTTTATCTTTAGAAACGAATCGTCGAGGTGTTCACGCTGGCCACGACAGTCGTTTCTCGTTGTTTCACAGAAGAGGAGGCGCTCATCGCCGCGCTTCCTTCACAACAACACATTCATCTCTTGCTGAATAAGATTTGAGAGTTAATTTATTGAAAATGTTGATCTTTTCTATTAAAAAATTTTTTTATGATATGTAGCTTCACCGTTTTACAATTTTGCTGTTTTTGTGGAAATCTCGCTTTGATAATTTTTGTGATATTTTTGTTTTATTGAATTGGGTCTTTGTAAATAGGGGTTTTGAGCTAATTTTTTTAATAACTGTGATATTTTTGAATGAGCGGTGGATTGGTTTAATAAATTTTTTGGATATTGGAATAGTGACTTTTGTGGATCCGTAAACTACTATTTTTTCCTGGTGGGAGCGCTTAACTGAACAGTTTAGAATTATTCTTGCTGTAGTTGTTTTATATTTTGTGCACCTTGATATGCAGCGTTTGGGCCTGCGGTAGTCAAAGTTTTGTGCATTCTATTTTGCACCTAATCGGAGTTCTGTAAAGCCTCGTCTGTAAAGAAAATTTTTCAAGTTATTTGGGTTTTGATTCGGACTCATTCATTTTTGTGCAAAACCATGAAAATGCTCAAGTTGATTAACTAAACCGAGTCCGAAATCCACGAAGTTCTGCAACTTTTCTCGATTTTTGATATCGTTTAGGCAGGAAATCGTCTATGTCGTCGATTTTAGACTTATCGATGCATTTTTACAAGTTGAGTAACTAAAACGGTCCCAGAAACAAACATTTCCCTTCTTCGGCTCCCTTCTCCTTTCTTTCTTCTGCCCAAAGCAGGTCTCACCGCGATTTCCCCCTCGAAGTCCGTTTTGCAGTTCTCTTTTTCTTGTCTACTGTCACTGGTTAGCCTCTCTTTTCTCCTCTCACATCTACACCTCTTTATGTTTTCTGTCATTGAGAGTGAAGGACTCAAGAAAGGACTTTGATAACGTGATTTCTCCAGAATCTACTTTTACTTTTGAGTTTTCTTTGTTGATCTTTCGAATTTTTCTTCGTTTTCCTTAAAATTTTAACCATTTTCTTTACAGAAATGATTGGCAGACGACTCCTTGTGCTCACCTTGGGACTCCTTGCGCTCGGCTTTGGTGAGTTTTTTTGGAAATTTAAAGGAAAATTCTCTAAATTTTGGAATTTAATCCTTAGAGCAGTAAAAAAATGCCAAAACCCTGGTAAAGGGTCTGTAAATTTAGGCTCAAAGCGTTTATGTAGACACTTCTGAACTGTAAAACGATGTTGATGTTGTCAAATTTTACCTTTGAAGGTTTTAATGAGACAATTGAAAACGTAATTGGGCGGTGAAAGCACATTGCTTCGATGAGAATGTGATATTGCGTCAGTTTATTAGTTTCATAGCTTGATAAACGGGCTTGAATGTTGAGGTTTAAGCCTAGTTATCCACTAATTTATAGGTCGTATTAAATTAGCAAATCCAGTAACCTCATTTCTTATCTTTTTTTTGTTTAGTGCACTGCGAGGATGCGGCTGACGGAGAGATTGTTGATGAGGGAGCACCCGTGACTGCCCCTATTGATGAGGAAGTTGGAGGAGTGAGTTTTAGAGTTGCAAAAGATCTGTGACTTGTAAGAAATTGGGATTTAAGAGGATTTAAGTAGAAAGTTAAGTGTTTCATAGTTTAAAACATCTAAACGACCTTGCCTCTTGTCAAACAAAGTTTTTTTTTTCTAGATTGGACCAAGCTCTGATGCGGCCTTGTCGTTCCTCTTCACTCAACCATCATCGGCTAATGTTAACAGGGGTGAGCTGAAGCTTTAAAACGATCATACAATTGGTTTTCTTTTAGAATTGGTCGCCGGGAAACTCGTCAAATACTTGATCGGCTTCCAAAATCGCGGTGAAAAGGACTTCATCGTCAAATTCTCGGAGAGCTCCTTCAGATACCATCAAGATTTCAACTACCACATTCAAAACGTGAGTTTGTTTGTTAAAATGATAAAGCGATTCAAGTAAAGCATAATTGACAAAAACATCTAATATGTCGTATTTAGTTCACTTTGGGACAATACAACCGTCGTGTGGCACCAAAGGAGGAGGCGACACTCGATTATGGACTCTTTGTGGCCGATCAATTTGCCGGACGACCATTGGGACTTGTCGTCAATGTGCACTATGAGGATTCGGTAAGATTTTGTGCAAGGGTTCTTCATAACAAAATTGGTAGCTTCGTAGTATAGCTTTAGTCTAACATTATTGGTATTGTTATGCTTGTTTATCGTTACTAGAGTTGGTATATCAAAAACATCTCAAAATTCAAAGAAAACTATAATTTTCCTTTAGGAGGGCCGCTATTTCGTCTCGACCGTCTTCAACGAGACCGTCTCTGTTTTGGAGGATGATTCGGGCTTCAACCACGAAACTTACTTCTTGTACTTGGTCTTCGCTGGACTCCTCGCCGGTGCCTTCTTCCTTGGACAACATTACCTCAACAAGGTTTGTGAAATTTATGTTAAAGAATTAATTTATATTTAGTTGACTCGAAAGGCCGGCATGACAAAGAAGCGGTCAGCTCCAGTTGAGACAGGAACGAGTGGACGATCGGAGGTCGATTTCGAGTGGATCCCAAGAGACGTCATCAAAGCATGTAAGGAGTCTAGACATAATGTTAAGGCAATAGCGATTTAGAAGTATAGAGCAGGCTGTTGCAAAGCTTATGAATAGTTGTGCCATTGGGCTTTTTGCAAGGCCGTTTAACCTTTTGGAATGTTAGCCATTGGTTCAATCAAAATAAGGGTAAACTTTAAATTGTTTTTTTTCCGATAAATTAAGTAATGGTAAATGCAAAATATGCAGTTAAATAAGATGAACAGTTTCATAATTACCATTTCCTTTCAGCCGAGAAGAAATCCCCCAAACCAGTCTCTCCTCGTCAACGAAAGGCACAAAAAGCCGAATAGATTCTTCTCAAAAACAAAAAAATTTCGTTCAGCTAGGTCAATATTTCTCTCTTGTTGTGATCAATGCCCATAAGGAATCATTTTAAAGTGTCCATTTGTGTAAAGTTTCGTCAGTTCATTTTGGGTACATGTTCTCTGAGCAGAAATTGTATGTGTTTTTATTGTTTTCCCTTATATACACTCTTCACTCAAAATGGGTATCGCTCTGGTTTCGCTTTTTTTGTTTCAATTTTTGGCATGAAGAAGTGAAATTTTCGTCTGTATTTTTGTAAATGTTAAGTTATTCTTTTGGCCTTGGAGAGTTTTCTCAAAAAATATCGTTGTCTGTTTTTTCTTCATTTCGAGAGCCGAAAGAGATAAATTTTAAAAATTTTCTTTAAATTGCACTCGGAGAGACTTCTGATTTCTGCAGAATATCGATTTTTCTATGGCGAAGATTAAAATCTAGAAAAATGATGCCTGTGGTGTGATTTTGGCGACCTCACACAAGAGAAAGGGGCAAAAGTGGGGGAGAAAGGATTGTTTTTGTGCACGCCATTTGGCTAGCAAGTGCTCTTGAGATTTCTAAATACTTTAGGTTTTGATTTGACTTTGAATATTCAGCCATTTTTTTGCGTTTTCTGTTTTACGGAGAAGGGTACAGTGTGATTTTAGTCATCAATTTTCCAGAAGAAGCCCGAATTTATCAAGTCTGGCATTATTTTCGAACTTTCAATATCATTAGGGATAGACCTCGTTAGATAGACAATGGGTAGACCTCGTTAGATAGACAATGGGTAGACCTCGTTCCGATGTGGAAAGTGGCATTTTTTTGAACGTTTCGTGAAATTCGAGGGTGTTTGCCTGGGAAAAGGGGAGATAGGACCGGCTAAAAGGGGCTGAAATGGCTGTAGTTTGTGTGTGGTTGGGTGTGACGGTCATTCTTTGCTCGAGAGTGCAAATTTCCTTATGCTTTGATATTTTGATGGTTCTTATTCCTTTAATTAACCTTTAATTGTTCAATTTGTACCTTTTCAGCCCGACTCCTACGAGAATGCCCTCGGCTTTGGACCAAATTAAAACGGTGACGACGGTGGTCGCGGATACGGGAGATTTCAATGGTAAGTGTGGATTTTGGCATTTTACTGTTATATCATTGAGGAACAATAACAGTGACATGGAATTTAATATGTTTTCATCTAAAAATTGCGCTTACACTATTCTGAAATTCATTCAGAATAGTCATTTAGAGCTTCAAAAACAACTAAATTTCGTTAAAAATCTCTACAGCAACTAGCGATAAAGATTCACAAGCCAAGAAAACGAATAGTTCTTGGCAGAGAATTGTTTAATTGTTCTATTTTCAGCTATCAAACGCTTCCACCCGACCGATGCCACAACAAATCCTTCGTTGATCCTGGCCGCCTCAAAGATGGATACCTATCAACCGCTCGTTCAACAAGCCATTCAATGGGCCAAAGAGAAAGCGGGTGGTGACGAGGGAAAGGTGGGGAGAATGGATACTAAATGGAATTGATAAATGGATAACATAAACTTCATTGCCATTCTAAGAAAGTCATAGTACTTTTGAAGTAAACTCATTTGAATTGAAAAAGTTGACAAAAGGTCATAGTACTTTTGGAAGAAAATCTATTTTTTTGTGCTTAAAATGATTCAAAACCTTCACATTTTTGATGAAATACTTGATTTAATTCATTTACTCATTTTTTAGGTGATCTCATTGGCGATGGACCGTTTATTCGTCGTGTTCGCCAAGGAAATTCTTCAGCTCATCCCGGGACGAGTCTCTGTCGAAGTTGATGCAAGGTGAGGAAATTTTCTATCATGAACCTATCCAATGAATTTCTAGACTCTCATTCAACAAGGAGGCCTCGATTGCGAAAGCGCATCAATTCATCGGATATTTCGCCGATGAGGGAATCTCAAAGGATCGAATTCTCATCAAGCTCGCCTCGACATGGGAGGGAATTCAGGCGGCTAGGTGAGCGAGGGCGTGAACTAGCCCAGGAAATCTTAAGGAATTATCTGCTGAAGATTGGTTTTTTGTGCAAAGCTGCAAATGCGAAAAATGCTACTTTTCACCATTAAATCTATTTCAAATGAACGTTTCCCAAGAATAAACTTATAGTTAGACAAACTGTTAGCGTTTTGTATTTTTCACGATTTAGAGAACTCGAGAAGGAGGGAATTCACTGCAACATGACGCTGCTTTTCAACTTCGAACAGGTAGATTAAAGATTTAATAAAAGTGACGCGAGCTTTTTAGGCGATCGCTTGTGCCGAGGCTGGTGTGACACTGATTTCGCCGTTTGTTGGCCGAATTCTTGATTGGTTAGTATGATGTTGGTGATTTCAATTTATCATGTTTAGGTTTGTGAAGAACACCGAGCAAAAGACGTACGACCGGGACACGGATCCCGGTGTTAAGGTGGATTTTAACGTGGCGACGTAGTAAAACCCATTTGTTTCTAGAGCGTTCGCCGCATCTACAACTACTACAAGAAGTTCGGCTATGGCACACAGGTAAATTGAGGTTAAACGTGAATCGGGAAACCAAAATAATTTTCAGGTGATGGCCGCGTCGTTCCGAAACACGGATCAAATCAAGGGATTGGTCGGGTGTGATCTTCTTACAATCAGGTAATATTTAAAATAGTGCAACTTTTTACAAAAGTTACTGCAGTGACTTTTTTTTCACTAAAGCCACTTTTTTCTTTAGCCCCTCACTTCTCAGCCAATTGCTCGAAGACGAGGAGAATTTGCCGATCGTTTTGACAAAAGAAAAAGGTGTGTTGAATACCTTGATAACACGACTTTATCTTTGGCTTTTTAGCTCAAGAGACTTCGGAGGAGAAAATCCACGTGAACGAGTCGGCATTCCGATGGGCGTTGAACGAGGACGCGATGGGAACGGACAAGCTGGCTGATGGGATTCGCGCATTTGCGAGGGTAGGTGCTTTACAGGGGTGGCTACAAAGTATTGCGACAAATCAAAAGGTTATACCCAAATGTTAAAAGAGTAAATAAATTAAAACTTTTTATTTTTATAAAAAATAAAGTCAAACAACTAAGTTTTATAATAAATTTACGAAATGGCCGCCATCGGCTTTAATACAAGCGTCGATTCTTTTGGGCAGTGAGGCAACGGTGCGGCGCAAGTAAGCTGGGTCTAAATCGTCCCCATTCCTTGATGAGAGCTTTCTTCAAGATATCCAAATTGTTGATTTTCCGTATCCTCAAACGTTCTTCCAAGTATCCCCATACTGAAAAGTCCAATGGGTTAAGGGCCGAACTTGAAGGCCACTGATCCTTGGTCAGATGATTCCATTTTGGTGTCAAGGTAAGCGATTGTTTTTTTTCGCTCCGTAGGAGCTTTCGCTGGAACCCAATCTTATTGAAAGATCATATTTGGGTGTTTTTGTTTCCAAGGGAGCACAGCTTTGTCCAAAATCTCTTTTTGATGAACGTTCGCGTTGCTTTTGACGTTTTTCTCGATGAAAATCAATTGAGTCTTCTCGGTTGCACTGATTCCCGCTCACAACATCGAACTTTTCGGAAACAACGATTTTGTGACAACTTGACGCTTTCGGGTATTCTTGAGAGCTGGATCCAAAAGTTGGCGGCGAATTTGCGAGTTTTTTGGCCAGTTCAACAGTGAAAACTTTCTCGTCGGACCACAAGACGTCCTCGATGGGCCGCACCGGAAAAAAACCACGCGACACGCCTTTATCGAGTCGATTTTGCTTTCCCTGATCGCTAAGAACCTGTTCATTGAGTAAATGATATGTTGGATTCCGTCCTGATTTGGGGTGCTCCTCGATCGAACCAGTTTGTTTCCATTGATTGAGCATTCGATAGACTGTCGCTTTGTGAATGTCACCATGTCAATGTCTTTTCGCGATGGCTAACGGTTTCATCCCAGACTGTCGAAGGCTTCTCGATGCACGGTCACTTTCATAGCACCTAAATTATGAACTAAATGTTTCACTAAATAATGAATGACAATCAAACAAGTCTTTAAAGAAAAAAAATAGTAGTATGAAATTCAATTCTACAATGACCTTTTGATTTGTCGCAATACTTTGTAGCTACTCTGTATGTTCTGAATGTGTAAAAGGCTTCTCCTAAAAGCCACAAAATCATGCCATGGACGTTGTAGCATTAGATTTCGGATGTAGACTCCAAATCAAATAATTTATCTTTAGGATGCCCGTCTTCTCGAGGAACTCATCAAGAAAACGCTTTGAATTGAATACAAATTGGGTACTTTTTCAAAAATCGTTTCGCTAGGCTTCTAGATTCATTGGTAGCTGTTCGTAGTATTATAAAAGATTGTGATTTTGAGGGTAAATTCGAAAATTTCGTAGTTTTCCATAGCAAAATCTTGTGTGTCTTTTTCATTCCATTTCATTCTGATTCATATAAACTTTTTGCGCATTGCAAATTTTGTGATTTTCCCATGTTTTAGTTTGTTATGCAATAGATTTGTCAAAAATTTTTATCAAATCACACTAATGAACTAGAAGAACATGGGCTAAAAATGAAAATGATGTGGTTGTCGTTTTTTGACGCTTTTTTGGGCTTTAGGACTTGAACTGTTTACATAGCGTTGATGCGGGCTTCTTGATCGTCCATCTCTTTGCGAATTGGAGCCGGAAGGTCGGGACCGACCTGAAGCACAAAAAAGTTTGCGTATATTTGATGAGAAAGAGGGTGCCCACATTATTGTACATTCATGTGGCATATTAGGCCTAACTTGAAGTCGGGCCAAACGCCAGATCAGATATTGGCAGGGCCGTACTGTAGCTACGATTCTTTAACCCACTTGACTCTCGATGAACTTGCGCACTTCAACGGCGTCCTCTTTCCAATAATCGGCCGGCACGGACATCAACTCGTCCCAATCCACCGGACCCAATCCCTCCAAATCCAACGAACCCTGCGAATTTCGTTGTTGAATAGCCTATGAAAAAATTCTTACCTTTGTTGGCACGATTCCGACGGGAGTCTCTTGTCCGATTCCCACATCTCCATCCAATCGTCGAATTATCCAATCGATCACGCGAATGTTATCCCCGAAGCCGGGCCACAAGAATTTCCCGGTGTCGCGTGATTTGCGGAACCAGTTCACGTGGTAGATACGGGGCAGCTGAACAATCGGCTCAGATATTTTGATGACTTTTTAGGCTAAAGCACTGTAAAGTCACTATCATACGAGTGCCTTACTGTAGAGTGACCTTTTTAAAGTTTAAAACTACGATACCTTTCTCTCGGCAGTGTTCAGCTTCATCCAGTGATCGAGGTATTTCCCGAAATTGTACCCCATAAACGGGCGCATCGCCATCGGGTCGTGCATCACGGTTTTGCCTTCAAAATGGGAGGCTTTGATATAGATTTTAAAGCATTAAATAGTCTATGTTGGCAAAAAAAAATTCGTAAAATCGACAAACCTTTGTACTCGGCAGCAGCGGTGGCTTCGGATTTGAGGCAAGCGCCGGTGTAGATTCCGTGGTTCCATCCGTAGGTCTCGAAAACGAGCGGCACACCATCCGGGCGACGACCTGATCAATTTTTAATACAATATTCAAATACTTGATAGCCAAGTACGGTAGTTTATCCAAGCTATAGTAACCCTGGAGGTTGCCTTAGTTCAGCTACTGTAGGGTACTGTAGCCTACTGTAGTGTACCCTACAGTAGCGCCGAACAACTTTTCCTCTGCACCTACCTCCGAAGATGATCGCCTCGATTGGGACTCCTTGTGGACTCTCCCAATCCGGATGAATGATCGGGCATTGTCGCGCAGGAGCGGCGAATCTGGAAATGAAATGAATTTCAGTCAGTCTAGCATATAGTAGCCCAGATTAGCCTTGATTCATCGTCTATTTTCTCACCTCGAGTTTGGATGAGCCGCCGGAGCCGCATCGCCGAGCTTCCACGGGTTGCCGAGCCAATCCGTCACTTCGACGTTCTGAAACAAGAGAAATTAGCATATGATGCCAGTCGCTTGCCTTGTCCTTGATCTCATCCTCTAAACCCTCCCAATAGTAATGTCCATCTGATGTCTCGGCCACATTGGTGAAGATGGAATCCTTTTGGAAAGTGGCCACAGCCATCGGATTTGTGCGATCGGAGGTGCCTAAAGATTGGGGAAAAATACAAACTATTGAATAGCGTTTGGATCCGAGTTGAGTCCAGGGGACTTGTAGCTATACAACAATAACTTTTGCCTTACCTGGCGCCACGCCGAAGAACCCGTGCTCGGGATTGATCGCGTACAGTCGGCCATCGGCTCCAAACTTCATCCACGCAATATCGTCACCTGTAAATATGCTAATTTGAATACACAAATCTAATTTTAATTTTAATGCATTTAATTAATATAGCAATTAAACGCCGGGTGGTTAACTGCTGGATGATTTGGGTCAACACATAGTTTACCTGAGTCAAAGTTTAGTCAAAGGGGCACTCACGGAAGCCTCCGTTAGGCTTGTGTCAGAAAATAACTTTTATTTAGACTTAAGTCCCAAAATCTCACTGGGGAAGTACCAACATTTTTCGTGTCTACCCAAGTTTTTAAAGACTTTTGCTATTTATTTTGCAGAAAGTCCTCAGTAAACTTTGTACTCATTTTCAAGAGGAGATTCAGGGCTATCGAATGACTAGAAAAGTTTAGTTTCTCTTTTAAATCTTCACCAAATTATCAGTAAAACAGTTAACGACTACGCGACTGTACGCCGGCGTACTGTCGTGAATGTGTTAAGCATATATCAGAAACGGCCTCACCAACGCATCTCACTTTCCACCCGGGTAGTGTCGGTTGCAACATGGCCAAATTCGTCTTTCCGCAAGCCGACGGGAAAGCGGCCGCGATGAAATGCTCCTAAAAAATTGGGGGATATGTTTTTAGGGCTAAATTGAACTTTACGGCCCCCCAGAGCCAAAATACATTCAAAACCAGTTTTTTACTATGCCTAGTTATACACAAAAAAAAACACAAAAATAATAAAAGAAAAAGATCTTTAAACCAAAAACAACTTTTTTTTTTGACCTTTTGGCATTAATCAGCGCTTAATATATATACTGGTTTATTCAACCCATCCAAACAATCAACCACAATACAGAAACAAATCCTATTGAAACCTTAACCTAAACTACCTAATGCCATGCCATAATAGGACTTCAAATTCTTAACTTAAACATAACTCTTGAAAGTTCAATGATCATTATTTTGTGGAGTGACGATGCTGGTCAATGAAATGAAATAACCATTTTTAATGGCTGCAGTTTATGTGCAAGCCAACCCGTAGTTTAATTTCAACGGGCACGGTTTCATTGCTCTGCGCTTGGGATAACTCCGAACCTGCGACTTTTTGAGATATAACACATATTTTTAGCATTAACCGGCGTTTAGAAAAAATTATTGGAAATCGGCTCTTTTTTGCCACTTTTCAATCATTGTTTTCTCAGCGCTGGTTAATGCTAAAAAATCTGTGTTATATCTCAAAAAATCACCCATCCTCTCTACTTTAATTTGATACCTAAGCGGGCAGAAAACATGTCTAGGCGCCGAGATATGAGCATTTGTTTGAGAGGAAACTTAGACTATTCGACACTCCTATAGGAGGGGGGCTTCTATTAGAGTATTTATGGTAGCTTTTATCGATCTAATAATCACTACTCACTCGTCCACACGGCCGGCTCACTCCCATAATCAACATGTGCTCGGCCAACCATCCCTCGTCTTTTGCGATGTTTGAGGCGATTCGAAGGGCGAAGCATTTCTTGCCTAAAAAACTTTGTTTAGACGGGACAGGGGCTTATCCGTGGCTTTCGAAATCTACCGTACGTCTTAGTTAAATCTTACTGCATTACTCACCAAGTAGCGAATTCCCGCCGTAACCCGAGCCGAACGACCAAATCTCCCTCTCGGGTGGGCGATGAGCGATGAAAACGCGATCCGGGTTGCATGGCCAATGGTTGATCACCTTTTCTGAAGACTTGGAAGATAAGATCGTGACACTATACCGGGCATCAGCAGCCAGAGCCCAAGGCCCGGTTTCACCAAATTTTTAGCATTTAGCATTTCGCATTTCGCATTTAGCCTTTACCTTTAATTAGAATTAATTAGACAAATACCAATTTAGCATCTAGCAAATTTGCTAAAAGCTAAATCGAAAAAGCAATTTTGCTAAGTTTAGCTAAATTTGTGAAACCGGGCCCAGATCTGGGTAATGTAAGTACCCTGGCTTCCTTGTACCAGATACAGGTACGGTTCTTTGTCTAAACCCTGGAACCGAGATACGACCTTGCATGCTGCTGTATCCGAGCCCGTATTTCGTGCTCTACTGTGAACGTACGTTTGACGGGTCTCGGCAATCCGACAGAGTGGATACAGCGGGTGAAATCCTGATCGCCCATAATGTCGAACACTTCCGACGTGACACGCGTCATGATACGCATCGAGATCACCACGTAGTTCGAGTCGGTCAGCTGAAAGCAGCGGATTTATTTAGTTTAAAGTTTAAATAGGGTTTCCAGGAATTTTGGGACATTTGATACGCGTCTCGCCCCCTTTTGCCATTGGTAATCCAACTTTGAGCTCAAATAACTTGGTGTGGAGCTGTCCAATTGAAATAGTTTTTGTATCAATCGACAGAGAAAGACTGACGCATCCAATGATACCAAGAGTATTTAAATTGGACAGTGCAACACAAAGATATTTGAGCTCAAAGTTATGGCAATAGCAAAAGGGGCGGGACGCGTATCAAATGTCCGATAACCTTCTCAAGTGCTTGATCTATATAGCAACTATCCAGGATTCTATGTATCTGATGCATAAAATTTACATATAAAATAAAACTTCACTACCTATCCAGCTCACCTGAACACCGATTTTTGAGAGTGGCCCACCGAGAGGACCCATCGAGAATGGGACAACGTACATGATGCGACCTGGAAAATCGGGATTTAGACTCTTTAACCCAATCGAACTGATCTATTAATCATTTTCATTTCTTCTGGTGCGTCTCTATAGAATTTCAAGCACAAAGTATACCTCAATTTTTAAATTTCACTTTGTACCCCCCATTTCAAACATTTCCCCATTTCTTTCTCCAAATCAACAAACTTATCAATTTTCTTCTCATTTCTCTTTTGCACGGAAAATGCGTAAACAAGTGCCGATTTGCGATTTTGGAAAGAAACAGTAAAATTGATTGCACAAAACGTGTGGTAAACAAAAAAAAACTTGGTACTTTAGAAAAAGCGATAGGAAAAATATCTTTATTGTTAACCAGCTAAAAGCCAGAGTTTTAGCAAAGATTCTAGTTTTATCTTACAATTATATTACCACTTTCACTCACCAGCCATGCATCCGGGGAAACGCGAGTCCAACTCGTCACTCATATCTTCGGGTGACATCCAGTGACCCATAATCGGATCGACACCATCCGGCGTGTGGCAAACCGTATCGTACTTGTCCCGGGTGACCATCCACGTCTTCGACTCGACACGGGCCACATCCTGAAAAGGAGTGCTTTGGGAAACCCAACTTTGATCAATCAACAAGGTGTAAATGCGGTTCCTGTGGTCATACTGTAACCAGTACCTAGATCTCTAGCTAATATTAGCCTGATGAATAAGTCTTTTCGTTCCTTTTCGTACTTCCGTTGAAAAATAAAAAATTCACCAATTAACCTATGATTTGCTCTAAATAGAAGTATTTCTATGGTTAATAAAGTGTTTATTGTTCAATTTCCCATCAATTCCGGTTCCATTTCAAGCAAATTCGAGAGTGAAAACACGTGTTTTTCGTAAAAATCTATAAAAACCTCTACAAAGAGATTGGCTGAATGAATTTCTCTGAAAATTTGGCTATACGCCTAACTTTTTGTGCTCTATCTTTTATCTATTGACACGAAGATAGGTTTCCTTAGCTAAATTGTCTAAAGCACATCATCGAGCCGTCGCCCTTTTCGACTACCCGACTTCACGATTCCAAAAAAATCCAGACATAAGACATTTAAAACCCTTTTTAATGTTATTTTGCAAAAAAAATAATTGCCCTTTCTAATGAAACAAGCCGTAGTTCAATTGGTGCATTTGTTGGTTTTAAACGGAAGTACGAAAAGGAATGAAAAGACTTATTCACCAAACTAATACATGCCCAGTACAGGGCCTGAGGCCTGCATACCTTTGGATCAGTTCGGCAGATGTAGTTATTCTCGTAGGCTTTCAAAGGGGACAGCATTCCCCTTTCCACCAGCTTATCGATGATCTCGTCAGCCTCGTGTTGAGTCCCATCACAGATGTAGATGCCTGAGATGAAAGTTGTGGATATTGATAAAAAGATCGAAGATTTGCTTATCAAAGAATAAAAGTGCTATAAAATACCTCGTGGGCGCATCAATTCGGCTTTCTCGGCGACGAAACGTTGCACTTTCGGCGGGAGAAGATGGAAATCGCCCTATAACTCAAAATTGCTAGATTTTTGGTTACTGTAGCTAAACTAGTTAAAGTACTCTTTACACTTTTGCATGAGATTCTATTAAAATTCTATCATATTCTAATAAATCTCAAGACAATCTCAGCCCCTTTGATTGTACCCAGACAGTCTTTTTCAGCGCTGTTTACGTGAAAATGTTTCCCTTTTTTGTGACCAATCAACTTCCCCTTTTTCTTTTCCCTTTTTACATGGCTATCTTTATTTTTGTCCTCTTAATTCAAGGACATGTGAGGGGAAGAGCGCACAAAAAACAATAGCTTTCTTTTTTCTGTTTTTATTCTTTGATCGCACGGGATAAATAAAATAAACAAACCTTATGAATGGGAATGTGTCCCAAACGCTTGATCACCACCTCGTTCACCACATAAAAGGCGTCCTCGGAGATCTAAAACGTTGAATATTTTATCTAACTTGAAAATTTCTCTATAAACTTTAAGCCAAAATCTCAATCTCAAGCTCAAGAAGTGCTACAGCTATTTAATAAAATTCTATTTTATAATTTTAAAAGATAGCACTCAGCTTGCTAAAAACTTGCTTATAAAATAAAAAATATTCAATTTTATAAAAAAAAGTACCTGTCGCAACGATGAATGCCCGGGTTGGGTAGATTTGAACGGTTTCAACTCGGATGGATCCACCGACATTTTTGGTCAATAAGTTTCAAGTTTTTTTCCTGGAAATAAGAGCGTTTGTTTATTGAATTTAAGAATTTATTGAAACGGAAAAGAAATGAAAAGATGTTTTTCACAGGGCAAAGATTGCTCATCGGGTGGCAATAGAAGCGGAAAATATAGATAAATCACGCGGGGGTGAAAAAATGGGAGAAGCACACAAAAAATGATTGGAAAAAGAGTGTGGAATATGAGTTTTCCAAACCGATTTTAACGTAGCAAACAAGAAAATGTTTTCTTTATTGCACGTCGTTAACAAAGTAGTTTTTTAACATTTTCGTAAAATAGAACCCTTCTTACTTTTGAATCAGTTAACAAACTTCAATCTTAAGCTAAAAATTGAACAGGGTCCAAGAAAAGCTAAGCTTTACTATTAAAAAACTTGAAAACACTCAACTAGCTGATGTCAATGTTCAAATATCCAACAAAAAGAGCACGCTGACCAAAGAATCTTTGAGAGGAAAGGAAATGGGCTAGGTGTTTGTCTCGATCAAACGATGAAAACGAACAGCCTGATCCTGGGCTGTGGCACAGGGTAATGGAGGAGTCAGCGGTTGGACTGGAGGGCTGTTTATTTGTCTCCCCACATTTATTTCAATCTTTTCACTCTCTAGAAATATCTCGATCTATCCCGGGAAAGCAACGAAATGCGAACAGAAAACGTTTTCTGATTCGAGTGATAAAGATTTGTGGAGAGACATCGACCAAGAAGCGAGCAGTGATCGGTGATCAGTTGGAGAGAAATTAGAGAAATGTGGCAGATCGGCAGACCTTTTCCCGACAATTCACTCTTTGATAAAAAACAAGACCTGTGTGCCCAACGGGTGATCCAATGACCTTGACCATCAGATCGATGATAGAGAACATTTTCGAAGTACCAAATCTGCAAGAAAGACCAAAAACCAGCAACATATACAATAAGTAATCAATGACCATGACCTAAATATAGTGTCTGTCTTGCATTTGCTTTAGATTTTGAAAATTTTATTCAAGAACCCTAACCGATAAAGTGATATCACTGGACTAAAAAAGAAACAAGCATAAAAATAAATACATTTACAAAACGGAGACAAAGACATGACATGACGTTTAAAGGCATCAAGAACAGAACCGGAATGTGTGTGCAACAAATTGTTGCCTTTCGTCCTTGGCGATTTACTTGTTTTGATCTTTGCGGTTTGTTTCGCCATTTTGAGCGTTTGTCACAATCTTGCGCGAGTCGCCCTCGGGATGCACGTGCTTGTGATCCTTCGCGTCGCTCCTACAATGAAAAAAATTATGAAAAGGCCAGGAAGAAGTACAGTTAACCCTTTTGGTTTTTAAAACATTGGCTAGCTTGTTTACGTTAATCAATAGATTAAAAGCTCACTTGGTCCTCTTTCCGCCTTTGTTCTGCACGTCCGGTCCGCCATCTTTCTCAAACTCGGCGGCCATTTGCTCAGCATTTGACGACATTTTCGCAGATATCTAAAGAAGGGAAATTAGAGTGCAATCGAAAAACTAGTAAAAAAATATAAAGAAACGCAGAAATGATGTTCAATAGATATTTCCTCGGGTTGTGCAACTAAAACTACGAACTTTGAGTGGCTGTCAATCCGAAATGCTTGATAAGCAGCGGAATTCTAGAATCGATCTGTTACCATTTGGTTTCAAACAAATAAAATTAAATCGTAGAGAAATAGAAGCAGCTTTATCATTACTTGAATCGTTTCAAAACGCCAAAATTACGTACAAAAGCAATGGATATCGTCATCTCGGTAAAGTTAAAGCAAAAAGACTCTAGGATTCATCAAAATTTTGTAAAAAACTTCGCAAAAACGATAAAATCTTGACAAAATGTGAGCCAACTGTTTTTCTCTGATCATTTCGCAGCTACTCGTGTGCTGAGAAAACAATTTTTCACGGGAAAAGTGAGTTTTTGCCTTGCATCTCTCAAAAACTTCCTAAAACTTCCTAAAACTTCCTAAAACGTTCAAAAACGCAAAAAATTAAAAAAAAATGAAATTGTTTGAAGAAAACGGATTTAGGCACAGCTTAATATACTTTTATCTTGTGGAAACAAAAGGTATAAAATCTTGTCAAATAAACAACTGAATATCATTTAATTGTCGGAATCGATTATCGATCTGACTTTTGGAAGTAGGTTAGTTTCCGCCATTTTATTTGCGCAACTCGCCATAACTTTCTTCTAAGTCGACCAATCTTTATGTTTTTGGTTTCATTTTGTAGATCTCAAGAAGTGCAACAAAATGAAACCAAAAGCATAAGGATTGGCTGACTTAGAAGAAAGTTATGGCGAGTTGCGCAAATGACCCAGTTGACAAACGACTAGGTCGTTTGGCTCGGCATAACTTTCTTCTAAGTCGACTAATCTTTATGATTTTGATTTCATTTTGTAGATCTCAAGAAGTGCAACAAAATGAAACCAAAAGCATAAAGATTGGCTGACTTAGAAGAAAGTTATGGCGAGTTGCGCAAATGACCCTGTTGCACAAATAAAATGGCGGAAATTAGCCTACCCCGACTTTTGACTTGTTTACTTTCTTTTTTTCACAAAACCGCGCATGATTTCGAATTAAAGTTGCCAAAACGGGGAATTTGGGGGAAAGAAGCGAGCTGGATCGATCGATTCGCGCTAAAAAGGTAGAATAGGGGAAATTTGGCGATTTTCGAATGGGAGAGCGCGAATTTCAAATGTGAAAAGCCGTGGAATTGATGTGAAGTTTTTCGTAAAAGATTGCGATTTTTGATGAATTTTGCCATAAAACGGCCTGCAAATAGTACTGCGTGATTTTTTTGATTAAAGAAAATGCGAAAATGAGCAACTTTCCGTCTTGAAAAGGAGTTTTGAGTAAAATTAAATTCAAAAAGTTTGAATCTTTGAGTTATTTTCAATATTTGATCAACATTTGGTAGAACGATGATCTTATTGATGTGTTTTGCCACTTGCTCAAGCATTTGGGTAACTAAACCAAACGGTTAGCAGAAGCTTTTCGAAAGCAATCCATCAAACTACAAGTTGGATATTAATTTGTATCGTTCTATTGTTTTCCGCATAAAGTTTTCGTAAAGTACTTGAGTTCTTTTTAAGTTATGCAACGTTTTTTTCATTTCTTAACTTTCTATCGTTTTTAAAGTTTAACCTGTACTTTATTTAGGAATGAAGAAGATGGGGAGGAAAAGGAAACAAACAAACGATCAAAAGATGGAGCCGATTTTGACGGAGAACTCCAAAGGGTGGGAAATTTTCGTGAAGTAAATCAGTTTTAGTTGAAGTTATAGTTATTATTAGGGTGAACCAAAAGTTTTCTATTTTTTTTAATCAAAACTTTCAACATAAATAAAACAACAATGAACGAACTCTAAGCTTCGAAATAATGACCATTCGAATCTATGACTTGAAGCCATCTATCGGCAAGTTGGTCGATCCCGCGGCGGTACCACTCCTTGTTCTTAGAGGCGAAAAACTCGCGGCACCCTTTTTTGACTTCGCCCAGATTGTTGAAGGCTAGTCCGCGAAGCAAGCATGGAGCGAAGCATGGAGCGGAAAAGATGATAATCGGATAGTGCAAGATCCGGACTGTACGCTGGATGTGGAAGAAGTTCAATTGAGTCGAGATTTTTGATCTTTTCCTTGGTTTGTCTAGCGGTGTGTGGTTTTGCATTGTCCTGCTGAAGGACTATGCGCTTTCGATTGACCAAAGCGGGATATTTTTCGCATACATCCGGTCAAGTTGGGCGCAGTAGAGATTTGCGTCGATGTTCCGACCATTTGGAACTAGCTCAAAGTGGATAATGCCTTCGAAATTCCACCAAACACACAGTAATGCCTTCCTTGAGAATCGATCAAGTTTTGCTACCGGTTCCGCTACTTGCCCGGGATTCAACCACTCACTTTGCTTCTCCGGATTACTAAAATAGACCCACTCTTCATCACAAGTCACAATTCGGAGAATAAAGCGGTCATCGTGCGGATTTTCCAGCAGTTTTCGGCAAGTGTCTACACGATTTTGAGCTTAATTTTCCGTTAAATCATGTCGGCAACTTCTCGGCAGCTTTTGTTGATCTTTCCAAGGGCATGAAGGTGCCGGATAACTGATGTTTGAGGAATATCCAGTTCAGCGGAGAGCCTGGTGGATTGGCTTCAACAGCGTTGCGTAGAGCTTCAGAGTCCACAGTAGTTGACCCACCCAAACGTGGCTGATCTTCGAGACCAAGTTCGCCGTTCTTAAATTTTCGTTTCCAATATGTTGGAGATCATTCCTTCACCTTCCACTTGGCATATTTTTTTTGGCCGCTTCAGTTGCATTGAACCCTTGTTTCCAATAATGGCGCAAAAGTACCCGAATTTTGAATTTTTCCATCTCTTTCCTACAAAGTAAAAAATTAAAAATAAATAGTTAAACACACGATAACTTAGTAAAATATGAAAGAGCAGATCAAATGCTACAAAATAAATATGGTACATATATATAAAACGAATTTATTAGTTTTAAAAAATTGTTCAAACTTAAAGAGAAAAAAAATAGAAAACTTTTGGTTCACCCTAATATATACAACGATTTCTTAAATTTTGCGATTTCAACTTTCCACCCCGTCCTTTTCCCTATTGAGCGCCCCACTTTGAAAAAAGACCGGCAAAATGGGATTTTCAAAGAATTTAGCAGGGTTTTGCTTAAATATTTCTTAAAATTGTCAGAACAGGGAAAAGCAAGAAAAATGTTGCTATTGATGATAAAATACACCCTAATGAGTGACTTGTTTTAAAAACGTTGTGAACATCTCTAAAACTTTTACCATCACATTTGCACAAGATGTTGCGTTATTAGTGCGGAAAATTATATCGAACAATGAGAAACATACGTGAATGATTTTATTATACACGAAGGCTTTCGGGTGATTTTATTAGGTTGATACTTATTTTAAGCAAGAAGTTGTTGTTCTTCTAAACATTCCATCAAACATTTCAGCTTGTTTTTAACAATCTAACTACTAAGCTTTACTCAAAAGTGTAATGAACTAAAAATGGTTTGTGATGCCAAGAATTTGTTTCGGGATCGTGTCCTGTTCCTACAAAACAAGCAATCTATTTTCTTTTAGAAAGGTGTCTTTCGCGGAGAAGCTTTCAAGATTGGATTGGCGTGACATTGAACGTGGCGATTTCAACAAGGAAATCCGTTTGGACCTTTCGGATCGCCTCTTTAGCTGGGAGAAAGTCGTGAAAGGTGAACTAAAAAGTGTCTCTAGTTTGAATTTGAGTGAGTAAACCAGGTCTTAAGTGAAAGAATCTTTATCAGGCAAGAGAATAAGCTTGTAGGTTTGTAGTCCAATGTTGTTAGTTTAAAATGCCTCCAAAAAGATTCTGTTTTGATCACTATCATTTAGATGGTGACAACGCGATCATACCGGCTTTCCACTTTCAACACCCCTATGCCCCCTTGATGGAAGATTTCTGCCAACATCTAGGAAAACTTGTGGTAAGTTTTAGTCCCTAAATCCCTAAAGACGTGGCCCAAAGCACCCAATTTGCCCGTCATAACCTAGAGCCTTAAAGATTTTTATTCATAAGTGTCCGTGAGTGCAAAGAATGTAGCGAACAGTAGGGTTTTTTTAAAATTAAATAGCTTTTTTTATTGATCACGATATCTTTTTTCAGTTCTCTTTGCGTTGGTCGACTCACAAAATGAAAGACACGGGCGAGCCGGTTGGTGTCTTTTGGCCAGTGATTGTACACGAGGTAAAACTCTCCAGTTTACGCGTTTCATGTAGAATTTTAGATTAAAGGATTATACCTTCGAGTGCAATTTTTCGGGGACTCGGATGAGGATTTGGACGAATTGTATTGGGTGAATTTGTTATCCGAGGAATTGAAACCATTTGACGGGTAAGGAAAATGCAAAAATGTTACGCCTTATAAAACATGTTTAGCGATTTGAAAGCGCTCCTTTTCGTCGCTCCTCCACACATTAAAAAGACGATGGGATTGGTTAAACTTGAGGATCAAGTCGCTTATCTCGAAAGAAATATGGTTAGTTGTTTTTTTGTTTCTTATATTTCTTTTTAGGAAGGTTTGGAATTGATGCAAACCCCCCAATCTTTTCTCAAAAAGCGCAAGAAAATGCTTTGTGGCAATAAATATCGGGTGAGCTTAGAAACTGTAGAATTCAAAGCACTCCAATGTGTTTCTTTAGCTCTTTTTGGTACTTAACGACAGTTTTAGGAGGGTGAACGCGTCGAGCTTTTGGACAATCTGAATTCGGATCGTGTTCGTGTGGCCGTGGTTCAACAAGTGCGTGGACGTCGAGCTAATTTTAAAGTGGTTTTTTACTACTTGTTGTAAACTTTCCACATTCAGGTGTTGTCTGAATATTATGATGTTGACGCGGATTCAAGGAAAAACGACGAAGATCGACAGGTACCAAAGCAAAGCAAATTTGAACGGAATATCTTTCAGTATGAAACTGATCACACTTGGATCGACGAATCATCACCACTCATTTTCCACGTCGGATGGGCTGCACTAGCGGATTATACATTGGAAGTGAGCGACAAGGCAGACTATCGAGACCATGCACGCCGGGTAGCGCAACATATTGATCAGGTTGGTTGATTTTTGTTTAATTAAAAAACTGGGGAGTTTTTGATGTTTGACTCGATTATAACAACCATTCAATTTTAGAAAAAATCCCTAAACTACTTCGCTGATGATGCCACTTTGTCCAAAACGATGAGCGATTGCAGATCTGATCCAAAATATGTGAGTTTTTAAAGGAAATGTGGTGAGATTTTACCTTAACCTACTTATACCATTTTTTCCAGGAAGACTTTCAAGTCGGTATGAAACTCGAATTTCTCGATTGGCTCGACGCTGATATGCTGAACTGTCTCAAAGTTGGCACGATTATTAAAATTTTGCCGGTAAGTTTCTGTAGGATTGTTTAAGATGCCAATCTATAGCACTATTACGGTAAACTAATCGCAACATTTAGAACAATTACCTATTGATTGAAAGTGACGAAGGAAAGCGCGACGATGTGTTGCCCGTTCACGCGAGTTCCGCATACATTTTTCCGCCTGATTACGCCTACAAACATGAGATTCCGCTTTTTGATCCGCAAGCTAAAAAGGGTTTGGAAATTTATTGCTTTTAAAAGTAATCTCCTTGTTTAGCGGTTAAAAACTTTAACTGGAGCGACTATTTGGAAAGGACGAAGTCGAAGCCAGCGCCGTCATCGCTTTTTCACGAGACTCCCGAAATCCGAAAGTTGGAGGAGATTTTCCCGGTGAGTGACGAATTCTTGGATTTTACGATTAGTGATTTTAGATTGGTTCTCATCTTGAGGCATCATGTCACAACGAGTCGCACCTCTACTTTCCGTCAAAAGTGAAGGCGATTCACGGACGACTCATCGAAGTCCAATACCTTGGCTACTCTGAGGAATACACTGAGCTTTTCGATTACAAGTTGGTTTTAGTGTTTTGACAGTCTATCACTAAATTAAAGCAATCAGAATGAGAAGTTCAAATAGAGCTCTAACTTTATTGTTCAAAAACCCCCTAAGCAGTTACACAAATTCCATGAGCACGAAATTAAAGCAATCTAGAATGAAAAAACCTGAAGTTCATATTAAAATCTAAAAGGATCGATATGTTTGCTGTTTAAAAAGCACGAGATTAAACAAAGATTCAGTAAACAAAAGCTATAGCACACTTAAAAACAAATAAACTTGAAAAATCTAACATTCCCGAGCTAATGTGGTTGTTGTTTTCAGAAGTTCCGATTTGTTCCCAGTTGGACACAGTGAAGGTTTTGGTTTAACGCTTCTTGCCCCCCAAGACAAATAACGATCTCATCAACAAAAGAATATTATATTTCATATGTTTTCATATTTATATCGTTTTCTTTTATGAAAGCCCTCTATTTTGATAAAAGTTCTGTATTTTATTGGCCTTTTGAATGGAGTAAAAAATCTTAACGTGTGGGAAATGAGAGAAAAATGCTTTTTGGTCGATCAAAGAATTGAATAACGAAACAATATACAAACTTTTATCTAATTTAATATACCTAATATGGAATTTTATCTAGTTTAATGCGTCTCAAGACAGGTTTAAACGGAAAAGTACTGTAATTAGATTTTCAGTGCACTCTCCCGATCAATTGGTGGTGTCATTTCCAAGGCTGGAGCTCAGTTTTCACCAATTTCCCCCTCCCCCTTTGCCCGCACATCTGTTCTCATCATTTCCAATCTTGTTGTGACTTCAACGCAGCCAGCTACAACAATGCGGAGTCAAATTTCGAGCATTAATCTACGAATTGAATTTGAACTTTTAGTCCTCGGGAGTGTAGAAAGTTCTGAGTTAGTTGTGTAGATGGATTTTAAGGCCTGTGCTTTAAGGGAAGATAAGGCATCAAAAATATCCGATATTTGTAACTGCTTTAATCTCAAAGATCGAGGTGAAAAGGGTGAAGTGGGGGCACAAAAGTGTTGCGCAAGTTGGAAAAGGTGCCATTTTGTGAGGTCTGTAATTTTCTACCGATCACCCAGTGTCAAAACGGGGATGAGACAAAGGGACATTTAATCCGATTACGGTAGAGACTCTTGACGAGAAATGATGAAAAGGGGGATCTTTTGATGAAAATGGATGAAAGATATCTCAAGGGGTATTATTGGGAGAAAAGGGGTGATGTGCCGGACAAAGGCTGTGATTGATCGACACCCTCACTCTTTCACAATTCAACAGGGTTACTTAAAAGGCGATTTCTTTTGGACAAAGTGAAAGGTCTTTGACTTGATTCTAGCTAGATCTAGCTTTGCTTGTTTCCATGGGCACAGGTCTGGTCTGATTTTCGACTTTGTCTCCTGGCTGTCTCTTGGCTGTCTCCTGGTTGTCTCTTGGTTGTCTCTTAGTTGTCTCTTGGCTGTCTCCTGGTTGTCTCTTGGCTGGTTAACCCTTAAAAAGGCAATGGCCTTAGGCTTTAGGCTTTGGTTGAAATTGCATTCACTACATTTGTAATGATTTTTTGCGAAAAAGAACTCTGATTGTTGATAGTTGATTGCTGATTGTTTAATTACAACCATCAACAATCAACAATCAACAATCAACAATCAACCTCAACCATCATTTCTACATTTCTCCCTTAAAAGTAATTCAAAAGAGTTTTCTTTAAAGAAATGGTGGATAAATTTTGGAATAGATAATGGAAATGGAAAACAATAGATTTGTTAGTTTAGAAATATAATAGGAATAATAGCTAGCCTCTTTACTCCAGAAATCTTCATTCATTGGTGATTGCTTTCTTTGCATTGATTCCATGATTCATGATTCATTCATTGAGAGACAGGCATGTGTGCGGTCTATAGAATCTATAGACAAGTTTGAAGAAAAGGGGATCGTAAAATGGGTTAGAAGAATTCCTTCCCCAAACCCCCGTTTGCAGACTTTTTCTGATCGCGTGACTCGGTTACTGTAACTCATATAAAGGCTGCCGTAATTGAGTAGTTAGATTGACCGGCTACGGTAGTTGTGCCACGCTTTGAAAAGCAGTGGGGATGTTGTTAGAAAAAGTGGGGATTATTGTTAAAAAAGGACCACAATAGAAAATGTTCAAAACAATACCGTCAAATTTCTCAAAGTCCAAAAAAGCAAGCCAAACCGGCTCAAAAAAACCGGCCAAACCGATTCAAAACGATTCCTTGTGTTCTTGACTACATGATGGATGAAACAGTTTTTAAAAAAGTTAATATTTAATAGATAAAAAGAGCGCTCAATAGACTTGCTTATCGATAAAAACACGGAAAGCTTATGTTTGACCATGAAACAATTTTCAGATTGATAGCTGTTCTAGAAACCGTGATCTGAATGGTCAAACATAAGCTTGACCATTCAGATCACGATTTCTAGAACAGCTATCAATCTGAAAATTGTTTCATTGGAAAGCCAAGAATGTCAGCTTTTGATTCCTGTTTTATAAATAGGGACTTTTAATGCTTTCTAAAGATATTCCGTTAATCAACTGAGTATCACTCGATACACTCGATACACTCTTTAAGCGCTTTTTTATCTATTAAATATTAACTTTTTAAAAAACTGTTTGTTTCAATTCGTTAACTGAATATCTTTATATCTTGTTTCATTTGGTTAACCGAATATCTTTATATCCTGTTTGAATTGGTTAACTGAACATCTTTAGAGCTCTTTTTATCTATTGGGTTGGGGAGAATGAGTCGGCGCCGAAAATCAAAAAAATGTGTAAAACTTCTATTCGACTTCGTCAAATAATATGCGTTTGATATGAGTAGAATGGTTAACTAATTCTCTACAAAATGACATTTAAAAGAAAATTCAAACAGCGCCTCCGCTCAAGAAAAAGCCATTTTTTCACAAAAACTACAAACTGTCATCTAGAAAAAACCATTGGTGGGGTCTTCCTGCAAATTTGGCAACTTAAGTAATTGAATGTGCTCTATCTTTTTTATATAAACACCAAAGAAGGTTTATGTGAAAGAAACTGTTCAAATGATGAGTCGGACTCTTTGCCATTTTAACCAGCTGCGTTTGGAAGTTCATAAGCTCCACGAAAGAAAAGCTTTGTGGAATCTCTCAAAAGTGATTTTGTAGAGAAATAGTGGATCCTTTTGATGAAACCAAACGTATGTTTAAAGAAGGCTTTATGTGTGCAAAAAGTCCCTTTAAAGTTCGGCGCCGACTCATTCTCCCCAACCCAATATAAGATCAAATTTTTTGAAAAAACGTTTCATTCATCATGTAGCCAAGAATGCAAGGAATCTTTTTGAATCAAACCGGCTTGGTTTTTGGATTGTGAGAAATTTGATGACGTTGTTTTGAATATTTTCTATTTTCTTTTGAACATTTTCGATTCTGTACTGTTTTAACAACATCCCGAAAAGCTATTTGTTTTTCCGAAACCCTAAAAAAACCAAAAACCATTAACCCAACAGTTTGCGATTTCTAATAATACACAACGTTTTGATTGTTTAGCGTTTACGGTTAAAGCAGCGTTTACCTTAAACTGTTTTTGCTAGATATTATTATGATATTTTCCAATAAATGCATCCAAAATGTAGAAGAAAAGAGACGATAAACGGAGAGGGATAGGGTGCTATGAATGGGTGGCAGATTCACAACAGCACCATTCATCGGAGAAGAATAATGGCACCCTTATAGAGGGTCCAACCAGTGAAAAGAACCTTTTTTGACAGAAGATCGACAGAAGATTGTCTTTCCGAGAATCACAATAAATTGATCTTTAGATTGGATGCCAATATTTCATAGATGAATGAGCGTGAATGGTTAGAATTTTTGGCACTGTAGAATGTCGAAAAATATAGCCTAGATCTGTTCCCTGAATCCGTTCTGTTCTGTATCATCTAGTGACCTAAAATGAGGCTGAGATCTAGTCTGAGATGGCCTAAAATTAGTATACTGTTTGAAAATATCTTCATATATGTTTTTAGCATCTTATACCAGTTGAGAATTTTTTTTATCTTATTTTTTTTAGGCTCACTTTTTATCCCAAAGAAAAATGGGGACCCTCCTGCAGACTAATTTGCATAAATTGGCCATCAAGCACTTATTATGTGAGGAAGAAGATATAGAAATATTGAGAGAAAAAGAAAAAAAGATATCAAAGGGGAAAAGGGTTGATTATGGATTGGGATCTCGTTTTTTTCTTTGTCTTAGCCTCGGCTGTCTTAGCCTTTTTTAGCCTTTACTTGGGTGGGATACTGTAGATATTGAATTAGATCTTGAGTTCTGGATAGGAGTTATCCTAGATACTTGTTATAGTCAATATTGTGTCGTTTTGAGTTTGGTATCGACTTAGGGCTTAGGTTTAAGTTTGGCTCAATTTTCGGGTGGTTCAAGTTTTGACCTGACTCGGTTTAGACACTTTAGCTAAGGAAACCTATCTTCGTGTCAATAGAGAAAAGATAGAGCATAAAAAGTTTAGTAGTTGGCTAAAAGTTGACTAAAAAGCCATTGATGCATTTAAAATCCCTGCTCAAGCAAATGTATCATCATTTCACCAAAGAGCACCGTATAAATGATCCCACTCTCGTCCCCCTTTTCCCATACGGGACTAATTTGCATACCACTTCTCCCATCGCCAACGCTATTTCCCCACTCGACCCAAATTCTCCTTTCCCTGCGATCACCTAGCAAAAGCCAAACCAAATTCAAGAAATATATTGGAAAGACAAACCAACAGAAGAATTCAGGCTACAGTACACCTTTACTGACTGTAAACTTACCGTATACAGTCTGAAGACCTACAGTACTGGACAATGAAATATCATATTTGAAAAAAACTCTTTCGCACTTTCGCGCGTCTGTAACACCCTTGTCTTTGAGTTTAAACTATTAGCTCCTGAGCTCCAGAGCTCCAGAGCTCCAGCTCCAGCTCCAGAGTTCCAGAGTTCCAGGGCTCCAGCTCCAGAGTTCCAGAGTTCCAGCTCCAGAGTTCCAGAGTTCCAGCTCCAGAGTTCCAGAGTTCCAGCTCCAGAGTTCCAGAGTTCCAGCTCCAGAGTTCCAGAGTTCCAGCTCCAGAGCTCCAGCTCCAGCTCCAGAGTTCCAGAGCTCCAGCTCCAGAGTTCCAGAGTTCCAGCTCCAGAGCTCCAGAGCTCCAGAGCTCCAGCTCCAGCTCCAGAGTTCCAGAGTTCCAGCTCCAGAGCTCCAGAGATCCGGGGCTCCAGAGTTCCAGAGCTTCAGTAGCTCCAACTCCAGAGCTCTATTAGCTCCAGCTCCAGAGTTAAGTTACTTAGTTAAATCCTATCCTCGAAGTACAGTACTGGACAATGAAATATCATATTTGAAAAAACTCTTTCGCACTTTCGCGCGTCTGTAACTCTCTTGTCTTTGAGTTTAAACTATTAGTGTTATACATTTTTTGAAAGCTCTTTTCAATGGCTACACAATGGTAATATTAATATTTGGAAATACGGTAAAGACAAGGGAGTTACAGACGCGCGAAAGTGCGAAAGAGTTTTTTGAAATATGATATTTCATTGTCCAATAGTGTATATTAATCAACACAATATATTATTGTGTTTATTCAAAAATAGGTTAATATTAATATAAACCTATATAGGTTAATATTAATATTAACATATATAGGTTAATATCAATATTAACCTATATCTTTATGTCTCCTCAAAATCTCTAAAACAATTATTTTTGTTCGCTTTCCAATCGCATAGCTAGATCCCTTTTTTCTGAAATCCATTGTTTTCTCACCGCTAAAATCTTGTCCCGTATCCTTTTTGAAGTCTCCCGCATTGTTGTTGACTTTTCTACAAGAGATTTGACCCTGGGAACCTTTTTTTTTGTTTTTGAGATCAGCTTAGTCATCACCTTGTGAAAATCCAATCCATGAAAATCCAACCCTAGTTACATAAATGCAAATTGGGTCAATTGGATGTAAACGAGAATTTTCCCCATTTTTCCCATTCGCCCCTGCCAGCAATTGAAAAATTTTATTGCACAAGCGGTGGTTCTTTTGAAAAATTTCAAGAGGCCCTATTGTTTTTGAGTTCGTCGTTCAAACTCAGCTTTTATTAGGGTCTTTAATGGATTTTTGGCTTTTTTGTCAATTCTGGATGTCAGTGCAAAGTTTGGGACGAGTTTTAGGGCATCAATTTTCAATTGTCAATTTTTAAATTCCTAGATTCTTTGGTGATCAAAAAAATCAAAAGTTTTCTATTTTTACATTATTTAGCAGTTTGCACTCAACAATAAACAGATAAAAATTTATTTTTTTCTGAAAATTTCACAAATATACATGCATAAAAGCTATTTGGCGTGGAAAAAATCTCGCAAAAGGAGAGATCAAAAATTTGGTGGGGGAATGGAGACATCTGGGCTTGGGTTCATCATCATCAACTAGGGATGATCAGCTTGCGATCATCAGCTTGGGATCATCAGCTTGGGATGATCAGCTTGAGATCATCAACTTGGGATCATTAACTAGGGATCATCAACTTGCGATCATCAACTTGCGATCATCAGCTTGAGATCATCAACTAGGGATCATTAGCTTGCGGTCATTAACTTGTGATCATCAGCTTGCGATCATCAACTAGAGATCATCAACTTGAGATCATCAGCTTGCGATCATCAACTTCTGATCATCAACTTCTGATCATCAACTTGTGATCATCAACTAGCGACTTGCAACTTAAGATCTTCAACTTGCGACTTTATATAGACATTTTAAAGTGCACCAATATTACCGTAGTCGGTAATGTCGGTCACCAATATTACAAAACTTCAAAAATTTCATTCCATTTCAAAAAAAAAATGACAATCATAAGTCTTCAGGATTTTTGAGTATCTAGTATATTTTGAGTATGCTGATCACGAATTTGAAGTTCTTTTTTCAAAATATTACTTTTAAACATTATTTTTAGCGTTTTAATACATCGCAAGTGACTTCTGAAAGTCGGAAGATGTTTCCAAAAATTCTCAAATTAAATTTCGCGAGATTTTTTTGGTTTTTTGGTGAACCCAAGCCCTGGATAGCATAGAACAATGAAAATTTCAATAGAATTTCAATAGAATACCCATATACCGAACATGGCGGGGGTTACGGTAGCTTTAGAAAATGGAAAACGGAAAACGAAAAACGGAAAATTTGAAAGAAACAAAAAAATCAAAAAATCAAAAAAATCAAAACACCGGACAGTGACATAGAAAAAAAACAAGCTTAAAATAATAAATATATAGAGATTTTTGTGGATAAATATCACAATTGACAAGAGGATATTGGTGCTTTTTAGGAAATCAATGGGATTTACGATAAACGACCCTCAAGAAACATCTTAAAATGGAAATTTTTCCAAAAAATCGAGCACTAGCCGATTATCGTATATCCCGTAAAGTTATATAGATAAAAAAGATGTTCAATGTTAATCCTGGATATCATTTTAGATATTAGAGTAAAGAAATCTTTGATTTTTAAGATATAAGAAATTTTCGAAAAACATGACAAGGGTTTAGGTCAAATTACCCCCAGCAAAACAACGAAAAGTAAGCTTCAAAGCTTCACTGTGAATCATTGAATGGGTAAAGGAGCATGTGTGGCATAGAGAAATTCCTGTGGGTATCCGCCGGGGATCAACATTTCTGGCGCGAATTGCGGTGTCATGCGTTTTTCCTTTTGTCGCCGATTGCAGAACCACACGCGCACCACCTGGAATTTGATTTGGTTTGGAGATTTGGATGTCATTAGATCTGGATCTGGATCTGGATCTGGGTCTGGATCTGGATCTGGACCTGGATCTAGGTCTGGATCTGGATTTGGACCTGGACCTGGATCTGGTTCTGGATCTGGACCTGGATCTGGATCTGGATCTGGATGTCAGCTGTGGATCAGATGTGGATCAGATGTGATGATTTGGATGTCAGATAAAAGCTGGATCTTTTCATTGAACCTTAATTGACCCAGGCTCAGAATTGGCTTGACTTTTAGAGCTTTGAGACAATCCGATTTGATTGTCAATTCAATTCGATTTGATTTGGTCAAAGGCTGATGACCCAGAAGCCAATTTAAATCTGACTTTGACTGGTTTAAGACCTTGTGAGTCAGACAAAGACTGGATTACTGTAGATTACGGTAAAAAAGCGACGATCGGATTACGGTAGCTTTGATAAAAGCGAACTATGGTAACCGAAGCTATTTTTTTGACTAGCTATTTTTAAGCGTACGTAAAGAATTCCCTATCAATTCTATGGTGATAAAATCTTAAACAAATACAGAAAATGATATGTATTTTGATTTTAAAAAAAGAAACTAATCGTTTTGGTTTAAAAATGGCAGAAAAATGAGGCTAGAAAAAAGGCGGGTTGATTTCTGGTCAGATTTTGAAGATGAAGGCTGTTTTGAATGCTGTTTTGAAGCCTATTTTGAAGCCTATTTTAAAGGCTGTTTTGAAGCCTATTTTGAAGGCGGTTTTGATTTTATTTAACAATCTCTAAGCTTTGTTTTCTCACCTCTTTCTCCAAACTCAACTCGTGTGCCACTTGTGAAATCTCTTGTGCATTCGGTTTTTGATTCTTTTGAAAGTGATACTCTAGTCGACTCTTCACTTGAACCTCGATCGATGTGCGCTTCTTTCGCTGAATGATCTGGTATCGATTTGGGGAAATTTGAAGGCTTTTTGACTAATTGAGTAGATAGTACAGTCGATTCTCTCACCTTTCTCCCGCCTTGTCCAGTCATCTTCTCAAAAGCTGAATTCGGTGAAGAGGAGGTCGAATCAGCCTCTTCCAACCATTTGAAAAGCAATGGCTTTAATTTGCACATATTCTAAAATGTATGGAATATAGGGGCATAGCAGTAATCTAGCAGCGATCTAGCAGTGATCTAGCAGTGATCTAGCATCCATATAGCATCCAGACGAGATTTCGAAAATATCTCTTACCTTAAACGATAACTGCAGAGCCTCAAAGCGGCAAATCGTCGTTTGTGAGAAAACATTTCCATAGAGAGTGCCTAGCGCCAATCCAACGTCAGCTTGGGTGTATCTGGAACTCATGTTAGCTAATTGTTTGATTTGACTACGAAAAATATCACTTTTAGATTTGACTTTTAAAATCTGCTGATTAAATTCGTCTTAACTTTTCTGATTTTGAAGTAAACGTGATTTTTGGATGATTCCTGTTGACTAGCACCATTTCCCTTACCCCAATTTTATCCTTCTTTGTTTGAATTGCTTGGCGAAAGCTTCTAAATCGTCGTTACACGTCGTCAACTCGGCGTCATCGGAAAGACTATAAAAAGATTGAGAAATGTTAGCAATAATGAGCAAAAAGAAATAGCTATCGGTTGTAGAAATGGCTATCGGTGGTAGGAATGGCTATCGATTGTAGAAATGGCTATCGGTTGTAGAAATGGCTATACTCAAACAATCCTTATAATAACTCAAAGGACTATTTCTACAACTACCAGATAGATCTCACTAATTTAACTACTAAGTAAGAGCTCACCTCAATTGTGAATTGCTAGCCGTTTCCTCGTTTTGAAAATACGGCCACCCGGCGCTTGGATGCTGTGGGGGTAATCGTTGAATGACGTCACCCCGTTCAGCGTCCACCTGAAATTAGATGCTAATTGAATTAGATGCTAATCTTGTCATTACAACTATTGTCATTACAACTATTGCCATTACAACTATTGTCATTACAATTACCTTTAAATTACAATGTAACAACCTTTAAACTAATTGCCATTACAATACCATTACAATACCATTACAATTCCCTTTAAATACTGCATTAGTACCCCACCGCCCTTGTACAGTCGCGTAGTCGCAGAAAGTTCTTTTGATTTCATTTTTTTCAAAGCATTGAAGAGTTGTCATTACAATTATTGCCATTACAATTACCTTTAAATCACAATGTAACAACCTAAGCATCCGTACTTTCAAATGCGTCTTTGATAAATCAAAAAATAGCTCTGAATTTCAGCTATTGGATACCTAAGCGCACACTATAGCATAAACCAGTGTCGAGAAAAACGCGTTCAAAGCTAGACTACGCAACACTCTGCACCATCATTATAAGGGTGGGGCACGATTACAGTATTTATGGTAGTAGGGGCTTTTTATCTCAGGGCAAGGTGCTTTTTTTGTCTTCCTTTATCCAAAAAAGCGCATCCTGGTTGAGAATACGATGCCGGTTCTGGACTTGAACCTGGTCAACCTACAGGATTTCAATGTAGGTTGACCAGGTTCATTCCTATAAGTTGACCAGGTCCAATCCTGTAAGTTGACCAGGTTCAATTCCTATACGTTGACCAGGTTCAATCCTGTAGGTTGACCAGTTTGGAAGTAACCCTGATTACCAGCCAAACGCGAAATCTTAGATAAATTTCAAGTTTCTAAGGTTTATCCATCAGTTTTAGTTTGAATTTTTCGAAATCTTTAAACTCTTGGATCAATTGGAATTGGTTTTGGTTTTGATTTTCCAATTGCAACATGCAAAAATCGATGAATAGAGCTGGGGGACAGCTACCGTAAAAATGTCCTTAACAAAAAGGCAAAGTGATTGTAAATCTACAGACAACAGAAAGAAGAAGACTGAAAAGAAAGAGAAAGAGAAAGAGAAATTTGTGTGTTCTGTTCTACAAAAGAAAACCTTGAAGGGAATAACCTCGGAAAAAGAAGAAGATCAAAAAAAGAACAAAAAAGAGACATTTCTAGTACCTGTAAATAGAATTTTTGTAGAAAAAAAGAATAAATTTTGGTTTGGACATTGAAAATGTTTCAGCTTTCAGAAAATCGAGAATCAAGTGCACCAGATGGGGTCTATTTGCGAGATTTGAGCACAAAGGACAAGAATACGGAGTTTAGTATGCAAATTTTGGTTGAAACGCGTATGCAGCTTGGTCTTGCAGCTTAGTCTGCACTGCAGAATCTTGTCGAGACTCCAGCTCCTTTTTGAAGGGACCAATTTCAAAGATATTTTGTTTTAAGCTTATCTGGAATGCACACTAAAACTTGTTGTAATTAGATTTTTGATTTATTGAAATTGAATTTTGGACTCGTGCTTGGCTTGGCCTTGCTTGTGCTTGGCCCTTCAAATGTTGGATTGGGATTGGCTTGGACCCAGCTTTTGTCCTCGTTTACAGGCTAGTCCGAATCATTGTTTATGTCCCTATACCTTCTAGATATTCCAAATTTCCCATATTCCACTTTTATTGACCCTGGCCTAGGTCTTAAATTTGACTTCAGCAGAAATCCCTCAAGAAATCCCGACGAAAGCCGTTATGGGGAAGAGAAAGAGAAAGAGAGCAAGAGTGAAAGCAATTTCCGCTTATTTCGGGCCCGCATCCTTCCGGTAGAAGAAGAGAAAGAGTGGAATCAAAGCGATGGAAGAGGACTGGGCCCTGAACTCCCCAAAAGATTTCAACAATTCGACTTTTGACTTTTATAGAGATTAATCTGGGAGGCACTAGAGCTATTTAGTTGCTCAAATCGATATTTAGTTGTTGCTATTTAGTTCATGGTTTTAATTTTAGCTATTTAGTTGCTCACAGGTTCACGTTTAACTTAAATGTAAATTGTCTGACTTAAATACAAAGCTGACAATTGACTCTTCGCTTGGCAATTGTTTATTTAGTAGAGAAATTTCAAAAATAAACGTCTGGACCATTTTTGCGATCTGGCTACCGTAACCGGTGGAGCGTAACCCTCTCCCCTTCCTTGTTTGTCTCTATCCAGCCTTTTTCCTCAGCCGATCACTCCTGTGCCTCCCAGGATTGCCGAAAAGGCGCACAAAAGGGAAACACAGCGATACGGGGGAAATCGAATCGATGCGAGAAAGAGAAGCGAGATGAGGACTGGGTGATTTTAAGGACGACAAGGGGCTCTTTTTGTAAAATGAATGCTCGTGAAAGCGAAACTGGAGAGCACAAGAGGTGATGGTGGACAATTGGGAAACGATTCTCCTTCGCGGAAATGGGCGGTGGTTGAGCGGGTAAAAACTCATTCACGCAACATCCCAAGGAAGACCGGGATGCGCTCGGGATTTCCAAGCCAAAGAATGGGTACGGTAAAGGGGGGAAAAGGAGATAAGAAATAGATGAATGAAAATTATCGAGCTAGAAAAGAGATCAGACCCACCTTGATATCGGTTTGCATGATCGGGCCAGGTTGAGCCAACGGATTGAAGCCGAACTGAAAGCAAATGGATGATGGATGATGAATATCATAAGTTTAACTATAAAATTCGATATCTACGCATAAAATTGCCCTAGAAAGTGTTTTTAGAAAGAAAAACATTTCTTTAGCACAAGAAATCAATGTGTACAAATGATTTTTCGCAAAAGAATCGGCTTTTTTATAATCTTATTACAGGAGTGTTTTCTAAATTGCAACTGTCTGCAAAATGCGCCATTTGGCGAGGAAGCTACAGTAACCCGAGTATAAAATCAAAGCAAAAAATTTCTTTTTTCTCCTGTCAGCGAGTTTTTAATTCTGTTTTCTTTTTGTTTTTCTTTCTTGCCAATTTTCTTTTTCTTTTTTAAACTTTAATGTGTTTCTTTTTAGGGTTGGCTTGATTCCAATAGCTTTCAATGGACCTGAAGCTGTTCTTGCTGGTCGCGCTTTTGTGATCGTGAATGCGGATATGGGGAGCGTTGACTACGCCGAGGAGGGATCCGCCTTTATGGTTAGTTTATTTTATTTTGCAAACTTGGTTGTAATAACTACCTGCACCTATGCTAGTAAAGAGCAAGATTTGAACCCAAATTACATTTTGCTGAGTTCAGTCCGCTAGAAAGGGTATGCTTTCAAGTTGTTGAGCACAAAGTACCCAAGCCGAAACTCACGTGCAATTGCGGAGTGTTGTAAGCGGTCGTCCAATCGACGGCATTCGGATGATGCGGGAATAGGAAAGGGAATTGATGTTGATGGGTGGGTTGTGGAGGTGCGTGAGGCACTCCACCAATGGTACCGTAATGACCCCATTCTTGAAAGGTGGTCGCCTCGCATGTCGTCTTGATCACGCCTAACTGAAAAAGTACATTTATTCACCCAAATAATGTGGGATAAACGATACACAAACACAACTCCTAAGCCCTAAATGTAGAGAAGAAAAAACCCATATATATGAAAAAAATAACCAATAATCTATCGGGATCGAACCCTTGACCTCGACTAAGATACGGGGCTTTTAGCCAGTCAGGCATGACGGCAAAAGTGGGAAAAATTTAAAACAGCCGTGTGCCAGAAGGTATAGGATTAAAAAAACGTGAAAATTTTCATGTTTCATGCCGGCAAAAGTTAGTGTGCCATTCAGGAATGTCTCAGAGACCCTAGCCTGACCACAGGCAAGTTCCCCGGACCCACCGTGGATGGTACACTAGATTTTGAGCGCAAAAAATTTCCATGGAAGCGGCTTGTGTTGAAAGAGGTAGAAGCAGGTAAGTAATAACTAAGTTTGTAACAAAATTGTGCTTCCAGGGACACTTCCTGCATCCCCGAAGGCCTAGCCCCAGGGTCCGAGATAGCATTGCCCGCTTCCTATCCTAGTTATCTAAGCCAACTCTAACATGTGTCCCCATCCACGAAATCAAATGCGAATTTAGGCAAAAATAGTCGCAGAGGGGCGGCATTGATGTGGGGAGGGGAGCGAAAACGCCTCAATGAATAAACATTAGGTGAATGGGGGAAGGGTCGAACCCCGAAATTTGCATTAAAAACCTTATGTTGCTCAAACTAACCTGTGGATAGGGTTGCTCGGGTAGATGCACCTCATCAGTCGGCTGGCCACTTTCAGCCGACGGGCAAAGCATTTCTGGATGTCACAGCACAAACGATGATATGAAAGCGGGCTGGGGGGAAGGGCGGGCGGAGAGCACCCCCAGCTACAGTAAAAAGCCGATTCGCTGGTCACGCCCCTTTTGCGGTGACTCTCGAGTTTTTCACTGCCGATCCTCTCAATGCCTTCCAGATAGCCGCTTTTGGTGGCTAAAAGTTTTTAGTATCCAAGGAAATTGCACAGAAATCTCGCCAGTCCTCAAAAATGAGGTGCAAATTTGAGACACCGAGCTGCTTTCGTAATGAAGTGTCTTCCCTAGCTCTTTGTGTGGCGCGTCTATGAGGCGATGGCGGCGGCACGCGGCATCCGATTAGCATAACGATGAGGTGCAGGGAAGGGGGGAGCTCGCCCCCTCCACCTCATCGCCTTTCAACAACAACCCCATCCATAGGTGTCTATATAGATGGGGAAATTTGGGAAATTGATTTCCCTGAGCATTATGGGTGTCACCAGGAAAGGAGAGACAATCGGATTTTGAAATCAACCCGAAATTTAGTTTGCTCTTTTTCAGGCTCGAGATTAGATTCGTCGAAATTTTAACAATGAATAAAACCCCGTTTCCTCTTGAAAACCATTTCTCATTTCACTCCAGCTAAAAAGCTTAAAAGCTGAAAATAAATTTTTGACTTTGTCTAAAGCTGAGAAATTCTGGTGGAGCTGGCTTTCAAATGCAAGAGTTAAAATTCTTGTAAACTTTATCATTTCTCTATCAGATTATCTAAGATGCGTTCCATATTGACCATTGCCGCAAAAGGTTGCCCAATTGGGATGCGGAGCGTGTGAAAAAACGGGCAGTCCCTTTTTTCCATCCTTTTCCATAGTCAAGGGGTGAGCAAAAAACGTGTGAAATCCCACCCGGGCACAAAAGCTGCCGATTGGGGGTGTTATATTGATATCTGTGAAAAAGGTTACGAAAAAAAATAAGAAAAAATATAGTCTACAAGGACTGGAATCATAAAGGATCCAAATTTGCTTCCAAAATCAAAAATTTTTGTTTTAAGGTCTAAGCTGGGATGCAGGACAACTTTGTAGTTGGCTTAGGTGCCCTGGAGCCCTAGGGTCCCTAGGACCTGGAGCCCTAGGACCAGGGCCCCTAGGGCTTTCAGGGATTTGTATTCAGTCCCTGAAACGGGCTAATTTCTACGGCAATATGGACAAGACTGGATACAGTACTGTATCTGTACTATACCTGTACTTTCTAGCACCCTGAGAACCCATCAGGGTTTACTGTATCTGTAAGTTTTCAGATTTTATCTATCAAAGTTGTGCGCTATTATCCATTGTTCATCCTCTCAGAGCTCATAAAACATTAAAGCTATGAGCCCTATTGAAATTACCGGCATCAAAGTGTGGTAGATCACGGGTTAACGGTTCTATTGAGTACGGGGTGTGAATTGTGTGTGCGCAGGTGCCTCTGTTCAACCCTGACCAGACCAACACATCTGTCTCTCAATCCTTTCACACTCTTGCTAGCCAGTGACACCCAGGATCGGCAAAAACGTCGATGGATTGACCCCCGTTGCCCTCTCTGGTCACAGTATGTACTGTAGAGCCGTCGACGCAATAGGACTGCTTGAATTGAGCTGTCATTGATGTGTCTTTTGTCTTTTTCTGTTTATCGGAAATTGATCGATGGAACGCATGCGACAGAATGACCCCACTAATAATCGTCATCACCGCATAAACACAGTTGCGCAAAAATGGGATAGAGATTCAAAAAATTCAGCGCTGACTAAATTGCCATTGCCATCATCCTTTCTCCAATTCATACCACTTTTTGTCAATTCTGGATGGCACACAAACTTTTGAGCGCTTTGGGTTTGGGTTTAAAATGCGTACAAAAAAAAACTCAATGCTTTGATTTCAAAATTTCAGCTCTTGTCCCAAATTCGACTCATTGCCATCATCCTTTCTCCAATTCATACCACTTTTTGTCAATTCTGGATGACACTAGCTTTTGAGCGCAAGAAATTCCCATGGAAGCGGCTTGTGTTGAAAGGGCAATACGGGGACCCTCAGAGTCGACCCTGAGGACCCCCCACTACATATAAGCTCCCTATGACGGCATTTGTAACAGTCACAAAGGCCCTCCCACGCCTCTCAAAGGGTATTCAGGTACTTGTTAGGATTTAGAAAGATATAGGAGAGATATCGGAGAGATAGAAGACCCCGGTGGACTCTTACAGGGTGGACTCTATGCTGGAATGGGGTTAATCTCAGGGTCTTTATCCTCAAACCCTTCCGGTTATCTAGAAAAGTGTTGAAAACTTTGGAACAGATGTTATGGGAAACAAAATGAGAAATTGTTTGCCAACAAGAGTTGACCATTTTTAGAGTCTTTTTAGGGTTTTGCTAGAAACCCCAGTTAAAAAACCACAAAAGCAACAATTCTCCGTTGCTCTTTTCCCCCCTCTCTCTCTCTCCTTTCAATTCATCCATTTAAGCTATTTGATGGGTTTTCTCTTTTCAGTCTACCCTGGGGGCACCCTGCTGCGCTGAAAACCATCACCATCCCAAAAAGCTAAAATTCCCCGTATCTTTTCGCCTCTTCTTTCCCTGTGCATCCCAGCTTGCCCAGAAAACCCCATTTTGGCCCTTTCTGCTCACCAGGCGGGTGCGAATTGACGGATTCTCATTTCCTCGAAGAAAAATTAGTGCTGACAGGGTGATAATCGAGGGTTGATGAGTGAAAGGGCATCCTGGAACGCATTGCTTCGTTTCCTGCCAAAAATAATTTGGTTTTATCGATTTTTGGGGGTGCTGGTTACGGTAGAATGAAAGAATTCAGTGCGTTTAGCGCATCACAAAGTATACTGAGAGAATTTGTTTGTATGCGTTTAGTGTATATCCGTTAATGATTGGTTTTCGTGAAGTGGTTGGGGGAAATCCGGGGGGCAAGCAAATCTCTTCTCACCACAACGTGTTAATCTTTGTTCGACCCGGGGGCATCTGTCAATTGGATAAGTGAATGGGGCAATTATTAGATCAACAACATCACCCACTTCTCAAAGCATTGACTGCCAATGCTAATAGAGAATTTCAACCAGTTCAATAATAATGACGATTTCAACAAGCTCTTACAATTAAAGGGAAACTAGAGAAACGAATAAAATTCATGCTGATGATGCTATTAGGGTGGTGCAAAAGAAACTGCCGATTTGACGGTAAATTCAAAAAAAAAGATGGCGTTCGATGGTGACATGATCACAATGGGATATTTTCGCAAGATTTCGAGCAGATTGGCATGGATCGGTAGATCTCGAGCAGATCGGCCTGAATAACGTCCCTCAGCTTGGCTTCGTTCACGACTTCTGGCCTCGAACCGTGCTCGTAATCTTCCAAAGTCTCGTCTCCCTCTCGGAATCGTTGAAACCAAGTCTGACACTGGAAAAACGGCAGACGATTGCTATAGAGTCATTGTAAGTGTATTTGCAATCTCAATCAGCAATCTCCGAAAGACCATGTCTTGATTCCAACGAAAATAATGGCTTTTGAAACAATTGTTTTTTTCGCAGTATTTTAGCAATAAAGTTGATATGTAGAAAACGGCGGTTACATTCGGTTGTCAGTTCAACCTAATAGTTGTCCAATTAAAGAGGTTTTCAGTGAAAGTTTTTGATCCCAAGCCACAGTACCCCTTTCAGCTTCTCCCTAGTTCATCGAATGTCGGTGAAAAGTGAGCTATCGGTGGATAATTGTGTTATCTCACCCCTTCCACAATTAATTCAGCTCATTTGTGAGACACGCAAATTAGTCAGAAAGCGATTATCCCCTGGCTATTAGTGAAAAGAAGGAGTTGAATGACATGAATGAACTTCTATATTGTTAGATATTGAGATAAGATTACCCAGATAACAATAAGTACAGCCATTGTCTGAAATTATAATACAACTAAACTACCGTATCCCTAAAAAGTCAGTTTTCTCTTTCCCTAATCGATCTTTAGTGTAAAAGTTTTTGTGCCCAAAAAGTCAAAGGGAAAAAAAATATTCTAATGGAAAGCGTTTGTTGAATACAAATGAACACTTTCAAATAAGGGGAAGGGGTGATCGATTTGGACAAAAAGATATTGCCCCGACAAAATCGGCATCAAAAATAAAGCAATGAAATCTAATGAAAATTGTAACGAAAAAAAAGCAATGGAATTTAATCAAGCTTAAAAAGCAATCTTTCCAATACGGTTCTTTTTTTGATCTAATACGGTTCCTTTTTTTAACTAATACGGTTCCAATACGGTCACAATCAAGTTTAAAAAGCAACCTTTCACTTTCTGTAGCTGTTACCGTAATCCAACGATAGCTACAGTAATTCTTATGTTAGACCAAATGTAGAGTAAAGTCTAAAGTAGTGAAATAAAAAGTAAAAAGATACACAGTCAAGTTAATTGGATATCTTCCAAAATATTGGATTGCGGAGAGTTAAGGGAGAATAAATCTCATCTCGCAAAAGTGTTTCCCCACTTGAGAACTACATTATGCACGTTGATGGTGAATATATCTATAATGTTTGTCACGCATATAATGCATTTATTTGAAATCATTCAAAAAAACTGGGCAGTGATCTAAACTGATTAGACGTGAGGTTGGGTCGTCACTACCCTGTTCCCTTGACTCAAGCTTTAAATCAAGCTTTAAATGAACATCCATGCATATTTTGTCTGAATTTCTATAGGATTACAGGCTAGGAGAGAGCGGTAAGGATTCAAGAATCAAGCGTAGAATTAAGAATCAAGCGTAGAACTCCCGGTTTCGTATTGAGTTTATAAAAAATGCGTTTATTATACACAAAGAAAACAAAACAATAGGGAGGACGTGTGAAGAAAGAGTGGATCAATATAGGGCGACGGAGATGCGAGGTTCAATCAGTGATCAAATCACTGTGCGAACCACTCACCACTGCCTCACTTTAACAACTGGAGAATTTCTCGCGGGAGAGTTTAAATAGGAGCAAGAAAGAACAAAAAAAGATATTCAGTTGGGAGTACTGAATATCTAAAACAAGGAAATTTAACTTAAAAAATAGGCGCAGAATAGGAACTATAGGACTAACATTTTACCACTTTTTTTGAAGAGTTTTCTAAAAGTTGCGCACTGGTAAGTTACACACGCGCACACGCAAAGTTAAAGTAAGCCGTAATAGTAAGCCGTAATAGTAAGCCGTAACAGTAAGCCGTAAAAGAATAAAGTGTGCTTTTTTTTCAAACTACCGTTATCTTGTCTCTTAGTTTTTATCGAATCTATAAACTTTTTGTATCTTTCGATATCATGTTTATTTTTGTGTATTCATTTCATTTGACCACTAGAGAGTTACTGTGATCCCAAGTTCCGCTAGTTTTCGTAGAAAAGCTACGTGCACATCCTAATGACCCTTCTTGACTGAATTTTCTTATGAGAATGGCTAAAATATTTTCAGCTATCTTGAAGATCAGCTTTTCAGCTACCGTTTTTAACTTTCTTTACAATTTCTTAAATGTTTCTGACACTTTAATATTCTTCAATTTTTGAAATGAACGCCAGCGACGAGACGCAACAACAACGGGTGAACGATTTCACGGTGAAAGTCAATAATGAAGAGCTCAACGGGTACGCGCTTCGATTGGGCGGATGTTTGTGGATATACGTTGGAAGGTTTGTTTTGTTGTTTTTGCATTAGAAAGGAAAGTTTAGGCAGCTTACGGAGTTCAGTAGCAGAGCTTATAGTTAGGAATATGTTGCTTAAAACACTTTTATATCCACGTTAGCATCATATTCGGTTTAGAACGTTCATTACTTTACTCAAGAATCGCCTGAAATAGCTTTTAAATTACATTTATTAGGCGCACTTATCGTGAGTATCAAGCATTTGACTATTGCGGAGGGGTTTTTAAGCTTCTACCGAAAGTTTTTAAAAGAATCAGTCCTTAAAATGTTATTCTTTGGGTGTTACACCTTTTAGGCCTGTCAAAGTTGTAGTGTGGGGTAATAGATCTTGTTCTAGAACAAGTTTTATTATGTTGACCGATAAGTCTTTGGATGTTTCGTTTGAAAAGCTATTTAGAAATAACCAATTCATCGATTGATCTACGGTTTGCTCCGTTAGAAAGGCCCCACTATTTCTCTACCAAATAGCGTGCAAATTTTATGAAAATGTTTTGTCTCTGGATTTTTATGGGAAATCGAAAGTGGGTAGTCAAAAAAGGCGACAACCCGAAGGCGCAATTTAGGCACTTTGGCCCACAGAGACCTATATTGCTGTCAATAGATAAAAGATAACGCAAAAAGTTAGGTATATAGCCAAATTTTCAGGATACTCTGTTTAGCCGATTTCTTTGTAGAGCTTTTTATCGAATTTTACGAAAAACTAGTTTTTGCAGTCGAATTTGCTTGGAAATGGATCTAAATTGTCTTAAAAAGATAGAAAAATGAATAATAAGCATTGGAGATCAATTGGTGAATTTTTTATTTACAAACGCTAGTAGAAAAAAGTGTTCAAAGACTTATCGGCCAACCAAATATTTGTTTCTTTTAGAGGCTCCCTCTCGTCACTCCATTTGACGCATTTCCCGCGAACGACGCCGATCATTTTCTCGTCTGAGGCAGAAACTGTTGACAAAGCGATTGCACTACGATTGGGCAAATTGTTCCCGCAGCAACAGGTTGAAGCTTTATTATTTGTTTATGTTTAAGAAAAGCGAATCTCTAGATGAAGATACGTCAGTTGCTTGTCATTGACATTTAAAGAATTGAATTAGAAAGTTTAAGAAGAAAAAGGTATCTAAAGAACATTATAATGCATGTTTTAAATGCTTTAAATGTTCTTAAGTAAAACAGATCCAGATAATCATTTTCTTTTTTAGGTTTTCTTCTCGACCGATCTTCTTGGCAGTGATTCCGAGTATTGGAAAAGGGTCTACGATCAGCTTGTCTTGGCGCTCAAATCGGCGAACATTTGTTGACATCTAGAAAGCTTTTTGCGCGGCTTTAACGGGTAAATTTTTATCATTCAACGTTGTGATTTTTATTTTAAATCAAATAAATTTTCATTTGTACATATTTTCAAGAATTTCAAATGATTGGTTCAATTTTTTACCTAGAAAGTTTGACAAAAATTGATTACATTTGATAGTTTAGATGATGTCGCTTTCAAGAAATGTTTCGCTGATTGGTTCACGTTTTTTGCGGGCAATGTCTTCAAAACCGGGAAAGGTACATGAAAATTTTGTTTTTTATCCCATCTTATGCATTTTTCCGACGAAAGAAGAGATTCTGAGGGACAAAACGCCAAAAGGAAAACTTGATGCCGAATTTGAGCATGGGATCAAAAAAGCGAAACAGGTAAATTGAGGTTTTTGCTTAAGAATGCTTAAGATTTAGTTGCATAGCTTAATATTATACTAAAAAGTTGCCATTTTATGTTTCTCGGCAGTAGATTAATCGCTTGAAACTAAAAGTAGCATAGGGTTCCATCTTTGATCCAATTTTTTTGTTTCAGGTTGAACCCTACACCGATCCTTACCTGCCGAGACACCCGAATGGAATCAACGAGAAAACGGGCGAAGTCGGCGGACCGGCTGGTAAGTTTTCTTGACTTTTATCAGCAAAGAGTTCTTGGATGAAAATTACATCTGTTTTTAACTAAAATGCTTTAAATTTCTTCTGAAATCCTTGTAATCAAAATAATTCAAAAGCTTTTAAAAGTAAAAATTCTAGTTTTAATGCGTTTTGATGTGCCAAAAACGTCAAAATCTTATTATCTGTCAAATCTAGTTGTTGATTATAAATTACAAAATGGTGTCAAGTTTTAAATCCCGATATTCTCCTCTTTATTTAGGCCCCGAACCGACGCGCTTCGGCGACTGGGAGCGGAAAGGACGAGTCACCGATTTTTGATTTTAGAGAGCGAATATTTGTCAGCTTTTGTGCATTTTGCGTTGTTTTTCTTTTGTTTAGAATAGTGTGAATAAATTGTTAGCAAAGGCTGGTATTTGAAGTTTTATTTGTTTGGGAACAAAATTGTAACTTTGTCTTTTTACTGCTTGTGTCATTGAACGTGTTTTGAATAGACTTTCGCACAGCTGAGTGCATTTGTTTTTAGAAAATGCTCGGCAGAGGCGGTGAGGTGATTCGTCTTCTCCCGAGCGCTTCCTCTTCAACGACAGCGATCGCCTCGACGAGAGGTATCGCCAATATACCAAGATGGGAACGACATATCCGGTAAATCTTCTAACTTACTGCAAATTATACTACATTGCTACTGCAATACTTTTGCTATTTTTCCTCCAAGTCGGTTCAGTGGTAGAACGCTCTGCCACGCAGGTGGCTCGGGTAAAATCCCCGGATTGCATAGGTAACGCATGGCTCTTTGGATTTAAATTGTAATTATCCTGTAAAAACTATCCTCATGAAGCGAAGTTGCTTCTCAAGCTTGGGAAAATAAACCACAAAGCTTATTTAGGACGGTCTGAAGCACTAATGACGTCCGTAATTACATTGCTTATACAGTTTTAGACAAGGCTCATCTCTCCCTTTTTTTCAGATTCGATCCAGCTGAAGGCCGCAAAAGACCATGTCAAGATGTGTTGGATCGATTTAAAGTCAGTTATTTGATTTTTACAAAGCTTACTCTCTTTAGCGTTTAAACAATGGAATGTGGATTCGGCCGGTCCCTGGATGGCACAAACAACGATATCAGAAAGATGAAAAGTGGCAGGTTGGGCTTTATTAAGATTAGCTTGCAATTTACTGTGTCTAGACAACGTCTATGTACTATGAGACGTCGACGAAAGACGAATGCGAGATGTTGGATCGCTTGATGACGCCATATTGGTTGAAACGACGGCACTATCCTGATGATCCGTACAAGTAAGTGTTTTGCAAGATTTGGCATTTGATACTAGGTGTTAAAAAGGTTAAATGGGAATCATTCACGCGCCAAAACCACTAGTTTAGACTTGAATTTATCCATTCGATTTTGCTCAGAACTATAGCAATCAGCATTCAATTTTTTTACCTTAAAATTCAATGTAAAAAAATAGCAGTAGTTCAATAAATCAAGTTTAGCAATACTTTAGTAATATTCATTTTAGAACCTACCACGTGCGCCACGATCTTCGCTCGCCTCGTGTCGATGAGAAAGGGAATTTGCTGAGGGAACGTAGAAAGGTGAGTGAAAGATGTTGAAATGGTTTGAACGAACATGCTAGCAAGATAGTTTGGAGTTTCCTGGATTTTTTGAACACCCAAGAAATGCCTCGTTTTCAATGCTATTCAAAACTTTTAAGCACGTCTATCTATCAATAAAATAAATCCTCTGAAATTTTCTTTTTAGGTTCTTCTCGAGGACTCGGTAGCCGATAAATATTTCCACGATCGATGATTTGTCTTCTTTTTTGTCGCTATTGTGTAATTTTTCTTTATTTTAGTTGATAGAGTTTGTTTGTTTTATTGTTTTTAGGATTGACATGAATAAATGGTTATATTGCTTATTGAAAAGAATCGAGCTTAAAGTTATCTCTTTATGAAGAATATTTCATTTTGTGAATATCAATCAAACTTTTGGAGCTATTAGGTTTTCAAAAAGCTCCCTTTCTCACGGATTACCTGAAATTGTGTAGATCTTGTTTATAAGTCTCATTTTCAGAACTAAAATGGAACCTGTGATCAATGCGGTCGAAGAGGCAATCGCAGCGCCGACACGGTTCGTGTTTGAAGTGTTTTAATCCTCTGACAAAATTAATAGTTGCCTAACAGTATGAAACGTTTGCTTAGATGTGAAATACTTGGATTTTCAAAATTTCATTACCATCCTAGCCCTTAAAGGAGGGGTGCAGATCGCGGCCGGGCCTTGAACAAATTTTTTCTTTCCGGTAACCCTATGTTCTTATTTTATAAAATATTACGTTTTATTATAAAAACGACAAAAAACACCCGGCTAGGATGTTTTGACTTTTATTTTTAGTTATGGAATACTCCGAAATTCGCCTGCAGGCAGAGTCGAGTCATCCCCTTGGTAACTTCTCAATCAGACTGACGACACTAAATATAAAATTTATAGATAGTATACAAAAAAAATTAGAAGAAAGAAAACGCATAAATAAATAAAAACAAACAGAGTAACAAAAAATTAGAACAACAAACATAATTTCAATCATTTTCCCCCTCATTCTCATCTCCGTCATCTTCACTCAAGTTCAAAAGCTCCTCCAGCCTAGTTCCAAGTTCGTCGAGATCGTCGTCGTCGACGTCAAAATCACTAACTGGATCACCATTTCCATAGCTGTCTTTAGAGGCTAAAATTTGCTGTAGAATATCTTTTTTTTCCAATTATCACTAACAGCAGTCTTTTTCATCTTAGTGACCTTGGTTCCCTTTGCCTTCGATAAGCTGATAAGATATAATGGGGCCTGTCAACCTGTCGGTCTCCTCTGATTTCAGCTTGTATTTTTCGTTGTGATCAAGTGCAGCAAGCATAGTTCTGCATTTAAAACTTCTCCGAGGATAATAGTATCTTCTTTTGGGTCTGTACTTGATAACTCCTCAGAGGATGACTCGACTCTGTCTGCAGGCGAATTTCGGAGTATTCCATAACTAAAAATAAAAGTCAAAACATCCTAGCCGGGTGTTTTTTGTCGTTTTTATAATAAAACGTAATGTTTTATAAAATAAGAACATAGGGTTACCGGAAAGAAAAAATTTGTTCAAGGCCCGGTCGCGATCTGCACCCCTTCTTTAAAGTTTACGTTACTTGGATAAATTTGGCAAAATCCCACTAAGTTATCCTTGCAAATGTTCTTCTAGAGTTGGCTACGGAGAATTGCTGCAAGACGAAAAAGTGCGAGCACTGGAGAAGGAGAAACCCGAATTGTGGCACACGCTTAACGTCTTTACATATGGTAAGTTTTCTTAGTACTATTCGGTGAATTCTTTGTCTGCAGGCACGTATGCGGATCTTTTGCCGTCGACTTCGCTCTCCAACGAGGCGACGATGAAAATGCGACAGTTGACGATTCTATCGATGGCCGCAAAAGAACGGTGAGCGCTTGATCGGTAGAAAAATTGACTAGCAGAATACAGTTAAACCTAGCATAAACCTTTGATAATTGAGACTATTGCCGCAGAAAACTTGAGCTTTTTGCAGTTTGTGCATCGTAAACTGTCTCGATTTAGACAAATCCCATTCGATCGTCTGCTGAGTGCACTCAAACTTGACACCGATCGTGCTGTTGAGGTACTGCTTCTTACAGTTTTATTTGCAAACTTTTTTCCGTTTGAGGATTTGATCATTGATGCGATGTACAAAGGATTGCTGAAAGGTCGCCTTAACAGTATGGATCGGTGTTTTGAGGTGGGAAAAAGTTGAGAGCATAAATTGAAAGTCAATCTGATATTAGGCTCGTTTAAAAATAGCCAGTAGTTACAGCTAAAAACAACAACTTATGCCGTTACAACTGTAAAGTACATCGGTTTTTTCTAGGTTGAAGAATGGCAATCCCGGGATTTCCCGCTCGAGAAGTTGCCCGCACTTCGACAGGTAGTAGTTTTACTGTGCAATATTCAAATATGTTGCTTAAGGAAAAAATTAATATCAAATATATTTTTAGTCTTTCTACGCTTGCCTCAACAACGTGGAACATGTGGTCAGCGAATGCAACAAAATGGCCGCAATGTGAGTTGTTTTAGAGTGTTATAGTAGTGTGATTCAATGATAATATTGTTCCAATCACTGTTCCCATTCAATTTTCCCATTTTTAGTGAAGAGAACAACGCTTTCGTGCAAAATGAAGAGGAGATGGCCCGGCAGGAAAGAATTGGAAATGGTTCGTGGTTTTGTTAACTATTTTAGGTTAATTTTTGTTGTACATTTGCAAATTGACTTCAATTTTACTTTCCAGCTCGAAAAGAAGTCGAAGAGGAGATGCGCTTAACCGGTTTCATGGGCGGAAGCAGACAGTATCTTGGAATGCCCGGCACATCGGTGAGCTTTTTAGTTCGATCTTACGGTATCTGCCTGGGCTAAAGCAGATAGATTACGGTAACTGGAATGATACGGTCGTACCGGTCGTAAAAGAGCTACGATACTTGTCTGGAGTACGATACCTAGCTTAATTAAGGTATACCGAGTACGGTACTCGTATGAGTTACGGTATCCGGCCTGACACACTATCGTACCCGTTACGATAGTGTAATCAGGCTATATCTTCAAAAGCGCCTACTTTCACATCGTATTTTCTCCATTTCAGATGCAGAAGGAGAAGCGAAAGATGCTCCGAAAGATTTTCAAGTGAATCGATGGTGCAAAATTCATTTCGTCGATCTTTGTCTTATTTTTACCGGTGATCACATTTATTTCGTGTTATTCGTGTCCAGAAAATATTTGTGATTTATTTGAACAGGATTTGCTTTTTGGCTATAAAGAAGCTAAATTTTTTTGGCACCTGACAAATAGATCTTGAAAACTCTTGGGGAAATATCAAAGCTTAAATTCTGACTAAATAACCCAGAATAAAGGTACCGTCTTTGTGGGGGACTCTTACAAAACTTGCTGTAGCTTGTAAAAGTTGTAGGATCTCTGCCGTGGGTGCCTCTGTCCCTCGACTATTGCAGTTGAAATCGTCGGCCACCATGATTGTGGCATGTTGATATAGTTGGTTTGTGTATTTACCCGATAGGATTCAACAGGAGCTGAAGGGTTGCTAGGAGGTTCGTTCACTCCTAGTTGTTATTTCTTGCATTCTCCTTCGTTCCTCGTTCTTCTTGACTCTTGAGACCTTTCCTTAAGCCAAGACCGGTGTGGTGGACTGCTTCGGTAGGATCCCTGCCAAGCCTCTTCCAGTTCAGGGTAATCTGTTCCGTTGACCCTTGGGCTATTCCATATGCGAATGGTCAGAAATTCTGCCTTTTATCTTGTGTTTTCTTTCTCTTTTCAATTTTCTTGTTCTTTTTCCCTTCTGAGCCCCCGTAATTCTTCCCACTGGAGCCATCCCTGACCCCTCCCCGACTAGGAGAGCTGCTCGATGTCCGGTCACCTTCGCATGTGGTGAACGGTGGGGGATTCCCTGGACAATGGCTAAGAGCTGAGAGTCCTTTTAAAAGTGCAGTTGAATGTATTTGTAACTGGAATATTTATCACTGATTCAGAAAGAAGTGTGTAAAAGAAGAAAAGGCACTACTCGGCATTCTCGATCAAATCGTTACCGTATTTCGTTTGGAAATTTTCTAGACCATTTTCCTGAAGTACCATAGCCCCTAGTTACTCTACTATTAGCTATTCACCCGTGTACCGTATCATACATAATGCTGGGTCGCACATTTTTGTATCTAGTACTAGATCGTGTCTATTGCACCAGTCTCAAAAACTTAATACCTAAAACGTTAGGTATTAAATTATTGAGACAATATATACGATCAAGATGTGCTGCCTAGCATTATGAATCTGATCAGTATAGTACTGCAGAATCTGCTAGTAGAATAACGAGGGTTGATATTAAATTAAAAGTACAATATCTAGGGTTGCTATTGATCTGCTAGTACTACCTAGCGTTTACAGTATCCCGGTTTGATATTGCCTCTGGTGCCGGATCTACGAAAAACAATGATCTGCCAAGCCGAAACAAAACAAGTATTAGGATCCGCAAGATATGAGCAGCTTTATGCACAATCGATAATCTGAAAGGGAGGAAGAGGAATAATGAATGGGAAATGAAAAGCCATAAAGCAATTGAAAAAGAAAGAGAAAAGATAGACACATACGCAAAAAAAAAGACACAGAATCAAACAGAGATTAGACGAGAACATCACATAGAATCACGGCGATGATGGAAGGCGGAAATGAATCAATGAAATTGAAATGCAATGGATTAATGCATGAAATTGAAATGGAGGTGAATCTTTCGAGATCATCTTCCCATTTCAGCTGAACAACTCGGGTCGACGGCCCTGAAAAGAACAAGAAAATTATTGAATTAAAAAGATCGATAGTTTCTCGGGCTCGAGCGGGTGCAGAAATCTATAGAGTGGATTTCTGATATTTCTTTAGATTCATCTCTAGCTTATATTGTGCTTTCTGTGCCTAAATCTCTTCCACTTGCTAAGATCTCTTTTTATAGATAAACCAGTTTTCGAGTCGATATTCTACCACTGAACTACCAGCGACAGAAAATACAGTAAATATGTAATTATTTTTATTTTCCACAGGGAGAAAGGTTACGGTAGCTTCCCAAATTGTCCATTTTTAGGAAAAGCATTACTCGCAAAGAGCTCATTCTGGTGCCAAATAATCGTTTTTTAAAAGCACCCATTTTGCCCCCTTTTCTTACCTCCAACGGTTCACGAAACAGCCAACGGTCGCCGACCTTCTCAAAATGTGTCGGGGTCCACGTTTCACCTCTAAACAAAAAAAAATACTCAAAACCATGAGGGAGAAGCGATAAAATACCGACTTGTTGGCATGGCAGCTCTTTTTAAAACGGGGCTCTTTAAAGGAAAGCAAATAAAATTCTAACATAACTTCCTGGATGAAAATTTCTGCAATTTTAGCAGTTCGACAAATCTGTGCTAACCTATTATGTCAACAAGTCCGAATTTAACCTCGCACTTTAACCCCACCTCTGCTGCCGCTCTTTCGCCTCGCGCCTTTGCCTTTCCTCAATCATTCGCTTTGCCGTCGTCGCCACATTGATCCGATTCCTCAGTAGACCAGCGGTGACATGTCTCCACAATCGTCGACTCTCCCGATCGCCTTGTTGCAGCACCGGCACGCACTCCTTTTTCACTTCAGGCTCCGCTGTCACATCGATGAACACGTACTCATCGCCATTTGCCGGCTTCGCGAACATCACACCGTTCCACTCACCCCTGAAAGCGTAAAGAATAAAGATTTATCAAGAGCGCCTTTAAAACACCCACCGAATTGTCAAAATAGGCTTCTTCATGCCCTCGCGGTAGCAATTTCCCTGGATCTTGTGCGGTTTTCCGCCAAAGAAAGGCTTCGTCAGGAATTCAATGTCCGCATAGTAGCCGGTCTTCTCCGAGACGATTTTCACCTGACGATAAATAATCATAAACAAAGAACATCAATGAAACCGACCTTTCCACCCAATTCCACCCACGGTGTGCTCATTATCGATCGCCCGTATCCACTCGGGAAAGTGATCGTGTACTCTTCGTCAAATTCGTGCAAAACCACCGTGCCACATCCAATGTTTGCCACTCCTAGAAAAAGTAGATTCACAAAAATTAAAAATTAAATTTACCAATAGACAATCCTAAGAAGCTACTCTTCGTCCAAATGTGCGCATGGAAGGAGATACGGCGACCGGGGTGTTCCGCATAGAAAGCTGACACGGGTGGATGGTGGGAAACCTAGAAAGATGCAAAATTGCTTAACCTTTTCCTTGTCCCTTATCTGCGTAAAACCAAGGCTCAGGGTTAAATATAACTATCAAGCAACTATATTCTCAACCGTTCAAAAATGTTTCTTGCTTTTAATAATGAGCCCTTAAATCTCGCCTGTTCCGCGATGAACGTCAAATGGCTGTCATCTGAGCCAGGGAATGGTCCTCGGTGCGTCATATTGCCGGACGATGTGATTTCGGGCACCTTGTAGCGACACCTAAAGAACCAAATTAAATTACAGTATGCGAGAAAGGAAGTCGTATACCTGAAAGATTCGCCGAGAATCGGATTGTAGGGTTTCTTTGCGACTCCACTCTTTCGAGCTGCGTAGAAAGCATTCAAGTAGTAACGCACGACGGCCCTAAAATAGTGTACCTGACTTTCAAAGTTAAGCAAATAGATTAGTGACGTGTCGGGATGCTTATTCACAAAGTAACCGAGTATTTCTCGATACCAACTCTTTTTTTTCCCAACCATTTTTTGTCAAAAAGAACACTCACATGAATCGCTTCTCCGTCGTATCCAAACCGGAGGTCGAGACAAAAGCATCGGGATGAGTGAAAAAGTCGGCGTACATCTCGAGAAGAGAGCGACGTTCGAGGATAAATGTCGGCAGCGTCACCTTCGTCAAATCCATTCCAACCGAAACCTAAAGTAAATACTAAACAACGATTCTGGTATATAGTGAGATATTGACTTGTGTAATTCTTTTAGTCAGAATCTTCAATTACCTGAGAGAGCAAATGGACAAGCACTGATCCGTGTTCCTGTTGCACGTTACCGATGTCATGCTGAAAATAAAAATAATGTTAATGTAATAAAAAGAGCGGGTGAGAGCTCGCTTAACGGTGAGCTTCACTCGCTCCATAGTTGGCCTCCTTTTAATTATAGTGAACAACCCCTACCCCCAAAACGCTATCAAAATCAGCCCTGGCGCATAATCATAATTTGCATACAAGTTTAGGACTAACGAAAACGGCGAAAAGTTTTTCATTATTTGTTTTGTGTCCCTCAGAAACGGCCCATTCTCTCTTCTGGAAAGAAATTTGTATATGAAAACTAGCCTACGCCGATGCAACAGACACACACAGAACTCGGAATTATATATAGCATAGACAAAGTCAACCTCTTCAGCATTGTCGTAAATGGCATCGAAATCCTCGTGATCGTCACCAAAATCGTATCTGAATAAATGCAATGAAAGTGCAAGAAAAAGCCCTTACTTGTCAATTTCATCTGTTCCCGTCACCGATGGCGCAACTACAGATGGTGTGGGAGTCGGCGCGTTCTCGCGATTTGTCATTCCATCCTGAAAACAAGCACTTAAGCAACTTTTTCTTTAGAAATTTGAGTTTCTTCTCACAAACTTCTAAACTTCTCATAATACTAAACACATTTCAACAAGATCTTGATCTTATTTTCAGTTTTCCAGTGAAAACTGTCAAACTTGTGCACATTCTACACTCAAATCAGACCAAAAAAGAGTAAACGATGAAGGTTTTCAACGGAAGAAGTTCAATATATCGTAAAATCGGTGGTTAATTATAAAAAACAAATAGTACAAAAAAAAAAATTCCTTCAAAAATTTAAAACCTCTTGAACGGAGACACTCAAAGTGTCATGATTGTTGCTGTTGTTAGCTGGACTTTGTCGTTTCGATTCCACAATTGACGTTTGGCGTAGCACCACCTTGTCGTCATCTGCAGGTAGCTAGACAAAAAGGAAAGAATAATACAAAATTTAATTTGAAAACGAGGCAAAGCTGCAAAAAGTGACGAATTTGGTCCGTTTCGGGTAAGTAAATCAGAGGAAAAAAGCTCGTTAAGGGGAAAAGAAGCGCAAACCTTTTTGGAGCTACTTTTACAGCAAGATGAACAGAAAAGACCACAGCAGAGTCCTCCCATTTGGAAAGTAGGGAAAAAATGAGGAGTGAAAGGGAAAAAGTTGGTTAAAAAGCAGAAATAGATGTAAATTGAAGTATCATATGCAAATTGAGATTGAAGAGCATTGAATGGGCACAACTTCGAGCTCGAAATTTGACTTGTGAAACTTTAGCGTTTCTTGTATTCTTACTCACTACATCACTCATTCTTCTCACCTCTTCATTATCACTCTCATCATCGTTATCCTGTGCATCATAGAACTCATCATCGCTCGAGCCTAAATTTTGCCTTATGGCAACCCTATAACAAAAGAAACATACTGTAGCTGATTGGCGGGACTTTCACTTGCAGATGAGTTGAGGGCAATCCACCAGGGACACCTTCTTGTCGCAGAGCTGCCTAAAACGAATGTTAATAAAAAATCTGAATGTTGGCTATCTGCGTGGTAAAAGATACATAGCTTAGATTCGTTCTAGCTTTTTAAAATTTTTGATAGCTGAGTAAAGCGTAAGCTTAGGTTATATTTCCTTTTCAGTCCCCAGAACGGATTTTCTACCTCAAACATGATCCTTTAGGCACCTTTTCAATCAAATAAAGACCACTCACCACTTTGTGAACATCGGCCGAGGTGTGCGGCCCGTTGGTCTTCTCATTCAAATCAAGCGCTCCCATCGAGCGAGCCACCGGTATTCCCATTGTTGGCGCGCCTCCAATCGTCTCTCCCATTCCCTCCGCCATCTCGACTCGATTTTGTGACATCTGCACGAGAATCACTGCATGTTTCACCTAAAAAGAAAGTGTAAAAAAAGAAAGAGGGCTAAAAAAAGTGAAACAACAAATGCCCTAGGTTACCCAGCGAGATTTATGTGCACTGCTCGTCAAACTTTCTAACCTAGTTAAAGTTACTGGCGCCAGAGAGCTCAAAAATGTTCAGAACTTTCAACTTTTATCTCAAATTTACACCATCTCTTGTTATTGGAATGTATTATTATTGCCAAATTTGCGCTTTAAAGTACTACTTCCAATTCGGGATTTGGATCTACCCGCAAATCGGTTCTTTCCGAAGCAGATCTTCTACTTTATGTGCTAAGAATTCAAATCAAAACTTCCCTCACCGTATCTATAAGCTTTGTGCCGGTGAAAAGGAGTCCGTCAAACGATGCACTCTCCGTCTCGTTTACCCGTTCCCTCAGCGGTTCGATTGTTTTCAACTAAAATAGAACAATGAATGAAATGAATAGGTTTTTATTTGTTTTTATTATTTTTGTTATTTGTAACATTGTCATTCTCTTAGGTTCAATTTCAGAAATAAGTCTGTAAATTTTTGTTTTTAAAGGAAAATGGGTAATCAAGAAATAGGAAAGGTTAAAATTGCACTAAAACAGAGAAAAAAAAGATATTTTGACCTTTAACTGGTCAAAATATGAAAGAGGCTAAAAATTCAAGGAAAATGCTGAGTATTAGGCAATTCATTGTCAAAAATCATTTTTCTGAGAAGACATTGAAATTTAGCCAAGCTGAACAATAAGAGACTGCACAAAATCGATGTTTCAAACTCGGGGAATTCGCAGGGAACGTAGAAGGAGAACATTTCTCTTTTTTTCTCTCTTTCACAGCGATAGTGCCTCTTTCATCTATTTTGCCCCTATTGAAACACGGGGGAAATCAGAGATCGGAAAATTGATGGAGAGATGAAAGATGGAAACGAGAAAAAGACAAGGCACTCGTCTCGCAATCTATTTTTGGTGAAAGAGAGAAAAAGGGAGACGCGGATACATCATTTATAGACTTTTAAGAATGGGGAAAACTTGGGCGTCTATTGAATGTTTGTTTTTTTGAAAAATGATGCCTTGTAGATTTAGAAACAAGTTGTTTAACGGTCTTTTAAACGGTTTTCATTTTCCACTTTAGAATAGAAGCTACGAAAATGGAATCAATCACGGTTGTATCAAAGACAATTTTTCTAGGTCAGTTGGAACAGCTCTGGCATTGGTGAGCTCTGGCATTGGTGCATAAACAGTTTATTGACTTTTCACTAACTATAAGTTAAAGATTCTTTTAATTAAAAGCTTGTTGGTCTAGCAATTCCCTGGTAAAACTGGCAATGAGTACGACTTTAATGCAACAAGTCATCAAGCCAGATAGCTTTAAGCTAAGAGCCTTCTAAAACTATTCCACAACTGGTAATTGAAGAGTATCGGACAAAAACTTGTCGAGACTTTTCACATTCACTCACATGTTGAGCCATTGCCGTCATCAAAGAGTCGGCTTCGGAGATTTTCTGCCGAAGCGCCTCAAATGTGGTCTGATTTTGTTGTTGTTGTTGAGAAGCCGAAGCACGCGCTTTCTTTCCGGCACCGGCTGGTGGATAGCTAAAAAAACTTTTGTTCTTTGTAATTTTATACTACCCTTTTTATACTAATTTATTTTGCTAGCGTTTTTTACTAAACAACGTGTTTTAATTATTAGGAAATACGTTATTAATCGTTCTTTTTTTCTCACTCACCCACTGCAGCGTCGAATCGCGCCATCAAGTGCGTTCACCCACTCGTTTCGTTCACGCTCATCGCGACCCTAAAATTCTCAAATAAGTATAATGAGGCTTTATACAGCCGTTGTATATTTCTCCACCAAAATACTTTGGTGGAGAAATATACAACGGCTGTATAAATAAAGCCCAAAAACTCAAACCCACTTGTAAATGAAAGACTTTCCCGTCTTGAGTGAGTGTGAAAAGGCTCTCATTCTCTCCATCAATTCCAACGCTTGCACCGCGAAGTCGCATACAGCCTCGTTGTTGCCGCTTGAGCATCTAGAAACGTCCAAATTGACTTATTTTAGTAAAAATTTTACCTTATCTCTCGAGGTATAGTAGATAATGGCATCTTCAGTTAGCAAAAACCATCTAAAAAGATAAATTGAGAACTAAAATGTAATAATTGCTTAAGTGGTTTATTGCTTAGGTATACACTGCGACTCTACGTTGGGAATCGATAATGCTTGAGCTTTTTAGGCCAACTCTCATCGGATTTTATATTTTCTTCCGGCAAAAATACTACCAACCGATGCAAATACATTCAAGCAATCAAAACCGATGCAAATACATTCAAGCAATCAAATGAATGCATCATAACTGTAAAGTTAAGCATAAGATCCGGCCAAGAAGCAAAAAGTAACCCCTTCTAACAATTAAATAACCAAAATTCACCTGTATTGCCATCCCTGAACGACATTTGTCCACTTTGAGAGTGGCCCTTCCATCAAAGAATGGTCGAGGGTCACTGGAAAACAGAATTGATGCAATGTCGGCAGAGAGAGAAAACAAAATAAAAGATATATAATTTCTGGATGGGGCAGGGCACTTCGTAGTGTTAGGTAGGGATTTTAAGCAAAAATATCTCAACTCGAGATTGTTTGAACCAGAAAAGTTGAGAAAACAAATTCTAATCGCAAATGACTAGAAAGGAAGTGGGGAGTGGGATAAATGCGACCTTTTTTTGCGCACCCGGACATTTGCGCACCTTTTTTTCCGCACCTTGCCCATTAGCGCACCTTTTTTCACGTTTTAAAAAACCTCTAAAAGCTAACATTAACCAATTTCTATTCCAAAAGTTGTTTTTCTAGGTAATTTTAGGGCGTTGAATCGAAATTTTTACATAACAGAGCGTGTGGAACCAATTTGAAAGACAAAACGGCTAGATCAAATTACAGATCTCAATAAGTGCAACAAAATGAAACCAGCATCATAAAGATTGGCCGACTTAGAAGAAATTGTCGATTTTTCTCTTTGTATAACTCCGTTCGTTTGTTTCCACAAGCTATGATATGTCAAAATTTCGATTCTACGCCCTAAAATTACCTAGAAAAACAACATTTGGAATAGAAATTGGTTAATATTAGCTTTTTAGAACTTTTTTAAAACGCGAAAAAAGGTGCGCAAATGTCCGGGTGCGCAAAAAAAGGTCCCATTTGTCCCACTCCCCATTTCTCTTATCTCAACGTCGATCTTTCCCCAAAAACAAAATTTTTTAATTCTTTACAAGTTTCACTGAAAAATGTAATACAAATTTGGGAAAAGCGTAAAATATTATGAAAAATGTTTGAGTGTTTAGCTTTTTTTAAGGCAAACGCGTGTTTTATAAGTTCCTAACCCGTTTTACACCTCAAAAAAAAACGTGTTATCTGCCGGAAAGGCAGATCTCCCTGCACGGGGGAGACCTTTTCTGCACATAGCGAACGTAATTTTCGCCAAAGTAGCGCCATGTAGCCGGAATGAAACAGCGATTCAAAGAAAGGTTTGACCAAATTTGTCTTGTTTTCTTTTAATTTTTTTGTTGCTTGTAATTTTCGCATTAATATTTTCAAATTTCAGATGTTACGGCGTGTGTTTGTGGCCGGCACTCAAACGTGTCGCGGAATCGCATCGACGCGTGGGGATTTGCCCATTCCCGCGCATGGGGACGCCAAGCGAAAGTCAGTCGAGCTGATTCTCGGAGAGGCTGAGGCAAAGGTAGACTTTTTGATTTAAAAGAATAAGATTTTGTAAGTATGGAAAGCGTATTTGTGGCATAACTGGGTCTTTATAGGTTCTTTATTACTGAATTTTGTGGTAAATGTGAAAAAAAAGCGTGATTTATTGTTTAGGATTGATGTGTAAGCTTTGAACTTGAGGGTTTTCAAGGGGGCGTTTTTTTAACCCATTTGAAACTTCTGCAGCGAATAATCGCTGCAGCAAAAACTCAGGAACGGACCGCTGCAGCGATTATTCGCGATATAAAGACCCAGTTATGCCACAAATTATTCGCTGCAGCGCTAATTGAGCTATTTTCATTCAATTAATTGGTTTTTTTGCTGTTTTTCAGCATTACATGTATATTCCAATTGTAACAGATCTACAAATTACGTGGGCAAAAAAGACGTTTCATATTTACCCGGAATCAATGCAGCCTCTGGTTTTGCATTGAAATGTTCCATAATAGCTCTAATCTTTTAAAGCCGATCTCCTGTAGGATCCAGTTCATTATCACAAAAACGGAGGTTTCGAAGAATAGATTCAAATTTTGCTCTTGACATAATGTGGGGCATGTGGGAAAATCCTCCTAATCCAGACCTGCTACTCCGGTAGTCACGAATCCTCGGTAATTTGACGATTCCCATTTGAAGATACAGAGCCAGGAAGAGCTTGAAAGATTTTGCATCGAAATCCTGCCAGTTTGTTTTCCTTTTTCCATGTTTATTAGATTCGCCTACTAACATATTGATTAATTTGTCGTCGATAAAATAAGAATAATAATCGATAGGATCTTGAAAAGTACTGAAGTCAAATCCAAATCGTTCTTCATCAAAAATAAATGGTGTAGGAGACTCTCTTAAATCTTTCCAACCATCTGGATAAACTGCTTCGGAGTCAAAAATGTCAAAAAAGGGCTTGGTCCGCAGACGAAAAAAAAAGAAAAACGCTACGGTTTCGAATGGGTTAATTTAAAAGAACCTGATGGATAAGGTTGCACCTACAATGTTTTAGTATCAAGGTTTAATGTCATATTATCTTTCTCGCTAACTCGTTTTATTTAGGCTCCTGTCACAGTGGCCACTGAGGAATCATCAGCAATCTCGGGAGTCCCTGAAGAGCACCAAGTAATGTTTCAGTTTCGATATAGATTATATTCTATAAAAGCTGTGCGACAAATTCTTGTTAACTTGATTTTTACATTTTAGTTTGGTCGAACTGTGCGCATTTTCCGACCAACTCGCGAGGCCACCCAAACCGCCTGGAACAATACGAAGGTTTAAATTATGGTTTTTTAAAATAGGATTTTAAAGCTAGCTAGTTATAACAGTATTTGTTTTGTCCTCGTGATCAATCTTGATACATTTAGCTCTGGAAAATCGAGATTGACAACCGAGAACGCTGGGAAAACTCGCTGATGGGGTGGATATCGACGTAAGTTTGGATAAAATAATGTTTGCTAGATACATTTGCTCTTTTAGCGGTGATCCTTTGTCGAACACGTCCATGCAATTGGATTTCGCTTCAAAGGAAGACGCGATCGCTTTCTGCGAGAAGAACAATTGGACCTGGGAGTTAGAGGTAGCCACTTAAACGTTAAATTGTTATTTGCGTTAAATTATATTAGTTATTATTATTACTATCTTTTTTAGAAAGAGCAAATTCGCGAGATCAAGCCAAAGAGCTACGGCTGGAATTACTCGTGGAACAAGCGGTGTCGCAACTCAACAAAATAGACAAAATAAGTCAAGATCTTAAAATTTTCTAGTTGTATATCATAGTGTAATCACTTTTTTTGTCTGTTTTGTATAGAATTCACCGACAATAGTAGAAGAGATTTATAGTTTACTGGAAAAATATTGCTTGATGATTGAATAAAGCTTTTCAAATGCAGATTTTTAATCTTTTGTTCAGCGGTAGATTAACCGTGAATGTTTGTGCTAAATTTGATTTGAATTTGAAATAATTCTATGGAAAATTTGTTATTTGCTTAGATTTAAGCGGATTTTTATCCTTTTCATCTTGTAATTCTTTCTTTCAGAAATGTCGGCAGTGTTCGATCCAACAATATCGAGCAAAGAGAGCATGGCAACCGTTCAACGGCTGCTCGACGAGAATAGCGCTCTCATACAAACGATCAATCAACAACAGAAGCTGGTGAGGGTGCTTTAATTTGTCTAGCCTTGAAATGGAACGATAACCTGATAACATTGCCATTTCTAGGGTCGACTCGACGATGTAGTGAAGTATCAACAGCTTTTGCACCGAAATCTCGTCTATTTGGCGCGGGTGGCTGAGGATTCAGCGCTTTTGAGAGAATTACAAGTAAGGCTTTTGATAATTGTATGTCAGGGATGCTTAAAAACCGATTTCTGTTTTCTTGATCAAGTTAAACCTTGGGGGTACTTCTTTAGTATTCGGGGGGTAACGATTTTGGCGAACCTGTGTCACTGATTTAGTTATTAAAAAACTTGTCCAATTTTCACTTTAAAGCATTATTAGATAGCTTAGGCTTTGTAGATTCTGATAGTTTTTGAGTTTTTCAAAATCTATCACAAAAAAAAGTGTTTAGAGTGTGGGTTGAAGTTTGGCAAAATCGTTATACTAAAGAAGTACCGCCTTAAGCCTTTTCACTTACAACTTTAGGGCGACGAGCAACAAGCAGCGATTCCCTCTTCGTCCACAAACGGCGATCAAACGATGCACACGGAACACGAATTGAAGCCAACAATGATGTCTACGCAACAACCGGCACACCATCTACATCAACAAGAGCAGCGGGGCGCTCCATCGATCACCACACAACTGCCACAGGGACCTTCAAGTCAACCGCACACCCCGCTACAGCAGCATTTGCAACAGGTAGCTTGATTCCTTATTGGACGGGTCTAACAATATAAACAGAGCGGAGGAAACATTGTAACTTTAGGCCTCCACTCCTCAACCGATGCCTCGTGGTTCGCCGAGTGGTGCTCCGATGACCTCGCCGGGACAACAGGTACACTTTTTACATGGAACAAACTGAACTGGATTTTTGACTAGCTCAATGTTTTGTTTAGATGATGGGTCAACAACAGCCTCCACAACAACCACAACAGCAATACTATCCGGGAGGCGGACAACCATCACCTGGTCAACGATATCCGCCACAAGGACAACAAATACCACCACATGTAAGCTTTCAGAACATTTCTGGGTAAAAAAAACCCTCATTTTAGCCGTACAACATGTCACAGCAAATGATGGGTCAAGGTCATCCAATGCAACAACATCCAGGTGACTACATTGATCTGACGGAAAGGATCATCTGTTTTTTTCAGGTCAACCATCACTCGCACATCAGATGGGCCATCAATCGCTACAAGTCCCGCACGGTCACCAAATGCAAGGGGTTTGTTGTTGGGGTTTTAAAATTTAATGTTCTCCTGCTCCAGCAACCCTCTCCATCGCAACAAGGACAAATGCCGTCACACTACTACAATCAGGTTTGTGCTTTGCTTGGCGCTCAGGTTTGCATTTTTAGGCTCCACAACAAGGCTACCCGGGAATGGGCCCACCACCGCAGCACATGATGCATCCACAACACCCACAGGTTGGCATAAGCTAGCATTTAAGTACGGCCGAGTAAACTTGGCTTAAAGTCTTAGCAAGTAATGTTCAAAGTTAGTGGGCTATAATCTATTCAATTTTAGATGTCCCAACAAGGCCCACCGCCCGGCTACTCAGCACAAATGTACGGAGGATACGGACAGCAGCATCAACCACCTCCCAATCAACAGCAACAACCATCCGCTCAACAACAACAGCAATTTATGCGCTAGTTTGTCACTTTTTAAACTTTTATATTCTCATTTGATCTCTTGTTTATTATTTCTGTGTTTCTTCTTTGAATTTTTTCCCTAACCTTATTTTAAATTCTTCAATTTTTTTGAGTATCTCATAATCTTTTTCTCATTTGCTCTTTGCCCCAGATTGATTCTAAAACTTTTTGCGATTTTGTAACAAAACGAGGTAATTTTTGTTTTTGTAAAGAACTACATTTTTGTGTAATTTAGTATTTTCAAATGATAAATATAATATTTAAATAAGCTTTAGTGGTTAAAAGGGAAGCGATGCTGGATACTCAGATAGTTTACAAACACAGTGCCGAATGGCTAAAGTTTAACAATGCCCGTTCTAACATTTGTATCCTTGTCCATGAGTGGCCAAATCCAAATCCAGCTATGAATTAGCCAGAGGGAAGGGACAAATTCCTGACTGGCCTAAGGCTTTTTAAATCCTTGTTAGCCAGGGGCAAAGAGGTCAAGTGAGCAAACTCTGGTCCGTCTGGTGCCAACTGGTTATTAGAAGATATTAGAAACATCAATTCCAAAAAATTTATTTTAAAAAGAATGAGAAAAAGAACAATCAATGTAGCAGAGCAAAAAAGATACCGGTTGAGCAAAACGGCAAAAAAAAAATCGGGAAAATTTCTATAATGACTAGGGAAGATGTTCAGCATGTATTATGTAGTGTACCGAGAAATGAAATGGACAAAACTAACAAGTTTACAAATTTTAGCGATAAGTTTGAGCACAGAAAAACTTCAACATTGAGAAATTTTACGCAAAATTTGCAAAAAAAGAAAACTAAAACCCGTTTCATAAAAAGCAACCATACTTTCAAAAAAAAAATTTTCGGTAAAAGCAAATTTTAAGCAAGAAACGTGTGCCTAAAGCGAGTACAAAGACTAAAGAAATTTGTAGATTTTCTAAAAAATGAGAAAGCTAACGGACACAACGATAGCTACTAACCCTATAGATTTCCTTTCAATTCATCTCGTGTTCGTCGCACGGTTGTGACACGTAGTTCTCGTCGAAATGAATGACAATCACCGAGATATCATCGCGATATGAACGAGCCATCCCCGGGGGAACCTGAAAAGGTAATTTATTGTTTATTCGATAACCAGAATTTTTCCAAACGCAAATCCCAAGGTTAAACCAGGCCTGGCCTGTCCTGTCCTGTCCTGTCCTATGACCACCATACGGTGGTTTATGGCTCAAATTGGCCTTTTAGATCCGCCCTCACCGAATAAACTCAATCATAGCACACCTGTAGAATGTCGTTCAGCCGTTGATATTGCTCTTTCGTTCCACCAAGCACTCCACCCAGCGCGTGTCGAATCAAATGTGTTGCACAATTGTCATCAATCGGTTTCTTGTGATCCCCTCGGCGACGTTCGCGCAAGTCGCTCATCACCTAAAAAATATTTTGCATAAAGGCTAATGTCAAAAGATATATACAGGGTATCCCAAAAAAAAGTTACTTCGGGTAAAATTTTAAAAATATGGCTCAAGGTAGTAGGTATGGTCCGAAAATGATTTTTTAGGATCTGGAAATTTTGATGTCATGACTTTGATGCCATAAAATTAAAAGTTTCAAATCAAAGTTTTAATTTTATGTCAAAAGTCTCACGGTGGTGGCCCATATCATGAAAATCATGAAAAAACATCAAAATTTCCCGACCCCAAAAAAGCATTTTCGCACCATACCTACTACCTTGAGACACCGGAAATATTTTTAAAATTTGACCCGAAGTGACTTTTTTTTGGGACACCCTGTATATCAGCTTTTGGTTTAACTATAACATGCGCAATTTTTCCAATAAACAAACCTGTCCCAAATTCGTGCCACTCCTCGGTTTGTACGGCTGAAGAGTCATCGCACCAAGCGTGTGATCGTGCACCAATCGTACCACTGTATCCGCGTCCAGCCACTCCCATAAACCGTCCGTGGCGATCACCTGAATAAAAAGCGTTAACGAATATTCACAAAATATCCCTTTAAAAAAGAGCTTTAACAGAAAAAAAAGCCTCTTGTAAGATTGCACAGGTCAAATGTAATAAAAAAAACCATTTTTAATGATCAAATACTCACCAAGAATCGATCATTGACGGTCAATTTGTGATAGAGAACATCGGGAAGGGCACGCAAATAGGGGGGCGTCTGCAGATGAGTGGGCGCCGGCGAGCCGAGCGGTTCCAAAACTACCTGAAAAATGGGGAAATGATTAGTTAACTTTTAAAAATCGGGTCCTATTACCGTATCGCCCGTTTAACTTACCCTATAATGTGCTCCTTAATCCAATTCAACCAAAAAACTTACAATCTAGTGACAGAAAAAAACAAATCTTTTCAACAAAATCTTACCTTTTGCAACTCTCTCGGCCATTTGTATCGAACATCGCCAAAAGCGCGCAACGGGAAGAGTTCACCGAGGAGACGACCACCCTGAAAAAGAATGGGAAATCGGATACACTGAGCACTTTTTTTAAAACCAATAACACAGTTATCTTCTGGAGCTAATTTTAAATTTTTAAATTCTAAAGCTTACTTGAAAAATCGTTTGCGATTCGGAAACGGGATGCATGGCGCGGATGCCGGCCACCTGAAATGGGTAAAAGTCACATAATCGAAGCTTATCTTCAGAACCTCTTCAGCATTGTCCCAACAGTGTGCCAGACCTAGTTGACGCGCCGAAACGCCGCCATTTGCTGAGGAGACCTAGAAAAAATAAATCTATAACAGAGGCTATCTAAAACTCAAATATTGAATCAAACAGCACCCACCCCCAGCACAGCCGCCCCATCGCCAACATTGGCCACATGTAGGTGTCGTTTTCGAATGTGAGCCACCGTCGCACACGATCCCGACGCCGCAGTGAGGGCGCTCAACCTAAAACAACAAAGATTTATCAAATTATCGTATCAATCTTTGTAAAGTACTATTTATATTAGTCCAAATCATTACCTATCAACTTGTCCTTTCATATCCGGCAGTGCCTCTTTCGAGATGTCATCGTCAAGGGCGACGAAGGCCGCCTGAAACTGGAAAACTCAAATTTAGAACCGGGATTTTCGGGGATACAAAAAAGAAATCATCAATTCTAAACTCGAGTTCGTTGGGTCTGCTTAAAACGAATAGTTAGTCCGTGAAAAAGACTAGGTGACGCAAGTCAAATTTGTCAAATATACCTGATGTTCTGTGCCGTATAATATCAGGCAAGCTCAGGACTTTGTCCTGTTTTCTCAGGGTTAAAATATGTAAATTTTTAACCATACCTGAACCGCTTTCCTCACCGTGCTCAACTCGTTGTGTTTCTCGATGAAATCACTGTGAAATCGTCGAATGTTGTTCCGGTGTTCGCCCCTTAAAAAGTATCGACAATAAGCAAATTGTTAACGAAAAATATATTAGCCAAGCTTTATGTAAATTTTAAGCATTATTAGTAACACTTTTGACCTCGTATCTAAAAGGTTAGTTTGCGAAAACAATGAGGGGAAAACTGCCACCAATAGCTACCCAAAAAAAGAAACAATTTAAACATAGATAATCAGGTAAACATATCTGTCTCTTCGGCTATGACTCTAGAACATTTTGATTTTTAAAAATTTGAATTGGAACTGAATACTTTAAGGACTTGATAAGATATCAAACGTTAAAATTTGCGGAGGAAAACGCACTGCAATTGGGTTGGTAAATGTATGTGTTGATCGGCGGACGAGAAAAGCCATTCACAGCGTTTCTCCAAGGGCACTTCTTTTTCCTGAACGAAAAAAAGATATTCCGATAATTTAGAGACTTTGCCTGAATATCATTTCACGAAGAAAGATATTCAGTCAATGGTAAATAGTCAATGGTAAATAGTCAATGTCCAAACTCACAGCATGTTTCCGCAAAACGGCCGCCGATATGTACGGAAAGAGCTTCGTCGACACATATCGACTGCAGTACGATCCGCCGTGTCCATCGAAAACCCCAAAGAGATAGGCGGATGAAGAGGTGCCTAGAAGTTGGGGAAAAAACGGTAAGATTTAACAGTAATAATTTCTCTCAAAAGCTCATCTTTGTTTTTCTCAAAAAGCTCAAAAGCTCACATTTCGCAGCCGAGTAAAAATCCTCGATCGGTCGATTGGCAGCCAATTGACAAGTGTCGACGCGGATGATCGCCTGCTCGCCGATTTGTACACTTCGCTCATGAGCCCTGCAAAAAGATAAATATTAACATTGCTAAATAATACTAGTAGTTAGATATTGCTATATTTTTAAAGCAAAACCACACCTCAAATGCGCATCCGCATTCCATCGTGCTTGTCTCGCTTGTCGTCGCGTGTTAACCCATACCTGAAAAAAGTAAAGAGTATAAGTTTTCACTGAGCATTTCAATTTTCCTCTATAAAAGCGTGAGAAGATCAGTTGCACTTTTGAACTTTTAAAACAATAGTTAAGTTGTTGTCTAAAAAAATATTTTGTGAGAAATTCTAACTAATATCGGATTGCTTACTGCTTTAAAAGCTACTAATTGTAAGAAAATGGGTCTGATTAGGTGAATGTGGCTCCTTCAAACCCTGATATTGCCTAGATACACTGAAAAATCAAAAATACCCCACCGGTGCTCGATTCTTCAGCATTCCTCATCCGAGACTCGTTTCTTTCTGTTTTCGATGAAGCTCTCGTTGTTTTTGCTCCGTTCGTTCACTGAAAATCGGAAAAATTAAACATTGTTTAACAAAACTTTGTAAAAAAAAGTGGAATCGGAGCAGAAAAAGAATATTTTGGAGTTAGATCAGCAAGAGCTGAAAATCTCCGCAAAACTGCATCATTTTTTGCGATTCTTACAGCTCAAAACGGGTCTAAAACGTAAAATACAATAAAATTTACGAATTTTCAAAGCCAGGAATGGTTCGCAAAAACGCGAAAATCATTGTGAAATCAAAGTTTTCAAAGTTAACCTTTAAACTTTCGATGATATTATAAATTTTTGGATGAAAGAGTAAAAAGAATAGGGTATGTTGTGGTGTAAAAAGATGAAAAAAGGAGGAAAAAAGAAAGAGAAGGAAAAAAATTTCTAAAGAAACAACTGCTAAAGGTCTTTTTCTCTTTTTGCCCAATCCCAATAAATGGCGGACCACTCTCGCCATGAAAAATCAAATAGGAGACCGAGAGATTTAGGTGAAAACACGGTAGATCGGGCAGGTTTTAGTGCTTAGAGAAGAGCTTTACTAGAGTGAATTTGACGAAAAAGAAAACACTTCGAAATTACACGAGCAGAAACTGCAAAGGTAAATTTGCATGAGAGAAATGAACTCTTTCTCGACCCTAAAAAGTTTGCTATCAAAAAATGATTGTTTACCCGCAATTTGCTTATCTAAATTTTCCCAAGTATTTCACGTTTTACAATCATGTTCTCATTTTTCGCAAAAAACTGATTAAAGCCTTTATTCTTCAAAATCCCAAAAAATATCAAGAACAATAAGTGAATTGATCAATAGCCAAAAAAGGTTAATAAATGCGATTTTCAACAAATTAACCTTAAAATTTATAAATTTTTGCGAAAAATGTTTTAAAAAGAGCTGAATAGTGTTATAGCACTAGATTTTCAAAAGAACAAACAAATCAAATCGTTTAATGTGGGCTGTTCATGATGTACCAATGTCTGACCTGAGCGAGGAAAACGACAACACTGAAAAATGATGAATATTCCCAGAAAATAACGCTAGTTAAGGTAGATCCTCACCTCATCAATGCGATCAAACCGGCGGGCATAAACTTATGCGTCGCTTGATATTTGTTCGCCATCACATAGCCGAGACCTGCCGAGATAACTAAAGCGCAGTTACAGTATCTGAATTGAACGTTATTTGTTCCAAAAGCAATTTTTCTGAGTCTACAATTTTACTGCAAGGTGTGACCTACAAAAAAAACCCCTAAACTGTCAAAAATTAGGCCTGGACATGGCTATAGGTCCTAGAACTCGATCGGAAGGATTTCGGATGAAGACTTTCATATTATCCAAGCCTTTCAGAAAAAGCGCACCTGTAACTGCTAGCGTCTTATACGGCCAATTGAGATGTGTGAAAGCGGCGACGAGCACGCCCGATCCAGCGCCAGCGACAAGTGATGGGAGGGAGCCTGGAAAAAACACACAGTAAAGTTGCTTAACGAAGTATTTTACAGGTACAGATTGTGTGAAATGATCGTTCACTATTTCTACAACAAAAACAACATCTAGAATGGCTACTCTAATTGCAAGCAATCCGATCTGTGAGACCTGGCCGTTTCACTCTCGATTTCAACAGAATTTTCGCCTCCGGTGGGGTCACCACTCGTGCGTCGGGTAAATCGGCTGTAAACAACGGGGAAAACATTGTCGCTTGCTAATCTATTCTACTTTCGAGTTTATTTTGAAATCCCAAAAAAGTGCAGGACACAATTTACAATTTCAGAAAGATCAGGTCCTTAAAAAACAAGTACTTTAATTCTACGAGTGAAAACAAATCACAAGCTTCATTTATTCATTCTAGTCGATTTTTCCACGAAAAGTTAAAATCCAAGAAAACCCACCTTTCGATAGAAATCCGATTAGACCACCGGCTGTCAAAAGTGCTGCGTAGCCGATGTTCAGATGATAGAGGGACATCTAAAATATATAGATGAATAGAAATATGATTTTAGGAATAAAACAAGAAAAGTTACAAGTTATCGATGAAATTGATCAAAAATTCGAATTCAAATTTATCAGTAAATTTAATTACATTTTAGCGTTTGAAACATTATTTATCTAGGTATCCGTCAATTTCAAGTAGATAGCACTAAAATTCACTCAATACATCTCAACATCAATGTTTCAAAATATCTAGTCAAAATGATAAGATATGGCTTGCGGAAAGGAAAAATCGCCCGAAAAGCCAAAAAACCCCTCGAAAATCGATATTTCCCTTGTTTACTCACAAAAAGTGCATAAAAACACGAGAAAAACAACAAATTTCCAAATGTTTATCCCATTTTTTCACTCAAAGTGCACACAAAAAAATACGAATAGAGAAAAAAGAAGAAAAGAATACATAATATACACAAATCTACGGATTATTCAAAAATCTTTAAAACTTTAAAAAAAACTAGACAGATGAATCAAATTTTTAAAAAACGAATGACATGAAAGGGTAGAAGAATAAACGGGAAAATTGGCTCTATTGCAGAAAAACTTACGTTCGAGTCAAACAAATTTCCCTTTTACACGACTAGACTAACTATCAGAGCTCATTAACGAAAAAAAAGAGATAACGTATGAAATTTCCCTTGCGAAAACATGTGTAAACGCGTAAAAATTTTTGCTAAAGTAAGTTAGAATAACCTTTGAGTTTAGAAGATATCAAAAACAAAATAAATTCGTTTTTCAGGCAGACAACCTGGTTTGAGTCCGATCGCGCAAATTTCTTTACTTTTTTGATTTCAACCAAAAAACTCTAATTTACACCCTTTCGCGTACCCTTATAATCGTCAAACAAAAAAAAAACAACTAATCGAGCACACATTTTGAGGAAAAACTGAACAAAAGGCGTTTTACACAAAAATGAGAAGAAATAATTGCACAAAGCCTATTCTACCAAACGACTTTATCTTTGTACTCGGGTAGAACACATGTTTTCTTCACCGTTTCATATCCTAACATGATCAACATCGAGTAGAGAGCATTGTTGAGGACACGTGGAGCCAAACCCTGAAATGGGAAAAATATGAAAATTTCTTTTTTTTTAACTTTGAACATTTGTGCTTTTTTCTAACTTTTCGAAAAGCAAAGTCAGATCAAGGCCAAAGTCAGTATTGGTCTGGGCTTTCAATTTGATCCCAGCTCCAGTAGTATGTAGAGGTAGGGATACTGATCAAATAACGATAATACCTTTGAAAAAACCCGGGTTCCCTCGAATTTCCATAACCGGCGCAGCGTTTCAGTGTAACTCGTTCGATGAACCTAAACATAGCGAATAAACTTTAAAAGCGACCCAATATCTCGATTTACTTATCTAATTCTTCAACAAGTCCAAAACCCAACCTGTAACCGTATCCTGAGCATTTCCAATGGATTCGTCATAATTGCCTAAAATTTATTTATAATTCAAAACTCGCAAACAAGACGTACCGCCATAACACCGCCAATCGAACCGGCTAGGGCCTAAAAAGGAATAATTGAATATCTTTATCTTAACGCAGGTTTAATAAAACTCCATTAAATTTTACTTGGTCAATGTACAATTTCTCCTTCTGGATCGCATTTGCATCGATAGACGTGAAAAATGAGGCTCGTAACGATCTAAAGCGTAAATTTTAAAAGTTATAAAGTTTTTTTTTGCCTGAAAACATCCAATGCTTTGTAGTAGGTGCTCCAAAAAACCATCGTTGACGGGATATAGAGAAGGATCGCTGAGAGGAAACCTCTAAAATGAAAAAAAATAGTTTACTAGTTAAAAGTTAACATTGACCTTGATTGACTCCGCTCTAGACTATTCGAGTCAAGTCACAAAGGTCAACTTGTACTCTAACTGTAAAAGTTCACCGATAAAATCCCCGAAAGCCGTCGACTTTGTACACGGCGCGGATCACTCGAATGCCCAACGTTTGTCGCTTTTCCAAGCCATCCAACTTGAAAAGTTCAGTTAGAAATCAAAGACAAGAAACAAACCTGTAAAAAGTCGTGCACAGCGCCTCCCTTGCTCGAACCGGCAAACTTCTTCGCTTGATTATAGACCTGCAAAGATAGAGTTGCAAAGTCATTGATCATATGCCAATTATTGGCAACTTCTCATAAAACATGTTTATCTAAAACTTTAAAAACAAACCATCATATGTTGAGCTACAATATCGGTTGGCACAAAAACCATCTGCGCACAGGGTGAGGCAATTGCTCCTGCAAAAATGGAAAATAAGCTTAAAAATTTTAACACCAACCAGCCAGCGCTGAGACCAATGAGGGATTCGTGACGTCCAAATGTACCTAAGCATGGGGAATTTGTAAACCTGCAGATGGTTTTCAGGACTGAAGGCTTTAGCTTTATATTTTTAATGACTTACTTGTAGTAGGTCTCGCATTCGTTCGTATGTTGACGAGTAAAGGAAAGAGGCTGAGATTTGGGGGAGCGTCATCCAGAAACCCTAAAAAAACTGTAAACTAATGCTTATTTTGGAGTTATTTTTGTTACAACAATTTTAAATGTTCTGAAAACAATTGCAAGTGTTCTCTCTCAACTAAAACATTTTCTAAAAGGCGCACTTTTAGGCTAATACTCACCCGATACAAAGCGGTGAAGCCCTCCTGTCGAACAATCTCCACAAAGGCGTGTCGCATTCCACGATAGACGTTATCCTGTTTCTGGAGTTGCAAACGGCTCTTCACCACTGACCTAAAGCAAAACGTAGCGCACAGATGTTTCACGGATAGATAAAAACTTACATTGGATAAAGAAGACATCGGATCGTCCACGACGAGGCGATCGCCATCGGGTAAAAGCGCCACAAATTCAAGTGTTCCCATTCGATGACGAGGAGTTTCTAAAAAGAAACTAATTACCATAAAATGTTGTGATCAACATTTTAAAAGGGTTTTGTGCTTAATGAGCAGTTTTTATAGATCAAATTTTATAAACAATAGCTCAACGAGCAGCTTTTATGCAACAAAATTTCAAAAACAACAGCTCAACACGGTTAACCGGCCCATTTTTCGTCTAATATTTACAGAAACAGCAAGATCTAGATCCATAACATGCCCAAGATTGGATAAGAGCTAATTTTAGCTACTTAAAACTATTTTATACACAAATTCCCTACCGACTTCGTCATCGTCTCCTCGGCTCCATAATCCGCATCGGAGGAGGCCATGTATCTGTTTTTCTCTCGTTTTCTTGTTCACTTTTCTTCTTTTCCGCGTTTCTCGCCGCTTTGCATCACTTCAAAAGTGCGTCCTCTGAAAAGAAGCTATATTTTCAAAGAAAAAAACAAGGGAAAAGTAGAACAACAAGATTCAGGAAGAATTCGCGCACTTAAAGAGTTGATTTTTGAAAAAAGCACTGAACGCTTTCAGCACTGAACGTCAGAGAGTGTAAAAATGACGAATTTAAAAAAGTTATCAAGGAATTTCTCAGATGAAAACACAAACAAAGCGGCGACACGGTGATACAAATGACGAAGCGCCACGGAGCCGGGGATCTGTATTTGAATTTTAGTGTGGGTGTGTGAGAGAAATGTTGCATGGAAAAGGACTAAGGCTTGGCTGAAAAGCCATCATTTTTTTTTCATAAAAGCAATTTTTGAAATTATATACTTGAAAAATTATTTTTAAATTGTGATTTATAATTTAATATATTTTATTTTATAAATTTATAAATTTATAAATTCTAAAATTAGCCAATTCTTACAATAAATAAAATATTCAGCTAATTGGCGAAAATTTGTACTAGCTATCAGCTAATTGGCCCAAAATGTTTCTCAATTATTGTTCTCAAATAAACCTCGATCTCAAATATTGAAATCAACGCTCTCAACAGCAACAACGACGAGAATAATGGTCAATGACGGCTTCGAAAGGTTCAAAAAGGGTATGATTGAGAATTATGGAGTCCAGCTTGACGCGTTGACCGACTTCTTAGCTGGTCCGGCGGTCACCGAACCAACTTGGGAAAACGTAAAAAAATTCCACGTCAAGAATCTTTATCCTATCAATGACTTGACAGACGATGAAAGAGAGAAGCTCGGAGTGCTTTTGTATTTGTCCCAAACCGGGATTATTCCGATGACGGCATCCGAGCTGGCCGAAGTTGTAGTCCGTATCTTTGTGGACTCACCATGTGGCACCGAGGCTGAGCCGCGAGGAATGGAAACGGCATACAAGGCGAAGTATGAGAAACTTCTGGGCTTGTTCGATAGCTCTGCATGGCCAGGCATGGCGAACAAGTTTGATGCTTATTTGACTCCCGAAGTCTTGAAAGACCTGAAGACTGGAGATGGCCAAGAGCTGATCAAACTCATTCACGTGCGAAAGCAGGCCGAAACGGAAGAAGTGTGGAACAACCGTGTTTCTGGGGTCATGAAAGACGCAAAGATCAAAGACGGAATGGCCAACGTGGCAGCTGCCCTTGGATCTAGTGCATTTGGTGCCATGGTTTCAGCCGCAGCCACAATTCTGATTCGAGTTAGTGCAAAGAGCCCAGAACATGTGGCAAATTGGTTTGCATCAAGATGGACGTTTGGAGTTCCCTTCCGTACGGACCCGGATATTCTTGCTCAAACCTGGATTGGAATCGGCCCGATGCATCCATCTCTTGCAATCCTGTTCGCAGCTATGTACGAAACGGTAGAGGAGAAGGCCGTCTCGAACCAGGTTGAAGCTTCTTTCCGTCGGGATATCGATCTTCGATTCTCATTCCTCGGATTTCACTTGCTGAGCGGAATGCTCGGCGTCTCTAGAATTTCTGGAAAAGGCTATTTGGAAATAGCCACAGCCACTGCTCACGGGTCAACCGAAGAGGGATGGAGACGCTTGTGTAAATTCCAGAAGACACTTGATGCGGCTCTTAAATCGAAGATCTCATCACTGACTCTTGCTCCCGCCGGAACCATCCCGATGTGTTTGTTGCGTTACATTCGATTGATGTCGACAAACATCAGCGACGATTTGAACTCTCGTAAAAATCCCTTCCTCTCTTATCTTTTCGCCGCCATCGAGTATTGTTATCGCGGAAGCCCGGTAAATAGCGGACCAAACGAGTCAAAAATTGCCGGATGGGCCGGATTGCCCAAAGACACGCGCGAAGTTTTGATGGCATGGGCTGCAGTAATTCATCAAGACTGGATTTCCACTTCGGAACAAAAGATCATTGGCGTAGGAATCGCTCCGTCCATCCCATCGCTGCCATCAAATGAATCTATGGAATCTATTGAAGATCTATTCAATCGATTGAAGGGATTGAAGAAAGCTTAACCTATCTACACTGTGTTTGTATATTTTATTTAAATAGTTATCCATTTTGTTATCTTCGTTTCCATTCGTGTTTTTCGTTTTTTCAAATTTTCCATTCGTTTTTACTATAAAATGTTTACTTTTTTTTAAGGCGTTGCAAATGGACGAGAATAACGAAAAAGCTGAGCGAAACGAAAAGGAAAATGAGAAGAATGACGAACGAAAGGAAGAAAAAGATGCAGAAGAGGACGAAAATACGATAAAAATCGGTAGGTGTCAATTTATTTAAATTTATCATCTAGAACTTTATTTATTTTTAAGCTTTAGCTTTTTCTAGCTTTAGCTTTAGATTAGAATCCTTCAGCTAGGCTATAGACTATTAGGAATAGTTTGAGAGAAATTTTAACAAAATTTTGACCTTGGGAGCTTCTATTTAAAATAACCCTCATCGACTTGATAGCGTTTTTATGGTTTAGGAATCTTGTGCTAGGCTTAGGCTTATGAGCTAAAGGCTTAGGCTTATAACCAGTTTAAAATTTTTTTTTCTTTTAGCTCTTCAATATCGCCCACTTGATCGACTTCCAGTTGAGGAACGAAGTAAGGATTGTGTTTAAAGATAAAACAAAGTACAATAAATCTAAAGATACAGGGTGTTCAAAAGTTTCCCATTTCAACTCAAAAAAAGAGCTTTGACACCAAGACCACCACCTTAAGCTACTTGAACTTTTTCAGAAATTTGAGTTGAAAATGAGAACTTTTGTTGAACACCCTGTATAAATGATATTAAATTTTTAGCCTAAAAGGTAAACTTAACTGGTTGGCTTGATAAAAACGAACATTTTAGTGACCAAATGTTTCATCTGCAAAGATGGGGACAGCGTTGAAGAGCCGTTGATTCAATGCGAGCACAAGTACAAGGAGCCAGGCATAAAGTGCAGCACTCATTTCCATCAGGTTTGTTGATTTGAGGGAGAAAAGCAGCTGTAATAAGTTCGACGCCTACTGGAGCTGAAAAGCTGACGTTTACTGCTAAAACTTGTAAGCTTTAACACAATAAAGGACAAAAATGCCAGAAACTTTGTAAAAATGAAAATTTTAGGCGTGCATCGACAAATACAACGCCGGTGGCTTTTCGATGAACCGGCTTGAGTCAGAGGTGTGATAATAGTTTTTGACTTTAGCTCAAATTGTGCAAATTTTAGCGTATCTTCAAGAAATGCCCACTTCACATTTGCTTCACATGTTGGTCGGATTGTATGCGCACATCGGCACTTAAAGGTTTTCTTTTTTTCAATGACCAGATTCACATTTTCATTGCAGGAAACTTGCTGCAGTGTCACTATTGTATGCGAGCTTTTCATCTCACTTGTTCGCCGGCTAATCGTGTGGTGAGTTTTGGATGGAATAAAATGCTGACTAGAAGTTTAAGATTAGTTCAGCATTGGTCTGGGGCTAGGACTAGACCAAGACCAGAACATAACATATTTAGAGCAGGGCATGGTCAATGCCGAATCTGTCGGACGAGTGCTAGTGTCAGAAGCCAGGGCAGATCTAGGCCTAGAACAAGTACAAGAAAGGGGATTAGGATTAGGGCCATTCATATCCTAAAGCACATCCTTATAATTTGTTCTTCTTTAGGAGCCCGAGCCCAACTTAATCACACCAAGCACAGTGGATGCAGACGGAAAATCGATCGTAATAGAGAGCGTCTCGTATTGTATTTGCTCGCGACATCAAAACCTCGAGCCAAAGTGGGTTTTGTTTTCATGTATCAGAGTCTATTTCATATTTTCAGGTTGAAGAAAATGATAAAAATCAACCAGAAGCTTAGTTATTGCTGCGAGTGCAATGAGGGTGAGCACTGATTCATAAAAACTCGATGCTTTACCATTTCTTTAGCACCCATCGACGGTGAGACGTTGCAAGGATGCGCTAACTGCCCGCGCTCGTTCCATCCACGCTGTTATCGTTACACAAAAGTGATACCAGAGGGTGAGCTTTAGGCTCAATAGTATCTATTGGGTTTGCCCGGAATTAGATGTAGTAAACCGGCCTTCAAACTTTATAACTTTTGAACTTTGAGCTGAAATTTTAAGCTTTTGAGTGGCACAAATCAAGATTATCAACTTTATAACGTTCTTCATTTAGTTGCGGGGACGTGGTGCGAACGATGTATCTTCGCCGACGAGTTTCGCCTTAATGAATATGTGATCGTTCGTTACAAGAATAGGTTGGGGTGAATAATTTGAGACTTGCTAATCTATTATTTAGTTGGTATCCCGCTCAAATTGTGCTACCTGATCGCTTTCCGAAAACAAAGAAAAATATTGACAAGTTTGGAGAATACAATGCTGAGTCAGGTATATCTTGTATTGCATTTGACTGTCTGAGTGAGACGGATTAATATACTTTGCTAAATCCTAATCTAGACCTAGCCTTGCGTTTATTTTTTAAAAATTCTTCTAGTCAGAGTGTTTAATGTTATTTTTTCCAGGTTTTGTCACCGTCGCGTGGGTTGGCTACACGGATACGTATGCTGTGGCTCCATATCAACATTGCATTGAGATGCCCAAGGGAAGCATCGACCATTTTCGCCACTCGGATTCGAAAAGCAGGAATGGTTTGTTTTGTTTTAAAAGAACTTGAGCCTAAGACGTAATTCTTTCAGTTAGAATGTTTAATAACTTAGGTTGGCTAGAGCTCGAGGCGAGTAGCAACGAGATACCATTGCCACTTCCAAGCAAGGACGTCGATTTCACGGCCACAGAGTGCAAAAGCCGTTATTCGTCGATCAAGGTAAACTTTAGCTTGTGTACAAGCACTCCTCGCTTGGAATCGCTTAAAATATGAATTTTCAGCGTTCGATCTATTACTCGGATGACGCGCGACCAACCAAAGAGGATACATTGGATGAAGCGTTGTGTGATTGCCCAGAAGGAGAGGAGAATCGTTGCGCGTCCGGATCGTCTTGCTTGAATCGAAGCCAAAACCAGGAGTGCCCATTTGTGAGTCATTTTCTGAAACTAAAGGTTTAGTTAGCTGAATACTTTTATAACAGGAATAACAGGCTAATAGAAACTGGGCCATCAAGGTTTGGCTCGTTTAGCATTAATTCAGTAACTAAGATACATATAATGGCAAAGTCCACAATGCTTTTAGGCATGCGCGAAGAAACGCGGTGGTTGCTTGAATCGTGAGATTACGAATGGAGACTATTGCAAGTATGTGAAAGTGAAGGACGTTGGTCGAATGGGAAAAGGACTGTTTGCGACAAAAGATCTTGAAGTGGTGAGTGGAAGGTGGTTTTGCTCATTGACTCTTCTACTTTAGGGAACATTTATTGGCGAGTACGCAGGGGAAATCATTTCGAAGGCTGAGCAATTGAGACGGGTAAATGATTTTGAAGTAATAACTTGTTATGATGTTAAATGATTGCTTGTTAAAATGTTTGCTTTAGATTGAGCAGGCGACGAGCAGCCGTAATTTGGAGGAGATGCATTACATGTTGTCGGTTTCAAGTCTTCATCGGGTCGTCGACGCAAAGTTCAAGTCGAATTTGAGCAGGTAGTGCTTAACACGGCATAAAAATTGGAAAATTTAACCTTTAGATTCATCAATCACTCGTGCGAACCGAATTGCATCGTTGAGCCGATTCTAATCGTTATCAAGGAGACCAAGTTGGCATGTGTTGTGGGTTTTAGCGGTTTTTTGGTATTTTATAGATTTAAAACAGTACTTATACCTAATTCTTCGAGCTTATGAGTGACTTTAGAGAGACGAGCGAATTCGCATCACCACGACGCGTCCCATCAAAGCTGGTAAGCATTTTTTTTTGTTGGTAATAACTATGTCGTTTTAGCTTACTAACTAACCACTGTCTTAACTCTAACTCGATCATTCCCAATTTTCAGACGAGCAGCTCACTTTTGACTATGCAATGGAAGCTTACAAAGAGAGTGGAACCCTTCAGACGTGTCATTGCGGATCGAAGAAGTGTCGAGGTTTGTGAAAGGTTGTTGATCCCAATAAGTTGTTCTAATTTAGGAACCCTTGGAGGCAGAGCTGCAAAGCCGGTTATTGATGATACGGTGAGTTGTACTTCTGGTGCGCAATCTATTGTTGGTCGATAAGTAATGAGTCAATTTCAAACAGAAATATTTACTCAATAAAGCCATTTAAATCAATGCAAATAGTTTCCGCATTTTTCAATAAAAAGTGCCCGTTTTGCTGGTAGAAAGCGAATTCTTCTCACGTAAAAAAATCTTTGATTTTAAGTCAAACTAATTCTGTACCCATTTTTTGGTATCTTTTTCATCTCCATTGTCATCAAAGTGCTCTCCGACTAGAACATTTCTCATTGACCGAAATGAATGGTAATCTGATGGAACTAGATCTGGGGAATATGCTGGGTGGGGAGAAGTTCCCAGTCCAGGTTCTTGGTTGTAGAGCGAGTCAGTTTAGCAGTGTGTAGGCGAGCATTGTTGCAATATGGCCTTTTTCAGAGTTGGTCTTTTTTGGCTCAAGAGCTTTAGCCAGGTTCTACAATTGATTACTGTATTGTTGAGAGTTAGGGGTTTGCTTGTTATCCTATAACTTTCAGCACTCCCAGTATCCAATAATCCCCATTAACAACCTCAACCGGTCTCCCAGGGTGGTCGCTTTCGATCAAAGATTTGATCCCATTTTTAAACTTGTGAAACCATCGATCACATAGCCACATGTAGAGCGGGCCATGACCATATACTTTTGTTATGTAGTCTAGAGCTAGGCTTGAAGATGAGCATTTAGCAAACCCAAATAGCATAACATGCTGAATATGCTCATTTGGCAAATTTGCACTAATCGAAAAAATAAGTAGTTAATAAAGAAATAAGAATGCCCAATCAATGAAAGTGTTTTGAAATAAGGGAAGTCTGTTGTTTCTTTTAGTGGTAAACACTAAGGGTCAACTAAAACTTTATGGCAAAACTTCCTTTCTTTCACGTGACTCATTACTTATTGGCCAGCTCAATAACAAATGTTTGTTTTCAGAAGACAATGTCAAGGAAGATTCGCGGAAAGCGAAAGGTGCGAATCGTCGAAGAGGAAAAGGAGAACGCAACACTTGGATCACCGAGAAAGAGAAGAACGACCGGATCATCGGTGAGATCACAACGGCGAAGGGGTGCTGTTGCTGGAAGTGATGAGGTTTGTTAAAATCATTTTTTTAATTGTATATACTATCTATTTAGGCGAACTTGGTCGCTGTTGTGCCAGCTCTTGATGAAAACAAGGAAACTGTTGGGGCGGCAAAAAGAAGAAAAACGATTAGCGACTGCAAAGCACTGACAACATCACAACGACAACGAAGTGCTGATGTTGAAGGAAAAGATGAGGTTTGCTAGAGCTTTGTATTCTATGTTATCCATTTAGACGAACTTGGCCGTTGTTCTGCAAGCTGTTGACACTCGAAAAGACGATGAGACGGCAAGAACTCGAAGAAGAGGACGGCAAAGACGGGCGAAAGCCAATGAAACTAGTGCAATGATCGATGATGATGACAAGGAAAACGGCAAGACAGGGAGAAAGAACAAAAATGGCAAGGGAAAGGTGGGAGATTTTAAGTTGGATAGTAATACTTTCTAGTCTAGCAAACTATAACACGCAATCGAGTACGAGCCTTGCACCCTAGAATTTGTATGTTTTAGGCTGAAGCTGAACTGCTGTTTTTAAATATTGGATTACTGTAGAACCGCTATTGGAACAAAAAATCAAGCAACAGGATTACCTTTTCTAAGAGACATTCATAGATTACCTTTTCTAATAGACAACCCCTCCAGAATAGTATTATCTTAATACATAGATCAAGCCACTTTTTCTACTGTTCATTTTTAGAATTTTGTGCTCCCCATTGAGTTTCTGAGAGTTATGGGGAAACGGCGTTCAATGCCTCAACAGGTTCGTAGTTTTTGAATTGTCTAGTTCATTTTTCTTTTAGAAACCCCTTGAGTTCCGGAGAGTTATTGAGAAGCGACGTTCAATGCCTCAACAGGTTCGTGGTTTTTGAATTGTCTAATTCATTTTTCTTTTAGACACCAACCAGTGCAATCATTCCCGATCAGGGGGCTCTCGTGGTAATTGATGCACAAATGACGTGAGTTTTTTTACATGTAGAGTCAAAGCAGCAACTGCTTACTGATTAGTGTATAAGTAGAGCTGATACTTAAATACCATACTTTTTCTAAGGCTTAAGCGTATTGTGACAATCAATATCTTTCTAATTTTAGTGCCACTTCTCCACTTAGCCTCACTCAGTGAACGGGTCCACCAATTCTCCCGATTTTCGTCCAAATCATCGCCAATTTCTTCACTTCTTTCGTTTCAGTTTGCAAAATTTTGGTTTCTCTGTTGGCTTTAGTCCCCCATTTTTCCTTTTTTCAGCTTTTCGAATGATCTCTTTGTAAATACTTTGCGATCTCGCTCATTGCTCAACCCTATTTAATTCTAAATTTTTCTCATGATTTTCGTTCTTAAAAATGTTCTTATCTCATGACATTACAGTGCAATATGGTGATTTTTTGTCCTCACTTCATTTTTTCATCCCACTAACCTCTTTCGATGATCTCACAAATTCGGTTTTCCTTTGGTTTGTTTGTTTGTTTGTTTGCGCTTTGCTATTGTAAACCCTCCAATTATTAACAGATTGTTATTTCTTTGAATGAAAACGATCTTTTCTTTAGATGTCTTTTTTCCCTTTTATTGTATCGCGCGAATCTCGAAATCTCACTAATTTCTTGCTCACGTTAAATGATTGCTTCCCTATGCGACGTTCGAGTTATCAAGTTTCTCGTTTGCCACAGGCGCATCAAAATGTTGTTTTTTCACAGTTTCAGCTGCATAAAATGTTTGCGAATAAATGACAAGGTTAAAGCAAAAAACAAAAAGCGGCGGTTTCGCAGCTCTACACTATGGTCAAGGCGCAATCATCGGTCTACATTCAAAGGGTGAAGGGTACGGAGTAGGTTTGCTAAACGGGCATCCCGTCAACGCCTTATCGGGAAATTTCCCGTTTCCTGTCAATTTTCGGATAAACACGCCTAATACCGAGCATATCAGAAACCTCGACTTGCCTTATTCATATGGATATTACTTTTTTTAAAGGGGGGGGGAGTATTAATCGCGGCCGGATGACCATAAAAATTTTTTTACGGTAACCACCTATTTTTTTATTTAAATATTTAAATAAATTTAATTTAATTATAAAAAGAATAAAAATCACCCGGTCAGTGATTTGGTGGGTTTACAAATTTTTGGAAACGCTGCAAGGCTCGCGTAGTTCATCTACAAGGTAAGTGCGAAAGTAAAGCAAAAATCAGGCATTAAAAAAACAAGATCGTCACTCATCAGACACCTCAGCACAGTCTAGATCGATTGAGTTTTAATTGCAGATAAAGTTAAAAACAAAATAAAAAGCACAAAAAACAATAAAAATAAGTTGTTAATCTATAATTCTTCCTCTTCTTCCAAGCAGTTTCTCAAATCGGCTTCCTATCTTAGTCAAATTCCAACGCATCCTCAGCAAAAATGACTGGATCTCCTCCATCTTCAGCGCTTTGATTGACGCAATTAGATCTTTTTTTTCCATTCGATTGTGGTTTTCTTTTGTGCGTAACATAAGTTTTCTGGCTTTCGGAAAAGCAAGAGTATTTAGAAGACCATAAAAGCTAGATTAGCTTAATGATCTTTTGCATTATCTAAAAATAAAATCTCCATCTTGAAAAATGCATCTAGAGATGTTAAAAACCAAAATTGTAGATCGAAAGTCTAAAGAAAACAAAAAGAAAACATAATGCCTGATTTTTGCTTTACTTTCGCACTTACCTTGTAGATGAACTACGCGAGCCTTGCAGTGTATCCAAAAATTTGTAAACCCATCAAATCACTGAGCCGGGTGATTTTTATTCTTTTTATAATAAAATCAGCGATATTAAAATAAAAAACAGGTGGTTGCCGTAAAAAAATTTTTATGGTCATCCGGCCGCGATTAATACCCCCTTTAAGTAAATGTTCTACCAGTGAAAGAAGCAGAACCCGATTCTGGGACAGATAGAATGACCCTACTCCTTTTGTTGATATTTTAGCCCTTTATACTTTATAAATTTATTTAGAAAACAATGTTACACGTATTTGCGAGAGACACCCGCAACAAGTTGCCAACATATTCAAAAAAACAACAACAAAAGAAGAGGAAAAGCCAGTCGGCCGGAGTTCGGCGGCGGCAACAAACAAATGTGTGAGCATGAGAAGAAAAGACAATCAAAGCGTTAATGGCCCGAAAAGAATGACAAGCCGTCACACAAGAAAAAATGGGCAAAAACACATACAAAAAGTTATCAATCCAGATCGGCGAAGATCGTCTCAGCTCGCATGTCGAGCACATTGTCTTCATTGCTGATCGAAGCTTCACCGTCTGTCCCCAAATTCTCGACGTTGGCCGCGAGAAGATCGCTGAGTTTTGGAGCCTCGGCCGTCGGTTGCATCTTGATCACGGCCTAAATTTGAAAAGTTAATACGCGCTCAACTACTTACATACATTCTTGAACTTCTAAACGAAAGCTGATTGCTTTTACATAAATACGGGATAAAAATCTACTTAAAACCTCACCTGATATTTGGTAGGCTCAGGCAGAGCGCTGAGCACCACGTCGACGACCGTGCAAATGGTGATTTCTTGAACAACAATGGGATTCACTCCATCCTTCGACTTCCAGTATAATGTGAGACGTGGTGGCGCAGCATTTTCGTGGAATTCCGGGTCACGAGCCATATCGAGTCGCTAAACAGAAGCATTAAAAAGTAAAATCCACAAACTCACATTCACATAGACTCGCTTAACCACTCCATATTTGAAAACGAGAACATCAAATGAGGCATCGAGCACCGCGACAACCACTCCCTTTTCCTCCAAAGTTCCAACATGCTAAATAGAATGTTATAAAGATTAGATGCACTTCAACAAACCTTAACGAATAGACCAAAGAACGTGTCGGCACTCGCTTCAGAAACTGTCTTCGCAGCCGTCTTCTTGTCGTTGCAATGTCCGCAAATCTTGGCGATCTCCTTCACATCGGCCAAAGTTGGTGGCGGAGTGTAGCCACAAGCAGCCGACAACAAACGATGCACCATCACATCCGGATATCGACGAATTGGCGAGGTGAAATGCGTGTAACTAAAAACAAATCGTTAAAGTTTATAGTATTGTAAATTGCTTACAATGGTGTAGCCAGAGCGTAGTGATAGTAATCACTTTGCGATTTCACGGCACCGGTGCAGAAATATTGGGCGAGTTGCATCGGGCGCATCATCATCATTGAAAGCACTTGGTTGATAGCACTTTGAACCTTAACAAAATGCTAGAACCGACCGTTCGACTCAAGAAACCTCGTTTTTCCCTTCAAAGCGTCGCAGTCCCTGGGAAAGCAATTTAGACGTGGTGGCAGTGATCGGGAAACCAATCTTCTCACAAAGTTCAACCTAAAACTTGAATACTTTAGAAACAAAACCATCAAGTCGTACCGCTTCAGCCAGCACTTTTGCTTTTGGAGGAGGGTGTCGTCGAAGGACGGATGTTTCCGGGAAAGTCTCCTCGATCTTCTTAGCCACTCGCATGTTCGCCAAAAGCATGTACTCCTCGACAAGCCGATTGGCATCCTGAAATCATTAAAGTGAGAAGCTAAACAATAATCAAGTTTACCCTTTGCACATAGACTCCTACAGCGGTTGGCATGTTTGTATTTGGATCAAGGGCGAACTTCAACTTTGGTTGATCAAGGCGCAGAGCTAAAACTACTCATTTAAATCAATGCAAATTTTCCTATACCTCCGTTATCTTGCCGCTTTGTCCTAATCTTCTTTGCCATATTCCACAAAAGTTGGACCTGAATGAGTACTTTAATGAATCATTTTTAAGTTATACCTTTGTAGAGATTTCCGTTGAAGTGCATCCATCAGAGATTGGTGGTAGTTCGTCTGGGGCGAATTCCTTGTCCGGATTCTCGAGCATCTCTTGCGCGTGCTCATAAGCCAACTTGCAGCGACTTCTGATGATCGTTCGGGTAAACTTCTCGTCAAAAATCTGAAGCAAGGGATTCTTGAAATTTTTCACATACTCTACCTCTCCTTCCTCACTCATTTTCCAGACCACCGAGAAGCACAACCGATCCACACCAGAGTTCAACGAGCATAGCTCTTCACATAGTAATCGCGGAAGCATTGGGATCACCTAAAAATCTTGTTACAATGAGTCTACATTGAATTAAACTATACTTTGTGCACCAAGTAAGTTGATGTCGCTCTTTCACGAGCCCAGTTGTCCAGTTCACTATTTTCGAGCAAGAAGTGAGTCACATCTGCGATGTGTACGCCAATCTAAAAAATGGGGTTACAATAAATTTCTTGCAATAATAAAATTCAAGATACCTCCCATCCATGCGTTCCTTTTCCGTCAATGTCAGCGCAAGGCTTTATGTGTAGAGCATCATCGAGATCTCGGGCCGTCACAGGGTCTATCGTGAAAATCAACTCATCTCGCAAATCGACACGGTACTTGAACTCTTTCTAAAGTTGAAGTTAAGAATGGAATCCAAACACGTTCCACCTCCTCAATGTGCCATTGACTTGATTCAGTAATTGGAAGACTTGAGAGTGCGAGCGGTGAGAACTCCTTTGTGTCAATGTTATTTGAAAGCAGCAAACCCTCCGTCTCGGTGTCAATATCACCTAGAGAAAATATATTAGATAAAAGGTAAGGAAAACACAAAATACCAGCAAGTCCCAAATGTCGCTCAAGCTTTCCGCGAGCAAATTGTGCAGTAGAAGCCCAATCGACCATTTTTGCAACAAAGAGGAACTTCTGATAATCCTGGGGTCGCTCAAAGAAATTCGCCGGAAGTTGGTCAGCCTAAACAACAACTTTAAATGGCGTCACGATTCAAAACTTTAAATCGTGCTTAAAGTTTAATTTACCGGCAGCATCATCCTAGGCATTCGCGGATCGGTCGGGCTGAAGAGAGCCCAGTTGCGATTCCCATCGGCCATTACCTTCAATTGTCCCATAGCGGTTCGGCAGTTCTTCTGTTGAGCAATGAAAACCACCTAAGCAAAACAAGTAAAAAAAATACTTCAACTATACCTCAGCAGTCTTTTGTAGGCACGAATCGGGAACAATCTTTGAATCCTCCGGCAAATCAGCGAGTGTCCTCATCGATGAGCGTTTATTCTGTGAGCCGGTTCCATTTGGTGACTTCTTGACGACAGGTTGCGACGAGGAGAGGCGGCGAAGCGAAGTCGGATCCGAATCCACATCATCACTCTTGTTGATCCCAAGATTGGCCAGCATTGTCTAAAAAGATACAAATTACATGTTTAAGAACCTTTGCACTCACTTGAATATCTGGTTTTAGTGCAAGCCTCGTCTTTTGTGTGTCAGTCGGCTTTGGTGTAGCCATTTCCATCTAAAATTGACAAATAAAAGTCAAAGATTCAAAAAGAATTGCCTGAACAGCGACACGTATGAGATTCGTGCGCGAATAGCACATTGATTGGCTAATTGGTACAGGCTCAGTAAGACTTGAGGCGGAGACGGACAAACCAGTAACATTAAACATTGAGGACTGAACAAGACATGAAACGGAACGACAACAATAGGCGAACCTCATTCTGCTCAACAATTTTCTTCTCTTCTTTATTTGCTTCTTTTGATTGATGACTTTCGCGCCAAGCCTTATACGGTCCCTCAAGAACAACCCAGTTCTCGCGTTCTTTTATTCGCACAACAACGAGATCACCATGCAGGGCTAAAAATATCGTATTAGCAACAAATCGTGAGAAAAACAACAAATGAAACTTACCACGGTTTCGATCATGAACGCCCAAAATCAGCAAGTCCAAATCTCCCTCCGGGTTGTCAATGTAACTTTCCTCGTAATTTCTTTGATTCACACGAAGCACACCCTAAAAAGAAGCATTAACAATATAAGAAAGTAGGTGTACCTCAACGAGTTTTGATTGTGGATCGCCGAGTCCACGCTTGACATCGTCCGGGTAAAAGTACGGCATGAAATAAGGCTTTTTTGCCTTCTGATTCTGTCCTTGATTCGTTCCCGAATGAGATTCAAAGGCATTATTTGATGAAGTGCCACTAAATAAGAAAATGTTAATAATTTGAAGTGAGCTTCGTACCGATTCGCGTGTTGACCGCCATATCCGCCGCGATGAGGTCCATTGGAACGCATTTGAGAAACTAAATCAAAGGAATTGATACAAGTTAGGATGGTGGCAATGTTTTGAAATAAATAAGCTAAAGTAATCTACGAAACATTGCGCAAAAGGAAATGCTTATGCCATGTTATCAAACATCTGGCAACACTATAAACTACAGCAGATGTCGGCCAAGACGGGGAGCAATTTTTAGAGCTTGCTGATAAATGAAAAACATGACATTTTGCTATCAAAGAGGGAATACAGAGTATTCGCCAGAAAATCATTGTTTTGAGATGTATCACAAGGACAAAATTAAGTTCAAAGTTTAGAATAGGTTAATCTCGAGAACTTTTAAAGGAATAGATCGCTAGTGCCAGGTAGGGGCCCCATATCGACTAATGCTCGCTACCTTTCTGCGTTGAATGTGGAAACTTTGGTTTTGATCGCTCGTTGCGCATTGACATCCTGTTGTACTCGGGGCTTTCCCATGGGATCAAGTCCGGCTCGGGGGAGTAGGTGTAGTCGGCAGCACCGTAGTCGAAATTTCCTCTTCCCTTGTTCATCGCCGAGGAGACTCCCTTGAAGAGATCTAAATGATAGATAGAATATTGCTTTCATAGTAATCACTTACGTAACATACACGTCACATCCGATCCACTTTGCTGTTGTTGTTGATTAGCAGAACCGTAGGCCTCCATTGTCGTCTTGAAAAGCTCCGGGCGGAACATCGTCGACGTCAAACCCATATCACCACGATTTTGAGTTCCTAAATACAACCTAGAACCGTGTTTAAAATGAACCCACTCATTGGAATCGGAAATCCGGGTACAAGTGGAACGTGTTCACCAGCTGCATCGAAGACTGCCTTGCGCATCACGGGTCTCGAGATCTTCAGGCGCTCCATGATTGGGATGTTGGACGCGTCGTTCCCCTTTCCTCCAATCAGCTCCTCAACCGTTATGTGGCCAGTGCGCAGTTTCTAAATAAAAAAGTTTATCGGAGTCGATTGAATTGAGCCAAATGCCCATTAAACTGACCGGTGTTGTTGGAGGCTCTCCGAAAGCCGACCCATCATGGCGACACTTGTTCAGCAGGTCCAGTTGCTCATCACTCAATCCTTGCACGGCGACTCCGTAATTCACCTAAAAACAAGATTATTAGTTTACATTGATATTTATTCTATAAATCTACTAACTCTAATTAGTCTGCAAATTTAAGCTACAATAAGTGATCTTGTCTAAACTTTTACAAACTTCAACCCACGAGCTAAACTAGGTATCCGTTTATCCATTACTAGTTAAACTTCCCCAAGCTTCGTTTAAATAGTACTAGTAATACTGTACGGGCTCAATGAGTCATTTAACAACCACTGGATTAAATTTTCCAAGCTTCTAGAGCTTTAACCATACAAAACACTAAGAAATTTAACTCAAATCCTTATAGATTTGATGAATTTCCCCACTGACATTAAACCTCGAAGTTATCCTTCCAAATCCAATCAAAAAAGTCCTTACCGAGTCGAAACCAGCCGACGTCTTCGCTGGCAAACCGGAAAAATCCAGAGGCCTAGCCATTTCTTTCTCCAGTTGATAGTCGAAGCTTCAAAACTGTCTAAATAAAAAGATATAGTCGTTAGAAATCGGAAGTAAGAAGTAAGTTTATCGAAAAACACATTGAAAACGCTTGTTTATGTAAAGATTGTTTGTTTGTTACTCAAAAAACGGTTAATTTTGGAGCTGCTAGCAAAAGCGCTAAATTGCGCTTTTCAACACACTTTCCTACCAACTCTGATTGATCATTTTTCATTTTTGACTAGTTTCTCGTCGATGATGCTCGCTATTTTGACGCCTTCACCGGATTTGAAAATGGCATAAACTTGACATAGCGAGCAAAAAAGCACAATCAGGTCATAAAACGACGGTTTCTGGGGGTCTGTATAGGTATTTAAATGTGTTTCCTAATTGAAAACAGTGATAACTAAATTTGTGTAGCAGAAAACTGAAAAAAAGTTTGTTAGAAGTTGGGAAAAGTGATCTGTCATAGTGATTTTCGATAATCGCAATTTGACGCAAATGAAATTGGAGCAAAAAAAACGCGGCGCCTTTGTTAACACATTTAATTTTGAGTAATGGCTTGATTTTAACGAATTTTGCAAAAAGCTAGTCAAAAACGTTAAATTTTGGCGTTTTTCGCACAAAAATAAAAACTTGTGCAATTTCAAGGAAATGTAGCGATTCTTGAGCAAAATGGAAGGACTTTCAAGAAAATGCGCAAGTTTTCAAGTAGAAACTTTAGTTTCGAGTAAAATTTGGCAATTTGTGAGCAAAAGTTGACGCAAATGTACAAAATGACTAAAATTTGTGAATTTTCAATGCATTTTGGTACTAAAACGTAATCACGGATTTACCAAAATTTAAACGGAAAACGAAAAAAGCAGAAGCGCTAGCAAAATCACTGTAACAAATCAATTTTTCCCAACTTCTGACTAACTTTTTTTTTCAGTTTTCTGCTTCACAATTAGAAAACACGTTTGAATACATACCGTAAATACTATCATAGCACGCCATCCCCATAATGACGAGCGTACAGTCGCATAGTCTAACTTCAACGTCTCATTCTTCGCGCTTTATGCTACAGTGCGCTTGGGTGTCAAATGATAGCCCTTGAAATCTAGCATCTTTTTGGTACAAAAAGTGTAGTTGGGAAAAATCTAAGAGCTGAGAAAAAAAAATGATTTTCTAAAAAGAAGTTGGACTACGCGACTGTACGAGGGGTTGGCGTTCTATTAGAGTATTTACACTATACAGCGGTAAAGTAGCGGGCATCGTCGACGAGAAAAAGTAGTAAAAAAATAAACAATCAGAGTTGGTAGGAAAGTGTGTCGAAAAGCACAAATTTGGGGGAATGCGAGACAAATGCGACCTTTTTTTGCGCACCCGGTCCATTAGCGCACCATTTTTCGCGTTTTAAAAAAAGCTAATATTAACAAATTTCTATTCCTAAAGTTGTTTTTCTGGGTAATTTTAGAGCCTAGATTCCAAATTTTGACATATCAGAGCTTTGTTAATATTAGCTTTTTTAAAACGCGAAAAGGGTATGTTAATGGACCAGGTGCGCAAAAAAAGGTCGCATTTGTCCCACTCCCCAAATTTGGTGCAAATGATATGTGGCGCAAATAATTTGGCGCTGTTGCTAGCACCTCAAAAAGCACAGTTTTACCAAAAAAACTACCATTCCAATATTATCGGGGTGGGGGCACCTACGGAGTAGGCCTCTCCGCCAGGCTATAGGTAGTAAAATAAATACCATAAATATTGTAATTGAAGCCCCCCGAAGAGGAGGCTTAAAATAGAAGCTCCATCTTTAGAATAGAGGAGACTTCAGGCTTTTGAATGATTCCAGAAAGAGCTTGATTGGATTTTTTTCGTTCCCAGGCGGCGGACCCGAGTTGGATCGGCCTCGGTTGCTCAAAGTTGGCGTTTACTTTCCAAATTCCACACCATTACACCATACATCACTTACTATTAGTGTTTTTTCATAAAAAGCGAATGACCACAACTCTCAAGCACTCGGACGCTTTAACCCTTGAACGTGTGAATATTTGCTTGAACCCTCAAACATGAACTGTGTTTGAGGCGTGTGTGGCGTGTGTGCTTGCCCTAAAACTTGCTGTTTTTTTGAGCTTTCTCTTTTTTCTTTGTTTCACGTAAAATTCTAATATTCTTTCTTTAGAGATGGCCAAGCTGAAGGCCAAGAATCTACGCGAGGAGGATCTCAACGATAAACGTGAGGCTCGAAAAGCCGAATTGACCGCATTTCGGGTAAACTTTTTTGGCGACTTTGCAATTTGGGTGTTTGAGTTGAGTTGAGACATCTATGCGTTACTAGTTGATTAAGAATAGATAGTCTAGATCTATGTCAAACGTTTACGCCAATTTGTTCGCGTTTACTAGGCTGCTTTTGCTTAGCCGGTAGCTACTGAATTTGCCTTGCTTGGAAACATTAGTCGTGTTATGTGCGATAGTATGATAACACTAAGCTGTTGGTGTTATTGCTTTAGCTAGGATACAGAAGTGCTATGCATAAACAGTGCTACTGATAAAACTTCCTGAAATCAATAATATGTTTGGTCCTTTAGTGGTTGAGAGGGGTCACTTTTGGCTTAGTCAGTCGCATCTAGTGTCTTGAGCGATTGTGTTGATGCTCTTCCATCCTACGAAAATATCCGCCACCAACTTTGGCCGATGTGAAGGAGATCGCCAAGATTTGCGGACATTGCAACGACAAGAAGACGGCTGCGAAGACAGTTTCTGAAGCGAGTGCCGACACGTTCTTTGGTCTATTCGTTAAGGTTTGTTGAAGTGCATCTAATCTTTATAACATTCTATTTAGCATGTTGGAACTTTGGAGGAAAAGGGAGTGGTTGTCGCGGTGCTCGATGCCTCATTTGATGTTCCCGTTTTCAAATATGGAGTGGTTAAGCGAGTCTATGTGAATGTGAGTTTGTTGATTTTACTTTTTAATGCTTCTGTTTAGCGACTCGATATGGCTCGTGACCCGGAATTCCACGAAAATGCTGCGCCACCACGTCTCACATTATACTGGAAGTCGAAGGATGGAGTGAATCCCATTGTTGTTCAAGAAATCACCATTTGCACGGTCGTCGACGTGGTGCTCAGCGCTCTGCCTGAGCCTACCAAATATCAGGTGAGGTTTTAAGTAGATTTTTATCCCGTATTTATGTAAAAGCAATCGGCTTTCGTTTAGAAGTTCAAGAATGTATGTAAGTAGTTGAGCGCGTATTAACTTTTCAAATTTAGGCCGTGATCAAGATGCAACCGACGGCCGAGGCTCCAAAACTCAGCGATCTTCTCGCGGCCAACGTCGAGAAATTGGGGACAGACGGTGAAGCTTCGATCAGCAATGAAGACAATGTGCTCGACATGCGAGCTGAGACGATCTTCGCCGATCTGGGTTCATTATTATGTTTTCATATTTAAACTTTGCAATAAAAGATTTTATTAGTTTGGTTGCAAAATGAGATAAAAAAAATGAAAAAATTGGTACACTAAAGAATGAGCTCAAAGTGAAATTTAAACATTAAATGATACAAATATCAAATCTAGACGTTAAAACAAGAGCCTTCGGCATACATTAAACAATTTTTGCATAAAAATACACAATGATCTTTTCTCGGCCTATCGAAAAGTCGCGGATGAAACTCGTCGAATGCTTTATTTCTCGTATATTCATTCGGATCGTTTTCATATCCAATCAGATAGCCAATTTCCTTATTGTTATCAGTTTTATGGAATTGTCTCATTCTAAACTCGTCCAAATGCACCACATCAAATCCTGGTTTCATTGTAGCATAAACCAGTGTCGAGAAAAACTCGTTCAAAGCTAGACTACGCAACACTCCGCACCATCATTATGAGGGCGGGGTCCAATTACAGTATTTACGGTATGTATAATTTGTTGTTTATTGTTTGTTTAATTGTTTTAATAAATAAAAAGCAAGCAGTAAAATAGGTTTTTCCAAAATTTATCATAAAATAAATGATATAAATGAGGGAAAGACGAAAAGACGAAAATTTTTGGCACATTATAGAAAGCTGATTGTGATTGTGATTCGGAACAAAAAGGATGACCCGTTTTGTGACACGAGATTCGATCAAATTCTATGTACAAATTGAATATGAATACCGTATTTGTTCAAATAGAAGACCGGGTAAAGTGTATCATCGCGTACTCCTGCGTAGCAGCCCTTTTTAAAATTTCTTTTCTGCATAAAAGCTTTCAATCAAGTGCTAGAGGGCTGGAAAATGGCTCAAAAATACCACATGAGCTAACAGATTTTTGAGCCATTTTCCAGCTGTATAGCACTTGATTGAAAGCTTTTATGCAGAAAAGAAATGTTGAAGGGCTGCTACGCAGGAGTACGCGATGATACTCTTTACCCGGTCTTCTATTCGAAGAAATACGGTAAACCCTGAAGCTTGGTGATTCTTGTGCTGGATAGCTACAGGGCAGTACTGTAGTTCTTTAGCAGTACTGTAGCTCTTTAGCAGTACTGTAGTTCTTTAGCAGTACTGTAGCTCTTTAGCAGTACCGTACTTCAGGATTACTGTAGGTTTAGTACATCTAACAAATAGAGAACAAATAGGTACAATAGGTCATCACCCCTTTTGCCATCGGCAAACTTTGACCTTGAGTTTCTTGGCGTACAACTGTTCAATTGAAGCGATTTTGGTATCAATCAATAGAGGAAAACGTGACAAATTCAATGTTACCAAAATTGTTTCAATTGGAGAACTGTAGACCAAGAAATTCATGGGCAAAGTTAGATTGTTAATGGGAAAAATATTGATTGTCCTATTGATTGTCCTTGCGGGCCTATTTTCTTGGAATCAATCGGGAAATCTGTTATCTTCGCAATCCCTGCAGCTCCGGGAGGACAAAAATCGATTGGGATGGTTGAAGGAGATGAATTGACGGGGGTAAAGCGGAGAAGAATGGATGGAGAAGAGCGAGGGAGGCAGAGACACGGGCGGAGGGGTTTAACTGGAATTTTGAGCTACTGTAATCGAGGTAGAGCTACTGTAGTCGAGGTAGAGCTACTGTAATCGAGGCTGGTCTTCGGCCGATCCTGGCAGCAGCCAGGCTTGAACCCGATCATTTTAGAACATCGAAGCCAGCGCTGTTAAAACCAGAGCTGTCCGAGGAGTCAGACAGACATAGAGTCAGACACTGGCCTAGCCTGCTGGCCTTTACAAGCTCTAGGAGTCCTTGCAAGTCCCTCGGCAAAGTGTTCTTGCAGCTGAGCTCTAGGCTGAGCTCTAGGCCGAGCTCTAGGCCGAGCTCTAGGCTGAGCTCTAAGCCAGTCCAGGTCTGACTGGCCCTTTTAGACCAGGCATTAGACTGTCTAATGCCTGACCTTTCCTCTGCACTCACCTGTAACAATAGGGAAAGCAAATCAAGTCCGTTGTGGAGTCGGAAAAGAGAGGAATGAACCTGAAAGCTTTTGAGGTTACTGGGGAACTGCAGAATCGAGTTTTAAGCCGTTTTGAGTAAATTTGACCATTTTTTTCCTATGTTTAGGGTATACGGTAGTTACGGTTTACTGTAGAATACGGTAGCTAGGGTATACGATAACCAAGGTTACTGTAGAATACGGTAGCTAGGGTATACAGTATCAAACCTTTATCCACGTCAACTCGTCTTTCGGCGGATAGATGACCGGATTGTAGTGGGGCAGTTGGAGGACCTGAAAGGCACAGAAACTGTTCCCCAGAATCACAAATGATTCTGGGGAAAAGCTTGGCTGGTATGGCTGGTAAACCGGTAATCTATAAAATGCCGAACCTGAGGCCAACTCGTTGTATCGGGTGTGCCGCGAATCGAGAATATTGTGTGCAGTTGATCGGCTACATCTCGACTACCGGGAAAAAGCGCTCGCCCAGTGCACATCTCGGCCATGATACAACCGACACCCCTTAAGAAATTCAGTGTTAAATTCAGTGTTAAAGGGTACTGTAACTATTTCCCTGGCTCGTTAGACTCTAAAGCAACTCTAGCTGCTATGCTCTAGCTGTTAAGCTCTAACTGATATACTCTAACTGATATACTCTACCTGCTATACTCTACCTGCTATACTCTATCCTCTAGCAGTTAGAGTTAATGTAGAGTCAAGCCTGAGAGTCTCAGGCCAACAAGCCTGAGAAATCGTTACAGTATTGAAGACTGTTGCGACGAGAAAATATTGTGTGCATCAGAGCAAGCAAGTTGTCACAAGGAATGGAATGGACCAAGCAAGTTGTCACAAGGAATGGAATGGACCAAGCAAGTTGTCACAAGGAATGGAATGGACCAAGCAAGTTGACCAAGCAAGTTGTCACAAGGACCTCTGAGGACCATTAGCACTTATCAATTAGTAGGACCAATCTTGAAAGCGACCTCATGGTCTATGACCAGTTTATTAAACTACCAAGGAATCCTGATGACCTAGCTGGACTACTGGACTGGACTACTGGACTACTGGACTGGACTACAATACCATGCTTAAGCAAGTGCGAATAACTTTATGGATAGACAAACCCTTTACACCTTACACCACACTTACCACATGTCCAAAGAGGTCGAATAATTCGTGCTGCCTAACAGGACATCCGGTGGACGATACCATAAAGTGACCACCTCATGGGAGTACGTTCGACTAGGAACACTTTTCGCTCGAGCAAGCCCGAAATCAGCCAACTTCAGCTCGCCTCTCTCGTTGAGGAGAATGTTTTGCGGTTTGAGATCTCTGAAAAGCTGGAGTTCGTTTAAGGATTAGTCGATCAGTGACCGGGCAGAGATCAGTGACCTAACAGGTGCTTGTAAATGCTTTCTGATAAGACCAGGACAGGCCAGGCAAGATCTAGGACAGGCCAGGCAAGACCAGGCAAGACCAGACAAGACTAGGACTTGCACTAGCCCTGCTTAACCAGTTTAGAACAAGGCTGGCTTGAGTTGGGCGCAGTCCCAGGCAGTCCCAGGCACCCAATCCTCCAGATAACTCTTATCCAGCTTGGATAAGAGTCCAGCTTGGATAAGAGTCCAGCTTGGATAAGAGTCCAGCTTGGATAAGAGTCCAGCTTGGATAAGAGTCCAGCTTGGATAAGAGTCCAGCTTGGATAAGAGTCCAGCTTGGATAAGAGTTCAGCTCCCACCTGTGCAAGATCTTCTTCTGATGGCAAAACGTTAATCCACGCAACAGTTGATACAGTAAGAGCTTGATTTGGAATGTTTCCAGACCATCCGGGTAAATCTCCAAGTGCTTTGCCAGGTCAAGGGTCTAAAATTGATCCAAAAAATATCGAACTATTTCTATTTCTCTCACCATGTACTCAAAAACAAAAGTCAGTTGATCGTGTTGATAAAAAATGTCATGAAGACAGACGATGTTCGCGTGTCGTAACGTTTTCAGTAAAGAGGCCTGAATGGATGAGATGAATTGGGAGTATTGAATGGATGGATAGGACTGAAGAATGGATAGTACTGAAGAATGGATAATACTGAGGAATGGATAGTACTGGATGGATGGATAGTACTGAATGAATTGGGAGTACTGAAAGAATGGAAGTACATGGCTGCTCTGCCCCTAGTAGATCGTAGAATAAGGATCTGACTTTGAGACTTTTATAGAGCTTTGATTACTTTGTAAAACAAACTGTTCTGTGTCTACAAACTCGTCTACAACTATTCTGTATCGACAAACTCGTCTACAACTGTTCTGTGTTCCAGCAAGATCCTGTCTACTTTGTCTACAACTGTTCTGTGTTCCAGTTAGATCCTGTTCTTACTGCTCTGGCCTAGTCTCAGCTATCCAGAGCTACAATCTCCAGATCGTAGCTCTGGATAGCTGGCATTCTATAACCCCACGTCTACCGTACCTCTCTTATTGCTGTGAATGGTAGGCCTTCTTGAAATTGCAACTTGATCTCTTTAAGTGCGACGAGTGCGCCGTCAAGTCTGAAAGCTCGTCTGAAAGCTTAAAAAAATCCTCTCTACTCACTTGGATTCACATTTGTACACTGTGGCATAGCTTCCCTCGCCCAATTTCTCGATTCTTGTGTACAAATCGTCGACATTTTGCTGTGGGATCTCCTGAAAGAAATCGTTGTGTCAATTTCTTTCAAAAATTACGTTACGTTCCTATTTGCATCTAATTTGCGTCGCTTTTTCGTCTCATTCTCTCCCACAAATTTCTTTTTTTGTTAGTTTTTTTTCTGGAAAACGCTAAGACGCCGTAGACGCTGTAGACGGCTAAGAAAACGAAGATGGAATTAGGTTCGGTTTGGAGTTTCTAGATCTAGATCTAGTTCTAGTTCTAGTTCTAGTTCTAGTTCTAGTTCTAGGTCTAGCTCTAGTTCTAAGTCTAGCTCTAGTTCTAGGTCTACTTCTAGTTCTAGTTCTAGTTCTAGGTCTAGTTCAGCTTGACTTGAAGCTAACTTCTGGCCTAGTTAAACCAGATTTGGATTTGGCTTTGGTTGTAACATCATCTGGACATTACCTGGACATAAACCAGAACTCTCAATTCATCAATTCACAAGCCTACCTCAGCTTTCGGCAGCACAAGGGTGTTCGGGTCGAAATGCGCCGACCGAGGTCGTCTTCGTCTCAACTGAGTGAAATCGCCCACCTAAAAAGTGAAAGATTCAAAGACATCTAGCTTCACTCATCCACTATCTACAAAAGTTCTTGCACTGTTTTTGGGCGCCCGTTTCAGTGATCCGATTTATATTTATCAAGATTCAGAAAAATCAAGGTCGTAGAGCTTCAAAAATGTTTTCACAGAAGGGAATCATATGCGTAGATTCCGAATTTCGACAAATCAGACCTCGCTGACACGTCAAATTTGGACTAAAAGTCAAAAACTGCGGAAAAGCGTTAAGTTGCGTAGTTTTTGCCTTTTAGCCCAAATTTGACGTGTCAGCGAGGTGTGATTTGTCGAAATTCGGAATCTACGCATACGATTCCCTTCCATGAAAACATTTTTGAAGCTCTACAGCCTTTCCTAAGGCCTTTTCCAGCAAAAAAAAAAGGTGCGCAAATGTCCAGGTGCGCAAAAAAAAGGTCGCATTTGTCCCACCCCCTTTTTTACTTGATTAATCGACGCTTTTGGTCGAATAGCTACGAGCAATCCTCTTTACACGTCGAGTAGTTTGAATATCTTTACATTTCAAAGGAATTTCCCACAAAATCAATTAAACAACTGAATATCTTTACATTTCAAGGGAATTTCCCCTAAAACGGCTAATATCTTTAAAAAGAGCCGTTAAAAAGAACATATCTAGATCTACAAACCGTTTGACTCGTCGGGCACATCACTCGACTCACAAGCATCGCTTCATTTTGGTGGGTCGAGCGCGAGCGGGAGGGCCTGAAAAAGGAATGGATATGTCAACGTGAGCAATGGATACGTCAACGTCAACGTCAACGTCAATGTCAACGTATTTCTATGATTATCTATCCGAATCTGATACAAATCCATAATTCACCTGAATATCTGAAAGATATTCTTCACAGAGGCGTGCATCGAGGTCGAACTCGAAGCAGTGCCGCCTTGTGAGGGTGAGACAACGGCTGGATGCCACGAACGAGTCACATCATTCCACATCTCTGAAAAAAGGTTTTTCTTTTGTGCATGCGCTCCAGTGCGTTCCAGAAAGAAATATATTGTAGTCTGAAATGAGATCAGTCTATTTTAAAAGCCTATAGATGAAAGTAAGCGAATTTGGGTAATTGGTACTTGGATAATAACCAAATCAACACTCAAAAATCGTTCAGTACTGACGAAATGATGTGTAAAAGGTTTGCCTTTCCCTAAAAGAAACCCCCATTAAAAGCTTTGTGCAGCTCTGAAAGGGAAAAAAAACGGAAATGGAATCGCTTTTGGAGAAAAATGGAGGGGAGAGAATGGAATGGTGAAATCCGACAAGAAGAGTCAATTTTCGTCTCAAAAGAACCGATAAAATTGCTGGGAAATGAGGTGGGATGGGTTTTGTTTCAAAAAGCCAGAAGTTATGGCTAGTCAAGCTAGGGCAAAGTCAGGGCAAAGCCAGTTCAAAGCCAGATCATAAGCCATGCATATGGTTTGGTTTTTGGCTGACCTAGAGAATTTCGAGGCCAGGCAATGCTAGGCTAGACCAGGCAATGCTAGGCTAGGCAATGCTAGGTCAGGCAATGCTAGGCCAGGCAATAAGCCAAGGCCATAAAGCCCAAAGCCATAAAGCCTCGAGCTATTAACTGAATATCTTTCTTGTCTCATTCTCAATGCTGAAGAAGAGCTCAAGGAATTGTTGGCAACGTATCGATCACGGAAATCACTCATCAAGCTTCTGGTTGTTTAAATTTGTTGCGAATTTTGTTGTAAAGTTGTTAAGTTGTTGTTAAGTGAATAAAACAAATTACTCAAAGAAAACATTTAAAAAAAAACAGTAGCTTGTGATTTTAACATACTAGAAAGGCAAAAGTCAAGAAAAAAGTTAAATATAGCTTATCAAAAGCCATAGCTAGCTAGGCCATATTGATTGATGGCTTGGATTTGGTTTGGCTTTGGCCTAGCCTGGCTTTGGTCTGGCTTGACTTTGGTTTGACTTGGCTTTGGTTTGGCTTGGCTTTGGCCTAGCTTGGCTTTGGTTTGACTTGGCTTTGGCCTAGCTTGGCTTGGCCTCAAACAGTTTAAGAACAGTCCTGTTTGAGAAGAAAGATATCGACTCCTGTTTCTAGCTAGTAGGGAATTATCTGGTATACTATGAAGCTAGACTGCCCCTAGCTTTGTCTTGGGTAACTTGAGCTGAAGTGCCAGGTTGGGCAAGGATCAGCTTTAGGGCCAAGATTGGGATAACTGAGGGTTCAGGCAATTCTAGGATTCTAGCAATCTAGGATTCGAGCAATCTAGGATTCTAGCAAACTAGGATTCTAGGATTCTAGCAATTCTAGCAATTCTAGGATTCCAGGGAAACCTGGTAATTCTAGGATTCGATCATATAAATATTCAGCAATGGGTAATCGAAAGCGGGCTACAGCAGGCCAGGGCTGTAGGCCAGGGCTACAGTAGGTCAGGGCTGTAGGTGAGGGATTAGGGTAGACTTAGAAGTACAGTATCTCTCTGCTGACCATTAGCCGTTGAAGGGGGCGAGTCGTAGAGGCTTTGCTTGGTGGAACCATTGTGCGATGAGGACGAGTGATGATCACCAACCAAGGCGCTGTTCTCCTAAAGAGAACAATTTTGATATTTAACTCTAATATAAACAATCGTAAACCTTTCTACTTAATTTCTACAAATCTTTTCGAAACTTACAATAATCTGCGACTGTTTCCGTTTCTCTTTCCCTTTACGCCCACGTCGAAGTGAGAAGAGACCATTCTAAAGATAAATGTAAACTAAAACATATGCAAATTCAGTTTTTAAATTTATTTACCCTCAAGACGGCTAGTAGATGAAAATTGAGTTGAAATTTCAATTTTGGTTGATCGATGCTCATTGAAATACAGTTCTATGCTGTAGTTCTAGCTGGGTATTGAAATCAAAAGAATTTCCAAAAAAAATAAGTAATGCTGGAGTGCACAGAATCAAAATAATTAAGAATTTTATAAATTGAGAGCTTTTAAAAGTGGTTGAAAGTCGTTAAAATGACTTCACTTAAAAATTCGCTCTTTTAACCAAGAAACTTTTCGTAAAAAGTAGCTAAAAATAAATGCTGGATGGCACAGAGAAGGGAAAAGTTGGGGAAAAGTTGACTGGGGACAGTTGAAAGGGGTGGAGGGGAGGCCGAGGGGTACTAAAGGTGAGTACTTAGACTTACGAACTGGGGGTCTCTTATGAGTAGTTTTCTCGAAAAAACCTTGTGTTGTGCCCTCCAGGAAAGCCAAAAAGAAAGTTTCCTAGTCTTTTTGGCGTTTTCCCAGGCAAAAAACTCAACGATCTCAGTTCATCGAGCTAAACGGTTTAAAGAGCTGTTTTTCAAGGAAATTCTTAGCTTTTTTTTCCATTCTGGAAGTCAGAAAACATTATTTTTTAGTCATTTTTTATGAAATCTTAAAAACAAGATCTTTCATTTATAGCGCAGTGGATAGAACGGTTGTCTACAAAACGATCAACCATGGTAAGGGCTGGGTTCGAGTCCCGCAAGTGGGAAAACCACAAAAAATGGTTTTTATTTTAATGGAAAATGTTGAAAGTGGATAATCAATGATTGGGAATTGAGTAGAATTGGAAAAATGAGAAAAGGGGTTTTAAAAGAGTCGCTAAAAGAGCCGAGTGATCGAATGAGGCCATTTGGCGGGTTTTTTTTGGTTAAAAGTCACAAAAGAGAAGGCAATCGGTGAAGATTTACGATTATTTTGAGGGAAATGATGAGCAAGACATTGATGGGAGCATTGAAGGTTGGATGGAAAGGAGTTGGTTGAAGAGGAGGCTGAAGGGGAGGCTGAAGGGGAGGCTGAAGCTCAAGAGAAAGCTCAAGAGAAAGCTGAAGAGAAAGCTGAAGAGAAGCTGAAGAGAAAGCTGAAGAGAAGCTCAAGACAAAGCTGAAGAGAAGCTCAAGACAAAGCTGAAGAGAAGCTCAAGACAAAGCTCAAGAGAAGCTCAAGACAAAGCTGAAGAGAAGCTCAAGACAAAGCTCAAGAGAAGGCTCAAGACAAAGCTCAAGAGAAGGCTCAAGACATAACTCTAATCGTCAAGTCATGTCAGCGTCACTTTAAAGCAACAAATCATAAGATTGGAAAGGGAAAAAGATTGCAATTTGTTAAACTTATGGACTAAGGTAGGTTTATCTGAAAGTTAGTGTCGATCTAAGACAATCCAAGTCAAAAATGAGTTCACTGGGTCATGTGATATCCAGAATGGCCTGGGATTTGGTTTGGCCTCGATAGGATCGGTTTGGCCTTGGATCTGACTTTGATACGGGTCTGGCCCTGGATTACTACTCGTGCCTTGTGTCTGGGATCGGTTGGAGCATCACTGCTCCTGACTTTAAAGCTTCTAATGTAACCCTACCGTAATCTTACGTCTACCGTAAGGCTTTAAAGCATCTACCGTAACCCTACGTCTACCGTAAGGCTTCTAAGCGTCTACCAGTGTCTTTTAAGTGACGTTAAAGCGTCTACCGTACCCTACCGTAACCCTACGTCTACCGTAAGACTTTAAAGCATCTACCGTAACCTGTGAGCCAATTGTATGTTACAGTAACCCGTGAGGACATCATTTTAAAGCGTCTACCATATCCCGTGGGTGATCGTATGCTACAGTAACCTGTAAAGTTGATATTTATCGTACCCTAGCATCGTGAAGTACATCAAGAGTGGAAAAAGGGATCTCTTGGCCTCTGGGAAGATCAGGGTCGGTTCCTGGGCCAGGTTAGTATGACAGTAACCAAAGTACTTCCAGTACTTCAAGTAAAGAAATGAATGGTAAAGAATTTGGGACCGAGGGGGAATTGAACCAAGACTTTCTGCTTACCGGGCAGATGCTCTACAGCTCTGCTCTACAGCTCTGCTCTACAACTCTGCTCTACAGCTCTGCTCTACAACTCTGCTCTCCAGCTCTGCTCTACAACTCTGCTCTACAGCTCTGCTCTACAACTCTGCTCTACAGCTCTGCTCTACAGCTTTGCTCTACAGCTCTGCTCTACAGCTCTGCTCTACAGCTCTCGGCTCGTTTATTACCCAAGAAGAAATAGGGAAGACAAGGAAGAAGAAAGAAGGAAGGAAGGAGAAAGGAAGGACGAAGAAAGGAAGGACGAAGAAAGGAAAGAAAGAAGGAAGGAAGGAAGAAGAAAGAAAGGAAGAAAGAGAGGACTACAGTAATCCAGGTTATGCTCTTGTGACAGACATATGCTAATTTTTAGAACCTTCTCACCTTTTTCCCGGGTGGACTCTCGCTTTGTTTCTTCGTTCTCACAAATCGTCGATCGATCGTTGACGGGGAAACGGTGAGCCGACTTTGAGCGAGATTCTCTTGCGACACATTCACTCGATGTAGATTCTCCGAGCTTTTTGAGGTTCTAAAAAATTCGAGATATTTATGTCATAGCCGTTTACGCTCTGCTCTACAGCTCGTTTGTCGTAGTCGTTTACGAAATTTAGCCACTAACGAATGAGGGTATTCCCGGGCATCCAATCAAAAAGTCATCAACATAAAAATGCTCATAATACATATATTTTATAATAAATTTTTGAAATTAGCTTATTTGGTTGAGTAGAAAATTTTTTATAGCCATTTTTGAACCTAAACTTTGGGGGCTGAGAAAAAATTTTCTACTAAGCCAAAAAACTTGCTTTATAGCTCATTTTGTAGCCAATTTGATGTAATTTCTTAAAGTAAAGCTACATTAAACATTTGTTTTTCAAAGCTAGAACAAAGAGGGCGAGGAACGACTTCAGTTGAACTCGGTCGCTGTTTTCACATTTGAGAATTGCCCTCTTTCTCCTACTTTCAACGAAAAATTGTTTTAGATGGCTTTACTATAAGAAACTACATCAAATTGGCTACAAAATGAGCTATTAGGCAAGTTTTTTGGTTTAGTAGAAAATTTTTTATAGCCATTTTTGAACCGAAACTTTGGAGGCTGAGAAAAAAATTTCTACTCAACCAAAAAACTTGCTTTATAGCTCATTTTGTAGCCAATTTGATGTAGATTCTTAAAGTAAAGCCATCAAAAACAATTTGGAAGTAGAAGAAAGAGGGCGAGGAATAAATTCAGGGCAATTTTCTGTGAAAACAGCGACCGAAGACCGAAGTCGAAGTCAACTGAAGTCGTTCCTCTTTCTCCTACTTTCAACGAAAAATTGTTTTAGATGGCTTTACTTTAAGAATCTACATCAAATTGGCTACAAAATGAGCTATAAAGCAAGTTTTTTGGCTGAGTAGAAAATTTTTTATGTTGCCCGGAAAATTTTTGATTCGATGCCCGGAAATACCCTCATTTGTTAGCGGCTGAATTTAACGGCTGAATTAAACGGTTACGATACATATACAGCTACAGCTTTCTATATTTATAACCAAAAAAAGAAAAACAACTCCAAAACTCTCACCTAACCACAGAAAAATGCGAATTGTGCAAAACAGAAAGTGAACAAGAGGGACGCATTCGACGATTCTCTTCAAAACCCAACCATATTCCTAAAATTTCACTTTCAAATTTGAATCTCTTTAAATAAACCGATGTGCTGCGTGAGTTTTCCCCACATTCCGATTTCTCACTCGGGCGCTTGATGAGAAAATCAAATTTGGCTCCTTTCCACTCTCCCTTTCCACCTTTGATTCAAAGATTCGACTAGAAAATGCATTCTGGAGTGCACGAGAGAGAATGATATCAAAAAAAATTGAAAAAAATCAAAAATCAAAAATTAACCAGTCAAGAATTACGGTAATAAGGACACATTATAGATTTCAGAAAAATTACGCAATTTTCACGTCAATTTTACGTCATTGCGTGTCCTGTGTTCCAGGATTAGTAAAAACAATGTAAGATTGAGAAAATAGGAGAAGAAAAAGCTAGTAATCGTTGTCAAAAAAAGCAGCAACATGAGAATGGAGGATTTTCGAGGGGTTCTTGGGGTAATTTATGTGCTCTCAACGGGTGGAATGCATTCGATGGACGTCAGATTAAATGTGAAAGAGAGCAAGAAACCTCAACAAATGTTTTTTTTTCTTTTTCTTTTTGTCGAGGAGGCTGAGTGGAGGGAAGACCCGTGTTGTTACAACCACTTTTCACTTTTCCGCCAAAGTATCGCTCGAACGTCACTCTGTGCACTCCAGATGGCAGAAATTCGGCAGAAAAAAAGGAGGAATTCTTTCAAAAATTGATCAAAAAGTGATTAATTTCAAAAATTTCGATGACAAGGCGTTTTTCGATGCTTTTGCTATCAGCAAAATGAAATCTGCGTAATTTTTTGGGCAATCTGGTGCGCACAGAAAATGAAAACACTTTTCGGGATCGCTTTTTGTGAGTCAATAGGAATTGTTGGTGTCAGAAAAAGGGCTGGGGGAAATTTATGCAAATCAAAGCAATAATCAGAGTTTATTTTGATGAAAATGTTTTATCTGGAGGTCACAAAAGATGTTTAGATAGTCATTTTATGTAATTTATGATAAATAGAAAAAAAATGACATATAAGATATAGAAACTACGCGGCTGTACTATGACACCCGTACTAGAACGTACTATAATGTACTATAATGTACGATAATGTACTAGAACGTACTAGAGCGTACTATAATGTACTAGAACGTACTAGGATGTACTAGAGCGTACTAGAACGTACTAGGATATACTGTAATGTACGATAATGTACTAGAACGTACTAGAGCGTACTATAATGTACTAGAACGTACTATAACGTACTAGAACGTACTAGAACGTACTATAACGTACTAGAACGTACTAGGATGTACTAGAACGTACTAGAATGTACTAGAACGTACTAGAACGTACTAGGATGTACTAGAACGTACTAGAACGTACTAGAACGTACTAGAACGTACTAGAACGTACTAGAACGTACTAGAACGTACTAGAACGTACTAGAACGTACTAGGATGTACTAGAACGTACTAGAACGTACTAGGATGTACTATAATGTACGATAATGTACTAGAACGTACTAGAGCGTACTATAACGTACTAGAACGTACTAGGATGTACTAGAACGTACTAGAACGTACTAGAACGTACTAGAACGTACTAAAGTACTTAAGAAAGTGGCAAGGAAGTGAATTTTTGAGCCTTTTAAAAGAAAGCGAGGGTAGGGACAGTGAAAAACATTGAAAAGTGAAATTCGAAACGATTTTCCGATCGGTCCTGATTTTTTTTCCAGGACTGGCACGTGATATCGTCTAAAAATAAGAAAACTTTGAGAATTTTTGAGAAAAATGGGAATCCTGGAATGCACGGAAGCTAATGAAAACGAGAAATCTGATAGAAATTTGAATTTTTCAAAGTTGGGGGTCAAGAATTGAGATCCCTGGGAAAAAGCTGGCTAAAATTTTAATTAGATAATTTTAAAGAAGATATTTGTGAGTTCTGGAGAGCACATGATGTAATCTAAAGAAAGCTAAACAATTTTAGTCAAGTTGAGGCTTTAGTTGAGGAGTCAGTCTAGACCCACAGTAGATATGCTAAAATGAAAAACTCTTTAATTAAAGCTGATAGATCTTTAGTGTGACTCCCAGGATGAGCATTTAGCAAGAAAAAAACGAGGCTTTCTTTGCGGGGGAGGCCGTAAAAATGAATGGCAATGTCTCTAGACCCTAGGCTGGACCCTGGACCCCCCTTTCAAGCCCTTTCAAATAGAGCCCAACATGGAATGCATGGGCTTTTTGCTGGGCAATCCCCTTACTGGAAAAAGAGATGGATCCATCGCATACACACACAAATGTGAAGTGACATAGAGGAGAAGGGGTGCAGGGATGAAGAATGGCCCACCCTACCCCGCTGGACACCCCATTTTGATCCCCTTTTCGATGAAAACGGCTACTATGGAGAGCATGCTAGAGTTCTGATTTGTAAAAACAAAGAAAAGTAAGGAAATCGAGCAGTTGGTTTTTTGAAAATGAGACTACTGTAAAATATCCAATCTTAAAGCCAGGATTTTAAATCTTTCGATAAAAACGGCTATTATGGAAGGCATGTTAGAATTCTGATTTATGAAAACTAAGAAAAGTAAGAAAATCGAGCAGTTGGTTTTTGAAAATGAGACTGCTGTAAAATATCCAATCTTAAAGCTAGGATTTTAAATCTTTTGTTAAAAACAGCTAGTATGGAGAGCATGCTAGAGTTCTGATTTGTAAAAACAAAGAAAAGTAAGGAAATCGAGCAGTTGGTTTTTTGAAAATGAGACTACTGTAAAATAATTCATTCTAAAGCCAGGATTTTAAATCTTTCGATAAAAACGGCTATTATGGAAGGCATGTTAGAATTCTGATTTGTAAAAACTAAGAAAAGTAAGAAAATCGAGCAGTTGGTTTTTGAAAATGAGACTGCTGTAAAATATCCAATCTTAAAGCTAGGATTTTAAATCTTTTGACAAAAAGCTTCGATCTGGAAGTCACAAAAGCTGAATCGAAAGCCAAAATGATGAGAAGCTGGATAATTTGTGGGGTCTGTGGGGAGCTGGGCATGGAGGCAATTGTGGCCTCATTTCGAGGGCCCATTTCGAATCGACAACAACTGGAATTGGTCTTTTTTCAGGGCTCGTTGAAGTTTTTAGTGCTCAAGAGTCAATAACTTAAAGCTAACCCTGAAGCAAGTACTGTAGTCAGTAGTTTTAGCTAAAGCTAGCTTGTAAATGTCAACAGCAGCTAAAAGCAAGCCGAATCTCTCGAAAATCAACTCCTTCGCTTACTCCAACGATGAAAACAGCTACTATGGAGGGCAGGCTAGAGTTCTGATTTATGAAAACTAGAAAAAGTGTGAAAATCGAGCAGTTGGTTTTTTGAAAATGAGACTAGTGTAAAATAATTCATTCTAAAGCTAGGATTTTAAATCTTTTGATAAAAACGGCTATTATGGAAGGCATGTTAGAATTCTGATTTATAAAAACTAAGAAAAGTATGAAAATCGAGCAGTTGGTTTTTTGAAAATAAGACTAGTGTAAAATAATCTAATCTAAAGCCAGGATTTAAAATCTTTCAATGAAAAGCTTCGATCTGGAAGTCACGAAAGTCACGAAAGCTGAATCGAAAGCCAAAATGTTGCTTTAGTTTGACTGGACCCTTATGCGAGTCATTACTGGCTGGAAAGGGGAGGTTTTCATTAGAGCCATCTATGGACTGGCCAAAAAAAGAGAAAAGCTCTTTGTGCTGCCCAGCTCTGCCCAGCTAGCCGGCTCGTAAACGCGAATTGCAAATGAGGAGGGGGGAAAGGCTGGAAAGCGCCCGAAAGACAACTGCTTTTTAAGGGCTGGTGCTCTGTAGCGTTTGAAATTTGCGATATCAGCAAAACAACGCAAAAACCGGGTAAGCTGGATGTCAGGTTGGATGTAGGAGAAGGAAAAAGTGAGGGAAGACAAGATTTTGTGGGGAGTGAGTGAGGGTGACAACTGACTCTTGTGTGAGTGGAGAGATCTGTGGCAAGGGAGAGGGGGGGTTTGTTTCCGAGTTTACGGATCCAAAGGATGGTTGTAAGGTGTAGTGTGAGTGTGAAATCGGTTAGCTTAGGTTAGCTGGAGGCTGAGAGGAAATTCTCAAATTGCCTCAAAAAAAACAGAAGAAAGAAATATCAAAAATCATCAAAGTTTAATAAAAAAGTTAGTCAAGTTGTTAATGCTTAAAGTTGTTAATGCTTCAGGTTGTTAAAGCTAAAAGTTCTCGAAGAGTACATCAATGTGAGTTTCATAAATGCAAAATTCATCAATGCAAAATCAAATTTTACATTTAGGCTTTGTTTCCGTTGAAAATCTCTGTTTTAAACGCGACGGAGGTAATTCGTGGGTGTTGCTCGATCGAATCAACAATTGGATACATTCAGAGTCCAAGGTGGAACGCACGGCAGCGAATCCGCTATTTAACAAGTTGTTAATGCTTCAGGTTGTTAATGCTTCAGGTTGTTAAAGCTAAAAGTTGTTACAGCTAAAAGTTGTTACAGCTAAAAGTTGTTAAAGCTTTAAGTTGTTAATGCTTAAAGTTGTTACAGCTAAAAGTTGTTAATGCTTAAAGTTGTTACAGCTAAAAGTTGTTAAAGCTAAAAGTTGTTAATGCTTAAAGTTGTTACGGCTAAAAGTTGTTACAGCTAAAAGTTGTTACAGCTAAAAGTTGTTAAAGCTTAAAGTTAAAGAAACTACAGTCGCCTCTCTCGATAACGGAATGAAAGGACCAAAATTTTTTTACTTATATAGAGCTTTCCATTATATAGAGTACCGTTATAGCTTAATGTCGGCCGGGACCAAAATTCCATTTCGTTATCTAGAGTTTTCCTCTATATTCCGTTATAGAGAGAGTCGACTGTAATCTACAATCGCCATTTATTCTTCTCTTTGTTCTACAAGAAAGTTGATTATCGGAAATGGCACCTTAGGAAGATCGCATAAGGCATAAGGCTCTTTTAAACAGCTCTCTTTTAAACAGCTCTTCATTGTGCATCGTGCCGCATTGCATTTTTTGTACTGCTTGGCTAGAGTTATCAAAATCATTAGAAAATATTACGATTCTTCTATTCTATGTAAAATTAAGCGTAGATTTTATGATTAATTCTTGTTTTTCAGCTTAGGTTAATGTATTGTCTTGGAAAGACAAAAGTTTTATTTAAAACAAAAAGAGGTCAAACGGAACTTTGTTTGGGATGGCAAACAGGGTGAATTTCTTAGAAAGCCAAAAAGATGACAAAAAGAGTCAAAAAGATGCATGAAGCGCAACACTATAGATGCGGCACTTTGTAAAGCAGTTAACGACGCGATTTTACGTCCAAAATACCACCCAATGTGTTAAATGCTGTTTGAGGAATACAATGGTTTTCCAGCTAGACAAAAATTGCTAGCCAAATTGCCAGCCAGCCAGACTAATGTAGCTTTGTGATGCTTAAATCTTTAAAGATTATTTTAATTCTTTTAAATATAATAATAATACTTTATTCAAACGATAAAGTGAAAGAAATCATAGAGAAATGCACAGTGATACTTAATCATACAATACATACTGAAATCAATAAGCCAATTACTTACGGCAAAGAGCCACTAGATCTAAAGCATCGATACGTTTCTTGAATATGAAAAGCGACTGAATTTCTCGTATGTCGTTTGGGAGCAAGTTCCATAATCTAGCGGCTCTAACGGGAAATGAATTTGATAAAGAGGCATTGGAAGCAAAGGGAATTTGCAAAAGGAATGAGCCACTTCTGGGCCCTGACCGCGGTTTAAATTTGAAAAAGTCTATAAACAAAGGGCTAATCTGTTTACAACGGAGGATTTTGAAAGTTTCGACTAAATCAATGACAAAGCGACGATGCTGTAAAGTTTTTAGTTCAAAAAAAGCAAGTCTCTCCTCATAAGTAAAGCTAGAATATTTAGAATAGTCAATTTTCCATAAAGCGACTTTTGTGAACCTCCTCTGTTGATATATATGATATAGTTAATCTTTTTTTACAAATTTATAGGTTATAAAGAGCCAAAATTGGCTCAGAATTGTTTTTATTAGATAATAAAAAGATCAAACGGAAAATGAAACGTTTTTTTTTTTTGTTTAAACAGATGAAATGAAAGAGAAAAGAGAACAAATTATAGAAAACTTTCGGATTTTCTGAGTCAAATTGATTTTAAAGTGATTTTAAAGTGATTATAGTCAGTTTATAGTCATTTTATCGCCATTTTATAGTCATTTGTGCAACTCTTTTACTTGCAACTCGATTACTCGGCCTCGGCCCAGGAGCAGCCTCGAGCAAAGCTACAACCACCAAAACGACCGAATCTGGTCAACGTCCTCTCCAGGCAGCTCTGCGATTGTTCAACACCGACAAAATCCCAAATAGGTCATGGGATGGGCCGGAATCTGCGCAACCGGCAAAACTCCTCGCATTTTCATCGATTCTGGGGTAAAAATCAGTAAGTATGTGTACCAAAAAAAGATTCTTGAGGATGTTTTGCTTCCATGGGCTCAACAGCATTTTGGTAACGGATTTTGGACCTTCCAACAAGACTCCCCTCCTTCTCATCGAGCCAAATCCACACAGGACTGGTGATACAAACTTTCCGGATTTCATCTCGGCCCAGGAATGGCCTCCGTATTCGTGCGATCTCAATCCGTTAGACTACAGTGTTTGGTCAATTTTGGGGGCAAGGGCTTGTGCAAAACCCCACAAATGTTTCGAGGCTCTTAAGCGATCGCTGACCAGGGAATGGGATCGAATCACTCCCGACCGAGCTGCGGCCCATCGCCGAAAACTTCATCAAGCGTTTGAGGCTCTACATCGGCGCCAAAGGTTGCCACTTTGAAGAAAAGTAGATTTTATGCTCTCTTTATATCATGTTGTTAATAAAAAAAATTGTTTCTGTTACAAAATCTTTTTGGATTTTTGAAAAAATAGGCTAAATTAGGCGGCAACGTTATTTCTGGTCACCCTGTAAAAATGGAACTTTAGAGCACTACTTTTTAAAGTTGTTTTTCTAGATTCTTACATAGTTAATCTTTTTTTACAAATTTACAAGTGATAAAGAACCAAAATTCAAACAGAATTTTTCTTATTATATAGTAAAAAGATCAAAAACGGAAAATGAAACGTTTTTTGTTTAAACAGATGAAATGAAATGTGAAATGAAAGAGAAAAAAAGAACAAATTATAGAAAACTTTCGAATTTTCTGAGTCAAATTGATTTTAAAGTCATTTAAAGTCATTTAAAGTCATTTTAAAGCCATTTAAAGTCATTTAAAGTCATTTAAAGTCATTTAAAGTCATTTAAAGTCATTTAAAGCCATTTTAAAGTCATTTAAAGTCATTTAAAGTCATTTAAAGCCATTTAAAGTCAGTTAAAGTCAGTTAAAGTCATTTAAAGTCATTTAAAGCCATTTAAAGCCATTTAAAGCCATTTAAAGCCATTTAAAGTCATTTAAAGTCAGTTAAAGTCAGTTAAAGTCATTTAAAGTCATTTAAAGCCATTTAAAGCCATTTAAAGTCATTTAAAGCCATTTAAAGTCATTTAAAGCGATTTTTTGCAACTCTTTTACTTTCAACTCGATTACTAGCTTCCTCTAGTGCACTAGAAATGATGTGTTTACAAATTCTTAACACAAAGTAAACTGACACAAAGTTTTACGTGAAAACAATCGTCAGAATAGCTTTTTTTTCGTGGAGAATGGTTTTTATGTCGAGAAACGAGTTTGCTTTTTGCCAATTTCCCCTCAAGGACAATATTCCTCTTTCACTCATTTTCCCATTTTTCTTACTGAAACACTAGCAGTCAGACTTGGCTTTTCTTTAGCTTCTTTAGCGTTTTGCTTTGCTCATTTGTAAACGCACCCTTTCTAGCATACCAAAAACCCTCAATTCTTCAGTTTTCTTTAATTGATTCTTTAATTAAAGAAAACTGAAGAATTGAGGAAACTAAAGAAAAATTTTCATTAGAAAGTGAAGAATTCAATGCATTAGAAAGAGTGTGTTTAGGGATGAGCATTGAACAGATTTCAATGCCCACCCCTGAACAGATTTCAATGCTCATCCCTGAACAGATTTCAGGTGTCTCATGTCGCCCAATGGTTCTTCATTTCTCGTAAATTTTCGCCATCTGTTGCACAAACGATTACCGATTTTGAAATGGTTTCCCGCGTATCGTTGGCGCGAGGATTTAATCGGTGATCTCACTGGAGGTTTCACGATGGGTGTCATGCATGTCTCTGAGGGTAAGTCGGATTTCATGAATCTTGTAATGGAGTCTAGACTTTTGTATCTCCATATTATTGGATTGGTGAATTGAAAACTGCCGGCTATTGTCATATGTGACAGTTTGAGCACTTTCTTCAAAAGAAACCCATTTTTGTGTCAATGGAAAAGTTGTAGAGAATCAAAAATGAAGCTTATATTCAAATTTCCAAAAAGATACACTCAGTAGCTTCGCTTAAAAACAAAATACACTTAATAGCTTCGCTTTGTGTGTTCTTTGTGCGGCCGCATAATCGCTCGTCGTCTGGCACAGGGCTTTTACATAACCCCCTTCCCTTTCCCTTTCCCAAACTAATCTGGCCGGCTTCGAATCCTCAAATTGGACATTGACTTCTCCTCAAATCAAGGCTAATCTCAATCTATTGGATTGGTGAATTGAAAACTGCCGGCTATTGTCATAGATCACAGTTTGAGGACTTTCTTCAAAAGAAACCCATTTTTGTGTCAATGGAAAAGTTGTAGAGAACCAAAAATGAAGCTTATATCCAAATTTTCACAAAACTTGCATTTTAAACGAAACTACTAAGTGTATCTTTTTGGAAATTTGGCTAAGCCTAATTTTTGATTCTCTTCAACTTTTCTATTGACACCAAAATGGGTTTCTTTTGAAGAAAGTGCTCAAATGCTCAAATTGGGACATCTCCAGTCCTCCATTTTTGAGTCTCACACACAAACCAAAATCCTACTACGAAAGAGGAATCCGCAAATTGCCTGTAAAATGGACAAAGTCGTCAATAATAATGGAAATTATTTGGAAAGAATTTATGGTTTTATGTTGAATAAATTTTAGTTCAAAATCCGGCAGTTTTCAATTCACCAACCCAATAGATCTAATGTTCGATTCGAAACGATTCACGCAGTTTTGTAACGATCCAGGAAATGAGCTTTGCTTTCGTTGTTTCCATTCAACTCCGCAAACCATATCACAATTAGTTTTGGCTTTCATTGTGGTCTGGCTACGAAAAGTTCCGGATTCTCCACTCGGCTCTCAAATGGAAATAGATTTCTTTCTCATTTCAAAAAGAAACAAAAAATCTATTGCATAAAACAATAATTGAATTAATCTGATAAAAACATAACAAAAAAACTAAATGATTTTAAAAAATGAAAAAAATGAAAAAGAAACGATGACGCGACGCTCCCATCGACTATCTCCAAATGGCGGGCGGTGACGTCAATTGGAATGCGACGTTGCGCGAAAATTACCTTGACAAAAACAAATGATTTGCAAATGAAAAATAAACGACGACGAGGCGCTCCCATCGACTGTCTCCAAATGGCGGTGACGTCAATTGGAATGCGATGTCGTCGGCTCCCAAATGGAAATTGATTTCTTTCTCATTTCAAAAAGAAACACAAAATTTATCACATAAAACAATAATTTCAATTAATCTGATGAAAATAAAACAAAAAACAAAATGATTTTTAAAAAATGAAAAAGAAACGACGACGCGACGCTCCCATCGACTATCTCCAAATGGCGGGCGGTGACGTCAATTGGAATGCGACGTCGCGCGAAGATTAAGATTTAAAATTTGCGACAAAAATTCAAATTTAACATGAAAGCTTCTCAAAATCATTCTCTATAGATTTCAACTACAGATTCATTAAATCTGTAATCGAAACTCCGAATCCAGAGCTCTTAGAATAGGCACAATAGCTATAAAACTAGCTATTACTTTAGGCATGGCATACGCACCATTGACCTAGACGCTACCAAGTTGAACGAGAATCAAGTCCGCCTTATATACGCGACCTTACACATTCTCTCACGTCTCAATGTTAGACAAGGATAGTAGAAGATATTCAGTAATCTGTTCAATAAAGCAAAAAATAAACCGAGACCGAAAACCAGATTTATTTCCGTTTTGAATAGACAAAATAGCCATAAAACTAGCTATTACTTTAGGCATGGCATACGCCCCATTGACCGGGCTGAGACCAGTGAATGGACTGTTCACATCCCTTTTCCCTGCTCTATTCTACATGTTTTTCGGAACATCGAAACACGTTTCTGTTGGTGAGTTGAAAAGCTTATTGCTGCTATTAGATCTGATCCCTGTCTAGTCATAAATCAGCCTTGTGTTCTAACAATTAATCATTGAAGCTTGATATTAGGCTTACTAGAAAGAAGAAGAAGGGGAAGAAGAAGGGGAAGAAGAAGAAGAAGAAGAGGAAGAGGAATAAGAGGAAGAAGAAGAGGAAGAAGTGAAAGAATTAGCAAGAAAAAGTAGATTTCCAGAGATTGAACCCTCGACCTTTTGCTTTCCTGGTAATTCTAACCACGGCTCTAACCACTGAGCAAGTACCTTAACTTGCCAAGAGAAAGAAGGAAAGATAAGGGGGAAGAAGGAAAGATAAGGAGGAAGAAAGAAAGATAAAGGGGAAGAAGGAAAGAAGGACCATTTCCAGGCGGTTTTGCGGTGATCTGTTTGATGGTCGGTTCAACAATCTCTCGCGTGACCCCGAGAATTCTGGACACGATGAATGTGGATAATTCTACAATGGACAGCAAAGAGCTTGATCGACTTACGTATGAAGTGAATGTCGAGGTGGCTGCCGCGTTGACACTTGGTGTCGGGATTGCACAGGTTGATTGCAAGAACGCTACCAAGTTCAACGAGACTCAAGTCCGCCTTATATACGCGACTATACACATGCCTTAAATCTTTTGTTGACGCTATTTCATACGTCTTTAGCCTTTATAGCCAAAATATAGTCTTTATAGGCCTTTTATAAGCTTAAAAGCTCAAAATTCACGGTATTCAGCTACTAAGCTGTCTATAGTATTCTATTGGAGGCTTTTATTAGAATACGGTATTCAGATCGTGATGGGTTTGTGCCAACTCCACGTGCTCATCTCATTTCTCAGTGATCAGGTGATTGCCGGCTTTACCACTGGTGCCGCAGTGCATGTGATGACGTCACAACTCGATAAAGCCATTGGAGCTCATATCCCGCACCGCGATGGCCCAGGGAGACTGTTTTTGGTGGGTAAACATGACTCAGCTCAGTCTGGGAACTTGAGAAGATTCATCGTAAACTATAAAACATCTTTGGAACCGATTCTGAAGTCTAGAAGACACAACCCTGTACCCCTAGAAGTCTAGAGGACACAAATTGTACCTCTAGAAGTCTAGAGGACACAAACCTGTACCCCTAGAAGTCTAGAGGACACAAACCTGTCCCCTAGAAGTCTAGAGGACACAAACCTGTCCCCTAAAAGTCTAGAGGACACAAACCTGTACCCTAGAAGTCTAGAAGACACAAATTGTACCTCTAGAAGCTAGAGGACACAACCCTGTACCCCTAGAAGCTAGAAGACTTGTAAATCCTCAATTTACAGGTGTACTCAGATCTGGCCACCTCTCTGTTCACCTTTCATTTCCATCTTCTAACCACTTGTCTCTCAATCTTTCTCATCTTTTCCCTCTTCGTGCTCAAGAATTTGATTGATCCCCGTCTTCGATCAGCTCTTCGACTCACCGTCCCACTTCCCTATGATCTTACATTGGTTGGTTTTTACAGAAAAAGTGATTTCTAAAATTTACCCTTACTTGCCACACTTTTTGGCACACTTTCTGGCACACAGCGATGAGGTAAGTGTGCCAGAAAGTGTGCCAGAAAGTGTGCCAGAAAGTGTGCCAGAAAGTGTGCCAGAAAGTGTGCCAGAAAGTGTGCCAGAAAGTGTGCCAGAAAGTGTGCCAGAAAGTGTGGAAGAAAGGTAAGATCTTCAAGATCGTGTCTAGATGTTGTTGGGCACGATGTTCAGCCGCTTCTTCTCACTCTCCGATCTCTATGGAGTGGCTATTATTGGAAATATACCAACCGGGTAAAGCTATTTTGGAAATATACCAACTGGGTAAAGCTATTTCCCAAAATTCTTCCCGATTACGGTAGTTAGCATAGTTGCAAATGGTTCTAGAACCTGCGCTTTCTGTCTGGCAAATTTTTGGCGTATTACCGTACTCTGTAGGGCTATATCTAGCTGAGTTATGGCATTACCAAGGCTTAGGGCATTTGTCTAGATTTTCTAGATCTAGATTCACTTTTAAATTCAAATTTTAGCCTATTTAAAGGTCTCATCGACGCAGAAGAGATGCGGTAATGTAGAGTTTTGAAAAAAGCTTTTGTTTCGTCTATCTTATTACAGTTTTTGTTCAATGAAAATCCCCGGTTACTGTAGGAATATCGGGATCATCTTTAAATGTTAATGTTAAATGTTAAATGATGTTTAAATGTTTAAATGTTTAAATGATTACCTTTAATTCAGTTAGTTGGCAAGCTGGCTGGCAAGCTAGCTGGCTGACAATCTGGCTGGCAATCTGGCTGGCTGGCAAGCTGGTTGGCTGGCTGGCTGACAAGCTGGTTGACAAGCTGGCTGGCAATCTGGCTGGCAAGCTAGCTGGCTGACAAGCTGGTTGGCAAGCTGGCTATCTGACAAGCTGGTTTTTTGCCTCAAGAACAAGTTCATCTTAGAATCGGCCATCAGCCATCGGTCAAGGAGCTCGAGCTTTGCAAACACGAGAAATTTCGGATAGAAAATCATCTTGCATCTTGAGCTCTTTATGAGGCTTAATGGTCTTAATGGTCTTAATGGTCCAAAACAATTGCTTTAATGGTCTAGTGGACAGTCTACTAGACTACGGAACTACGGAACCTGTTAGCTTTTTACCCTCAAGTTCGAGTCCCACTATCGTCAAACTTTATCCCTTGGCTCGAGCAAACGGCTTCTCGATCTCCATGACCTGCTCTACCAGATAGATCTATCAGATAGACTTGATCTCGAGTGAAAAAGCCAGCTTTGATCATGAGCAGGCTTGATCATAAGCATCCTTGATCATGAGCATTCCCTTGTAGATCAAATGAAATGTTCCAGCTTGCCAACCCCATCACTTCCCGACTTCTCTCTTCTCTCCTACCTCTTGAGTGATTCCCTCTCAATTGCCCTTATCATCCTCGTCATTCACATCTCAATGGGGAAACTTTTCGCTAAAAAGCATCTCTATAAACTGGACGTGAAACAGGTGAGCCAGAGCCAGCCAGAGCCAGCCAGAGCCAGCCAGAGCCAGCCAGAGCCAGCCAGAGCCAGCCAGAGCCAGCCAGAGCCAGCCAGAGCCAGCCCGAGTCAGCCAGAGCCAGCCCGAGTCAGCCAGAGCCAGCCAGAGCCAGCCCTAAAGTACTTTGTGCCCTTGCGAACCATAATCTTTCTAGGAATTCTATGCCAGTGGACTCACCGAATGCCTTTGCTCACTTTTCCCCGTTTATCCTCCTTCAACTTCTCTTGGTAGATCGCTTGTCGGAGAGGTGAGAAAAGAGTTGATTAATAATATTGTTTCCATTAAGGCAGCTGGCGCAAAAACTCTTTTCTCATCGATTTTCGCTTCATCAATGGTGGTGGCAGTGATTCTCTTTTTGGGGCCAGTTCTCGAGCCATTGCCAACCGTTGGTTTTAATTCTAAGTCCATCCAGAACTGATCAAGCTCTAAAATCTCTTCAGTGTGTGCTTGCTTCAATTGTGATCGTCTCTTTGCAAGGAATGTTCCGTCAACTCGGGCAAATCCCTCATTTGTGGAGAAGGAATCCAATTGATGCAGTATTTACAAATCTAAAGGTTTACTGTAATCCATTTTGCAGATAGTCTTCATCGTGACCCTGTTTGGTACGGTTTTTATCGATATCGTGGCCGGCTTGCTTATCGGAGTGATCTTCGTCCTGGCTACCGTAATCTTCAGAACGCAACGGTAGCTAGACTGTTTTATGTTAAATATTTTCTTCAGGAGTGGATTGACGAGAAATGGGACCGATCCATCGTTGGAGTCAGGGGGAACGAGTGAAACATCTCAATGGTTGGGAGCAAGAAACAAGACTGGTTAAAGGCTGGCTAGGTACAGGCTGACTGGCTGGCTAGGTACAGGCTGGCTGGCTGGCTAGCTACAGGCTGGCTGGCTGGCTGGCTAGGTACAGGCTGGCTGGCTGGCTGGCTAGGTACCGGCTGGCTGGCTAGCTGGCTGGCTAGCTACAGGCTGGCTAGCTGGCTGGCTAGCTACAGGCTGGCTAGCTGGCTGGCTACAAGCTGACTGGTTGGCTGGCTGCCTACAGACTTGGCTGGCTTGCTTGGCTTAAATAATGACTCAGCTAATGCTGATCCAGGTCTGGCTTGGCTCTAGTACAAGCTTGACTTAAATTTAGACCAGTAAATTAAATATTTGAGTCTACAGTACCCTACAGTACCCTACAGTAGTCAGGTTTCTTGAATAAGTGCCTCCTTACGAAAGCTTCTCCTTGACTACAATGATTTTACAGTACCCACAGTGCCTACAATAGCTGTCTACAGTACCCCAGCCTAGTAGCCAGATCACTGTAGACGCTTGGATCACTGTAGACGCCAGCTGTAGACAACTGTAGGTCACTGTAGACACTGTAGACCTGTAGGGATACGGTAGGGATACTGGCCATCGTAGGGATACTATAGGGATACTGTAGAGTCTGCAGTACCTCACAATAGCCTCATAGTAGCCCTACAGTACCCCGTCTCTCTACAGTACCTACAAAAGTACTAGCTGATGCAGTGTAGCAAGTTTTACAAGCCGTTTTACTCTAGTATGACCCTAGCTAACTCTAGAGTACTGGATCTATCTATGCAGTACTGGCTTGACTACTGGCCAATCGTAGCTGTAACCAGGTCAGCTCTAACTGCCAATATTTGAGGGATTACGGTAGGCAGTATATTGTAGAAGCCAGTCATTAGCCATTAGATCAGGACCAAGATACTGTAAACTCTAGATTGAATGAAAGAAACATTTACAGTTGTTTCACTTCACTGGACTCCTCTCTATCACTTCGTCTAACCGCTCCTCTCATTTTTCTCAATATTGATCAATTCTGGAAGACGTTGAAGAGGATTTTAAAGGAGAATCCAGTGCCATTGTAATTGAGTTATCTCTAGATTTTCTCTAGATTTCTCTAGACTATCTCTAGATCTGTTTAAATCATAATCTTAATCTTAACCTTTAAGAGCTAACATTGATCTGAATGGCTCGAATCTGAAGGGATTGAAGGTCAATCTGCTTGTAATTGATTGTCAGTCGATGATTGCCATTGACACAATGGGAGCAAAGGCTATTTATGAGGTATTAGAGGAGTTAGGGTTACTGTAGAGTAGATCAAGAGCTAGATCTAGAGCTAGAGCTAGATCTAGAGCTAGAGCTAGATCTAGAGCTAGATCAAGATCTAGAGCTAGAGCTAGATCTAGAGCTAGAGCTAGATCTAGAGCTAGATCAAGATCTAGAGCTAGAGCTAGATCTAGAGCTAGAGCTAGATCTAGAGCTAGATCAAGAGCTAGATCTAGATCAAGCTCAAGATCTAGCTCTAGATCTTTAACTTCAAAACTTTAAACCCTAGGCTTTCAACTACAGTCAGAATCGTGGTTACACTGTGCACTTTTGCGGGCTGAATGGTAAGAGTTAAAAGAAAAGATATTCAGCTAAAAGAGAAACAAAAAGATCTTCAACTAAAAGAGAAGCGAAAAGATATTCAGCTAACGTTTAAATGCAAATTTCAGCTAGCAAATTTCAGCCAGCAAATTTCAGAAAGCGTGCTTTGCGTCTTGCGTAAATTCCCTCAATTCGATGCTTTGGTGGATTCATTTTGCGAGCAGAAACTCTGATGCTAAATTTCTCCATCGAATCGATCTCATTGCTGTTTTTTTGGAAAACATGCTTTCCAGAATTCATAATAAATCTGAAAAAAACTTTTATTTAACAAAATATCGAAAGAATCATTGCTAGAGATCGTATGAGAATATTGAGACAAGATCGGGGAATCAGAAAGAAAAGAAAAAGCGCTAGAACCCGTATCGAATAGAGAATTTCAATCAGAATGAGCAGAATCACAGTTAAGAATTGAGAGATCTTGAAAATAGACAAAAATAGAGAAAAATAGACAAAAGAGTTGAGCGTAGGGTTATTGGAAAGGTAAGAGACAGGTTCTAACCTGTTCTAACCTTGCCTGGAGTTATTGGAAAGATAAGAGACAGGTTCTAACCCGTTCTAACCTTGCCTGGAGTTATTGGAAAGGTAAGAGACAGGTTCTAACCCGTTCTAACCTTGCCTGGAGTTATTGGGAAGGTAAGAGACAGGTTCTAACCCGTTCTGACCTTGCCTGGAGTTATTGGGAAGGTAAGAGACAGAGTCTAACGTTCTGATCTTGCCTGGCGTTACTGAAAAGGTAAGAGACAGGTTCTAACCCGTACTAACCTTGCCTGGTTATTGGAAAGGTAAGAGACAGAGTCAGATCAGGTTCTAACCCGTTCTTCCCCTGCCTAGCCTAGTCTATTTCTCCTTACAATATCCTGGCCGAGTCTAATCTTTCTGAACATCCAGGAAAGGTTAAAACATTGCTGATCTTCAACTCAACTCAAACCAAATGAACTCAACCCAATTCAAATCAAACCAATTCAAATCAAACTAATTCAAATCAACTCAACTCAACTCAAATCAAAGTGTTGTCAAATCGGTAACGGTCCAAGAAGAGTGTTGGTTGCTTCGGAGATGAAAGACGCAAAATGATTGGGATTTGTGGATGGTAAAGGATGCATTGAGTGATGCATTGAGGGAAGACTGTCCTGGAATCGAGTAGTAATATAGTTTAACTGATGGTTGACAATCTAGAAGACTACAGATCAATCGACCATCAATCGATCAATCGTTCTGATCTTTCTGGAGATGAATCAAGTCTATTTGGTCTTAAGTTAAGTCCATCAAAGTCCATCGAAGCTTTGATTTGGATCTGGCTTTGATCCTGGGCTTGGCTTTAATCCTGGACTTGGCTTTGATCTGGGCCTGGCTTTGATCTGGGCCTGGCTTTGATCCTGGGCTTGGCTTTAATCCTGGACTTGGCTTTGATCTGGGCCTGGCTTTGATCCTGGTTCTAGACCGGAGATGACCTTGAATCTGTTCCTGATCGGGTTCTAGCCTAGCGAAGTTCGATCGATTCAATCGTTCAACTTTCTTTAACCTTAAGCCAAAGTCTTAAGCCAAAATCCTTAACCCAAAATCTTTTACAATATTTTAAATGTCTTACTGTAGATTGTCCAAATTGTAACTCTCCACATAATCGATTATTTGATGGAAATGTTTGATGATCGGTTCGCGGTGTCACAATGACTGAATGTGGCTCAAGCAAGTGATTGGGTTGGTTTAGAGGAAGCTTCTAAAATTGTATGTCATCATGAATCAATTTCTTTTGACAAACCTAGCAACCTGGCAAACCTTTTTGGCAAATCTAATAGAGAAACCCTTTAATGAGGACAATATTCCCGTCGTCTCTCTAATGCACCGTCTCTCTCTAATGGTCGAGCCGAGTTGGTCACTATTTTCTCGTTTCCAATTTCTCCCAGAAGCTCAACACTCAAATCATCGTCAAGATCTCATCGTCAGCTACATTTTCCGACCCCACATCGATAGGTTCTGATAAGCGGTTCTCGAGATCTCGAGGAATTTAGGCAATGCTATTAGAGAGAAGACAGTATTTTGTAGGGAATTCAATTCTGCGTCGATTTTTATCAAATTTGTGAGTTTAAGTTAAAAATTGCGGGCGCTACAACGTTTCACTGTACCGTATCCACCTGATATCGTACTATTGTAGGTCTACCGTATCCACCTGATACTGTGCTGTACTGTATATAGCCTATACTAGGTTGGTGCAAATGAAAATTTTTTTTTTAAAAAAAAAAAAATTCCCAAAAAATTTTTTTAAAAAAAATTTTTTAAAACAAAAAAAACCAAATATATTATTATATCCTCCCCCAATTTTTTAAAATTTTATTTACTTCCCCTCAAAAAAAAATATTTTTTTTTATAAAAAAAAAAATTTTTTCCCCAAATTTTTTTTTTTTTATTTTTTAAAATTTAATTTCAAAAATAAATTTAATAAATATAAAAAAAAAAAAAAAAGGAATTTTAATTTTTTTTATATTGGCTAATATTTTAAATTTTTTTTTTTTTTTTTTTTTTTTTCTTTATAAATTTTTTTTTTTGGGGGGGTGTTTTATTATTTAGGGGGGAAAATTAGAGAGGGGGGGTATGTTTTTTTTTCCAAAAAATATTTCTTCCTCTTTTTTTTTTTTTTTTAAAGAAAAAAAGTTTTTTTTTTTTTTTTCTCCAAATAAAAAAAAAAAAAAAAAAATATATATTTTCACACACAAAAAAACAACACCTTTCTCCCCCAAAAACCAATAATGGTATTTAATTTGTTTTAATTTTTTTTTTTTTTTTTTTTTTTTTTTTATTTTATAAAATTTATAAATATATATTATTTTTTTAAAATTATATAAAAAAAATATAAAAAAATTTTTATTTATTTAATTAAAAAAAAAAATTGTATAATATTTTTTTTTTCTAATATTTTTCTTACAAAATTTTTTATATTCAAATTTTTTATATTTTTTTTTTATTTAATTTATTTATTTTTTATATATTTTTTTTTTTTGTGTTTTTTTGGGTTTTTTATTTTTTTTTTTTTTTTTTTTTTTTTTTTTTTTTTTTTTTTTTTTTTTTTTTTCGGTTTTTTTTTTTTTTTTTTTTTTGGTTTTTTTTTTCTCACGAATTTTTTAAAAAATATTGTTTTTATAAATTTTTTTTAAATACCCCCTTAATAAAAGGAGAAAAATTAAAAATATTTTTTATAGGTGTATTTTATATATAAAAAAAAAAAAGACAAAATTTCTATAAAAAAAAAAATTAAAAAAAAATAAAAAAAAAAAAAAAAAAAATAAAAAAAAAAAAAAAAAATAAAAAAAAAAAAAAAAAAAAAAAAAAAAAAAAAAAAAAAAAAAAAAAAAAAAAAAAAAAAAAAAAAAAAAAAAGAAAAAAAAAAAAAAAAAAAAAAATATAAAAAAAAAACAATAAAAAAAAAAAACTAATACGTCGTAGCCGATTATGAATAAGTGGGTCTAGAGGCGTCCAACCATCAAGTATTTGGTATCATTCAACGCAGAATCATTCATAATTATGCTAAATTTTTGCTAAAGGAAAAGAAATTAGAGCAAAAAAGAACTCTTGGTTCGAGAGAAAACTTTGAAGTCTCGTAATTGTTTTTCCTTTTATCCAATCTTTCTAATTTAAAAAATTTAGCATAATTATGGATGATTCTGCGTTGAATGATACCAAACAGTTAATGGTTGGATGCCTCTAGACTCACTTATTCATAATCGACTACGATAGACTGTATACAGTACAGTTCAGTACAGGCGTCCAACCATCAAGTTTTTAGTATCATTCAACGCAGAATTATTGATAATTATGTTAAATTTTTTAAGTTAGAAAGATTGGATAAAAGGAAAAGAAATTACGGGACTTCAAAGTTTTCTCTCGAACAAAGAGTTCTTTTCTGCTCTAATTTCTTTTCCTTTTATCCAATCTTTCTAATTTAAAAAATTTAGCATAATTATGAATGATTCTGCGTTGAATGATACCAAATACTTGATGGTTGAACGAGCCTAAACCCACTCATTCATTGACCACTATCAGCTGAAACTCATAATCGGCTAGATCGATATATCTAGATTGATTACTATAAAATCTATAAATAACCTTCTCCCCAATAGGGTAGTGTATCACTGAGTGTTTGACGGTTGACTCATCCAAGTGACACATTGACGATTGAATTGAGAGGTTGTCTAAAAGTTGGATAGAAATAGCTAGCTATTGAAGTCTAGAGCTTTCTAGAGATGTTTGTAAAGAGCTTCGATAGCTTCTAAAGCTTATCAAGATCAGCTATGAGCTATGAGCTATGAGCTATGAGCTATCAGCTATCAGTTATCAGCTATCAGTTATCAGCTACCAGCTATCAGCTATCAGCTATCAGCTATCAGCTATCAGCTATCAGCTATCAGCTATCAGCTATCAGCTATGAGCTATCAGCTATCAGCTACCAGCTATCAGCTATCAGCTATCAGCTATCAGCTATCAGCTAAAGCTTACAATAGCTTCTAAAACTACCGTAATCTTTATCTAATCGTAATCGTTATCTTTAACTCAAACTCTAGCTATCAAACCGTTTGCAGCTGGCCAATGATAGTCGAATCCAGGCAAAACTTCAGGGAATGACGGGAAAATCGGTGGATAGGTCATTGAAACTGAAATTGGTCATTGAAATTGATCCTAAAGCTAAAGCTTATATTGTTCATGATTAGTAATCAAGATTCATCACCATTTCTATCCATCACCATTTCTATCATTTAAAGTTAGTACTAGAGTCAAATCAGTGCTACGGTCGCGTCCGTTTTCTTCCTATTTGCGTTGCTATTTTGCAATTATTCGCGTCGCATTTTTCGCCCTTCTCTCCCTTCCCGAAATTCTTTTTTTTTTTTTTTTGGGTCTGCGGGCTTTTGCCTTCCCTCTTGGGGGACCTTGTTGTTTCATTTTTGATGCGCATGCTGTTTTTGTAATAGGTATTGTTGCATTTCGGTTCTGTACTAATAAACAGTAACGTTATAAATTCACTTTACTTTATGCCTACCCTTCAGGTTTTAAATCCTGTTTAGATAACTGGTTTAACATTGTAGAGAGACTGTTTTACTAACATTTGTGTCACCATCGACGTAGTATCAATGCGATCCGTACTCTTCTCAAGAGTATTAATCTATTGTTGGATACTACGCGTTCTTGTTACGTTATAAGCGCTTTTGGGGAAACCCTTTTTAACCTTTTTGTGCAATTCGGCTATTCTGAAGCAAAATCATTCTCGATGATAAGGTTAAAGGGGGGTATTAATCGCGGCCGGGTGACGATAAAAATTTTTTTACGGCAACCACCTATTTTTTTATTTTAATATCGCTGATTTTATTATAAAAAGAATAAAAATCACCCGGCTAGAGTGATTTGATGGGTTTACAAATTTTTGGATATACTGCAAGGCTCGCGTAGTTCATCTACAAGGTAAGTGCGAAAGTAAAGCAAAAGTCAGATATTATGTTTTCTTTTTGTTTTCTTTAGACTTTCGATCTACACTTTTGGTTTTTAACATCTCTAGATGCCTTTTTCCAGATGGAGATTTTATGTTTAAATAATGCAAAAGGCCATCAAAACACCCTAAGCTATCTATTAGAGTGTGTTCCTCTCGAGTAATGCGTTTTCGAAAAGGCACCTATTTGAGAAAATTAAAACCACAAGCGACCACAAATGGAAAAAAGATCTAATTGTGTCAATTAAAGCGCTGAAAATGTCCTACGGTGGAGGAGATCCAGTCACTTCTGGTGAAGATGCGCTGGAAATTGATTAGATAGGAAGCCGATTTGAGAAACTGCTGTACTTGAGCGAAGATGAAAGTGAGCAAGAGGAAGAATTATTGATTAACAACTTATTTTTATTGTTTTTTGTGCTTTTTTATTTTGTTTTTAAATTTATCTGCAATTAAAACTCAATCGATCTAGACTGTGCTGAGGTGTCTGATGAGTGACGAGCTTGTTTTTCTCCAAGCCTTGCAGTATATCCAAAAATTTGTAAACCCATCAAATCACTCTAGCCGGGTGATTTTTATTCTTTTTATAATAAAATCAGCGATACTAAAATAAAAAAACAGGTGGTTGCCGTAAAAAAAATTTTTATGGTCATCCGGCCGCGATTAATACCCCCCCCCTTTAAAGCGGGTCGCACCCCAAACTCTACGAAGTTGAGCCTAGTTGTCGAATCAATATCGAATCAATATCGAATCAATATCGAACCAATGTCAAAACGAATCTAATCGATCAACCATGGGATACAGTAGCTTCTAAAGTCTCCACTTAGCTCCAAGTGACTTACAATTTGTTGGATAGATTCCTGAATTGCATAAATCAACAGGATTCCACTCGTTAGTGGTTGCTGGTTGCCAAGCGAGCAACTCTGACGGTAATTGAGTACATTGAGGGGTTAATTGAAGTCCATTCAGTCTGTCATCGCATTGTGGAGCCTAATATCTGTATTTGCATCATTTACCGTCATCTTACCGTTAAATGTAAAGTGGATTGAAGTGGAGACGCCCAGATATTCGTCTCATTTCCAGAAATCCCTCGTCCCTCGCTTCGATCTCCATCCACACAACCCAACTAAATTAGAAAGCTACTGATTGTAGATGGTGGCTACAGGGCTACAGGGCTACAGGGCTACAGGGCTACAGTAAGCAGTACAGTAAGCAGTACAGTACCCCTACAGTAAGCAGTACAGTAACCTCTACAGTAACCTCTACAGTACCTCTTACATTCCCATACTATTCTCTAAAGTCCACTCACAATTTCTCCATTCGATAGAGCAGTAATTGCTGTCGCTTTTGCTTTCCGTTTGCGTCCTGTTTGAATAACAGATGGAGCGATTGTTGGGCTTTTTGAGGGACAAGTCGGGCTAAACTTGTTCTATTGCAGAAAAACAAGATCGTTGCTTCTCTTTATCTACACTCACATCGTTTGTGGATCGGATTGGTTGGTTTCCTCATCGTCGATTGAGTCTCGGTTCGTCGACATCGTGCCGATTGAGGGTAAAGCGGCGGCTGACTGAAAAAGGAGATTTGCTGGTTGGTACTGTACACTGACTGGCTAGCTATTGTAGTCAAGACAAGTACCGTAACCCAGCAAGTCATCTGCCTATCATTGGGCTTTCCTGAATAGATCGCCCTGGCTACGGTATTTGATTACGGTATCTAGGATAAAGTACCGTACCCTAGCTACTCATACAGCCACAGTGACTGTCCTGGGTACGGTAGAAGGAGCTGATTATCCTAAGACGCTACGGTACGGTACAGTAGCTGAGTCTAAGCCTGAATAGATTACTGTAAACCTCACCTGCAAATTCCTGGGTGATTGCAGGAGTGAATCATCAAATGAGAGCAGTTTCGCTTTCAGTGACGAGCGCTTTTCAAGCAGCATCGACCCCTCCACTTCGCTAGAAATAGATGAAATAGATGGCTACAATAATCTATAGCTCAGTTAAGCCTTAGCCTAAGCCTGAGCCTGGGCCTAAGCCTGGGCCCAAGCCTGGGCCTAAGCCTAAGCCCAAGCCAAGCCTAGCCCAAGCCTGATCCCAAGCTCAAGCCTAAGCCTAAGCCTCAGCTCATCTACCGTAACCCACTTCAACACTCGATGCGTCAACCCAATCGAATCGGCTTTCCCGTTTTTGTAGAACATTCGACACGACGATTGCACAAAGTAAATCCTCCTGAACAAGCTAGCTAACACTTCAAAGACTAGAAGTCTACTGTGATATCCAGATTGATCAAAAAAACCCAAAAATAGTACCTCGACTTCGCCGAGATCAGCCGATAGATCAACAGTCCCGATGAGCCACTCTTGGACACTGAAAATTGAACAATTTGCATGGTTTTTTTTGTTGAAATTCTAAGATGCGCTCCAGGATCGCGAAAAAACGAACCCTCTTTATGCGCTTCAGCCATACAAGTCGCGTCGTCGGGATGAATGAGTTCATAGAAAGAGACGGGTAAATCGGCGTCGCAGAGCTCCAAAATGTGATGCATTCTAAAAATTGGATGTCACGGTACGTTTACTGTATGAAAGAACAGCGTTATCATCTACTACAGTACAGTACTACAGTCGAGTACTGTAGGTAGAGCTACAGTACCCATTAGCTACAGTACTACGGTAGTCTCCTTACTTTGGGTCCATGCTAACGAGAGTGTTGTCTAATTGGTGTTTCGATTTGAGAATGAGATCTTCTGACGGTAAATCAGCATTACTTGGCGGGACGAAGGGTCTAAAATTGTTCAATAGACAAAGATTTTATCGTATTAAAGACCATAATCCTACAATCTTCCCTTCTAGCTTTATATATGAAAAGTAATATGCTAAATGGAACGCGATTATGCGCACAAAGAACACTAGTCAACACTTCAACAAGTCAACCGTGTAAAAAAACGATCTCGCTCCAAAGCCGGGATCGAACTTGCGAGGTTTCGCTTTAGAAACCAGCGCTTTACCACTCGGCCATGATTGCAATAGTTGCCGGCGGCAAAGAAGCCGCTAAAACTTCCACAAGGCCGTTAAGAGCCTCCACAAGAAGGTCGTTAAGACTCCAAATGGCCACATTTTCAGCGTCCTATAACTCTTGACAGATTATCATCTAGCAAAAACCGAATATATATTCAGAATCAGCACATTAAATTCTGCGTTAAATGGTATAGGTTGCATAGGATTTCGCTTAGCCAATTGTAGGTTTCTTGTAGGTTAAAGTACAGGGTATTCTTGAATCTTCTCTTCTCTTGAATTTAAGTAGTTATGCAGCTTCAGCTAGCTAGCTACCGTAATCCTATCCCTACACTTGGCAGGGTTACGGTAGCGTCAGCATTCGATCCCTACACTTACCAAGAAGCCAAAAATTAAAGAATCACAAAAATAAAGCTCGAGTTAGAGCTCTAGAATTCGATAGAAACAGTTTTACTATATAAATCTTCATAGTAATGTAAGAACTTACGTGCAAATGGCGACAAGTCCAATGGTGGCTATGGGCGGAGTGCGGCCGGCCACCGGAAACGATTGGGGAATGCCGTGAAGGGATAAAAGTTTCCCCCGAACATCCATCCTCTAGAAAACGGGTTACTGTAGCTTCAGCTAGCTAGCTAGCTAACTGAAGCTACCGTAATCCTATCCCTACACTTGACAGGGTTACGGCAGCGCCAGCATTCGATCCCTACACTTACCAAGAAGCCACAAGTGTTATCGAGTAGACAACGAAAACGCGCGTTCACATTGCGCTCCAAGTAGTGCAGATTGTCTGGAAGTGAGGTCAGCTATATAGCTCTATAACTGGCTCTATAGCTGGCTCCAGAGCTCTATATCTGGCTCCAGAGCTCTATAACTGGCTCTATAGCTGGCTCCAGAGCTCTATATCTGGCTCCAAGCTCTATAGCTGGTTCTATAGCTCTATAGCTACCTTAGCTAGATCACTGTACCTGATGCTAAGAGATCTTGCACAGAAGAGCATCCTGCTGGGACACCGAAGGCTGGATCAAGCTGCTGCCGAATGTCGTCACGGTCTTCTGAAAGTGAAAGTACCGTAATCCGCTACAGTACTCACAGTATTATACAATGATATGTGAGCTTCACAGCTTCACAATTCAACTAACCCGAATGGATGAGCTCGAAAAGCGATTGATGCAAAAGATCGGATTGATGGAAACCGAGAAAATTCTCGACATTCTCCGATACGTAGAAGACGTCACCCTCACCATTCAGCACAAGCACGAAACCGCCAAGAGCCTGTAAAAGGGGTTGTTTTTTAAAACCAGAAACTAATCCAGAAGCCTGCTAGACTCACCTTCATCGAGATTGCCTCGAAAAAGCGCTCCTCACTGTCAATGAGCGGGATGCCGGTGCCTGGAATGAAGCTACCGTAATCTAGTACTTAGAAGACTTAGACGTACTTAGACATACTCTAGACGTTCTCTAGACGTACTTAGAAGTACTTAGACGTTCTCTAGACGTACTTAGAAGTTATCAGTACCGTAATTCATAGATCCTACCTTGAAATTCTTAAGTAGATCTTTAATTTCTTACCAGAATCAACCAGGGTTGGAATGTGTGCCGAGAATGGGTTTGGTGAGGGCAAAAACTGATAGGCATGTGTGAAGAGAAGGGGTACAGAAGTCGACGCTTGGAAGCCGCAAGTCGAATGGACGCAGGCTGCAAATGATTGGGTTTACTGGTGATTGTCCTGTTGTTATTGTACTCTTTATCCCACTTACCGTAGCCTGCCCCTATCGTCCCCTATAATCCCCTATCGTTCCCTATAGTCCCCTATAGCCCCCTATAGTCACCTATAGTCCCCTATAGTCCTCTATAGTCCCCTATAGTCCCCTATAGTCCCCTATAGTCCCCTATAGTCCCCTATAGTCCCCTATAGTCCCCTATAGTCCCCTATAGTCCCCTATAGTCCCCTATAGTCCCCTATAGTCCCCTATAGTCCCCTATCATCCCCTATCGTCCCCTATAGTCCCCTATCGTCCCCTATAGTCCCCTATAGTCCCCTATAGTCCCCTATAGTCCCCTATAGTCCCCTATCGTCCCCTATCGTCCCCTATAGTCCCCTATAGTCCCCTATCATCCCCTATCATCCCCTATCGTATCCTACTACTTACCTGGATAAGGCAAGTATGTTACCGTATCCTATCGTATCTTATCATTTATCAAGTATGTACAGGGCCACTCCTCCCGCCGCTACCCTACCTGATCGTTATTCTAAACCTTGCTCTAGTTGTTATTGTACTTAACCGGAAATCTGTAGCTCGGGTAACCTACCCATCGTTTAGTAACTTCCTGCCGTATCCTACTGTACATTAACCCTCAGCTACCGTCCCCCACTGCCCTACCGTACTCTGCCATAGCCGCAATAGACTCTTCCTACTGTACTTTCCCATTTCCCCTTTCCCCAATCGATGACTCTCAATTTGCTACTTGTTGCCTCTTTTCATATGTGGCCCATCTGTTCTATTTGGGCTTTCCTCTATAAATTATTCATCAATTTTGGGCATCTTTAGCTGAATTCTTGAAATCTTTGGCCGTTGATTTCTTCAAATTCTTGTAAACTCTCGTAAATCATCAAGATCAACTTCCTGCCGTATCCTACTGTACATTAACCTTCAGCTACCGTCCCCCACTGCCCTACCGTACTCTGTCATAGCCGCAATAGACTCTTACTACTGTTCATTGATTCATCAAGTTCCCGAGTTTCTTGAGAATTTTGAATCAATTAAATGCAATTGACTTGAAACAAAGCTAAAAAAATAGCCGTGGCTTTTCTCGATCTCGATCTCGGCTTTTAGATCCCTAAATAGCTTTAAGAGAATGTTCTTTAGGTTCTTTAGGTTCTCCGAAACTTTGGCAACTACTAGATAACTTCTTGACCCCTAAAATTCGTTTGCACACAGGTGTCATAGTGTGAAAGTGATCCCCCCCAAGTAAATGAGGCAAATAATTGTAGGGGCTAAGACACGCAACCACATCCACTTGACACCTTAAAAAGAGAGAGAGAAAGAGAAAGAGAGAGAGAGAAGCTATATCATCTAAAGAAGCTAGCTAGCTATCACATCCATATTTTCATTTCCAACAGCCGGATCTTGTTTTGGGGATTGAATTTCGCGAGGTCTTTCGATAAGATCAACTACTGTGGGCAGCCATATGATTATCGCATTTACCCTCAATGGAATTGCAAGGATGACAGTGCTGGGAAAGGGGATAATGGGAGGATGTTGATGGTTTTGATCCACAATGGTTTGGATCCCCAATGGTTTTGATCCACAATGGTTTTGATCCCCAATGGTTTTGATCCACAATGGTTTTGATCTCCTTTTCCTTGATCTCTAATGAGTAGCATTGGTTTAAAGCACTTGGAATTGGTTTAAAGTTCAAAACTTACCACTAAAGTGTGCTTTGACTTGAAGATATGCAACAGCTAGTCGCAAAACGGAGAGTTTATCAAGGCGGGAGATCGTTGACGGATCGTAGGGAAGCAGACAAGCTACTGTCTCCAGTTCACCGTTTAGACGCTCTGCAATTTGAGACTGTACTGTCCTTTAATGTACTTTGTACTGGTGTAGGCTTACTGTAGCTTACTGTAGGCTACGACAGGCTACGATAGACTTACTGTAGGCTACGATAGACTACTGTAGGCTGCAATAGACTACTGTAGGCTATGATAGACTACTGTAGGCTACGATAGACTACGATAGGCTTCGATAGACTACTGTAGGCTGCAATAGACTACTGTAGGCTCACTGTAGACTACGATAGACCTACTGTAGGCTACGATAGACTACTGTAAGCTTACTGTAGGCTTACTGTAGTCAATCGACTAAATTACTGACCTCTATGCCTTTTAGACGGATTTGAGGCACCTTGCTGGCGTTGTGGCTCTCGAACTCTGAAATTAAGGTATTAATTGTTTTTTAATCATGCAATTGTACCCTATGAACTGCTACAAATCTCTAGATAAATCTATGCAAAGATTTCACAATGATTGTTGCTTTACTTCGACCTCTAGTCGACAAAATCCCCCCCTAGGACTGAGCACTGAACACCCATCCTCAACACTCATCCAAAAGATAAATCAATCCCTAATTTCTGTTCCATTTCCCCCAATGACCTCCATGATCGCTAAATAAGTCGAAAAGATGATCGAAATAAAAGAAAAATACGGAGAAAAGGGTGGGTACTCATTTCACGAGAAAAGAGCCCGTAAAACATATGTTTTACGAGAAGGGAAGCTACATGGATGACAAATTGGCACTCACAAGGAAAGATGATGAAGAGAAAGAAGAGAAAGAAGAGAAAGAAGAGAAAGAAGAAGAAATCGACAAGTCTCTCATAAATACTGTATGAGGCACAGCTGTGGTCTTAAGGTTTTTTGAAAAATCTTTAGATAAGCTGTTGATGCTATGGATAGCTTGATGCTATGGATAGCTTGATCTATTGATGCTATTGATGCTATCGATATTGAGCGTACTTTTTTGACTAAACGTACCTCTTCTAGCGCATTGTATTCCTCATGTTTTTCACAGACTATTGTACTTTTTATTTGTCTTTCTTAAGTATGCAAATTTTGTTAAGTATCTTCCCTTGTGGCTAGATAATTGGAAATCTCAATAAGGTGTCGACAAGCTGTCACCAACAATAAGTACAGCAATTATTTACTTATTCAGTGCAATTACGGGGGTGATGCTTGAAGAAAATTTGTGGAAAGTACTACAGAAAGTACGAAAGAAAGTATTACAGAAAGTGCAGAAAGTGAAGAAAGTACTACAGAAAGTATTACAGAAAGTACTACAGAAAGTACAACAGAAAGTACTAAAGAAAGTACTACAAAAAGTACTAAAGAAAGTGCAGAAAGTACAACAGAAACTACTACAGAAAGTATTACAGAAAGTACTACAGAAAGTACTACAGAAAGTCTTACAGAAAGTACTACAGAAAGTACTACAGAAAGTCTTACAGAAAGTACTACAGAAAGTACTACAGAAAGTCTTACAGAAAGTACTACAGAAAGTACTACAGAAAGTCTTACAGAAAGTACTACAGAAAGTACTACAACAAGTACTACAGAAAGTATTACAGAAAGTGCAGAAAGTGCAGAAAGTTTTAAATTTGTAAATTAGGCAAATTGTCACTGCTCTCCAGTTAGTCAAAATTTAATTTAAGTCAATTAATAAACAAGTTAAAATTCAAAGTTGATGGATAAACTACCGTAATCAACCACTAGAAATCAGACGATATTAATTTGTCCGTTTGTCGCTTGTGTACTTAAAAACCCATTATTTATTTTATTTAAGCTTTGTTTTGAGTGAGTTGTGTGCTCCCTTTTCTATTCATTCTTTTTTTTCTCACGCAATTGTTGAAGTAATTGTGTTAGTGCCAGATTGCTCCAGTTTCATTCTCCAGATTAAACTTTCCCTTATTACTTTACCCTAATAAGGGAAAGTTTTGATAAATTGTGCTTTTTCAAGAAATCTATCATTGAAGCACGTGTGGCTGACTGGTTAAGTGTCTTTTATCTTAATCGGAAGGTCGAGGGTTCGAACCCCGTATGCGACATGGTCACCCCCTTCGGATTTCCTTTCCCTTCGGGTTGAGAGGTTTTCTGGAGGGCAGTCTGGTGGTTGTGGCCCCAGTTCTTTAAAGTGACAAGCCACTCCTTCATCGTCATCTTCCCTTCACCACCAAAAAAAGCTATTTAGTTCCCCATTGAGCTTAGGGTTAGGGAGCCGTCTGTCATGACGTGGGTTAAGTTAAGATATAGCCTAGTATTGTGTGTGTCGTTGTATTGTGATTGATATATTTCGTGTATGCGATAAATTCACCACTGGTAGCCCCAGTCGGTATTTTTAATAAAGTGAAGGGAAGGGTCCCAGAAAGGGAAGGGTCTGTGGTCGACCCCGTCCGATCTGCCAAGTTGAGCAACGTCGGCGCGGGTTAGTCGTGGGTTCGACTCCCATGGGTTCCCCTCCGAGCGCCCCAGCCCGGCCATCGGAGTATCATCGGCTACGACAACTACACTTCTGCCTCAGTAAATGTGGAAGCGGGTTGTGCTCTGCGCTAAGTGCGAAGACAGATCAAATCATTATTTTAAAGAGATAGGTCTTATTATAAAGATATAAAGAAACAAGATCAAAGATCAAATTATAAAGATCAAAGTATAAATATATTTCTTACAATAAACTCATCTTTTCTGGTAGAGGAAAGGAAGAAAATAACAAATTCAGTATGATAAATGGTAAATGATAAATGATAAATATAACAAATCCAGAAGAACAGAACAAATCCAGAAGATGTCTTATCAAATCAGATCTCCCCATTTCAGGTAATTCAAAGATTTTCTTGTAAAACTGGCTTACTGGTCTATTTTGGCTTTGACTTTAGCAAATTTACTTTCTAACATTCCCTGATTTGTTCTCTGATACTTGCTTTTCGAATCTAAGGCTCTAAGCCAACTATTTCACAACTCTAGGCCAAAGTCCTAGAGTTGCGAGAGCTCTAGGCCAAAGTTCTAGAGTTGTGAGAGCTCTAGGCCAAAGTCCTAGAGTTGTGAGAGCTCTAGGCTTAGGTTGAAAAAGAACAAATTGACTTCATGATGAAATTCATCAATTCACCTATTCATCAGTATCTTTTGATACATTGATTTTAAAGTAAGAAAAGGAAAGAAAAGACTCTCTAATCTAATCTAATAGAAAAGATAAGAATAAGTATCAAAAGATCAATAACAGAAAAGTATGAAGACAAAGGAGTACAAAGCTGACTGAGGAATGTCTTCGATATCTCGTGATGGGGTCCAGGGTCTAAACACGCAATCTCTTTGCGAGCCCTCTTCTCAGACTTTCTTTCAGCGATGCTCATCTCATCTCTTGTCTCCTATTCTCATTATATTCATACTAGCTTACTCTTGTGCTACATATTGATTGGTTGTTTCCTGTTTGCTTTACTTGAGCCTAGAATCCAGGTTAGAAGGTTAGAATCTAGATCTTGACCTTCCCGGACTTGTTTTATATCTTGGTCAGCTGATCAGCTGATCACCTAAGCTGATCAGCTTCTAGCCCACTTTTAATCTAACTTGTAAGCCTTAAGATCCTGTTGATCCTGTGTTGATCTTGATCTTGATCTTGATGCAAGGTTCTGTTGATCTAAGTCAAGTCTTGTAAACTCTAAGCTAGTTCTATCAATTGTATTTGAATTGACACAGCTTTTATTTTGCTACTACAGGCGCTATTCAGTGATTCACTATTGCTATTCAGTGATCGAGTATCGGTAAGCAGAAAAGTCTTGGCAGAAAAGTCAATTCGTTTGATTTCAAATCTTTATAATTCATTTCTTTACTTCAACTAAGCTTACTTTACACCATAAAGCCTTTTAAAAGCATTTTAGTAAATTAGATTTTATATTAGATCAGATTTTATATTAGATTCTATTTTATATTAGATTCGATTCGATTCGAAACTCTGATTAGACTAACTTTAAATTAAAGACTACTGTAGTTTACTTTAGACACCTCTTGAATTTCCGTTGCCGTTGCTTACATAGTATTCATATTAATGAATACTATGTAAGCTTATAATTACAGCTAGATAGATCCCTAGGTCTAGACTTTAGGCTTCTAAGAATTGTAAAAGGGGAAAGCTTCGTGAAAATAGAAAAAGACAAAGAAATGAAGAAAGAAAGAAAGGAAGGAAGAAAGAAGGGAAGAAAGAAAGAAGGGAAGGAAGAAAGCAAGAAAGAAAGAAAGAAAGAAAGAAAGAAAGAAAGCAGGCAAGAAAGCAGGCAAGAAAGCAAGAAAGAAAGAAGGCTAGAAAGCAAGAAAGAAAGAAAGAAAGAAAAGGAAAGAGAATGTCTTCCGGAAATGTTAATTGTTTGGTTTGAAAAGAATGGGGGAAAAGAATGGGCTGAAGTGCTGAAAGGACTCCGAACTACCGTAGTCCCTGTTTCCGATTACGTTTCCTTTTTTGGCTTAATACTTTTCCGTACAAAGTACTCGAAAGTAGTCTTGAAGAAAACAAGATTCTTATTGATTTTTCTTCTTTTTAAATCCTTTCCTGACCTCCAGATTAGTTAAAAAGTTCAAAAATTTAAGCCAAATGCTTTCCTGTGCTGTAGAAGAGGCTCGAAAGAGGCCGCTTAGACTAAAATTTTCAAAATCAAAAAGAAAAGAAAAGAAAGAGAAAAACCTTGAAAAACATTTTATTTTTAAAAATTAGCGATCAAATTTTCCCATAAACTTTTCAGTGGTGCGTTTTTGCTTCAAAAAAAATGTAGCCAAACTAATTTCCCTTCAATTTTCCTTCAATCCAATTTTCCATCTCTCTCCAAAAAAAGATGATTTTTACAAATCATTGAGAAAACATTTTTTTCCTTGAGACTTTCTTTCTTTCTTTCTTCCTTGAGACTTTCTTTCTTTCTTTCTTTCTTCCTTGAGACTTTCTTGAAGTTATTTTCTTTTTCTTTAAACTACGGTAGATTGTTAATAATTTATGGAAAGTTTAAGGGAAAAGGGATAGATGAATTTCACTCGAAAATTTTGAATTGAATGAAAGATGAATTTCACAAAAACATTCATATTACGGTAAGAATGAATTTTATAGGCTTTAAGGCTTTAAGGCTTTAAGGCTTTAAAGCTTTAAGGCTTTAAGAAAACTTATTCTTATTCTTAATTTATTCTTATTCTTTTAAGTATTCTTAATTTATTCATTTTGAATTGTACTTTATTAAGAAAAGTTTTAAAAAAAGAGAAAAATAGAAAAAAAAGAAAAAAAAATGAAGAAAATTAGAAAAAAATCTTGATTTGTAGGTTTGTAAAGAATATTGAAAGAGAAAAAGTGAATTGATTGGGAAAAATTGGCGACAAGACTACAGTGGAAAGAGAAAAGAGTTTAGAAAATGAATATGAAAGCTTGATTGAGATTTCTTTTGCATACGTTAGTCAGAAGACTGGTCTTGGCCTGGATTCAAGCCAGCTCAGTCTTGGCCTGGATTCAAGCCAGCTCAGTCTTGGCCTGGATTCAAGCCAGTCAGTCTTGGCCTGGATTCAAGCGAGCTCAGTCTTGGCCTGGATTCAAGCCAGTCAGTCTTGGCCTGGATTCAAGCCAGTCAGTCTTGGCCTGGATTCAAGCCAGCTCAATCTTGGCCTGGATTCAAGCCAGCCCTGAACTAGTTCTGCTTTAGCCAGAACTGGTTCAGAAAGCCACTGACTCAGAATCAGTAAATCTGATCGAATCTAAACTCTGATTAGACTAACTTTAAATTAAAGACTACTGTAGTTTACTTAAGACACCTCTTGAAATTCCGTTGCCGTCGCTTTGAGGCGTACATTTACTTGGCTCGCTCGAAGATCCTTTGATGTGCTTTTGACAGAAAACTAAAATTTCTATTCTATTCCACAGTGTGCGTTCCAGAACCGGCAAAAGTCTGAAAATTTTTCCGTCAGCTTTTTCCCTGAGCTATAAAAGGGGGTCGGTTCAATTACGCAACCCGTTTTTAACGAATTTTTTTCCAAAAATGATTCTCAATTCAAAAGAAAGGAAAAATAATGCACACGAAACAGGGAGAGGAAAAAAAACGGAAAAAGGGAGGACTATACTCATCACGCCATCGACAAAATGCGGCGAATACACGCAATCTTTCGGAGAAGAGAGAAGGACAAGGGAAATGAGAACAATATCGGATATTGGAGATAAGAATAGATAAATGTAAATTGAAGATTGAGTGATGGGCTGAAGGGGGAAGGAGTGGTGGTTGATTTGAGGAGAGAGATCTTTTCCGAGAGATTTCGGAAAAGAGGGGCGTGGCTTGGATGGGAGGGAAAGCTCGAATGGGGACAGGGGACTACGGTGGATGGACCTGGCTATCGATAAATGGGCCTAGCTATCGATAAATGGACCTAGCTATCGAGAAATCGACCTAGCTATCGAGAAATCGACCTGGTTATCGATGAATGGATAAGGCTAGTACTGATCTAAGCACATCATCGATACTCCTAACAAAGCCGGCTACAGGTACAGGCCAGGCTTAACAAGAATAAAAGAGAGGACTGTTGGGGTTCCTTTTAAGTCAATCAAAAATCTTTCGACGATTTGTTTAATTGTTGGCAGTCTTCAGTGAAACTCGTCCTTTACGATCTTCATTGGAGCCCGCTTCTTTGAGACGCTTCAGAGCGCGAAAAACATTCTGTCTCTTTTCCTGCAAGATTCGAGATATCTCTGCGAGTGTTTTTCCTTGCTCATGAAGAGTAATAATGGCTGGACGCAGCTCTTTTATAGATTTCATACCTAAAAAACCAAATCATCGAATAAATAATAATAAAAGAAAAAGAACGAAAGCAGTTAAACGTAGTAAGATGCACAATAATTGTGGAACAATAACAATAACAATAATGCACAATAACGTCACAATAATTGTGGAACACTTTGTAGACCCTGCAGAAGTCCAATAAACATTATGAGGAAGGCCGGCTAGATGCCAATGACTGAAAAATTATCGGATAACTTAAAGGGGAACGGCACAGAGCCGGTTCTCGATCAAAATTGCTATAATATAGCAAATAGGTGTTTGAAAAGGTCAAAATAAGCCTAGAAACAATAAAAACGATCCGGCTGAAGGCTGAAATAATAAAAACGATCTTTTGGCGATGATATTATTGATGATACTTCATAAATGACCTGTTGGCTGACGCTGAAAGATAAAGATAAATATAAGAAATACAAGAAATATAAGAAATACAAGAAATATAAGAAATATAAGAAAGATAAGAAAGATAAGAAAGATAAGAAAGATAAGAAATATAAGAAAGATAAACTTAATAATTCAATTAATAAGAAGCTAAAAGTCAAACATAAGAAGCCAAAAGTTCTAACAGTTCTAAAAGTTCTAAAATAGCGAACCACAAAAAAAGATAACCTTCCGTATAACAACGAAAAAACAGCTTGATAAATCAAAGGTTTCATTCTTCTATATCGTCATCATCGCTGAGATTTAGAAGGTTCTCAAAAATACTATCGATAGTCGATACGAAGCATTTCAAAAGATTCAATAATTGGCTCAGAAAAGAATAGCAGCATACAGGTGGCTGAAAAGTTCTGATACCTTATAAAATATTCCTTTTTGATGGGAAATATTTCTTTTTGATGGAAAACATTGAGAAACTTTTAAAACTATATTTACTTTCAGATTCTTCACATATTTTTACATTATAAACAAGATTTTCAGCTCATTAGCTCTATTCGGAAAAGTTTTACGCTAATTTCTGTGCGTTAATGCTCGTTGGTCGCACCCTCATGAGCAACAAAGGGAAAAGGAACGTCACCAATTTGCCATTCTATTAGATTGGAGTACTTTTTTCCTCACTAAAGGCCTTTTTCAGTTAATATTAAAAAAAGAAATTAAGTAGCAAAGACAATCAAAGAGATGTTTTATGACATGAGATAAAATGGGTGATGTTCATTTTCTCCTTGTTGCCCATGAGAGTGCGATCAACGAGCATTAACCAACATCAGAAGGAACGTCACCAATTTGCCGTTGGTTAATGTTGGTTAATGCTCGTAGTGTAAAACTTTTCCGAATAGAGTTAGGTAGCTGAAAATTTGGTTTATAATGTAAAAAATATGTGGAGAATCTGAAAATCAACATAGTTTCTCAATATTTGGTACATTGGTGGTTTGGAGGGGGCCACTTTTATCCTGGCTTAGTTGGATCGAATGTTTTGAGTGGTTGTATTCATACCTTTTGTCTACCTATTCATCTATCTATCTATCTACCTATCTATCTATCTATCTATCTATCTATCTACCTATTCATCCATCTATCTTTTTATCTAGGGTAATCAAATATTCTTATACTTTTTAGAACATTTACAACATGTTTCAAGTTTCATATTGCCGCTTTTCTTTAATTTTCAAGTGTAAACAACTTTGAGGTAGCGTTTAGTGATTAAAGTACATGAAATTAGGCTAGAATTGCCAAAAACTTGCTAAAATAGTCGCCAATCTATTAAGCATATTTGAATACCCTAGAATAGATAAAAGGTATCAATACAACCACTCAAAACATTAGATCCAACTAAGCCAGGATAAAAGTGGTTCCTCCCAACCAAAGTACCAATATTTCCCATCAAAAAGAATTGTTTTAAAAGGTATCAGAGCTTTTCAGCCACCCTGTAGAAAAAGGAAGACAAATCCGTATATCCAAGTGAAGCGAGTTGAGCAGACATCTTGTTTTTGTCAGACATTTCCACATCTTGTTTTTGTTCTAGGAATGCACTCTTGAGTAGATCAGCGGTTTCGTGTAGCATTTGTGCACGCGCATCGTGTAATTGTTGTCACATTGGTTCCTCGTTTTGCCAATACAATAGATCTTGCTTTCCAGTGCATTTTCCTTCTGGCTTCCACAGTTTTCCCCCTGGTTTCCATAGTTTTGTCATCTTTGTAACAATTTCTCCAGTTGCGTGAACTCGACTAGAACAAATTTCGGGAATTCGTCGATTTTCTCCTCTTCATCGTCCGACATGATCGTCCGACATTTCTCCTCTTCATCGTCCGACATCTTCACCTCTAAATAAAGATTTTTATTTTGCAAGTTGAAAGTTGAAAGTTAAAAGTTGAAGAATAAAAAAGAACAAAAATCAAAAATAGTTCAAGACAATAGTTTAAGAAAATGAAATGAAATGAAAAATGAAAATTTTTTGCTTTGTTGGCGAGTCTGACTACGGTAGTCTTTTGCCATGCTATAGTATTCCTACTCACAAAAGGCTTCAACTTGTGCTTCAACTTCAACCTGCGATCTTTGAAGTGCTTCAACTTCAACCTGCGACCTTTGAAGCGCTTCAACTTCAACCTGCGATCTTTGAAGTGCTTCAACTTCAACCTGCGACCTTTGAAGCGCTTCAGCTTCAACCTGCGATCTTTGAAGTGCTTCAACTTTTTGTGTGTTCAGTCAATATGCATGTTTTTGGTATCAAAATGCTTGAAAAATGTCTTATTTTAATTGTTATCACTTTTTTGTTGGTGTTATGCATGAATAAAAGCAAAAAAAGCTTTTTTTATACTTAGAAAACATAAAAATCGATTTTCAAAAAGCTGCAAGACTAATTTAAAAAATTCTTTCCAACGATCAGCACATTTTTCTGCATCAAATGGATAGATGGACAGATGTACAATAGCTTGAACAGAATAACAGAACAGAATAACAGAACTAGAATTTGTAGAGAAATACAGTCATTAAAGCCGGCAAAAATTTCCCCATTTCTTCCTGAACCTTTTTTCAGATCCATTTTCACTTCTTTCTTTTTTGAGTTCATTCATTTACCCAAATTGTGTTTTCTTTCAATCCAAATTGTGTTTTTTTCTTGATTTCTTCTTTCTTCTTTCTATTTTTGATCTTTTCCGATCTATTCAGTGCCTGGCCGTGCCACCTACACCTACTAAAAAAGAAAACAAAAAAAATGACTTTTTTGGTCACTCTTATCAGTGCTTTTTTTCTTGGAGACAGGTTTCTGGATGGTACTTGAAAAAGATGGATGAAAAAAATGAGTGGAAAATATTTGGAAAGAGAAAAAAGTGGGGAAATGGGGAAAACAATGAGAAGATAGAGGGAAAAGAGATACGTTCTAAATTTTGAGCTAAATTTTGAACTCTAGATTTAGAACTCTAAATTTTGAGCTAAATTTTGAACTCTAGATTTAGAGCTCTAAATTTTAAACTCTAAATTTCTCAGAGACAGAATTTCCGAGCTTTTGGTAGGATTTGTTTGCACTAAGGTCCGATTTAGCTTCAGGTTTCTTCAGCTTTCAGCTAGATCAGTTCAGACTTGTTTAAGTCTTGTAGTCAAGTGCTTGAGGCTGACTTTGGCTGTTTGACTTACAATCCCAAAGAACCTGATCTGGCCCTGGTTTCAAGAACTTCAGATTTGTCTTCAGAACTTCAGATTTGTCTTCAAGAACTTCAGATTTGTCTTTAGAACTACAGATTTGTCTTCAAGAACTTCAGATTTGTCTCTAAACCATTTTTTTTGGCTTTTAAACCAAAAAGCATATAAAAAAACAAGGAGAAATTGAGATTTTCAAAGATTTAACGATTCCAATGATTTAAAGATTTATTTAACGATTTAACGATACATTTAAAGATTTAACGATTTAACGATTTAACAACACAGTTCACTTGAAACATTTCTCGTTTTTCTGCAGCTCTGAAAGCTCTGGAATTGGCGTTAAAAAAAGTGTGGGAGAAATGCGATGACAGCAATTTTTTTTTCTTCCTTATCAAAACGGTACCACCAGGCACTTGCAAGCAAAAACCTGAACGTTTTTTTTTGAGGTTCCGACCCTCAATTGTCTCTGATGGATGGCAGATTGAAATGTTTTTAAAAAAATCTTTCAAAGAATTCTTCTTTTAGTCATTCTTGAATTTGAATTTTGATCATGGTCATTATTTTGTCCATTTGTCCATTCTTCCCATTCTGTCCATTAGTCCATTCTCATTCTGTCCATTCCTATTCTGTCCATTCTTCCCATTCTGTTCATGCTCACAACAGTTTTGGCTTCTTTTTTTCTCTGCAATTTTCAAGATTCAATTATCCAAGGCTTTATTCAGATGTAGATTGCAATCAGTCATCAGATTGCAATCAGTGCTCCTTTAAAGCTCTCTTAAAGCTCCCTTAAAGCTCCTTTATAGTTCCTGTATGGTTTCTAACCAAATATTGGTCAAATATTGGCCTAAATAACCAAATATAAGCCAAAATTGTTTCATTAGAGTTAGAGCACTACAGTCTTAGACTTTGGACTAGGTTTTTGATGATTTTTGATGATTTTTGATCGTTTTTGATCATTTTTGATCATTTTTGATCGTTCTTTGATCGTTTTTCATCGTTTTTGCTCAAATCCACGTCGGCCATAGTACCTATTTGTATTCACCTTAGAACTTCGTAGATTTTCTGTATTTTTTCGAGTATGACATGCCCAGAGGAGCGTTTTGTAGTCGTTTTTCGACCTTTGAACCTATTTTGGTCAATTTTTCTAAAAAATCGCTGTTTTAGGAAAAATAGGAAAAAAAAATCCGAGAAAAATACGGTAAATACGATAAGTTTCTATTATTGGCTTATTAAACTTGTTTTTTTTTGGCTTTTACCGTAACCCTTCCTAATCTCTACACTCTATTCGTTTGCTTTATTTACTTTCGTTAGTTTCTTGCATTTCTTGCAAATTCAAAAACGATCCAGTACCGAATCCGTCTAGAGTACGTCTAGAGACTAGAGACGTCTAGAGAACGTCTAGAGAAGGTCTAGAGTACGTCTAAAGACTAGAGACGTCTAGAGAAGGTCTAGAGACGTCTAGAGAAGGTCTAGAGACGTCTAGAGACTAGAGACGTCTAGAGACTAGAAACATCTAGAGAACGTCTAGAGACGTCTAGAGAACGTCTAGAGTACGTCTAGAGAGTAAAGACGCCTAGAGAACATCTAGAGTAAGTCTAGAGACGTCTAGATGCGTCTAGAGACGTCTAGATGTGTCTAGAGTACGTCTAGAGACTAGAGACGTCTAGAGAGCATCTAGAGACGTCTAGAGTACGTCTAGAATAAGTCTAGAGACGTCTAGAGAACGTCTACAGTACATCTACAACTAGACAGTTTACAGTTTCAGAGCTGTAAAATAATGATTTAAGTTGGAAAGAGGTGATTGAATCAAAGAAAGGCCATTCCCAGTCTTCTCTACCACTGTTGACTCAAGTCAAAGATATAAGAGGCACATTTTGGTTTTAGAACTCTCAGTGCTTTCTCTAAGTGATTCAAGAGGTCCTACCTGGTACGGGTGGGACCTGGTAAACTGAAGAGGACCCGGAAGAAGAAATTTGGGAGGGGTGAATCCTTGAAAAGTCGGGCAGGGATTGTAAGGGAAAGAGCTGGAAAAGGGAAAAGAAAAAGAAAAGTAGAAAAGGGTAAAGGGGTAAAGTTTGTTTTTTCGGCATGAAGGCCTGCAGGGGAGCGTTGCCTGTCCCCCCGCGCAACACAGCCAAACAGCCAAACAGCCAAACAGGCAACACAGGCAACACAAGCAAACACACCGTGCCACCCGCCCCTTTACTCCAAAGTTTTTCTCTTGTTTGGTTTTGATCTGATTTCTGGGATCCTTCTAAAGCTGGCAGTTTGGAGCTGAACTTGGTTACCAAATGGTGAGTGAGCTGAGCAGCAAGAGCTGAGCTTGGTTACCAAATGGTGAGTGAGCTGAGCAGCAATTGAGTGAGCTGAGCTTGGCTACCAAATCGTAACCAAGTTCAGCTCACTCACTCAATTCAGTCCAAGACTTTCAAAGTCTTCTTTTTCTTTTTGCCCATTACTTTATTCATCAATTTTCGTATCATAAACAAAAAACTTTTCTTTTCTTTATCTAATTCCCTTTCTCTTTATCTGATTCCTTTTCTCTTTATCTGATTCATTTCCTCAATTCACCATTTGCATTCAGTTTGTCTCTTTTTTACAGTAATCTAAGAAAATGCCTGTAATGAATTCATGACTCTCAGGGAAATGACTCTCGAATTCCCGAATTCTCGAATTTCCGGTTTTCATTTTGGTTTCTTTTCTTTTCTTTTCTTTACAATTTCTTATAGATTTAAAGATTTCTATCCAGTTGTTTGTTAAAAAGCTGTCTGTCTGTCTGTCTGTCTAATAAGCTGTCTGTCTGTCTAACAAGCTGTCTGTCTGTCTAACAAGCTGTCTGTTTGTCTGTCTAAAAAGCTGTCTGTCTATCTGTCTGTCTATCTGTCTGTCTATCTGTCTGTCTATCTGTCTGTCTATCTGTCTGTCTATCTGTCTGTCTGTCTAATAAGCTAAGAAAGGCTTGATCTTTGACTTGATCTGGATCTTTGACTTGAATCAAGAGAACGAGACAGATCCTATCAACAAGAAAGATCTCAGCCTTAGATCTTAGCCTAATCCAGGCATATCTTGGCCTGTATTCCTTTATCCTATGGCTAAACCGGACCGGATCCCAGGCTAGGCTAGGCCTAAACCCGTCCAGCTTCATAGCCTAACTCTTGGTCAAACCGGAGCAGTCAAACCGCCATACAGCAAGATCTCAAGCCAAGCAATACATCCAAGCCATGGCTAGCTAGATCAACTGTACAACTGTACAACTGTACAACTACTCGATTGGTTACTTGTCTTAAATCCTTGCCTGACATCCAGATTAGCTAAAAAGCTCAAAAATTTACGCCTACTACTTTCCTGTTCCGTAAAAGAGGCTCGGTTTAATTACGCATTGATTACGTAATTAAATTACGCATAAAGCCAAGCCAAGGATCTAACAGTCAAATAGTATCGCTATATAGGTTAGGGTTAGGTTAGATTAACAAGGACAAGAACAAGAGCAAGAGCAATAACAAGAACAAGAAGAAGATCTTCCAAAGTTTAAAGGCAAAGAGTACCATACAAGTGCCTTCTAACACTAACAGTTTTGATCTCCAGAATTCTCCAGAATCCTAGACAGGTTGACTCTTTGAAATCCCGGGGAAACTTGAATTTCGCGAACAAAAAAAAACGAATAGGCCAACTCAAATAGAAGAGTTTTTTTTCGAGGAAAATCCTGGGGGTCAGCGTTTTTCAGCCATTTCAGCCATTTCAAACTATTTGCTTTTCGATTCGAGAAGGGAAAAAAGAAAGAAAGAACGGCAAGGAGGCAAAAAGTCGGGAATGAAAAGAAAAAAACGAAAAAATAAGCAAACAAGGCGTTCCAGGTGGTCCGACCCGGCACCGGGTTTTCATGAAAAAAAGGAGAGGAAAGTTTAGAGTGGTGGATTTGGAAGGTGGCATTCAGGGATGGGGATGGGGATGGCCGATGGTCAACTAGAACAGATTCAAGACTGGGTTATAGGATTCGGCGCTTTGATCTAATTTCTGATCAATTCTTTCGGCTTTCGTGCGGCTGATCAGTCTTGATGCAAGCTAAAGTATGATCAGTCTTCTTGTAAGAAAGCCAGCCAGGCTGGAAGGCTGGCTTGGCTAGAAGGCTGGCTTGGTTGGAAGGCTGGCTTGGTTGGAAGGCTGGCTTGGTTGGAAGGCTGGCTTGGCTAGAAGGCTGGCTTGGCGAGAAGTCTAGCTTGGCTGGAAGGCTGGCTTGACTAGAAGGCTGGCTTGGCTAGAAGTCTAGCTTGGCAATGATCTAGTTTCCAGACATGCCAACCTGCCAATCTCCTAGACGTCACTAGTCACTTAACTAGTATCTCCTAGACTTGTAACTCATAACAACTAGATCTCTTAGACTTATCTCTTAGACAAACCCATCCTAACTACTATCTCTAGACTGAATCTCATCTATTTTCCTCCTGTTTTCACTCTGACACTAACTTTATCACCGAAGCACAGAGCGCGCTTGTTTACAGCTTGTTTTGCTCAAGCTCAATCTCTTCAGCTCAATCTCTAATCAAGAGTCGACTGTGTAGATCTCTAATCGTGTAGATCTTGTACGTTCTAAGCCTCAAGAACTAGCTACTTTCTTTTATGAGTTCTTTAAACAGTTCTTTAAACAGCTATTTCACAATTTTCTAAAGAAATTCTTTAACTTTCAGCTTTAACTCTTTCAAATTTCTCTAAAGCTTTTGATTCTTTTTCAGATGAACAACGAAATTCTCCAGATGATCTCGTCTACACCCTCGAAAACCGCTACACAATGCGCAAGTCAAGGCAGAAAGAGAAGACGAGCAGAGGTGAGGGGATCTTTTGAAGTTTGTAGATAGAAATAGATAGGTGATTTATAGATCTATAATTAGATCTATAATTTAGAATATTTAGGTTCCAAACCCAGCAAATACTTTGGATGGATTAGTGCAGAGACGAGTGGAAGAGGGGAAAGGACTCTCGGGGAGATATCTCACAGAGAATGAAGCTATTGAGAGTCCCGAGGATCATCAACAAGTACAGGTGGATTTTGCCGATAGGGTTATGGGTTATTGTAGAGCTGTAGGATTGTAGGCAGTCTTGGAACTGTAGGCAATCTTAGGACTGTAGGCATTCTTAGGACCGTAGGCAGTCTTAGAACTGTAGGCATTCTTAGAACTGTAGGCATTCTTAGGACCGTAGGCGATCTCTTAAGACTGTAGGCAATCTCTTAGGACTGTAGGCAGTCTATATAATCCTTCAAATCGTCTTACAGTACTCATAAAATTCCAGCCAGTTCCCACCGGAACCACTAGCGATCCGGATGTCTCAGCTAGAACATGCTCGATTTGTGGATATCAGGTGAATACAGTAGTCCTAGAGTAGACCTGTAGACTCTAAAAGAGCTACAGTAGACTCTAAAAGACCTACAGTAGTCTGTAAAAGACCTACAGTAGACTGTAAAAGTGTCCGGATACTGTAGATATATAAATTACAATTTTCTAGGGGAAATGGGTTTCCGAGATGATCCGTCATAAAAGAGTACACACGCCAGATCGTCCATTCAAATGCCGATACTGTTCACGGACAAGTAAATGGAAAGCTGACTTGATTCGACACGTTGCAAGTGAGTTTAGCCAAACTAGAAGACTGTAAATGTCAAGAACAGAAGACTGTATCTGTCGTAGCCAATTCTGAATGAATTTTTTTCGGCAAACCTTTCTAGTAAAGCCATTGAATGAGGACAATATTATATCATTTTGTAGTGAATTCAATTCTGCGTCAATTGTTACCAAATTTGTGAGTTTAAGTTAAAAAATTGCGGGCGCTACAACGTTTCACTGTATATCCACCTGATACCGTACTACTGTAGGTCTACCGTATCCACCTGATACTGTACTGTACTGTATACAGTCTATCGATTATGAATGAGTGAGTTTAGAGGCGTCCAACCATCAAGTGTTTGGTATCATTCAACGCAGAATTATTGCTAATTATGTTAAACTTTTCAAATTAGAAAGAAAGAAAGAAAGAAAAAAGGAAAAAAAATTACGGGACTTCAAAGTTTTCTCTCGGACAAACAGCTTTTTTTTCTTTTCTAATTTCTTTTCCTTTTATCTAATCTTTCTAATTTAAAAAATTTAATATAATTATGGATGATTCTGCGTTGAATGATACCAAATACTTGATGTTTGGACGTCCGTAGACCCACTTATTCATGATCGACTACGCTAGACTGTATACAGTACAGTACAGTTCAGTACAGGCATCCAACCATCAAGTATTTGGTATCATTCAACGCAGAATTATTGATAATTATGTTAAATTTTTTAAATTAGAAAGATTAGATAAAAGGAAAAGAAATTAGAGCAAAAAAAAGCTGTTTGTCCGATAGAAAACTTTGAAGTCCCGTAATTTTTTTTCCTTTTATCTAATCTTTCCAATTTAAAAAATTTAATATAATTATGGATGATTCTGCGTTGAATGAGACCAAACACTTGATATTTGGACGCCCGTAGATCCACTTATTCATAATCGACTACGATAGACTGTATACAGTACAGTACAGTATCAGGTGGATACGGTAGACCTACAGTAGTACGGTATCTACTGTAGGTCCTGCAATTGGTAGTACCCAGTACTGTGGTGTCTACTATATATACTGTACAGTACTTCTATGTACAACAAGAACTAACAAGTACACTAAGCTACAGTACAAAGGGTTTCTTTAGAAACTCACGGCATCCGCGTTGTCTCAAAGTACAGCCGCTCGAAAGCGTTCGATCCGAAGAAGTCTCCGAATCCGGCGGTTTTCACAGAAACGGTAGTTTTCAAAAGCTATTGTACAAAAGTTTAAAAGCTACAAGCCGTCTTACGGTAGCTAAAGCTTCTGCACAAGCTTTTACTTGTACATAGTACATAGTACAAAAACTTGTACTTTTCAGCGTGTCACTCTTCCACCACCACTTCCGCAAGCTGTCCCTCAACGACGAATGCTTCAGATCTATGCCTGCAATCGGTAAGTGAGTCAGGAACAATCGGATTACAGTACTTTGACTACAGTACTTTACAGTACTTTGACTACAGTACTTTAACGTACTGTACAGTACTCCTGAGTACTCCTGAGTACTCCTGAGTACTCCTGAGGCCTCCTGAGTACTCCTGAGGCCTCCTGAGTACTCCTGAGGCCTCCTGAGTACTCCTGAGGCCTCCTGAGTACTCCTGAGGCCTCCTGAGTACTCCTGAGGCCTCCTGAGTACTCCTGAGGCCTCCTGAGTACTCCTGAGTACTTCTGAGTACTCCTGTGTACTTCTGTGTACTCCTGCTTACAGTACCTCTCACTGATCCCCAAACTTTCAGCTGTCCCTTCGAGACGGAGCACCTCTCCATCTTCCACATTCATTCCAATTCCGCTCATCATCTTTCCCAATATTCTTGTCTTTGTGGACACTCGTTTGAAACGATCGAAATAGCGCAAGAACATTGTCAAAAGAATGGATTCCCAACGGAGCATATGAGTGCAAATTTCACCATCAGATATCAAAGAGGTGAGGAAGAAGAGTTCAAAGTTCAAAGCAGTTCACTCTTTCGATTCAATCTCTCGATTTCAGAAGCCCCATCAGTCTCGACTCTTTCCCCCATCGCTCACTCGGATTCCTCAGCTGATTCGGGTGTTCACAGTGACACTGATGATTCCGAACAAGAGACTTTCCCAGCCTCAACTTTATCTCCAGCCTTCAATGGGATTGGTGAGCTGAAGAGAACTAAAGAGATAATGATCTAAAGAGATTCTAGTGGTTTAGGATTCTATTGGATTAGAATTCTATTGGATTAAGATTCTAGTTGTTTAGGATTCTAGTTGTTTAGGATTCTAGTTGTCTAGGATTCTAGTTGTCTAGGATTCTAGTTGTCTAAGATTCTAGTTGTCTAGGATTCTAGTTGTCTAGGATTCTAGTTGTCTAGGATTCTAGTTGTCTAAGATTCTAGTTGTCTAGGATTCAAAATACTCGATTCAATGTTCAATGTTCAATATTGAATATTGAATCTTTTCAGATTCACTATTCCTCTCTTCGCTCTTCCCCTTGATCCCTCTCCCCTCTCCATCCCATCCGATCTCTCCACTCCCACTCTCCTCTCCATCTCCGTTCCTTCTCCCACAATTCGATCTCTCTACATTACTTCTGGCTCTACAGGCTCAAGCACAGGCAAATCTTGGACAAGTGAGTTTAGCTGAAAAACTTATAAACTAATTCCTTGTTTTTCTGAAGAAAAGCTGACCAGTAGTAGCTGAAAAGCAGTAGCTGATCTTAAGTGAGCAGTAGCTGACCTTCCTGGCCTTCTTATATACAATCTAACTGACCGGATCACAAGAGATTTACGCTAAGTACAAGATTTTCCAGATTCCTCTCATTTCCCCATCAGAAAACTCGGCTTTTTCTCCGGCTAGAGGCAAAAAAATGGTCGAAAAGGAGGCGGATACAAAGTGAGTATAGAGATAGAAGATCTAGCTGGTACGGTAATCTAGCTAGTACCGTAATCTAGCTGATACCGTAATCCATAGCTACAGTAATCCAAGTCTAACTTTCCAGGGATATTGGTTGTTCACTGTGTGAGGCGGTATTCTCCTCGCATTCATCCCTCTCTTCACATCTCTCATTTCACGGATCATCCCGCCCACATCAGTGTCCAAATTGCAATTATGCGGCTGGGAAAAGGGTGAGTTCAAAGAAGCAGTAAGCAAATACCGTAACCATCCGAATAGCAAATACCGTAGCCCATTTCCAGACGAATCTCCACCGTCACACTTCCACTCATCACCGGCAATTCCCGACTCAAATCTTGACCAGTTTACCAGAGATTCCTGAAGAGCAAGAAGAAGAAGAAGAAGAAGAAATGTCTGAAGAGGATCAACAAATTCTTGACGTTGAGCTCTAATTCGAATTCTTATTGATTTATTAGCCTTTTGTCGCTTATTCACTTATTTTCTATATTATTTCCGATAGCGTTTTCTCGTTCTCCTTCTCCTTCTCCTCCTCGCCCTCGTTCTCGTTCCCATTCTCGTTCTCGTTCTCGTTCTCCTTCTCCTTCTCGTTCTCCTTCTCCTTCTCCTCCTCGTTCCCATTCTCGTTCTCGTTCTCCATTCTCGTTCTCGTTCTTGTTCTCCTCCTCGTTCTTGTTCTCCTCCTCGTTCTCCTTCTCCTCCTCGTTCTCCTTCTCCTTCTCCTTCTCCTCCTCGTCCTCGTCCTCGTTCTCCTTCTCCTTCTCCTCCTCCTCCTCCTTCTCCTTCTCCTTCTCCTTCTCGTTCAATTATTTTCTCATTTTCAGGGCTTAGGGTCCAGTTTTATAGTCTTATGTCTTTTAAAATATGTCTTTTTAAATGTCTTTTTAAGTTTTATGTCTTTTTAAATATTATTTTCTCGTATTTAAGCAAAGATTACGGTGTTTAGAAGCAATTTTTACGGTTTTCTGGTCATTTTATAGCCGGGTGACGGTAGCATTTCAGGTATTCGAGAATTCGAGAAATTTTCGCATTTTTAGTTTTTTTTCTATTGTTATCTGCCGCAGTGCGTTCCAGGATTTGCAAAAAACAAAAAAACTTTGAAATCACTGCGCTAGATGACCAAAATTTATGCGCCAACTAATTTCGTGTGCCTTTTTCGGTTGTTTTCTTGGTCCCAGGTTGTTTTTGCCGGTTTTTATTCTGTATTAATTTGCATATTATGATGATTTGATTGTTTGATGATTGTATGATGATTTTATGATGATTTGTTTTGCTTTAAACAAAGATATCAAAAAACTAATCACAGATTTAGCATCAAAAGTCGAAAAGAAACAAATTTTTGTTAAATTTAGCACTTAGCATTTAGCTAAATACTAAAAGAAATACTTTCAGCATCAAGCTTTCATTTGATAAAGAAAAACATCATGAGAACTTCAAGAAATTGGTAAAGAATCAATTGAATGTGTGTCTTATCCTTGTCTTATTCTTGTCTTATCCTTTTTTATCCTTTAAAGGATACTTGAATCATTGGCTTGAAAAATAAAGAAAGACGAGGCAGACGTTTGGATTGTACTCGAGAAGGCTGAAGGCTGAAGGTTGAAGGTTGAAGGCAAGGCTGAAGGCTGAAGGTTGAAGACTGAAGGTTGAAGGCTGAAGGCTGAAGGCTGAAGGTTGAAAGCAAAGGCTGAAGGCTGAAGTTGAAGGCTGAAGGCCGGTGGGTTGCTGCTGCTTGTAAGGCGCGGCTGGTGCGCGAAATGCTGGAAGGCCAGCGGCCGAAGGTTACACCGAAGGCGTGAAGGCCAGTTGCCGAAGACCGAAGGCTGAAGGTCAGCGTTGAAGGCAAGGTCCAGCGCCGAAGGTTGAAGGCTGAAGGCTTTGAAGGTTGAAGAGACTGAAGGCTGAAGAGCGTTGCAAAGAAAGTTGAAGGCAAGGCCGGAAGGCCGAAGGTTGCCGAAGGCTGGGAAGGTTGAGAGACCGAAGTGTCGAATAATCGGGCCTCTCGTTCTTATCGGTGGAATTATGGATGCTGAAATATTAACGGAATCAATCAATCGATCCCTCACGCTAGTACAAATATGAGTCTGGCGTAGCTCTTTCAACAAGACAACGACCCAAAGCACACAAGCGGTTCGATGATGGACCGAAAAGATATCGAATCGTCGTTCTGTTCGTCTTCCAGGCTGGTTTTGCATTAATAACGTTTATCTGCTTCAGACTCCACCTTATTCTCCTGATTGCAACCCTTTTGAGCATATGTAGGCCCATAAAACGAAGTGAAACGAAACGAGACTTCTGGGGGACATTCAGGCGCTTTGAGATCTCGCTCGCCTGAACACGCTGCCGCTTGAGCTCGAGCTTGAGCTCCCGACGCTTGAGCTCGAGCTTGAGCTGTCGGCAGCTCCCGACGCTTGAGCTGCCGGACAATCAAGGATCAATTGTCGGTGTGGAGACGTTTTGCTGAAAACAACGATACTAATATATTGAAAGTTAGTAATCATACCATAAAATAAGAAAAATACACAAAAACTATAAAAACAGGTAAACAAAAAGTGAAATGGGGCTCATAACATAATACGATGTTGTTGCGGTAATTCTTGGTCACCTGCAAGTAAGCTATGACCTGCACCTGCCAGTAAGCTATGACCAATTCGTCTTGGTCTTGGTCGCCAAGACGAATGGATGCAATCATTAAAGCCCGAGATTGCCCCAACAAAATATTGAATTCTTCTTTTTTCCACCACTGTAATTATTACATAGATTGGGCCTAGCATTTTCATTTGTTAATTGGGCTGCTTGTGGCAATCGATTTGGGGAAACTCGATTTGGAAAAGACTCGGCTTCTCTCCAACTTCTCTTTCACCTGTTCTTGAAAGTTTTTTCATCTATCGCATTGCCATTTTGTTACATTTTGGTTTTGTTTTTCTGAATGAACCTTCAACTTATGATATCGATCAATATCTCGGCAGCCAATGAGGATCAAATTGTGCAATTCGTTTTCCTCGGCTATGGAGTAGAGTTTGTGATCTAATTGATTTGTTATTTCACGATCCCACTGTTGCATTGGTTCTGGAAGGAGAGTTTGATTCGATTTGAGAAAGATCTTCTATACACAATGATTTCGATGCTTCACCCAAACATCCAAACGCTCTTCTTGGTCTCTATTTACAATGTGTATCCGTTTTCGATGGCTCGACTGATCTACATCTATTATCAGATCCCTGTGACTTGTGAAGTTCAGACAGAGAGTGAGATTGAGCAATAGTTTTGAGAGACTAAAGGACTAGAGATCTAGAGATCTAAAGATCTAGATATCTAGAGATCTAGAGATCTAAAACTCTAGAGATCTAAAGAACTAGAGACCTAAAGCTCTAGATCTCTAGATCTCTAGATCTCTAGATCTCTAGATCTAGATCTCTAGATCTCTAGAGACCATACCAAATCTGATTCAACCGATTCAGCATGGAACTCTTGCTTGATCCCAATGATTTTCTCTTCATCCTTTTGCATTTTTGGATGGTCGGCGAATGCAAGTTAGTGGGCTTTTTTGCAGAACATCATCAACCGATTGCTAGAAATTTGCATAGTTTCAGCCGTTCTTTCGATTCTTTTACTCGAGCGAATCATCGCCATCATCCTCGTCGACACCTACGAGAAGAAATATTATCATAAAGAGTTGAAAGCCCTACTCGTTTTCCCCTTTCTTGTGGCAGCTTTTTTCGCAAATCTCTACACCTTTGGCTAGTTTTGAGGCTCTAGCTCTAGAGCCTGAGGCTCAGCTCTAGCTCAGGCTCAGGCTCAGGCTCTAAGCTCAGGCTCTAGCTCAGGCTCTAGCTCAGGCTCAGGCTCTAGCTCAGGCTCTAGCTCTTTTAAACGGCGCTCACAATGAAGAGAATTTTCAGGTCTCATCTCAAAAATGATCACTGCGACTTTTGTAGTCTTTATCATCGTTATCGGTGGAATTGTAAGTGTGATATCGACTTCTAAAAATGCATTCATTTGTCTAGCTAGTCGGTTTTATGATCTCGATAAATGAGAGAAAAATTCGAAAGCGATACTCGTCGAATTACACCCTATCGAGGAGATATCAGCTGACAGAAAACGCGAAATCGATGCAGGTTAGATAGAAGATCGGGAAGAAAGCCTACTTTTAACATTTAACATTTAACATTAACATTAAGTCAAAAAGGATTGCTTGTAAGGATTGCTTGTAAGGATTGTTGGAAGGATTGCTTGTAGGGATTGCTTGTAGGGATTGCTTGTAGGGATTGCTTGTAAGGATTGCTTGTAAGGATTGCTTGTAAGGATTGCTTGTAGGGATTGCTTGGAAGGATTGCTTGGAAGGATTGCTTGTAGGGATTGTTTTAAATGATTTCTTGTAAAGACCTCTTTCATAAAAATGTTTATTCGTTATTTTGAAACTTGAGTTTTTCAGCTATTTTACGATAGAATTCTTTCAATTTTTGCTAATATTAAACGAGTAAAATAAACGCTAATAATCTAGTATTTAATAATGTAAACAGCATATACTTCATGGAGGGAATACAGATTTTACGAGCGTACAAACGTCATTACTATTCCAGCTATTTCAGCTGCTCGTTTCTAGCCGATTCACCACAAAAAGGGCTCAGATTTTAACGATAATACGATTTTAACGATTTTAACGATCATGTGTCTACCGTATTTTCTCTAATAGTAGTGCACCCAGAGCGTCGCCTAAATTCCTCGAAATCTCGAGAACCGCTTATCAGAACCTATCGATGTGGGGTCGGAAAATGTAGCTGACGATGAGATCTTGACGATGATTAGAGTGTTGAGCTTCTGGGAAAAATTAGAAACTGTAAAATAGGCATCAACTCGACGGGGAAAATTAGAGACTATTAGAGAAAATACGGTATTATATTAGGTTTTTCGGATATAAACGAGCGTTTGCACTGCTTAACTCATTATTTGTGAAGAAGCATTGATAGAACAATTTAATAGAAGCGTTAATAGAACAACCTAATAGAAGTATTGATAGAAGCATTGATAGAACAACATAATAGAAGCGACATAGACCTAATAGACCAAGAGCTCGACATAACAATGAATTTGATCAAACAACACTGTTGTTGCTTGTCTTTTTCCTGTTTCTCTATTTATATTCTACAAACGAGAGCTCTTCTACCCAAGCAATCCCATGGCTGAGCCGTTTTTTTGACTTTAGCATTGCATTGCATTGCTAAATGAGTTAAACTTCTTTCCAAACTTCTTTCCAAACATAAACTCCTTTCTAGATGCTGACTCGATTAATGGGTTTCCTCGTCATTTCCACTTTTGTCTATGGAACGCTTTTCTACCCGAATTCCACGTTAAGCTACAGTTGGAAAACGAGAAACATTTCTGGTATCGGTCTCGGATTCGCCGAGGGATTGTATGTCTCTCTGTTCAAGTTGTTCTTCAAAAGAGTTAAGAAACACCTTAGTCCAGACGATCTACTTTTTGATTGGCACCCGGGAACTTCGTCATCATCTATTGAAGGCTCTTGGAAAGAGGTTTCAACTAAACAGGTGCAGATGTTGATAAACCTTGATCGATTCATCAACCTTGATTGGTTTCTCTTATCAATAGATCAATAGACAGAGATCAATAGACACTAAAAAAATCTACCGTTAATCTTCTATTAGAATGACATGTCATTCTATTGAAAGTTCTCATACTAATAGAAGAAATACGGTCTCACAGAATCCCCTCTGTTCAAACAATCTTCTCAGTCTAGTCTAAGGATTTAGAGCAAACATTTGGCAACTATATTACTGGAATTACTATATTACTATTTGCTGAATAGATATAAAAGCGCATTGCAGAACGAGTGTGATCAACGAAACTCCACAAATGTTAGCTCGAGTCGTCGATGTTCGCGGGAAAGTGGGGATCATTGAGGAATCATTGAGGAATCTTTGAGGAATCTTTGAGGAATCTTTGAGGAATCTTTGAGGAATCATTTGACAATCTTTTCAGTGAAAAAGAGCGAGAACTCTTGAAAAAAGGGTCCTTTTGGTCACCCTCTATCTATTAGGTTGATGCATAAGTCTTTTTGTTCCTTTTCGTCTGCCGTTTCAAGCCAACAAATGCACCAATTAAACTACGGTTGATTTCATTAGAAAAACCAATTATTTTTCTGCAAAATAACATTAAAACGGGTTTAAAAATATTTAATGCCTGGATTTTCTTGAGAGTATGAAGTCGGGTAGTCAAAAAGGGCTAACTCGATGATGCGGTTTAGACACCTTAGTTAAAGAAAACCTATCTTCGTGTCAATAGATAAAAGATAGAGAAAAAAAAGTTTGATATTTCGCCAAAATTTCAGAGAAATTCATTCAGCCAATTTTTCCGTAGAGTTTTTTATAGATTTTTACGAAAAAGGCGTTTTTCACTCTCGAATTTGCTTGAAAGTGAACCGAAATTCATTTAAAAAGATGGAAATTGAACCAAAAAACCCTTTTTTTATAGAGCAAACTATAGATTAATTCGTGAATTTGTTACTTTTTAACAGAAGTACGAAAAAAACGAAAAGACTTATGCATCAACCTAATATTTAGAAGTTAAATCGTTAAACTTGACTTAAACTAAAGAATAAGTCTACTTAAGCATATCCAAATCCTTACCTTGTTTGCTCGATCAATCAGATTCCTTTCCATTTCTTCTCGTTGTTGTTGAGCGCTGGGAACGTCTCGATTCAGCTCAGGTTCGGTAATGTTTGCTGAAGGTGGCGTGGAGCGAGAGGTCGATGTTTTAGCTCCGGAACCCTGAATTTGAAATGACCGTAAAGCAAAGTTTCACCAGGTCCAAAAGAAGTACGAAAAACATTTCAGCTGCTACAGAAGCTACTAACAGAAGTACGAAAAAAACGAAAAGACTTATGCATCAACCTAATATAAAAGAGAAATTCCTTATCAAGTCAAGAGATCAATTCATTGGTACTTGTGGAGTATCCGGGGGGGTCTTTCAATATCCGGGGGGGTAAAATTTTAAGATCCGGGGGGGTAAAATTTTATATACGTTATACACGACCCCTTTTAAAGATATTCAGCCGCTTAAGTGATTTGGTGGCAATTTCCCTTCAAATGTAAAGATATTCAATTTATTCGAGGTGATTACTTGATTACGTGATTCGAGGTGATACTCGATCAAAAAACGTAACTTCTACGAAATTTTTTTATGTCATTATTAGAAATGTTGATAATATCCTAGTTGGCGGCAAACATTTTCACACTAAATTGATGAAATTCTATTTAAAACGCTAAAATTAACGCAAAATGATATAAGTTTAAAGGTTTAAGTTTAAGGGTTTAACAAAAGGTTAAACATTTGCCTCAAGAATTTTATTTTTAGTTACAAAGCCTATGTAAATGTAAAAGTAAATGTAAAATTTCACGGAATTTGCGTTAATCTATTGATCTTTAGACCATTAATCAGATCATGAGCAATATTTTCGTTCTTCTTTTAAACTCTGAAAGCGATAGGTGCAAAAGATTGATAAAAGTAGCAGAATGGTCAAAAAGTTTAAAAAAAAGTATAAAAAAGTTAAAATTTTGCCCCCCGGATATTGAAAGACCCCCCGGATACTCCACAAGTACCAATTCATTTGCATGTAAAATAGGAGAGCACCGAATTTTACACTTAAGTTGAATCCGAAATTGTATCCGTAGTATCCGAAATTGAAATATTCACAAGGGAAGAATGTCCCCCGTGGCCTTTTCCGATGATATATAGACCATTCGGCGCAGAATTTTACGCTGATTCCAATGATGTGAAAATTAGCTACCGAATGGCGCGTAATCACCGCCAAACTGGCATTGAGGTTTTGAGCCTCTCGTTTTAAGCCGATTTTTTTCGACACAACCGTGCATCGGTGGCCGATGGGTTGCATTGGCGTTCATTTGATTACGGCGCTCCTTTAAGCGGCGCTCCTTTAAGCGGCGCTCCTTTAAGCGGCGCTCCTTTAAGCGGCGCTCCTTTAAGCGGCGCTCCTTTAAGCGGCGCTCCTTTAAGCGGCGCTCCTTTAAGCGGCGCTCCTTTAAGCGGCGCTCCTTTAAGCGGCGCTCCTTTAAGCGGCGCTCCTTTAAGCGGCGCTCCTTTAAGCGGCGCTCCTTTAAGCGGCGCTCCTTTTAAGCGGCGCTCCTTTAAGCGGCGCTCCTTTAAGCGGCGCTCCTTTAAGCGGCGCTCCTTTAAGCGGCGCTCCTTTAAGCGGCGCTCCTTTAAGCGGCGCCTCAGAAAATCTTTTGTCTTTTCAGACTCTCTACACCGGCAGCAATCAGAATGATTATTTCGCTCAACTGGTGACTCAATGGGAATCGTGAGAAACAATGAACTCATCAAACTTTGATTATCTAGGCTATACAAATAAACATTTCTAATCACGTATTTGACGTAAAATTTTTTAAAAATAGTGATCATTATAATTGTTTTTTTTAGTTTTCTCATTTTAAAATCACTAAAGATTCAGAAAAACTGTGATTTAGTTATATGCTTCTGGATGGACTGATGATTATTCTTCCTGATTTAGTTATATGCTTGCTGCTACTCCGATTTCGAAGCTCGGCTACAGAATCTGGGCATTAAAGGCAATGGTGGTGTTGAAAGAGGAACTGGTATTGGCTGGTATTGGCTGGTATTGGCTTTGTTAAGCTGGTGAACCGTAGAAACTCTAGATTACCCTAGAAAAAGTAAAAAAAATGCAAAAAACATGTCCCTCTCCTTAAAACGAACCCGCATTCTCGTCCAAACTCTCAATCAACACTTTCACATCACATCGAATCGTGTTATCACAGACGATATCACGGAAATCCATCAAATCCATTAAATCCATCAAATCCATCAAATCCATCAAATCCATTCAATCACATCAAACCCCGTCTCGAGCGTTGCCTAAATTCCTCGAGATCTCGAGAACCGCTTATCAGAACCTATCGATGTGGGGTCGGAAAATGTAGCTGACGATGAGATCTTGACGATGATTAGAGGGTTGAGCTTCTGGGAAAAATTAGAAACTGTAAAATAGGCATCAACTCGGCTCATCGGGGTGCACTACTATTAGAGAAAATACGGTATCATCGACACAAAGTCATGTTGTCTTGCTGGTGGATATATGAAATATCAACGGGCTTATCTATTACGTTATTAAAGTCTGTAAAAACTTCAAGCCTCAAGCCTTAGCTCTCCATTTCCTATGTTCTTTTGTTGTTTGTATAACTTATTTTTGTAATTTTTATTTCTTTACTTCAAAAGCAAGTATTAGCAAAAGCAAAGCAAAACGCTGAAAAATAAAGTAAAGATTCGGTTCCTTATCTCACTAAATTCGGTTCCTTATCTCTTCAAATTTGGGTAAAGATAAACGGCATTAATCGCAATGACAATTCAATCAAATCAGGGACAGAATTTGGGTATTGCAATACAATATATTGTCCAAGACGATAACCTAGAACAAGAGACATTCAGTTAGTTTATATAGCATCTAGAATCTTGTTATATAGCATTGGTTTTTATCCGATTGGCTCAATCTCAAGTATCCGATTGACTGAATGACTTCACACTTATAGAAAAGAGAAAATTTGAATCAGAATCTCTGAGCTGGTACTATCTGGTGGAAAGTCTTCTTTTAAACAAGGCTTGTTAAGGCTAAATAAGGCAGCTTTTTTTGCTTGTAGCAAAAAAAAGCTGCCTTTGCTTTGCAGGTTTTTTTTGTTTCGGATTTATTGATTCAATTCCAAGAATTATTGATTCAATTTATTGATTTATTGAATCAATAAATCAATAAATCAATTTATTGATTTATTGATTCAATTCCAAGTCAATAACGTCAAATAGCGCGATAGAACTAGAAAATGATCATAAAGCGCAAAAAAAGTATTCATCGTATTTGATTGACGCTGACTTCTCATTGTTGATCTCATTGTTGATCTTTTCACAGGCCTCGACGAAGCTTTTTCTCATTGCCTTCGTATCCGAGAAGCTAAAATTACAGATTGACAAAAGATTACGTTAAAAATAGAAGATAATAGGTACTAGAATAGGTACTATAATAGGTAATAAACTTCGCGGAAACCCCTTTAACTCGATTCGGTCAGATTGTATCTTTTGATTTGTTTTGTTGATATTGTTTTGACTGTTTTACCAACGTTATTTTACTTTTTCCGGGGTAATCAAGCATGATGAATCTATTTTTAATATTTTTAGACCAATTCTGAACAATTTTTATTGATATTTTAATAAGCTAGCTGAAGATTTACTTCTGTAGTGTTGCTTAGCTTAAAAATGAAGAGAGAAGCAAAATACAAAGGGATAATTTGTTCAAAAGATTCTAAAAACATCATCAATCGATGCTTAAGAAGAATAAGTATTTGATTACCCCAGGAAACGTAAAACAAGATTAGAAAAAACACGTCTAGAATCAGGGTCTGACCAAGTCTGATCGAAGTGCCTCCACGAAGTTTATTAGCACCAGATAATGAAATCTAATAAATCTCTGAACCTGCAAGACATTGTGGACTTCATTGGTAACTTTGTCGAGCTTTTTCTCCAAACGAATGAGCCGGGTGTCGGTTTGTGAAACACTTGAAGAAGAGGCTTCTTGATTAGCTTCGAGCTGTTCTTGATCTTCCACTTCATGCGACTGCAAAGAAAAAAAATGGTATAATTCTAACTAGAAAGAGTTACCAAAGAGTTGATACTGACGTTGCCAACACTTATAGAGATCGATGAGCCTGATTCCGAGTCGTCTTCTTCGTCCGTGGCCCACAATTTCTTTTCAACCTCGAGGAGTGCACGTCTCACCACTTTTGCCCAGGCTTTTTCAGTGAACTAAGGTTTTCATAAATTAAATTAAGAAAATAGAACATACATGGTACATCGGGAAGACAAGGTGGAATTGCGCGAGGAGATGCTGTCGATCGGCTTGTTGAAGGTCGTCCCGAGTGAGCAACCATACGACAGCAGTGCGGCTTTTCAAGCTTTGTTTCCGTGCCACTAAACAAAAAGGTTTATTATAGCTAGATTAAAAAATAACCAATTTAGCTTTTAGTCAATACTTGTATAACAACTTGTAGAACAACTTGTAGAACAACTTGTAGAACAACTTGTATAACAACACTGTTAACAACACTGTTAACAACTTGTATAACAACACTGTTAACAACTTGTATAACAACACTGTTAACAACTTGTATAACAACACTGTTAACAACACTGTTAACAACTTGTATAACAACACTGTTAACAACACTGCTAACAACACTGTTAACAACACTGTTAACAACAGCACAGGTTCAATATATTAATCACCTTTCATCTCCGGTAAAAGCTAAGTTAGTTAGTTAATTGAAAATGAAAAACGATTAACAAAAATAAGCAATCAAGTGAAAAATAAGCAACAATAACAACAAAACTAAGTGTTAAAAACAAAGAAAAGAAAAAAACTTACTAATAAAGGTGAAGAGCTTGCGAATAAAGATAAAGCTGTCATCTTGATTTCCTTTTATTTGATCTTTAAATGAAAATTTTACATTTTAGATCCAAATTTTAAATTTTAGAGGCTAGCAATTCTAGCTGGAAATCAAAATTTTATGTTTAAATAGTTCTCTATTTTAGTGTGAGTGAAAGATTATCGAAATGGATGAGGTGGAGGGGACAAAGGGACACAACAAATACAGTAACAGAGCTTTATTCAAGCCTTCTCAATAATGAAGCCTTCTCAATAATGAAGCCTTCTCAATAATGAAGCCTTCTCAATAATCAAGTCTTATCAATAATGAAGCCTTCTCAATAATGAAGCCTTATCAATAATCAAGCCTTATCAATAATCAAGCCTTATCAATAATCAAGTCTTATCAATAATCAAGCCTTATCAAGCCTTATCCAGCTTTATTATTACAATAGGAATAAAGTCTCCGTTTTATCTCCATTTCTCATTTTATCAGTTTTATCTTTTTTCTCGTTATAACTCAAATTCTATGTGCATTCTATGTGCGTTTTGAAGCTAACTGAAAAGAAATAGGGCTTAGAAATGGTGTCTTGCGCTCTTGGGCTTCTCATCAGTATCATTTTAAGCGAAAAGCGGGCATATCATAGAATAAACTAACGACAATTAAAATGTCTTATGTACGGATTTTTTGGAAGCTAGTCGAATAGTCAAAAAGGAGGTTTAAAGTCAATGCGCCGGATAATCAAAATTGTGTGCTTTGTTGCGCGCTTTGTTGCGCGCTTTGTTGCGCGCTTTGTGTGCCTTTTTCGGTGATTTCAGGTTGTCTTTTGTTTGTTTGTTTTGTTGTTTTCTGTTTCTGTGCACAAATTTGCATATTATGATGATTTTATGCTTCGACAAATATAGATAAAACAAAAAATTGAGGAGTTTAGAGATTTTTCGGGGTCAGAGCGGCGACAGCGATTGAAACGGAGATTATGTGGCTGAAGAAAGGTTCAACGTGGACGGCGACGGCAAACTAAAGAACAAAAATTGTTTTGTTGCATCGAATAGCTAGCATCGAATAGACTAGCGTAAGGCTGATTCTGGACTCGATCTGGAGCTAGATATCAGAGCTAGATCAAGCTAGATCAAGCTAGATCAAGCTAGGCCAAGCTAGATCAAGAAACCTTGAGTCTGGACTAGAGTTTCAAATTCTGTAAGCCAGATAGGGTCTGTAAGCTAGACTGCTTTGATTCGATTTGATTTTTCTACCTGAACATTCGGCGATGCATCAACATGGAATAGTAGGCGAAGAACCGCGTCCACTGTTTCGCTTACCGAATGGAAGGGGATCCGAATGGCTGACGAGGAGACCAAGAAGGATTCGCGGACACGCGATAACTGGGAAATATTTTAAATTTTGAAATTTAGAAATGAGATACTTAGATATTCAAGATGTGCTTCTATAGGATGCCTAAAGATCCAATAGAAATGCCTGGTGCCTAAAGAAATCGAGTACTTCAGCCGGTACGCTAGGCGCTAAGCAAACCGCTAAGCAAACCGCTAAGCAAACCGCTAGACAAACCACTAGACAAACCACTAGACAAACCGCTAGACAAACCGCTAGACAAACCACTAGTCAAGCCACTAGTCAAGCCACTAGTTAAACCAAGCCAGTAGAAGCTTACAGCTTCGATAAAATAAGTAACTGTTCATTTACCCAAGTCCCCAAAGTATTTGGGATCAATTTCTTTTGCCTTAAATTTTATTTTTTCTACAAATTGTACTGTAAAACTCGTAGTATTGTCTAAAATTTGATCATAGAATAGTTTAACTCAAATATATGCATTTACAAACCTTTTCCTCGACATTCGGCGTTCGTCCACTGTCAAATTCTTGTAGAACTTCACGAAGCGCTCTAAAAAGTGAATAAGGTTACTGTAGTACGGTAGCTTGCTATAGTACTGTAGCTTGCTATAGTACTGTAGCTTACTATCGTACTGTAGCTTTATGTCTTTAACCTTGCCGCCAGAAGGTTCCATTGTGGGATCCCGTACGGTCGTCCAGCATCGAATCTCACCCGCACCTCTCGTTCGATTGTCGATCGCAACTCGATCACCACATCTTCACTAAAAAAGCTTTAAAGATTGCATAGTATTGTACAATTACCGTACTATACTGTAGTACTATACTATCGTCTTACAATACGTATTAGCTTGATTCAAAACGTACGATAGTTGTGGATAGTTGACATTATCAGGCTGCACACTCGGTGGAGCCGATCGCACATTTTCCCAAAGTGGTTTCCAGTTGGCTTTCTTCTAAAAGATAGCTCTACCTTGCAATGCAAAGCTAGCGTCAGAGTACTAGTCTTGTACTGTAGCCTTGTACTGTAGCTTTGTACTGCAGGCTTGTACTATAGCCTTGTACTGTAGCCTTATACTGTGGCCTTATACTGTAGCCTTATACTGTAGCTTTGTACTGTAGCCTTGTACTGTAGCTTTGTACTGTAGCCTTGTACTGTAACTACCGTTAAATCCCAATTGATCGTTGATGGATGTGCTTGTGGTTGAATGTTTCCAAAGAGATTTCCACTCGTCACCACCGTATCCACCGAGATCAAAGGACAAAGAGCATCGTTTAGAGAATAGTGATTGCCTAGAAGAAGATACTGTATTTTACAAGTACTGTAGTCAGGCCAATACTCATAATGAGCCCAAACTGGTACTGTAGCTATATCCTGTACTATATTTATGTACTATAGCATGAGTTCTGCAGTCTGGGTACTGTAGCCTACTGTAACTGTAGGCTGTACTATAGCCTACTGTAACTGTAGCTAGTAACTGTAAAGTACTGTAGCCTAGTTGAGTACCGTAGTTGCGTACTGGTGCTGTACGGTACTGGTGAAGGTGTGTTGTAGCTTGTAGCCAGTGTACAGTACTACTTACCATCACTCGGATTGAGCAGTGCGGTGATCTCTGGGTGTTGCACGAGAACGAAAGCCGCCTTGTCACCTAAATATTGCACAGAAGTTGTAAGAATTGTTGTAAGTCCAGCTGGTAGAGCTCTAACAAGTATCTACAAGCTCTCACAAGCTCTAACAAGTCCAGAGACTCATTAGGTCTAGTCTAGTCTAGTCTAGTCTAGTCTAGCCTAGTCTAGTCTAGCCTAGTCTAGTCTAGCCTAGCCTAGTCTAGTCTAGCCTAGCCTAGTCTAGCCTAGTCTAGTCTAGTCTAGCCTAGCCTAGCCGATCCCTGTCTACGGTAGTCTACCCAAAAATCTACCTTCAGGTAAAGCAGTGCCAAGAACAAGTTTTGCGTCGACACCCATCGAAAGAAGCCAACAAACGAGCAGCACCGCGTGCTCTTCCTCATCACCACAACATAGCTGCATTAACTGAAAAATAAACTACGGTATTGTAGTTTCAGAGTTATCGCTAGACTTGATCAATCGTCGTCCACACATCAGAAACCCCGGGAAAGAGGAGTGGATCGGAGAGGAACGGGATCAATGAAACAATCCGACAAGCTTCAAGGATAGATGATCGAAGAGAGGATCGATTGAGGGAAGGAGGAGGACGGACTGGGGAGAGGTACCTAGAAGAGGAATTCAAACACCTACTGTAAATACTGTAATAGTACCTCACCCCCCTCATACAGTCGCGTAGTCGCAAAAGTTTTTTCATTTTTTATTTCAAAAGTATTTCATTTTTTTCAAAGCACCCGTACTTTCAAAAAATGCGTCTTTGGTATCAAAAAATAGCCCTGAATTTCAGCTATTTTTTGATACCAAAGCGCGCATTGTAGCATAAACCAGTGTCGAGAAAAACGCGTCTAATGCTAGACTACGCAACGCTCCGCACCTTTTTTCACTTTTTTCAAAGCACTCGTACTTCCAAAAAATACGTCTTTGGTATCAAAAAATAGCTGAAATTCAGGGCTATTTTTTGATACCAAAGCGCGCATTGTAGCATAAACCAGTGTCGAGAAAAACTCGTTCAAAGCTAGGCTACGCAACACTCCACACCGTCATTATGTGGGTGGGGTACTATTACAGTATTTACGGTATACACCCATTCACCAACCAATCCACGGTGCTCAAGTAGATTACTTTTAGTAGATTTTAGTAGATTACTAGGTTTAAAGCTCATTTTGTACAAGTTTTATGCTAAAAAGGAAACACATTTATCAATACGCTCAACGTTCAACGATCTGCGAGCTCAAAAGTGCTAATAAATATTGAAAATCTGGTAGCTACACTACTGGACAATGAAATATGATATTTGAAAAAAGATCGTTACTTTCGCGCGTCTATAACTCCTTTGTCTTTACCGTATTTCTAAATATTAATATTACCATTGTGTAGCCCTTGAAAAGAGCTTTCAGACAAATGTAGAACACTAATAGTTTAAACTCAAAGACAAGGGAGTTACAGACGCGCGAAAGTGACGATCGCTTTTCAAATATCATATTTCATTGTCCATTAGTGTAGCTAGAGTAAGGAAATCCTGTATCCATGAAATCCTAAATCCTGTGTTCAGCATTTAGAATCAAAGCTGGGACATAGAGACAAGCCTTAGCTTTAGAGAAAACTTTTATTACTCTTACTTTTATTTTCATCTTTTACATTTTAAATTTTAAAGTACAGTTTCAATTTTCCCTCACCGTGTCGGCAACAATTTTCTCCCATTCGAGTCAGAGACAAATGCCACATAGCGTCGATTTTTCCTTAATGGATCACTTGAACAAAATGATAACCATTGTGTAGATTGAGCTTCGATCTGAAAAGGAAACAAACAAGTGATCTGACTAAAACAAACGTCGAAATAAAACAAGCATCGAAATTTCTTGTTTTTCGGTCAACTTGTAGAAACTGATCAACTTCTGGTCAACTTCTGGTCAACTTTAACGGCTTAGATCTCGAGGTAGAAGCCTCCAATCGACTCACGATCGGTTTCATTAGAATCCTTATCAAATTTGGCTATAGAAAAGTACAATTTCTTTGTGGTACTCATCTGCAAGAACACCGAGAAAACAAGCGTCGAAGTTGACCGGCCAACCTGCAGAAGCCGGTCAACTTTAACGGCTTAGATCTCGAGGTAGAAGCCTCCAATCAACTACTCACCATTGGTTTCATTAGAATCCTTATCAAATTTGGCTATAGAAAAGTACAATTTCTTTGTGGTACTCATCTGCAAGAACACCGAGGAAACAATGCCAGGTGCAGGCGAGTCCCTTAAACAAATTGTACTTTTCTATAGCCAAATTTGATGAGGATTCTTTTAAAGTGAACCCTTTAGTCGATCCGATGTTTAGATCTAAATCTAAAGCCAATACTTACAAACAATACTGATTTTACCATATAAACAAAAATGTACATTGATCAAAACTCTCTCGCATCACAATTTTGGAATTTTCAATTCAAATTTTGAAATTTTCAGCTATAAATGGGGTTAGGATTGTGTTTTTTTTTTAATTAAGTGCCACTACGGGGAGTCGAATCGTGTAGGCTGTAGATGGCTGTACTGTAGGCTATGGTGTAGACGCTCTCGCCGTAGACGCTCTCGCCGTAGACGCTCTCGCCGTAGACGCTCTCGCCGTAGACGCTCTCGCCGAGACCCTCGCCGTAGACGCCGCCGTAGACGCCCGCCGTAGACGCTCGCCGAGACGCCCGCCGTAGACGCCTCGCCGTAGACGCTCCGCCGTAGACGCTCTCGCCGTAGACGCCTCGCCGTAGACGCTCTCGCCGTAGACGCCCGCCGTAACGCCGAGACGCCTCGCCGTAGACGCCCGCCGAGACGCTCTCGCCGTAGACGCCTCGCCGTAGACGCTCGCCGAGACGCTCCGCCGAGACGCTCGCCGTAGACGCTCTCGCCGAACGCTCTCGCCGTAGACGCTCTCGCCGTAGACGCCTCGCCGTAGACGCCTCGCCGAGACGCTCTCGCCGTAGACGCTCGCCGTAACGCTCTCGCCGTAGACGCTCTCGCCGTAGACGCTCTCGCCGTAGACGCTCTCGCCGTAGACGCTCTCGCCGTAGACGCTCTCGCCGTAGACGCTCTCGCCGTAGACGCTCTCGCCGTAGACGCTCTCGACTCTGGTGTAGACGCTCTCTCCCGTAGATGCTCTCGACTATGGTGTAGACGCTCTTGCCGTAGACCCTCTCGACTAGGCTATGGCGACAAAAGTATTATGCCGGTTTTTCGACTATCTTGTCTTGAATTCTTAAGAATTTCTATAATAAAACTCGTACAATCGGTGTCTCGAGTGATCCATTTAATTGTGGTGGGATGAGGCGAGGTGGAGTGATTGATGGAGTTAAAGCGATAAGGAGGCGGATGTAGCACGGTTTATCGGAGATGCTAAAAGGTGAGTTTTAGAAAGGGGAGTCTGGAAGTTGTGAAAGCTATACTATGGTGAAGATAGATGTTAGAATGTGTCGTTGCCAGATTCAATTTAATCTCGGATTTAGCTACAGATTGAGATCTATTTCAATGGATCCTAGTTTTACAGAAGCTACAGTAGTCTACAGAGACTACAGTAGTCTACAGAGGCTACAGTAGCTTACAGAGGCTACAGTAGCTTACAGAGGCTACAGTAGCTTACAGAGGCTACAGTAGCTTACAGACAGTAGTCTACAGAGACTACAGTAGCTTACAGACACTACAGTAGTCTCAAAAAGTAGCCGTCACCTGTATCCAAGTAGATAAAGCGGTAGTTGGAGTCTTAATTGACCCTCAATGTTTCCCCGACAGAGCACTGTAGAGAAAGGGATCTGAAAGAATCTCTATAGAGCTCGAGGTTCCGTTGCAAGCTATTCCCAGCACTCTTTTCACCCACTCGAACCGACGCAATGAATCGTCTCGTCAATTGTTCGTGCACAACCGTCTGCTGAACCCGATCATCAACAGGAAGCTGGGAAACTAACTGAAAGAAAAAGCTTTTGATACTTTAAATGTTCCAGTACTTGATCATAAACAGAGATCTCAATGGTGTCCATAATCGTTTTCAGCTCCGACTCGTCACTCTCACGTCGCACTGAAAAAATGGTTTCTATACCGGCTATGGTTTAACGTACTGTAGGCCTACTGTAGGCCTAGATTACTGTACTAGATTTAGACCTAGTTGCACTAGATTCAGATCTAAGTCAGGCCAGGGTACTGTACTTGGAAGTAGACCTAGGTGTACTGGATTCAGGCTTGCCAGGCCTAAGATACTGTAGAGATTTAATCCGTACACACGTCAAGGCTAACAGTAGCTTACTGTGCAGCTTATTGCAACAGTAGCTTACTGCAGCTTACTGCAGCTTACTGTACCTTACTGTACACCTTACTGTACAGCTTACTGAACAGCTTACTGAACATCTTACTGAACAGCTTACTGTACAGCTTACTGAACAGCTTACTGTACACTTTGCTGTACAGCTTACTATACATCTTACTGTACATCTTACTGTACATCTTACTGTACACCTTACTGTACACCTTACTATACAGCTTACTGTACCCGGTAAACTCGTCGTGTGTTGCCAGGTCGGATTTCGTCCGCTCGCCACATTCGTTTTCGCCGTTTCCCCCTGAAATGCTTATGAACTATCAAACAAACAAAGCCAAGCCAAGCCAACGCTACAGTAACCCTAATTGGATTCCTTAGTTTACCTAGGGTTACTGTAGCTTTATGGTAGATTACTGTAGTCCACCTGAAACGCGATTTGAACAAATGTTTCCACAGATTGACCCTCGTTTCTCGTTGGCAGCTCGACCGCGCTTTGCACGTTCACAACAAGGGAATAAGTGGAGGAAAGCTGAAAAGGAAGATGGGATTACTGTAGCTTTTAGTGTAGTTTAAGGCCGGTTCTATAGTAAGCTATTGTAGTTTTTATTTGTTTAAATAAGCACCTGTCCCCGTTGAACCGTTTGTCGCATCGGTTTCAGACGTCGACTTTGATCAACTGGACCGAAAAGTGATGAGAAAGCGCCTGAAAAGGTTTTCTCTTTGATCTTGCCGACAATGAGCCAAAGTTTAGCACTTTCTATGCCAAAGTTTTGACGCTTTTTGGTTTTGATTTAATAATTCTACCAAAAAATGTCGGTAATGGCTCCTCGCGAACCAAATCCGAGTACGATTTCGAGATATCGGATCGCTTGAAACGTTCCAGGAGTTCACTGCTGAAAGGAATTGTTGTCGGAATTGAATTGGAAGGTGGTTGTGGATTCTGTGGATCTGTGGATTGTAGTGGATTGTAGTGGATTGTAATGAATTGTAATGAATTGTAATGAATTGTAGTGGATTCTAGTGGATTCTAGTGGATTGTAATGAATTTTAATGAGCTCTTCTTTTGCAGATTCGATTCTATAATATCCACCCAGTCTCGAATCGATTCTAAACTTCTAGCTAAGACCATTGTTAGGCTAACATTGTTAGGATAACATTATTAGGTCTTCCCTTGTTAGCCTGTCTTGATTTGAGTTGAATGCTTGGTTTTTGAACCGGCTAAGCCTAACCCTAGCCTTACTGTAACCCTAGCCTTACAGTAGCCCTAGCCTTACTGTAGCCCTAGCCTTACTGTAGCCCTAGCCTTACTGTAACCCTAGCCTTACTGTAACCGTATCTCTTACCGTATCAATGTAGCATATCGCAATGATTTCTCTCTATGTGAATCGAGTACTCCTCTGCTTTGTCGTCTCGGATCTCTCCTCGCGTCTGTTAACAACAACGATGTATCGATCTCAGAAGCATCTAGTGGGATTCTAAAGTGTGAAATGCGGTAACTTTATAGCCCTAGCTTTACACTTTAGTCGACACTTTAGTCTACAGTTTAGTCTACATTTTAATCTACATTTGAATCTACAGTTTAGTCTACAGCTTAGTCTACAGTTTGACCTACAGCTTGGCCTACACTTTAGTCTACACTTTAGTCTACACTTTACCCTACACTTTAGTCTACAGTACTTTCTAAAGGATACTATGGCTAGTCACCGTACTCCAGAGCCAGGCTACGAGTTTGTGAATTCTAAAAGATCATGAAGAGTACAGTAACTTCCCCGTTTAGTTTTCGGTACAAACCTTCTATACTGTGGCAGATCCCATAGCCTTCTCTCATATCGCATTGCAAGGATCTCCAAGCGGATATCTGATTGGAACTCCTAAATGTGGATGTATATGGGTACGGTAGCTAGGCCAGCCCTGGACTCTGGCCTAGATGAAGTCTAGGTTAAAGTACGGTAGCTAAAGTACTGAAACCTCTTCCGAAACGAGTTGAGTGCACGGTGGGAAGAGATGGAAAGAGTCCTCTTTGATCGACTTTTTCTAAAAGGTTAATTAGGCAATGCTTAAACCGTTTAGGCAAGGGCAGGTCGGGTTACTGTAGCTTTAGTTGCATAATAGCTTGCTTTGAATCGTTTGTAGACAGACTTTGATTGGACCCTAGCCGGGTGCTGGCCTGGTTTTGCTGTAATTATTCCACAAAAGTATTTGGACGTGGCTCTGGTCTGGCTTAGGACTCAGGCTCAGGCTCAGGCTCATGCATAAGGCTTAGAGCTCAGGCTTAGGACTCAGGCTCAGGCTCAGGCTCATGCATAAGGCTTAGAACTCAGGCTTAGGCTTAGGACTCAGGCTTAAGACTCAGGCTCAGGCTCAGGCCAGGCTCAGGCTGGGAATACAAAACATTCGGCATCGTCACGATTCGAACCCGCTCCTTCTCGCTTACCTTCTCTACCAAAGAGCTACACCAACACGTATCCCATTGCCACCCAATGCCTTACTGTATCTACTTACTGTATTACAATACTCTAAGTCGTACCCTGATAGCTTGTATTTGAGTGGCTAGGCGTGGCTGTGTTCCCCACTGTGCTCCACAATAGATCACCCCGTTCACTCGCCAATTCTCACAGTCAGCGCCGATTGAGTTCTCATATCTGGAAACAAAGTAAAGCTAATATTTGGCATAGCATTTACCGATCAAATCTCAAATCCGACGCGAAATGGATTCGGTTTTGCTCATTCATCTCATTTGGGTCTCGGTGCTCATCGGGTAGGGGAATTCCAACAGAACAGAGTTCCCTAGAAAGATTTAAACTAAAGAAAAGTAATGGGAAGATGGGAAGGAAAGATGGGAAGGAAAGAAGGAAAGAAAAGGAAAGAAGAACCTGAATTCTCCACGAGAAAATCGTTCACAAATGCGTATCGTGATCGCTTCAGGCGGTGAGTAGATCTAAATCATGACTCGAACTCTTGTAATCCTCAATACAATTCCCCTACCTCTAAATTGTAGACTTCGTCAAAGTTTACAGTAAAATTGGGATTGATCGCGCGCGGCGGAGTACGATAAACAGGAATCTCGTTGAAGAAAATCGAGATTTGAATCTCGCATCTGCAAAAATACAAATTCTCTAGAGTTCTCTAGAGTTTCTAGGAATCTCTAGAGTTTCTAGAGTTCTAGAGTCAGTTCTAGAGTTCTAGAGTCACTTTACTTGTTTATAGCACTCAAACGTAGCCGTTCTTCATTCGAAACCTTTTCGATGTCTCCATTTTTTGTCGCTATTGGATGATCGTCGGTTAAGAGAAAGAATTCCGACAAGGCAAAGGGTTCCCTAAAATCTGATCCACATTATCGATCGATCTGTTCCACAATTCTTTCACTAAAACATCTGCATTTCTACCGTAATCTCACCCATCAAATTGTCTCGGAATCGGCGCTCTTCTCACGTGAATTGGATTCGTTGCGTAGCCATTACGAGAACGAATCTAAAAGAGAAATTCGATTTTGATTTAATTTCAATAAATTAAAAATCTAATTACAACAAATTTTAGTGTGCATTCCAGATAAGCTTTTAACAAAATATCTTTAAAATCATTTGCTTTAAAAAGGAGTTTGTCGTGACGATCTCGATCTCGAGATCACCACGGATGGAAATGGTCAGCCAGACACTTGTGGGCGAACGCCTATTGTGCGAGATTTAATATGCGTCACTATCCGTTCAACTCCATTGTGTGCAAGACAAGACCAACGCCTGAGTTCCGTCTAAAACGAGAACGAGCTGCCGATGTGTGCCTTGGAGTGTCTCTACTCTCCGAATCTCAAACCACTGAACCAACTATTATCGCTGTAATAAAGATTCTATCTAAAGCAACAATAATCACTAAAGAGTTAGACTCTTGAAAAGATTCTGATTTCATAAATCAACTCAAAATCAATCAATCAAGTTCAAATTTTGTTTTTCCTTTATCTTTGCTTTATTGCTTTATCTTTTCTTTATCTTTGCTTTATATTTGCTTTATATTTTTTCTATTTTCTTTAATAAAATTGCTTTTTTGAGCTTTTTGAGCTTAAAACTCGATTTTAGGGTTTTTTTAGTTAAACATCTCCATTTTTAACATCATTTTATATTAATTTGAGATAAAAACAAGTAAACACTTTGTAAATTCATTAGATTTTTATTTAAAGTTTATAAAAAGAGAATAAATTACAGGGTTTTTATGGAAATTTTGATTAAAAACGTTGATAAACGTTGATTTATGATAGCAGAATCTTGTCAAGAGTCTATCTCCTTTTTGAAGTAACTGATTTTAAAGATATTTTGTTAAGAGCTTATCTGGAATGCACACTAAAACTTGGTGTGATTAGATTTTTGATTTATCGAAGATGAGTTTTGTGGGTTGGAGTTTGTAGTTTGTACTTCCTGCTTTCTGCTTTGTACCTTCTGCTTTGTGCTTTCTACTTTGTGCTTTCTACTTTGTACTTTCTACTTTGTACTTTCTGCTTTGTGCTTTGTGCTTTCTACTTTGTGCTTTCTACTTTGTACTTTCTGCTTTGTACTTTCTACTTTGTGCTTTCTACTTTGTACTTTCTACTTTGTGCTTTCTACTTTGTGCTTTCTACTTTGTACTTTCTGCTTTGTGCTTTGTGCTTTCTACTTTGTGCTTTCTACTTTGTGCTTTCTACTTTGTACTTTCTACTTTGTGCTTTCTACTTTGTGCTTTCTACTTTTTACTTTCTACTTTTTACTTTGTACTGGATTAAAATTTATCTAAGGATAAGAATCCATAAATAAGACTATTGATAAGACGATTCAAGCTTTGTAGGCAATGCTATGGTCAAGCTAGAAGACAGAAATATAGAAATCCAGACTAGAATCAAGATCTGTAGCTGGTTAGAGCTGGCTTCTAGCAGAATTCTGGCAAAATAAAGACAAAGCTATCAGAATCTGGCTTGTAAAAGGCCTGTTGGTCTAGTCTATAAAGGTTTAAATCTATTGCCAATCCTTTTGAGTGATTGTGAGTGCTTTACAAAGCTTCCTTTACAAAGCCTGCTTTACAAGCTTCCTTTACAAAGCTTCCTTTACAAAGCTTGCTTCTTCTACTTGTTCAATCGTACCTCATTGAGTTGTCCAACTAAGCGCTTAATCTCAACTGTGATTGCCTCGAATTGTCGATGATTTGTTTCAGTGGCGTCAACAATCGCCTCAACATCATCCCTGTAAAATCTCAACCAAATCTTACAGAAGTACAATGCTTAGGCTTAGGTACAATGCAGTAAAATGCTACAAATCTTACATAAGTAATCCCGTAGGGAATATAACAATATACTAATATAGTACTATAGACAGTATAGTACTGTAGACAATGTAGTACTTTAGACAATGTAGTACTGTAAACAATATAGTACTGTAAACAATGTAGTACTGTAGTCAATATAGTACTATTGACAATATAGTGCATTATCGACTACAACGCTGTATACAAAGCAAAGTAAAGGTTATCTAGGTATCTAGGTAGACCAGGAGCTGATCTGGTAAAGTTCCTGAGCCTAGCAAGTCTAGAATAGTAGTACAGTACTGTAAAGGTACTGCATCTCACCCAATATTTGTCTGCCCAAGGCTTGCGTGTTTCTCTGCAATTTCCCTCACTCCGTCAGCGACTTTCCGAGCTTTTTCTAATTGGATCTCGACGAGGGCGCGAATTTTCATTGCCAGAATGTCCTAAATGATAGATTTGATAATAGATTGGTAATAGATTGGTAATAGATTTGACAATAGATTTGACAATAGATCTTGACTGTAGGTTTTGATAATAGATTCTATAAATAGATCTGACAATAGATTTTGACGAGTCATCTTCTATTAATTGTTAACAAATTCATTAAATTCACTAAATGCAATAAGTAAACTGAATTCAAATGTTAATGAACCTCCATTCCAGCTAGCCAATGATGTTCAAAGATGAGCTGACTAATCTCCACATCTAGCTGCACGAATTTTCGAGCACTTCTAAAAGAACAGTATTCTAGGGGTATATTGATCGTGTCCATGATCGTCTCTAGGAACTCTAGGGACTCTAGGAACTCCAGGGATTCTAGAGACTCTAGAGACTCTAGGGACTCTAGGGACTCTAGGGACTCTAGGGACTCTAGGAACTCTAGGGATTCTAGAGACTCTAGGGACTCTAGGAATCTTCTAGATTGACCTATCAATCTTAAATCCTTGATCAGAATCCTAATAACCAACCTCTTGTTCGCTTCTTTCCAATGAATTGCAGGTTGATAGTGAACAAGCGGGTCGTTTAGGTCGGGGATTTCAAGAGGAAGCTGGAATGCGATCGGATAATAAGCTATTCTAGCTGATAAAGCGGATAAAGCTAGAGCTTTAAAAGCTAAAGAAAACTGAATTAAAACCAACCGAGAATGGGGCTAGACTCTGCACCAAATCGATCCTTTTCAACGATCCATTCGATTCCAACAACTTCCTGGAGACTCTTGCCGCCATTTTCCCAAAATCCATTCCATCAATTTTCTTTGTTGGCCTAAACGATGTCAGACGAGTCACGAATGAAGTCTAGAACTGGCTGATGTATGAGTTCAGTCGAGATATGAGTTCTATGCTAGAGAAGAAGCTAGGCCCAGGCCTTGCCTTGCATTGCCTTACCCCTGATGGCTCGGCCAAACTTCTATGCAAAGTACTCTACCATTTGATCCAATACCCAATTGTGCTCAGATCCGGGTGGAGTAGCTTTGGCAGGCTTTGGCAAATGCAATAGCACTGTATCTAGTTCTCCAAAATCAAATCCACTCACCCATTCCCTGCCTCTAAATCTCTTTTTCGCTGAATCACTTCAAACAAATGCTCAGGATAATCGGGCACTGGTTTTGCGGGAATAAAGTGCAAAACCTAAAACAGAATATATTTCATTTAGAAATTTCTAATTTACCGAATGTTTTTCTTCTATTTTTGCTTTCGTTTCCCCAACGATGAAACCCATTTGTTTCTCGTCGCTGTACACTCGACTCTCCTCTTTGCGCAGAAATTTTGAGCCAAGCTGAAATCGTAGCATAGTATTGTAGCGGTTTATAGCAGTCTAGAGAAATCGTAGCATAGTATTGTAGCAGTTTCTAGCAGTCTGGAGTACTGTAGTCAAAAAGCCAGAATCAGATCTGAAACCAGGTCCAAGCCTGAGCTTCTGGTTGGTTTTAGGTCAGACCAGGGTTAGATACTGTAGTACTCCAGACTTCTAGAAACTGCTAGAAACTAGTATTGTACTGTAGCTAGCTTGTAAGCTAGCCTGGAATTTTGATCCAGATATTTCTGTGGTCAAGTCAAAGAACCAGAATCAGATCTGAAACCAGAATCAGGTCTGGGCCCAAGCCTGAGCTTCTGGTTGGTTTTAGGTCAGACCAGGGTTAGATCTAAACCAGGCCAGCATAGCCCAGGTCCAGCTACTCTTTGCGACTGCGACCCTTTGAACTAACTATAAGAATTAGTCCAAAGTAGAGACTAGATCAGACCAGGCTAGCTCAAAATCACGTCCAAGCGTCTAGCACTGTAGCTATAGACTCAGCTGTACAAAATCGTATCTCCTTGCCTGAATCGCTTGATTAATATGCGAATCGGTGTGTGCAATTTCCTCATTTGATAGCCCTTCTTCAGTGTCCCGGAAAGTGGCTCTTCTTTGGAGTCGACGAGTCAATTGCACACTGCCACGAGTCCTTTCAACTACCTGCATAAAAGAGGTAACTTTTAAAAACTCATCCATATAAGAAAGCTACCTTTTCAGCTTGTTTCCGAATCTTCGTGCGCATCTTGTCCTTGATTTCTGCCGAGGAGACAGTTCGACGAGAGGATTGCGATGGAGTGGGACTGAAAAAGAGCTAGTTTCTTTTTGATACTCAGGTACTTCCATGTCTTCCCCGACTTTTTAGAGTATTGAGTATTCATTCAAAGCTTCCTTAAGCACTACAGATCAATAGATCATACCTGAGAACCCGTTGATCACCGACCAACGAATCAGCACCGATTGGCTCGGATTGCGGTGAGAGGGGACTCTGAAATCAAGCTTGTCAAACGCTTTCCAACTTTAAATAGCTAAAGCATTAGGTTACTGTAATATCTAAGGGTTACTATAATATCTACGGGCTACGGTAGGCCGATTCATGCTTTAAAGCACCTACCCAAGTGCAAAACCTGTGCCGTAATTTTTACAGTAAACACTAATTCTGAGTAAACACTTATCTATACCATTAATCCCTCAATTGACTGCGAGGTCGGCTCCTCGTCGATCCCGGGTTGTGCTGAAGTTGATGGCGGGGGTGAGGTCACCATCGGAGCTACCTAACAAGATATTAACAATATATTTCAATTAACTTTCAATTTACAATTAACTCAAAAATCTGATTCGGCAAATGTCATGTGCGTTCCAACTAAGAGAAAATTCCAGAAATCATCGAAATCCATCAAGCCGAAATCGAGTTCATGCGTCGAACATCGTCGTGAGTCCAGTCCGGAAAAATATCAAGACAAGATGCTATTATTTCTGCAATTTTCCCTTAATTGGAACGCACACAAGCTTTCCTTAATCAAATTTTTGATCTGATACAAATTTTTATGTCAACAAGCTTGTCCCCACCGCAGAGTGATCACCGCTCTCGACAAAGCGATCATGTACCTCTTCGAGGACCTAGAATTTCGAATTCTTAATAAAATTAGCATAAAATCTATCTAATATCTAAGCTAGTGTAATGGAAATCGAAAAACACAGCACAATTTCTAATGAAAACAATGAAAATGAAAAATTTTGTTATCAAACCTTGCTCGACGATCGACGAATTGTCTAAGAGATTTGCATATATAGTTTAAAATCTAATAGTTATCTGATTTATCGATTAATCTGATTTATCGATTAATAGGTCAGACCAGGGTTAGATCTAAACCAGGCCAGCATAGCCCAGGTCCAGCTAATTGGGCCTGACCAGCTAATTTATTCAATCTCTAATAATCTACAGACTTTTTCTGCTTTTTTGCTTGATTCTCTGTAGATGAACTTTGATCGATTCACGGCGATTCGTTCGGGGTTTCGGTTGTTGAATGTCCCTAGATTTTGATCAGTTTACAGAGTACAGCTTAGGTTTTACAGTAATTGATTGATAATTGTGCTTGTTTATCAATCGGTAGACCTAGACTTGCATAAAAGCTAGCCTCTCTATCACCCACTTGCTCTCCCCCACTCCCCTCTTGCAATGATCCTCTTCTCGATCTCTGCCCTCCTCCATCCTGTATTATTTCCTCTTCTTCGTCCATTGTCCCCATAGTATTTTCCCGTTCCAAGCGCTGTCTCTCGGCTCTTTTCTTTTCTTCCGCTTCGGCCACCTGAACGAGAAATTGTTACTTGTAAGTTATTGTTATTGTTATTGTTACCTGATCTAGCCTACAGACCTAACCTAGCTTGATCTAGGCCCCTTGGCCCACATACTTTAAACTTACCAAGGAACCCTTTAAAGTGCTTTAAAGGCCTAGATTTCAAAGCAAAAGATAGCCCACAAAAGTACTTGTAACTAGAAACCGTTACAAGTATTCTTTATCGTATATATCGTAGAGTTTGAGTGATTGCTAGTGAAAGTAGAGATTTCAAGTCTCGTAGAGTGTTTCCCTTTCAAGTAATAGTGTAAAATAAGAAATAAAACTTGAATGAATCTTTTTAAAACAAAGTAATTCGTTCTTATCTTAATATTCAGTCAATGTTGTTTTCTATTTTGCACTATTACTTGAAAGGAATACACTCTACGATACTTCATATCTATACACTCACTCTTACTCATTCAAACTCTACGATATCTACGATAAAGGATACTTGTAACGGTCTCTAGTTACAAGTACTTTTGTGGGCTATCTTTTGCTTTGAAATCTAGGCCTTTAAAGCACTTTAAAGGGTTCCTTGGTAAGTTTAAAGTATGTGGGCCAATGGGCCTAGATCAAGCTAGGTTAGGCCTGTAGGCTAGATCAGGTCAGGCTAAACGATTTCTAAAGCTACCATACTCTAGACGCTTTACTCTAGACGCTTTACTCTAGACGCTTTACTCTAGACGCTTTACTCTAGACGCTTTACTCTAGACGCTTTACTCTAGACGCTTTACTCTAGACGCTTTACTCTAGACGCTTTACTCTAGACGCTTTACTCTAGACGCTTTACTCTAGACGCTTTACTCTAGACGCTTTACTACCATACTCTAGACGAATTAAGCCATCAGCTGAACAAGTACTGAACAAACCATTTTTATATCGGGATCCTCAGCCAGCCATTGACTCAAACGACGTCGAGGTGGGCGTGGCTCGGCGGAGTCACTAAAACAGTATTAGAGATTAGATTAGATTAACAGATCTACCGCGGTAGGCCTCTAATCTGTTTCCTGTCAAATTACCGCAAACTTGCCTCTATTTCTATCCAATCTATCCACTTTTTCTATTTTTTTATACCTTTTGTGAGCCTTTACAGAATCAGAAAAAAGGTTCTTTTCGCTCTAGATTTGGTTCCTTTTCGGTCTAGATTTGGTTCCTTTTCTCTCAAGATTTAGTTCGTTTTCGGTCTAGATAGAAACAAAGACAAGATGACGATAGTTTATCAAAAAGAGACACATTTTAGGAAACTGTTTAAACCCTACCCTGGCAACTCCCATATCGGTTTTTGTGTGGGTGATCGAATGGGCGGCGATGAAATGCTTAATCCATCCACCCAGCCACGACTCGAGCCGGGCTTCTCCGTTGGGGATTTCACCGATTCAAATGTTTCCTAAACAAGGATCAATGTGCTAGGAATCAATAAAACTCACCGCCGTCGATTCAATCTGAAAAGCGCTTTCGATATCAAGGGGTAGCGGTCCTTTCAAGCGAGCACTTTGCGATGCTTGATACGGTTGAATTGGAGTCGATTTTTCGGTTTCCTCACTTTTTGGCTCATCTATAATATGGAGAGGTAATAATGTCGTAGCTTTGCTATTTCCGATTTGCTATTTCAGTCGATTTGAAACTTTAAATGCTGAAGACTCTAAAGGAGACTCTAAAGAAGGGAATTGTCATCAAGAATTGTCATTAAGCCTACAGAACGAGCGATGCCAAGTCGATCTCATTAATCTACAATCTTTTCCTTGGTTTCTTATGGTATATTTGGTCTATTTCGTCGATCTCATTAATCAATTAACAAAGATTGTCATTCTAAGATCACCGAAATTCAAGACTGCCAATTCAAGACTGCCTGAAATCCAAGACTGCCTGAAATCCAAGGCTGCCTGAAATCCAAGACCACCTTGGTAGACTCTAGCACTTTTTGTTGTGCTACAGTTCGAACAACAAAACGCCGTGCTCTTTAGTCATGAGCTCAACGAAAAAGCAGCTGTAAAAAGTCGTCAAGTGGTAGATTTGATAATGAACATTCATAAAAAAGATTTAACGAGACATTATGTGAAAAGCACTTCGAGAATATCACGGAATTTCGACATTTTTCTTTGTCCTTAGAAAGAAATGAAGCCGATCAAAAATTAGCAAATCTGGACAATTAGCAAATTGGCTACGACATATAACTATATACAACCTTCATTTCTCTTTTCCTCATCCACATTTTGTGCAATTTGATCAGGTGCTCTCAAGCGTCGTCGGGGTATCGGTTGCGGGAGTTCATCGAGTACCGAAGTGTGGGTGTTTGAACTAAAGTTTCATTTCTTTTCAATTGAAACGGTAGATCCATATGCTTTACGTTTAGTTTGTTTTTCTAAAATGTGCACTGTTTATTTAAACCATCGTAATCAATTTTCTAAAAACGTTTTCGACAAACGCTCGTAATCTTTCCTCTTAACTTTTATCAAATCTATCTACTTTTTGTCTAATTCTGTGCGTATTCACAAAGGATTTCAAAATATAGAAAAAGTAGATACTGTAAATACTGTAATAGTACCCCACCCCCCTCGTACAGCCGCGTAGTCGCAAGTATTTCATTATTTCATTTTTTTCAAAGCACCCGTACTTTCAAAAAATGAGTCTTTGGTATCAAAAAATAGCCCTAAATTTCAGCTATTTTTTGATACCTAAGCGAGCATTGTAGCATAAACCAGTGTCGAGAAAAACGCGTCTAATGCTAGACTACGCAACGCTCCACACCGTCATTATGGGTGTAGGGTACTATTACAGTATTTACGGTAGGTTCAATGAAAACTAAAAGAGGCAAGATTACGATAGTTTGAGAAAAAAGGACACTCTTTAAAAAAACAATAGTATTATCTAAACTAAACAACGAACTCTTCTTCATTTTGTCGATTCACTGCTCGAATTGGCGCTAACGGGGCGAGACGCGGACGAATTGATGGAGTCGACCACATTGCTAAATAACTAAAGCATAAGAAAGCTGAATATCTATATAACCAGTTCGTTAGTCAATAGTCAATAGTCAAATTCAACGATAAACGAAAAAATTGGTGCCAGCTGGGTGTTTTACCCCCCAACTACAGCACCAATAAAGCGACTCGTTGCCATGGTTTCCAAAATTTTCGTTGCCATCTAAAAGAAAATATTTGGTGCTGGCTAGGGATAATTTTAACACCAATTCGGATATTTTTAAATCTAAAAACGAACCAGAATTTGATTTTTGAACCCTAAATGTTGCATTTTCTTTCAAACCAATAAAATTAAACCAATAATTTATTTAAAAAGAAAATACCCAAAAAATCACATTTTTGCTCGTCTCAATGCATTTGATATATAAAAATAACATGATATAGTAAAATAACCATTATCAACAGAAAAAGAAATACACTTTGGAAATAGGGTCGACTTTTCAAATGACACAACACAAACGAACAAAAAAGTCCCCAAAAAATTGTAGGCACCAGAGAAATCTTAAAAGAAACACAAACAATTACAATCATGAGAAAACTATTAGATTAAGTTTTTAGAGGAAACGGGTATCTGGAAGATACGGTAACTTTCAAGTATAATATCTCATTACATCAATAAAAATTAAGCATTAAGACCGAATATCTTTAGCTTTAAATGAAAAATCTGAGGGATATTAGTCTGACTGAATATTTTTACTGTAATGAGACAAAATACTAGGACTTTATCGCATCCTTAATAAAATTCGGGCTGGGTTATTTATTTGGGTATTATCGTAGCTAATTTGTATTTAAAATCACTTGTCTTTCGATAAAAAGTTATTTGAAACTTTTTACAAAGTTTAGCTGATCAAAAACCCCAAAAACCTACCCCAATTTTATTATCCCAAAAAAAACATGTTGCCTAACTTTATTGTTCCCGATGAAGAATCACAAACAAAGCAAGCGCGCCAAGCACAGCGTATTTCAATTTCGGATAGTCGTTCATCAGGATGGTCACCATTCCGACATAAGGCACGATTCCTTTTGCTCGTCCCACCACATCCGTTCGATTCAACCACAATTGACCAGCCGCGTAGAGACCACGATCGTCCACCTAAAAAGAAAATAAAATGCGACGAACAATTTATTGATAAAACTTGAATTTAAACTTTAAACATATCATTCTTAACGTTTTTTCTCCAATTGAACCAAATTTCAGCTAAACTTCCATAAAACTTGTGGCTCACCTGATTATTGTCACCCTTCGTCAAAAGCTTCGTATCGTGATTGGCCTTTTCGTGAACCTATAAAGAAATGAAATGCATATTCCTGGAAAAAAAATAACTACCTTGATGACACGATGAACAATCGGAATATCTCGACCATCAATTTTGAACACGGTGATATCACCAGCGCGCACGGGATCCGACTAAAATTTAAAAGCATAAACTTTTACTAAAAGAAACTTTACCTGATCATTGGTTAGCATTAGAAGATCTCCTCGGTAAAAAGCTGGCTCCATTGAACCTAAATATTGATGTTATAAATAACACTTTAGGGTTTTGCACTGTTGAAATGAAGTAACGTTCACGAAACTAGGTGATCTTGTACCTGAAAGAACGACAACGATGGGCGATTCGCTTCCGGTGAAAAACATGAGTCCTTTCCAAATCATCAGAGCTGATGAGACAACCATTGCAAAATTGAGACACTAAAATGTAAAAATTTAATGGGAATATTAGTGAATGACCTACTAACAGCGTTGTAAAAGTGTGATTTTTTTTGCAGAACTTTAGGTAAAAATGCCGCTTTAGCTTAGACTTCCTAACAATAAGTTTAAAGTTAAAAAACACACCTGATACGTGATTTGTCTCAAATTCATACGACGAATCTCGTCAAAAATCGCCCAATCGGAAATAGCCATGATTCCTAAAGGTTGACAATGCAACTGGAGAATTAGTTACAAAAATTATATAAAATCAGAGAAGATATGATTAGCCTGAATTTAGAAAAGATTTAAGGGTCACGCCCTTGAAATTCACATATTATTTGAAAAAAAAACTAGCTCAGAACTTTATCGTAACTCTGTAAAACACAGCAAAATGAGATCAAGTGAACGAATATCGAAAAAAAACAGCAAGAAACCGAATAAAGATCACCACTTCGCACAAAAAGACAACAACGTTCGAAGATGATTAGCGAAATATAAAAATAATAACGTCAAAACGCGCCCAATTTATGTTAAGTATTCATCCATCAACGTGCCGATGACGAAGATTTCTTTGGCGTCCACGCGAGTGCCAATGAGTTTGAGCTAAAGCAAAATATACTTTAATTTATGAAGTTACCGTAAAAATTCTAATAGAACGGCCGGCCGTTGCAATCAAACGTTAGAAATTTAAAGGATTCTAGTAATGAAGCTTAAAATTGGGTCTTCTTACCGTTAACCACAAATTAAAAAGGAGAGAAAACTTACTCGAATTTCGTTGTCCGGCTTGATAACAATTGACTCACTAAAAGATTCGCATTAGCATTCAAAACAACAAAGTTAGCAACTTTTTAATCCGTAATATCACAAAACAAAACTTACTCAGTCGATTTGTAGCACGGTGGATTCGAATTTGGCTCAAATTCCATATCAGGCGGGATACAATGACGGGAGATGAAACATTGAAGCGGACCGATGTCGCAGAAGATACCCAGCTTGTTCACCTAAACTAATGTATTAGAAAAAGCCTTGCTGTTTTTAAATGTTCAGCAATGTTTAGCTGTTCAGCTTTGCCCTGCCTAATAAAACTTTGTAAAGACAAGCCTGATTGACAACAGCATCCATGACTTGGCCTTTGAACGGGCGAAAGACGATCGCCTTGTACTTGACTGGGTAGATAACACATCCTCTCCCTAAAAAAAGTTGCAATTAAAAGAATTATTAAGTCAATAATCCGCACCTGGCTGTATAATTCCATGACCAATCGTGTCGATGGTTGTCACCGCGATCACAAAGCCGTATTTTCCCGTACATGTACCCTCTACCTGTAAAAAAAACATTAAAACATTTCAAAAACGAGATTTTTACCCAAAAAGCTATAATGTTATAATTTTTTTGCGTTTGATCATGGGTAATTGCTGAAAACGTAAAAAAAATGCTGTAGATATGTTGAACTTTCAGGATTTAGGGTTAAACAAAAGCTTTAAAACAACAGATAGTCCTTGTTTACTTGTTCTAAGAGTTTTAAAAACAATTCTGTGTTTTAAATTTAAAAATGGCAAGTCTGTGTTCCTTTTAAGCTTTAAAGCTTAAAGTGAAAGCTTTTAAGCTTTCACAGCGCTTGTTTACTGTCTAGATTTTAAAATTTAGCTTATAACAATAAAAAAATATACCACACCTCACTGAATAACTTATTCTTGATGGTGTCGTGTAGTTGCGGACCGAAATATTTTGGATGCAGCGACACCTCATGATCCAACGCCAAATGGTAGAACATCTAAAATTTCATTCATTACATCAAAACAATGAAAAAACAATGAAAAAACAAGAAAAAAAGCGATGAATTGTATAGGCTACGTAGCGTTTTTTGAAAGTAGAAATAATGAACGCGTGTGGTCTGTGTACGAAAATTGAGAGAAATGGGGCAAAGAGGAGCAGATCGGTGAGGGGAAGACAACTATCAGGGTTAGGTCGGTTGGCAATAACATTTGCAATGAAAAGTGAAGGTTTAGACGTTGAACTTTGTGTAGAAGTGAACTTTTTTGAGCTTAAGTGTTGGACTTGATCCAAATAAAATAATTTTTAAATAACTTTTCAAAAATCAAGGTTTTTAGTTTATTGATTGAATATCTTAAATTGTGAATAATTTCCTATTTTTATAAAAGCAAAAATCCTGTCGCAATTCATTTTTTATATTGTTTCCTCTTCTTATTAAACTTCTTATTAAACTCTCTTTCTTATTAAACTGTTCAATTTCTTGTATTTCCAGGCCCAATCGTCTCTTCTTTGTCTACGTTCAACAGAAAGACGGCCCATTCTTCGATTAGCGCTTCAATTGTCGATGTACACCCTTTCAGTGGGACTCTATGAGCATTTCTTCGCCAAACACGACTACTACATCGTCATCGTTGGGTTGGACAATGCCGGGAAAACGGTTGGTTTCGTGTTTTTGTGATTAAAATAAGAAAATGTAGAGCTTTTCGCTGCAATCTAATTTGAAAGTTTTAAGATGTTTTAATAAAACAGGCGTTTGATTGTTTTTTATATCTTTTGAGCGGTTATACTTAAATTCTGTTCTTGATTTGTTTTAATAAACGTTTTTAGACTTTCCTCGAGCAAATCAAAGCAAAATTCATCCGGGACTACGGCGTGTTGCGCCCATCAAAGATCACGAGCACGGTTGGATTGAATGGTTGGTTAAATGCTTTATACCATACTAGGTTGATGCAAAAGAAATTTCGGTTTTTTTGCAAACATTAAATTTAATCAAAATTCATTTAGGTAACAATTTATTCCAAACAATAAGCACCATCGTTATTCATAACATCCCTCCAACGTTGCTTCAGATTGCGGATCCCCTTATCGAAGAACCCTTGATTCTGTGATTGAAAGTAGTTGGTCACCCAAATTTTGACTTCTTGCGCATTCATAAACTGGCAATTCGCAAGGGAATGTTGCATCGATCTGAAGAGGTGAAAATTAGGTGGTGATAAGTCTGGACTATATGGCGCCTGCGGTAAGACGCTTCGTCCTAATTCCTCTAACTCCATACAAGTAGCTTTCGCTGTGTGAGCTGGCGCGTTGTCACGGAGAAAATTGATAGTCGAGGGAATTAAACCATTTTGACGCAAAATTTGGCCAACCTTCTTGTGATGTAAGCAACATTGGAAATGTTTGGCAAACTCTCGTGTTGTTTGCAATTGATCGGCTTCAATAAGTTGTCCCAATTCATTATTATCGATCGCTGCCGAACGATGCCCATGTGGTTCGTCTTCAAGAGATTCAATACCTTCTCGGAATCGGGCCAAACCAGAGCTGGCAGGATCTTTCGGTCATAACTTATTCTCCAAAAGTGGAACAGAGATCACGATGTGATTCGGTAGCGCTTTTGCCCATCTCGAAGTCGTAGAGAAAATGCGTGCGCACAACATACTTTTGACCCAACCATGAGCAAATATCAATTAAAAAGTGAAAGCTCTGTTTTGGAAAAAGCGTAAAAATAAAGTAAATATCCAAGAGTACAAATATACAAAAGAAAATCAAATAAGATTTCCAGATTCAAAAAATACCGATTGAAATTTCTTTTGCATCAACCTAGTAGCTTTTAAGATAGTTTTTATTTTTTCATTTTTTAAGAAAGTATTATCTTTAATGTATCTGTGTTAATGTCAGCTTATTTAGTCGGAAAAGTCGAGGTCGGTCAAGTGCGACTGAATTTCTGGGATCTCGGCGGACAGGAGGATTTGCGAACGCTTTGGAACACGTACTATTCGGTGGGTGCTGTGACGTTTTATAGCTAAAATTGCATGTACTACTTGTTACAAGCATTAATCTCAATGTTTGTACAGTAAAAACTTTCTTATCCTCTAAATTTAGGGAAGCCAGCGCGTTGATTTTTGTCATCGACGGGACAAGACGAGAACTTTTTGACACCGTATCCTCGTGTTTTTGTAAGTTTTATCTCATAATCTTATAGGCTTGAAACTATAAATTTTTTTGTGCAACTTTTCATTGTAGTTTCACAGCAGAACCTTTCAAGAATCTTTATTTACACTTTTGAGCATTGCATGCGATAAACCCGAGTAATAGCCTAAAAGAAATCGAGCATCAAAAGTTCTAAATCAAAAAGGGAAAAAAGATCTGACTGTAGATAAAATTTAGTTTCTGGATCAAATTATTAGTTTAAGATGATGTGATGAAATCGGAATTCATTCAACAAATACCAGTGTTGGTGGCTGTAAACAAGAGCGAATTGGACGGGGCGGCTACGGCGAGCGAAGTAAGCAAAATCCCCGAATGTGAGCAAATTTTGATCCAATACTAATTTTATCCGTGCCAGGTTTGGGCTGAAGTTTTTCTTTGAATGCCCTCTGAATTTGGTTCGAGTTCGAGACTTTCGATTGCATAGATACTGCGGCTTGCTAAAGCTTTCAAACTCTTTACGGAATAGTTTAACAGTTTTTAAAGGTAAAATTGGTATCGGCTCGGAATTTGCGCACAATTGTATGCTAGAGAGGAAAGTGTCAAGAAACTCTTTCAGTTATTCGTTCATTTTTGGCAGATTTTGATCTTAAAACTGATCTCAAGCGGTTTCTTTTCACATAAAATTTAAGATTATGAATCAAAAACTGAACGAATAACCGGCATTGCTGACTGGTTTAACAATGAAAAATCTTAGATACCTATTCAAAATTGTCCTTAAACCATGAAAATTTACGAATTCGATGTCAAGAGAAAGGATTATGTTGATGAAATGATATGAAAAATGAAAAAAAAAAGATATTTCAAGGGGGAAACCGTTAAAATAATACTATCGATATTGGGATTTGATATAATATTGATATTTTAGATTCGAACACTACTCTCCGATGATGAGCACCGGTCGGATTTGGCGGTATTGCCCGTGTCGGCGCTGGAAGGACATAACATCGATCGATGTGTGCGGTGGCTGGTTCGATCGCTGCAACAAGCCGATCAGAAACTGCAATTGTAGGGTTTTATGTGATACATTTGGTTTTTATAGGTTTACGGTGGCTTTAGACGAAATATCTTTTAAGTTTCAATTGAAAAAAAATACTCTGTTTTGTTGGCTAAATGCTATGACTGTTTTTAGATAGTCTAAAGCTACAGATGGACTTTTATATTTTAAATCTCTGCAGACAAGATGCTAAGTCTTGTTGACTGAGTATTTTTAACTGTTTTGTTACAATCTAAATCTCAAGTATCCCGTTTTATACTTGGTTGTGATACTTATCGATAATCTCCATCGTTCTTATTTGAGCTCACCGTTTTAAAGGAGTTCTATTTTGTGGCTATTCCTCATTGCTGCATGACCGCTCGTAGGATTGCCCTTTGTGAGTCCTTGACCACCTCGATTCCTACCGTTAGACTCATCCACTCGCGTCGGCGACCCTGAAATTCGGATGTGAAAGGCTCCCCTTAACCAATCCGTTTCTTAAAAAGTGTTCATTTTCTTTCAAACCGTAATCTTTTAGGAAACGGATTAGAGGAAAGATGTTCCTTAAAAGATGCCCTTTAGCTATCGTGCTCCTACAGCTTTTTTAAAAAAACTTGGTCCCAGAAGTACAGTAAACTTTGCTGGAGGGCACCTTTTAGAAAATGGTCTAATCTAACCCACCCTTTGCCCATCCTCCCAAACATTCAACTCCTCTTGGACTCGCATCAGAAAAACGGTGGTTCGGTGTTTTCTGTTGTCATCCTAAAATCGAAAATAATATAGGCTTTGTTTGAATGAATGAACTTCAATGATTTTGTTTGTTTTTAATACGGGTACCTGTATTTTTGTGTGTAACTGTGATTTTTTTTGTAATCTCGATTGTACATACTGCTTGATGATAATGGTATTAAAGTAATCGTTTGAATTCAGCATTTAGCAAATAAAACTTGGGAATCTAGGTAAGTTTTTGGTTAACTCAATAGTTTTAGACATCGGCTCTACTAACTTTCAATGGAGTACCGTAACCTTTACCTGAAAGATGCCGATTTTTTCGATAGTTTGTGCCCGTACACCGGCCTCTTCTTCGAGTTCTCGTCTAAAACCATTATTTGTTTTCCTTTCTTTTTTTGCAAAACAAACGTTGCAGCTTGATCTGGCTGTTCATCTCTTTCAATTCCGCCTCCGGGCACCACCCATTGTTTACCGTCTTTTCCGCCAGACACGAGAAGAACCTGAGAAGATGAGAATTGAGCTTTGAACTTGAAAAGATCGATTGTTGGCTTTAGCTACTGATTAGTTCCCAAGTGTGCTCTGCATACCTTCATTCACTCACCTTTATTCCATCAGTCCCTTCTTCTCTCAAACATACACCAGCGGCTCTCATTCGATATCCATCTCCATCTCGAATCCTTTCCCCATTTTTCTTCGATTCTTTCCATCGACCTTCAGCCAGTGATTGCTGGGGGACACCGCCGAGTGCTGAAGAGACTAAATTAAGAGCGTTTGAATTGATATACCGTATTTTCTCTAATAGTAGTGCACCCCGATGAGCCGAGGTGGTGACTATTTTATGGCTTCCAAAGTTTTCCTAGAAGCTCAACACTCTAATCCCCCACTAGATCTCATCGTCAGCTACATTTTCCGACCCCACATCGATAGGTTCTGATAAGCGGTTCTCGAGATTTCGAGGAATTTAGGCAACGCTCTAGGTGCACTACTATTAGAGAAAATACGGTATCTAGGGTTGTCCTAGACCAAAATGAGACCAAATTCTCATTCTTATGGTGATTCTTTTTACCTGTTGTCGGCGTGCACATCCGAACGCACATCGGCGTTTGATTCTCTACCATCTGCTGGAAAATTAGTCTGATTTTCTACCATCTCAAGTATCTTTCTCCATTGAAATTTAAAAGATATTCAGTCTAAAGCTAGAGTAAACTTGTAAAAATTCATCTATAGCTTTAGACTATCAAAAAAACAATCATAGTATTCAGTTAAGTATCTTTTCAAATGAAATTTAAGATGTTCAAATTTTTCAAAAAGAAGCTCGATAGGCCAAAGTTGAGTTAAATTTCTTTCAAAACTTCAAAAAAAGCTATTTCAAGCTTTAAGCTTTAAAAAAGCTCTAATTCAACGAAAATGTACTATTGGGAAATGAAAACGAGGCTAAAGAGAGCAAAAAAAAAAGACATGAACAGAGGGGAAATCGATTGATTGGAATGGGGGAAGGAGAAAAGGAAAGAGTTTGGGGAAAAGGTGTTTCAAAAAAAACTTGGTCCTAGTATTTCCCTGGGTCCTAGGTCCTAGGACTCATGTATTTTCTCCTTAAATCTTGCAAAAGCACCCCTTCTGGAGTAATGATTTCTTGATTTTCTTGTGGAAATGACTTGGTTTCGCGAGAAAACCGAGGAATCCAGTGCGCCAGAAGTAATGCGTTTGTCTTTGAGCATTAAAATACCATTTGAAAAGACAAAAAAATCGAAGTCAGATCATTTAGCTGAATATTTTTATATCATAGAAAAGTTTAATCCTATTGCATCATTTAAAATCAATCATTTCAAACTTTAAAACTAATCCGAAAGGGTGAAAAGTTTAAGAATAGACTGGGATTAGTGGGATGTAAATGAAAGAAATGGGGGTAAAGTTTGTAAACGTGCAAAAAGTGAAGAATGATCAAGGGGAAAAGTATCATTTGGGAAAAGGGAAAAGGACGAGAGAATTTAAAAGAGAAAAGGCGGAAAAGAACGATAGGTGAGGTGAGAGGGGAGAGATGGAAATGAAATGAAAGGAGACGGAGAGACATGGAGAGGCTGGGTGATTCTTGGCTTGAGTTCTTGAGTCTCTTCAAGTCTTAAGCCTAGCAGGCTTTTAAGCTTGCTACAAAGACTACTGAGGCTGGGGCATTCTTGGCTTGAGTCTCTTCAAGTTTTAAGCTTACTACAAAGAATACTGAGGCTGGGGGATTCTTGGCTTGAATCTCTTCAAGTCTTAAGCTTAGCAAGCTTTTAATCTTAGCAAGCTTTTAAGCTTACTACAAAGACTACGAGCCGATACACTAGTCAAAGACGATTCAGTGTGCCAGAAAAGGTGTGTTTAGACAAATTCGCGTAATTTTATTTAATATACTTGAGTGCTTCAGCTAAAGTACCCCTTGGAGTCTTCCAATTTGATATTTGATATTCATTTTTTTATCAAATAATCGAAATTTTCGATTTGATATTCAAATAAACCAAAAAAAAATTCCTTTTTTTTCCTTTAAATCCTGAGTTTTTCATTTCGTTTTTGACGCTTTTCTTCCCATTTTTTATCATTTTTGTGCCAAAACCAAGGGAAATTATGCGAGCCATGAACCGAATTAGATCGGAAAAGGAAGAAAAATATTAAAAAAAAGGGGAACCCTGGGCAACCATCAGGATTGAAATAGGAAAAATCTTCTGATGTAACAAATAAATGACTTTTTAGAGATAGGCAGAATAACTGATATAGGTAGAATAACTGATAAGTAAATAACTGATAAGTAAATAACTTATAAGTAAATAACTATAAATAGGCAGAATCAAATGAATAGTATCCAGCTTCTGGTCAAAGGTCAAAAGGGGTCATCCAGGTCAAAAAGTAATTCGGGGGCATACTTTGTGCTCAAATTTTGTAAAAGCATCCCTTCTGGTGAACTTCTTTAGTTTTTAGTTCTTTAGTTCTTTAGTTTTCTTCTAAAGCTGTAAAGTTTTCTTGTTTCTTCAAGAAAGTGAAGAATTCCTTGCGCCAAACGGGGGTGCGTTTACAATATTTGTGTAAAACATCAAATTCTCTATTCTTTTCCCCAAATCGATCAATGTGAGGTGTTTGGATTGGGAAAATGAACAGCCGCTTTAGGAAAAAAAAATAGAAAAAGCTTTCGAAAATTGCTCCTTCAAAGCGGATTTTGCGATTTTGAGGGGTAAAAGCGCTGGAAAATCCATGAAAATCTTGAAAATCGGATAATTTTTGGAAAACATTGTGAATCGTTCAAATTCTTGGCTGTTTTAATGGTGAATTTTATGAAAACAGTTCGAAAATCGATCAATATGCAGTGGATTTTGTGGGAAAATTTTGCAAACACACTCACTGGGGCACTTAAAACTAGCTAAAACCCAAGGCGAGCTACAGTACTCCAAAAGTTAGCTAGATTGCTACATTTAAGGGATGCGGTGTTTCTATCCGTTTACTTTATCTAACAATAGCTACAGTAACCCGAAAAGAAGCAATATAGTCTACTATATAAAGCCGAAGAGACGCCTGTCTGTCCGTCTGTCTGTCCGTCTGTCTGTCTGTCTATCCGTTATCCGTCTGTCTGTCTATCCGTCTGTCTGTCTGTCTGTCTATCCGTCTGTCTGTCCGTCTGTCTGTCCGTCTGTCTGTCCATCTATTTGTCTGTGCGCAAACGCGACGCTCCGTAATTACGTTTGCTCTATCAGCTCTATCAAAGGCAAAGTATTCAGCTTTTGCGCCCGATATTTTGCTCTCGGGGTTTTCAGCTATGGGAAATCTGAATTTTAGGTCGATTTTTAAAAAGAGGGCGGGGCTTAACATAGGATACGGTAGTTTTAGTCATTTGAAAGAAAGAATGAGCGTTTTCCGCTTTTATAAACCCCAAAAGATACACAACATGAAACTGAAGTTCAAGATGTTTAAGAACGAAAACGAAAGAAAAATCGGCGTTCAAATGGCTCATTTGAAGAGGAGCTGAAGAGAAAAATGTTTCCGAAAAGTTTAAAAAGAGAAAAAACAAAAAGGGGGCTGGTCAAGGGATGCCCGGGTCAAGAGGGGCCCTTGAGAGGGTTCAAAGAGACAAAAAGTGTAGGAAAAAAAAGTGAAAATGGAAAAAATGACGTCATTCTCATTGAATGTCTCAAGTGAAAATCGAATGGGAAAAAGATTTTTGAGGGATTTTGAAGGGAAAACGAACGGTGGAGGAGAATAAGCAAAAATTGAGCTATGAAGGTTTGGCTATAGTAAGAGAAGTGAGAGCTACTGTACTGTACTAGCTACTGTATTGTACTAGCTACTGTACTGTACTAGCTACTATACTGTACTAGCTACTGTACTGTACTACCTACTGTACTGTACCCGTTGCTCTGTACTGTACTGTACTACTAGGACTGTACTAGCTACTGTACTGTACTAGCTGCTGTACTTCCATATACTATTGTACTATTTTAAATGTACTTCCATGTATATGTAAGCATGCTAAGTACAACAGTACTGTAGCTTCTGTACTATGCATAGGATCCTGTAATCAATGCATTTACCGCCTGTAAATGAGATTTGAAAATCGAGATCAAGCATCAATTCTAAAGAATCATAAACTTTAATCTAAAGTTTACAAAATAAATCCCAATTCTTAACTTTTATATCATTGCGAGTGAAATGAAAAATTGAGTTTTTGTCGAGTTTTGTGGGGGATTTTCGAGAGTTCCCCTTTGGGTGAATCACCAATGAAAAGTGAAGGGGCTGAGTAAACTTTGGATTTTGCAGAGGAAAACGAATGATGGTAGAGATGGGGAAATGAAATTGAATAGGGAATTAAAGCTAGTGCAATCTTTTTTCTAAAAAGTGCCCTTTCTGCAAACTAATCTTTACTCTAGTAGCTTATAAAGTACAGTACTTCTTACTAAATTAGAATAGAAAACTGGTAGAGATGGATAGATGCTTGATAGGCGTCTAAAAATAGCTAGATAAGTAGCTAGATAAGTAACTGGATAAGTAACTAGATAAGTAGCTAGATAAGTACCTAGATAAATAGCTAGATAAGTAGCTAGATAAGTAACTAGATAACTAACTAGACAACTAGTTAGATAACTAGCTAGATAAGTAGCTAGATAAGTAGCTAGATAAGTAGCTAGATAAGTAACTAGATAAGTAGCTAGATAAGTAGCTAGATAACTAACTAGTCAACTAGTTAGATAACTAGCTAGATAACTAGCTAGATAAGTAACTAGATAAGTAGCTAGATAAGTAACTAGATAACTAGCTAGATAACTAAAATATCTATCTACATATCTCAGTCAGGGAAGAAAAGGTTACGAAACAGAAAAGAAAGGGGAAAACGGGTTCAAATGATAAAAGGAAACATAAGAGAAGCTAGGGGAAAGCGTGGGAATGTGGGAGTGGGATAACAAGGGAGAACACTGATTGGGGGAGTAGAGGGGACGGGCAGACCACCCCTCCACCCTGTCTCGGACATCGCCCCGAATTTCACCGACTGTCGAGGTGAATGGAGCTTGTGTGCAAAGAAAAGTGAACAACATGAATGTTAAAATTGAATTCGATTGAGCACACAGGGCGGACTCCGACTATTTTTGCCGATCTGCAGACACAGAAATAGGACTTTTGCCAATTTTTGTTATCTGAAAGTGAGGTTGAAACTAAAAAACTCACAGAATTTAAAGATTAGGACTGGCCAGGGCTGAGCCAAACCCAATTAGAGCCGTTCTTCATAGAAAATTTGGAAAGTTAACATAACCCTTCTTTGAAAATTTGAATTTAGAGGCTGACAGAAATGACGGAAAGTCATTCTCAACTTCATTTGACTTCTCTGGACAACTCATTCGATCGGTCGTCAAGATGAACACAAAAGGAAACGGCTTTCTCGAGGCGCTTAAGGCTTGTTTTTTGATCTTAACCCAACTTATTAGTTTGGTGAATAAGTCTTTTCGTTCAGAAAAATAGTTGGCCTTTCTAATGAAATAAACCGTAGTTCAATTGATGCATTTGTTGGTTTTAAACGGAAGTACGAAAAAAACGAAAACACTTTTTCACCAACCTAATACTGTTTTTTACTAGAAAGCCTACTAGAAATTTTTACTAGAAAATTTTCGACAGTCTTTAAACGGTTTTTTGATCGAAAACTTGAGATTTTGAGCTTTTTTCAAGAGTTACGGATTTAAAGGAAGAAAATTTGCTATCTATGAGATAAAAAGTCGATTTTGGCTAGGTTTTGAAGGGTAGATTCTGGTTTTGGAGCTAACTTATGGGTAAATAAGCCGACAAACTTCAATCTAGCATTCTAGAGCTTGTTTTTCTCTAAACATTCTAGTCATTTAGGATTTTATCGTGTTGCAGGCTTTCCTGACCAAAGTCTCAAACCTAGACACGTTGAAAGAATAGTGGAACGTTTAATTATTGAATTTGCTTTTTAATATTTCATTTTAAGGAGAAAACCCTCGTTCGACGTGACAAAACCACCGCAAAGGGCGTCGATTTGATCAAGGTTTTATTTATGAAGTAACTAAATATATAATTCTTTACATTAGGATAAAGAATTCATTGTGATCTACGTGGGCGCTTCTTTTCTCGCCGGCTCGGCTCGGCGAAATGTCGAGAACTTGAAGGTATCGTGGTTTCCACTAATTTGTCAAGTTTAACTTTAGAAATTCTACGAAATAATGAAAGATGAGAAACTTGAGATCATCTACCTCTCACAGGACAACAACGAGAAGGAATTCACAAAGCATTTCCATGAGAATCACGGCAATTGGCTGGCTGTGCCGCCTGGGACCGAGGATAATGAGTGAGTGGCTTGTTTTTTTGTAAAAGAATACTGTGTAGTTTCCATTAAAACCTCTAAAATTGTTAAACGTATGTTGTTAATGTTGTTTAAGGGAATATTTAATGGCTTTAGAACTAGATACCAAGCAAAATTGAGTAACTTAGCTACTTATGATAAGCTCGTGATTTAGGGAATTGATGAAGACACTTGAGAACCCTACAATACCACATGTTATTGTCTACAACAAGCTTGGATTCATGTGTCGTCGCACTACTGGCACCGCGGTAAGTGATTGCTTTAATGTTCATTGATAATGCTCTTTAGGATCTCGAGAAGAAAGGAATTCTTGATAAGTGGCGAGCAAAGAATCAAAACGTGCAGTTTCGGTAGGCTTTTCGAGTCTTGATATAGGATCTACCTGGGTTTTGCCGTACTGAGCTCATATAGCTATCTTTATGCCTTCTAATGAATAAGTTTAGCCGAGGCAAGAGTGGTGATCGTCAAGTGTCGAGTCAAGAAAGTCAAAGCAAGGAGAGCGACGCGGTCGCCAAGGACAAAAGCGGAAAGAAGTGAATGACTCCGAAGGGAACAATTGCTTCAAAAACACAACATTTTAAATCTCTTTTTATACACACCGATTGATTTCTTTTTGGTAGTCGAATTGTCGTTAGTCTATGTTATGATGTGCCCGTTTTTGTCTTTGCATTTGAACAATGATCGCAATAAATATATTAAAATGGTGCTGATTATACTTTTGAAGTAGCGCCCACAAGTGTCCTTCAAAAAAAGTTGATTCATTGAGCTTCGCCAATTTTCAAAAATCCAGAAATTGAAATTGGCCTTTTCCCCTTATATACTCGTTTTCTCCTCTACGTTAAAGATATTCAATCTTGAAATTTAAATTTCAAAATTAAAAGTTATCTCGTCGGGGAAATTTTCGTAAAAGCGTCTCATTTCGAATTGGGGCTACTTTTGGGGACTTTTTAAAAGTGCACGATGCACGATTTCGTCACTTTAGCTGTGAATGCTTAATGTTTTTCAAAAATCGAAACTCATTTTGTGCAGAACTTGTTTAAAATTTATTAAGTTTGAAGTGAGCTTGCTTATATTTTGGGGAGCAGCGTCGGCTGGCTAGGGCTAAACTAAAATCTTGCCCTTTTTTCACCTCCCCACCAGCTCCATAACCACGTTTGTATTGTTTGTTCTTTCTTTTTTGTTACCTTTATCAGCATCTATTCATCATTTCTTTTGGTCTTGAAAAGCTTTCAACGAAATGTCGCGTCAAGATTGGGACACTGAGTCCGGCGGAGGACGTCGAAGCTATGGAGGAGGTGGCGGTTCGTGTAAGTTTTCATTTTTTATGTTAGTGCTGAGTGTACTTCTTGCTTGGTGGTTGTGGCGACCTCTTAGGTTTTGATGAATTTATTAAGCGTAAAGTTTATACAAATATATTGCTAATTCGTTTGTTTTAGATTCGGATCGAGGCGGACGTGGTGGCGGCGGGGGATACCGAAACGATAGCGGGTCGAATCGAGATGGAGACGGTGGACGCGGGGGATACGGAGGCCGAGGAGGATATGGTGGCGGTCGAGGGGGCTACGAAGGTGGACGCAGCGGCTACAGTGGACGAGGTGGCGAAGGTGGCTTCAGAGGAGGTCGTGGACGAGGAGGCGGTGGAGCTCCGTGGGGCCGGTCAACGCAGAACCAACCTAATGAGGTTAGTTTTGTGAGCTTAACTGTCTTTCGTCAAAAAAGAAGTATTAGTGGTTTATATGTTGTGTCCAATTTGGATTGAAACATTTTTGCACGGTTTGCTAACATGTTTTTAATCATTATTTAGAAATTTCATAGAAGTTTAACTCTGGCAGCCTAGAACAGCCCTTTGGGCTCCCATTTTGCTGAAAAAAGGCTTTCTTTTCTGCATTCTACTGTCAATTCAAACTAAAACATCAAAATCTGGAAACAAACTATTTTTTCGGTTGCCAGAGTTCAACTTCTATGAAATTTCCAGATAATGATTCAAAACCTGATACCAGACTGTGCAATAATGTTTCAATTCCAATCGGATACAACACCTACTTGTTTAAAGGGTTTAAAGAGTGTTACGTCCTTATTTTTAGTTGGGAATGAAGACACACGCCGTTGGAAAAGTGCTTGCAAACGATCTGGCGATCTCACTGGACAAGGCTCTATCCGTCTACAAATTCCAAGTTTGGGTGACCGCCACGGTTCAAACGAAAGATGGAGGAACGAAGGAGTTCGATGCCACGGCAACTTCCAAGAACACGTAAACTTCGGTGTATGAAAAGAACGGTTTACCTAAATTTAGTGTTACACTCAACCGCAAAAGAGCTGCATTGTCGAGTTTGATGAGGACCCTCTTGAAGAAGTTTGTTCTTTGTGTGAGTTTACAAACCAGTTTTATTTAGGGCTTTTGGCACGGACATTTCGTATCAATGCGTTTACGATTGCGGTGGAAGCATCTACTCTATTGATGACACACTTAATGGAAAAAGCCATGTCTTTGAAGTGGTTTGTTGGATAGCATTTTACTTTTAATTGTACGGATTTCAGGTTGATATTCCCGAGAAACATCGCTTGGCCTTTGCGAGGAAGAATTTGCTGCGAGTGACTTTCCGCTTCGAACATACGAAGATCATCCCACTTGGCAATGCTGACTTTAAGGTTCAGGACGAAGAGGAGAACCAAGTGGAGAACTACAGAGATGTCGCCGCTTTCTTGGATGTTCTGACTTCCGCAGTGATTCTTCGCAAGTTAGTTTTTTCGCTTAACGTTGACAAAGCTTCTTTCAGTAACGACTTCCACTACATCAAGGGTGCCTACTTTCACAAGGTGTTCCAACAAATGAGACAATAATAACTGTATTATTTAGTCTTCTCGCGAAAACATGGAAACTGACATCGGACAAGGAATCGTGGTGCGCAAAGGATTTGAGAAGAGCGTCAAGCTTGTGTCGGCCAAATCAGGAAACCCACAATACTCGCTGAACTTGGCGGGTTTGTCCTTTTGTTTACTTGATCTAGTTGACGTTTGCTTTTAGTGAAGACAAAGCCTTTCTACAAGCCAGGAAACTTCCACGAGTTCTTGATGATGCGCTCCGGAGCCAGAAACGACCACGATCTTGCACAGATGCTCAAGAAGGAAAGCGCCATAAGGGATTTAGCAAAAAGTTTGGCAATGTTTTTTTGTGATAATTCCTGTTTTAGATGTGATTGTGACGACAACACATCTCGACGCTAATTTCGACTTTGGTAAGCATAAAGCAGATTGTGACTTTTTAAAATGGTTACTTTTAGGGGTTCATCACGTGCACAAGGAGTCTGCAAAAGAGTACGTTTGAAAGTAGGAAATTGTAAGTCATACTTTTTAGATGTATCATCCCCGGACTCGATCAAAGCGTTGCCATGTACTACCAAGAACGCTACAAGTTGACTTTGAGGGGTAGGTTAACTTGTTCCAACTATCCAATTCGAGATTGCTTTAGCTCCAAGTTTGCCACTTGCCACTGAGAACAAGAAAGGCCAGAGCTCGTACTATCCACTCGAGGTTGAGCTTTTAATCTGATCTTTTAACTTTTTATTTAGCTGCTCGAGGTGAGTCCGATTCAAAGTGTTCCAGTGGGAAAGCTGAAGGACCAACAGGCCAAAGTCGTCGAGATGACCCGTCTCAAGCCAGATGAGCACCAGAGAGATATGGAGCAACTTATTCCACAAATGGGCCTCGGACAGTTGGTGTGCTTATTGGGCAGTATCAAGTTAATTCAGGGGCAATCTGTATCTTCAACAATTTGGTGTCACCGTTGAGCAGAGGCCCGTGGAAGTGGACGCAGTTCAAGTGATCCGCCCCGCTTTGGTGTTTGGCTCGAAGGTGATCGAATTTCAAAGTCTCGTGCCTAATGGTAATCTTTAGACTTTTGGACCCGATCAGGACCAGAGCCCCAATGAGCTGAATTGGAATGGCACTTTCCGCGAGCGCTTCTACAAGCCAGCAAAGATTGGAAAGACTGCCGTGGTCATTTATCGCCAAGCTGTTCGCCATCCCGACCAACTCAATGGTCCGCTTCAAATGCTTGCTGATGCAGCTCGCAATCATGGTCTAGATGGCACTGAAAATCTGACGAGGGTTTGGTTTAGAGATTACTTTCCGATTAATTAAGAATGTTCAGGGTGAAGTTTGCCATTGGAATTCGATGAGCGACGACGAAGCAGCAAGGGCGATGGGGGAGCTGAAGGCGCGCGGATTCAAATTCGTGATCTTTGTTGGGGCCGTGAAGAACACCGACACGGAGGGACACAGTTGGGTTTATTATCGAAGTGCTGATGATCGAAGTGTCTTTAGGGGATGATCAAATACGCGGAACAGAAGGCTGGCGTCGTCACTCAACATCTCGCTTGTCCCACGCTTGGAATCAACTCACGACCGATGGGTTCGCAATCAGTGCAGAACATTCTGCTGAAAATGAATCAAAAGCTTGGCGGCATCAACTACTCGATCGCGATCACGCCCAATATGCTTCAAAGCGCGCATAATTCTGCCGAGATGTAAGGATTTTGCCTGTTTGTGATTTAATCGATATATTTTAGGAACACCGAGTTCTTCGGAAAGTCTGTGATGTATGTCGGATTGAGCGTTTCGCATGATGGACCGCAATCTATCTTCGACCAACAAGCTGGCACTGAAATGAAGACTCCATCAACTGTTGGAGTGAGTTGCTTGTCGCTTTTTTGACACGTTTTGAAACGATTTATTCGTTTAGATGTGCTACAGCACTGAGACGCCAACGGCTTTCCGAGGAAAATATTGGTGGCAGCCGGCACGTCAAGTGTTGATTAGGTAGGCATTTAGAACAGATTTGACACAGATGAATTAATTGTTTTAGCTCGTTGAAGGAGAATTTCATCTCGGCTTTGGAGAACTTCAAGAAAGAGGTCGGCGAGCACCCGAAGAAGATCATCATTTTCCGCGGTGGACTCAGTGAAGGCGAGATGTACAAGAATGCCCAGGACGAAATCGACGGTAAAGACGGAATCAAGGCGGCAACCAAGGCACTTGGAATTGACCCGCAGATCTATGTCGTTCTCACCATCGTCCACAGCTCAATGCGGTTTGTGCTTAGTTTCAGTCTTTCGGCTCATTTTGTTTTACCTTTAGTCTTTTGCGCACTGATGCAGCGCCTGGTGGACGACCAGTGGACTCGAACTTGCCTGCCGGTACAACCATTACACAAGGAATTGTCGATGCTCGTCCTGGAGTCGTTGATGCTTTCATCGTTTCGCAGAAGGGTCAAATTGTGGGTTTTCGGCGTAAATTGCGTAAATGTGGTTTAACTTTTTCTAGGGAACTTCTCGTCCAACTCGTCTTTTCTTGGCTTATCAGACTGAGACGGCGCCTCTTTGGACCAGTGATCACCTTTCGTGGATCGGAAATGCAATGTCCTATGGTAAAAAAGTTTACGTATGTTTGGATATTTAATATTTTCAGCTCATGGTGTCTCGATGTGCCCAACTGGAATACCTGCCCATCTCTATGCGGCAATGAACCTTTCCAAGCGTGGAGGAGATGTACTTCGCAGCGGGTTCCAAGAATTTCTTTTGTCAATTGTATGTGCGTTTTAGTGGAGTTCCGGATAACGTGTCGATGACTAGCAGCGGATCGAACCGTCAGGCCGATGAGGAACAGTCGCGAGTGTACTACGACCGCTTGTGCAAAGAACTCGTCGTCGTCTTGGACAACGCTCAATTCTGGGCCTGATTGGATTGGATTATCATTGCGATTAATGCAGCTTATTTATACGTTGTTTTTCAGCCTTTCCCGGTTTTGCTAATACTTGTTTTTTTTGTTTTTGAAGTGAAGAAATAAAGATTATACTATAGGCTGGTATGATGAACATGGGAAATGGAGGTAAAACGGGTGTTCTGTTCCTGTTATAATAAGAATAAAAGTGAGATTGGAACATTTGCCGAATAGATTCAAAGAACGACAGTCTAAAAACCAACGTTTGGCCGATGACAGTATCAGGGTTAAATGTAGAGTCAACTTTCTAGTCCTTTAACGTCTCTTTTCGTTGTTTTTTATTTAAAACTAACAAATCCACCAATTAAATTATTGTTTATTTCATTAAAAACTTAAATAACTTGAAAAGATGGAAATTTTAATAGTAAAAACTTTTTATTTAGAGAAAACGATAGATTTATTGATGAATTTGTTATTTTTAAATAAAATATGAAAAAAACGAAAAAGATTCGATCCATTTCATAAAAAAACCCGTTCTGAATCGAGTGAACGAGAAATTTTCGCCGATTTTTGGAGAATGCTTCAATGGGACAATCTGTCGAAAAAATCTTCCTTTCTTTTCCCGAAAAAGTAGACAACTCGCTTTCCTTTTCACGGAAATCGAATCTGACACTCTTGTTTGTTAATCTTTATTGTTTTCAAGGTTTCATTCGAGTCTTTCTACTGTCTCCTCTCCATTTAAGCTCTCGGATAATGATCTCAGAGATCGAATCCATAAAGCCTCAATCCATAAAGCCTAGTTCTCAATAAAGCCTCAATAGTTCAACCAGGGTCAATGGGTTTACAAAGTTCAAGGCTTTCATTTGTTTATTCTAGATTTACCATCCGATGGATCGAATCGGATTGCCTCGGATGATGATCTGATCCGAGCCAAAGCTATTTAGCTAGGTCACAGATAGTTTTTGGGTGAAGACGAGACTTGGGCGGGCTAGCTTGGAGTACCAGCAGTGCCGGCGTTCGGTTGATTGACAGAATTTCGATTGGATAGCAAGGTTGTCTCGTTGTCTAGTCTAGTCTAGTTGTTGTTGTTGTTCGATATGAAAGCTATTTCCATTGCTTGGAATCAAGATTGATTCCAAGCTATTTTCATTGCTTAAAATCACTCTTGAAGCTATTTCCATTGGTTGGAATGATAAAAGACAAAATTGATCCCCGGCTGACTTAATCAGAGGCTCTATTTTGAGATCGACCGAGTCACCGATCGAGTCGAGGCGGACAACGATGCATTTGAATCACGCTAAGCCAATCCTAATCTTTTGGCATTCGCTTGGAACCTTGGGTTTTGCCCAGGATTGCAAGGGAGAAAAAAAAACGAAAAATTTAGTCTTTTAATTTTCAAAGAAATTAGGCAGCTACGTTTTTCCGCTCGTCGCATTGCGTAGTTGCCCATTCTAGTTTTGCTTTGAAAATCAAAAGATATTCAAAAACTTGCGCTTTTCTAGCTTAAAGCTTAAAATCTTTAGCTTTTTTTAGCTTTTTTAGCTTTTTAGCCTTTTAGCTTACAGAAAAGACCAAAGTGGAAAGACCAAAGTAACATTGAGCAAATAAATAATTGCAAATATCTTAACCCCAAAGATCAATCATCAAAAACCCGAGTCTCTTTCCGTTTCTCGTAACCACCTCCTAGAGCATGGCTTTTGTTTCGAATCGAATTGAAGAGGAGGAGTTGAAAGGAGTGGACGGGCTGAAAAAAAGGAGTGAACGTTCACTCCTTTTTTTTCAATCGCTCCTGTTTCCCGAAATCTTCCCACAAAATCTCTACAAAGGCAGGTTCTCCTTGCTCTTCTGCCATTTCAAATGTTTCCCTCATTTTCACCAAACGAATCCACAATCCCGGCTTTGAAAATTTGAATTGAATTGAATTTGAATCATTTGAATTTGAATTTGAATTTGAATTTGAATTTGAATTTGAATCATTTGATTTGAAGCAATCATTCTAATCATTCTAATCATTCGAATCAATCATTCGAATCATTCTAATCAATCATTCTAATCAATCATTCTAATCATTCTAATCATTCTCACATTTCTATGCCAGCCATTCAGCGATGGCATTTACGATTTCGACTTTTTCTCAGAGGTCCGACTTTTTTTTTGATCTAAAATCGATTACTTTAGAGTCGATTACTCGATTTACCAAATCTCCTCGTTTAAGCACTTTAGCCAACTTTACTTTACTTTACTTTACACTTTAGAAGGCACTTTACATGGCTCTAGACTCTGACTCAGGGATATTGTGAAAGCTTGGGGTTTTACAGTACTTTAAAAGTACCCTGGAATCGACACTCTTTTACAGTACTTTAAAAGTACCCCAGAAAAGTACTCTCTTTAGTAGTAGGCTAAACTAGTAGGCTAAACTTGTGTCATGCTCCAACCTTGCTAACGTTATCACCTTTCAAAGCATAACCATTTCAAAGCACAACCATTTCCCGATTAGGCCAAAGGAAAAAAAATTTACGATGATTTTTCAGGTCGAAAATACCGTCGAATTCTCGTCTCATCCCTCGTTTTCTCGATTTGTCTCTTCGTTTTCTCAGCCCTCACCGCACTTTCCGTTTTCGATCGACAGCATAATAATATCGTTTATCATTATGTTCAAAGGCGTGAGTTTTCTTATATGCAAGCTTTGCAAGCTTTGATACCTTTTTTAGAGCTTAATTTTAGAGGACGACATTGCTCTGCTTTCAGCCACTTTTTACAATACGTCGAAAAGGTTTGCTTAGGCTTTGACTGCTTTGAGTGCTTAGGCTTTGACTCCTTTGGCTGCTTCTTTTCCTTGTTTCATTTGCACTTTCTGCTCTCAAATCTTGCAAAAGCTCTTTTTCGTGTCCTGCAATCAAATCCATTCCTTTTCCAGCTTCTCCAACAACAGTTTGGTCCTTCTCTTCGTCGCTCATCAAATTTTCCACTATAAACACTCGTCTTTCGAGATTGAGACTTTTGCAGGAAATGAAACGACAAGAGCAACGTTAAGGTCAGCAAAAATAGCTCAAGAATTGGAAAATTGAATTTTTGTGTTTGTACAATTGATCCTTGACATTTGGGTTTAAACTCAGAATTCTGATCAGGCTATCAGAGCTAAACCCAATCCTCGTCTCCACCCAAAAACTAGCTGTGACCTAATCTACATAGCTTTGGCTCAGTTCAAAAGAAGGCTAAGCTAAAGCTGGAGAGACGAGGCTTGGAGTTGTCTCTGGTAGCCTGGTAGCTCTGGTAGCAAGTATTCTGATCAGGCTAGCCTGATCAGAATACTGAACCGGGCAGAAGCCATGCGAGGAACAGGATCCTGACAGGTCATAGTTTTTAGATCTGTTCGATCCAGAGGCCTGAGCTGGCCCAGAATTGCCCAGTTTTGCCTAGTTCTTGAAATTTGGTCCATTCAGAAAACCTCTTCCAGGATAATGCCTGTGATCGGCCAGATGCCATTCTACTGCAAATGGGTGCCATTCATTGCGATTGGAGAGGTGAGGGGAATGTCAAAGAAGAACAGTTTCCGGATCCATTCAATTACTCAACTTGGCCATTTTTAGCTTGACATTACCAGCAGTGCCGGCGTTCGGTTGATCTCCGGGGAAAAGCAGATTGAGGTAACTCTTGCAAGTTATTGTAATCATGCCGTAGAAAGAATTGATGGCTTTAGTGCAAAGCTTTCAAATGCAAAGCTTTCATACGCAAAGCTTTCAAATGGAAAGCTTAGAGTCAATTCGATTCTTTCGATTCATTTTCATTCCAGCTAAATCTCCGTGAACCTTATCCAGAAAAGCATCCAGTTGTCGCGTGTTTTTCGCCACTTTTTCTCAATGAACGATGGCAATTGTTGATACTCACAGCACAGGTAAAATGAAGAGAAAATGAATAGAAAAATGAGTGAGTGACTCTAGTAAACTGTGGAAAGAATGGCTTGGCTTGGCTTGGCTTGGATGGCTTTTATATACTGACAATGCTACAGTATACTGGCAATACTTGTTATACTTACCTGCTATACTTACCTGCTATATTTACCTGCTACAGTACACCATTTAGCTTTCACAAGCCCCTTTCAGGTTTACTCCCACTACGGAGCTTTCATGCATTTCTATGTGCGCAGTATGATCACCGATCTTTTCGATGTTCTAAAGGTGAGCCTATCAGCTTACAAATACCACTACAAGTCATTTTCAGTACTACAAACACTCTCGGGTCGTCCCCTGGTCGGGCATTCATTTGGGCAAAGAGTCGGCGAGTGGGCCGGGATTTCGACCGGATTTCGAATTGGAATTTCGGTGAGTTGAGTGAATGAGACTGGAGCCAATCCTAGCATCCAATCCCAGATTCTCAGCACTGATCTTGGTTCAAACTACCAAGGCTAAGGCCTGTCTTATGAGCTGAAGCTTGCCTTGGATCTGTTAGACGTCTAAGTCGATCTAATCCTCATCCAAAAACAGACCTGGAATAGCTTTGGCTAGTTTTTGAACTAGCCAAAACTATTCCAGTTTTGGCTATTCCAGTTTTGGCTAGTCAAATCAATTTCCAGGAAAGATTTGACCAGAGATTTTCTGAGCTTAAAGATCTGACGAGAATGACTGATTGTCTTGATTCAGTCTTGATCCAGTCTTGTCCAGTCTTGTCCAGTCTTGTCCAGTCTTGTCCAGTCTTGATCTAGTCTTGATCTAGTCTTGATCCAGCCTTGATTAGAAATTTTCAGAAATCAAGCCGGCGCCATGACGGATTGTCTTCTTATGTACAAGGTGAGAATGGGAAAGTGCAAAAATGAAGTTACAAAAAAAATAAACAGGAATCCGCGAGCTACATAATTTTCCCAGACACCGACGACATCATCATCCCGCGGTTGGGAAAAAATTTTGAACAGGTATTTAAAATTTGCATCTAATCACAAATTATATTCCTGATATTCATAGAAATAAAAATTGCTTCAGGAATTCTCGCAAATTTTCGCTCTTTTCCCCGAGGCGGCCGTCATCGCTTACAATATGAGTCAAACCGATATCCACGCGGGTTCGTTTATAGAAAGTGTTCTTTGTGTTTGAAATTTGTAAAAGCACTCCTTCTGGCGCACTCAATCCCTCAACAAGTCAATCGTTTCCGCAAGAAAATGATGAATGCCACTAGAAAGGATAGGTTTACAAATTCTTGAGCTAGTAGCGTAGCTCGTGGCGTAGGGGGCGGGGGGGGCTAAGCCTAAGCCTAACCTATGGGGGGCGCATGCACACCGCCAAACGGGTGTCCCTTAGCTCCGAGAACTGGCTGAGATCCAGAAAATGGGGGTTCAGCCCAAACCCAAATAGACTTAGTGCTAGCTTAGCCGCTAGCCTTCGCACTAAGTCCAAGCCTAAGCCTAAGCGTAGCTCGTAGCGTAGCTTGTGGCATAGCTCATGGCATAGCTCATGGCATAGCTCATGGCATAGCTCATGGCATAGCTCATAGCATAGCTCATGGCATAGCTCGTGGCATAGCTCATGGCGTAGCTCGTAGCGTAGTTCGTAGCTGTTCCCGATTCGCCGAAACTTTAACAATCTGGCACACTGATTCTTGCAGAGATTTCCCCATCGAATTACATGGTGGACGAGGTGTTGACAAGTGTTCGTTTCCGCGGTGAGACACGCTGGGGAAAAGTGGTTGTCCGACCGGAGAGGATCGATTCCGTTTGGATACACAAATCGTATGGGATACGAGACGGATACGAACAAGTGAGTGCGACAGAGATCAGTTTTTTCTTTTTCTTTGTCTTGTAGATACAGTACACTAGAACTATGGTGATTACAGTAAGCCAGGGTTTAGGTTTAGGCTACGATTACAGTAAACCAGGGTTTACTGTAATTGTAGTATACTTTTCTCGAATCGATGGTGATGTGATGCCGAGCCCAAGACGTCCTTTTTTCTCCTTGTGCGCCGATTTCAATTTTGGTGCTTTCTTCATGAACCTTGCCTTGGATCTGTTAGACGTCTAAGTCGATCTAATCCTTATCCAAAAACTGTCGACAGACCTGTATTGATGATGGCTTGAGAAAGAGTACTTTTGTGGATGGGAGCTTTATTTTCTGCCTTGACGTCCTGTAGCAACAGAGTTTGACAACAGACGTCCAATATGTCATTCATGAACTTTCGACGACGTTCCGGAGACTTCCTCTTGCCATAATTGAAAGGATCCTGCAACAACAATGCAAACAATGCGACAATTTGGTGCGAGCATTTCATTTTCTTTGCGATCTTCCGCTTCGACAACTTTCTTCCTTTCAAAATCGTAATTTCCATAGATAGACAAGACAAGACAGTACACCCGAACTATAGTAATACAGACAGACAATACAGACTGTAGTAATACAGACTGTAGTAGACAGACATTCAGAAAATATGAGAAAACCCGTTGCACCAGAAATTCCATTTCCATTTCCATTTCCAGATCACTCTCCCGATCGAGCTCAACTCGGCTCTGCATTTGCGCTTTTGGAATTTCGTGAGTGGTTGAAAATTAACTTTAACCGAGTGAATATTAACAGAGTGAAACGGGATCTCTCGAGTCAAAGATCGACATTCCGCTGTACGATCCTCTACTCACCAAGAACTCGAATCAAACGCCGAAATATCGAAGTCCCCAGCGGCCATTGATGTCAAACGATGATTTGCAAGAGATTCGAAAAAGTTTTCAGTGAGTTAAGCCACATAAATCATTCTATTTTCAACTCGGCGATTAGTTTTCATCACAGTTTCCAACGCTTATAGCTTACTTTCAAATCTTCAGGGAAATGACGCGCACTCTTGGCGAGATTTATCTCCGTCTTCCCGAATTTTCAATTTATTACCCGCTAATCGAGAAATGCTATGATCGGATATTCTACAATGGACAGAGACATGCCACGTGTAAGGTGAGCAATCTTGATCCTTTATCGATCCTAGTAATGTGCCCATCTGGATTTGGTCTGGCCTGATGCATAGAAAGTCCTGAGCGAGTCAGAAGAGCAGCCAGGAGACCAAGCACGGACCTAGCTTTAAAAATGACCCTGACCTGGTCTAGGCCTGGCTTTGGCCTGCTCTAGGCGGGCCCATAAAAGCCCCTGGATCCATCAGAAGCCAGCTAGGCCTAGACATGACCCTGCTCTGGCTTTGCTTTCAGGCCATAAAGGCTGATTGGAAAATCCTTGTTCATAACACAAATAGCAACTAAATACTCAAAAACCAGGCCTGCTCCTCAAGGCCATAAGCATGGGCATCACTTAACGCATAAACTTTCTAGGAGTCAGGTCAGGCCAAAAAGCATGACATGCCATTAAATAAGTGTGGCTTGCTTAATTTGGCCATAGGACCCACTCAAAAATCCATCTCCAGGGCCCCGAGATGTGCGATCTTCCCTCTTTCCCGGGTGTTCGTTGCGTGAATGTGAACTCATCGGTCGATTCCTTCCGCGGCGATAACATTTTCATCCACCTGCAAAAAAATTGGTTTTTCGAGCACAGCACAAATGGGTGCTCGATTTGAGAAAATGAAAGCTTGATCCATTAGCTATAGGATTTTTGTTGTTACATCACCGTTGATCTCAAAATGGGCTGTGCTTTTGCAACGGAAGCCCAAAACAATTTCCTTGACTGTGTAAAAATACCGCAAAGACAAACAAACAAGACTTGCACAAAATCGTTTCATTTATTTTGCCCATTTCATCACTTTCGATTCATTCAAACTCGAGATCGACACTTCCCTCACCCGAAAAGATCGAAGTTGCTGACGAGCTTTAGACGACTCAACCAATAGTCAACATTCACAAACGACCAACCGTTGCCGATAAGCTTCTAGTTCCGGCAGTGTACCTTGGTTTGGCAGTGTACCTTTTATTCTTATTCTAACAGGAACAGAACACCCGTTTTACCTCCATTTCCCATGTTCATCATACCAGCCTATAGTATAATCTTTATTTCTTCACTTCAAAAACAAAAAAAACAAGTATTAGCAAAACCGGGAAACGCTGAAAAACAACGTATAAATAAGCTGCATTAATCGCAATGATAATCCAATCCAATCAGGCCCAGAATTGAGCGTTGTCCAAGACGACGACGAGTTCTTTGCACAAGCGGTCGTAGTACACTCGCGACTGTTCCTCATCGGCCTGACGGTTCGATCCGCTGCTAGTCATCGACACGTTATCCGGAACTCCACTAAAACGCACATACAATTGACAAAGGAAATTCTTGAAACCCGCTGCGAAGTACATCTCCTCCACGCTTGGAAAGGTTCATTGCCGCATAGAGATGGGCAGGTATTCCAGTTGGGCACATCGAGACACCATGAGCTGAAAATATTAAATATCCAAACATACGTAAACTTTTTTACCATAGGACATTGCATTTCCGATCCACGAAAGGTGATCACTGGTCCAAAGAGGCGCCGTCTCAGTCTGATAAGCCAAGAAAAGACGAGTTGGACGAGAAGTTCCCTAGAAAAAGTTAAACCACATTTCCGCAATTTACGCCGAAAACCCACAATTTGACCCTTCTGCGAAACGATGAAAGCATCAACGACTCCAGGACGAGCATCGACAATTCCTTGTGTAATGGTTGTACCGGCAGGCAAGTTCGAGTCCACTGGTCGTCCACCAGGCGCTGCATCAGTGCGCAAAAGACTAACGGTAAAGAAAATGAGCCATAAGATCGAACTAAGCACAAACCGCATTGAGCTGTGGACGATGGTGAGAACGACATAGATCTGCGGGTCAATTCCAAGTGCCTTGGTTGCCGCCTTGATTCCGTCTTTACCGTCGATTTCGTCCTGGGCATTCTTGTACATCTCGCCTTCACTGAGTCCACCGCGGAAAATGATGATCTTCTTCGGGTGCTCGCCGACCTCTTTCTTGAAGTTCTCCAAAGCCGAGATGAAATTTTCCTTCAACGAGCTAAAACAATTAATTCATCTGTGTCAAATCTGTTCTAAATGCCTACCTAATCAACACTTGACGTGCCGGCTGCCACCAATATTTTCCTCGGAAAGCCGTTGGCGTCTCAGTGCTGTAGCACATCTAAACGAATAAATCGTTTCAAAACGTGTCAAAAAAGCGACAAGCAACTCACTCCAACAGTTGATGGAGTCTTCATTTCAGTGCCAGCTTGTTGGTCGAAGATAGATTGCGGTCCATCATGCGAAACGCTCAATCCGACATACATCACAGACTTTCCGAAGAACTCGGTGTTCCTAAAATATATCGATTAAATCACAAACACAAACAGGCAAAATCCTTACATCTCGGCAGAATTATGCGCGCTTTGAAGCATATTGGGCGTGATCGCGATCGAGTAGTTGATGCCGCCAAGCTTTTGATTCATTTTCAGCAGAATGTTCTGCACTGATTGCGAACCCATCGGTCGTGAGTTGATTCCAAGCGTGGGACAAGCGAGATGTTGAGTGACGACGCCAGCCTTCTGTTCCGCGTATTTGATCATCCCTAAAGACACTTCGATCATCAGCACTTCGATAATAAACCCAACTGTGTCCCTCCGTGTCGGTGTTCTTCACGGCCCCAACAAAGATCACGAATTTGAATCCGCGCGCCTTCAGCTCCCCCATCGCCCTTGCTGCTTCGTCGTCGCTCATCGAATTCCAATGGCAAACTTCACCCTGAACATTCTTAATTAATCGGAAAGTAATCTCTAAACCAAACCCTCGTCAGATTTTCAGTGCCATCTAGACCATGATTGCGAGCTGCATCAGCAAGCATTTGAAGCGGACCATTGAGTTGGTCGGGATGGCGAACAGCTTGGCGATAAATCACCACGGCAGTCTTTCCAATCTTTGCTGGCTTGTAGAAGCGCTCGCGGAAAGTGCCATTCCAATTCAGCTCATTGGGGCTCTGGTCCTGATCGGGTCCAAAAGTCTAAAGATTACCATTAGGCACGAGACTTTGAAATTCGATCACCTTCGAGCCAAACACCAAAGCGGGGCGGATCACTTGAACTGCGTCCACTTCCACGGGCCTCTGCTCAACGGTGACACCAAATTGTTGAAGATACAGATTGCCCCTGAATTCACTTGATACTGCCCAATAAGCACACCAACTGTCCGAGGCCCATTTGTGGAATAAGTTGCTCCATATCTCTCTGGTGCTCATCTGGCTTGAGACGGGTCATCTCGACGACTTTGGCCTGTTGGTCCTTCAGCTTTCCCACTGGAACACTTTGAATCGGACTCACCTCGAGCAGCTAAATAAAAAGTTAAAAGATCAGATTAAAAGCTCAACCTCGAGCGGATAGTACGAGCTCTGGCCTTTCTTGTTCTCAGTGGCAAGTGGTAAACTTGGAGCTAAAGCAATCTCGAATTGGATAGTTGGAACAAGTTAACTTACCCCTCAAAGTCAACTTGTAGCGTTCTTGGTAGTACATGGCAACGCTTTGATCGAGTCCAGGGATGATACATCTAAAAAGTATGACTTACAATTTCCTACTTTCAAACGTACTCTTTTGCAGACTCCTTGTGCACGTGATGAACCCCTAAAAGTAACCATTTTAAAAAGTCACAATCTGCTTTATGCTTACCAAAGTCGAAATTAGCGTCGAGATGTGTTGTCGTCACAATCACATCTAAAACAGGAATTATCACAAAAAAACATTGCCAAACTTTTTGCTAAATCCCTTATGGCGCTTTCCTTCTTGAGCATCTGTGCAAGATCGTGGTCGTTTCTGGCTCCGGAGCGCATCATCAAGAACTCGTGGAAGTTTCCTGGCTTGTAGAAAGGCTTTGTCTTCACTAAAAGCAAACGTCAACTAGATCAAGTAAACAAAAGGACAAACCCGCCAAGTTCAGCGAGTATTGTGGGTTTCCTGATTTGGCCGACACAAGCTTGACGCTCTTCTCAAATCCTTTGCGCACCACGATTCCTTGTCCGATGTCAGTTTCCATGTTTTCGCGAGAAGACTAAATAATACAGTTATTATTGCCTCATTTGTTGGAACACCTTGTGAAAGTAGGCACCCTTGATGTAGTGGAAGTCGTTACTGAAAGAAGCTTTGTCAACGTTAAGCGAAAAAACTAACTTGCGAAGAATCACTGCGGAAGTCAGAACATCCAAGAAAGCGGCGACATCTCTGTAGTTCTCCACTTGGTTCTCCTCTTCGTCCTGAACCTTAAAGTCAGCATTGCCAAGTGGGATGATCTTCGTATGTTCGAAGCGGAAAGTCACTCGCAGCAAATTCTTCCTCGCAAAGGCCAAGCGATGTTTCTCGGGAATATCAACCTGAAATCCGTACAATTAAAAGTAAAATGCTATCCAACAAACCACTTCAAAGACATGGCTTTTTCCATTAAGTGTGTCATCAATAGAGTAGATGCTTCCACCGCAATCGTAAACGCATTGATACGAAATGTCCGTGCCAAAAGCCCTAAATAAAACTGGTTTGTAAACTCACACAAAGAACAAACTTCTTCAAGAGGGTCCTCATCAAACTCGACAATGCAGCTCTTTTGCGGTTGAGTGTAACACTAAATTTAGGTAAACCGTTCTTTTCATACACCGAAGTTTACGTGTTCTTGGAAGTTGCCGTGGCATCGAACTCCTTCGTTCCTCCATCTTTCGTTTGAACCGTGGCGGTCACCCAAACTTGGAATTTGTAGACGGATAGAGCCTTGTCCAGTGAGATCGCCAGATCGTTTGCAAGCACTTTTCCAACGGCGTGTGTCTTCATTCCCAACTAAAAATAAGGACGTAACACTCTTTAAACCCTTTAAACAAGTATGTGTTGTATCCGATTGGAATTGAAACATTATTGCACAGTCTGGTATCAGGTTTTGAATCATTATCTGGAAATTTCATAGAAGTTGAACTCTGGCAACCCAAAAAATAGTTTGTTTCCAGATTTTGATGTTTTAGTTTGAATTGACAGTAGAATGCAGAAAAGAAAGCCTTTTTTCAGCAAAATGGGAGCCCAAAGGGCTGTTCTAGGCTGCCAGAGTTAAACTTCTATGAAATTTCTAAATAATGATTAAAAACATGTTAGCAAACCGTGCAAAAATGTTTCAATCCAAATTGGACACAACATATAAACCACTAATACTTCATTTTTGACGAAAGACAGTTAAGCTCACAAAACTAACCTCATTAGGTTGGTTCTGCGTTGACCGGCCCCACGGAGCTCCACCGCCTCCTCGTCCACGACCTCCTCTGAAGCCACCTTCGCCACCTCGTCCACTGTAGTCGCTGCGTCCACCTTCGTAGCCCCCTCGACCGCCACCATATCCTCCTCGGCCTCCGTATCCCCCGCGTCCACCGTCTCCATCTCGATTCGACCCGCTATCGTTTCGGTATCCCCCGCCGCCACCACGTCCGCCTCGATCCGAATCTAAAACAAACGAATTAGCAATGTATTTGTATAAACTTTACGCTTAATAAATTCATCAAAACCTAAGAGGTCGCCACAACCATCAAGCAAGAAGTACACTCAGCACTAACATAAAAAATGAAAACTTACACGAACCGCCACCTCCTCCATAGCTTCGAC